AGGCTATACGAGCATGATACGAGCATGATATTGATCAACCCATATTATAGAATACTAGTGAACCAATAAATATCAGCTCATATTCAATAAACAGTATGTTCTTCAGCTTATCCATATAAGTTTGAAGATAAAATGATTGATCGCGAAATCGTGAAAATAGTAGGAAAGTATGTAAACAAATATATATCACGGATCTGTATCCTTGGACATAAATCCCAATTATTACCAATTAAGCGCCTCATATCCATCACACTACTCCTTCTCTAAGTTTTATCTGCATAATAAACCTATTCTATGCATCAATATAGAGAGATGCACCGTACATATGTCAAAATCAGAAAGGTCAACTTTCCCATGTGAATTTGTGCGTAGCTGATCTCCGGAGTAACATATCTGACCGCCCATAATGGCAACATGGCAATATCCCCAGCCATTGCCCATCTTACCCAAAACATCATTGAACTTTGAAGCATATTTGGGCCTTACTCTCGTTAACAGACTGAAGTTTTATAATTTGCCCCTCACATCCTTAGGTTTTCTCTATCCTCTAGACATGTGGTGACCGCGCTGCAAAACAGCCATTGCCCGCAATGGAAGCCTACCCCGAAGACTACGTCAATCACAATCTGCCTTTAGTCCTGCTCTCAGGATTGGAGGCGGATTCTGAAAATGATCCAGAAACATACTCGAGTTATCCTTTGCTATCGGAGAAGGGGACCCATATCTTCTCAGACTTCCCACCTCTGAGCGGGGCTGTTGCGGAGGAGCTCCGGAACCTGATTCTTGAGGAAGATAGCTCTCAGATGCCATGGAAATCTAGAGCCACTGTAACTGGGAATACTACGACTGCAAATATTGGGTACCGCATCAAAAGTTCTGGCCGCGTACGTTGATACTCTATGATTCCAATCCCGTATCCTGGCGGTTTCACAGCATCATACTGCCAACTGCTTGCTAACATCATGACAGTCATGCAGACTACCTCCACGAAAAGCTAATCCCCCTGCCCTCTCACCACCAAATACTCCAAACCATGACCAGGAAAATGATCACTCGGAATCTGGCGCATACTTTGTCCTTCATTCGCCGATATCGCCTTTGTCACCGGGTTCCCCAACTTTCCCAGATGGCTTGCTCACTCCTTTATGGGTGACAAAACACCAAGACCTGGTTCCAGCAGCAGTGATAAATTTCTTCCCATTCTCGTTGGATCCGAATATGAACTCGCTACGAGATAATCAACTCAAGATCGAGATCAACAGCTTGAAAAAAGAATGGCAATCCTCCGGGTACAAGACACGCTTCATTGTCGTTCTGATATCAGAAGAGGGAGAAGAAGCCGGCTATGAGGGCGAGATCGATGACCGTATTGCGGGGATTCGACGGGCAACGAACCTTGACCCCAGGTCAATATTTGTGATCCCACCAGACGCAACTTCGTCGGAAATGCAAGAATTTGTGAAATCACTCTTCTCTCTACTGCAACCGTCGGTTGTTGAATACTATCGGGATCTGTCCAAGCATGCCAGGCGTAAACGAAATAGGGGCAGTATCCCTCCTCCGACTGCACCACCAACGACCGGAACCTCCCAGACCCTATCATCTCAGGGCTGGAACGTACGGTATGAATTCAAGCTCGGAATATTTGCCGAGTTTCGCCAAGAAATGGATGCAGCCTGTCGGAACTATGAGAGTGCGTATGACACTCTATTTGGGCATGAAGTTTTCGAAAATATTGCGGGTTGGAATCCTCGATTTAATGATGCGCGTCTCTTGGCCGACGCCCTTGCCATTCGGATTATACGCTGCCTCTTGTGGACGGGGCAAACGACCGCCGCAGCTCGGCTTTGGGTTGACCACCGAATTCGTGTAAAGGATATTGTCAATCGCAGAGGAAAGGGTAGTAAACACTACGGATGGGAGGCATGGGAGGCGCGTTGGTCGATGGCAATGGCACAGCTTATCCGCCGAGCGGAGATTCCATCTATCTCTAGCGAAATCTCCTCGGAACAGCCTGGAGAGCTCTATATCTTACCCGAGAAATCGATTCCGACCGGGGAAAGAATCAGGCCCTGGGAAAATCTCCACCACGAGGGTTACTGGCTACACCGTTCAGCGAAGCATACAATGATCAGACGGGCGCTTGCCCAGGAAATTCCCATGGAAGATCGCAAGCCCCCCGGGAAATCACCCGCCTCACAACTCGCAAATAAATCCTATTTGTACGACACATATCTTGTTCCCGACGCTCATGCTGAAGCACCCCAAGAAGGACGAATTGGCTTCGACCACTCTGGCCTAATATTAAACACGCTGAAGGCTGCTATCGAGGAATTCGCAAAACGCCACCAAACAAGGAAGGTTGAGAGTTTGAGTCTTGAGGCAGCTGAGGAGTTTATACGCATTGGCTCATGGTCTGAAGCACACAGCCTTCTTCAACCGTTGTGGTCTACTCTCAGCTGGCGCCGCTCAGGGTGGTGGCATCTGATGGTTAAATTCGGATGGGCACTCAGAGAATGTGCCCTCAGGGTGCAGGACAGCGAGACAGTCTTGCGAGTGGACTGGGAGCTGCTGAACAAGAGTGAGTTGATTCCATTTATCTTGTGCGTATTGTCTTCGATGTTAATGTTTACTCCGGTAGCTTTCAAACCAAGACCTGCGTGGCATTATGACATCCACAGGAGTCTCGAAAGTCTGCCTTCAGAAAAGCCCAAACCCTCCGTTATCCTTCGTGCAGAGGATGTTATAACGAGTCGTAAGTTGGCAAGCCTGAAATACAAAGATTGCACTGACGCCTTTCTTCAAAGTGACCGCCTCGTTGGTGTTTGAGAAATCCGATGGCAACGTTGGGGAACCTCTACAGGTTCAACTTGCCATCACATCCTGTGCTCATAAATCCTCGGCCCCTATCCGACTTTCAGAGGTCAAACTGGTTTTCGAAGGATGTCTTCGCCCAGTAAAGGTTCAATCTGACCAAAATCAAGATGCTGACACCACAACCCCATGTTGCATCGCAACCCTTCCACTCCGCGAGCCGAGCAATCCTGATACCATGATCCAATCCCCGGCCGCTGGACTGACCGCATTGGTCGGTATAGCAGATCTGACTCTGGGACCTTCCCAGACCAAGGTCTTCAACCTCACCTGTATTCCTCGCGAAGCTGGTGAAGCCAAGGTTTCTTCAATCACCATGCTGATTGAAGAAGAACAATTCGATTTGGGTTATGCAATCACTGAGCCAGATCAACGTGAATCGTTCTGGTGGCAGCAGACGCAAAAGGGCGTGGCCCGCAGAAGAGTGGGCAAGGATCGGGATACTGGCAGGTGCAAAGTGATGCCTAAGCCTCCCAAAATCCGCCTCACAACCCCTAACCTGAAGGATGCCTATTATACCAATGAACGTGTGATGCTTCAGATTGGTATACACAATGAAGAAGTCGAAGCTGCCGATATATCTGCTGAAATTAGACTCCTGGGCACCGAGTCCACAACTCAAATCCAATGGCTCGACGGCGATAGCAACCCCGAACCTCTCGAATCAGGTGCCAGCACTCCGATTGAGGGACCGTCTCATTACTTGAAACGAGCTGTGGGTGTTCTGGAGCGCTCTTCTAACAAAATTCTTACAATTGTGCTGGACGATACCCAGGAGGCTACGGATTTGACGTTGGAAGTTTCGGCTGTGTATCATTTGGTGTCTGATATCCAGACCCCGATCATGAAGAATATCACTGTGGATCTATCATTTATTCGGCCGTTTGAAGCAAACTATGAATTCTTGCCGGCAGTTCACCCTCAGCCGTGGCCCAACTTCTTTGCAGTTAGCGATAACCTACTCAAGAATGGCTCTGCGTCAACACCTGGAGGCCTGTCCCAGAAGTGGTGCCTCAACTCTAAGGTGGTTTCCTTTGCACTGGAGCCGCTGGTAATTGACAAGATGTCCCTGGTTCTCCTCGAAGCTAACGGGGGAGCCGTTTGCGAGGTTCACTCGGAAGAGCTTGTCAGTCCAGAGACGCCCCATCTCGCACCAGAAGAATTGCGAGAATCCAACTTCAGCCTCGATATCCAGAAGCTTCTTCTCGGAGACCGCCGGCCGACTGCACTCACCTGCGTATTGGAAATTAATTGGCGTCGGCAGTCATCCGAATTTGCAGCTTCTGCTGATGCAGAGAACGCGGTCACAACCACCGTACTCGATATCCCTCGATTCGTCGCCCCGATGGGCGAGCCTCGAGTCCTTGCATCAGCTACCTCATCCAGAAACATGGCAGGGTTGATTCATATGGATTATGTTCTGGAGAACTCCTCCACCCACTTCCTCACCTTCAACTTGGTTATGGAAGCCAGCGAGCACTTTGCCTTTAGCGGGCCAAAGACCACCGTTGTGCAGCTTGTGCCACTGAGTCGCCATACAGTGAAATTCAATCTGTTCGCAGCGAAGCGTGGCCTATGGATTCAGCCACAGCTGGTAGTTATTGATACCTACTTCAACAAAACGCTCCGCGTCCTTCCAACAGGGGATATGAAGTCGGACAAGAAGGGGCTTCTGGTATGGGTTGATGCTGATGATTGAATTATATGACTGGAATCCGAGATACATGCTGTAGATGAATTGAACTGTCTCATAATGAGCAAATATTATATACAAAATCAAGATCCCTACCTTTATTATACACAAGTTGTTCTGTATAGATGAAGAAATATCACGTGACAGCCCTTATCACATAACCAGAATTTCCTAATTTGGTTAGCGGAGATCGGTCTTCCGTATGTCTTGCCGTCAGAGAGCTTCATTACAGTCACTCAGAGACATTCAGCTCACTTCCTTTGATATCTGCAGTATCCACGCCTATAATTGAGGTCCCAGCATCGAAACATCCAGCCTCTCATCTTTCCCCTCCTCGGGAATTCGTTCCCACGCGTCCATTTGCCCGAGAAATTCCCTCCAACGCGCAAACCAACTTGTCTAACCCGACAGTCTTATTGCCAACACCGTAATTATGGCAGCGCAAGCGGCGTTGATCGCCGATACCATCACCGGCATGAAGCGGGCCTTGCGTAGAGAGCGCGACGGTAGGTTACCGACCAAGCAGCCTGCATTTCAAAGCAGAATTGTTTTCTGACATCTTTCTTCACCAGATAATGGCCCGGACGACCCCATTATGGCGCCGACAAACCGCGGAAACAAAATGCATGCTAACGCTAAATATGTGAGCGAGGGTGCACTGGGCTACATCAACGCTGAGGGTTACTACAAGCAGGTGCGTAGTCTGCCGATCTCGGACTTGAGCGATAAGATGGAACTAGGATTTTATGGAAACTGACTTTTGATCGGTGACTAGAAAATCGAGCATGCTGGTTATACACGCTATATCCTTCAGCCGAACCCGGTTCGCTATGATTCAGAGGGAGATGAGCTTGATGAGGACGATGAAGATTCTGAGGCTGATGCTGCGGCCGCTGAAGAGAACCCGTTCTCTGGGATTGCGCTTGAGAGTGAGTTTTACCTTACTTTTTGAATGCTGTATGTGGCTTCATGACTGATCTTTCTTTCTTTCTTCTTTCTAGCTCTTCTGTGTCCCCTAAAGCATCCTTCCGAACTCGCCGCCCATCCTTCCATGTCCCAAGCATACACGTCACAAGCGCTGGAGAACATGACAGCGGCAGTTGAACATAAGCTCCGCCAGGAACGAGCTTTGCTCTGGCGCGCCAGGAGCTTGCATAGGCAATTCCTCGGTGATAGCAGTTGGATGCCATGCGGTGTGCTCGAGACGCCTAATGATCACTTGATCTTCGACCCCAAACTTGCTAGTAATGAACCGAGCGTATATGCCGGCCAACAGGGTACAAGTGCGACTGGCACTCCGTCCACTACTAGGGATCTCAATGCCCAGCAGGACGCAGCACAAAAGATACCTAGATCAATAGCCACTCAGGATCATCAGTCGGTACTGAACGGGACAAAAGCCCAGGCCAGTTCAACACCAAATGATGTGGAAATGGCTGAGGTTCCAGCAGAGCGCGAACCCATCAAGAACGGCCTGCAGCTTAAATCAGAAGAGACTGATGCCACCGTCAAAGACCTCCCACCTCACCCTAACACTTCCATCTCCGCCCAGGAGAGCAACAACAACGCAACCGGGATGAGCACAAACTCACCCCCCAACGGGGCAGAAGACATGGACACAACAAAAGATGCTGATCCCGTCGACACAACCGAACTTAATGACGATACAGAACAAGACCACGAAATGCATGACGGCTCCTCACCAGAACCACCACGGCGAATGACGACGCGCGCGCAAGCTAACGCAGTCAACCCTGAAAATGAAAATGGCTCCCCATTCTCCTCCGATACAGGATTCCAACTCCCAACCCCGCACCCCCTCTTCCTCGTCCCGGACAACATCCGCCCCGATCCGAACTTCGGTCTCCCCGCCGCTGAAGCCGAGGAAACCCGTCGTTTGCTCTGGTCCTACATCCAGAAACAGGAAGAGACGGTGCGCGGGGTCGAGCACATGCTCGATTCGCTGAACAGATCTTGCCGCATGAAAGCCGATGTTCTGGAGTGGTGCAAGGCCGAGGGACATGTTGGCGAGATGAGTGATGGCGAGGACTGGTATGACCGTGAACAGTGGGGTCTTGCTGAAGGGGAGGATTTGAAGAAGGGGACTGATGAGGATGAGGTTGAGACTGTTGATGAGAGTCGGACGCAGGGGAAGAGGGGGAGAGGAAGGCGGCAGTGAGGGATGGGCTGTTGGCAGTGCTCTTCTCCTTTGCTTCTCTGCTTCTTCTTTTTGACCTTGAGCCTTCTGGCATCGCCATGTCCTCGTCTCTTGCTGGCAATATGAACTCTACATACTAGCCTGTGTCTATGTCTCTCTCTCTTTGGGCTCTTTGATTCATGTGGCGTCGGTATATACCCTCATTTCTATAATAAAATGGTTTTTGGTTACTTCTTCTAGGGTTAGCAAGAAATCTTTCATTAATCAAGCCCTAAAAATAACAACTGGATTGTGCATGGCCATTCCAGTAGCGCACGCAAGTCCACCTGGAGAGAAGACAATACGTGCATGGTGAGCAGTTCACACTGCTACTATCTTGCTTTGTCGAATCAATCTTTTGCTTTCGGCCTTGATTCCTGCCCATGACAACCTTGATAACCAATTCTGACTGGGCCTTTGCTTATAAGGCAAAGATGGGCTAGTATTTTTTTTATCAACCAGTCCAATGGCCGAGCAGTAACTTGGTCACAACTTCCTTGATCTAGTTAGTGACGCCGATTTTCGCTTGTCATCAATGTCAAACCCACCACGTCGATGTCTACAGCTGCAGATAATTTGGTATTTGAGCAATGATCGCGGCATTGATACCGCCAAAAGCAGGTATCTGTATCTTTCCCCCTGGCATAGTCGAACAATGCCTCTATGGAGGGGGAAGGGTGATTCAAGCTGTCAAGGTCAAGCTAACAGCCAATTTCCGAGTCTCTGTCTTTCGACTGTGTTTTTCATGCTCCAGGACTCCCATACCAAGACTGTGCGCAAGAAGTTGTCAATGTTGTCTGGGTATGGCAAGTCGTGGCTATCACAGCCTTATTTGAGGATGTTAATTTGCTCCGAGTTCGTGTTAGTGGTTTGATAGTCCCTAGGGCCATCGATGCGGGTTTTGTCCAGGTTCATCCATGGATAGACCCAACAAAATTAGTTGGAGTCTTCTCAGCACATACGGTGAGACGCCATGGAATGGTGAATATAAAAACATCGCAATTTTTTTTTAAATTCATCTACTGGAAGCAGCAGATGTAAAATATGATAGATGGTCTGTATCAGTCTTGGATGCCCTCTTTTGCTGTACAATCTCCCTCTCCCCAGTTGCAACTCCGCTTGGAAATTTCCTGCTTCAAGGGGGTGTGCTCCTTGTCTTCCTGTCGTTCTATCTCTTCAGCCTGTCATTTCTTCTTCTTCTTCTTCTTCTTCTTCTTCTTCTTCTCGCACGCACAGCAACATGGAAACATCCCAGCCCCATTTGAGCCATTGCTCGCATGACCTCTTCATTTTCGCAAGGTATAGCAATACCAAGCATCCCAATCAGGCAATAAGTCGGACGAGAACAAGCCGAGAGCGACCGATTGAGGTAATTGACTGATCCATGGATGTGCAAATTCACTGAGCACTATGGAGGGAAGGGTAGATTCCTAGGACCGTTGATTCTCATATGTACATGCGCATTCACCTTGATTCAACATATTTTGTCTCAAAGCTTCGTCAAGTGACAAGAGAAGGTCAATTGGGCTTCGATTGCAAGCCAGGTCCATTGAATGTGTTCTTCTAGGGTGGCTGTGCTGCCTAGCTCAAAAAAGCGAGTTCATGATTCTCACCAGTGATTCCTAGGCTGGCTCGTCCTTCCCAATGCGCAGGATCTCTGGTACCAAGCGAACTCATCCCTGATTCATCATAGCCAGCGTCGATTTGGGGTCATCACAGACGAATTCACAGCGCAGGCCAAACCCAGCCGACATAATCCTCGCCATGAAGTTCTTCCTTGCACCTTTGGGAAAAGAGAAGGGTTGTGGTAGTTTCCAGCAAGGGAATCGAAAATCACAATCTTTCTATAACTTGGGCGAGGTCTCTGAGCTTGTGGAGTTGTAGTTGGCGGGCATCGTTCCCGGACCATCACCGGCGAGTCCAAAGCACGCAAACTACCGAGTATGATCCTCGCTGTGAACATCCTCCCCGCGTCCGAGTGAGAAAGGCAAGCGAAGAGCAATGGCAGTTCCTGGCAGGCTTTATCACTCGACTCTTTTTGATATGGCGAGGTGGGCTGAAGAATGCGGTGGGCTGAAGAATGCCATGCCTAGCATATTTGACATGGTGGAACTTGTTTTTGACTTCAATTGGCCCTTGATTGTCTTTTCTGGTTGTCTTTTTTGCTGGCCAAGGCTCACCTAGGTAGCTCGTACAAGTCACAACTGAAGTCATGTGCTTCTTCGTCACAGTTGACTAAGTTGTCTTTGCTGGAGTCCAAGCCTCGTACATAGTCCTTTCCTAAAGGCTATCATATTAGCTTGGTCCTCTGAAGGCATTCTTCAAAAGGATCTCTTATATGTTCCTTACTTGCCCATCACTTAAAAATGCAGTTGTAGATCTCACCATGCTTTAATTAGGATGCAATGGCAGTGAGTCCAGAAGCCAGTATTGAGACAAGCTGCGCTATGCCTCTTGCTTGGGCTATGTTGAAGCTTGATGTCTGGGGTTTCAAGGTTTTGACTCCGGTTGGTGGCCCAAGAGGCATGAATATATGGCCCGACGAAGCTGGAAGAGGCACCCCGGTATCTGTATTCGAATAGCCGTCGCATTGTGATAGTCCTGTCTAAATTGCAGTTTAGTATAGACCGAAATTAGGCGAAGATACCAGGTAGTATAACACTCTGATGGCTGAGATACAACGGGGGCACATACATTGACTGTTCATAGGTTTTAAACCCCCTGGTAGTCCCACCTATATAGCGCTTATATAGAATGAGCTGGTGGGCTTCATCTATCCCGAGTTCAGGTCATGTTTCTACATATTTTGATATATCTTTCTATGATGATACCTAGCCTTGTGTAGACAATAATTTTAAAGCCGGGGATTTTGATGTACACCTTAATTGAATGAAGTTTTTGAACTAGTCACTGTATCCTGATACTCGTGTGAATATAACAATATAAAGCCTAGTCTTTGGATCGGACTGATGCATGATTTTTAGGAATACTGCATATTTTTCTTAACTGCTTAGATTGTTGATCAAGCATCTAAAACAAAAAACATCATAATTGTAGAATGCTAAGGGATTTAAAGCCTTTTTAGTTTAATTTCCTTGGGCAATATTTTGTCTGCTCTCTCCCTTTGCCCTAAAACAGGCAAACACCTCTAAAGCCCCTTGTATATTCTCAAAACAAGTGAGCCATAAAGGTCTACTGATTCACGGTTGTACTGCAGGTTTGGCGCGATGGGTTGATTGAATTATAGCTTTTGTAGTCGCGTAAGGGAAATAACAGTGGGGCCTTGTCCTGTTCTACTCATCCCCCAGTATCAAGGACAAGGCAAAGGTCTATCGTCTACAGGTCCAGCATCGTTGAAGATTCGGATGCGTCCGTATGCTGGAAACTTGTCGTGGGCAACCCCAGACTTTTGGGTGCGTAGTTTTGTGAGCAAACTGGCCTCTCTCTCGGCCTCTCTTTTGGTGGTGCGGATTGTGGATGTTGAATGTCCCGGCCAATCCTGGTATACATGCATGGCGCTTATTGCTTCTTGCCGCCCTGCTTCTTGGCACGTGCACGCTCACGCTTGGCGTAGATCTCAGCAGTGAAAGGACTAGACACAGTCAGTTTGGTTCTAGGTATGCTTCAAAAATGACTTACTCCTCCCAGCCAAGAGCGAACCAGTACAGGACAAAGACCTGAGCGGACAAAAGAATACCAGCAACCTTGCCGTAGTACAGAGCAACACCAAGGAAGTTCAAGGTGCTACCCCAGTACATCGGCGAGCCGGTCACATTGAAAGGGAACCCGGTGACGGGAGCGTCCATGAGAATGCCAAAGTAGTCGCCAAGGTAGGTGCCAGTCACACCAAGAGCCCACATGCTGGAGAGAACCAGGACCGATCCGATGGAAAACAAGACACCTCCAATGATCGGTTGGTGGACAGGAGCGTAGAAGGGCTGGTCAGCTAGAGCGAGTTGGTAGACATGGTCACGGAGAATTCCGAGGAGGAAGATGGTGACAGCAAGGAAATAGCAGCCATTGTACGCGCCTCCGAAGATGCGGGTCAAGAAGTGGTTACGGTACTCTGTTTACCGGTTAGCTAAGGTCGAACGCAACAGTCCTCAGGTGGAGTCGGCACCTGCGCGGGCAACAATGCTGGAAAGTTCAGATTAGCTATTGTTCATGAAAAGAATCATTTTTATTGTGGTTTTTTCGACCAAAAGATGAGCACTCACTTCCAGAAAATTGGATTAAAAGCAATACTGGCGGCAGACCCTGTTGGGGTCAATCACATGCAAATTGTTGAGATCCTGTAGAGAGACCAACTCACATAGCAAAGGCTTAGAGGAAAAATTGACAATATCAGTAAGAGAGGCCATAGCGCAGAAACCGTCAAACCAAGAAGATTAAAGAGAAGAGAATAGGAAAAGGAAGAAGAAGAAGAAGAGGGGAAAGATGAAGTTAACCGTTGGGCGCCGGCCCCAGATTAACAGCTTAAGTAAACAGAAATGACGTCCCTCCCGCGCGGTCACGGGATCGTGTCTTTCCCGACTCTTTACTTGGCCTTTCTTTTTGATACTGCCTTTTACAGTTGAGATCCGCGTCTTTGTCTCTTCTGGCATTTAGGAACTTTGCATCACTGGATATTCACTTTGTTCCAGGACGCTCGATACAAAACGACAGCTTCCCCGCCAATCAGGCCCATTTAACCGTGACCATAATACTATGCCGAGCTGTGCGCTCCCAGGTTCCCGGGAGTGATAGTTATGAGCTGTGGAGCTCTGATAAGAGTGTGGGGAGAATGGTTCTAAGTCGCCGCGACCTAGTTCTGGCGGGCGTCGGCTTGTTCATCGCTTGGGGTCTTGTGGTTCGCTGGCTTCCGATCCTCCGGTATCTAGGATATGCCGTGACGCTAGGCGCCGTTTTGTCTTCTGTGGGCCTTTTGGCACTTGTCGCATTGACAATCCGGCGTCAGAATGACAGAGTCAACACCAAGCACGTTTCAGTGGCTTTCATAAAACCCACCCAATGGCGAAAGGAAGTGTTGAATGTCCGCCGGAGCATGCGATACCGGTCCCGCCCACTTTATCCCCAGTCCTTTGTTGTATCGGAAGGGATCGACGAACTTCTGTCTTTCATCACCCGCGACTTTGTTTCCTCGTGGTACCACAGTATCAGTCCGAGCCCCATATTTGCCAATGAGGTTGATCGAACGATTCGTGTTGCCCTTGAAAACCTCCGAGATAGGTTGGCCACGGAGGACATGGTCTCACTGATTGTATCGCGCATCTTTCCTATCGTAACATCGCACCTTAAAGAATTCGACATTGCCGAGCGTTCTGTTCGGGGGCGCAATCTCAGTCGAAATGTGACTGAGTCTGGAGAGCTTGATTTGGCTATTGCAAACAAATATCGTGAAGGTCGCCTACATCCCGCTGTCGCAACTTCTGCATCCGATCAAAAGACTATCCAACAGGAGTATCTGCGCAAGCTAGCAGTTGGTCTTTTACCCCAGCTGTTCCCGGAAAGCGTGCTGAACAGTCGAATCGTGTCGGTTCTGATTCGCGAGATCATCTCTTGCGCTGTGCTTATTCCAATAGTATCTTCATTATCAGATCCAGACACATGGAACCAATTAATGGAAGCATATGGCCGTACAGCTTTGCAGGATCGGAAGACTGTACGCAAATTGCGCGCCGCTTTGGACCAGCATGCATCACCCGCACCCAAGTCTAAACGTGGGCAGCCATTCCCACGACTGTCGCCAACGGACTCAGAGCGAGCATTTGAGCGCTTTGTGAGGGCAATCAGGAAATGCAATAATCTCTCCGATGCCCGTCGCTTCCGTGCCCTCGTTTCCAGTCAATTGAAGCAAGAAAGTATGGTCGAGGGCCAGGATCAGGTCTATCTGAAGCGTCTGGAAACAGGCAAACGTGTTCTTGATCAGAAAGTGGCGACTCTTGCGAGACCCGGCGAGAACTCCCATGTACCTCCAGCACTAAACCTTCGACCTGAGATACCAGCTAGAACGCATGAATCGTCACTGGTTGACGTCATGCACAGCGCAACTGGGCTTTCGTATTTCATGGAGTTTATGGACCGCCAAAAGCTGATGTCGCTTGTTCAATTTTGGATTGTTGTAGATGGACTCCGCAACCCACTCGAAGATGACTTTGGAGACGAGCCAGTGCCCACTTCATTAGTATGGAAGCCATCAGACAGAAACGACCTAGCTCTCATTAGTGAATCCTATCTCTCAAAGCCAGAGCTGAAGGTCTCTCAAGAGTCTCGTCAAGCAGTCAAAACATTCCTAAGTGCAGGAAAGCGTGCCACCCCGGAACAATACCGCAATGCGCGAATGGTGGTTCTGACAACCCAATCCGCCATTCTAGAAGATCTCCAAGATAATTATTATCCGAAGTTCAAGGAGTCTGATTTATACTGGAAGTATCTTGCGTCCGATGAAGCATCGGCTGCCCACGCGCCAGTTCGTCAATCCTCTCCCATATCAGTCAGCTTTGAAACTCCTGAGAGACGACCTCTCCCTCCTTTGTTGTCACGAACTACCTCTCAGCCAGGGTTGAGACCTTCCAAAGACCTTCGACGAGCCGCTGTCTCATCCAGTGATGTGCGGGGCATGGGGAAATTGTTTGATGATGACGATTCACCACGACGATCAATAGATTCAGAACGATCTGCTCTTCTGTTTGACGACGACTACGACACTGATAATCTCGCCACATCCACTCATAGCTTGGGTAAAGATTCCCAGAATGGCGAGAATGATGCTGGCCAGAGCCAGAGCCAAGTCCTCGAAACGATGGAGGCAGCGCTTAATGATATCATTACCAATGAGCCGAAAAATGGAAGAATCGAAGACCTTAAAGGCGATGCTGGCGGTCTGTTTGGGCCGGAGCGTCCTACTCTTTCATCGCGCAATTCGTCGGAAATTACCCAGGTTGACAACCGGAATGAAAAGACCAAGAAAAGCATCGCATCTCTTGGTCTGGTGGATCGTGCGTCGCGACTTGGTGTATTTGATGACGACTTATTTCCAGATCAACAGAAATTCATTGAAGATGAATACGAAGAACCAGAGGGCGACGATGAAAAGGACCCAGCAGATGAAGTGCACGAAGCTGCACCGGGTGACTTGGGTCTAACGGAAGCGATCGAAGCGCTCTCAGTGGATATCGATAAGCTTGCAGCCCAGGACGCCGTGGTCCAAGCATTGACACGCAAAGCAGAACTTACAAACAACACCGCAGAACTGAGAATCCTGCGCAAGTCCAAGGCTAGCATCCAGCGCGAAATGCACCGCAAGGAAATGCAGCGGCAGCAATACATTCTTCAGGAAAGTGATAACAGCTTGTTTGGGCGATCGACCGTTAGTCTCAAGTCTACCGTCGTAGGCAAGGATGAAGACGATGGTCGTGAATTCGCAATGTGTAAGAGATATTTCTAATCTACCATTTACTCCCAGGCTAACTGGTTATTCTAGACATCGTGGAGGTTCGAAGGAATGCCGGCGAGCAAATGCCCGCTGCATCATGGGTCGTTGCGCGACGATACAGCGAGTTCCATGACCTGCATCAAAAGCTACGCCATCGCTACCCCTCCGTTCGGCACTTGGAATTCCCCCGACGACGGGTCGTTATGAAACTACAGAAAGAGTTCCTTCACAAACGGCGACTGGCTCTCGAAGCGTATCTGCAGAAACTCCTCCTCCTACCAGAAGTCTGCCGCAGCCGCGATCTACGTGCATTCCTCTCCCAACGCGCCATCCTGCCCCATCAGGAAAACACCCGCGATAACGAAGGCGAAACCAAAGACCTTGTCACACGCATCTACAACTCCGTCACAGACGGCATGGATGACTTCCTCGGCAACTTCGGCGTCCTAGACCAACTATCTACCGCAGGCCAGAACCTCATCTCAGCCGCCACCCAGCAATCCACCACCATCACAGCCCCAGAATCTAGCCTTGCACCTGAAGACGCTGTCACAGCCGCCGAAGCCGAAGCAGAACTGAATGCCTTCGAAGACCGCGAGGTCGAGCCATTCATTAAGCCCATCTGCGATCTCTTCCTTGAGGCCTTCGAGCTGAACCGTGGCAACAACTGGCTGCGCGGCCGTGCCGTCGTCGTCGTTCTGCACCAGCTCCTCGGCGGAACAATAGAGCGCAAGGTCCGCGACGGAGCGCGCGGCCTGGTACAGGATGACTCGCTTCTCAAGTACCTTACTCTCGCTCGGGATACACTCTGGCCCGGCGGTGTTCTCCGCAAAGTCCCCCCTCGTTCGGCTGCCGACCGTCTCAATAGTCGTGCCGAGGCCACTGTGGTCTTGGCTACCCTTATCCCAGATCTGGCGGGTAATGTGGTCGGTAGAGCCAATGCGCAGGCTGCTGCGCGTCGCATCTTTGCTACGCTCAATAACCAGCATCTTAATAACCATCTTGTTTTTACGATTCTCGATGAGATCGTCTTGGTTCTCTTTGGGAGTTCGGGCCGTTCTCGGTGAGAAGTGGATATGATGGAGTCTTGTATCATTTCATATCTCATCTCGGATGCAAGGGCGTTTTATGATCACCATGTTCTATCAGCGAACCAATTACAAGCACTGTATATACTTACATTTCTACGCAGTACATAACTAATACACACTGCATTTGTCAATTCAAATAATCCCGCCAAGATAAAATGACCCACCACGTGTGCAAAGTACATGTGATGAAGCTCAATTGTGCCCAACCAGACAACAAAGAGCAGGATATCAACGGCGTAGCTCCCCCTTATTTATTACTATTACATTCTTCTTCCCATTCCTCATCTTCCTAGCTTCCTCCTTAACCCCAATGGCCCCTCGCCCAACCCCACCCCAAATCCACGCCCTCTCCATCCCCGAAATCTTCGAACTAATCCTCCTGAACCTGGACACCCGCACCCTCCTCACAAAAGCAACCCGAATCTGCCACACCTGGTCCCACTTCATCAATTCCTCCCCAGCCCTCCAATGGGCCCTATTCTTCCGCCCCCTCGACAATGCACTGAACAAATCAAAGATCCAAAACCCCCTACTAGCAGCGACCTTCCCATCAATCTTCCACCAGTATGGAAACACTAAAACTAACGACACCGACATAAATGGAAACCCCACTCCCAGGGTCACATTCACCACCTTCGACATGGTCAAGAACCCGCACAAATGGGACGCATACATCAGACCAGAAGCCAGCTGGCGTCGTATGCTGGTCCAGCAGCCACCCGTGTATACGTTATCACTGCTAAGGAGTAATGTCGGACATGGCGGACAGTATTTGTATATTTATGAGGCGTTGGTGAGTTGTCTGTTTATTTACATAATATATACATATAGTTATCTATCTACATGTACAGAATGTATTCTTCTATTCTTTTATATTTTTTTCAACAAATATCCCCGTGTATCAATACTTCCGGATCATCTCCTGAAAAGAACCATAGCTGACATTCGTAATTACCCCAAGGATGACCTAAAAGAGCCAGGTGGTGGCCTGCGAATGGATATTGTCTTTGAAGCACTGGTTTTCGCTGAGAGGTGGGATCAAGATCAATACTCTGCGACGCAGATGGTCTGGGGTCGGGAATACCTCCCTAAACGGGTTCGTGGGGACATGGAGCTTTTTGGTGTCCAGAATCTGGAGCTAGTGTTTTATACTAGTTTAGGAGAGGCACCTAGGGGGAGAAATTATTATTCGGCGAGTTTGGAGGAATATGATGTTGCGGAATGTGAGGTTGTGAAGAATGTTAGAGCGGCGTATACTTCATTGGGCATGGAGCCGAAGTACTCTGATAAGGCTTTTTTGAGGGGTCGGAAGTCTTGGGGGTCACTCTGGGATTAGGATGATACTCCAACATACAGCATCTATATCAATTGGGGGGAAAGCCCTTAAGAATTATTTGATTTGATCTCCACTAGGCGTAAGGAGTGAACGGCACATACCGGTCCACCCAGGGTAGATACATAAGCCGGGCTAGACAGAAAAGACTGACAAGATAAAACCAAAATATGAAATCTCCCTCGCGCCGTCTTAATTCTTGTTTCTACATTGGAAACGCAGTGAACATAGAGCAGCCGAACAGGACTAGAAAAGCAAAAGATAAAAAAGTCAAATCACGTTCTGCAGATTGAGGGGAGTCAATAGTCCCCGGTAAGAACATCCATTATGATGATTGATAAGTGAAGGAATAAGGGTAGAAGAAAGTGGAGAGGGCATCCGGGGACTTGTGTCTGTATTCATGTTTGTCATGAAACACCCTAGTTGATGGGCTGGTGCCAATCTATGCCTCTTCCTTGGCCTTTTTCTTGGACTTTTTGCTTGGCTGTGGTGCACCCTCTTTTTTCTGGTGCACGACCAGTCGGGTCCAGCACTCTTCTTTGTCCCACTCGAAGCCAGCGAGGTAGGGTTTGTCAAGTTCGTCATCCGCCTAGCGGTGTCACGTCAGTCATCATGGAATTTCTGCAGGCTGTATAGAATATTGAACCACTGACCTTCTTCTTGAACTGTTTGTAGATGGCGTCTAATGCGTCCTTGATTGTGACGCCCTTGAGATTCCGAGCGGTGACCTCGAGGCCGAGGGGGAAGTGTAGGTCGATCTTCTTGACCGGTGGGGTGACGAGGAGCATTTTGAGGATGTCTTTGTCCTCAATGGTTGAGGGGGAGGTGTTGAGTTTCCTGGGTAGAGGTCAGTGGGATTGATCTATGTGAGAGGAACTGAGATCAGATACTGACCACCCAGTCTTTTGTGTCTCAATTGGGAGTGTGATGTCCATCTTTTGCTCTTCTAGGGGTGATATCAGTATAGGTTCGTTCACTGAGATTGGTGAGTACTGACCAAGATCCTTGATGTTCCAGACACCTTGTGCCGTTGAGGAGTGCCGCTTGTGCGTCTTGGTCTTGACCTCCTTCTCAATGGGCTCAGGCTTGCCATCGGATATATCCAGGCCAGCGATGGCAGAATCAACTTTGGTTAAAGGAACAGACATGGTTGCAGAGTGTGAGCAAGTTGGAAATGGGAAAGAAGATGGGATGGTAGAATATACTCTCAGATGAATCAGGAGATGAAGAGATCAGGAGAAGATCAGGAGATGAAGAAGGAGCGAGAGAGAGGGGAAATAGAGCAGGTGACCAAGGTTGAGGGGGTACAATGTCATGGATGTCATGTTACTTTCATGTTTGCTATACTACATGGTATCCCTTTATTATATTACTCTGAACATCTAACTAGTTTAACTCTTTACCTATTAACTATTCACTCTTTAACCACCAACTCTTTAGCTATCAAAACTCTTACCTATCTTCTTCATATCCCCAAACTATCCCATATAAATAAATACCCGGCCTCCCCCGGAAATCATACAACTGACATCAACATTGTCAATCATAGCCAATCTTAGTGCTGCACCCCGCATTTATCTCCACTTATTTTTACGGCAGATCACTCTTGGCTATAATTATCTTTAATTACTAAGTATTCTAGTATAGTTATAAGTTAACTAACTAGTTATCATTAATCGTATGACCAATCATGTCTCCTGATTTTACCTGGTTTTTACCTGGTTTACCTAGTTTTACTTGTTCTTAACCTGATTACACTGGTCATACCACTCTCTCCTCCCTACTTCATAACTATCAGCCACATACTTTCTATCAAATCACATCCTCGCCTCATCCTGCATATGAAACTGACCACTCCAGGCCATTCGTACATACCGCAATTTTGGGAGTTCGTATTGCCATAGCCCAGTACCCAGCAATGTTTCCTGTTCTTAGTATCTTTCTTGCTCTTCACATGTTTATGGCATTATTAATTGGCTTTTTTCTCCTCACATTGATACGAATATATCTTAGCGACATCAAATGTCCTATAAAACTAGACTCGATTTGCTACATACTAGAAAATGTCTGGATTCAATAGTTAAACATAAATAGGTGGTACGTATGGTCCCTCAGGATATTGAAACACATCATCCAAGCTCAACAATATCCTAGGATAGAGAGATATAAAAGCACGATTCAACCCTGTTAACGAGCTCAAATTCACATTCATAACCTGACTAGAATATTCGCCTAGAAAACAAGAGCATATAAAAATATTGGGCCAACCGCCCACTTATGACTCGGTATAATGGCATGGTGGCCAAGAAAGCGAAGATCGAATCGACTCTTTTTTTTTGGTTTTTGTTTTTTTCTTTTTTTTTACAAGTGTTATACTCTCTGAATGACTCAAACATAAACATTGAGTAAAGAGTTATCCAGTAAAATCGTCATCGAAATTATTTCCAAACGGATAACTACAGTCCGGCAATGCTGCCTATTAGGCAAATGCTTTCGTGGCATCCCAGGACGGCTACATGAGAATAGCTCTGCCAGTAAAATGAGCATATATATAAAGATCAAGCATGCCAAAGTGATTTCAATTAGAATACAAATATCGAAAGAATAGAAAACTAAGCAGAATAGCCTACAAGTTCGAGTGAAGTATAAAGATCACCTAAAGGCGGTGAGTTATATTTTCTGCCGGTATCGCGCATCGCTTTCTGTCAAGCTACAATTATCATCGCCTTCTCTGTCTCTTCCCTCCTCCATTGAGCTCGACTTTCTTTCTCTCCCCTGCATGACTCTTCGGCTGTGAATCCAGCTTTTTCTTTGTTTCTGTTTCCATTCTTTTATTGCCTCGATACCCTATCCCCATATTACACCTCTCGCGCCCTTTCAAATGTCACTTTTCGGTGCCGGCGCGACTACGGCCGCGGCGGGCTCGACAAACACCACCGGCGACATTTCCAAGGACGTCGCCCTCAACACTCCCCCCGAGGATGGCATCTCGGATCTTCGCTTTTCGCCTACCAGCGAACACCTAGCTGTGTCCTCGTGGGATAAGAAAGTCCGCATCTACGAAATCAACGACCAGGGACAAAGTGAAGGAAAGGCGCTCTTCGAGCACGAAGCTCCAGTTCTGAACTGCTGCTGGTCTCCAGTAAGCTCACACCCCCTCTCACCCACCCCCCACATATCTCCCCTCCACAACCCAAGTCCAATCCTATGCACAGAAACTAACATCATCTTTTTTTTTCCTCCTTTGTAGGATGGAACCAAGGTCGTCGGTGCCGGTGCCGACAAGGCAGCCCGCATGATCGATCTCGCCTCAGGCACGACAACGCAAGTTGCCGCTCACGATGCCCCCATCCGAAGCTGCCATATGATCCCCAATCCCTCCGTGGGCGGAACTCCACTCCTGATCACCGGTTCGTGGGACAAGACAGTCAAATACTGGGATCTGCGCCAGTCGACCGCAATCGCCTCCGTCGAGTGCCAGGAGCGTGTCTACACCATGGACGTCAAGAACAAGCTGCTCGTTATCGGAACCGCAGACCGCTACATCAATATCATCAACCTCGACCAGCCAACAAAGTTCTACAAGACCATGCAATCACCCCTCAAGTGGCAGACGCGGGTAGTCAGCTGCTTTTCCGATGCCTCGGGCTTCGCTGTCGGCTCTGTCGAGGGTCGCTGTGCTATCCAGTACGTCGAGGAGAAGGATTCCGCCTCCAACTTCTCCTTCAAGTGCCACCGTGAAAACCCGCCCGCAAACCGCGATGTCTGCAATATCTACTCCGTTAACTCTATCACTTTCCACCCCATTCACGGTACCTTCAGCACTGCCGGTGCAGATGGTACTTTCCACTTCTGGGATAAGGACGCGAAGCATCGTCTCAAGGGTTACCCCGCTGTCGGAGGCCCTATCACTGCTAGCGCTTTCAACCGTACTGGAAATATCTTCGCTTACTCGGTCAGCTACGACTGGAGCAAGGGTTACTCCGCCAATACCCAACAGTCTCCTAACAAGGTCATGCTGCACCCTATTGGGCCTGATGAGACAAAGCCCAGACCGAGCACGCGCAAGCGTTAATTTGGGCCTGAGCTTTTTCTTTCTTTTTTGCGTGGGATGGAGGGATTTTTTTCGCTCAATTTCGTTTCCCATCGCTACAATGAGCATGTAATGAAACTTTTACCATACCGGCGTGTTTTGATTAAGTGCAAATGGGATTTTTGCTAGTCTAGCTATTTTCTTTCCTGGAAGGATCTGTTAGGACCTTATAGATGTAGTTTCAATATATATATGTAGATTTTAAAGCTAAGCAGGATCAAGTAGACGGGGTATACAGGATCAAGATCATACTCTTCTATCAGACTAACAAAAACAAAACACCTTCATTGTATCCATGCGTATGATAGCTATAAAAAGGGAAAATTCCCCAAGATCAGATTTCAATATGCCCAGAAGATGATCCCCTGTTCATGAATGCACAACATCTCTCATACAGAATCATAAAAAGAAAGTCCCACAACACGCCTTGCATGTATTTTCTCATCTAGATCATCCTATTGTTAAAGACCTGACAATCTAAGAAGTAGGCAGAGTAACCTGCGCCACACCATCAGCAATCTTCTCAACAGCCTCATCATTCTTGCCCTCAGTGGTAACAGAGACCTTCTCGGCACCACCCTTAGCAGACCCCTCAACACCACCTTCGGGGGCACCAGCACGGCCCTTCTCCTTCTTCTCCTTCTTCTTAGCCTTAGCAGCAGCCTTCTTCGCAGCAGCCTTGGCAGCATCCTCCTCCTTCTTCTTGCGGTCCGCCTGCGAGCCGCCGAACATCTCACGCCACTCATCTGCCTTCTTAGGATCAATACGCGAGAACAGGTAAGCTGGCTTGCCAATCTTGTGGCCCGCCTTCAGCGAAGTAGGCTTCCAGCCAGACTCGATCTCTTCCAAGCTGGGGATGTTCAGGAAGGGAGCGTTCAGTTGCTCAAGAATCGACTTCGAGGTTGCTGGCATGTAGGGCGAGAACACGCTGGACAGCAGGTGGATCAGGTTGAGCACTGTGCCGACGACGGCAGCGGCGCGCTCGGGCTCGTTGGCAATCAGGGCATTGTCGAGACGGTTCGCTTGGATCAGTCCGTTGCCTGCCTCGGCGATGCGCATGGCGGTCTGCACTCCGGCGCGCAGGTGTGCGCCTTCCAGATCCTCGTGGTACTGGCGCAGATGCTCGGTGACTTCCTCGAGGAATGGGTTGAAGGTCTCTGGCACGGTGAATTCCGGAATGACGGAGCCGTAGGAGGCGACGACGAGCTTGATGACACGGTTGACGAGGTTGCCCAGCTTGGCGAGGAGCTCGCCGTTGTTGCTGTCCACGAAGGGACCCCACTCGAATTGGGTATCGCCGGTCTCGGGGCGGTTCTTCAGCAGGAAGTAGCGCCATACATCAGCAGAAACGCCGGTTTCACGGGCGTTCGTGCCGAACACACCCACGCCGCGCGACTTGCTGAACTTGCCGCCTTCGTAGTTGAGGTACTCGGTGGTGCTCAGGTGGTGCAGCATGGTCCACTTATCTCCCGTGGCGATCTGGGTGCCGGGGAAGATCACGCTGTGGAAGGGCACGTTGTCCTTGCCCAGGAACTGCCACAACTGCACGTCCTCCGGGTTGCGCCACCACTTCTCCCATTCGTCTGTGTAGTTGGCTGTGATCGAGGGGTAGCCGATGCAAGCCTCGAACCACACGTAGAGAACCTTGTTCTCGTATCCCTCCAGCGGGACGGGAACACCCCACTTCAGGTCTCGGGTGATACCACGCTCCTTCAAGCCCTCCTTCAACCAGGACTCAGTGATAACGCGCGAGTTTCTAGGCCAGTTGCCCTTCTCAATAGCGGGGTGGACCCATTTCTCGATCTCCGGTTGGAGCTTGTCGAGCATGATGTGGATGTGTTTCGTCTCGCGGCGGACGGGGGAAGCGCCATCGAGCTTGCAGCGGGGGTTGATGAGATCAAAGGGATCGAGGAGGTGACCGCACTTGTCGCACTGGTCTCCGCGGGCATCGTCGTAGTGGCAGCGGGGGCATTCGCCCTCCACGAAGCGATCAGCCAGGAATGAGCCGTGCTGCTCGCAGAAGGGCTGTTCGGCGGTGCGCTCGCTAAGGAAGCCGTTCTCGTGCAGGCGCTTGAAGATCGACTGCGAGATCTCGGTGTGCTTCTGTGTGGGTGTGCGACCGAAGTGGTCGAAGCCGATGTTGAACCATTCGTACACATCTTGGTGGATCTTGTTGTACTTGGAGCACAGATCCTCCGGCGACATCTTCTCCTCAAGCGCCTTGGTCTCGGTTGCGGTTCCATATTCGTCTGTACCGCAGATGTAGAGTGTGCGTCGGCCACAGGCCTTGTGGTATCTATTGAGTGACCGTCAGCTTCATGGCGCAATGCTATATTTTGTGTGGGGTTGAGTCATACCGAGCAAATACATCGGCACTCAGCACGGAGCCAACTACGTTGCCCAGATGGGGAACATTGTTCACGTAGGGCAAAGCGCTCGTCACGAGGATATTGCGCTCGCCAGCTTTAGGCAAGATAGGGTCCGTCATCTTGCGTTGTTGAAGGAAAGAACGTCTTTGTTAGAGGGGCAAGGCGGGAAAATCAGAAAGTGGGCATCTCGTCACATGCCCCGCGGATATCAAAAAAAAAAAAAACGTTATCAATTGAACTCTCCACTTTTGACTCATATCTATATCTATTATATTCATTATGGAACACAATCTTTTGGACAGTCTCCTTGATCTGGAGGAGCAATTCTACAATGAGGGATATGCGCTGGGCACCGCCGATGGAGCTGCTACTGGATATACCGAAGGCAGCGTTTTCGCCGTTGAGAAAGGCTACGAGAAGTTTGTCGAGATGGGACGCTTGTATGGCAAGGCATTAGTTTGGGCGCAAAGACTCGACATGAAATCGTCCGAAGGTGCCGCGTCGCAGACGGATAGCACAACGGATACTCTTTCTCTTGATCCATCTATCTGCAAAGACATGCCCAGCCTCCCACCACACAGCACTCGACTGGCCAGGAATCTCCAGACGCTTCTTGAACTTGTCGATCCGGCTACGCTGGATATGAGCAATACGGAGGAAGCTGTCAATGACGTGGACGAGCGTCTCAAAGGCGCCGCTACGAAGGCGAAGCTCATCCAACGGGCAATGGGCGAGCGCGAGGATCCGGCCACTCAGGCTGAACCTAGGGACGTGTCGGCTTCTGGAGATGGTACTGGAAGCATCGAAGATATCAGTGCATTGAATATCCGTCACTGAGGGCTTGGTCATGCTTCACCAAATCGGTAGTCATACCAGACGCTCGACTCCCGGACTCTACCGATGCCATCGGATTAGAGCGCAAAACCCAACTCCTTCGTTAGGAATAAAGCACTCGCTTCGGTCAACACGTGGAAAGGCTCTCCAATATCTGGAATGCTATTCCAAAAAATCTGAGAAAGGTTATTTGATCGCAATCATTCATTCGAGGCTCATTCCCCCAGGCTTGGCTCTACACCCTCCGAATACCAAGGCTTCACGCTCGTTTGCCACTGAGAAACAACAATTGGGCTTAATTGGCGGTCCGAATTTGACACACCATATATATTAAGACTTGTCTACTATATCTTGGACACCAAAGTAGAAACCCCCCAAAGAGCCTTGCTGGGCGTTCTACTGACGACAGACATTTGTGGTGTCCAGTGCTTTCATGCAAGACCGGATTGATTTTCTACAATATCTGAAGATCTACAAAGTAGAGTTGCAAAGGAAAAAAGTCATGTTGAAATAAATCATAATTCCCTTTGGAAGTCATAATATAAAATATTTCATCAAAAATCCAACTTTTTCTTCGAGAAATTCAGTTATTATCAATTCACAAAAACTATAGCTCAAGGCTGCGCTCAGCCATAGCCATGGCACCCTCTCTCGTCTTGTGGCCACCAATGAACCCACTAGCGTGAACAAAGACCGCACCCTCGGGGATCTTGCTCTGGCCATTCTTCTCAGCCTCCGCAGCCATAACACCATCAAGGTCCTGGTCACGGACACCGCGCCACGCCTCAGGCAGAGGCTTGCGAGACTCAAAGCTGCTCTCGGAGACGGAAACGCACTGCACGCGCCACTTGGCTCCCTCAGTAGCGCTCTCGGGGTACAGAACATAGTAAGTCTCGGTGGCGGGGTCAATCTCCTTGGATCCGGAAGCCTCAGCCTCGAAGTTGTACAGGTGCTCCTTCCAAGGCACGCCGCCCTGGGGAAGGACGATGATGCGGCCGGAGGGGTGGATGTCCTTGCGCGAAGCGTAAGCGGAGCCGACAGTGGTGCGGGCAGGCATCCAGGACGTGCAGGCGTGGTGCATCTTGCGCGCGAACGCGTTGCCGATGAGGGTGCTGGCGCGTCCGAAGAGGCTGTCCTCGTCTTGGGGCTCGCCGGGAGGGCTGGTGGGGTCTGGGTTGTTCATGTCGCCGACCATTGAGGCGAGCGTGATGCCGCCGTTCTTGAAGCGCTTCTCGACTCCGGCGGCGGCAAGCGCGGCCTGGTCGTAGGCGGAGATACCGTTGTCGTTGGCGTCAATCGCTTCGATGAAGTCTGTGTACAGCTTCTCGTACAGCAGGTCTACGTCAGGGTGCTCAATGGGCAGAGACAGCTTCTGGGCGATGATTGCCTTGCCGAAGTGCATGTACACCAGGCCGGCGGAGGAGAGCTTAGTGGCGTGCTGGGGGAAGGTTGTTGAGAAGGTGCGCTGGTGGTGATCATAACGGTGGATGGCGGGGTCGTACACGCCGCCCACGTCGACGACGGTGTGGCATTTCTCGAGCTCGGCTGGGTCGCGTGTGCGGACAAGAGGGGAGGAGGCGTATGTGGGGAGCAGGCGGAGGAGATAAACAGCCAGGGCCTCGTCGGCGTGGAAGTGACCGCTGTTTTGGTCAGTATATGAACAGATTGAGCTAGATGAGTAGCAATTTCAGAACTTTATACTCACTTGTGTGTCCCGATCAAGGGGGACGATGTCTTGAGCTTCTTTGCAACGTTTTCAGCCATTTTGAAGTAGTTATTGAATCTAAGCATTCAAAAATGAAAGGGAATGGTCTAAAGGGTCTTCACGTATTAATTGCTGCGCTCTGGCTGGCTGAGATTCTTATCTGCGTTTCTATATCGGGTTATCAGGGCTTGATAGTAGGGCTGGAATCTAGCATGTGACTATGAGCTTTATCCTCTTTAAGATCTATAAGGCTCCCTTGGAGAGAAACACAATGCATTTAGCTAGATAGAAAGCTTAGATTTGAGGAATAGCTGTGTAAGGGGAATATAATTAGCTACGGACTAGAAAGTCTGAAGGATGAACAGCATCAATATTACTTCCAAGGTTGTAAAATATATATATTTAGTAGTATAAACACATTGCAACTCCTTCTATGCACAAACCCCTAGTATAGACCCATTGCTCATCTTCAAAGTCCATATACTATTATCCATTGGCAGAGTTATCAAAAAGCTCTTTCTTACCTAGCAACACTTGAAAATGACCGGAGTCTCTATTGCTATCTTGTTGTTGACATGTGGAGTAAACACACGTGGATACCATTGTTTTTGACAGCAATCATACTTACATATGCAAGACTTTATAACAGCATGAGCCTATCTTGCTAGCCAAAATGCCCTATAAAAAGTGGCTCTACCAAGACCAAAAAGGGGTACTAAGGGCCGCTTTAACATATCTTTGTTTTCTGTTTGTTGCTAACAAGCATAGTGTTATAGATAAATCTAGATTTTAGCCCAAAAAAAATCAAACAGTAAACTACATGTATATCTGGTGTATAGCTCTATTCGCTTTACTGACAGGCCTTCTATATAGAAAGTTGAGTATGTCAACATAGTGGATAATTGATTCGGCATTCTTCTATGTAACGCACGCGATGGTACATAATAAGTAATAATACTAAGATCGGGCCGAGAAAAGATAAGGAAATATAGTAGTCTTTTTTTCCCTTTATATTAAATGGAGACCTTTAGCTTGTTTCTAATGCATTAGTTTCTGTTGTTTCTGGGCCTAGTATAAGCCTAGGTAGAAAATGGTGCTCCGACCGCCAGTCTAGTTGTAACACTTATTAAAAAGAGACTTCCACTTCTTTTTTTATTGAAAATCCTCTTTCTTGTATATTTGGCTGTTTTAGTATTTTGTTTATTTTGTTGTTTTATTATATCTATTTTAGATATTTGGCCTTGCTTTTCGGAGGTTTCTGAGTATTTCTCTTCTCTGACCCACGTGAAGTTGTGATAAGCTCGAAGAAAAAAAGAAAACAGTGTGTTTCTCCCCCTCCTTAACTTTTTCTCTCCTCATCCAGCTCTAAACACGACATTTGCCTCAGATATACCCGCCCAGTCGTACTATTCTCTCGATTCTCTACGTACCGCGCACCCCCCCTTCGGCGGTCCGATGTGGCTCTTTCGAGTCTTTTCGTCGGCCTTGTTCCTCGCCGTCACCGTCTCGTCCATCCCACTAGCTTTCGATGTGGGCGGCAAGACATGTGGCCTGGCCTTCTCGCTGTCCCTAGCGGCCTATTACTTCCTGGTATCCTTGTTGAAGGTCACCACCCCTGAACGATCGTGGTTCCGTTCCTCCATTATTGCCGTTCTCCGCTTCTCGCAATGGGCCGTCATCTTGGTGCTTCTGATTTGGTCGCTGAATCGATTCTCGGTTGATGCTGAGAGTGCAGGATGGGTGGAACGTACTTTCAACGGCAAGAGGGCGCAGGATTCTTCTATCCAGGAATGGCTCTTTGGTCGCGACGGCCTGGTGGAAACTGTGAGCCTCGGCAACTGGGATAGGCTTCTGAGATGGTCTACCCCGGTCTTCCAGCTGGCAGAGGGATTCTGCAGTTTGCTGGTGATTCAGGCTGCTGGGCAAATTACCCGCTGGCTCGTCAACCGAGGTGGACGCAGCGATAGCTGGATGGTGTGTTTTGATCTCCCATGGGGTGTCGCAATGAAAACTAACCCTTGTTTTAGATTGGCCTCTTGGTCTTGTCCGCTACGATTATCTCCAGCTCTGTTTACTTCCTCTGGCGTGTTCTGCAATTCCCCGAAATCTCCAACGTCGATGCCGCCCTGATTGGAGTCTCTGTCACATGCGCCGTCATTTTGTGTGCCTGGGGTATTGGAAGTGGTCGCGGTAACCCGGTCGAAAGCTCCCTCCTCTTCGCCTACGTCGTACTCTGCATCTACCAGATCTTCACGGACTACCAGCCATCACACCCCATGGAACAAATACCCTCGCCCTCGCAGGTCGGAGACTTCCCTCCGCTGCCTCCCATCCTCATGGCGTCGTACACAACTCTGATGCACGCACTGTCTACTCTACCGTCAATTATTCATGCAGGCTTCAACGTCATTACCGCCGTTTTCAGCGCTGTCACACCCTCCGTCCTCATCTCGCTCGCGTACCGCTTGCTTGTACTGTATGCGTCGACGCGCATTATCCCAGCTGTCCGCGAGTCTGGCGCACGTGCGCTTTCCCAAGAGGCTTCTATTGATGATGCCGACGCAGCAGGCCAAGTGCTGGGCTTCCTGAGCTACTTTGCCCCAAGCATTCTCATTGCTGTTTACACCAGTCTCCTCATGCAGCACTTCGCATCGACATCACAAGCAATGGGCGGCAGCGGTGAATGGTGGAGCAGCCATGGTAACGGCGGTGGTAACCCGTGGCGGTGGATTAATCTTGCTTGCACAATATCCCTATATGCGGTTGAGCTATGGCTCGGGGAAACCAACGATCTCGACAACGGAGTGGCAGGTCACTGGAAAACCGACTGAATGACGTCAAGTCAACAAGCCTGCGCTTTCCTTCTCATCATGTCTTCTAAAACAGCGCGGCAGAAATCTGAAGGCCAATCGAATCGGCCTTGTTGCCTCCTTCGCTGCGGTATATTGCTGCATGAGCCCAGTTGGCCACAATCCTATCAAGTGACCTAGCTCGCAGCAAACTTGGCAACGCAAACGCCACTCAGCGGCGATCCGTCTTGGAATTTAGCCAATCGCCTCCCACCTTTCCCACGGGTACGGTGGAGCGAGTGCTTCAGAATAGTTTTGATCGCCCTGACGCCATATATCACCGGTCTCGCTTTTGATTGGACTTCGTTTCGCGTCACTCCCGCACCTGCTCTTCCTTACTTCCTTGCCAAGCATACCTTTCTCGATTGCTATATGGGTGTATATCGTTGTCTCATATCTCGAGGCAAACAGCACTCCGTTCAATATGCCAGTCCCCTTCTCATGACTCGATGATACCAGATAAACCTGTTCCTTGTTCCTCTTTCCCCTCTATTTGTCCTCCATATCTACTCTGAATTACCACTTTTTATCCAGTTCGGCACTTATACCCTCTGCTGTCTTGCTCAACCTTCCTATTCACAGATTCCTGGTTTCTATTTTGCTCACCCTCGGTCTAATCTTACTCCATCCATAACACACAGTTCAATGGTTACACTTGACGCCACTACTTGTATATAGGATACCTGGTTCTTTCTTCTCTTGTATTTCTTGCCAGGCGCTGGGTGGGGTTTAATAGATATTCGTTTCTTTCTTTCTTGATTTGATTCAAATATTATAGAGCTTGGCAGTTGTAGTCTTATAGAAAACTATTGATTCAATCTTTGATGCTATCTAAGCCAGGCAGCTATCCCCATTTATTCTAGCTTTGCTGTGTTAGGTGTTCTACCTAGTGTCAGACCATTTATCTTTATTATTCTTATCCGATGGCTTTTTTGGATGTATTTTTATATGTTCCCCCTCTTCCTAATGTTCTAGTTCTAGTTAACTAAAAAGTAAAAAAATCAAGTCAAAATGTGGAATATGTATGGTGAGAAGCTCAATTCCTTCTATCATCTTTTTCTATATATAGTATACAAGAATAGCGCGCTCATCCCCTCAATCCTTCACAATATGATCTAGCTTGCTCGATCTAGAGTCTGAACTGCCGTAGTAACGCCTGCCTACTATATGGGTGGGACATTGCCACTGGGACGTATAGCATTATAAGAGAGGGAAAAAGCGCTATATAAAACAAGTAAAATGACTTTTCCATATAACCTTCGAACGAATTGAACAGTATAGCACGGGAGAAGTCACAACACAACAGGATCAGAATCACAGACCGGTTCCATGTGTATATAACCATGACAGCCAAATAGGAATGCAGGTAGACATAAAGTAGACAAATTATCGCGAGTGTGGAAGCCGAAAACGGACACAAACCATCACAGACAGGGGCCTTGTCATATGAACTAGATATGGTCAAGGCGAATAATAGAAAAAAGAGGAAAAAATTGAATGCCACAGCTGATAAGTTGATGGTAAATGGTGATAATTGAAGAAAAAAGAAAGAAAGCCAATGCACTGAAGAGCGAAGCAGTGCTCGATGGACAATATCACTCTCTAAAGAGAAACAAGCTGCCCATATCAATGACACAACCACAGTCCAAGCACTAACAACCTCTACTCCCACTCTCGCCCTGTCCGGCAGTGCACTGTTATCCCATCCCATTCCCCCAATTCACAAAACTCATTCAAAGAAAATAAAACCAATAGAGATAAAGAAATAAGAAGAAATTCCCATAGCGCCAGGCTTTTGAAAGTGAAATCACAGACCCCCTTCAAAAGATATGCATGCAACGATCGCCCTCGTCAGAACAGCCACAGCCACCCAGTGTAGTGCAAGATAAGTGTTATGGCCTACCGACGGATAGGAACACCTTCTCTCGCAGGAGGGGGACTAACACTAAGCTCCTGCTCACTCTGCACTGATGAGGAGGCCAGACCAGAGCCTGTCTCACCCTCACTGACACTGGTACCACGGTGTAGGAAGCTACCCCCATCCTTGATCGGGCTGCGGCTTTGGAACCCGACCGAGCCAGGGTGTCCGCTGATGCTACCGGGGATCTGCTGGCCGCCCTGTGAGCTGACACTGCCGTTGTTGGCGGAGTTGTTGGCGCCCGGTGAGGTTGAGGTTAGGTGCGGGATGTTCTCCGGCACTGGGTGGCGGGACCCGATATTGGTGACGCCTACGTCGGAGGCTTTGCCGGCTTTGCTGAGGGCGTAGTCGCCTGAATCGAAGTATTTGCGTTCCTGTAAGAGATTAATTGTTAGGATGGTGTTTTTGGGCGGGGTTGTGTTGGTGCTTGGCTTACTTTAAGCTTGTTCTGAAGGACGTCTTTCTTGGTGGGCATCTTGCCGTAGAGGCGCAGCAGGCGCTGCTCCTCTGGGCTCAACGACTGGGGATTTGTTAGTTATGATATGATATAACTGTGGGAGTACTTACGTTGATATCCACTTTGTTCTGCTGGTGGGGATTCATGATGGAGGTTTTGGAAGAAAGTTGAAGTTGAAGTTGAAGTTGGAGTTGGTGTTGGAGGGGGAATTGAAGCGGGAAAGATAAGGCGGGGAGAAGTGTGACCGGGAGAGGAAGAGACGGGTTGAGTTGGAATAAATAAAAAAATAAGAGGAATAAAGTAAGAGAATAATAAATAATAGACAGTAACCAGTGCTCTGTAACTAATAGTCAGACTAGCTTACTATATTAAATAAATCCAGACCGAATATGCCCACTATCGGGCCATATACATGACGTTCTGGGATTCTACATATTAAAACGTTGGATAGTTGCGTAGTATTTCTTATATATTTTTTAAAAATTATATTTGATTATAATGCAAGTATTCTCTTTCTTCTATTCTTTTCTATAGGGAATATAATATAAATCCGTGGCATATATACCATGCGTAAGGTCACATATATAACCCTGGCAATCCATTAAGTATTTAACAACCTTCTACAGTCATCCCAAGGACTTCCCATCTTTCATCCTAAGGCTCATTGTCATATAAATAGTATAATTGGTTAAACAAATCAATTGTCCATAACCTCGTCACCTGCCCACAGTGGAACCGAACCTTGAACTTCTTCATTTCTTCATTTTTCCCGCTTCTGTGACGTCTCTCTCACAACACCCACCATGACTCAACCAACCTTCGTAGTCGAACATTTGGATCCCGAGTTGGGCCCATGGTCCACACTCGAATATGCCTGTATTGCGCGTGAATCCCACGACCGCGGGGCAAGATTCATGCTCAGCTCTGTGCCCGCGGAGCTGCAGATGCCCGCAGATCTCGCCGCCACCAGAGGTCTCGAGGTCGAGCAGCGTAGTGTCGAGGAGATCTTCGCCGACCGCAAGGATAAGGTCTGCTTGTTGGACCCTTCCGCTCAGGTCGAATTGAGTCCCGAGGATGGTGATATCTTTGAGGTCTTCTTGTTCGGTGGTATTCTGGGTATGGAATTTTTTTACCCCGCAATATTTACGGATTGAATTCGGACTGACCTTTTTTGACTGCATCTGCAGGCGACGATCCGCCTAGAGGTATGTACTACCTGTTTTGTCCATGCACTTCGGCAAGAGACTGATGACTTTGTAGATCGCACCTCGGAATTGAGGAAGAAGGGGTATGTCGGCCGCCGATTGGGGCCTAAGCAGATGACTACCGATACTGCTGTGCGAGTTACTCGTTTGGTTGTTCACGAGAAAAGTGAGTGCAATATAATCTAATATATGTGCTGTACGCTGATTCTGCTAGTACCCCTCGAGGACATTGAATATGTCGACTACCCGGAATTGGTCATCAATGAGCACGAGCGCACCGAGATGCCTTTCCGCTATGTCAAGGGTGCCAATGAGGAACCCATCATGCCCGATGTAAGACTATTGGATTGCCAGAGAGAAACAAGAAGCTAACAGTCCAGGGAATGGTGGAACTTATTAAGAAAGATGCCGACAAGTCTATTGATTTCTTCTAAGTTATACAATACAACATTGTACTAGCTGAAGATCACCCTCAGGGGCCAAAATTAAACGATAATAAGGTCGGCAAGTGGCTTGGAGAAGCGGCTGGGCAAGTTTCAATGATTTCACCTTTGACAATGACTCGGAGGATATAAAAAAAATATATATGGATTTACGATTTAAGTACGGAGTATATGCAAATACTGGAGTTGATATTCCAAATATATTTGAGTTACTCTAATAATTGATAAAGCAATTTATAGAAGAACAAAGAAATACATAGAATACATAGAATACCATTATTCAGGCGGTAAGTGGCAGTGCATTTCATCCAACCCACCTGTCATTACCCGTAATTACAGTATCATTCCGCAGGCTGCGCCAGCCTGGACTTCCTTTGAACTCCGTCATCCTGCTCCGTACACTCTGAACACTCTGGACACCTTAACATTTTAACACCTCGGTTCTCCTTTCTCTGGCTTTTCGCCTGTTTCTTTGTGAATACCCATTTCACTGTCTCTCCCCTATTCCGCACATCCTTCTGTGCTGTCCAACCGGTCCAAATTCGATGATCCGTTGATCCGCGCTTACGAGTCCCTCCCGGGACATCTACTCGACTTATTTACGCAAGCCTTTATTTTTATGATATCCATACTGGACTGTTGAAATGCTTTCAATGCCATTCCTCCCTTCTTCATTGAAGGGTGGTCCTGCCGCAATGTTATTATCCGCATTATCACTGTTATTGAGTCCGGCCTTGGTGTCGGCTAGTTCGGCTGCTGATTATTATGTGCACTCGTTACCTGGGGCGCCGGAAGGCCCTTTCTTGAAGATGCATGCTGGGTGAGTCCCTAGGAAGTTGGATTTTTTTGAACTTATGAGCCTTGTCTAACCCGACAACTCTAGACACATCGAGGTCGATCCCAGCATCAACGGCAACCTGTTCTTCTGGCATTTCCAGAACCGCCACATCGCGAACCGACAGCGCACTGTCATTTGGCTGAACGGTGGCCCAGGATGTAGTTCAATGGATGGCGCATTAATGGAAGTTGGGCCCTACCGACTCCAGGACGACCATACGTTGAAGTACAACGAAGGCAGGTGGGATGAGTTTGCCAATCTGCTCTTCGTCGATAATCCCGTCGGTACTGGGTTCAGTTATGCGAATACCGATAGCTATATCCATGAGCTGGATGAGATGGCTGCCCACTTCATTATCTTCTTGGAAAAGTTCTTTGAACTATTCCCCGAGTATGCGAACGATGACGTACGTTTGCCTTATCCCCTACTGCATTGCTTATATCTCTAACTTTTTTTGCAGCTATATCTCGCTGGTGAATCATATGCTGGCCAGCATATCCCATATATCGCAAAGGCTATTCAAGATCGCAACAAGGGTGTTGCAGAGAACGGAGGCACAGAGTGGCCTGTGAAGGGCTTGCTGATCGGTAACGGTTGGATCTCTCCTACAGACCAGTACCCTTCGTACTTTAAGTTCGTCGAGAGGGAAGGCCTCATCAAACCCGGCACATCCCTCTACGACAACATTAATGTACTCAACGAAGTCTGTCTCTCAAAGCTGGAGACTCCCGCCGCAAAGAACAAACTTGATTTAGGCGCGTGCGAGTTTGTCTTGGAACAATTCCTCCGTCTCACCACCGAAAATCACGAGTGTTACAACATGTACGATGTCCGTCTCAAGGACCAGGAGGTATCCTGTGGCATGAACTGGCCCCCCGACCTGAAAAAGATTGAGCCGTATCTCCAGCGACCGGACGTAGTCAAAGCCCTGAACATCAACCCAGCAAAGAAATCCGGCTGGACAGAATGCGCTGGTATGGTTCATCAGGCTTTCACCGCAAAGAACTCCATTCCCTCCGTCCACCTGCTCCCAGGCCTGATCGAATCGGGTATCAACGTCCTGCTCTTCAGTGGCGACAAAGACCTCATCTGCAACCACATCGGAACAGAGACTCTGATCCACAACATGAAATGGAAAGGTGGCACCGGCTTTGAAACCTCCCCAGGAGTCTGGGCCCCGCGCCATGACTGGACCTTCGAAGACGAGCCCGCTGGCATCTACCAATCTGCCCGTAACCTCACCTACGTGCTCTTCTACAACTCCAGTCACATGGTTCCATTTGACAACCCCCGCCAGACCCGCGACATGCTCGACCGTTTTATGAAGGTCGATATCGCCAGCATCGGCGGCCAGCCTTCTGATTCACGTATCGACGGCGAGAAGTTACCCCAGACTGCTGTTGGTGGACAGGCTAATAGCACTGCTGCCGAAGAGAGTGAGAAGGAGAGGTTGAAACAGACTAAGATACACGCGTATACCAAGTCTGGCGAGGCTGCCCTCATCGTTGTGATTATCGGTGTGACCGTTTGGGGCTTTTTCATCTGGCGTAGTCGTCGTCGTGTTCGTCGGGGCTACAAGGGCGTCTCCAATAATGGTACGTCAGATAGTACATCTATTCTCAGCAGATTCCAGAGCAAGCCTTCTGGCGCTGATGTTGAGGCTGGTGATTTCGATGAGTCTGAGCTCGACCATCTTCATTCCCCTGGCCTTGAGCGGGAGCATTACGCTGTTGGCGAAGCTAGTGATGATGACGAGCATGTTTCGCATCCGGGAACTGGTGAAAACCGCCAGTCTTCATAGGTTTTTTTTGTTTTTTGAAATGATTTTTGGCATCTTTATCAAGTAAATGGTGTTCTGGGGTCTTGATATGTGATTTTCATTATGGTATCTCGTGACTTCCTTATTAGGCAGATGATTATAAAGCTCAGTGTCATCCTATAAGTCCCTGAAAACTCTGCAACTCTCTTCCTTTCACAAAATGCTATCAAACATATATACCCAAGAGCTTCAAACCCTGGTACGATACGCTATACATGATGGCCCATCTCGCGATTCCAGATCAACTTCCTCATCTGGGAACCGACAACCCAACGAATTAAACCAGGCTAGGACTGTTGACTTTGGCACTTCCCATCAGTGGTCTCCCGATTTTAGTATGTCACTTCCGTACCTTTCACTTGAAACCTTTCTAACCACTTATCAGTACTCTGATCCAAGAAGCATGACCACATGATCCATCCATTGGCCCACAACTTGCATGACAAGCTGGGTTAAGCAGGATGTTCAGGAGGCCTCTGGGCAAGGTCATCCTAATTTATATTCTATTCGAGCATGGTACAAGCAAGCAAAAGGGGAAAATCCCAATCTTGACCGTGTAAACCCAGTCAAAACGCGTGAAAACTGGCATTCCTGCACAAAATGTCGCGGAAAACGCTGCCTATCTGACCCTAGTACACGGAAAGGTGAACGGCTTCGAGGAGGAAATGGAAACATTTATCAGGTGTGGAATCCCAACACAAAACACCGCTCTACAAGACAAGATCACTTTGCAACAAAGTTGAACACGGTGCTAGTGCCTTGCTAGATTATGATGTTATACTCTGCAAGATCTAGCAACTGCACTGGCCAGTCGATCGCTGGGAGTCTCCATTTGAATTTTACTATCGTCTGAGACGATATCCATAACCATGGTGGTGGAGTTAGGCGGAGCTGGTATGTTGTCGAATCTGTCAAATCGCGGAGAACCATTCTGACCAGTCTTTTTTAATAGAGATGATTGTTCATGGAAATATCATCTATACCATCTGTTCTATTCTCATCGCTGCCGCCGCGACCGTGCGCTCTTTTGACTTCATAATCGGTCAGTGGTGATCTTTATCCTCAACTCCCTCGCAAATGTCGAGTCCCTACGCAACTCGGACAAGGAAAAGATCAGTAATCAAAAGCTACAAGATCGGAAGAAGGTCGAGCTCTGTACTCAGTGGGTTGATAAGTGGAAGCGTTCGCCCAAGAACAGATAACCTCCCAAGAACTAAGTGGTCGAGCTACGTGGACTTGATAACAAACCGTAGCCCGGTCCTTTACAGCTGAGCAGCATAATTCATCTGCTCGGTTCTGGGGCCTTTTCATCCATTCTGCTGCTCATTCTTGATTGCTCGTCACCGATACCTAGCTCTATGTATACTCGACCTATACATTTGAGCCCACTCAACACGAGTACGCTGAGAATGGGGTGCTACATGGGTCATTGTCTCTCAGCCTCGAGACTATAGTGCGTCATCATTCCCCAGAACGTCCAAGAGGCATGATATTGTGATGGATATGCTGTAACCTGTGCGGTGATGGAGGAATGCTTATCTCACAATCACCACCTTTTTGTCTCATTCACCCGTCAGCTGCTTACCGGTCATGACAAGCAATAAAAGATCGAAAAACAGCAAGACAGCACTCTCGATGTCATTGGCGCAGACAGCCACTTATCTATTGTATCCGGCGACATCACCACACAATCGATAAGTTGCCTGGTCACTTTCATGAACACAAGATATAACCGGCTACCACGTCGGATAATCAAATGCAGGGATCCGGCCAACACTATGAACAAGCTTGGACTCATTCAGCTGTCATTATTTTGGAAAGAATCTAGATTTCGACTAGGAGGCCACCAAAGCGACCCGACCCCATAAGGAAAGCCAGCGAAGAGTACGAAAGAAATGATCGCAGCCTTCGAAGCTCGATTGGATACATACGAAAACGAAACAACCCGTGTGATCCTCCCAACCAAGATGAACAAGCTGCGTCTGCCATGGCTGTCACCAGAACGCCCTATAGTGGGCCAACCCCAGGACGTACACAGCTAGTCGCCTGACAACATCTATGATGAAACACGAGAGGCCACACACCAAGACCATCTAGTGTCCGGACAGATTTAACACATGAGTACATCATATTCCGTTCCGCCCTAGCTTTGAGTGCTTATACCATACTCCAACGACAACAAAAAGCCAACGATGACGCCGAAATTTTTCGTCTGTATGCCCATTGCCTTGAAGCCTTTCAAGATTTGCTCTCTGTTTCTTTTGATAGGGGCTTCAAAGAAATTCTCTATTCACTTTCCATACCCGAAGCTGCTCTCGTCGAATATATTTGTTAAAAGGGAGATCATCACCATTTGACCACAAACCGTTTTGTCGTTGGCACTATCTGACATTTCCCAGTCTTTTCACCTCTAATCTGGTCCATGTAACTTTTGCGTATGTATTTATGTGTATTTTGATTATCTCCGTAGCGCTATGCTTTACCATACTGCCTAGGTGACATATTGATTATATATTCTTCCTTTGTCCTCTAAATACATCAAGCATTTTGTCTATAAGCTATTCAGACCCAGCACAGGCCAATCCAAAAAATCATCGTGTCACAGTCCAAACCTTGACACTGCCATCATCAGCCGTCGAAACAAGCACTTCTTCCTCGCCCCCAGAGCCTCGATCTGCCCTCTTCGCCCAAGCAACATGATTCACCTCATAAATGCCATGAGCCCCATCCTGAACACCAACAAGCACCCACTCCGTCCGCAGCACATCACCAGACGTAGTATCCATAGCATCTGAATCAGCCTGCTGCTCCTGCGTAATAAACCGCTCTTCATAAAGCGCAATCCGCCCATCAGCACCAGTCGAAGCAACAAGCCCAGTCCGCTTACTCCACGCAACAGCATAAACAGGCAATTCATGCGCATGCGGGAGCACAGCATCCTCCTCCCAAATCTCGTCCGTCCCAGTAGGCCGGATAATACTCGGGATCCCCGTCGTCGCAGAAGACATCGGCCCATTTTGCTGCGATGCCTTCGGCTGGCGCCGCCACACACGTACGGTACGGTCATCCGAGCAGGAGACGATACGGGGGCCTGAAAGAGCTCTCTGGGACCGCCACTGATCATATAAAGCGCTCAGCTCGGACTCCGCAACAGAATCGGAGATCGGTCCGTTCCAATTCTTCGATCCCTCCCCCTCCCAGTCCAAAAACCAAACTGTCCCCTCATGTCCCTTGATACATGCTACCTGGCCCCAATCATCTAGATCCTCCCGCCAAAGCCGGATGGTATCGTCGTAGCTTGCACTGGCAAGACACTCCTCCGAAGGGTGCCACGAAACACACTTCACATCGCCGCTGTGCTCCTGCATCACAGCAACGGTCTCGAAGTTGTTATCGCCGTCGTCGAGATCCTCCCAGATCCAAATTGACTTATCGCGTGAGCATGTCGCCAGCAGCATCCCCGATGCAGACCATGATACGGACTTAACTTCGCTGTCGTGGCCGTCGAGCAGGACTGCGAAGCGCCATTCTTCTTCGTCTTCTTCGCGGTCTGCGGCGTCGGTACCGCTGGGAGCTGCCGTCGAGGTATCGGTTTGGTTCTGCGTATGACCGCTGTTCATTCCGACACCGTCTTCCTGTCCGTAATTATCCCATCGACGCCAGATGCCGACTGTTGCGTCGAAACTGCCCGTCGCTAGGACGGACTCCCCCGCCATGTGTGGCTTCCATGCTGCTGTGCGGACGGAGCGCTTGTGGCCTCCGGTGATTGTGGAGAGGAGGGTGAAGTTTGTGAGGGAGTAGACTCGGATGGTCTTGTCTGAACTACATGTTGCGACTATTGGGAGGGTTGGGTGCGGGGCTGTGAGCCAGGTTCGTTCTTGGGAGGGGGGTGTTAGGTCCGATAGGTGTGTTATTGTGACTTTGGGAGACATTCTGGCTTGTGTTTTCCGTTGGGGATTAGGAGAAATTGGAGGGATTGGAGGGATCGTTAAGGTGGTGGTGAGGTTGTTGGGTTGATGAGGTCGGATTTTTGATGGTGTGGGGTTGCTGATTAGATAGGGAGGATGGACTTTGAGGTCATGTTGGAGATTTTATATTGAGGTTTTATGTGTTTGAACGTTTCAATAATGTATGAATCTATGATATAGATAAAAATCAAAAGGTCTCATTACTCCATACAAAACCCTACAAACTAATTGTATACCCTGCCCTGCCAATCTGGTCCAAAGTCCAACCTCCCAAAGTCCAAAAACGGAAATAAAACACAAGAACAAAAACAAAAAAAAAAGCCAGCATGATATATGCCCCTCTAAAACGCCTTTACTGTGTTGGAACGCCTTCTTCGTATATACCCTCATATACCGCCCCATGACAAAGCCAATCCACCTCCCGGACCTTCTCTAATTCTTCCACCAACTTTCCAACATCATTAACAAACTCCGGCATACCCGCTCCAGCTAGATTCTGACTGGCCGTAGTGGTAGCCCGCACTCTTTCAGAGGCACTCGATGCGCTGAGACGCGATAAGACGTGGCTGCGGAGGCGAGATAGAATGAGTTTTGTTACCGGGTCCGAGAAGCTAGATGCAGAGGTCGTGGTTTCAGGCGAGTCTGTGGAGGACGCGTCTGAAGTAGTAGTCTCTGAAGCTACCACCGCGAGTTGAGGTGCAGCTGCGAGGCATGCCGTGGCGACGGGTCCGAGGACTCGTTTGATCGTAGCTGCGAGCTGGGCGCTCGCAGCGGGTGGCATCGGATGCGTCGATTCGAGAATAGACTGTACTCGCTCTGCGCTGATTTCGTTAAAGTCCAGAGATAGGATCCGGTCTGCTTCGGGTTTCCATTGAGACCGTGCGTCTCGCTTGAGCAGATTCTTTGCCGTCAACAGGATAGAAGCTGTTGCTACAATTTGGAATGCCCTGGCATGCAGCCGTTCGAGTCGTTGGCGATCGAGGCTTAGAGTCTCTGGAACTAGATCCTCGGAGACAGTCGCATTGCTTAGAACGGTGTCTGCAAGACCTTGAGCGTATACTCGTGCTGGTGATGGGCGTGGTTCTCCTTGGATGCCTTCCGGGTCTCGTTTCTTCATCTCATCAACGATAATCTTGCGATGAGTGCGCCAAAACCGTTTGGTCTTGCCTAGACTGATTGTCCCGTCTGTGATGTCTCGGTCGAATGCCCGCTTCTCATAACCTGGGGCTTCTTCAATAAGCTGGGGTGCAGCAATCTGGATCATGAAATTCGTTTGGTCAAGTGATAGCAGGTCAATGATGCTCATCAATCGAGCCAGCCGATCGATGGCATCGCCCGAAGTATCCTCAATGTATGCCTTGACCACGGGGTCACGGTAAGGAGCGCATAGGCGTGGTAGGATGCTGTTCATGAAATCGAAGAAAGTATCATAGGAGAATGTACCAGCCTCGCACTGTCCCTGAACCAGTTTTGGGTCTAAGACTTCGCTAATTATCACGTAAAGGGAATTGCCCCGTTGGAGTGAGCGCAGCAAGCGATCTTGGATTACTGTGGCCATGGCGACAGTCCAGTTGGTGCCATGTCCAGCTTCCACCCCTTTTCTCATTGTGTCGCACATCTGCTTCATAATTTGTCTGCGCGGTTCAGTATACGGTGCTTCCTCGATCTTGAATTCTTTGTTGATGAGAAGTTCATGCACCAGCTCCCGATTTTCAGGGAGAGGGGTGAGAATTTTGGTGAATCTCTCGTGGGGAGATGTCCGCTGCTTGTCCAGCTCCTGGAAAACTGCGGCATCGATGTTGCTGAATGACTCGCTAAGAGGCGATGTGACACTGCGGGTAGCCTCTGTGGCTGGAAGAGCAGTTTCAGCGGACCGGGGAATAGCTTGCTTGGAGGCAGCCCTCTTCTTCTCGCGCTTAGCTTTCTTCAATGAATCTCGGATCAACTCCATGTGCCGCTCAGGTCCCGCAAGTCTCTTCAGACGGGCAAGCAAAAGGACCTGGTTTTGTCGGATACCCAGTCTGTAGTCCTCTGCAGCACCGCCAGCCGTGTCATTTTTGACCGTCTGCCAAATCAACTCCAATTCGACAAACTGTGCAACCATAATTTCAATGAGTACAGAAGAGTCGTGGGACTTCCAAGCATGGAAAGCAGAGAAAAATACACTGTGGGATTCACACAATGTCTGGAGATCCGCAGTGATCACAGATGGAGAGCAACAGCCTGACGATAGCAGCGCCGTGACCTGGTCAAAGGCTACCAGCAGCTCCCGGGCCTTGGCGATCAGATCTTGCTCCTGGTCTCCATTACTGCTCAAAACCTCTTTCGGATGAGTGACAATGAGATAGCTGCTGAGGAATGTGCGTACTGCACCCCTCTCACCCAATGCCCCGCCTTCCATATTTTGAAGACCACAGAGCCGGAGAACTTTAGTCATAGTATCGAGCAACTCGTTATCAGAAAGGAGAGCGCCAACCTTTTCAAAGGTCATGTCACGAACTCGGTTCACAGATAGATTCAACGACTGGAACTGTTGCATAATCATCTTCGCGTTATGAGTTCTCCATACACGTTGGATCTTCCGCGCGGCCGCATCCTGCGTAAGCGACTTGGTGACCTCCCGGGACATCTTCTTTTCCTCGGTGGCTGGCAAGCTGCTAGTACGCTGACGACGGTGGGTTTGCTGGTATAATGTGCGTCGTTTCTCTGCCTCTGCAAACTTCTCCGCCATTTCCAGACGCAAGCGAGCTTGTTCAGCAGCTCTCTTTTCCCGATGATCCTCGGCCTTCTTCTTGGCCCGTTTGACCTGATCTTCGCACTTGGCGGTAATATCAGCGAGTAGACGCTCCCGGGCCTGCTGTGCCGCTAACGCTCTCTCTTCAAATTGTAGATTCCTGGTAGCTGCTTTAGCCAGAGCGGCTCGCAGCCTCACTTTCTCCGCATGCAATGCGCGATCAGCAAGTCGTGCCTTTCGACTCTCCAAAATAGACGTGCGGCGGAGATGTTGAGCAATATGGTCCGCGTTTAGCGAGCCATTCGACGAGGTGTTCGAATTATGGGAGTTTAAGGATGACACTGAGCTTCGTCGAGATGAGGCGGCGGAGGAACGGCGGACTTTGCTGCTTTTGCGGTAGAACCGGGCTGCAATGTGTGGTGGGAGACTCAAGGGAAGCGCCGGCTCCTCCGAGAGCATCTCCACATCGAGATCGCTCAAGGATTCAGGTGAAAGAGGTGTTGGACCAGCATCCGGAAGCTGGATCTCGATGTCGGAGTTGCGACGGATCATAGTAGGGTGACGCGGGTGCGACGCGGAGCTGATAAAGCGAAAAGGTGAAAGAATCGGTGGGGTAGTACTGATAAGAGATTGGAAGAGGCTATTTTGAGGTTGTTCACAAGTATTTCACTTGTTGTCTAGGTTATAGGATTCCCAGTCGAGTGATTTCAAGTCTTTAAGGAGATAAATAAGCAATCTAGAAGTCTGAAATCAGGGAGTGACAGACATGCACATATCACTCGGCTGGGGGTGCGGAGGATCCGTGCCTTGTTTCAGGATGGAAATTAAGTAGAAAAAAAAGGGGAATGAATCAGTTCAACAGCGCAATAAGATAAATAGCTAAATAGCTTGTGATGAAACCAGGCAACATCATACCTCTGATACTACGTGGATCTTCGAAATGGAATCTCGTGGCTGCAAGCAGAACGTCAACGCTGAGGTAAGCTACGCGATAAGCCAGCCCTGGAGATCTTAGATCTTCCTATTTATAGCTTGAAGAGCTTGGTATGTTGATCGAGTACAATATGTATACATGTATATTGCATGGTTATTGATGCTCACATGAGTTGTACAAGATCTGCATCTACTCTGTACTTATACGGAGTCCCAGCCTGCCTCGTCCACCTCGACCACCTCGATTCACCTGCAAATAATACGGCACAAAGCACAGATCCCTGCTCTCGCCAATAACATTCTGATTATTACTCTCGGATACAATCTGCCTATCCCCAAGCAATGTGTTAAGTTCGCCTTTGACTCCATTTTCGGCGATGATAGCCACACACTGGTGAGATTGAGACCATGCTTCTTCTCGTAGAGGAATCTTAGGATCAAAGATCGTCATCTGCACCGCTTGTTAGGGTCATATACTGCATGGGGGTAGTTCTTTGCCTTGAAATGATGCTGTTCCCATGGACGATCTGCATCCACACAGTAAACAATTGGTCCGCGTGTGACGTATGCCACGGGCTGTATCGTTAGTGGATGTGGCTTGGTCACATGTATAGTTGCAGAGGACACGAGAGTTGGAATTGCGAATTCTGCTGCAGCCACTCAGTGCTCATGTAGAGATATCTATTGAGAATATCCAGTTTTTCGGGATTCAGAGTCACCTCCCATGACTCTGACAGCATTTAGGGTTTGTTTGGCTGTAGCTACCGGGGTGAGTCCAAGGGGTGAGTCCAAGGGCAGTCCTATGGAATCTCAATCACTGAATAACTACAGTTGTGCCATTCAGATATTTGTTTACTTGATTCTGCCCGAAACTAAGGGTATATCTTTGGAGCGGATGGACCCGATCTTAATGAGTCCAGATAATGTCACGGCTAGGGAACCCGAAAGAAATCTAAAAAAAAAGGGAAGCCATGCTCATCATGAACGAACAACACGCTCTAGCTACTCATGTGGCGGATGTTAATCAAGACCATCCTTCCCATGGACCAGAGAGGTCTTCTGTTTGATTCAATCAGGCTGGTAAGTTAGTATAGATACAGAGACTACAGATGACCAATGAAGAAAATTAGTGCAAGCCAAGTAAGATATAATTTTTCAATCAAATTACTATCGCTGTATCATGATATCCGTATGCTTTGAAACCCAAAAAAAGAACTGAACGCTATGCTGCAGCGAAGCCGGCTGCTTGATGTATGTAAAACTAAGATCCCCTTGGGTTGGCCTATGCTTGGTTGACTGTGTCAAACCATGAGCCATCAGATCAAAGGCATTTCTGTAGTCATCACATGTGAAATGTAGACAAACTGACGGAGCTACTATCTCAGTAGAGAATTTGAATTAGCCTTGAGCGACCTTATCTGTCTCTCGTTGCAGCCCAGTCGGGGATCACCACCGGCTTAGAGATGTTTCTGAGGTCGAAGCCATGAACCGGTTAGGATTGCGGCCAAGAGTTGGATAGTGTTCAGTACTTGTGCATGGTTCGACCAGGGTAATTGACGAGGACCAAGATAGCTGTTGTGTTACATTTCCCAGAACAAGAAATCAACCCATCGCCCAGAGTATCGGCCTCATTGATGGCCGAAAATTTGGATGGGATCTTGATCTTGATCTTCCTCTTCCTCTTCGTCATCGTCCTCATTACATTGAGAACCATCCGATTCAGCCGAGTCAGAAGACTCTCCATCGTCTTCTTCATTCCTAGTTTCCGATATGTTTTCAGTCGATTTAGTCTCGCCGCCAAATAGCCCATATCGGTATGTAAGCTTCTTGCTCAGGTAATTCAATGCACCATAGTCCTCATTCTCACCACGAGATGGACCTCCAAAAAAGGGCATAGATGAAGGTTTCTCTGATTCACGCTCAGTCGGCAGTCCAAAGTAGTTGCTGACGACGGGTGAGACAGCACGGCCTCGTGTGATGTTATAAGATGAGAACCGTCTAACTGGTTCTGGGGACATAGGGACACTGAGCCGTGAACGAGAAACCGATGTGTCATCGACATTTAATGTTGCCAGGGAAGACGACATTGAGTCATCGTTTTCAATGAGTGAAGACGATCTAGGCCGAGGAAGAACATCTTCCCCGGAGACTTCCTCGGGCTGAGCAGACATATCTCCATGTAAAATGCGAAGTTGGGCCGTATTGTACGACTCACATCTATATGCCATTAGCAGTTGAAATCGTCTTCCTCCCCTCAAAAAGTACATACAAATCACATCTTAAGCCGAGCCAATGGTACTTGACAACTGACTTTGAACCGCAATCGTTGCAGTAAATAAGGCCTTTGGTATCCTTGAACTCCTCGGGCATAGGTTGGCTTTCGATGGTGCGATCCAGGTTTCGGAATGTCGATTCCATGTTGGTGATGGTCTTGCTACAAATAGGACAGCGGAAGGAACTTTTGGAGTACTCTGAGAGACACTTGTGATGTATGCTGTGACCACATCGCATGACGACGACAGTATCTGGAGAAGTGAACATGTAGTCGCCACATATGGGACAGTCACACTGGGTGGACCGTTCAATACAACGATGCGTGTTCTCAATGCTCATAGGAAGACAAACAGAACATGTCTATAACTTTGTCAGTATAAATATCGTCGAGCCTATGTTGGGCCAATTACCTGGCAATGGAAGAAATCCTTCCCCAATCCCTGTCCAATTCGACATATACCACAGTCGCTGCAATGATAGATGCTCTTTTTGCTGTCGTTATCCCAGAGCTTGCAAATCTCGCAATAATACTGTGAAGTTTGCTCGTTGCACTGTCTGCAGTTCTGCGCTGCAGGCTGTGCATGCCCGCATAGCATACATAGCATGTGTTCGGTGTCCCGACGGACGAGAGAGTGGTCTTCCACTTCGTCGTGGCAGAAGCGGCAGGTATACCATTTTTTGCAAGTGTGGCACTCGAGTTTCACATTCCGTTGGTAATGCACACATCCAAGAGTAGTCTCTTCTTGTTCTTCTGTGTCAGGGTCCTCATCCCCTGTTTCGAGTTCTGACGGCTCTGTTTCCGCCTTGGGTACGAAAGTGGGCTGCAGATCTTCAGGGGTGAGATTGAAAGTGTTTTCATATAGGGGAACTGATTCGGAGTATGGTGAATCCGGTCCAGAAGTATTGATCTCCGAGGCTCGACGAGTCCTCGGGCTTGTTGGGAGCCCAACGCTCTGTGGGCTCGATGGAGTTGAGAATGCCCCCATCCCAGAGGTGCCTGGAAGCTCACGCGAGGAGTTATAACCTTCTGTCATCAAACCGTGAACCATTCGCGCCTTTTCAACATTGGTAAGCCGCAACTCCCTGATTGCGATGATCTTGCTTCTTAGAACTCCCATCCCATCATCTGCTGGAAGCGAGGACTGTGACATTCCCTCCGGATCAAAAGCATCACCCAAAGGTCGCCGAGGCTCACCAATGGCTACTGCTGAAGCTACATATTGTGGTTCATTGTGCGAGTTCAGCGCCTCGCTGGGGTGTGAAGCTTGTAAATTATCCGAACTGTCCGTCTGCGCGGTGACGTCGATTTCATGCGTGGGATCAAACGAGCCATCTGTGATTGCGGCTATGTTTTGTATGGAGCCGGGTGTGTTGTGGGTCACTGATTGAGTGCCCTCCGGTTGCAAGTTTCGGCCATCCATCTCTTTAGGTAGGGTTGTGAAGAAAGGAGGGCTATGCAGGGACCCCGCACCCGCATCTCCACAGTTCGATTTCTGTTCGTGATCTTGGCTCAGTTGAGAAACAAATGTGTGGTCTTCACTATCACTTGAGGGGGTTGTCGGTTCGTTCAAGTGGACTTTAGCTTGGTCGTCATTTAGGTGGGTGCTTGGCGGGGGTGGTAGGGGGGATCGTATTCCAATTTGGATCAGCAGTGAGGAAATAAAATCATTCATGAAGGGCTGTAAAGCGGCATCTCATTCAATTACTTTAGATGCTTGAAATCAAGCAAAACCAAACCCAATGTTGGAGCTGAAACAGCAGACATCGTGACATGTGACGTTCACGGGCACCGCCTCCGGTGCTGAATCATCCTCGCATGCTCTGGGGCTGGAGCCTGAGCAGATCGCACGATTTTTAGTTGGTTGGACTCGAAAAAAAACCAGGGAATATTGGGAAAGAGAATTTACTATCATTTGATTTAGAATTTGTTCAAAGTACTCTACCACGTAGTTTCTCATCAAGGCTGTCTTCCTGCAGAGCAATTATTCTCAGCGGCCAATCCTAAATTTACTAATGAGTCTCAACTCTGGAGACGAGGATTGGCTCTACAACGCTGTATTGGGCGCCAAGATGTGTAAAGTGACATTAACATAATGTGTCGTATGCCATCAGATTGTCCAGAAATCGCATGATGCTGACCTGACCCAGAGGCAGGATGGGCCATCCTGTCCTACGGAATCCTGATGCGATGCGATTGGGGTATGTATCTGTGTTCTAGACACGATAATACCCGGTATATAGGGTCCCATTTTGGGCGACTTGCCTCGCGTCGAGGTGGATTCATGCCCAAAGGAAGCACTGAGGCCTAACGGATGCAGGCTCTGGCGTAACGGGTCGGATCAGCGGTAACAGTCGAGAACTGCGGAGTTCGAATCATCTGAGACATGTCCCTAGACTCTCATTCAAACGGTCAAGTGTCAAATTGTAATGGTCAAAGACGCTTGTCCGCAACTGGTTCTCTACACGAGCAAGTCCCAGGGATCGTGGACTAAGGCCAAGTCAGCATTTTTCTTCACTTCTGTTGGGAGTTACTCACACGCGGGACTCTCTCACGAGGTGATCTTGCTCCCAATATCTAGCGAGCAGAAGGTTCTTCAAAATCTTGTGTTCCATGCCCGCGACCTCGGTAGCTCGTTCGAGGAAACGAAGGGTGTTGGTGATTTTGGCAGGATCAAAGTCTTCGGAGGGAGATGAACGATAGGATTTGCGCAAGGATTTTAGAAGCATATGGCGACTCGGTGTCGAATAGTGAATCGCTTTCAATCCCTGTCGATAGAGGTGACGGTATGCGTGGACTATAGCTCGTTGATCCACCTTCATTGCCTGGATTGAAGCGTTCATGCCTGATCTTGGACAAGTCCGAGCCAACGAATCGGTAGAAGTTGTGCAATCAGGCAGAATCAGCGGAACCAACGGACTTCCGAAGTGTTGAATCCAAACGTCGGATTGGTATTGGAGGAACGAGGAGAAAAGACGGTCAAAGTTGGGGAAGAGGTTGAAGCCTCAGGCAGGACTAGCCCGATCGGGAGAGGTGATTTGGGCCGCAACAGCAATCTTATCAATCCCTCTCTGTCTCACTCTCTCTCTCTCTCCTCATCTTTCCTACTGCTGATATTCTCGTTCTTTCTTTTCTATTTTCTACTTGCTACTTGCTACTCGCTCCTTACTGAAGGTTGAATCAAAAGGTCTCACTGAGGGCCTTGTTTCTGTTTCGGGCGACCGCGGGGTGGCTTTACCTCGTAGCTTTTGCGTTGCTGCAGTCTATAAGACGCGATTTTGTTTTGACTTGAATCAAGCGTTTCGCTCTGATTCAGACAAAAAGACGCACACTATCTGCACTTCATCTCACACATCTGATGCATATCATGAATGATATGTTGAAATCTTCATTTTTGTGAGGTTCTGCGATAAGCTGAACCATAAGTATGGCCCGTGTCATAAGGAGGGCGGCCTCGGCCTCGGCCAGGCATGCCCCTGGCCGGGTTATTCAAAGGAGGGCGAAAAGACACAAAGTTATCATGGAATCTGTAACCCAAGAAAAGAAAAAGCTTCGGAGTGTTGTATGTATATTCTCGGTTTCAGCTTGGCCAAATGATTAACCAAAAGAATTGCACAGATCTGTTTTGAAGCGCAAGCACCAAGCGGCTATACCTTCATTCCTGCAGGGAATCCGCAACTCACTACGACATGTAAGGAGCGGTGCCGAGATGAGGGTCTCCAAATTCATGCAGTATCGGTGAGAACCCCATTCGGTTGCTAATGATGAACACAGCTTATTTGTTTCTAGACTACCCCACACCATCGCCATCATAACCTGTCCCAACATGTTCATCGGATAGGATATCATTTCCCTAGTACCGTGGTGGCAGCTGTTTGCTCAGAGTTAGGGCTCTACCTCACAAGCACTGGTAAAACAGTGCCCAGTACCTTTCCCACAAATATGATAGAGAATCCTGAGCGGGCTGATTCTGAAGTTTCTCAAATAACTCTCAACACAGAAGCACGGGATGCGTTGAAGGATCTCTTTCCGAACATACCGGACAAAGATTTGAATCAAATTATCAAGACTGCTTTTCAAAAGGTGCGTATATCCCCAATCCTGACCTGAGAAATTAGGACGTGGAAAACCTGATATCCAAAAAGGGTCAGAAAAAAGTTGGGACAGCCACGGAATTGCCTTTGGCTCGTAGAGCTCAACTTGCTGTTGTTGCCCACGTTCGCCATGTCTACACTGACTACGATCGCCTCCTGAAAACCACTTCATTCCATGAAGCAAGAGGTGTCGTCGAACACACAACTCTAGCAAAAGTCATTGAGTGGCGAGGGGACGATGAAAATGGCCAGACAGCCCTGGAAGATGTTTTCCGTGAGGTGATCGTGATCTCGGACGATGAAGACAGTGAATCGGAAGAAGAAGTGGCTTCACCAGGCCAACGGAACACCAGTGTGGAAATACTTCCAAGTGATACTCGGGCCCATGAGATTCAATGCCAACCTATCAACAACACGAACCCACTAGGCCAGGATCTTCCACGGGAACTATCTGAGGAAGCACCCCCTGGGTTCCGGTTTGTTACAAGAGCGCCCCCAGCCACTGAGACCATCAACCGTCGAGGATTTAACAGATACAAAGCGTGGACCCGTGCTATCAAGGAATATAGAGAGGGTGTGCAGGGCACTGAACAAGCCAGGTTTGCTGGCGCCCCAGCCGAAAAGCAAAGCCCACGATATGCCGAGCAGCGCATCACTGCTCAAGAAGTATCCGCTGCTAAGCGCCAGGATATAGTTCCCCAGCACGCCGAAGCTCACCGGCGAGTCCCTCCAAGCTCAGCCAGTATTGACAACCAAGCACATCGAGCGCTCGCTATTCCACTAATGGACCGACAGGTGGCCAAGAGACATGTAGGTGTCCTGGAGGACTATCTTCACCCGGACGCTCAGCAAAGATACTCAACACATGAACTGAACGCCAGGCCAACTGGACTAACTAATCAGGAATCACCCGAATTGCAAATTCTAGAAGAACTCTCCGGACCTAGAAACGTGAACCTGACCCACTCGCAGGATGTTCCTTCCTCGAGGATGGAGCCCAGATTTCGACAAGAAAGACTGCCTCCTCAGTCGGATAGGACCAACGCACCTGTGTTTGTGAGCGGACCAAAGGAAAATCGTCCAAAATTGACCCCAGTGGGACGCCGTCCTGACTCTGTCACTTCCCCTCTTATCAGACCAGGTTCAAACACACAGGACTCTATCTTGCCATCTATTGAAAATTCCCGGCCACCAGAAAGTCGGCGGACTGACGGTTCCCATCCTTTGGTACATATGACAAACAAGATGTCCCTCCGATCAGTCACGCCAGGGCGTCCTCAAGGAGAGATGATGCATCACCCCGATGTCATCGAAAAGGAAGGTGACAGCGAACACGCGAGCAAAAGAAGACGTCTGGCATGTCATGAAGGTTCTCGAACCGAGTCCCGCCCAGATCCGTGGAATGCAAGGCCTATGGGACTTCCCGTTTCTGAAGGATTCGGCGCACACTCTTACCGTCGTGTTGAGCTTGTTCCAAACCACCGACCACAGGACCAGCCTTATTTCCGTCGGGACTATCTGCCAGTGGAACAACCCCATGTTGTAGGACACCAGCGGGAAAGAAACCCGAACTTGCTTTCTTATTCCAACACACAACATGGCCTAGAAACAAGGTCAGTCTTGGATCGACAGCATATCAGCGGACCACATGAGCCTCAGTTCCAGACCGGGCTTGCCAGTACCAGTATCCTTGTCTCGGAAGGTGATCGCACCTTCAGAGCGGCTCCAGCCGTTTCTAATTTTGGACTGTGGCATCCTTATCATGTTGATCGTAGTTTCCGTTCGGATCGTATTCCGAACGATCCGTGGGCCATTCGGCGCACCCGCCCTTTACCAGAGAACGTCCACCCAGATAGGAACCTGTATGCCGAGGACTTCGTCCGGCATGTTGACCACCGTGAGCCCCCTCCATTTGAATACGTCGCCAGGCGGGCAGAACCCGAGACCAAGTCCATCGCAGACCCCTCTCCGTCTACCCGGACTAGAGACCTTGAGTACCTTGGCACAAAGAATCTGTCTCAGACTCAGGTTTCATCGGATCAACGTGGCCCATTGCCTATAGGATCGCGAGTGGCTCCTTCCCATGACCACGTTCGCACCTTTTCAGACCCTGCCATAGGAAAGATCCAGCCTCACGTGTCCCCCCCTCAGGTCCCTCGTGAAAGACCAGCTAGTGGCGGGTTCAACTCCTTGCGGTAAGCCTTCATTGGGGAAACCAACCAGTTCAACAACACAAATTTTCCCTATGCTTCGAGACGTTCCCCCCACTAACGCAGATACAGACCATCCTACTATCCTCCCTCATCCCACACTACCGAGCAAGACCGTCCAGTCTACGTTCAAAGAGTTGAACCACGACCCCCATACTATCCCATTCCTGACCCGTTGTCCTTGTCGATTAATTAATTCCACCTTCTACCACATTTCCCCCTTTTTGACTGGGATAACTTGTTTTGAGTCTTGTTGTATTCGCATTGCATTGCATTGCATTGTTGTTCATGATACCCTGATGCATATTATTTACAACCTCCCTCCTCATGGGTCTCAATACCAATTTGAATCGGGAACTGCGGTTCCCCCATTTTATAACTATCTCATTTATCTCATCATGGTCATTTAGTCATAGGAATTCCAGAGCAACCTCGGAGCTTTCCAAGGTTGGAACAACATGCCGTTGGTATGTTCTACCTAGCACTGCCTAGCAGTCCAGTCTATAGTATTGGGCCTGAGTTCCACGAGCTGATGTGGGCTCGGGAAGGTTGGCATCCAGCATCCCTCAACCTCCAGGCCTCATGCAAAAAAGAAGGGTATATAAGACCGGAAACATCATGAGCATGTCGATAATTTAAACCTCCTTGCTCTCGCCATCCGCCTCTCCGCTGTTCACAGCCTTGCCAGTCTTCTTGATCTTCTCCAGTACGGCATCGTAGGAAAGAGTAGGTTCGGTGGTGACATTGACCGTCTGGGACTCGAGGCTGACATCGAAGGTCTTGACTCCTAAGGACCAGCGTGTTAGAAACCCAAGAATGATAACACAGGCCGCGCGTCGCTTACCTTCCAGCTTCTTGAGGACGCGCTCCACGGCGCCGGAGCATCCGCCGCAGGTCATGGTCACATTAAACTTGTATTGGTGGTCAGACATGGTGGGAGTTTGATTTGCGTGGTGCGGGGTGTTTGAAGGAGAAGATGCTTGGCGGGGGAGATAATAGTGGGCTTGGGGTTCGGAGAAATACGAAAGGAGAAAATAGTTGAGAGAGAAAGAGAAAGAAATATGAGAGTATATATATATATTTACTATTCTTTACTATTCTACTTAGTCTCACTGGTATTTTACATTTGTCATAATTCCCATAATTCCATCCCTTTGAGAATGAGCCATATTCGCCATTGGTTAGTTAATGGCTTTTATAGTAGATGATATAACACATAGTCCACAGGTATGTATTATTGAATTATTTGATATATAAGTCATTCCTAAAATCCAGCTTGTCTTTTCTTCTTCTTTTTCGGTTTCTTGAATTCGCGAGCTCCAAAAGCTCCCCGCTCCATCTGGGTCATCGGCAAACCGCCCATGGACTGACTACTATCGATATTGAATCGGGGAGGTGCAAGTGGCTGACTACCCCATGCTCGAACCATGGGGATTGCCGGAGTCGGAGGGAGAGATTGGTCACGAGTCTGTGAGCGTTTCTTCCGTCTGCTCTTGGGTGTGCGCGCCTTGGAACTCCGCGTCTCCTCGTCTTCGATCCTCTCCCAGACATAGTTTTCGGGGCTGGCACCTATCGGCCAGTGGGAGAGGAGGTTTTCGACCTTTTGTGGGATTGGACGTGGAGCCTTGAATGTGGTGAATGCTGAGAGGCCACTCAAGACTGGGAATGCGGTGGACTTGGATTGCTGGACTGACGTCGTATCCCGTCTGGATCCAAAGGCCTGGCTTCTGCCCGTTGATGACTGGCTTGCAGGGGCCTGTGATGATAATAATGCGAAGTAGCTCGACTGCATGTATTTGTTCTGTGCCGCGGCCTTCTCATTTGCATCTTCATTCGCTCGCTCCTCGACCGGATCTGCAGGCGTAGATAGTATGACGCGATCTAATGAGGTAGAAATTTTGATTAGGCGTGACAGGATGAGATCGGCAGCGACTCCCCGAATGAGTTTCTCTTTCATGAGTCGCGTCTGCACGGGGATGACGCGAGGCAGGGTAGACATCCAATCATCGACGATTTGATCATAGACATTTAGAAGATCCTTGTCTGCCTCGCCTGACAGTTTGGTCGGTACACCATAACCCCCGTTTGAGGTTGGAAGTGGTAAAAGCATATACCGACAATGAGCATCGGGGTCCGGGTGTTCGGGCACGAGTGCTGAAATGAGTCGTTTTACATCATCTGCACGTTCATCAAGATCCTCTGCCAAAAGTCCCTTGTCCGTCAATTCAACAATGGTCTTGCCTGGAGGTCGGTTCGATCCATTGTTCATTTCACTTTGCAGAATCGCCATCAACTCATCAAGTGTATTTTGTTTGGGCCTTTGTATTTCTTTTTGCTTTTTTCGACGAATTTCCATCTTCCCTGTCGCTATTTTGTAGACACCAGAGAAGTCCAAGGTCCACTGCAAGTCCGACTCTGTATCAATGTGATCTATCTGGGGCTTGCAACGACGAACAATCATTTGCTGTGCAGCTGATTCGTCCCAATCATCCACAACAAAGTCATCGGTGGGTCTGATATATGATGTCGGAGCATAACGCCTTCTCAGCCGCAAGATACTACTTTCACGAAACAAATCCGGCTCGTCTGGATCTCCGCGTGGACCCGTGAAAGTAGATTCATGGACGGCAAGATCGGAATCCATCCAGAAAAGCTTGATCAATGGCATGTGGGGGTTATAGAAATTCTTACCCAGTGGCGTAACAGAGTGGGCAACCTCTCTGAACACGAATCTCGAGAATCGCACGGCAGAGTTGCGTTTAGTTGGCGGTATATCCACCAACAGGGGCGCATCTATCACCAGGGGATCGGGTACAGATATAGACCCAGTCTGATCGTCGGATATAAAGGGACATGGGAATGCCTGTACTAGCGGAGTGAGATGAGAATACAGAACGAGATACACATCTAGATAAATAATTTAGTATTTACAGCCCGTTTCCGATCGCGCTAGCACGTACCTTGGTAAACGACTATGTCGCTAAGTTGCAAAGTCGTGTCTTCCGGATCTCGGAAGTGCCTCCAGGACACTCGGGGGTATAGAGAAAAACTTGTATCATCCTCCCCTGGTAAGGCTCCAAGATCAAACCACGATATCCGAGTTGTCGTCAGGACGAAGAACTGTGATGCATTGCGTGGGTTTCTTTGAACGTCTAGAACCCACTCAGATTTCTTTGTCATTCCCAGCTCAACTGTGCGTGGTGGAATCTCGTCATCTGTGAAGGCATAGATTATGACACTGCGACGATTGGAGACAACTATCAATCCAACATTATGGACCCACTCGATAGATGCCCAGCCATCAAGCCGAGGGCAATTGTGTTTATGTTTATAATCCTGCGAGGGCAAGGAGCCTGATTTGACGAGCTGGGTAGCCCAAGTGGCCTGCTTGAGTCGCTGCCTGCCGGTGATTTCCCAGATACTCCACTTGCCTCTGGTATCTACGATGGCGAATTGTCTCTGATACCAAGGGTTGAAGGTCACATCGGCATGTGCGACACCACCTGTTTGCGACAGAGATATTTCCGTAATTGGATTCGCATCCAGCCGAGAGTTTCGCAAGGGGCCGGAGTATCCCAGTATAGCACCTTCCGGCAAGCGCATAGGCACAGGGTCCCAGTGGTAAAGAGGTCGGAATATTGTAGTCCCTGTGTAGAGACGAGCGGCCATGAATACCGGCTGCTCCTCCAAGGGACGTGCAAACTGTACTTGACGTATCGGTGCGCCACCATTGGACCATTCAGACATCTCACTGTCGCTGATTGATGGAGCACGAAATGCTAACTTCTGTGGAGAAGCCAACTCCAAAATTTCCTCCTCCAGTGTTCGGAATGAGACTATATTACGACATTCCCCGGTTACTGCCACCGCAATTGGAACTGAGCGTAGCCTTTTGTCATGACGCCTTTGGTCCACCGCATAACCGAGATCGAAGAGCGTAGAGATCTCCGGATCATATTGCTCGGTTGTATTCGTGACAGTCTTCGACAAAGGTTCATCGCGAATGGAGGACCATGATGCTGCCAAATCAGGATGCGCTTCTGTGATCAGTCTCCGGGGGTTCTTATCAGGTAGTCTGCGTATTAATCGAGCTTTGGCTGGGGGGAAAGGCGACGAGATTGTTGTCTTGGTCACTCCGGTATACAGGATCGATGCGGCTTGCGAACATGTTAGCTGATTCGGGGAAATGAAGCTCAAGTACTTACGCTTAGCAAAAGACCGAGTAAACGTCCATTCCTCCTCATCAGGAAGGTAGACAGCTCGTCCTACGTGCCCATAGTGGAGAGCACTGTTTGGATGTTCATCCATCGGATGTTTCTTTGCTTCTTGCGATCAGTTCAGGACCCGGCCAAACCATGTCGATACTGCAACATTAAGATATCACCGGTCATATAAATATGTGCATAATGTGGGGATGCGGTAAGGCAAGAGAAGTGTAAAAGTGTACGGCAAGAAAGTTTTTTGATCGTTATCGATAAGAGATACTCGGAGTTGTTGCGCCGCAACCCAAAACAACTCTGCCATTGTCCCCGCGTCGAGCTCAACTTCACCATTCACTCACAATTTAATTCTCAGAAACCATGACTTCTTCATTCGAACCCTCACTCTCGACGAGTGGCATGCGCCCACCGCTTGCCTCAGCGGATGCGGCATCAATGGCAGACTCATTGCCTAGTATCAACTTTGGGTTCGAGGACCTCCGCAATACCATGGCACAATTCACAGTAAAGTTCGACGCGTTTATTGAGCGCGGTCGCAAACGAGTCTTGGAGGAAAGAAACCAGTTCCACATTAATCTGGCCGAATATGAAGGTATGAGTTCAATAATTGACAGTTCCCACTTATGACTGCGTCTAACAGACTGCCAGAGGATGAACGTATGCGACAGCGCGATATCGAAATTCTCACACTCAAATCACAAACACATGAACAAACCCTCCAAAAAGAAGCGGCTGAGGCTGCTGAAATGCACGCGGCTATCTCATCTATCACGTTAGAACGCGATGCCCGCCTAGCCAAACGTGACCGTCTGAAGCTGCAGATCGCCGAGACTCAGAAGGCTATTAGTCAAAAGGTCGAGGCACAGAAGTCCCACGCAAAGCATTTAGATGCGCAATCTCGTCTCAATTTCCCGGAATTGGAGTTTTGGCAGGATTATCTTTGTATTCGAATTGAAGGGGCTGGTCGTGAGGACCGGTTAAAGTTTGTCTACACCCATCTATTGGAGAAGGACTGGGAGGCGGAGGCTTGGTTTGAATTGGGCACTGCTAGTCGCGATTACGAGGTTTTCCATACACGCCCCAAGATTGACCGGGATGGTTTGGAGCATGTGGTAGATCTCGTCAACGACGACCGAGACTTTGGGGCATTCTTGAAGCGGATGCGCAAGTTGTTTGTAGAGGCGATGAACTAAGAAAAAGTACAAGGGCGTTTGGGGTTATTGTTATTGTTCCAATTACGAAGTTCATGATTCTTATGCATCGTTCAGTAAGGTTTCCTAGGTTCCATTGAAATCGTCATAACGCAGTTGCAAGGACATTTCTGCAGTACCCCACGTTCAGCTGCTCCTTTAACCAGTAGCCTCGCGGTAGAATGCAATGCTGCGGTTTGCGCCAGCGGTGGCAAACCCTTCTGTCTTGCCAACCTTGGGAAGCCACTTAGCATTCCAAACGGCTTTATCGGTTTCTGAGTGTGTAGCGACACAGGTCTTGGTCTCCATGGACCAGACCTTGACTTTGCCGTCAAATGAACTTGGGAATGTCAGCTTGCCGTCACATGAATGCATGGAATATTGACTGACCTGCTCAGAAGGTACTCGCCAGTGTCGCTCCAGGAAAGGGATAAGATCCAGGCAGAGTGCCCTGAGAGATTGGCAATCTGTTCGCCAGAGGAAGTATCGTACAGCACAATGACCTTGGAGTCGCCAGCAGCTGCTAGAATCCTGCTTTTAGGTGAGAAAGCCACAGCCCGCACGGGATTGACCAGGCCTAGGCCAGATTAGAACTTGCTTTTTTTTTTGCTTGGCTCAGTCAACTTCGCTTACCTGAAAGAGAGAAAGGCATGCGGCCTGTTTCAGTAGTGAAGATGTAGACTGCGCCGTCTTCATGGCCTGAAGCGATCAATCGACCATCGGGAGACTAAATGCCAAAGTTAACAGGAACTCCTATATGGCTAATGTCTGGCTGCGTGGCTTGACATCTTACCAAGTCGATGCAAGTACCAAAGCTGCCTTTGGTCTCATGATCTCGAATCCGAGTGCCATCGGCGCCCAGATCCCATACATTAATGCGTCCCTCCTGTGTGACACCAGCAAGATACTGGCCATCTTCAGAAATAGATATGGCCCAGGCATCGGCACCATTGAGGTCGGCTGTGCAAGTATCAGCCCCATTGCACCTTGTGGGCTATCAAAGAGGGGCAGTACTTACCAGTCAATTTTGTGTCTGCAGCCCATTTATCGTTCTCACAAGACCAGACTTTGATTTCGCCGTCAAAACCAGAGGTGACTGCACGCGATCCATCTCCATTGGTCACGATGTGATGGCAGCCAATGGTGTGGGCACCATCAATGGATTGCAACAGTGGGAAGTCAGCCTCCGTGGAATGCACTTTGATGGACGAGGCACCCGAGACGGATAGAATTTGCTTGTCTGTTATGGCCAGCGAGAATATATCAACAATGTGCGCTGCAAAACAAATATTAGCCAAATCATGACCCAGGATATATGCGCATTGGGAAGCCCACCATTGTCCACAGAACCCCTCGAGAGGTATTGTTTCGACTAAAAACGCGGCTTAGCAATGAGATTTATCATTTTTGTCTTGATCTTACCATGTTGATAATGCCGTGCTCTCTCACGGCTGTGTCGAGAGTTTACTTGCGGAGGAAACAATGACGTTGGGTCTTGAAGGCCCGTTCCGCCTTTATCGCCGTTTTTTTGACGACGGATAGAGAGGCACCTTTTTGGAGATGGTCCACGGGTTACCACAAACCAATGGATATTTATTGTGTCATATCTACTATATCTACTCTAATGGCCTTGCTATCACTTTAGTGGTAGATAGCAAGTGAAATAATTAATCCGTCAAACCTGATCAATGTTGAAACAGTATCGTTGTATACTTGAGACTATTGACTGTATGTGTAACTAGTACCTCTTGGTTTGACTATCTAGCTGCGAACATTTGAAGCTGTAATGAGCCAAGTAGAGGCAGACATGTTCATATATATAGAGCAGTATAGTCGTAGTGCATTGAACATGTCCGATTATTTCCGCTCAGATCGGCCGCCGTAGCTCTAACATCTACAATTGTAGTCCATTTGACTTTCGGATTTACACGGTAATAATGTAAACTAAAAAGATCACAGCGTTCAAATTCGACCTACTAGATCGGTTTGTTATAAAGTCATATCGAAACATTTCCCCGCAAAATCCAGACGCCAGTTGCCATGCAGCATGTATCCACAACCAATCCTAGAAATACAATCTCTCTTTTTGGGCTTGAGATTGGGATCTCGGGAATTTTGATCCTGATTCCCTTAAGGCAAGCCCATATTTCTTACAGTGCTCTCTCATGCCATATCCAGGGTCCTCCACGATTCCTTGATCTCTGTTGAATAGTCAGCTTTTCTGCAAGAACCAAGTGTACTCCTTCAGATGGACTCAATTATTACCTTTGACACAGTTTGGGCATAGAAGATGCGCACGCTTGATCTGACCACAACCCGGGCATTTATTAAGGCTCTTCACGTCTTTGAGGGCCTTGCCGGCCATTTGCCGATGACGCTTCTTCATGTGAGAGGTCTTCTTCTTAGGAACAGCCCGCAGGACGGAATCCCAAAGATCGGAGAGGAGTGACGGAATATTGAGAGAAATCGAAATCGGCTGTAGGAATCCGCTGGTCGCGATGGGTGTGATCGGGAGGAACCGAGCGAGTCGGGGGAATTGGAGGGACTCGGAAAGAAGTGAGCGCGACATATTTGCCGGAGCGAAAGGGAGAAGGCGCAATGCCATTGTGAAAGTAGTTTTAAGCACAAAAAAGGGGGGTTAGCTTTAGCTGTGTTGGATGGGAGCTATCACAGATGAAGCAAAAGCGCAACTTGGGAAGATCGTAGTTTTCTCGTGGAGAGACGCTAGTCCCAAATAGGGATAGGCCACCCCTGAGTTGGGAAAGATGATAATAAGGGGGGTGCTCTTGCTTCAACTACATACTTCTCTTCTCTACGGGTTTTGTTTAGGGATTGCGGGCTTCTGTTTCTATTCAATTCTCAACTTTAATCTCTTTCTATCTCCATTCATAATGGCCGCCGCTACCACTGCTGCTTCGGCTCAACAGCCCACTGTTTTTCCCCATAGCCATGTCGGTTTCGACAGCATTACCTCGCAAATCGAGCGCAAGCTCTTGAAGCGTGGTTTCCAGTTCAATGTCATGTGTGTCGGTATGTGTCGTGTACACTACTTCCCTTATGATAAGCATCAGCTAATCTCCCTCGCATTAGGCCAAACTGGTCTCGGAAAATCGACTCTGGTCAACACTATTTTCGCATCCCACCTGATTGACTCCAAGGGCCGCCTGACCCCTTCCGAGCCCGTTCGCTCCACCACTGAGATCAAGACAGAGTCGCACAGTACGGTTGTGATGGGGGACTTGTTTTATATGTGGACTAGCTGACAAGTGACCACGTAGTTATCGAGGAGAACGGCGTGCGTCTCCGCTTGAACATTGTCGACACACCTGGTTACGGTGACCAGGTCAACAACGACCGATGGTAATTTAAGCCCTAATCACGCTGGAGCTACTAGGTCTAAGCTAATTATGATCAGCTGGGACCCCATTGTGAAGTACATCAAGGATCAGCACTCAGCATACCTCCGCAAGGAACTCACTGCTCAGCGTGAGCGTTACATCCAAGATACCCGTGTTCACTGTTGCTTGTTCTTCATCCAGCCCTCTGGCCATGCGTGAGTTTACCCCGCTTATTACTTAGCTTCCTTCGAGCTCTTTTTGGACTGACCCATTGATATCGCATAGTCTCAAGCCCATCGATATCGTTGTTTTGAAGAAGCTGTCCGATGTCGTCAACGTTGTTCCCGTTATTGCCAAGTCCGACTCTCTCACCCTCGAAGAGCGTCAGGCGTTCAAGGAGCGCATCAAGGAGGAGTTCTCTTTCCACAACCTGAAGATGTACCCCTACGATAATGACGAGCTCGATGATGAGGAGCGTGCTATCAACGCTCAGATCAAGGTATGATCAACCCAAGAAGAGCTGTTATAACTTGATGTTAACCTCTGGTTACAGGACATCATTCCTTTCTCAGTTGTCGGCAGTGAGAAGACCATTGTTGTCAACGGAAAGCAGGTTCGCGGCCGCCAGAACCGCTGGGGTGTCATCAACGTCGAGGATGAGAACCACTGTGAATTCGTCTACCTCCGCAACTTCCTGACCCGCACCCACCTTCAGGATCTAGTCGAGACTACCAGCCAGATCCACTACGAGACCTTCCGTGCCAAGCAGCTGCTTGCCTTGAAGGAAAGCAGCGCTGCCGGCGGCCACACCAGTGGCGGCCGACCCATCAGCCCCTCTGCCGACCGGGAGCTGAGCCGTAACTCGCAGCGCGCAGCCATGAACGGATACTAAACCCTGTGATCTTTCATGTCTGATGCGAGCGCTATGGCCGTTGCTCAACGGCCCTCTCCGAAAACTTACTGTCCTCTTTTGACGCCAGCAGGCCCTTGCAGATATCCCTTTTTTTTACCCTTTCTTTTGCGTTTGTTTTTGTTTGTATCCTACATCCCATCTTGTCTCTTCTTGGGAGAACCATCGAGCTTGTATTGCCGGGGGAAAAGAGAATTGACACTCCAGCGCTCGTGCTATCTCTGGTACATTCCATGTACTTAGTTTTCTTTAATTAACTTGACGAGAAACTTCTATTCTTGGATTGAAAGATACAACCCGGGGCTATCGTCTCACTGGCCATGACATCCACTTCACATTCCTTATATGTAATGCAAGGTAGTGTACTATTGCGCAGCACCGAACTTACCACCATCAACAACCCAATCCCGCAGCTCAACATATGCCTTCTCCAGATCATCATTAACAACGATCTTATCATGAGCCGCAGGCAGCTTTGCGTACTCAAGCTCGTTCTGAGCTTGGCTGAGTCTTTTTTGTAGAGATTCTTCGGTTTCAGTGCCACGGCCACGGAGGCGCTGCTCCAACACCTCGAGAGAAGGTGGCGCAAGGAACAAGAAACGCTATAACCCCATTAGTAAAGTCCCATTATCGGATTGCCTTGGACACTTTACCGCATTGAGATCTGTCTGCTTCACCTGTTTGACTCCCTCCATCTCAATGTCCAGTATGCAGATGCGCTTCTTCTCGGCGATGTTCTTGACAGCCTGAATTGACGTTCCATAAAAGTTGCCACCGAATTGAGCTATTATGTTGGTTAATTGACGTCCAACTTCTTCTTGTAGCAGCGTAACTAACCATGTTCAATGAATCCGTTGTTAGCCACTAGATCGAGGAATGCATCTTTTGTTACAAAGTTATACTCGCGACCATGTTGCTCGCCAGCTCGAGGGGATCGTGTGGTTTCTATTCAGCGAATATGTGAGCAAAGCCATTCTCGATCTCGTTCTACCCCTCCTCCCCTTGTCGCTTGGTTGGGACTGACCGGAGATAGAAAATCCGAACGTATCAGGATACTCCGCAAACAATCGCTTGAGCAGAGTCGACTTTCCAGTTCCCGATGGGCCGGAGATCACAATAGGGCGGTATGCTGGAGTATAGAAGTGGCCTTGTCAGTATGTCTGGTGTTGCACGGTGGGGTTATGTACTGCCATGGAGCATACATACAAGTGGTGGCCATTGTAGATGCAGAGCGAGTCGCACGGACGAATGGTCTATAGAATGCTGAAAAGGCAAAAGATGAGAGAGGCATACAAAAAGATTTAAATCAAAATGAACGAAAGCGATTATTTAGCTCAAGACGGCTTTCTTCCAAATACGGTTTAGCCTGTTTATTTATTAGGAAGGCGGAAGAAATCGTTGGCGTCTATTTTTCTTGGCGCTTCTGAGTACCTCCAGGCTATACATACAATACAACATGCAGTAGGTACCAACTTTGTACATACCATGTAGGTGTACACGTTATGTAGGCAATTATTGAAAGATCAAAGTATCAATATCCATATCCAAGTTCTATGACTTTGCTGCTTTATACATACATTTCTGCACTCTATCATTTAGGAGGCCCCTGGTGGCTTCCTCGTCGTGATGGATTCATATTACCCGCCTCCGCTTCTTGCTCCAGGAAGTTAGACCATAGTTCGGCTAACGTTTCTTTACTGGAGGGGCCATTGTCCATGAATTCCGCCGCCAGGTTTGGCGTGCTTGGAGTGCGCAGGGGAGTGCCAGGGACTCGGAGCTTCCCGGACATACTCGAGGCCCCTGGGCGAGCAAGACCTGCCTGTTCACGTTGCTCTATTTTCAATAATCAGATAGGGTCCAGAAAATTTTCCATGTACAGTACTCACCATCGTTCCAACCTAGGAGTGCAGCGATCAATTGCAATATTTGGAATTTCTTCGGATCAGATCGGTCTAAAGCAAGGAAGTGCAGGAAATGGTTGGTGACAATATGTCTATATGGAGTCAGCATGCAATTGGGGTGGCTTGATGTAACAAGAACATACCTGTCAACATTATCCTCCGGCTTTCCTTTCTTGAGGAATCGTAGGGCTTTCGTCAGATGGTCATTCAACGTGACTGCCTCGTGCCGTAGCTTGCCAATGAGAAGGTTCTTCTCCTTGACCTCTTTCTCAAATGGCCGGACTCGCTCGATCTCTTCCTGGGCATGCTGGAGACCCTTATCGGCGTCAGTGGCCTGCTTTTGTGCTTCCCGCAGAGAGCGTCTGAGCTCCTCGAGTTGAGCATCAGAGCTCTCAACAAGCTCCCGCAGCTCTTGCTTTCGCGCCAATTGGATTTCCTGCAAAGCCCGCTGGAGGCCGTCAACGGTAGACTGTTGGGTGTCACGTTCATCGGTGGCTCGTTCATAACCTTCTCTCAGGCTGCTGAGCTGCTCCTCCAGGTCCCCGACCTTCTCGTTCAGGTTCTCCCGGATAGATCGCTCCTCCATGGCAAGAATTTCCCAATTATGCATAGCTTCCTTCGCTTGTTCAAACTCCGACTGGAGGTACGACTCTTGTTCGAGCAATTCTTCCTTCTCCTTCAACCAATTCTGTTGGGATAAGTTCGTCCGCTCCCGAAGAATAGACAGCTCTTTCTCTTTATCTGCCGAATCGCTCGATAGTTCTAACAACTGAGTGGACTTTGAATCGAGCTCATCCTTCAAGTTATTGTTCTCATCTTCAAGGTCTTCGATCTGTGATCGCGCAAGAGCCAATTCCTCCTATAGGGCGAGATTAGTCAAATATCCCAAATAGTGAATTCTGACACACGCACAGCATCCTCCTTGAGCCGCTCCCCTAGTTGCGATTTGATGGTGTTAACTCGTTCCACCAGCTTCTGGAACTGCGTTTCCGCCTGCTCCTTTTTGCTCTCCGCCTCCTCCAATTTCTGCTGCAGAGCCTCCATGTCTGCGGTGTGCTTGGACTGAATCTCTTCCAATGATTTTCGCATGTCGGCTACTTCGGCGCGTAACGAGTCGCGATCTCGAACAAGTGCATCGAATCGGTCCTTTGTGCCATCGGAAGCGGGGTCGGGCTGGCCATCGGTTCCTAAGGGGATATCGCTAGTAGCCGCGGGCTCCTGGTTATTGACGGACCGATCTGGTAGGGTGCGATCTGTCGTTTCGGGCTTGGCGCCATTAGATTCTAGCGCTTGTATGGGGTCCTCGTTGGCATCATGGGGCTCGTTCTTGTGGGGTCTCAGCAAAGGTTCAATGACAATCAGGGGGAAATTAACCACATACATCAGTATCATTGGGGTCGGCTGGCGCATCTTCTGGATGCTCGTCGGTCTTGGAGTCGGCTTTGGCTTTCGCGGCCTTCTTCTTGTTCTTCTTAGACTTTCCGCCTTTGCGGGGGTCAGTGGGTTCCAATTCACAAAAGGGGTGCCCTTACTTGGGGTAGCAGACGGTGGATTTCCCTCGCTCATGCTGTGTGGTGTTTGGAAAGACCTTGGGGGAGGAGAATGGCTGAATTCCTAGGTTACAGGGTAAGCTGTCAACACGGCTAGCGCCCTTTCCGCCTATGCCTAGATGATTAATCTATCAATCTCCCCGGGGCCCCGGGAGCCCTAGATGTGCATCTACAGGTCTTTTCAATCCTATTTTCACGTTTTAATTTGTTATAATTATTTGGCATGTATTTGCCTCGACATTTTTGGATCTTTCGTCGTACTGTACTTATGTGCGTATACTTTGTAGGGCACACTGCGAGCCTGTAGCTCCCATAGTATGCCAAGGGAATTCGCCTATGCACATCCATTGGAAAAGAATCCTAGTATTTTTTTGACATTATCTGACTTTGGGGGTTGGAAGTATCCCTTTCTCTATCGTATTTGGTAGATAGAAAGAGAAGTATCAAGAGGGAGAAGAGCACTGCTTTGTTGTACTCATATCAATTGTCCTCCATCGTATATCGTATATCGTATGTAGTATGTAGTATGTAGAGGGTATAATTTTCACTTCGCTGGCTGTTCAAGGTACACACAGAAAAGAGGTATCTTCCATCGGGAAAAGGCAGCAATGTCTATCACATGAAGTCGTCGAGGAAATCCTCGCCACGGTCCTGGTTGTTGCTGGCCTCCAGATTTTCCTCCGTGAACATATCATCATATGCATGATCTTTCTGCCACTTGAGCTGTTCATACTCTTGCTGCTTTTTCTTTTCCTTCGCACGCTGTTCTTCTCGGGCTTTGCGATCACCGCGCTGCTTCTTCTTCGTGTCCTCTTCCTTCTCGGCCTGGAGATCGGGGAATTTTTCAACCCGGGTCTTGTTCAGCCGGTTGACAATTGGGTTCTCACGTTGCTTCACGTAGACCTTACGGACCAGCTTGTGATTATGGAATGTGACTTGACCGGCCGCCATTGATCCGTCTTTCTTCAGGTTTGACCACGGTGTATAGATAATGGTGATGTTGTCCTTCTTGTTTCCTTTCTAGAAGTCAGTCTCCAACGCTGCCAAATGCTTGGATGTTGAGGCTGACCTTCAATGGAGTTCGCTTTTGTGAGTTGGGCGCAGTCCTCTAGAAGCGGCTGGGGGATGTTATCCCATGTTTCACCTTCTCGAAGGCGTACATAGACGTGTGCACTTGACAAATTGTCGACGTGGAACTGCAAGTGTATAGAAGTATTAGCGCAATTGGCGCTGTCGCAAATCGGAGGGGACAAGACTGACCCTAATGCACAAGAATATTAGTCCCAAAGTTCTACAAATATGTACCGGGAAACATACCAAACATCATTGTCCAATCCATATTTTATGAGATCCTCGTCTGACACCATTTGTTAGAAAGTTTTATTCCCTAAGTTAATCAAGTCGGCATGCATACTCTCGAATTTGTCCTTTCCGACATAAATAAAGGCGGAGGGATCGACCACATTCGATGTGAAATAGAAAACCATGGCGAGAAGATCCAATTCTTCTTCTGCTCTTTCAAACGACCTTGTTCGGGCAAATCGGGTTCAAACAATTCGTGATCGGCGCAAGTCAAAAGTTGAAATGGCCCTGGTGGGGGGAAATCTTTATCTCGGCCCCGGGGGCTATCTATAGATTAGTCATCTATATAGGTCTCGAAGCCAGAGAGTCCAGTTCGTCCTCGAAATGTTGAAAATAAACTTGTGAAATTTTTATTGCCAATTTTTGGTCCAATCAATCGAGATTGACATTTTATACCTATATAATGCGCGAACGCCTACATCCGAGTGCTAGAAGTGGGGTTATCGTCTGTATAAAATGCAAGAGAAAGAGGCCTAGTACACTGTACTGTATAACTAACTGTTATTCTTCAGATGAAGTATGAACTTACTCAAATATTATGCACTGCCTGAAAGAGCCTCGCCCTTGATATTATCCAAAATATGTGAGTTCACAATATCTACCTGCATTTTATATATGGAACCCGCACTTATATGTAGTTAGTACCTTTCAAATGAGATAGAATGACTAAACAGACAGAGCAGAACTAGCAAAAAGTGTGAGGCTTTATGATTGATATAAGAATCTAGAGCTTGGTACGTAAGAAAGAGCCCAGGGGTTGGCAGAGTCAGGCAACAATCAAAAGCAAAGACGGACTTGAGCTGTTGGAGGTAGAACAGATGATACTACTATATTGGCTTCTATGGCAAATGACTGCATTCAAAAATCAATTGGCGTAATTGACCAATAATCCCATTGCGTGTCATGTCAGTATCATTCCAAGGTTATCTCAGTTCTCAGTCAACGAAAGCTGTTCCAGGCTAAGACACTGGTTCGGGAAGAGACTCGAACAGTCGAACAAATAGTCAGACTGGCAAGGCAATAATGCCATCAGTGGCTCGGAATATTCACATTTCTGTTTATGTCTGAAAGGTCAGATGGAGTTTCATCGGGGTGCACAGGTCATAAGACCACTTTTACCGTCCCGGGTGGGTTAACGGTTGGGATCTTGCTTTGACCCTATCGCTTCCAAAATGACAGCTAATATAAGCTGTGCCACATCTTCGCCGAGTATTCCATTGTGCAGGCTGTCGTAGACTGGGCGATCCATTTTCGCCGGCTTCTTCCATTACAGCAGGGTTGAAAATTCGCAGCGACTTTCAGCGTGAATTTGAAGCAGTATGTGATGTGGCACGATCGTTGCATTTCGTAGAGGAATTCTCGCAATGTAATCCAAACTCGTTTGTCACTTGAAGGTCCGCACGGATCCAGTTCGGGAGGGTCCTATTCAGTTTGGTATTAGTGAGCAGGGTCAAAATCCACGGGTTTAGGTTTCAAAGTCTTATACAGCTCACTGTAGCAGACTTCAAAAGGTCCATAATCTCATGATAATATGTGGCTAGACCGGAAAAATGGCCTGATCACCTCCCCCCCCCCCCCCCCCCTCCGAGTACGCTAGCAGGTTGCTTTCTTTCGGAGATCGTTCTTCTTGCTTCTTCTCACAATGTTAGGCCTCATGAAGTCCTGCCCTGCTCCAGAACCTAGAGCTGAATTCTGGAGAAGTTGGTGAGCTGGCAGTTGACACTGTTCTAAAGTGCAGAAAGAAAGCAACTAAGAAATGTGAGACTAAATGGAAGAGGGTGAAACAGGGGAAGCCCTGGAACATTTAGAGTTGCGCCTTTGTGCGGACCGCGTTCCAGGCACATCCCACTTTTCTTCACCTTTTTTGTTTTGTCTCTGCACTTCTCTCTTTGAAAGACTCTCTGAAAGACCTTCTGCAAGTCTCTATGGAAGAGCATATCTGGTCTAGGATTCCGGAGTTGACCTCCGCCAAAGGCATGCGGAAATTGGCCATGTTTTGACCCAAAAAATCCTTCGTCTTCGTCCAACCTCGATGCCCACTTGCGCTTCTTAGGGCTTTTTTCCGGTATATCGCATCCCTCAATATTCATGATTTCGTCAAGCTCGCCATATTCGGGGAAACGAGATTATATCGAAAGGCATAATTCACGCTGGACCAAACCCTATTTGAATGGCGTGTGTCCTCGCCCAGAACGCATCAAATGCGTTATTTTATGTTTGCGATGCATTGCCTCGAAAGGGTAAACAGATTGCAAAAAAAAGGAGTAATAAAAAAAAGCGAACACCCGAATGTTACCTTGGGATCCATACAAAATGTGACTATGTGACTGGACTGCATGGAAGAGGATACCCGGCAACTTTGATATGATTAGCGAGAAGCACGGCGTTTTGGTTTCGGGCGAACAACCCCTGGGAGAGACGGCTAAATTCTATCGCGGTGACCGAAAGAAGGATTGTGTGATGTTTCGGAAAAGTCAAGTATATATCCATGTCCCATGTCGGCACGAACATTGCCGTTCCAAAAATGGCCGAAGCGCGAAAATCACCGGCCGAGACTGCTTCACCAATTGGAAAAATCCAAAAGAAATAAATCATGCGCAAGTGATAAATCTGGCTGGAAAGGCCCACGCTAACGCAGTGTTTATATATCGAACTCGGCAATGATTGGGATGCTTCGGGAGCCCAAGTCCCACGGAGCCTCAAAGGACCGCAAGGACCGCAACCCGCAAGGACCACAAAGCACCACAAGGACTTGGTTCCACTCAACTGATGCACCGGACATTTACTCTCCATTAATGGGGCCCCCCCCCTTTCCTCCAACCGCAATTGGCCCTCACAAGTCTTCGGCTTTAAGCGACCCTGATCCTTGAACCCTATAACTCATCGGCGAATCATCATACTGTTCACAACAGTTTCCACTGTCTCCACCGTCTCATCTGGGTCCAAGATGGCTTAGCTCGATCCTAGCCGGAGCATGTCATTAAATTTGCCCGAGAAAACCGTTACGCCAAGAGAGAGCGCGTAGTGCAATCCTTGCGAGCCCATGCAAACTACACCCACTCTTGTGGCCTTATGGATTATGTGTTCCTTTCCTAAGGACTCTCGCTAACGAGTATGGTGCCATTCGAGTCTCTACCTCCAGAGAAAAGGAGTCCATCTACTTCCTTTGGGCTATCCTATATATTGACTCCCAATTTCCGGGCAATGTCCGACCTGTTCCTGAACCTCGTCCCACAGCCTATAGCAAACTAATCCCATCTGCATTTACCTTTCTATCGGATGTCACACTTATGAACATAGGATTTCGGACCACTGGACCCGGTTTTCTCCCCCTCCCCTCCCTCTCCCGTTGCTCCACACCTGTTCCCATTTAATTATTGAAAAAAGATTCGGATTTTCTTGTTTGGTCTTATGCACAGTCTCATCTCTTCCGCATTCTACTTGGTCTGAAACCCTGTTCGCTTGTGTCGAGCCCTCGCGGCACACATCTTTCCTTTTCTCCCAAGTTTCCCCCCCCCCCCCCCCCCAAAAAAAAACATCTTGAAATCCATCTCTCCTCACCAACAACTCCCAAACACAGCACACCTCAGTTGAACACCATTCAATCACCCTCTCCAACGATTATGTCCAACCTTCCTCTATCTAGAAGCTGGCCGGAGATTCGACAGGCACTAGAACAGGCTCGGGAATCCGAAGATGGTCCTGTGAATGCCCAATCCGCCGCCGTCCTGGAGGCTGCCATTACCGAACTCTGGAATCGCATCCAGGCCCAACCAGATAGCTACGTGCTCACACAGGACGAGTTCGCCCTCTTTAATTACTTCCTTACCACGCGCTATCGTGGCTCACCCGTCGCCCAAAGTGCCGTGGCCCGTTTCTGGAATAATTATCAAGGAGCCACGAATTGCGATGGCGTCGCCAACTAGCCACGCCTGAATTGCCTGTTTATAGGTACAAGATGATAGTCGAGGGAGTCTTCCATTTCCATTTTCCGGCGGGGCTCTGCAAGATGTTTCTGGAACTTGTGCGGTACAAACACCCGGGATGTGGTGTGAGTTCAACGGTGCCCAATGCCATGCATCACGGGCCTCCATTGCTATCTTCCATCTCATTCTACTTGCATAGTACTTGTACTGGTGTTGATACTGGTATTCCCTATGGCACACGGTTCCAGCTTCAAGCCGACCAGAAACTGAGCCAGAACCAGAATCAGATCCGGCCGGGATATACCGCTTCATTTCCTTCCCTTGTGAAATCCGCACGAAGATCAATGCGATACTTCTACGGTCTACGATTCATGCAAGACAAAAAGCGATGGATTCGGGATTTGCCTTGGAGGGGGGGGGGTTTCATTGGGGTTGGATTCGAATCCAAGTGACTTGTCGAAGGCAAAGCCAGCAAGGCCAGCAAATCGAGGGACTGGTCACACCCTTCTTCCACCCAGTTCTAAAGGAAATGGTGTGATGACGGCATGCATGCCTTGTTGTTATTTTCCGCTTTGCCTCTTCTCCCTTTGGTGTACAGGGAATAAGTGTGGGCTGGCACTGATCCCTGTCTTGATTGGGACACAATACATGCGTCGGGCTTCTACAACGCAAAAAGAGGGGAACCCAATATAAGGAAGAACTTGTTAGGCTAAAAATATAATTTAGTTAATGGGAAATGATTTATTAGAGGGTTAGAATGCGGATATTAATGCTATATTTCAGTTGTAGCTATCGTTACTTCAACGGGATTTGCTATATATCTCCCCGCTTCTTTGACTTTTTTTAATGAATTCTTCCGTTTTACATTTCATTTATTTTTATTTATTCCTTAAATATTCTTAGTCTAGACACTTTGTATATTAGCCACTAATTTAGTCCGAGATAGTGTTACTAACGGGTATGTGACATTACTAGCTGCAGCCAATTCCCCGAGGCCGCTACACCAGGGGGTACCACCCGGCTGCGAGTCATTCATTAGTGCCGCGCCTGTATGAGCCACGTACGGTTAGTGTCTTATTATGTACTTTCCATGTTAAGATGTATATCCACATCATATACTCCGTACTGTCTGGCCATCCTTGGCTTTCCCTATTTTTCCCCCCCTATTTTAGTCAAACTCGCGATTTTGGCTGTAGAACGGAGCACGCGCCTGAACGGCTTCGGCGATTTTATAATCAAATTGACTAACAGGGCCTCAAGCGCCTGAATATAACTATAGATAGGTATAATAGTTATATACATGTAAACAATGCAACTTAGCCCTAAATTATTCTGTATAAATCACGTGATGACAAACCCGGATATACGGTATAATGACTTTTATGGAGTGACCAGTGACTTAAATACTACACTATCTGGCCTATTTTCAAATATTCTCTGCAAGTCGGACTTTGATAAATTCCCGGTGACCCTCCTAAAACGACAATTGGACGATTGAAGTCTAATTTTATTCTTTCTCCGCGCCAATCATGTCCAAAGGGTGTCATTATTAGTCTTCCCTGGAATTCCCGAGCTACACTTTGCTCCGGGAGGACAGGGATCCCCTGTGATATTGGGCACCATGTCCGCTTGGCTGATGAAGAGTGGCAGCCACGGAATCTCGGCTACTTGCGCATTGCCTACATCTGTGAAACCGTGCAGGAGAACTCAATTTTATTCATATACATATACAATGCAGCTGGATGGTTCTCTGCGCCTCATGTCCCTCGTACCTGCAACCGCGCTAATGCTGTACCCTGTAATCGCCCATTTCCCTCAAATCGGATTTTCTGTGGCCGTCATACTGCCTCAATATAGGGAGTTGTCGGCACATGAGAAGCTGCCTCCAACACCCTCTCGGAGGTTGTGAAAGATCGACCGAACGGAAGAATACAACCCGACAATGCACTAGTGGCGTAAGTTAATTCGATCCAGCAAATCACCGTGGGATGTAACTCACAATCAGAAACCCAAGAAACACCAGAAATATATTCACGCAAAACAGCACCCTCTGCCGCCAGGTCAGGAACCAACAACTCCGGTTCAAATAAAGCCAAAATAGCCCGGGTAGGCCGAACGAAAACCAACTAGCAAACAAGGAACTCTATTAGGAGTGATTAGTACTCCTTGCAGGTTGGGGTCAGGGGTCAGATACGTGGTACATACCGCAAGCCCTAGTACATCATTGAAAACCGGTATTCCCTCGGCGATGATCCACGACAGCATCCAAAGCGCCGCACATATCGCAGCCCACACTACCCGTGCCATGAAAGACTGGCTATGCATTGAGTTTGTTCCCCGGAAGATACGAACATAAATGAACTTGACAGCAACATGGGCGTTCACCACACCCCCGATCACAATCTATCCAGTGATTAGCTTATATCCGAAGAAGTCCACACGGAAAAATTACGTACTGTGGGGATTGCGATCGCATAGGAAATCTTTCGAAACAAGTGTCCTGCCGAATTGAGAGCAGGCGAGTTGACAGTCGGTCCAATATAGGCATATATGACAATAGCCGCCACCGTATACAAGAGCATTTCACTCATCTGCAAGAGCGCCAGAGCCTTGGGGAAGTCCCTGAGCTCCTTGAGCTCGGAGAAAAGGGTAAAGAATGCAACATGTCCTGCGTACGCAAAGATGATATTTGCAATAGCAAGGCACGCATCATGCACTTTGGACGAAGGCGAAAAGGCCGTGACATGCACTGGTCCTTCTTTGACAAGAGTGACCCCAATCATACCAGTGAGAACCGCTCCGACGATACTGACAAAGCTCACGGAGGAGATGTGAGAAAGCCTCTCGAGTCGCCGTGGAAGGGTCAACATGAACGAGGCGAGCAAACCGACAACTGAAAAGATGATGGTGCAAGAGGAATGCTCGGTGAGGACGTTCATCATGATCGAAAATGTGAGGATATGGCTCCCCATCACCAGCACAAAAAAGACGAGCTGGGCTATGTCCAGTGTAGTCCGTCCGAGCCTTCCCATCAGGAGATCACCAGCGTCGGCCATGCTGTGCACTTGAACATGGCGGCATTTGAATTGCCCAATGGTATATGCAGTATACGTCGAGACTATCCCAACCCCGAGGATGGCCAGGAGACCGCTGAACAAACAGGTTAGCCCAGCCTTTACAGTCAATGGGGAAGAAATCGTACGGAACAAGGCCCAGTACGGCAAGCGCTTTCGGCAGCGCGAGAATACCCAGCGAGATGGTTTCTGCGATCATGACTGACCGGATCTGTTAGCAAAAGCTGGGCAATATGGGCAATATGCGAGACATAGACTTACTCATACCAGCTTGCCTAGTGAAAGGATGAGCTTCGTTCTACCCATGGAAGAAGGAAACACTTACCACCATGCCATGGTCTTGTACTTCACGCCAGCTTGGCTTTCATCTCCAAAGGGATCTTGTTCCTCTGACTCTAGCTTTTGTGCGGACTCTTTATCCGAATCCAACTTGTGTTTCTCAAGTCCCATTGATGGGAGATCAACATCAGACTGAATGGGCTTCATGGTGTGCGAGTGGTAATTATGTAGATATGCATGAGAAACTGAAGAAAACGGAGAGATTGAAGGAAATGAAACTACAAGTAGATTCAGGGTCGTACTTTCCAAATATGAATGGGTGTCTTTTTGGAAAGCGTCATATTTTAGGGTTTAGGGATCTTTAGGGTCTTGAGGGTTTGGGAGTCCTTCGCAAACCCCCCTGCTTAAGAGTGCAAAGACTCGAATATTGGACAAAAAAAAAAAAGAAAAGAAGAAAAAAAGGAACGCTTCTATTTGTACAATCCCGATCTATATATACCACACATGATCTAATTGAGGGACACTGCTGGTGCTGCAGGAGCAGGAGTAGCAGCACGCACGTCACTCTCAATCATGTCGGCGGGAGGTTCTAGGATGGTCAACACTGTGGTCGAATTGTTTTTTTTTATGAGGTTTCAAAACCTACCATTACGAGAGAAGGTCGCGCGCTCGGCGTCATCAACCTGCTTAACACGACCGTTCTGGACCTCCTTGCGCGAAAGACCCATGAAACTCTTGGAGAGACCCATGGAAGAAAGGTAAGTCAAGGAATCCTTCCACTCAAGATCCTTGCGGGCGGTAGACCACTCCAATTCCTCGGCCATCATGTCAATGACGGTGGGGAGAGCCTCGAGGGCAGCTTCAGCGTTCAGGAAAGCCAGACGGGTACGACGAGCAATCACGTCGACGGCGGTCTGGGCATACTCGTGGCGGACGGCGTAGCGGACCTCACCATCAATGAAGGGGTACATGGGGGAGATGCGGCAGCCGCGCACGGGGAAACGTTCGCTGGTAGGGGAAGACAAGGCAGCGACCTGCCATGAGCGATCACCGTATGACTCGGTGAGGTGCTTGGCAACGTCGGTCTCGAGACCGAAGTGCTGGATAAGGTTGATGAAGAGGGTCTTGGAGAAACCGTGGGCACCAATGAGGCGCACCTGGTGGGTCTGGCAGCTACCGTCGAGAACGGCACCGTCAGCAACTAGGCCACTGCCGCCGACGCCACTGATATCGGGAACGGAGGTGACCTGGCGGGGCTTGAGGTCGAACGACTTGATCGCCTCATCCACAGCCTCCTCGGCCATTTGGCGGTAAGTGGTCCACTTTCCACCAGCGCAAGTCAACAGTCCAGACTTGGAGACGGTCACCAGGTGGTTACGGACGAGAGCCTCCGAGTTCTTCACCTTGGGATCGCGCACCAAGGGACGGATACCAGACCAGGCAGCAAGGACATCGCTTCGGTCCACGGTGATATCAGGGGCAATGTAGCCGCGAATCTCTGAAAGAATCCAGTTGATGTCCTTCTCAGTGGGCTGGGGCTGGGTCTCGATCTCACAGGGCTGGTCAGTGGTACCAGCGATAGTGTTACCCTGCCACGGCAGGAAGAAGATCACACGTCCATCCGATGTGGAAGGATCGATAAGACCCATGTTTGAGGGGCTGAAGTAACCAGGCAGGATGATGTGGACACCAGCACTGGGGGCCACAATCTCCTTGACACTGGGCTCATCCATCTTGCGGATGGAATCACAGAAGGGACCAGTGGCGTTGATGATACCCTTGGCACGAATGTTGAACTCCTTGGCGACCTCGCCATCCTTCTCATTGATGACGTCCTTGGCGCGTGCACCGCACAGCTTGCCAGAGGCATCCTTGTTCAGTCCGGTGACCTCCAAGTGGTTCACGACGGTGGTGCCGTAGAGCGCAGCAGTCATGGCAAGGGATACGTTCATGCGGGAGTCGTTGTGTGCACCATCTTATCGCAAATTAGCCTAAATTGTTTTTTTTTTTGGCAGGGTCCGCGTTTACTACTCACCATAGTACACCATTGCTCCAATGATGTTGTCACGCTTCAACATGGGGAAGGCGTCAATGGCCTTACTCTTGGTCAGGAAGTACGAGGTCTCAATGCCCTCGGAACCAGCCAAGAAGTCATAGGCCTTGGTACCAGCCCAGAAATAGGGAGCCTGCCACCATTTCTGAACGGGCACCATGATTGGCAGCCATGACGACAGATGGGGAGCTGTGTTCAAGAAGTACTTGCGCTCTCTGAGAGCCTCCTTGACTAGCGCATATCTGCAATGCGATTGTTAGCAAGGATGTCGGAATGCGGTCATTTCGACCCCAAAATATTTTTTAAAGAAAAAAAAGAAAAACTGACTGGTTGTAATCCAACTCCCAAACAGCCTTCTCAAGGTAACGGACACCACCGTGTACCAGCTTGGTGCTCTTACTACTGGTACCCGCACTGAAATCATCTCTCTCCACAACCGCGACCTTCAGGCCTCGGGTGGCGGCATCTAGTGCGATACCAGCTCCAGTGGCTCCGCCACCGATGATAAGCAGATCATATTCCTCCTCGTCGTTACTGCGCTTGAGGTCCTGGATCTGTTCGAGGCGAGATTTGATTGAAGGGAAACTGGGCGGGACCAGCTTGCCTTCACGGTAGCCTGGCGGGGGAACGGCGGGAGCCTCGAGGCCCGGAATATTTCGCGGACGATAAGAAATGTAGAGAACACCAGCTCCAGCAGCGGCAGCCGCGGATGTGTAAAGGAGAGGTCTCAAAAGTTTGCGCGAGTGCCGAGCGGCCATTATCTGCGGTTTTCCGTATGTACGGTGATGTAATGTGATTTAAATGTTCAAATATGCCGGAATTATTCCTTCCTAGGAATATGTACCAAAATTGGAAGATAGGAGGATTAGAGAAGAAGAATTGGTTGGGGATGGAGAGGAGAGGAGAGATGTGTTCGGAGAAGTTGAGGGGAGATGGATTACTTGAAGAGGCGAGAGGCGGGAAAACTACCTGGAGCTATTAAAAAAAAAAAAAAAAAAAGGAAAAAGATCCCCAATTCCTATAAACTTGGCAACACATTATCTATGAAAGGCAAGATATGCGACAATCAGTCTAACAAGGTACCGGATACCTGATCGCTTTACCTTCCACTATGAATACAGGGGCGTCACGGGTACAGACAGGGCTCTGCGTCATGGCGGCAGAACAGCTCACCATTGGAGCAGCTTGGCAGTGGAGATCGATGTCCCAATGCGCCTCTTTTCTCATTCTCCCACTGGCTCACTAGAGTGGGAACTCCATCCGGGTCTCTACCCCGACACATGACGCGAAGAAATTTATTGGACATTTTCCATCTCAGTTTTCAGCTCTCAATTTCTAGCGCTATGAAAAGGGATTCCCGGTATCTACGAATTTCAATGGATTCCAACGATATAAATATTATCGGGAAGCCGATTCTGCATCCATTCAGCCATTCGAGGGCCGACGCGTTTTATCTCCGGGGGGCTGCAGATCTACCTTGAGGGTCTGGACTCGATCAATCTCTTCGCGGCCACCTGACTGAGAGCTCCATGAATATGGGCCAGTCACAGACTGCCATATTGCTCCAGTTGGATCCACGCCAGGGGGCCCCAGTTATGAACACCTTGTTTGGATCTACTCCACTTGCAGGAATATTGTTCAATTGCCCCTATGCACGCATATCTTTCTTATCCTGATGTTTTATCCTCACGACCCACTACTCCACTAGAGGTTGAATTCCGGTTTTAGTCAAGAATGTTATTCATTAATAGATTGTCTTTGTAGCCTGGAATCTTTCGTCCGGTGAGTGAGTAAATCTGCCGAATGAGGCTCTTTTTTCTAGAAGGTCTTAAAAAAGGAGTCATTGCTCAAGTGGATATGATCTTCACTAGCCCCCTTCAATAATAGCGTGGTCTTGACCATCATACCATAAATTAAATCCATGGTTATAGAAAAAGGTCGTCTATGTGGTCTAGGCTTTTTACTGTCTTTTCATCTATCTAGATGTAAAACTATGGGGAGATATTTGGTAAAGAAAACACCTGGAATGACTACAAAACTACTCCCAAAAGTCGTGATAAGCCATAAGTAGCCAACTATAATTGCAAGTACTATTAAAAGAAACTAACAATGGGTTTTCTGATGCTTGGGGAGAGAAACAGAGAAACATTCCCAAAAGATCTAGCAAAAGTAGTACCTCGATTGGTGGATTTTTTACTTCAATTAGGGAAATATATACTCCGTCCAATCTCTGAAGACATTCATACCACAATATAAAGCCACAGAGCTAACCCTCAATTTCACCCAACTCAATAATATTGGTATCAAAATTCTACTAACCATCATCAATATCTAGCGAAAGAAATAACTCTATTGGTGGATATTTTACTACCAAATAGGGACAATATACTCCGTCCAATCTCTGAAGACATCAATAACACAATATAAAGCCACAGAGATAATTCTCGACTACAATATACACAGCAATAATACGAGTATCAAGATACTACTAAACATAGTAAATATCCAGCAAAAGAAATGGCTCTATTGACCGGTGGATATTTTACTATCACATAGGGGTATTTATACTCCGTCCAATCTCTGAACACATTCAGAACACAACATACCACCACAGAGATAATCCAACTACACAACAATATAATGAGTATCAGTATACTACTGAAGAAAAGAAATATCTAGCAAATGAAATATCTCTATTAATAGATATCTTACTATCAAATACGGGCATTAATACCCGTCCAATCTTTGAGGACATTTCCAACAATATAAAACCAGAGATGATCCTCAACTTCGCCCAAAAGATAACGTGAGCATCGAAATCCTACCAACCATATTGTGCATAAATATATACTAGACCAATGCACCTAGTACACCGTACATATGACCCAATGCACTCGCCAAGCGGAGGAATTCCGTAGTGCGGAACAACCTCGGCAGAGTACATCACGGTATACTGCAAAGACCTAGCAAGACATGGAGAGACCTGGGGTAGTGTGGGGTAAAAAGGCAGCAGAGAGCACACGGCGGCCTCTGTGGGACCTTACCAACACGGAAATATTCCATTCACAGGAAGCTGCGACGCTTAGAGGTATGATATTCCTAACATACTTATATATGCCCCGGCCCTGATAGGTTTACATTTTAACCTTGGAATAGGCTCACGATTATATCTGTATAGACTTCCAAGACAAAGTCTATCCCATAATCCAGCACCATGGCCATCGCCGCTGTCCTGGCCTCCCTCCAAGGCAGCGTCATCTCGAATCCCTACGGCTCGTTAGCTACCGCAGCCCTCTTCATCCCATTCCTCTATGTCATTATCAATGAGTTCATTCGTGATTCCGTCCGTGTCAAGGGTATGAAGGGCCCGCGTGGTTTGCCGTTGATTGGAAACCTGGCGCAGATTCGAACGGATGCTGCGGAGCAATATCGTCTCTGGTCGAAAATATACGGCGCTGTTTATCAGATCCAGTTGGGGAATGTCCCCGTCGTTATCGTCAACTCTGCTGCATCCGCAAAGGCGCTTTTCAGTCAGAATGCGCAGGCGTTGAGCTCCAGACCTGAGACTTATACTTTCCATAAGGTGGGTTTTCCTTGCTGCGCTGCTGCGCCATGTGCATATATTTTTTTTACTTTTTTTTTTTTTCGCAACCGAAACTGATCATCAACTCACTTAGATTGTTTCCAACACTGCCGGAACGACTATCGGTACCTCGCCCTACAGCGAGTCCCTGAAGAGACGCAGAAAGGGCGCCGCATCGGCTCTCAACCGTCCCTCCGTTGAGACATACGTGTCACACCTGGAAATCGAGTCAAAGGCCTTTGTGGAAGAGCTGTACAGATATGGAAAGCACGGAAAGACACCCGTCGACCCGATGCCCATGATCCAGCGTCTGAGTCTCAGTCTGGCCTTGACTCTGAACTGGGGTGTGCGTGTTGCGTCACAGGAAGAGGAACTGTTCGATGAGATCACCGAGGTGGAAGAAGAGATCAGTCGGTTCCGAAGCACCACCGGAAACCTGCAAGATTACATCCCTCTCCTGCGGTTGAACCCGTTCAGCTCGAACTCGAAGAAAGCCGCTGAGATGAGAGCCCGTCGCGATAAGTATCTCGGTGCGCTTAATGATGATTTGAATGATCGCATGGCAAAGGGAACACACGAGCCTTGTATCCAGGCTAATGTCATTCTGGATAAGGAGGCGAAGCTGAATAACGAGGAGTTGACGTCGATTAGCTTGACTATGCTTTCTGGTGGTCTTGATACTGTTACCACTTTGGTCGCGTGGAGTCTGGCTTTGCTGGCTCAGCGTCCTGATATCCAGGATCGGGCGGCTAAGGCTATCCGGGAGATGTACGGTGAGGATGAACCCATGTGCTCTTCTGATGATGATCAGAAGTGTGCGTATATTGCAGCTCTGGTCAGGGAATGTCTTCGGTATGTTCTGGTCTCATCGGTGCCAATGGGCTATGGATGGACGTCGAAACTAACTCCCGATATCCTAGATTCTTCACCGTGCTTCGACTAGCACTTCCTCGCACCTCGATCAAGGATATCACCTATCAGGGAATCACCATTCCCAAGGGCACAGTGTTCTTCTTGAATGCCTGGGCATGCAACTTAGGTTCGTTAAAGCTCGATACCCAATCCAAAAAACCCCCATCTAACCCTTCATAGATCCTGATGTGTGGACTGACCCGGATGAGTTCCGTCCCGAGCGCTGGCTCGAACAACCCGACGCGCCTCTCTTTACGTACGGTATAGGCTACCGGATGTGCGCCGGCTCACTATTGGCCAATCGTGAACTCTACCTCGTCTTCATTCGCACTCTCAACAGCTTCCGTCTCGAACCGCATGACGATACAGACTGCCACCCTCTCCGGGGTAACTCGGACCCGACTAGTTTGGTGGCCATTCCTCGGAGATATAAGGTCCGATTCGTACCAAAGAATGAAAAGGCTTTGTCGAAAGCTCTTGCACAGTGAATGGTGCCACTTGGTCGTTGGCATCAAGTTGGGCGGGAAGGAAATCGATTCTGCACAGAGCCAAATCCGGCCGTGGGGTGGTCAAGGGGTATACACTTGGGCTAGCGCTTGTGCGCTTGCATCTTGGATTGCTGGTTCCATACGGATTTGTTGTGTTGGGGAGTTGGGGAGTTGTGATTCTAATATATCCAGCATTCCCGGTTGGTTGACATCGGATACATCAGGGTACCCACCGGACTGACGTGGAAAATTCCAAAGATTGAGATGTGACATTGATATACCCAATCAAGAATTAAGGCTTTGGGCTTTGATCTACTGAGAACATCATTTATACAAAAAAATATATACATCATCCAAAATTCCAATTTTTGATTATAGGCAATCTGGTAGATAAACTAATTAGGGGGCTCTTGGGCCTGGATTCAACTCCTTCCAATGATCATGATATATATATAACAGTTGATGGGTATAGGGTTCGTGAGAAAAAGATCAAGTAGAGCGGGGTTGATCCACAAACAGCAAAACAGAAAAGAAATAGAAAAAAACAAATAGACAAGTATATCTTTTCCAACGGCGCCTTATTCCCATATGCGAATTATCAGAAAAGCAGTAAGGCTGCATATGCATTTGGGTGCCCTCGCCATTGTCCCGATGTGGGACGATGCGAGAGGCACGATTTTCGAGTTCAGATTCGTGTCCGAGTTTTTGAGTTTGAATTGAAATTATGTGGTCGTCATGCGTCGTTTCAGGTCGCGAACTTGGTCAAAGCAAGATGCGTAATCGCGTAATTCATCCTGGAGCCGATCGGCGAAATTGGATGCATTGGATGTGTTGCTCTTCAGTGAAGAGAGTGAGGTTTGAGATGAGGAAGCAGATAGGATTCGAGAGTTGTGGGAATCTGAGGTATTGGCGGCAGCTTGTGCTTGGGCCTGGTTGATCTCAGACCAGTGTGTCGACGATGCGCTCGATCTCCGTGACATTCCATCTGATGTATCGTCCAGTTCTGCTAGGCGGCAAGTTTGGGAACAGTAGGGAGCGCCTAGGGTCTGTCGGTCACAGACTAGGCAGAAATCCAGAGACCATTCAGTCGACATGGTTGTATATAGGTTGAGTGTAGATGATAGTGTATATGGCAATGAGGTTGAACTTGGAAGGTTGAATTGTGAGAGACTGGAAATGTTGAGATGATGAGTGTATATAATAGAGAGAAGAGAACAAAACCAAAGAGAAAGAATTAAAGCCTTATTGACATTGAAGTGTCACAGATCATGCCATAACACGCAATAAAAAGGAATTAAATATAAAAAGAAAACGAACTAAAATATGTAGGTACAAAGTACACGGCTATTGCGGGGAAATATAATCGCGCACGAGAAAGTCCACGTTGAGGAAAAAAGAGGGGGAATGTTCTTATTGGAATGGGAATTCTGGTGCTTCGGGCGCTTAAAAAAAAAAAGAGAAGAAATGTGAGAGATAAGGTACCGAGGTACCTTATATGCAAGTACCTGACATTATTTAGAAGGCTATATAGTTACTATGTTGCTATATGGCTATAGAATACTATAGAATAACTATGTAGCTATAGATCAAATAAGTAATACTTCCAGCCCAAGTATCTCAGGTGGGAAATACTTTAGGTAAAAATAGGCAGGGGTACATAAATAGGTAAACAGGTACTTAGTGTATACCTAAATAGGCCACTACAAAGTACTAAAAACGTACTAAAAACACACTAAAAGTGTTCCTAGAAAAGTCTCTACAGCCTTTTTCGCCTTCCATTTCGTCCTTTTCACCCTTCTCGCCTCCCTTTTTTCGCCCTAAAATCTGCAGGAACCTCGAACTGGCAATAAAAACCTTCTCTCTCTCGGATCGTCATAGCGTGCTGATCACCCTATTATCCCCCCTGGTCTCATGATGCCTAAAAAAAAAACTTATAAATGTCCATTCATAGTGCACATAGTGTATGTAGGTACATACGTTGTAGCTAACACTCTATCAGCCACCAATCACATCATTGTCCAAGCATCCAGTCATATCTCAGGTTTTCAGCTCTTCCTGTACCAATGATTATCTATGCATTAGTGCAGAAGTTTCCAAAAGAACTAAAATTGAGGGGAAAGAGGAATGATCCCCTTAATCCCTGTCTTCTGATTTGTCTGCCATTTTGAGATAACCGTCTGGATTTGCATGCGCCAAACTCTGCATATCGTCACGCGAGAAGTGCATTCTCGTATGTTGTAGATTCTGAGATACAAATCTTTCTGCGATAGAAGTCTCATGATTGGACTTGATCGAACGTTTCTGTCCTTTTGCTAGTCCTTTTTTGATCATCATCTCTCTTTCGGGGAATTGTCGCTCATTGGTCATACTGTCAGCCAAGCAGGTCCGAGTGCAATTTCAAAATGCATCTCGAAATGTATCTCGAAATGCAACCGTGAGTTTTGCAGCCCGATATACGCATGGGCCAAATAGCTCGGAGAGATATAACGAGCCAGCTCATGAGGTGCGCATAGAAATTCCAGCCACAAAAAAAAGATTCAGGTGGGCCACAAAAGATGAGACCGTTGAGAGGGGGTGTTTCAGCCGAGTGGCTGGAGGCGAAGGGATGAGAATTATGTCACTTGCTGATTCACTCGCCAGTATTTTCACGTGGCTCAGCTGGAATGCGAACCAGCGTTGACGGTAGGCGAGGGTCGTTGCGCGGTTTCTCCACATTCTTATTCGATTCAGTAGGTTCGTATAGTCCGCCTGCCTTGCCTAATGCAGGATAAATAGTCAGTATTGATCGAACGTGGGGAATTCCAACGTTAGAGAATAGCACTTACTTGAGGCAAGAGTAATGGCCCTAATCACATTATCCCAGTTGGAAAGCACGTATGCAACAGCTTGAATAGAACAATTAGCGACCAGGCCAAATCAAGGGTTAGGTAGGCCAAACCTTCGGTGCCATCTTTCAGAGTCGAGATCTTATTATCCAAAGCTTGCATCTGAATCGCCAAGGTTCCACTTAGATCGCGTAGTTGTCGCAAGTTCTCTAGCTCAGCCTTTTTGGCTGCAATGCGGGCCGACAGGGCCGAAGATTGTTGCGATTGCGAACCACTGGGTTGGCGCATAGATGAACCACCAGGAGCGCCTGGAAGCTTTGAGGTTGGTCGTGAAGAGTATGCCATTATGGGAAAGTTGTAGCGAGAGCAAAGCAGGTACGAGGTGAGGTGAAGAGGTACGAAGAACGCGATCTCTCAAGTCCCCGCGTACCTGAACAACACTACCCACGGGTGGCTGACCTCCAGCTGAGTCATCAATTAGACACGCTAAACCCAAAGCGGACAAACATCAACAAGGGCTTGGCATTCAACGCTGTTTACTTTCTCTCTCTTTGTATCTCCATACTCAGGACTTAATTCCCCCCCCCCCCCCCCCCTAAATACACATGGTTATTTCCTGGTGTGTAATTTGTGGACTCGATATCAAATTCAAGTTCATTTCATCTACACACCAGGATTGTCTTTCAACCCATCCGATTACGCGGTGGTCGCTACCCCCCAGCCTACACCATGGCTCGGTTGAATGACTATGCGGCTCCTGCCGAGTCCATTGAGGCCTGTAAGTTGGCGCAATATACCATTGTACTACAATATTCGAGCTAGCAGTTGACTTATAACCTCCTTTGTTTCTATCCAGTGAAACGACGATTTGTGCGACAAAACCGTGAGATTGCGAGAGTGAATTCCTTGCAATCCCTTCGTATTCGCAGCCTAGAATCGGAAGTTTCGCATCTACTTTCAGAGAATGTGTCACTTCGAAAACAGGTCATCAATCTCACCCAGGAAACCGAAAGACTGGAAGCAGGGAAAATGTTGCAAAGTGGAATATACGACATTAAATCCAAGCTAGATGCGAAACTGGCCGAGTTGAGCAGTTTGGCGGCAGATTTGGGATCATTGCCCCGCAACGTGACCAAGATTTGTGGCGAACAGTTCGATCGGCCAAAGCAAGCACCAGAGTCGAGGCCTAGGACAGAAGACATGATGGAAGGCGAAGATGGAAGACTTCCTGCCATTGTTGAGGATAAATATTACCCTAGGCGGACTCTGGAGTAAGGATCTGCGAGATTGTCGGGTTACTTCCCAGTTGCTAACACCTTCTTTAGGCCCCAAGAGCTTGACAGCCTAGTCCAAAGCGATCACAGCATCTTAGATTCCCCGCCACAGTTCACCTTTATGCCAGAGGAAGGAGATGCACTCATTGAAAATTCAAGCCCATCGCCACCAGAATCAACATTCAAGAATCACTTAAACAGCGACATACCCGAAGAACCTGAACCAATACTTCCTCCAACCCTCGAGACACGCAAGAAGAAAAAGAAGTCGAGTTCGATCATTGCGCCTGAAATTAGCCCCGCACCAATAGACCGACAACCAAGTCCACCCATCGATACCACACAGCACGCACCATTGGTTTCAACGAAGCGAAAATACATACCCGAAGACGATGACCGATTCACGTCCAACCTTAATGCCGACGATGACGAATTCCAATTCACTCGGCCCAGCCATAGCCCAAAAAAGCAAATGAACCCATTCGAAGATACACAGCGAGACCAGTCACCCGCCAAAAGTCATGTTGACGTGACAAGAGGATCAAAAACCCCTGTCCTGGCTATGCGGAGGGTCCTCGAACCAAGTATGTTCTACTGTCTTTTATTCCATCCCTACAATGAGTGTGTGTAGCTAACAAATGGAACAGAGAGTGCAAATTCTAATCTAGCCTCTCCCAAGAAGGCCCGCATGTCTTCATACGCAGACTCTAAGCTTCTACAAAGGCCCACCAAGGGCGATGAGAATACCAACTCCCCACAAAAAGTCACAGATGTTGAGAAACTCAGTGGCAAGACTATCAACCAAAAGCCGCGTGTGTCCAAAATCGCTCCTTCAAGCAAAGAAAAGCGCGCCAGTCGCCCTGCCCCTCCCCAGCTAGAAGAGCCAGCCCCGCGCCAGCCAGCACTATCACCGCATCCGAATGTAATGAAGACCGAGGAAGAGTCTACAACTCGGCCTTCCCGACGTCGTGGTGCTGTAGTTAGCTATGCAGAGCCTAACCTACGGGACAAGATGCGCCGTCCTACCAAGGAACTGATCGATGCTGTTGCACTTGGATCGCGAAGGTCCTCCAGTTTCCAGACAGGACGGGACAGTTTGGACGGCGGAGAGGGTGGTCTCACCCAGTCTCATGGCAGTCTCCCTGCTGATTTCACTCTCGCGGCGCGGAGCTCAGAACTGTCCTCCGCGGATGGATCCTCCGAACAGCTACTATCAATGGTCTCCCGGAGAAAACGTAAGGTGTCCTCGGCACCACAGGATGACAGCAATGCGGGGAATCCAAGCTCTGGCCTCCAGAAAGAGATTGAGGATAGTCTCGCAGACATCTCGGCCCAAGTATCTCAAGAACCATTGAATTCGAGACGTCAGCCTCGACGTCACTCGTCCAACCCCAAAAGCGCAACTGCAAACACGGCACAATACGAGGTGGACCAGGCGGAACCACAATCCCCAATCGGCGACTCTCCAGAAGATGAAGACTCATTTGGACCGGGACCAAACGGTTCTACAATGGACACTAGTCACGTCAAACGTGGTCAGCGCGTTGCTGCAAGGAGAAAAAGCATGATGGTGTGATATCCGCCTTAGCGCTTGCAGAAAACAAGATTTTCTCTATTCTTTTCCTATGTACAATCATTATAGACCGGACCGGGCTGCAGTTATGTTTCAGATACCCCCTCACTGCGATCCCGATCTTCTCAATGCAAATTTCATTCTCTTGTCTACCCAACTTCTGCATGTTTCAAGTACGCCAAGTAGCTCTTCCAAGGTCCATTTAACCGGCGCGTCGCATGCACCGTGCCGTAAATGGATTCGGCATGCAATTCCCCTGCCTCCTGGATCATGCCATTGTATCTTTTTCCTGCACGCCACCGGAACGGGTTTGTCTATCTCGCAGCGTCGTGCAAATGTCACACACATCATGCACAGATATAGATCCGTCAAACTCACCCGCAAGTAGAATATACGACCCCCAGCCAGGATGATTTGTGATATCGCATGTCCAGGATCGGGCCACACCCAATTCTCGCCTTTGGTTTATTTTATCTTGCTTTACTCAGTTGCCCCCTCATCTCACATTACCCTTGCCACCCAGAACCCCCCAAAAAAACAAATCAAGTACCCCGCGGAAGATTCTGATTCTGATTCTGGCTCTGACTCTGATTCTTCGACGGCTTAGGCATCTTCTCGTACGCATTCGGACTTGGCTTCCTGCGTCTGGTCTTGGGCTTAGAGCCGTGATCCGAGGAACAAGGGTGGGACGTGTGCTCGTCGTGTTCTCCATGTGAGTGTGGGTGGCGAGCGCGGTTGACTCGCGCAGTGCGACGGTCGTCTTCGGAGTCCGTGTCGCTGTCTGAAGAGCTGGAGGAGGACTCTTCTGAGCTGCTTTCACCTACTGGTCGGGCTTTGTGGTAGATGCAGCATACTGTGGCGGTTAGTATGTGATTGTTGCGGGGAATAAGAATAATTGGTATGGGTAAGTAGAATGGAAATGGAAATGAATAATGGAAATTGAAATACACACCTTTTGAGCTCTTCCTGCCCATTCCTTCATTGTCTACGACATCGTCACTCCATCTGATTCGTCGGGAAGATGAGGTTTCTTCGCTGGTGTCAGTTGGTGCTTCCTCTGCTCGTAATCTGAGGGTTGTGGGGATGTGGGATGTTGAGGAGTCTGAGGTTTCTGTGGTTGTTTGGAATTGATTTGAGGATATTGGCTGGCGTGTTCGAGACATGTTGTGATGGGGATGGAATGTAGAGGTGAGTCGAGTGAATCAAAGGATTGTAACTGATGGCGGGAGCTTTTTCTGATGATGCAACTGATAAGGATTCACCGCCTTCTGATCTCCCCACATGCAAAACGTATGATATATAACTATTCCTCTAGAGGCCGACGACATTTGTTAAATGAGGTTAGCAAGGTATTAATATTCAAGTATTCATTACATGTTGTAGAATAAGACTGAGCTGAATAACGGTATGATCATATTACTGTCTGGCCTCATGCTTCATGCTAGAACCCCCTTTATTGTTCCAGGCGAGTACAAGGATCCATAATGGTCTAAATTTACAAGTGGATTGTCCACTTCTCATAGTTTTGAAATTGGAAATATTTTTTTAATCATTTGACGTTAAAAACCATCAAACAAGCTCGCGCCTTGGATAGGCCGAGTACACGTAGGTAAATCCGTTCCGTGTAGAGCCGTGATGCACCAACCTCGAAGAACCCGCTCAGCCGGGAAATGGGTCTGGTCTATCTCGCATGCCCGATAGCCAACCAAGGCGGGGGGTGGTAAAAAAGAAAAGATAAAAAGATAAATTCACACACATCTTTCCAGAGCAAAGTCTCCTATGTTGCGACAACATGGCATCCCATGATTTAGAGCTCGTAGAAGGACCAGCCGTCAAGGCCATCATTCTGGGAGGTCAACCTTGATTCTTGCTCATGCCCAGGGGAACCAGTAGAGCCAGCAACAAACTCGGTACGCAGTTCTTGGTCCAGTCATAGCTCATCCTCCTGGTCCATCTCCGATGGCTTCAACAGGCCTCCGACCTTCATAGCTCGGTCACGCTCGGCGGTCTGGGCATCACGCACCGCCTGTTCCCGTTCTTCCGCATACAGCTCCGCATTGTCATCGGAGAACTCTTTCAGGGAAATCAAGAAATCACGAAGGTGAGTCTTGAATTTGTTCAGATCATCAGTATAGGCAAACAGCCCGATAACAAACTGCTTGATTTGTGTTCTGGTGGGGAGGAAAAGTCAGTACGGCCTAATGAATTTCAACTGATATCGAGGGAGCTTACTCTTGAAGATTGCTGAATGCATTCTTGAGCAGATTTGCGATGTGTTCCTGCAAGAACTCCTTGTTGGAAGTTCCGGCCGGGGCTTGGTCGGGGGAATAGATGGGCTCCTGGATCTTGCCGGATTCCACAAAGTAAAACATGCGCGATAGAAGCATCGCCTGGGATTTGAACCCTAAAAAATCACATTGTAAGCTTCTTGCTTCATGTCACCGACAAAAGGATGTTACTTACCAGCTTTGTGATCGCTATCCGTGAGGACAAAGAAGACGTCCTGGAGAATTGGAATATAAAACTCGCGGAAGAAAATGCTCGATGTTTGCTGGTCAGTTTCGGCCATGTTGTTCATCAACTCCAGGCACATTGTAAGACCAGTGTTCTCCACCTCGCGGTTATCATGCTTCGATGCCCACATGCAGGAATCGATGACAAACTTGAACTGCGCAGCATCAAGCTTCAGAAGTGCCTGGAAGCAGTACAAATTAACAGCTTGGAGCAATTTAAAGAACTCGACCCGGTGCTCAGGGTATTCGTGGAAGTCCTTGTTGATCATCTCAAGAGTGCAGTTGAAAACGCTGTCCATGATAGCTGGAATCTTATCCTCCATCAAATTCTAATTAATTCGTTAGCAAGGTGCAAGTAAGCGATGTTGCTGGGCCATCAAGCAAAGGACATTGCTAGTCATCAAGCCAGACACGCAGGGAGAAAAGAACATACGTGAAGTTTGTGGATGATAGTAGTCATGGCATTCAAGACCTCAGCCTCACGCGCATCGGGGACGTTCCGGGCATAATCAATCAGCACAGCCTCCATGAGCGGCGGTACCATGCTGGCATTGACCATCTCAAGGTCATCTGACTTTTCCACGTAAGTATCAATAAGCTTCAAGATTTCTTTCTTGATGGTCCGAAGTCCTCGGACCTTGGGCGTTTTCGGTGCAATGGCTCCTGCTTGATGAGTTAGCAAAAGTGATTCGGGTATTCATCAGGGGTGAATTGGATTGATTACCATCACTTGCAACAGCGTCGTTAATCAGCTGACTGGCAGCACGGTACATATTCAACATGTCGTGATAGATCCGGCCAATCTGAGAATAAAAGTAGGTGCCAATCGAGGAGCAAGCCGCGACATTAGTCTTCATGATGTTTCCGACAATCTTGATCGTGTTAGCATCTTGGAGAATCGCCGGGTTTTGGTTTGCCTCAGCAATAATCTGGTCCCAGGCGGCATTAGGAAGCGCCATCAAGTTCTCGGTCAAGCGGTCTTGGAGACCCTTTTGGCCTTGAGCTGAGATCATGTAACCACAGGCTTCGTAGAACGTGTGAATCTGTTGCGGGGAAAGGTCCATGGTGATCTTCCTCATATTTCGCACAATTTCTTCGATGAAAGGTTCGGTTTCACCAGGCTGGAGTGCCACGAAGTGCCGTCTGCACTTGTTGGCGATCTTGATGAACGTATCGCAAGCCATGTCTTGGACACCTTCGTGTGTCTCATGCATGAACTCGAAAAGCTTGTTGACAACCGTTTTCAGGAACTTCCAGTGAGCCTTCAAGAACCGGGGATATTGTCCCACGATGTACATGATGTTACTCGCCACCACGGCTTTGTTGTCCTTTCCGCGCTTCTGCTCTGTGAGACCAAGGAGATCCTTGATTACGGTTACCAGGAAACGTTTCTCGGTTTCTTCGTTCATGGCTCCAGAGATAGAACCGATAGCCCAGCACAGCGTGTTGCAGTTCACCCATGACCATTCAGTTCCATCAACTTGCTTAGCCAATTTATCAATCATGATGGTCTCTGTATCAACCACGTCAAGATGGGTCAGATAGACCAAGCACTCGCGTATCGTCTTGTAAAGCTGAATGGTGTCGCTTTCCTTGACAAATTCGCGTACAATTTCACCCTCGTCGTTTTCAACAACCAAGACTTCTTCTGGGCGGACCATCTTCTCAATCATAACAGTGCGAAGGTTTGTTAACACAGTCTCATACTTGTGCTTGCGCAAGGGGTAGTTCGCTAGGGTATTGGGATTGGGTGCGCCACCGTTGGCCAACCCACTAACGCTCATAGATACCAGCGGGTTGATGTCGGTAATTGGGAGCTGTTGCATCTCTTCGTAAAGTTCTTGCACCAGTCTTGTCCAGTAGTCCAAGCAAATTTTGAAAACCTCCCGATCATCGATCTGGCTGACTCGAATCAGATAGAAATGTGCGTGGGTGAGGTAATCTTGATTAGGCAACTTTTCGATAAGCTAGAAAAGAAGTTAGAATCAAACAAAAAAACAAAAAAACAAAACAAGTCGCTGGGGAGAAAAGGAGGAGCGTACATCGAGGTGAGCACTGAAAAAGCTCGAGAGGAACAAGGCCAAGTTTGATACAAACTCTTGGTCTCTTCCATTGCTCATAGCGTATGTCTGCTTCAGGTCCAGTGAGAGAGGAATGACGTTGGAAACGGTGGTGAGGGTCTCGGTGAACATGTGCACCAATCGTTCGTCGTAATTGTAAGGAGTGCCAATTTGCAAGCCACCAATTTCAGTCAGACACTTCAGGGTCACATTTCGGAATTCGGGTTCTCCAAGGAATCGGGTGAGGAGAGTGTTGATGATGGGTGTCTCGAAAATATAGCCCAACGGAATCCAGTTCAAAAATCGAAGAAGAGTCTCGAGGGTCGCTTTCACTAAGCTAGGCTGGTTGGCAGTATTGAGAACCTCGGAACACAGTTGGAAGATAGAGGCAAATTCGGAGGTCATGGATGTCTTCAGGTTCCGTGCCTTGGCAGAGGTCATTTGATCTTGCGAAAAATCGAAGACTTCCTCCGACAACAGACGGAGAATTGTCATGTTATTTTCACAGATCGAAAGGCTGGCATGGCAAGAGGAAATGATCTCGTTGATGAAGGTAGGCCAGTTGTGCGGCCATTCTTGCTTCAGAATGGAGACGAGAACGAGATTGAGCTTGTTCAACAGAGGGCGCTCCGATTGAATCTTTTCTTCGGATTCGGAGTTCTCGAGAATGAATCTCACGATGAAATTGCGGATACCTATGGAAGAGCAATCTCAGTATGGGCGGGAGACAGAACCACGAGGTCATTGTATTCTTACCTTGGCATTGGTCTCTTGGTAGGACCTTCCACCGGGTCATAATCACATTGTCCAAGACTTGGAGAGCAATGTCTATTCAGGTCAGCAAGTCTTTTTTTCTCGGCATTTGAAGGTATGGTGGGGATTGTCAAAGATTTAAAACACACATTTAGTTTGAAGGTATGAAGCCTCTTGGAGGATGTTGCCCACGGTGACCCAGGCATCGGGATTTTGCTTAAACTGGAGAGCACAGGAATAATTAGGATTCGATTCATATGATGTTTCCGGAGGGGGTTTGCGAGCTTACTTCTGTCAAAGTCTGCTGTGCTTGATTTTGCTAGACGCGGTTACTTTGTATTAGTGTTGTTCCAGAGCTTCACTGAGGGGTTATAGAGAATATGTATGGATTCTGCAGTCCATGTAGTATAGAGCATATGATTCAACTTACCACGGCACCTTTGCCTTCAAACAAAGCTCGGACCGTGTTGTCCAGCTCTTGTACCGAAATCGACATCCCGGCGAAGGCTGGCGATATCGCCTCTTATGACGGAATGGGGTTCGAGAAAGGAAAGTCAAAAGTGGATGTTGATGAGGAACCGCCTAGACAGGATATGGGTTGCCAGGGCGGCTGCAGGGCAGTATCAAATAATAGAGGGGAATGAGAATCAAGTGTGATCAGTGGGGTAGAGATCCTTTAGAGGGGTTGGGTCAGCACGATGTCAGGACGAGAAATGATTGGATGGGGAGGGGAACAAGAGGGGGGGGAAAGATCAGTCTAGGTCAAGACTCACCAGACTCTGAAGGCAGCAAAAAAAAAAAAAAGACACGAAATTGGGGGTCAAAAAAAGGAAGCTATCGCAGACTCTGGCGGTGAGAGCGCGTTGGATGTTTGAACTTGATCTCTCCCGGTGTCTCGTTGATGTCTTAGTCAGCATAAGCTCTCTCCAAGGACTCCGCCAAGAAAATTGTGTTTACCCAGCTTATATACCTTACTAGTAGTACTCCGTATTCCATACATCGTATACAACAGCGTATAGATTCCCCGGGGCTCCCATTGTATTATTAATATCATTTTACACATATTTATGACAGGTGTTATAAGAAAAGTGATAGTGATAGTGATAGAATTCTGAGAGTTAGGCTGAATCAGGTGCCAATAATCTATATATGTGTATAATACTATACATTCAAAATATCCAATATCTATGCCATATACTCCAAAGCAGAAAGAATTCGACAGTACTTCGTACCTCGTACTACTCGGCTTATTAAAACAAAGAAAAGTCGTCTAAACTCACTGAAAGCGCCATGAGGTATCCGTGCCCAGCCGACTGCTCTAGTGATTTTAGTTTCTTGGTCCTAGCGCCGCGGCACGCTGCAGTCATCAATAATTCCCGAGATGGGCGCCAGATCCATGAAAACTCAGGCTTTTAGAGAGATTGAAGAAGAGAGAGGGAATAAAATAATCTTGTAAATAAAATAAAATGGAATTTGGAATAAAATATACCAAAAAAAATAACACCAAACAGTCAAACACTTAAGCGCATAACCGCCCATTATGCGCGGGACACCGCGTACACGGGCGCCAATGGCGAATGTGGGCAAAAAGGAAATTGGAGGGAAAAAAAAAACTGGGAACGCGCGCAGAAAAGAGTAAGCGGATGGACAAATGTCTCAGACCCGCGCCTCACTAGAACACGGCTGATCGCTTCTCCGATTGGTGCTGCCTGTGACGCCGTCATTGCCGATCGCGCGCCAACTTCCCCTTTCCCTCTTTTCCCTCGAGTTTTTGGAGAGCGAGATTACTCTTTTTTTTTATTTTTTATTATATTTAATGTACTTTTCTTGTCAGAATAGAGAGAGAGCGAAGGCCCTAGCTCGGTGTTTTCCCCTTCTCTCTTATTAGTCTCCCCCCCTCCCTCCTCTTCCCCATTTTCCCGTTTCCTCTCCTTCGGCTTTCTCTCTCTCTTATTATATTTGAGCCTTTTGCAACTTTCTTTTTTTTTATCCTTTTTCTATTAAAAAAACAACTTGTGTTTCCTTGCTCTTTTCAACACATCTTGTATACTACTTCTGATAATCTCCCGATTTCCTCGCCCCACCCGCGGGTCTTACTTGCAATTCCACGCACCAACAAAGAGCTTTGACTAAAGATATTGGAAGTAGTTCTGGAACTTTGAGAGCTTCCGTTCTGCTCTCTTTGAGACTACTTCGCAGATTTGAGAGCTTTTTCTTGGCAATTGAGTTGGCAACTTCGCCTCTACCATATACTTGAATAGTCAGTCTCTTGCACCTCTCCGGTGTAACCTCAGCCCTATTCTTCGTGATATCTGGTTTCTCTTTTCTTGGCTTCTATCATGACGGCTCTTGCTGCTGTACCCGTTATGAATAGTAGTCACGATTCTGGGGCCGAAACGGGGACGGAACACAGCCCATCCCGATTTACCGCAGTCAATGGCAGAGATCCCGTGGTCGCTGGGAATGGGAATGGCAATGGGCCAGCGCCCATTCCCATTTCCAATGGCGAACGTGCACCGACCCAGGAAAAGTCCAACTTAGATCCCAATCAGCAAGAGGACCGGGATGATCCTACCAATGATCAAAAGTGGTCACAAAGATCCTCTCCAAGCGGCTCTCACAACAAGAATAAGAGAAAGAGATCAGAGTCCCAGGAACGAGATACCCCGAATCCCGAAGCTGTGAACGCCTCTAGGAGTCCCAACCGTCCCGAGAGCAATCAACCCAATCCGAATGGCAGCATACCAGGGTCGGTCTCGGAGATGGATCGTGGCAATCATTCTGCAACACCGTCTCATCGGTCTGATGGCAATGATGCGGGCCAGACCTCCGCCAATAGCCCTTGGTCAGAATATGATTCTCAGCTCATCACCCAGGCACAACGGGCCCAGCAAATAGATGCATCAGATGCCCATCTAGCAGACGCGCTTCAACGCGAGACGGGACAAGAAAGATCCGTGACAAATCGCTCGACTCCTGGCACTCAACAGCCATCCTCTCCTAGTTTTGCGCCAGATCGAAATGGTGCAATGCAGGTGGCTCCAAAGAGGAAGCGGGTATTTAGTAACCGGACGAAGACAGGCTGTATGACCTGCCGCCGCAGAAAAAAGAAATGCGACGAGCAACATCCAGCATGTAAGTCTACTTATGGGTTATCTCCTCCGTTCTTTCCCTCCCCCCCTTATAAACTATTCCCTGTCCAAATTCAAAAGGAGCGACATTAATGATGAATTGTAGGCAACAACTGTCTTCGCGGAGGTTTCCTGTGTGAAGGGTATTCATCCCGAAGTACCTGGCAAAAGCCGTCTAGTTCAAAAACCCCAATTCCTTTGCAATCCAAAGAAGGCTATTCGGATATAAATGGCCCGTACATGCAAGAAACGCCTCGACACCAAGAGCGACAGCCTAATCTAGTGGAGCAGGTCGACGCGACCAAAATCAGACCCCCTAGTGGTGGAAGAAAATGAGCGCCCTGTTCAACAATACAACACCAGCCCGACACATACACCAACCAACCATGCGTGGTCAAAACAGGCTTGGCCAAGTGCCGGCCCGGCAGCCGCGCCCAATACCACTCATCCCCCTTATCCATCCGAACCCATGACAAAAGTCGTCGATTATCGGGAAGTTCCACCCATCCACGAGTTATCGCGGGAAGCACGTCCCAAACCCGACTATCCGGTGATTTCTTCACTTCGGGATCTCGGTCATCCATCTCATCCCAAATCCAACATGCCTCTCTTCCAAAATGGGCCCGAGCAACGAACATTGCCCGCGGCTTCTGTGGACACCCATAGTCCCCAGGCGCAAGCTCGGATGGCACTTAGCATCGAGCATCAGCTCTCTGGCCGTACCGTCTCGAGCGACGAGACCGAGAAAGAAAAGATGATCAGAGGCAAACTCTACCGACCATTCGACGTCCACCTCGTAGAGGAAAGAGATCGTTGCCGAGGCGCACTGTGGAAATTCAACAATGCCTGCAATCCCCTCACCGGCATCAGTTCTAAAGAGCAAAACCGCCTCCTAAAAGAAGTCATCGTACCCCCGGCCAGTTCCATTGTCAACTCACCATCTGGAACGGGCGCCACTCGCTCTGCCGGATCCATCGGCCAAGGCGCGGTCGTCCAGGCCCCCTTTAGTTGCCATTATGGTTACAATATCCACCTCGGCGAAGATGTCATGATCTCAGAGAACTGCCTCTTTGTCGATGACTGTGTTATTCGCATCGGCGCTCATACGTGGATAGGCCCTAACGTCAAAATCATTAGTTCAACTGCTCATCCCAACATGCAAGAGCGCAAAGGCTCGCAAAGTCGCTACCAAGGTCGTCAGGTCATCATCGAAGAAGATTGTTATGTCGGCGCCGGCTGCATCATCTACCCAGGAGTTCGTCTTGCTCGTGGTGTTTATGTCGCCCCCGGAGAGATTGTCAACGCGAACATTGCAGCTTACATGTTTCAAGGATCAAAGCCCAGCTTTGCTATGTGAACGAAGTGACGTTTGATTTTTGTATGTGGAAATACCGAATGTCCTTCCGCTTTGGTGCTGGTCTACCAACGCCTATACGTGGGAGGAGGAAAATTTATGACTCCCCATGGCTTGCTTCTGGTTTGATTTATATTTGATTTTGATATCCACTGTCGCTGACGAATGTTTTTTTTTCTTAAATTTGTATGTTATTAGCCTTCCCTCTCGGCGAACCAGGTGCCATCTTAGTTTATACACAATGCCTCTGCATTATTTATCTCAATTCAATCTCAAATCTTTTTTTACAAGGCTACAAGGTTCTAAATGTCAATAAAAAATAAAAAATCAGATGTCTGCTACAATGTGGGTTGGAACAAAAAGAAGAAATTAATAACATTGTATGATAATAAGGGGTAATCGTTAACAATCAAGAAAATGGAGACATCATATCGCATCAGGGGAATCTATCCAGTTTTCAAGGAGCATTTTATGTTCATCTGTTCATACATCCGACCCATCATAGATAGGAATCAAATGTAGAAATGCAATCATGGTAACCAAACGAAAATAGGGAAGTCCGAAAATCGCACTTTTGGAGTGGAGATAGTGTAGAAAAAGGAGGAAATGGAGAGTTGAGTGAACCAACTAAAGCCAGTCGAGGAATTCCGGAACGAAATAACTGATCACAATGCCAGCGCCTGCTCTCAAGATGCCTTCAGTGCTTTCGAAGGCCATATCCTTGAGGTTGAAGACGCCGGCCTTGGCAGCGGCATGAATCATTGCAAATTCACCGCTGACCTGGTAGGCGGCGACTGGAAGATCCGGCGCCAAGTCCTTGGCATCCCGAATGATATCGAGGTAGCTGCTGGCTGGCTTTACCATGATAATATCTGCACCTTCGGCCATATCTCTCTGTATCGCACGTCGGGCAAGACCGCGACCGCCAGGGGGAAGCTGGTAGCACCGACGATCTCCGAATGAGGGACAGGAGCCCGCGGCATCACGGAAAGGTCCATATAAGCAGCCGCTGAATTTAGCACTGTAAGACATCAAAAGTACACGGTGCGCCAGGCCAGCTTCAATCAACTTGAGCTTGATAGCCCGGATTCTGCCGTCGTTCATGTCGGATGGGGCCACGCAGTGCGCTCCAGCTGCCGCGTAGGCAATGGCTACATCGGAGATCCGGTCAACGGATTGCGCGTTGTCGAGGGTTCCATCTTCGCGTAGGATACCGCAGTGACCGTGCGACGTGTACTCGCAGAGACATACGTCGGTTGTAATATAAAGTTGAGGGAAACGGGAGCGCAGAAGACGAATAGCTTGAATCACAGGTCCATCTGGGTCATCTGCGGCGGTTCCAAGTGCATCCTTGGCGGACGGGTGAAGCGGAACACCAAACAGCATTACCGAGCGCAGCCCCTTCCGAACAAGGGGTGCAAGGAAGGGAACCAGGCGATTGATTCCGCGACGGCATTGATTAGGCAATGAAGGAATTAATGTCTCCTCGTCTGGGTTGTCTGTGATGAATAGCGGATAGATAAGCATATCCTGTAGAGGCCAATATTAGTAATGAGTCGCTAGTGCGATTTACGTGTCCCCTAACACCATTGAGGAGCGCACCTTTGTCAATTGTCTGTCGGCTTGCCATGCTCTGGTCAGGGGATGACTGTATCCCGAATGCAGTTGACTGGAAACTTCACCAGAAATGCTGACGCTTGTCGCTGTGGTGCTGGCATAAGACCGAGCGGTCGCGTGAGATCTGTGAGATCGAGCGTGAGAGATCTGCGAGCTGCCATCATCTACACGCGCATCACGAAAAGCAATGTCGGAGACCAAATTTGAGAAAGACATGTTTGAGAGAGAGGAAGGTGTACAAGGAAGAACAGTAAGATCCAAGGGTGGAATTTAAGGGAATTAAGAGGCCGAGGATAAGGTGAATATCACCCACTATAATTGGTTGACTAAGCCTTTCACCTCCCGCATTTTGCCACTCGAAGTCTGCCGAATATCCGTTCCGGAGAGATTAGATCGTCGAAAGACATCGATGAAGGCTGTGCATTATTTAAGGCTATGTGGGGTATACAAGAATAACCTCTTTGTGTGGTCTTGTTATGTCTTTCTTGTGGCCTTTTTGGATCTCTTCTTACATGTCTTCTTAGATATCCCTCCCCTCTTGTTATTAGTGTAACTAGAAGAATGAGCATGCATAATGAGCTGCATACATGTAAATACATTTTTTCCTACGGAGTACTCCGTACATGCATGGCAACGGAATGGACCTCGGGATGGATGAATTTTGTACTGACTAATCATGCTTGTGGCGAGCCCACCTGGTCCCTCAGGTAAATCCGAGGTCTCACTTCCCTGTCAACTTCTCCAGCCAACTACTCCACCCACTTTGATAGCTAGCCAATTCATACAATCCCTTCCAAGCCTCAAAATTTGGCTGTGTCTCCACTGTGAATCCATACTTTTGAATATCCAATTGATCCCACCCCTTCGGTTGCTCAATATAATCTCCATTTGTACTACCTTCCAGTTCACATGTCCGTTTAGCCCCCGCATCTCGAAGGATCCGGATGACTTCTGGAAATGACCTGTACGATTCAGCCGCACGTGCTGGTGGACCCTGGGTCACATCGTAGACGAGGTTCTGCTCCAGTGCTTTGGTGCGTGCCGCACCAAGTTTGTAAGATGCCAGTCCCTGTATGTATGCGCGCCGGCCGAGCTCAGCGGAGTGGAGGGCTCGATCTAGAGGTGTGCATGTTGAGAACTTCGTTTTGATGGGCTTATTGATGTGGCAAGTCAGACCAAGAGAGAGGAGGAGCTTTAGTGTTAGCGGTTTTCCCTTTTCTGCGGCGGCGAAGAGGGGTTCGTTGCTGTTGGGATTATGGAGATAGTGGTTTGTGTAGGCCTTTTGAATGTCAGGGCTAAGATGGAGGAGAATATCCCGGATGAGGTCGTGACTGTCTTGGTCATTGAGAACCTTATTATTGGCAATTATATAGAAGATGTCTCGCTCTCGGCTGTTGAGAACGAGGGGATCGGCGCCTTTCTTGAGCAAGAAGCGGCAGCGTCGTGCGGGGTCGAGGTCTGTATCCAGAGCTATCGCTAGTGGGGACTCGCCCTGACCGGTCTTTGCGTTGATGTCTGCTGGAGGAGAATGGGCGAGGAAAATCTCGCATGCAGCCTCGAATTCGTCCTCCGGGTGATAAATGGTTGTTAAATCATGGAGTGGAGTAGCCTTCGACCAGTTACGGACGTCAAGGTTCGGCATAGCCTTGACTATCTTTTTCAATGTCGGTAGATATGAATCGGTATAATCCAGACGTGGTCCAACGATAGAGACCCATGAATGCAGAACTGCATCTCCCGCAGTCAGGATGGATTCCTCCAAATCAGCTCCAGCGTCCAACAATGCACATATAGTACCCCCATCCCAGCAACCTCGATCGGCCGCCGCTGCAATGGGAGTCAGGGCAGGTCTATTCCTATTCTTGGCGTTGATGTCTGCACCAGCCTTGACCAAAATCTTGACCAAGTCAGCGGTCTGCTCCAAATGATGCTCCCAAGTCCCATGGCGGATCCAGTAATGCCAGTGATAGCGCAAATAGCCATGTCGGTCAGGGAAGTACTCGGTCATTCCGTGCAAGTTATTTCGTCCCCTCGAGTCGAGCAAAGTGCCGTCCGCACCATGAGATGTCAGATATCTGGCTATGGTAGGCTCACCAAAGAACGCTGCCAACGCAAGCGGAGTGGTTGATGCGTCTAAGCCATGATAGATTGCGTTGACATTGGCTCCGAGAGAAATGAGAGTCTCGATGGCTGTCATGTTGCGGAAGAAGCATGCCCAGTGAAGAGGCGATCCGTGTGGAAGTTCAAACGGACTGACTTGTCAGCTTGATGTTGGACACGGAGAAGAGAAACCTACTAATGAAGGATCTGGATCTTTTCTGCGAATCCACTGGTGTTTTCCTTGACAGGCTCCACCAGTGCATTGACATCTGCTCCTTTTTCAATCATCTGTTTCGCGATTTCACGAATTGAACCCTCGGGGATCATAAACAACCAATGCAGAGGAGTGATCTTCTGCCGAGTTCTGCAGGACGCACTCGCACCATGGTCAAGCAGGGCTTTGATCACTTGCGTATGTCCCGCCTGAAACGCCTTATATAGCGGCGTCTCGGCGTTGTCATTCTCCACGTCCACTGCTATCTTTGCATCATCCATAAGACCCTGCAATGCATCAACAGCCCCGAAAGCAGCAGTAGCATGCAATATCGTATTCCGTTTACGGTCGACAAGGTTGCCGTTTTTCTTCTTCCACTCCAGTGCCTTTTCCCTGTTCATTGCCGCCTTAACATTACTTTTCCCCAGGAATGGGTCTGGACAGAACCCTCCATGACTTCTAAACCGTTCCTTCGCCTCTTCCACTTTCTTCCCCAGTTGACCAGGTTTCGCAAAGAGGTATCCCTCAGCGACAGCCTGTAACATCCACTCTTCAAGCACTTCTTTACTAAATTCTGGCGTTTGACCATGCGCCTCCATAATTTGCGCATATACAGCCCTAGCCGGGGAGTGTCCCGCCCTCGCCGCATCACCCAAATACGTTAGCATGCGATCGAGATACGTCGGTTTTTCGCCGGTAATTGTCTGCGCTATGCCAAAAAGCACATCTCCCGCAAATGGTGGCGCATTTCCTCCTTTACTAAGCGTGTGTTGCGCCTCAAGCTCTTTTCTGATACTTTCATCGAGCCGGTACCAGAAGAGTGGGCCTTTGTTGTATATTGGATCAATGGCTCCTACATGAGTGGTTGCAGAGTTGGATTGAATTGAGGAAAACCTAGGGTTGTCAGCTATTCATCGATGTGAATGAAGAAATGATGGGAAATACCAGAAATTGTATTCCGGGGTGTCAATTTTAAGCAAGGTTGCATTTGGAAGTGGTCGGTCTCTAGGATCCTCGGATAGGAGTTTTAAAGTCGCCTTGCATAGCTCGTTGCGCATAGTATCAGAGGGTATAACTTTCGGGTTGAGCCACTTGGATATCTGATCTTTCACCCTGTCAGGTTTTGTGTTCAGAACCGGAATTTCACCACCGGTAAAGATAGACACCAACACCAGCCCGAAGCTGTACGAATCAAACTTAAACATCAATTCCGGTGAGAACCCTCCAAACCTCGAGACATCCCCATTCACCACCTCAGGCGCCAACCAAGCCGGCGTTCCTCGGTAATCACTCAGCGAAAACTTCCCCTCGGGCGTCTCCAAATCAACACAAACTCCAAAATCACTCAATTTAGCTTGAAAGGGCATATCCTTAGTCGGACCGACAAACACAAGCACATTATCTGGCTTAACATCTCCATGCACGATGTTGAGGTTATGCAGCCCTTCTAGCCCATTCGCTACACCTAGCGCAAGCTGATACATCACCCCCACCCCCCTCTTCTCAGAGGCTAGAAATTCCCCCAAAGTCGTCATTGCCTCTTCCATAAACAGCACGGGCACGGGCATGTTTGCAAATGGAAAATCGAACCCCCATGCCACGAGACTGGTGATGTTTGGATGCGCACGGATGACAGGGTTGCAAAGCGACAGTACCTCTAGTACTACTGTTCTTAACTGTAGGCGATAGTCTATGCTCGCTGAAAAGCGCTGGTCCGTATTTGAAAGTGGGACATTAACACGTTTGACAACCTCTCTTTCGAAGATAGGGTCCTTGAATACGGTGAATTGGGTACCAGAGCCGATCTTAGTGGCTCGGGTGGAGAGATTGGCAGGCCTGATGAGACGAGGGCCATGGATACCAGTCTGAGACAGGATCGCGGTGAATTGAGAAAGAGTGCTGAGTATTGGAGCAGAGCCATTTCGAGTTGCCGTAATGGCTGACTCTAAAGGGTCAACGTCAGTCCATGATGAATCAGAGGGAGAGAGGTTAAGGCTGTCGAGATCAAATTCTTCGAGGTCGCTAGAGTTGGACCAGGCTTGCAAAGTAGGAGATAGATCATCCCCATCTAGAGAATAGTAGTTATCATCAAGTGAGTTGAGAATATCATCATAGTCATCTGTCATTTTTGTAGTAAAATAAAAAAGAGGTAAATGAGATGTATGTGGGGAGGACAATACGAGGTGGGATAGATAATTCATCTAAATAAGCCTGGGCAACTTATCTAGGAACAGCTTAGTGCTGACTTCTACTAATTCTCAGCCCCTCCATCTCAGTTTCCCACTTCATGTCTGTTTGATTTCAAAAATAAAAATAAAAATGGACTTCTATGGCACGGCAGTGACTGCCATCACCCAGCTCTATCAAGTCACGGTCTTCATTCAAGGCGTCGTCTCTGACGTTAAGGCCTTTGACGATGACCGGGCTGAGATTCGACTCAAGCTGGATCTCCAGATAGCCACTCTTCTCTTTTTCAAACGGATTTTTGTCCACCCAGAACATGGACTGATGGTCCCAGGAAAGGTGGAGCCTTTCATTGCCCAGACGGCGGAAAGGTTGCTGGTGCAGATGAAAAAAACACTGTCTGAATATGAGGTTGTGGCGATCAAGTATGGCCTCGTGGACGATGAGTACATTATCGAGCCCGAAAAGCCCAAGGCGCAAGAGTCATTGATGGAGCGGGCAAAGAGTAAAGTCAAATCTCTAAAGCACAAGGGGTATGACTGGTCACTCTTTGACAAGAAGAAGCTGTATCAAATCCTGGAGGCGTATACCAAGTGGTCTGAAGATCTGCGGAATCTCATGCAGCACATGTCACAGGAGATGCTAGCAAAACTGGCCGAAAACAATCATCAAGGAATGAAAGACAGTGGTCTGGAATCGGTCATGAATCGACGTATACTGGCCAACGCCGTGGCACCGGCTGACTACCCGGGTTTAACTGGTACTGTCACCGAAGAAGGAAAACCAATGGGGGGATTCCAGCTGGGAAAATGGTCTTCGGGTGCCAAAGAAACACAAGTGATTGTCGAGTATCACGAGTACGAAGGCGAGCTCAAGCACGATGATTTAGAGCCAGACGAAGTACAAGAGCTCAAACAACCCATTCGCAACCTGGCTTGGCTGCTTCAAAGCACCACCTTCGTCGGAAAATCACCCGACTCCCTTGATCAGCCCAAGATTTATGCGCTAGAATGCCTTGGATTCATCGATCAACCCGTCCAGGAACGCAGCGTGTTTCTCTATAAACTCCCCACATCCAATACAACAGCCAGCCCATCGCTAACAACCCTACACGCATTTATCAATGCAATTGACAGCGCAAACAAACGACCACTTAAAAAACCCACCCTTAATGATCGTTTCAGCATAGCACACAGTCTTGCTCTGACGCTCTCCAATGTTCATGGCTCATCATGGGTCCACAAAAACATCTGGAGTAGGGGTATCCTTCTGTTCGTCGAGACACCCGAAGAAGTCAGCGCTTCAGGTCTCTATGAGCACCGCCTTTCTCTGCCTAACCCTAAAAACAAGATTGTCTCCTTCCTAGGTGACTGGGGCTATGCACGATCTGTACAACAAGGCACAGACATGCGCTCCGATTTTGAAGTCGAGCCTAATTTCTACCGCCATCCAAATCGGCAGGGTCGCCCAACACAGCAGTTTACCCCCCTGCATGATATATATGCACTGGGTGTGGTGCTTCTTGAAATCGGGCTGTGGGTTACACTATCAAGGTTGATGGAGTCGAAAATCCGGGAGGCGGAGAATAGTGGCCGGCTACCGAGGCCGAAGAAGGTGGTTGAGGATTTGATGGGATTGGCAGCGCAGGGGCTGCCGAAAGAAATGGGGGCAGGATATATGCGAGCTGTGCTTTGCTGCCTAAAGGGTGATTTCAGGAAGACAGAAGGAATGGGTTTGGCGGTGGATTTCCAGGAGAAGGTAGTGGATGTTCTAAAGGCTGGTATTGAATTATAGATACTAGTTATGGCCCGCAGGCACCATGGCATTACATATAACCTTGTTTGGTTTACTTGTCTTGCCGTAAACAAGACAAAAACCTATTATTGTCGGGTTATTCATTCAAATTATAAACAAGAAACAAGAAGCATGACTATCGTTGGGCATAGCTATAAGTAGTTGCCCTTCGTAAAACGTGTGTTATAATCCGCAGCCTTCTTGACCATTTCCCGGCGCTGCGCGTTGGATATCTTCGAAGCAACCGCCATATCCTTCTCTCGATCAAATGCGCGCGCACTTGGATCATCTTCTTCTTCTTTCTTAGCCTGAACTGGGCTTTCCAGGCGAGTACTCTTCCCAGCCATGTCCTACAACAAGAACCCTTATGTTAGAACAAAACAACCAACATGGAGGAAATAAAATAAAAAGTGGAATATGCCAAATCTTACCTTGTACTTTTTGATTTGTTCCTCTATCTTCTTTGTGTTTGGAGCAACTTTGTGGTCCGCAGCCTGATTTGTTGAAGCACAAACGCCCATAACCGCATCCTGTAGTCGCCTCATTCGCTCCTCTGGAGTCTCAACCCACGAAGAATCCATGCTCTTAGGTGCCGTGGCTGATTTGCCTGTATTGAACTTGCGATTTCGTAGTTGTGTGGGGTCAACCTTGGAAGCCCAGTCGGTATTAGAAGGTGGTTGCAGCATCCATTGATCGCGCTGGCTTTCCGGTTCCACCGATTTGGCTGTATTAGAAACCGTAGGCTCTGCATTCACAGGGACTTTCACTGGACCGGACGGAGGCAGGCTTGGACCGAAATCATCGTCATCGTCATCGTCGTCGTCGTCACTGCCACTCTCACTGTTTGTCCCACTGTTCGTCGCGTCGACCTGAGGCGGAGGGAGAGAAGGTCCGATTACCTTCCGCTGTTTCGAAACCGATCCGGCCTGGGAATCACCTGTACTCTCGTCAAATTTCCGCTTATCTTTGGAATCCATTGTTGAAGTATTGAACTAGAGCAAAGGAAAAAGAAGAAAGAGGATGGATAAATGGCGACTCTATCTTATCGGGGATTTTTCTGACTTATCGCGTATGGTAATATATAACAGAGCTGATGTCATTATAAAGGTACGAGTACTTGCTCTTTCACTTTATTTTGTATTGGAAGCTATGTAGCTTTACCCTGGTAACTTACATGTAACATACAAATACCACGTACCTGTCCGCATGTGCAGACATCTAGATGCTCAAGGGCTCACCTAGGCACTTCCTCCCGACATCTTTTTAAGCTTAATGATTTTTTCAGCCAAACCCTTATACATTGTGACATAATTTCAGCTTCCCTTTCAAAGAAAAAGACAACTTATGTATTACATCGGATCATGCCATTTTCCTTACTCTAGTCATATCGAGACCGCTTTTTCGACCCCGCATGCTCGCATAAACAAATACCGATAAGACCAAAGGGTGTTTTAATCAACCTGAAACCTCTCCCAAAATTGGTTATTCCCTGCCAACCATCCTTGATATTGGATAGCATGGTTCAGAGCTGTCCTAAATCACAAGGATTAGACAATGGGCTACCCCCAGAAGCACCCGGGAGACTTAATATGCCCACAGAGGATGAAAGAGAGGTGGGCCGATCTACAGACAAACCTCAAGATCTGGTCACTCCCCACGAGTATCAACCAATTTCTTCGGATCAAAACCAGCCACCCGCGTCTGCACCTCCGCAAAGCCAAGTATCCCCGGCCCCTCGGAGATTCCTGGCTCAGCCAATCGAAACCATATCGCGAAGCTCCAATGTCAAGCAATCGGCTTTGAGCGGAGCAAAGCAATCCGATCTATCACAACCCGAAATACATTCGGAAGAGCCTGAAAATCGACCGACCAGAAGATTCCTACCTGAACCCATTGAAACAACCAAAGCTAGTAAGAGACGCTCTCGTTCCGCTTCTGAGATACATGGAGGGAATTCTGCATCTCAAAATAAGACATCGACGGCTCCAAGAAGGTTTAAACCCGACCTAATAGAAACCGATACCCGCTCGGTCCGAAAAGGAGAACCCCGGTTTCCCCAACGGCACAATGCCGTAGGATCCTCAGCGCCTCATACCTCCATTAGTTCAGACAAGAGATCGTGGCCAGATCCAAACCACCATGTTTACGCCTATCTGCAATCTGAGTCTCACTTTTCGTATTCGAATCTTCTGCGCCGACAGCAAGCCCGCAGACACTCGTTCCGAGTTCCGGATCTCCCATCAATACCCTCTGACAGCAGTGAAGACTCGGATGACTCCAGGCCGCATTCAGCGTCTACTTCGCCACCTGGGCCTTCCAATAAAGCGACACAAGATTTATACGCGAGTATTCTACCCCGTCAAAGCTCCGACGGGAAGATCTCAGAATTTCTGCTCTCTCTTGCCGCTCGATCCGCAGAGAAGCAGTTGGCGGAGCAAGCGTTGGCTGCCTTTCCCAACGAGCAAGTGCACGAAACTGTTGATCATTTCACCATCGATAAAGATGATGGAGATTCAGACGATGGTCATGTGTCCAATATGAAGTATGATCATGTCAAGTCTCGACGACAATCTTCGGCAGATTTATCCTGGGAACTTGAATATATGCGTCACCACAAGGAGGAGGCTGAAATGAGGATCCGCGCTATGGTTACATCTGGACAAAATAGCTCTTCACCAGAGCGCAAGAAGAATGACCATAGCCCGCCCATGCTTGGCCTTGATATTGTGCTCCCTCGAAGCGCCTCACCCGAGGGAACAATATTTGAGCACCTTAGCAATGATGCAGGCTCTCATAACGTACAGGATCTTTGTGCTAGCTGTGGTGGCTTATGGTACGCAGCGCCTCCCCGAGATGATGGAAAGGGCGCCGGTCTTTGGATGGGCACTTGTTGCAAGGACGAGAACCAAGAGCGGCAAATATACGGCCTCATGCCTGGAATCGTTACCCCCATGCCTCATGTCGATGAATCTGGCGTTAGCAAGGGACTCAGCCCATCTCCTTCACATATAAATCTGGATCGTCTCGCGGCCTCGCCCGGAAGCCATACTTCCCTGAAGCCCGCGAGCCCTAATCTCCAGAAAGCCATCGAGTCCGAATTCCATGATGAATTCGTGACTCAAATTTATAATTACTTGTCTTTGGGTTACCCGTGTCTGGCCCGTTATTATGACTACGAACTTAGCCGGATTTCGGGCATCCCCATCGAGGATCTTCGTCGGGACGATTTGCAGACGGATGCTAGAGGCTACGTTGTAGCCCCCGAGAATGACGATTTTGTGGATGCATGCACACGATGGAAAGCTCTCCGTCTATATATCAAGGAATGGGCGAGACAGGAGCCTGGTATGGCTGAAGAAGATACCAATATTGAAGGCTGGGGACTGCCGGAACGAAGAGGCAGCTGGGCCATTTGACGAAGTTTGGAATTTGATTTGTATGTTATGATTAGAAAGCGTGCATTGATGTCTAATTGATTTAAACGGCTTGACGGGTACATATTGTATCCACGCAACTGTGGCGTTTCATAAAGCTCGGGATTGTACATGTGCAGCATGTCCATTGTACTCTACTACGAGGATACCATGGTATCGGAAGGTGGTCGCTTTGATTCTTAACTCGATTGAGAGAGGAGCCAATCTCCATTAAAATTGCTACAAAATGTTGATTTCGCCCCCCCTCGTTTGTGATATAATTCACCAAAACCCGCTCACATCGTAATTCTATTGCATGGTTCCCTTTCGGGCCCTCTCATGAACGATGCCGGGGAAAATCTTCTGCTCTGGCAGAGCGTCTGCTCCCCCAACTCCTGTTCCAAGGGCAGGGTTACTACTACCGGGAGACGGGAACTCTACCGTTCCAATGCGAGGGGATCGAGCTAGGTATGCCGATGGAGTCGATGGAGAGGCAGGTATCTGGTTTGTACCATGGGCCTCACCGAGTGAGGCATCTGTAGTATGAGCTGCACTTGAACGTCGTCGCTCAGATTGTGACTCGAGGCTAGGTTTGTGGTGATCTAAGGATGGGTGGTTTCGAAATTAGTTTGCTGCAGAATGGGTTATCATTCCTTCGGGAGATATTTACCATTGTTTGAGGATACCGCTTCCCCTGATGGGCCTGAAGATAGGCTCTTCTGCCCTCCAGTTCCATTGCCCTCGGAGTATCGCTCAATCCTGATGAAATAACGTATGGTTAGCCCTCAATTTCCCTGACGTGAGCTATACTGTGCAACTTACAAAGACAATTCTCCAAGCAAAGTCTCATCTCGGAATGCCTCACGAATATCTGGTACATTGCTCTTTGCAACATTATTACCAGCGACTCCAGGTGTGGAACAATCTGAGCCCAGCCATCTTTGTTTAAGGGAGAGCTCAAATCCGCTTTGGTCAACTGAGTGTTTGGCGAGCTCGCACATGTCGACTGCGCTGAATTTGTAGATCTGCGCTGCGACTGAGTATTCCTCGATGAGAGGCTCCTTTGTGAATGCAAACTGCAATGGATCATCGGTGGACAAAGACACATTGAGTCCTCGCTTGAAGAATGTAGCGCAGGGGTTCTTGTCGTATGTGAGGAACAAAGCATTGTTACTGAGTGGCGACATGGCAATGCCAATCTGATCCAGATAGTAAAGGTACTGCAGGAGGGGCACCTTGCGCAGTAAGATACCATGACTGATGCTATGGCAGCAGAGGAAGCCAACAGCCAGGTGATCCGGGTCGCCTGCTTCTCCACAATGAGGGCGCAGAACAAACGTGTTGAATCCTCGGCGTTTCCGCCAGTTGTTGAGGGAAGCGATGTTGGCGAACATGAAGTATAACCAGTAAGTGTAAGGTGGATTCTGCTTCGTGTTCCACTCCCGGGGGATGGGATACTTCTTGTACAACCGGCGTTCAGGCTTGCTTTCGTCATCCACACTGTCGAATCCAATCACTCGCTGGAGGAAGATATGGAGTTTGGGATGACTAGAAGGATCTTTGGTCACTTCAAACAACGGCTGGAAGACATTGGTGATAACTTGTTCATAGTTCTCCATCATGCCGCTTGATTTGTAGATATCATAGAGACGAGGTACCTGAATGAGCCAGCGAACATTAGGCGAAAACAACTTGTTGTCCACCACCCAGGCTGCAAGCTTGTCCCATTCCTGAAGGGAACGACCGTAGATCGAGATTCGCCATTCTACCATTTGGTATTTGCTAGATTCCAGATCGGAGATCACTTCCTTTGTAATTTCTGCGAGGTAGCGACCTTGGATGTAATTGTCTGTTTTGAGGAAAATTTCACGCAGTCGGGATTCTCCGACCGGATTATACTTCAAATTGAATTTGTCGAATCGATGGAAAGAGTCGGTGTGTGCCTACAAAGTCCGAGTCAGTAACGGTAATACATGTGGCTTTTAAGAGTGAGTGTATGGGGAAGGATGACCAAACTCTGGTGCATCTAGACTCTGCATCTTCCTTCATCGTCTGTTGATTCCGAGAAGAAAAAAAAACTCAAGACAGGGAATGTGATAAAAGACTTACGTGCATATCCAAAGTATCAATGCTCAGGTCATAAGCAGTCAAGTTGATACTTTCAAAGACCTCTCTCAAGGTTAGATGCTTTCCGTCTCGGAAGAGGACAACTTCGTCCGGAGACTTTCTCATCTTGCTCTTGATGAAGCGAAGAAGATGTTTCTGGTTCATGCATGCTGAATGATGAACGTGAGTATCTACTTTACGCACGTTGTAGAAATCTCTATGAGGGACCTTCTTGCTGTCGGCGATTTCCTGGTATTCATTGAGCAGCGTATACAGTTGGAATTTGCCCTCCAAGTACGACAGCCGCTTGAACGCAAAGCTCTTAGCAGGTCCATCGGTTGACACATCCACGACGGCATCCAAATCCATATAGAAATCGCGCAACGAGGGAATTTGGACAATGGGTGTCTGCTGGTCAGCAGCGGCCTCGGAATCGAAGACCTGATATACGCTGTTGCCATCAAGCCTATATGTCCAGGGTGATTCTTTGGGTAGAGGCATCAATTCCTCCATGTCAAAATCTTCCCCAATGTTTTGGCCCATTTTCCGCTTCTTCCCTGTAAGGTCGGATGGGCCACCAACATTTCCGGGTTGATATTCTTTGCCATCATCCCACGCAGGTTCCGGAGGCGGAGGGTAGATCTCCCAGTCTGCTTGGTTCTTAGGATCATCTCCGGGTCCCTGCAAAGAAAGTTCCATATACTGGGATCGTCGATCAAGTAGTTTCTTGATTTTGCAGTAAATAGCGTTCAGCTCAGACGTCACAGCATCATTGCTAGACGAAAATCCACTGGCAACCTGAGGGCCTCCGATCCCCACATGGGCGCTGTGAAGACTTTCTGTCGCTGAGTATGGCGCCTGCCCATGGACAGCGCTTAGAAGCGCCGCCTGGTTTCGGGCAGAATGGTCCGCCTCGTCTGGGTCATCTTCGATGTAATGAGACGCAGAGGGTTTGGGCTCACTGGCGGATTGCAGGCGGATTGTCGAAGGTTCGGGTTCAAAGACCATAGATCCCTCGCGAGAGACCTTGCCTTGAGTATTCATCGGATCCGGGAGTTTGGCCAATGGTTCTTCGGGGTGCGATTCGACTGCTGATCGGGCTGGAACCACTGGACTCGAAGGCAGGGTGGTATCGTTTCGTGCGGCTAGCTGATGATGTTGATAGAAGAGTCTTGCCTCAGCGTGACTCATGGACTTCTCATAGGCGTAGTCATAAGTGGCAGTTTTTGGTTGTTGATCTCTAGGCAAAATATCTTCTGCAGGTTGATCTAGCGCATCGGGGCTTTCATGAAGAGGAGAGTCCACGGGACCCGGGGATGAAGTGGCTGATTCATTGTTAGAAGAATCAGCGGACGCGTTGGCATTCCGACTGGAACTGAGATCGTGTTGAGGGGGTCCCATGACTAGTCTCTTCCCCCCCTTGCTATATCTGAGTTATATAGCTGACAAGACAAATTGGGAGTCAATGTGTACAGGAATGAGACTATTGCATAAATCGAGGGTTTCACACAAAGGCTAACAATGTTGAGTTTGAAAATGAAGATTAAGAACGAAAGTAAAGAATTGAATTAGAAGATATCAAATCAGAATCGAGGAGAAAAGAAAAAAAAGAGAAAAGAAAACTCTTCCCCAAAGCTCAAAAGCTCCCCTCTATCTTTCGGTGAGAGATGGGGGGAAGTTCCAGGCCCGGAGAATCTGTAAATTACATACATATAAATACACCACATCTCCAACTATACATCTGTCACTATTTGCATATATTTGTCTATATTTGGAGGAGAATGGACTTATATATAGTGATAATTTTGATTTTTTATGAGATTATTGGATAGGTGAATTTGATTTAAATCCTCCAATAACTCACTTCAAATCCTTCTAAAGCTATAATAAGTGAAGAACTATGATGTATTCGCTTTACGATGTATCGTATTACGACATCTTTCCCCTAATTAGCCTCTCTCCGATGTCCTCTCCGATGTCCTCTCTCTCTCTCCACCTTTAGGCTTCATCGATTTCCTTGATCTTTCTCAATATTTCTTTTTCAATCTGTACTTATCGTTCTTTTCCCCGGCGATATATTCATCTTGAAAGCATTCATCCACCCCTCCTATTTCTTTTGTTCGGTCAGTGTTTACATTAGAGTCCACCTACGTCAACTCCATCTTCTCCTATCTACCCCCCAACTTGTCGCACCACACAACCAAGAGCTTTGACTACTTTCTGCTGACACTGCATGAGACACAGATATTGTACTAAAAAAAAGCAAGCATCCCTCCCACGTGGACACATCCAAAACCTTGACAAGCTTCCCCTTCCCTCTCCCCCCGCCTATCCGCCGGAAGTCATGGCTTCTCTCAATCTCTCGTCCAATGGCCCCTCGATATCGAAAAGTTATCAGACAGTGGTGAATGCACCACCCCCTTCTGGGGATAAAGCTTCTCCCACTTATGGTCAATGGGCCGTCTATTCGGTTTCTACCCCGCTCGTCAGTGCCTTCCAGCAAGACGGAGGTAAGGAAAGTGTCCTTAAGGTCCAGAGCACCGGAGGTTAGTGATCCTTTTCCTGACCAACCCCATCATCTCACATTAACAAATTGTACTGTCAGACGGTGAATTGGCCGATCTCATCGACGAATTTTCCGAAGGACGGGTGCAGTTCGCCTATGTGAAGGTGACAGATTCCAACACCGGTCTTCCCAAGAATGTCCTCATTGGCTGGTGTGGAGAAGGTGTACCGGAACGAACAAAGGGTTACTTTACCAGCCACCTGGCTACAGTTGCCAAGTTCCTTCATGTGAGGAGGTTCCTTTCCATGACGCAACTCCTGCGGTGTAACTGACTGAGCTGGATAGGGATACCATGTGCAGATCACAGCACGAGCGGATGGGGATCTAACCCCCGAGGGAATCGTCCAGCGGGTAGCAGATTCCTCTGGCGCCAAGTATTCAGTAGGCGAGACTCCTGCCCCCGCCGCAGCCCCCCGGCCTGCCGTGGCTAGCAAGCCTGCTTTCACACCGACTCGATCTGGTGGTCTTACCCCCAGCCCGGCTGCCCGCGTACAGCCTACGCCTTCACGGGCTAGCTTGAATGATGATGGATGGGGTGCAGATGCCCCTCCCGTGACTCGTACCCAATTGGAAAAGGTACAATCGGCTTACCAGCCCACTAGAGTGAACCTACAAGAACTCAAGGCAAACCCCACAGCGAGTCGCCAATCTGCCGCTACTGCTTCCGATGCTCCTAGCGACGTGGTGAAAGGTGGTTACCAGCCAGTGGGTAAGGTCGATATTGCTGCGATTCGGAAGCAAGCTGCCTCATCCGGTCAGCTGAAAGATGAGCGCCCAGCAATTATCAAGGGTTCTTATGAGCCCGTTGGCAAAGTTGACATCGCCGCTATTCGAGCTAGAGCACAAAAGCCAGAAGGCAGTGATAACATCCCATCGAGCGCCGCAGTCAACCAACCCCAAACAACCTTGCCCGAGCGACCCGCGCCCTCCAATGCCTCGGAGCGCTTGACGAGCCTACCCAAGCCAAGGGTTGCCAACAAGTTTGGCTCTAGCCCCTCCTTCCCAGGAACAAAGCCACCTCTCCCAACTGGTCTTGGGCCTAAGCCAACCTCGAGCGTGCAGATTGGAGCTGCGAGCCGAACTTTTGCCGATGAGGGAGGCAAGACACCTGCTCAAATTTGGGCAGAGCGCAAGGCCAAGGAGCGTGGAATGGCTCCGTCGTCTGTAAGCACTGAGCCTACCCCTACCGCTACTCCGATTCAAAGCCAAGCTAGTGGCCAGAGCGAGTGGAAGAGCTCCTATGCAGGCAAGTCCTGGGCTCCTGTTCAAACTGCACAGGAGAAATCATATGTTCCTGAGCAGCCGGTTGATGCCAAGGCCAATGATCACCAAGAGGAGGAATCACAACCTCATGTGAGTGATATTCGTGACCAATTCGCCGCTCATGACACGCCCGCGGCCGCACCACTTGCTCCTCCTGCTCCCCCCCGTTCCGCAGGCCAGTCGCCCTGTTCCTGTACCAGGGCTGTCCTCTGCGCCCGTCGAGTCCGAGCCAGAGCATGATGCCCAGCAGATTCTTCCTACTCCTCCACCGCAGCCTCCTCGCTCCCCGACACCTCCCACTCCGGAGCGTGAGAGCTCGCCGATCCGGATTGCCATGCCAGTTGGCCAAAGCGCTGCCGACAGCATTGCGGATGTACACGAGGAACAGCAATCTCCTCCCCCTGCTATGCCTGTTCGAAGCCTCCAAGAGGTCGTTCCAGATGAAAATGATATTGAGGATGACTCTCATGACATTGGCCGTGCTGCAGCTGCAGCCACCGCTCCCCAGCAGCCTCAGCAACCTGAGCAGCCCGAGAAGACCCAAGACGGACCCCGAGCTCTAGTTCAGTATGACTATGAGAAGGCAGAGGACAATGAGATTGAATTGCGAGAGGGAGAGTATGTGGATGACATTGAAATGGTGGACCAGGATTGGTGGGTGGGTTCCAATACTCGAGGTGAGCGTGGTCTCTTCCCGGCCAACTATGTGGAGATTGTGGAAGACAAAGAACTTGCGTCACACGCACCGGCCGGTTCCCACCACCATGAAGAGCCAGAGCAAGAGCCAGAGCCAGAACCTACCCCTGCCCCCGTCCCGGTTGCACCCACTCCTGCTGCTGCCGCTGCACCCTCGGCAGCTACTCCCAGCTCCAAGCGCGTCACGGCCACAGCTTTGTATGATTACGAAGCCGCCGAGGATAACGAGATCGGTTTCCCCGAAGGTGCGAAGATTTCCAATGTGGTAAGTGGAACTATTACTATCTTTCTTGGCCTTTGTGTCATCGCTGTCTACATTGCTAACCCGGTTGTAGGAATTCCCGGATGATGACTGGTGGCTTGGTGAGTACAACGGCAAACAAGGTCTATTCCCTGCCAACTATGTTCAATTGGACCAGTGATTGGATCATACATAGATACTCCGCAGCTCCAGAAATGCGACAGGAGAAAATTCAAATTCTATCGATTAGCTAAGGTTTGACTATGTATCCTTGATTCTTTTGAGTATAAAATACCCAGTTCACTACCAATATCAATCCAAATCGAGTCAATAAAGCTCGTTCGAATGACTCTTTATCCTGTAGATAGATATCTTTCGCTTCTAGCTATCCTTTTATACTCTATAGTATGTGCATGTATGTATGTATTTTGAAGTCAACGAATCATCGACGTCATGGCCGGAGTATTCGATTATGTCAGCATCACGTGTGCCGAAAAAGTGGCCATAAACAACGTTCCCAAGGTTCCAAGGAGAGTTGCTCTAGGCCTACAGGGATCCAGGTGACCGTTTGCACGCGACTTAACTTTGCGCGCCTTACCTTGTTCTTCTCTTTCCTTAAACCCGAGCCCTTAACTCTTACCTGTGTGCGAGCCCGGCTCAAGCCTGCTTCGGTTCGACATCATGGCGTCGCTGGGCGAGGATCTGCTCGTGACGGTGAACAAGCTTCAGGACCTGGTCTTCAACACTATAGGAAATGATTCCTTGGATCTGCCCCAAATTGTGAGTCTGATCGGGTAGAGAGCTCTCTGAGTTTGAGAGGGAGTTGTCATTTCATGCCCGGTCAAGACTAATTCCCACCCTCTTAGGTTGTTGTTGGTTCCCAGTCATCCGGAAAATCTTCGGTCCTAGAGAATATAGTCGGAAGGGACTTTCTACCAAGAGGTAGCGGAATTGTCACCCGACGGCCCCTAATCCTGCAACTTATCAACGTGCCCAGCGAACGTGATGATAAGCCCGAGACCGATGAGATCCATATCCCACACACGCCTGCTAGTGTTGCCGGTCAACACGAATGGGCTGAATTCCACCACCTCCCGGGGCGCAAGTTTGATGACTTTGGACAAGTGAAGCAAGAGATCGAAGCGGAGACGGCAAGAATCGCAGGAAACAACAAGGGCATCAACAGACAACCAATCAATCTCAAGATCTTCTCGCCCCATGTGCTCAACCTCACACTTGTGGATCTGCCTGGACTGACGAAGGTACCCATCGGTGACCAACCCTCCGATATCGAGAAACAAACGCGTACCTTGATTTTGGAATATATCGCCAAACCGAACAGTATTATCCTTGCGGTCTCCCCGGCCAATGTCGATCTGGTCAATTCCGAGGCGCTGAAACTTGCTCGCCAGGTGGATGCCATGGGCCGGAGGACGATTGGTGTTTTGTCAAAGCTGGATCTCATGGACCATGGTACCAATGCGATGGACATCTTGTCTGGGCGTGTGTATCCCCTGAAGCTTGGATTTATCGGCGTTGTCAACCGGTCCCAGCAGGATATCCAGTCTGGAAAGGCGCTTTCCGATGCACTGCGGGCAGAGTCTGAGTTCTTCCGCCATCACCCAGCTTACCGGAATATGGCCAACCGTTGCGGTACGCACTTTTTGGCCAAGACTCTGAACACAACGCTGATGTCTCACATTCGCGACCGGCTTCCGGATATTAAGGCCCGGCTCAACACATTGATGGGTCAGACTCAACAAGAGTTGGCCAGCTATGGAAACAAGCAGTTCAGTGGCGAAGAACACCGGGGGTCATTGATTCTTCAGCAGATGACCAGATTTGCCGCCTCATTCATCTCATCTATCGACGGAACTTCATCGGAGATTTCTACCAAAGAGCTATGCGGTGGAGCAAGAATTTACTACATTTTCAATTCTGTTTTTGGAAACTCATTGGAAACGATTGACCCCACTCATAACCTGACTGTCTCTGACATCCGAACAGCAATCCGAAACTCAACAGGTCCTCGCCCCAGCCTGTTTGTCCCGGAGTTGGCCTTTGATTTGCTGGTCAAACCACAGATCAAACTCCTTGAATCCCCCAGTCAACGATGTGTGGAGCTGGTCTATGAGGAGCTTATCAAGATCTGCCATACGTGTGGCAATCAAGAACTCCTGCGTTTCCCTCGTCTGCAAGGGAAGCTGATTGAAGTTGTATCTGACCTTCTTCGTGAGCGCCTGGGTCCCTGCTCGACTTATGTAGAATCTTTGATCTCAATCCAAAGAGCTTACATCAACACCAATCACCCGAATTTCCTCGGCGCCGCAGCTGCCATGTCTTCAATCATGCAGAACAAGCAGGATGAAGAAAGAAAAGCCCTGCAAGCAGAGGAAAAACGAAAGCGTGACAAACGACGCCAAAAGGAATTGGGAGCCGCCCCCAATGGCAGCACGGGAGGCCCCGACGAAGAGGAATATGCTGACAAACAAAACCTCCCCATTCGAAGCCACTCCTCCAAAGGATCGCGGAGCATGTCCCCCCATGTTGGCCGTGAAAATGGCATTACTGCTACCCTGAATAGTTCTCAATCTAACCACGCCGCGTTTGGTGGCGGCGCCTCGAACACTGCCCGGGACTCATTCCTAAACTATTTCTTCGGGAAGGAAGGTACTCACAACATGGCCATGGCACCGGGCATGAACGCCCACCGACAAGGGCCACATGCTGGCGAGCCCAGCATTAGCCAGAGCATTCGGCGTGCCGAGGTTCGGGCTCCCATTATGCCGACTGAGGAGTACACTGCACCATCGGATTATGGCGGTGACGTATCTGTCTTCGTAAGTACCACTGCGCAGGCGTTTGTTAAGCTCTATATGAACACAACTGACTTCAACTCTTACAGCCTAATGAGAACACCGAACCTGCACTCACGGAACGTGAGATGCTGGAAACCGAGCTCATTCGCCGTCTCATCTCATCATACTTTAACATCGTCCGAGAGACCATTGCAGACCAGGTTCCCAAGGCTGTCATGCACCTCCTTGTCAACCACTGCAAGGACGTAGTACAGAACAGACTCGTGAGCGAACTTTATAAAGAAGACCTTTTCGGCGAGCTTCTCTACGAGGATGATGGCATCAAGGCCGAGAGAGAGAAGTGCGAGCGGCTATTGGAAACATACAAAGAAGCTGCCAAGATTGTGGGCGAGGTGTTATAGACGGTTCTCTTTTATTATTTCGGTCTGGCTTGGGGGTTAGCCTGGGTGATCTTCTGCGTCGATGCTTGACGCCCTTTCCACTCAAATGGGGTGGAAGATGTTGCTTTTTATCTCAATTTATGTACAACTATTGCGGCCTGCACATGATATCGATATATCAATCTTTCTTTCCATTAGCATTGTAGCCACGCGTAACCCATCAAAGCCGTAAAATAAAAGATAGAGCCGAAATAAAATATGCAACAGGAATTCTATCTAGATATATATACACCCATACCCATCTAACATGCATGCAACATCACTGGGTCTTTTTCGCAACACTTCGTAGACGTGCACCCTCAAAGCCATATAAACCGCCCCCGATGAACACCAGAGTCGCGCCGACCAAGACACCTCCAGCCAAATCATTTCCAAAGAGATAGATTGACAAGAGGAGCGAGACCAACTTGCGGACATTCAAGAAAATAGTAACCGTCAACGACGACGACTTGGCCGACAAAAGATGAACTCCCCGGATACACAGGTACTGCGTCAGAGCATTCATCGCCAAATAAGCCACCTGAACCGGAAGATGCGCCAGGAAAGCCTTCACAGCCTCAATCTGGCAAATCCAGCCCAGCAACGAGAAAGCAGTGCTCCCAGCCGCCCCCTTCGACAACAACTCGGGATCCAAATGCGACAGCAAAGAAGGCGACGAAGCCACCACCCGCCATTGACCAAGCAACTGCGGCCAACTCGTCAAGAAAAGCGGCAGAGAAAGCGCATGCGAGTAGAAAAGCGCCTCTTTCCAATGATCCCTACCGTAAGTCGCATACAGCCTGTCGGCATAAATTCCCTGGAATGCCGAGAGCACCATCGCCAGCGCGAGGATCGTGAAGCCCGTCACGGTAGTCATTGTGTCCGTCCCATCGGAGCCGACGTTGATAGACACGCCTTTGGATTGCGCGTCGGCCATCGCGGCTGCCGCCACGCCTACAGTCAACATACCCACCGAGGCGATCTGGCCACGGGAATAGCGCTTGCCGTTGTATATATAGCCGATTACCATTGAAGCGACGGGGCCTGCGGACCGGAGGATGATGTGTAGTGGGACGGAGATCTTGTATGCGAAGGCCCAGTTGTTGAGAAGGTTGACGCTCATGAAATAAGCCGTGTACACGACCCATGAGCGTAGTGGGATGGCGCGTGGGTTCAGGAATAGGGCTCGTGGTCCGGCTGAGGGGGATAGGAAGCTTGGGATGGTGAATAGCGCGCAGATGGCGAATTGAGCGAATGTTATCAAGGGACCTGTGCGGGAACGGGTTGGGTTAGGATATGTTGATGCGTTTTTGTTATTGGGTTCTGGGTTTGTCCATTCTTACCGGCAGTAGGCTGTTCTCTGGAGAAAATATGGGATTAGCGTTGTGTTTGGATTGGTCTGGCTTTGTTGACTTACTTGATAATCGCCTCGAGCGCAAAGACCTATACCCAAGATCAGTTCCTATTATACTACTATAGAAGCGTTGGAGGTCTCTAGACACCCACATTGGCACAGCAGCCTCCAAAAATAAGAGAGACCATTAAAACCATGCTTGTCCAGCTAGGAACCGCCGCGTGGACGGCGGCAGCAACGAGGCCCGGGGCATCTTTCTTCAATTGAGCATAGTCGAGCTTGTCCTCGGAATTTTTAGATCGAGACGCGTTCAAAGTGAGGTTCGCGTTTCCATTTGGGTTCCCAGCAGAGACTCGAGAGCGATTGATCAGGTATGAGTCGTCGCGTCCTCGTTTCGAGGATTCATGATCATTGAGCATTCTATCTGTTTTAAATGTGAGTGGTCTTGATAGAGAGGAGGAATAGTGAAGGTTGGAGATTAAGTCACTTCCTTACCTTTTGTATTAGTAGTTTCAAAGGGCAAATACTTCAAAAGACAAAAGGCGCAACGTGGTTGAAAGAGAAAGCTGGGGCTGCCGATAAGAGAGTGGATCACGATCGGCGATGGCGATATGTACAATACAGGTACATAGTGAGGAGTATATAGCACATATTATGTATTGTTTTTGTTCTTACATTAAATTGTCACTATGTACAAAATCCATCAATCGACAATGTCATCGTCACTGAGAATCAATTTCTCTTCCTGGGGCAGTTGAGTACGACTGGGTTGTTTCATACGCGACTGCCCTGGAGACTCCATCCCGTCAATGTCATCATTACGAAGATTCTCGTTGGCGCGAATGTTAGTGATCTTATTCAACTGCCAGCAATCCGGGTCCTGGCGTCGGATTGCAGCCATATAGGGCAGTTGATGAAGCAGTAGATCATTCCGAGGCATCATCGTGACCATACTCGAAGTATCATCTTTGTTCCCTGAGTTAGCCGATGCCGACCTTCCCACCTGAAGATTTCTCCAGGAACTGACACCCATAAGATCAGAGCCATTTTGAGAAAGATGCTGCTGTCCAAAAGGATCGAGTAATCGGTTTGTCCATGAGTCGATCAGTCCATCGATTTCCTCGGCCTCTCTCCACAATCGCAGAGATGCTGGGTAAAACATCTTGTATGCATCGCCCGCGCGGCTTCGTCCAGTTCCAGACCCAACCTTTCTCTTGACTGGGTAAGGAAGTGCGAAAAGAAGACCACGCGCCGCAACTTGGAAACTGATTTCCTCCTGTCTGAGCACGTCAACACCGCTACCAAAAGAGGGAATTCCAGTTCCTATTCCGGCCCGTGCTCCTTGCCCTGGTCGGCGATCAGCACTGAGGATATCACTATCGGAGAGTGCATCGATGCAGTCGTTGAGATAGTCCGTAAAATCATCCCCATCGCAGGAGGGGACGTAGTTCTCATGTAGAGCACTGATGAACGTTGATATGTCGGTCCCGGTCTCGTCGACCAGATCATTCGCCAATACCTGCGAAGCCTTTGGTCGTGCATACTGGCGCAGATACTCCGGCGGTGGTGGAAGGATCTCGAAATCGCCCTCGATTAGACTCGGGTCCATGCGTTTATTGTACACGATCTTTCCAACGGCGTGGAACATGCCCAGACTCGCCTCTCTCTGAGTTATCATCTTGAGAGACTCTTTCTCCATCGCCGTCAAAGCAACCTCGCCTCGAGCTTTCTTTATTTTGGCCACGCTGCCTCCCCATCTCCCCGTATCGTCCCCCTTGAGACAGAGGAATTCGAGAGCGGATATTGCACTGCGGATATCGCCGATTTCAGAGATACTGTCTATAACACCAGGTCCAGGTATTTGAACACGTCTAGAGTTCCGCGCTTGTCTGTCCAAGATAGACCGCAAAGCCTTGTGCATAAAAGTCGGTGCAATGCTATTGAAATCCAATATCGTTGTCCCAGGGTGATTGTAGATCGTAGGCCCTAGTAACCGGTGAACTGTCAGGTTATCTAAAACTGATGACGCAGATCCCAACAACGTCTCAGACACGATGATCACGATAGGCGGATGATTCGATCCAAAACTGCCCCGGGCATGATCATTCGCAGAGGCAGCCAAATATTGTTGAAGAGACGTCCGAAACGCCGTGAGGGCTGAGGACGCCCGGCCAAGCACAGTTGGAAACTCCTCTATAAGAAGAATCCGCTTGTCCCGAGGTTTCGCATCTTTCTGGGGATCGAGCTCGCTGGCATTTTCGAGATCGAGCCCTCCAAATTTATTACCCCGTCCAAGAAACTCTTCAAAGTGCGCGCTCACGGATTGATAATCGCGAGCTCCAAATTCTGAAACCGGGGGATTCCTCCACTCGACAATGTCGTAACCAATTGATTCAGAGAGTAGGGACACAGTGGTCGTTTTCCCACTGCCTGCCGGACCCCGTAGGACGAGTAACCTCTGCATATTGTCAGAACCACATTCAAACCCAAACCCCGGATTATCCTCAGATCAAAAGCTCACCTCAGAGCGCCTCCCAGCAAACGCATCCTCCAACCAATGCTGTACATCCGAGACCTTTTTCTTGTGAACGGCCAACTCGCTTAGGTTGGCAGGAGCGAACCGCTGAGCCCATGGTCGACGGTCCAATTCACCAGCCGGCTGCGCAACCATGGGCTTCTTCGCAGTGCTATACCCAGAGTCCTTAGGCAGAAGGAACCGTTTTGTCGTCTTGCGCGGGTTGACTGGAGCCTTTGGCTTTGGCGCAGGCTTTGGCGCAGGCTGACGTGTCTGGCTAGAGCTCACGGTACCCATTGCCGTTCGCTCATTGGCTAGATGTTGTGTAAATATTTCATCGTAGGAGTCGTAATCGTCTTCAATCAGGTCCACATCGACAGTCTCCCTGACTGGCGGGAGGGGCTGCTTCTCGGTCTTTTGCGCCCATCGCTGTCCCTCTGTGGAAGGCTGGAAGAAGCTGTGCAGGGACTTTAATTTTGAGTCTGGTTTCGGTGACGATTTGATCTTTTTGTTTGGAGAGGGTGAGGACGAGGGGAGCCGGGTTGATGGTGTTGTGCCGCGCGAGTAGGAGGGTTTTGGTCGTGAGAGGCTGAAGGGTTCGGTTGGTTCGATAGGGCTGGAGCTACCTGAAATGACGGTGGGAGCTTTTTTTGATTTTATTTTCGGCTCATCCTGCTTTGAATCCTTAGACCTGCGTTGTCTTTTAGGTGGACGACCGTCCATGATGGGTTTGGTCAAAAAGTTGGAGAAGCTGAGATACGCGTCCGATAAGCCTATGACGCCAAGCGGTGGGCCTTTTGCCAGTTTATAGATAGATTGTAGTATATAGAATGAGATGTAAATGTAGTACGGATATTAATGTTAATTATATATTAGAACTATGAACACTCATAAGACAAATCGCACAGCGGGTATATTGACCAGAATCTGAGTCGGCGGAGCCAAACAACCAAAAAGAGAAAAGAGAAAGAAGACACCCATATAGAGAGGCAGTAATCTCTATGCGCCTCCAAATACATCATAGTAATAATCTTCATCCAAGCCGTCTCTCGAAGGTACCTGGGGAGCCTCGCCAGCGAAAGTGGCATCATCGAACCGCACATTGAGCAGGCGGATCTTCAGCCCATAGTTGCTGACCAGGTCAATCAGCTTGCTTGTCTCTGCAGTGATGGGCTGCTGGTTGAGGAGCATCAGCAGACCATCCAGCCATTCAGATGCAATGCTGTGCGAGGACGGACGCAGCGTCAGCAGGACTACCTCCTTTTGGGTGGCCCTGCTGCCGGACCGGGCGTGACTGTGGCCTTTTCCGTGTCCGGTAGCCGTGGAGGGAGCGTAGCCGTGGATGGTGATCTTGGTTGCGGGTTGACGGGGTGCAGTCTTCACGGTGGCTGTGGAGGAACTGTCTGGGTTGGCGGAAACGTTGGAAGTTACGGATGATACGATTGAGAGATCGACTGTGGGGGGCACGGGCCGGTGTTAGCAGAAAATACAGGATAAACAACTCCGTGACACTCACTTTTCTCTGGTAGGGTATCCAATTCCGGAGCTCGGTCGCCCATCATGTCAAATTGACCGAAATGCAAGTATCGTCGGTTATGAGAGAGCTGGGCATATTGATATGTAGCAGTGGACTTCTGTACCGCCCCAGACTCCAACTTGGAGTGAGAATCTAGAGCGAACCAGCTACCTTGAAGCAAAGATCGGATTCGTTGCTCCTTGACGAACTGAAGAGCCTCATGGTGAAGTTCTTCGCGCACCTGTCGCAAGTGCTGGCCCCATGCATCCTCGTACGTGAGTTCAAGGAGTTCCATCTGCAGCCCGCGCAATCGGTGGTATTCAAAATCGGCCAGTTCCTCTTCCACATCCTGGACATCCTTGACCCGAGCAGCTCCGCCAACCACGGACTCAATGAGGATGCGCACGAGCTCAATGATCTTGTCCAAGTCCTCTTCTTCGGCGGCAGTCGCCTTCCATAGGCGGAAGAAGGCCTGTAAGCCGGCAACATGTAGTCGGGTCCAATGTAACAGCAAGGGCTGGAACAGTTTCTCAAAGCCCGCACGGGACTCTGAAATAAGATATGTTTTGGTGTCATCCACGTCGGACTTTTCGACCTCGAAATGCTCGTATAAGATGGATGTTACGGCCAACGATGCCCGAGCAATCGGACATCGCTGTCGTGCTGGCTTTGTAGAGTGCTCCAAGAGCATATTTTGAAAATCATCCCCATGGCTGCGAACATAGTCCGCCAGATCCATCATTCCCAGGAAACCGACCTCGTAGAATTCCCCCGCAGGACTCTCCGTCTCAAACCCAAGCCGCCTCCACTTTTCCGGATGGTGTCGTCTAGAGCGCCGTGTGTCGTCGCCATTCTCGGTAGCCTCGTCGTGGTTCCTATCCGGGTTACTGGCCACATAGATCCCCTTCAGCGCACGGCGATGCTCAGGCTTGTCCTGGCCGACAGGAATATCTCGCCACTTGCGTAGCAAGACTTTGGTAAGTGACTGGAATTCCAGCAGTGGGTGGGCCAGGTCCTGAAGGGCGGGGTCCTGCATAAGCACATAGGCCGCTCTGATAACGCCCAGATCCTGTAACCTCTGAATAAATTTGGGCCACTCCGCCTCGGGGTCGTTGGTGATCGAGTCGCGCATGAGCGAATTGATCAATTGGAGCGCATTAGCACACAGCGCATGGTCGGCGGAAGATAATCGGCTGACAAGCATCTCCAGGAACTGGGGGTATATGGTGATTGCAGGCTTCAGGGCGCGGAAGCCAAAGTTGTCAACCTGGGAGGCGCGGTTCCCAGTGTACGGATGGGAAACAATGGAGACGAGAATGGACATGGCGCCGCGGAGGATGTTGACTAGGGGATGGGTGACGATCAGCTCGACAATCTAGAGGACAGTCACATTAGCATTTGATGTGGCCGCGGAAAGGGGACTGTAAACAAACGCAGAGAGCACTGTAATGGCTTCAAGGATACTCACGCGCTCAACCAACTCCTGGTCAACACACTCCCATCCCTTGTCGACATCGAGCAACCTCGAAAAACTCGTCAAACTATATGCCAGAGTGTTCCCGCTTGCGTGGAGGGTTAGGTAGCGTAATCGAATTAGGCCGCCCTCTACGATGAAGATGTCCGCGAAGGATGGGTCTCCGATGTTGCTCTGGAGCTTGAAGACGGCCATTTTGCGCACGGCATCTTCATCGCTACCCAGACGCTCGACCAATTCGGCCACATTGACGGTCTCCATGTCTTTGAAGCCAGTAAGAAAGACCTCGGGGAGAAGAGAAAGAGATCAGGGGGGAACTGTGGGGCAATTGGAATTCAAATGGTGATCTCTCGGTAATCTTGATCCTTTTTCATCTAAGCATGAATAGATCGAATATTCCACATATAAAACCGTTGAGAAGGGGAAATAATAAACGGGACTAAATAGTTGATGTCTCCCGAGGTAGTCAACCCCCTACGTTATATATACCAACCTTCTAATTTCCCATCCCAGTATTATAGAGACTATATAGTTGGGATTTCAATATAATTGTTTAATGTAATTTATTTTTATGCATTAAGTCGTTACATGATTCCTATGAGATTCTATACAAAACGAAATGCGCCAAATCCAATCCGAGCCCATCTTTCCCCTCCCCCAGAACGCCACAGGGTGTAACCAGTTTTTCCCCCATTATGTACGACGGGCTAGCCGTAATCGTCAGTCGTGAAAATTGCAGTGATCAAGATTAGCGGCGCCAGCCCACATTCCAAATCACATGGGCAATGTCTCGGGCTGTGTTGACAGTGTCCACAACCCGGTCCAAGATGCTGCTGTTGGGGGTTTCAGTCTCGCCTTCCGGCATGATCATGCCCGAAGCAGTCAATCGGGGGTGATCTGATGGTGGATCATCTTTAATGAGCCATGCGCGATCACGCTCGGGGTAATTTCCCGTGAAGTCCAGGCTGGGATCTTCACATTCATCCAAAAGAAAGTTAGCCGAGGGCTCTGATGGCCCTGACGGACGTATGGTCTCCACAGAGGGAGTTGGTGATAACTTCGGGGTGGGGGTGGACCATCGGCTAAAGAACGTCTGAGGGGGCTCGGGGGGATCCACACGGTACTTGAGCGTGGTTGAAGGGAGGGGGGCGATAGTTTTCCCATCGCTGAAGCTGTTGCGTGGGGTGCTGCGGTTGCTGAGAGAGGACCGGCTGGAGATTTGTCTCATCATGACTACGCCGTCGTCGGAAGATGAGTCGTCTTCAAAGGTGGCGGGCCAATCATCATAGCCCTTGGCTTCAACCGCGATGCATTGTACGACTTCATTGTTGAAGTGGATACGGCGTCGCTCGCTTGGAGATGTCATTCCAGATGATGATGAGGCAGTGAGAGTGCCACCGAGAGAGTAGGTTGAGCTTCCAGTCCGGTGATGCAAGTGGTCCAAGTCTGTGTTGGACCTGGGGAAAGGGGGCCGAGCCCAGATATTCTCGGCTTCTTGGGCCTTGAGAATGGCCCCTGCATGTTGGAGTAACGTATGTTGAGATAGTGAGCGCTGGAGGATGGCCTCTGACGCGGTCTTCTTCTTAAGGATTGGCTTTGGGTCTAGATAACAGTTTGGTGTCTCCAAGCGACTTGGAGGGGGAGACGGAGAGGTTACACGTTCGACAGAACTTTTTAATGGCCCATATAGCCAGGTAACATCGCAGTCCTTCAGCCTGGTAAGAAGTTAGCGGGTGTGAATAAACGATTGAAAAGTCAGATCAATGACCTACCAATTGAGGCTTTCCGGCGATATCGTCTTCAGGTTGTGTTTGGCCTTGGCCCATGTCCTCCAAGAAGCATTCTCTAATCTCACACCATTACTATAATCATTCCTCCGACTCGTCACATAGCGCCAAGAGGACCAAATATCCTCCTCCTTCCAGTCATGTGAAAGGTAGTCCACGTGCCTGGATGGTTCATCTTCGATTAAGCTGTCATCTGCCGACGGAGCCTGTAACGTCCACGAAGGTAGGTGTGATTCTGTCGACGCATCGCTCATATCCTCGAGTTCTTTCGCATTATGGTGAGGTTCTGTTTCGTAGGAGGGTAGGATAAGTTCGTTTTCTGGTGATATGCTATTCATTGGCGCATAGGCGAGTTGTTCGGGTGTAGGAATGTAGCTCGGAGAAGGGGGTACGGAGGGCAGATTTGCGACTGGGGAAGAGTCCCTCGCACGATAATCATCTCGCATGGGTAATTTCCTGGGAATGGTGTGATCTTCTAAGAAATATCGTTGCGCGGTGGGACCGGTGGGACACCGTAGAGGATCAGGAAAAGGCGAATGGGTTTCGCGGGGAGTCAACAAGGTCGTCATCTCCCTTATTATTTCCAATGATGTAATGATAATAAGGGTCACAAGGGAATATGCTTGATGCAATGGCGATTCAAACATGTATTGTCAGGTGATTGCTGGCATAATATCCGAGGAGAGGAGGAAGGAGAGAAAGGAGAGAGAAGGGGGAAGAAATAGAGAGATAGTGGTAAAAGATAGCGAGAGCCGAAATCTGGGGAGTTGACCGTTCCCGGGGGATTCTGGGGGTACTGGGGTGATTTTTGGAGGGGGTAAAAAGGAGTTTTAGAAGGATGAAAGGGATAAGAAAAAAGCAAATAATAAGATCAAATTCAAGGAAATTCAACTTATATTATTACTATTACTATTATTATCTGTATAAAAGGAGTTGCCACAAGGAAATCTATATTCTGTCTAGTTTCTACTATATTAGTCCTAGTTTAGATCGAGAGTAACTTGAGACTAGTGTAGACTAGTAACCACATAGTATTATATCGGAATTAAATACTCCATACGGAGTACATAAAAAAAGAATAATAAAAAAGAATAATAAAATCTTCTAGACCGGACGATAAATTGTTCTTCTCCACCAAAATATGCAAGTCCATCCTTAGTGCAGGGAGTGTGCTATGCGTCTATAACGTCTATAACGTCTATAACGGTCGATCTTGTGGAGCATGGTGATATATATAAGTACAATATACTCCGTACATAGTACAATATAACTATCTATACAGAATAGTTTCGAACTTTTCAGAATATAATCCCTTTGAAAGTACTCTTTCACTACTGTATACCATAATCGGAGTATCGCGGAGCCACCCGGCCTAGGCCTGTAGTCCTCCGATGCATCCGCAGGGCCTGAGCCACCTTACTTTCGAAGAGAGTCGGACCCCTCCGATCCACTTCAAAACGAGTTTTGACTGTTGATAATATATATAACCAGGTCCAGATCGATCCCAGCATACCTTGTACTAACCGAGGCATTGACGTTTCTAGAATGCTGTCATGGCACATGTACTCTGTACACCAGTAACACATGGAACTCCCAGGGGACCCTGTTGGCCGGCTAAAAGGAAAACCTAGCCCATGATCGACCGGAGATACGAGCCGAATCTCAGAGTATACCTTTGAAGGGTTTATAAAAGATAAGCGGGGTCCAATTGGTGGCGTATATTTGCCTTTGTCTTCAAGCCATTGACATCTTCGACGTCTAGATTCTCTATCTCAATTCCCAGTATCCAACTCTCTTCTAGAGGGTGTACGGATGGCTCTAGAATAGGGCAAGCTAGAGCTAAATACCAAACATGACACAAGAAAAGAAAAAGAAAAAGAAAAAGCGTCGTACACAGAATTACCTTTTGTCTGTGCGCTTGCATCGACAGCATCTGGGTAACTATCCACCGAAGACTGTCATGATTGGCGGGTCAAAACACTCGACATCGGTTCTTAGGAGGCGCTATTGTCGATGCGAATCACAGCCAAGTGATAACCGCCCATTGCTGCATGTTACCGTGAAGTATTCGAGTTCTGGCCCTTTGAAACTGTAACTGGGAACCTGAAACTTTGTCGATATGCCTAGGCCATTCCTATAACATCGCAAGTTCTCATGTTCTGGCCCACCGCTAAACCTCCACCTCTCCGCGGAGGCTTGATCTGTAGCGCTCGCACGATGCGCACCCTGGTCTTTCCCTCACGGGCCCTCCTAACGTCTGTCACATTCGACACCGATCATTGGTCCCTAGACAGTATCAGACAAGGATACCTTCTCTGTGCTGCTTTGACGCATGTCGCCAGCAGTCACATCCACAGGGGCAATCAACTCTCTCTCTCCTTTTTTCACCACTAGCTTGGCTACTAAGGCCCTTGATAACGCAGCTAGCTGACGGAGACCGGGGCTTACACCCCCGCTGGTAGTGAAATGCAAGACAAAACAGGGATTGCAAGGTTGCAATTGACTATCTTATCAGACGTTTGCGGATCTATCGGCCATCGCGGCACCAATTGGCGTGCCTGGCCCCCTATCGTGATGGTAAGCACAGCTGCAAGTCGAACGGCTCATATCGAGTGGGGGTTGTTTTTAACATCGCCCCCGACTTTCCACTTCCAGTCAGCCGGGGGAGGTGGGATGTACCCCTCCACGAGGAGATTGGAATTGCATAACTGTCATGACTGCCAAAGGAGAAATTAGTAAAGATATGCAAGGTCGTGCTAATGCGTTGTGTTTCTCCAATCTGGATGTGTTGTCTTTGAGCATGTAAAATGGTCCAATAATGAGCAATCGAGGATCATTAACCGTTTTGACTAGTCGGCGACTAAACTAGCAGGGTACTTTGTACGGAGTAGACAGCCAACGATCACAAGTCACCGGCGTCATTGCACGTGATATCCAAACCTGGCTTAGTCTGGCAGAACTGCCCCTCCGCCCCCGCGATATGTTGATTCTCTGGCAGAGAAACAAGTCTAGGCCAATAGCTACCATTTATCAAGGTACTATTCTCATACATCATGGCCGAGGTAGAAACAACCCCAGTTGAGCAGGCAAGACATGTTGTCTATTGTGGAGGTGAGGATCCCCGTGGCGCAATCACGACCACAACCCCAATCCGTTCGAGAATATAGCGCTGATCGAATCCCGATAGTTTGCACATTACCCCCCGAGGTATGACCTTCCAGTTCATCCCAAGTCCCCAGCTCTCAGTCCCCCAGAAGTGAAGGCCCGGCCCACTCCTTTTCCCCGCTTTCTCGCCCCTGCTTCTTAGCTCTTATCATGGGGGCCCCAGCTCCATGCGTGGCATAGCTGCTAGCCACTAGAAAGCGCCAACATAGCTGGCTTGCAGATTGATATTTGGATCACACTTACACTGGATATGCAATGTGTTTCTGACGTGCGGGGTTATCTGTCTAGTATTGCGAGTTTGGAGGTACCGCTAAGAAATGCGAAGAGTGGCTCAAGGAAAACGACTCAGATCTGTGGGACAAACTATACTCTGAAGGTACATCTACATCTGGCGATCCGCAAGTCCGGAAATGGGAAATCACCGGAATAACGCCATTCTAACCCTGGTTTTTTTTCCTATCAGATGCCCTGAACGCCAACCTCTCCACCCTTTCCGTCTCTGCGCAAGAACGCGCCGCTAAAGACGCCGCCAAGAAGGAGGCCAAAGCTGCTGCCAATGAGGCACGCGATAGCGAGCGCAAGGCCGCCTCCAAGGTTCTGATCAAGCGTGTCGAGCGCAACAAGCGCAAGTATGTGACGGTCGTAATCGGGTTGGAGGTATTCGGACTGGAGAACAAGAAGATCGCAAAGGATTTGGGAAAGAAGTTCGCCACTGGTTCTTCGGTGACCCGCTCGCCTGCGGGTATTGAGGAGATCACCGTCCAGGGTGATGTCAGTGATGACCTGCACGATTGGCTCCTCGAGGTCCACGGCAAGAAGATCCCTGAGTCCAATATCGAATTGATTGAAGACAAGAAGAAGAAGAAGAGCGAGGGCCCGGTATAATGACGAACACGAATCCTTTGCGGACTGGGTATCATGACATAAATCTAAAATAAAAGTACAAATTGAAGACAATTCAAGCAGAAACAAGCAAGCAGAAAGCAGAAAACCGATCAGGCCCGAAATTAGGTTTAGGTCAAGGGCCCGGAGCACAAGAAAAAAAAATTTCATAATTCATCCAGCATGCTCAAAGGATCATGTTCCGCAGCTGCTGCATCATGCGCTGACCGGATCGTTGGAGTCGGACTAGCCTGGGCCAGACTCTCGCGGCGATCCGCAAGGTTGGACGGATATCGAACAGACCCTGCATCAGACCCTGAACTTCTTCCCCCGAGACTGAGAACCTCATCCCACGCCTCGGATTGAGGTGGCACAGAGGGCGAAGAGTGGTTCGACACTGTCAAACCTGACATCTCAGCGTGGGGAGACCAGAATAGTGGCCAGTTCTGGATTACTAGAGCGAGTACAAGCACCAACAGCGCGCTTGTGACAATGCCCCAGAAGATGCGCAGTCGACGACTGGTCCGGGTTTGCCATTCTGTTTCCCGCTGTTCCCAGCTATCGATCTCGTGTCGTACAGTCTCGAGTCGTTTCCCTAGTTCTTCGACGCGCTGTCGGCCTGTTTTCATGCGTTGCTCTAACGCGTCAGCCTTTTGGATCTGTGACTCGAAGCCTTTTAGATCGCTAAGCTGTTTGCGGATATCCTGATCTAGCCCAGCCGTTTCACGTTCGAAGTCATTGAGAAGCGTTGAAGCTGAGTCGGAGAGTTCCTGGAAGGACGAGATAGTTGCGTTGAGCGCTGTGATCTTCTCGAGTAGATTGTAATAGGTGTAATCCAGTCGACGGGTGACGTCTGTCGCTAACGTCCCAATCGAAGTTAATGCAGACCGTAGATACCTTGAAACAGCCGTTAGTCAATCTCCTATGAGCACAGAAAGTCTCAAAAAACATACTCCTCGCCCAGCTTCCTCCGCTTCTTAATTTTTTCCAGGTCATTCATAGATAGAATCTCGTTCCGACGGATAGGCGCCAATCCCTCATGCTGCTCAGGCGTATCAAACAGACTCCCATTCCGACCATCTGATAGACCAGTAGTCGAATCAGACCCCCAGCGACTCCGGGTCGTTTCCCTTGTAATCGGCCTCAACAACCCATCATCGCCCTCGCGGTCCTTATCCTTCCCGCCTGACCACGTAGGAAGCAATCCCCTAGCGCTCGCCGAGGAAGCCAGATGGCTCATGGGATTAGGGAAGCGCAGTTCCCGCGACTTGCTGTGTTTGTGGCGGGGGCCCCTTGTGCCATCGAAGGCAGGTAGATCTAGCGGGCTAGGGGATGGGGATGGGCGAGTTCGATGTCGGGAGGCGGACTCTCCTTCTGGGGAGATCGGAAGGTTATTAGAGCGATGGCGGCGCGAACGGCGGGACTTTCTTCGATCTTTTTGGGCGCTTTCTTGGCTGCCGAATGTGGAGAGGTCCTCGGATTTGGACTGGAGGTCGCTGGCCTGCTGGTTTTGGTTCTGGCTGCGGGTAGGGGTTTGGGACGGTGGAAATGTGGCGGAGGCTCCTCGGGATGATGAGAAGGAGGCGTATTTATATGGAGGTTCCATAGCGGTACATTCTGTGAAGAAAGCTTGGGGAAGCTTGGAAGCTTGGAGGTTTGGTGTTGGTTGGAGTGTGGAGTTGGGGGGATCGATGACGCCAAGGCTACCCAGATGAAGACCATCTGTAGTTGACAGTATCGCAGTCCTCTCTACCACCTATATTGTACTCTGATCAATCCAATTACGCTAAAGAATAGATTGCGATTATAGAAAAAAAGTTGTCTTGCTCGCTAGTAGTGACCTATGACCTAACCTCAGAAAAAACGCCTGTAATCGAACAGCCCACGCCGGAATGAGTGCCCAGTCTTTCCAGCCAAAGACAAGGAAGAAGGAAGAAGTCTCGACAGGCCGATGTATATACACACAATGCAGTCTCGGAGGAGATAGAGAGATGATATGGCGGAGATATAGAACGTGAACAGCCTCAAGAGTTGAGCAGCTTGTTGCGCTTCTCTCTGCGCTTGAGACGGTCCAGTCTCTTGTGGTGCATCTTCTCGGCCATCTTCTCATAACGTAGCTTCTCTTCCTTTGCTTCTCGGCGGTCTTTGATGCGCTGAATACGGGCCTGGAGGGGTCGGTTAGTGATACCATCTTGGGAAGTGATGTGTTGTCGGACATATCATTATTATGGAGACAGGGCTGACAAGAGATGGAGACCCGACAAAGACATAAAAGATCGAAGGAAGTGAGACATATTAAGAGAGAAAAGGAACAAGATCGGCATACCTGACGTTCAGCCTCATGCTGTGCCTTCATCTCACGTTCAAGTTCCTTGACAGCATCGCTGTGCTTCTTGGCCTCTTGACGCTTAGCGTACGAGGTCAAACCTGCAGTAGGGCGGAAAGGCTTCTTCGTGTCATGCCAGTTTTTACCTGAAGGTCCGATGGGGTTAGCCGGGGAGATGAGGGACAGTAGGGAAGTGGGGACTGGGTATTTTTTTTTTTTTTTCACTTACCATTTTTCCGCACGCCGGCGGTCGGAGGCACGACTGCTGTCGTAGCCGTTGTGGTGGACATGATAGGATGTGTGACTAGGAAGAAAAGCAATTCCACGTGGGAGATTTCAGAAAGTGGATTGGGAAGGAAAAGTGAAGCAAAAGAGACCGGGAGGAGTCGAGGCAAAAAACGGACCGAGTTTTTTCATTGATTATCTCGATCTGATAAAATGTCTTGGCGTCCGCTAAGAGAGAAAATGCTTCGGCCCAAATTTCCCTGACTCCACACTCATTTTTCCCACTCTTGACTCACCTCCTACAGGCTGTTCTACATTACTTTAGGCCCATTTTCCTTCTGGATTTGGGCTGTCATCATTTCCATTCTCTTCCTAGCTTCTGCACGTTCCCTTGGCAAACCCTGTAGGCCCATCAAATCCCTCGTTACACCGCCCCTCCCCCCACCAAAGTCCTTTTATTCAACTACTTATACCTCCGATTTTCCCCTTCTTACCATGATCCCACGATAACATTCTTTTTTCCCTTGGTCATTTTCACATTTTACTTGATGGCGACAGAGCATGCGATCGTCAGTGAACCGATGGAGCTGCCATCGCTCCCGCCCAACCAGGGCCTCGAGGCGATAAAGGATATAATATTTGGATCGGTAAGGAAGTCCTTGGCATATGCACGAAGATCTAGACTGACAGTTTCCGAAGTCGGCAGGAATGGCAGGCAAACTCTTCGAGTACCCCTTCGATACCGTCAAGGTCCGACTACAGTCACAACCTGAACACCTTCCCCTCCGATATGCAGGACCAGTGGATTGCTTCCGCCAGTCTTTCCGAGCAGAAGGTTTTCGGGGACTTTACAGAGGCATTAGTGCCCCTATGACTGGAGCTGCGGTGGAAACCAGCTGTCTCTTCTTCAGTTATCGTCTCATTCAAGATAGCCTGCGCGCAACGGTTTATCCAGGCGTTGAGCACCTACCATTCTTCGCTCTCATTGCTTGCGGAGCTTTGTCCGGCTCTGTGACCTCGCTAGTACTCACGCCAATTGAATTGGTGAAATGCAGGATGCAGGTCCCCGTGGAGTCAGCAGGCTTCAAACCTGCTGGCCCCATGGCCATTATCACTAGCATTTTCCGAAATGAAGGGCTGGCAGGATTCTGGCGGGGCCAGATGGGAACCTTGATCCGGGAAACCGGCGGAAGCGCAGCGTGGTTCGGCGGATACGAGGGTGTATCATCGCTGTTCCGCAAGTATAACAAGTCGAGCCCCCAATTGACATCCGACTCGCTCCCCATCCACCAACAAATGATTGCAGGAGCGACGGCTGGAATCAGCTACAACTTCCTGTTCTACCCAGCCGATACAATCAAGTCTCGCATGCAGACTGTAGACGTCTCACGACTGCCGCTCCATGCTCAAAAACAGACCTTCTGGGGCGTGACTAAGGCTTTGTGGAGGCAGCAAGGGCTCAAGGGCATGTACCGCGGGTGCGGGATCACCTGCGTGCGCTCGGCGCCCAGCTCGGCCTTCATTTTCACCGTTTATGAAGGATTACGGCAATATTTTGGTTGAAAAAAAAGAGAGAGACTATTACAATTCCCCTGCATATAGACATTTGTCCCCTTTTTCCTTTTGGATTTTTCATACCTGACTCTTTGGATTCTGACATCGTGCGCTATACCCCGAATACATTCAAACACGATTCTTGACTCTTCTACACTTTCTCCTGTTTTTACCCCTCCTTACTCGAACTCCAATGCTTACTTTGACGGAAAATCACGCACCGTTTTGCGCTTTCCAGCTTGACCTGCCCCCTTGGTTAATGAGCCGCGCATCGAATCTCTCAAAACAGAGCTTGTTAGCTGGTGACGTATACCAGACCAAGCATCTCCAGTCCGGCCGATGATACCCTATCTATGGCCCTGCTTGTGCTGGGAATTTTGCACACGTCAAGGGTGAAGGCGTTGAATCACTTGGCGTTCGAGTTTACCACCCTTTTTATGTTGTCTCGTTTATCTTTCTTTGTATAGAATTAATTTCAGATGCAAATAGAACTTCCATTCCAATGTCTAACTCGATGCTCTAGTTGCCATTATCATATAAATTCCGAAGGACCCCAAAGCCAGTCAATATACCTAGCTCATCGTCTGGTCTCGAATCGACTAAACGCAGATGCTTGTGCTGCAATCAAAGAAAATGGCGGTGTGATAAAGTACATACCTGCATCGCCTGTGTAAAAGTAGACGTTTGGTGCACCTTTCTAGGCCCAAAAAGAGCCCCTGCGGACATTGAACAGGCCGCCAGTTAATGGGTTACTCGCTCGTTTAAAGCATCTTGAAGAAGAGTTTGAGCGAAGTTGATATTGAAGAAAAGGCCAAGCAACTTTGCTCAACGCGTCAATATACCAATACACTGGATTTAGATACATAATCATCTGAATTCGGAGAAGACAATCAAGACAGAGAGAATTGCTGGTTTACAGAGTGAAAGGGTCGCTGGGTTTGAGATGAGGTTTCTGTTGCGCTGGAACACGGAGCTAGCTATATAAAAGCCACGCATATAGTCGCTTTATACCGATTCTACATTCTACACTGCTCAAGATACCGGATCGATTTTCTGGTCTGGACTGACTTACTGGGCCCTTATTTTAGGCCATTATTGTTTTCTACCTAGACAAATATGCAAAGAAGCCTCTTTTTCTCTAACGCATATTCCATGATAATTAGAACTCTATATCATTCAACTCTCGCGTGTCTCAAACTTGCTCTCCTCCTTTAACCAGTCCCCAAAGGTCTTTAACTCAGGATTCAACTTTCTCAAAGCCGGAATATCTGCGTCATATCCCTCATCATGAAACCATTTGAACATAACATCCAGCTCCTTGACGCCAGCCATCATCAACCAAACTGGAATCCTATAAGTGGTGGGTACATTCTGGCCAGTCAAGGACTTGAAAATCTCTGACATGCGATCAAACGTCAATTCATCGCCAGCAAGCGAGCAAGCATGATTCTTTGATGCTTCGGGGTTCATAAATGCTGCTGCAGCGAAGAACCCAATGTCACTTGTAGCAACTAGCTGCAGCGGCTTGCCCTTCAGAGACATCTTCCATGCAGTTGCAAACACCTTTCCATAGTAATCCGGCGTGAGATTCTCAAAGAAGGCAACAGGACGGAGAATGGTCCATTCCATCTGGGTCCCTTTTGTTTTCTCTTTGAGATGGTCTTCAATCTCGTGTTTGGAAATGAAATACGGGACCTGGGTTGGGTTTTGCTCTGATCTCTTGCCACCGCGGTCGACGGAACTGTATACGAAGTACTTGACGTCTTGTTTGATGGACTCGTCTATAAGCGCAATTCCTTGACATCTTTCGTTGTCCTTTTTGGGATTGGCGGACTGTTTTATTGGTGAATTGAGATGTCTATTTAGGATATTGTTTCTCGGGGACTTACTTGAACACTGAACACCCCCCAAACTGGCGATGAGGTTTGACGCTTTACATTCTCGAAGATGGCAGCTGGGTCTTGGAGGTTGCCTTCGATCAATGTTATATTGGAGGACTTCTGAGCGAGCTTCTTTGCTGAAGTAGAATTGATGTCACGGGTTACGGCGAGGATCTTGAAGGGGGCATTTTTCTTCAGAAGGCTGTTTACCACGGAGCCTCCCTGTTTGCCTGTAGCTCCGGTGATGAGAATTGAGGCCATGTTAGCCTCAAGGGTAGTATACCACTATAAATGAGCAGTTCCAGGTATTACATCCCTCGGATCGGCTCCAACGCAGTTCGACATGATTTATATGGTTTATAAAAGTACGAGGTCTTCGGGGTGAGTTTCAACTCCAGATTGTATAGAAATGACGTCATATAATAAATGATAGCATTATGAAGTAGTTATAACACACTGGGGCATCAACATATAAAAGATATAAAAGACATGAAAGAATCACAATATGGAGTTATTAACCGCAATAATACTCATCCCCCTATGCATCTCCTTCTCGGCAGCTTGTAAAAACTCCCTTACCGTCATATCCAACCCTTCTTCTCCCAACAAGTCCCCCTCCAATTCACCTCGCAATAATGGACCATTCATCCCCCCATTCAACTCCCAAACCTTCCCATCTTTCTTAACAAAAGCAATAAAGTGAAACCCACATTCCTCCTGCGGCAAAGGTACGATCGAGCACCCCTCCGACGCTGCATCCATATGCGCCTCTTCCAAAAACCTTGAATCATACAAGAGTCGCGCTCTCTCCACTGGTCCCAGCCCAACCGCCCGCTTCACGATCTTCTCCAGCTCCGACCCCGCCATGACATATTTTCCATTCTCCAAATTGACAACCACATGTAGTAAGGCCATCAGCCCACACGCATGTCCGATTGTTTGCTTCATCCACAGTACTGGCTCGTCGGCCCCGCTGCCGACATATTCGGGTATGCTGTGTTCGACGCTAGAACGCGCGGCGAGGTAGATGGGTTTGTCGCAGAGGAGGATGAGGGCGTTTACTGGTCGCGGGATCCAGGAGAGCATTTCTGGGGTGGTGGAGAGGATATCGTGGAAGGTGAGGCTCGGGGATACTCCGAGGTTCTTACATAGATGCGTGTGAACCTCTGGGTTGTTCTCTGTTGAATTGGTGAGATGGGGATGGTCTGTGTGTGGGTGGCCTTGCGCTTACCTAGCGGTATAAAGGTCTTTTGGCCATTGATGACCTGGACTCCTAGATTAAACATGTTTGGGGATGACAAGACTATCTTGTGTACATCGTATGTTGCCCAGGTGGTATAAGAGGGGTGAAAACAATGCTTAGTCAGCACCTCCCACCTTCCAATCCTGGAAGGTATACCTCCAACGTATGTCCAAGAATATACTACCCATAGAATAGCTATAGAATATCTAAAGAATAAGTGTGAAATATATGTTAGACCCTGAGATTATATATATCTACATGTAGGTATGTAGCATGCTAGATCAAGTGGTATTGGATGTATTACAAGATTGATATGTAATATGATACCAAAACAAATAGAATATCCCGGAGTCCGGTCTATAGTTACATCTCCAGGATTATCTCCTCCTTGCATAAAATCGCCTATCGCCTATCAGCGGATAAAAACATCTTCCCCTCATCTCCCCTCATCTCTCCAGAACATCTCTCTCCATTTCATCCTCAACTATAATGGCTCAAACACACACCCTCACAGCCCAGGAGCTGACCACCCTCTCCACAAAGGCCATTGACGCCAAAGCGACTGCCTACTGTATGACCTTTCCCCAATTTGAAGCAGCACAAGCACCAGATACCCAGCTCTAAGTACATAGAACAAAGAACATCTACTAACACCCTCCCAGGCCCATACTCTAAATTCCGCGTCGGAGCATGCATACTCACAACATCGGGCGAGTTTATCTCCGGCGCTAATGTCGAAAATGCCGCCTATCCAGTTGGAACCTGCGCTGAGCGCGTAGCTATTGGCACTGCTGTTGTATGTTCTTCTCTTCCCCTGGTCTAGTCTATCTTACTGTGTTTGGGAGCTACTTTGATTCCTTTTGATTCCTTCCTATCATTGTCATTGCTGTACATACACATGTCCGGATCTTCGCTAACTCCCACAGGTCGCTGGTCACCAAGATTTCAAGGCTCTGGCTGTCGCAACGGATATTAAACCTGCTGCCTCGCCTTGTGGTATGTGTAGACAATTGTGAGTTTTCCTCTTCTTCTCTCTCTTTCTTTCTGTGGCTTATTGGGACCATAAAGTATTCGCGAGTTCACCTCGCCTTCTTTCCCCGTGTACATGTACGACGGCGAGGGAAACTATAAAGTTATGACTATGGAGGAGGTAAGTTTTTTCTTTTCTTTTTATATCTCTTCGATTCTCTGCTGACGAATCTAGTTGCTGCCCGACTCTTTCGGCCCCGATCATCTCAAATAGGGCAACCCTATCTAAATGAAAGAAATGAGAACATACATTAGGAATCTAAGAGTGAAAATAAATACATTTACAGATGTCTATCAGGTTTTAAAGCACGATCAGTCAAAACTATATCCCTAAGACTCTTTCTATGCAACGAAAAAGAGGAATCTTTGTTCGATGGGGGATATACAAACCACAGCCCTAGAGAGTCCATACTAGAGAGTTCATATAACAGCCAATGGCCACCATTAACGTACAAAACCGAAAGTAAAAAGAAAGAAAAAAAAAGCAAAAAGCTTTATGCCACGCTCATAATGTAAGAGCTCAACCCCCAAAAGATTATTTCCAATTGGAAACCACAAAAAGGCAGCTATATCAAAATTCAATACTAAAAACCATAACCATCGTCCTCAAGCCCAAGCCAAAAAGCCTAGGCCTGCTCCTCTTCATCATCAAATTCATCAATTCCAAGCAACTCATCTTCATCATCAACAACAGAAGAATACTCCCCCCTTCTCGCCGCAAACGAGCCACGTGTAGAATAAGGTCTCTGCGATCTCCCCCTTCCGAGCAAACCAGACGTGCCCCGCGCCAAACTCCTAGCAAGTAACGGAAGAGACTGCGCAACCGCAACAATGCCCGCGATAATCGCCACAGGCACCGCGACTAGCAGCGAGTCCCTAGATAACCAGCTCTGCGATGAAGCGGCCCCGCCCTCACCCAGTCGGATCTGGCCGAATTTGCCGTCCCAGTGCGTGTACACGTACCAGCCGACGGCGATGGCAGCCACAATGGGTGTCACGATTGCGAAGAATAGACCGACTCCGCTGATACCGTGTTTCTTCTGATATTCTTCTTCTTTGTTCGGGCAGGCTCTTGAGACGTCTTGGTCTAATACGAGGCCGCCTTGGCAGGTAGTTTGCGGGATTCGACGGTAGCCGGTTGGTTCCCAGTATTCGACCATGTCGGGGTCTTGGTTGCATTGTGTGATGTGGTCTTGGGGTTGGAGGCCCGGGACGAGACCGCAGCTGCCGTCTTTTTGGATTTCGTAGTTGTAGTCGCTATTTGGTGTTAATTAGTATTTAGATTGAATGAAGGGGTTGTGTGTTTTTGCTTACCATTCGAAATCAGCACGGGTGCAAGTGCAGTTCCGACCAATGCTGTGGAGGTGTGGCTCACGCCAGGAATTCCAACACTCAGCGGCAGGTTTCTTGCGGTGGTACTCCTCGACATGGCCAAAGAGACAGTTCTCTTCCTGGAATGGATGAGAGGGGGACCAGTTGTAGTAGTCGTTCTCATCGTCGTTACAGTCGCGGCTCCAGATACCACTGAAGTCGAGCGTAATGGTAACACGCTTGCCGCCGTCCATGCTCCAAAGCAGGAAGTTCTTCGATGTGTCTGATGGCACAGTCGAGATATCGTCGACGACCATTTCCTTTTCGGCGAACTGGAACTCGTGCCAGCTTATGCCCTCGTCGAGAGTGTAGTGTACAACCTTGGTTGGCTTCCGGTCGCTGACGAGCACGATTATCGAGCCTGCAGCACCGAATTCCCACATGTACTGTCCCTTCTTGACTTGAATCCAGGTGATGCCGCCATCCCTGGTGAGGTATGTGTCGGCATCGGTTACGCTGGTAAGATGCTCACCGACGTTGCCGAGCGCGAGCATCAGACCGATGGCGGAGCCTGAGTAGAGGGTGTCACGGGGATCGCGGCGTTCGGTATAGCCGTGGAAATGGAGAGCGCATTTCTCAGTGCCCTGGCTCTCCGTAACGGAGCAGCCGAAGTTCTTGCCATCGACATCGTGAGACGGGGGAGCCAGAAGCATCCACTGACCACCGTCATTGTGGGTGATCATAGTGCGCAGCTTCTTGGCCGCGCCCTTGCTTTGCACTTCTTCCCGATTCGAAACCACATTGGCAATAGCCACACCCTCGAGGCCTTTCAACTCATCGTAGTCCGTGTAGCCGCGGTCATTGACGTTGAGTCCCTCGAGACTCTGAACGAAGTAGGTACCGTTGCTGTTACTTTTGACCAGGGAGCCGAAACTGCCTTCCTTTCCTCCGCCCACCTTCACAAGGAGGAACAATGCATGCGGAGAGCTAGGTAGGACGGTATACTGAGGGACCTTAATGTTGAAAGGGAATTCTGCGTTGGCGTAAGTGCGACCGTCGACGCTAACGCTAGCATTCAGGTATTCGTTCTGGTCTCCTTCGTACCAGGCGACGATGACAAAAGAGTTCCTAGTAGCGGAACGAGCGATGTTATCGAACTTAACGTCCATGGTTGAGAAATAATCATCACTGATAACCAGCTGCCGCTTATTGTTCCTTTCCTCATCTTTATACTGCTCGCAAATCACCAATTTTTCACTGTTGTTGCGACCCTCGTGATATCCAAAGTTACAACCGTCGACTCCAATAAGCATCGGGTCCCAACTAGCGCCTCGCTTGTCGGTGACGTAAGCTTGCGAGCGACAGTTCTTCCCATCACTATCGCAGTCCTTGTGACCAATCCAGATAAGCGAATCCTGGAACTTCTCATGGAAAGCCAATGGGCGGATGTGCTCCTCCTTGGTAGGCAAACTGGGAGCTTCAAAGAAGTGGAAAGAATCACCATGATTGATAGTGTAGTACACTTTCTTGCTGTCTGTGAGGAAGAAAGCCGCATCAGTAAAGTAAGGATGCTGAAACATTCCTGTAAACTTCTCATCCGCGTGGATTTGCTTCCAGTTCCGGCCATGGTCGCGCGAGATATGCAGCTCGTTTTTGTTCGTGAGCATCATAATAGTTTCATCAACGCCGTTGTTACTGGCCTGTCGTTCGAGATAGAAGTAGTTTGTCTCCGTGGCAGAAATGATCTGTGGCTTTTCCGCGCGAGGTTTGCCATCAACGATGGGAGAAGGCGCTGTAACATTATTCCCGCAGGAGCGCTCAACCTCGCGCTCGAGATCCTCGCCGCCTTCGCGGATGCACTTGTTACCGGGGATGAGTCGCCATCCTGAGGGGCCCATGTACTTGTCACTAGGCTCAGTGCACTTGCCAGCCGGTGGTGTCATTGGGACAGCCGGTACACACTCCTTGCGGTCTTCGCTGCGAACAAAGTTGTAGTCGCATTCAAAATCTTCAGCGGAACACTTGCAGGCTTTGAATTCAGGGGGGCTGATGGCAAACTCCTTCTTGATGAAGCAATCCGCATTTGCCTTGCGACGTTGGAAGAACTGTTTTTGACCCATCAGACAATCAGGCTCGCCCTTTTCATTTAAACGAGCAGTCCACTCTTCAAGGTCTCCAGATTCACACTGGCGCTCATGGAGGCCATCGAAGTCAATAAAAAACATGAGGACTTTGGTGTCATCGCCGGAAATACCAACAAGCAGGAACTTGAGGCTGGTCGAATCAGGCGTCGAGATCAGGTATAGAGGTTTGATCTTCTGCTTGAGATCAATCGCCTCCCACTCTTTCCCATGGTCGATAGAGAATTGGACATTGTCCGTCGCGCTGCCATGCAAGGCGGCCATGATCACGCCTCCCTGGTCGCCAAACTCGTACCGGTGCGGGCCCTTGAGCGCGCGCCGCCATGTAATACCCGCATTGTCTGAAACATAGAGATCACCCTTGGAGTAGTCCTCGAGATGATCTCCAGTGTTACCGACACCCATGACCAATCCTGGAGCCGGGCTTGAGAACATTCGGTGATCTGGTAGGGGCATATTGTGCAGCGCGTCATAGGTGGTCAGCGAATGCAGGTGTAACTCGTCTTTATCAGCCTTTAGAGGTTGGAAGGTTCTCCCATCGTCAAAACTGATACTGCTGATAAGCTTCTTTTTATTCGAGTCAGACTTCTCAGCCTCCTCCCAGTTCTTGACGGTGTTGACGATCACTATACCCTGAATACCCGTGACTTCCTCGAAATCGACCAAGCCAGCCAGGTCCTCGTTCGTGTGCTCGATATTTCGTGTAAAGTAAGTGCCATTAGAGTTGGATGAGAAAAGACTACCCATCCGGTTATCACGCCAGGTAGTTTGCACGTCGATCTGGATGCTATAGTTGGTGCTTTTTAAGATAGTGTAGGCATCCTCTTCAATGCGGTGCTTGCCAAACTCCGCGCGATGCCACACAATCGAGTCGTCACTGACATACAAAGCCTGCTCCTGCGTACCGCGCGATTGAAGGCGCGCCACGATATACTTAGTTACAGAGCGGATCTGAAGACTAATGCCGCTCAGCGGTTTGCCATGGTCCAATTTTGCCTCGATGCCCTCCACATCATCTTTGAAAAATTTGTCGGAATATATCAACCGTTCTGTATGTGTATTCTCAAACGGCCCCTTCAACCCAGGGACAACACACATGATCCGGTCTCCTGTCGATTTCGGCATTTCTAAGTCCCACGCAAACTGCGGGCGGCTCGCGGCCCACATACACTGGAGAGTCATGTCGCGCAAGGGCTGAACATTTTCGAAGTCGTCGACGGTATAATACGCCTGGGGCGTGCAGCCAAGGATGGTGCAGTCGAGACCCATGAATATGACCTTTTTCGGATCCCAACCATTGAACTCCAACAGGGACGAGCGCATCGACGCGAACGGCATTACATCCACCTGGAAAGGTTTCCATGTCTTGGCCTGGTCGGTCGTGATCCAGTGCTTGCCATTCTGGCCGAGGATGTACGCGCGGTGGGCGTCGAATGGATGGTTCCAGATCAACTCGACAACGCCTTCCATGGTTCCATCCCTGCCCTTGACGGTCTCCCATTTCTCGCCACCATCAAAGGAGACATGTGCGGTGAGGGAAGTTTTGTCGCGGTAGAGGATGGTATTTGTGCCGCGGAAGTAGAACAAATCTGTGGGCACATCGTTGAGTTCATGGGTCACGACCTTCGGTTCGTTTCCCTTTGCCGCTGCTGGATGCGATGCCCATACCAGCAGCAGGCTCAGTGTGAGCAGCAGCCACCGTGGGATCATGACCGGAGCTGCGTAGGCATCTGATGGGGTGTGCGGGTGGGAGCTTGAGCGGATCGGACCGGAAATACGGAGTCAATCGATGGTCGGAGGGAATGTAAGGTCCCTGAAAAGGAGAGGAATGTTGAAAGATAGCAACGAATGAACAAGCACGTAGAAATGTCGTGAGTTAAGATAGTGATGCTGATGACGGAGCTGCGTGGCCTCTCTGCCTTGGGATGAAGCTTCCTGTCACGTGAATTCCTTATCGGTCCTATCGAGTGAACCATGGTTATAAATAAGTCTACTGGCAGCCCAACCATGGATGAGAGCAGACAATTGGGACTAGTTTTGAAGTCTACATAACACCCCCTGAAAGTGGTGAATATAGGGAGATATGGTCTTTTGAATCAATTGACATGAAGCAGCTGGTTATATGTACAAGAACACTGCTGAATAGATACAATAAAAATGTCGGGGGTCCCGTGTAAAATCAAACATCGCTCAAATGCAGGGATCACGTTCAGAATGGTATAGAACGAAAATGAGTTCGTGCCAAACAAACAACAACACCTCAGTGTTGGAAATAAATCAAGGCATATTAAAAAAATAAAAACGAGTGGAAGTCAGCGGAAGTCAATCGGGACATATTTAATCAAACTCGGCGTCGGAGTTTGCGCCACATCTTCCTCACCATACCTTGCTCATCCATGTCAGAGTCCCAGATTGATTGGCTGCGATCCGCAGGTGGGAGTTCAGCCAGTCGTAAGGGATCTTCCATTTCTTTGGAAGAAGTAGGAGGGGTGGGAGAGTTGGTTCGGAGGTCAGGCCGAGTGAGGGTCATTTTCAGAGTCATCTCACGGTTTCCTGGAAGCCGTTGTGGGACCCCCTTCGTCCCAAGCAGCCAGGATTGGCGTCGTTGCAAAAGGGCTGGGGATTCCACGGAGGGACGGGACGCGTCCCGCTGTGTGAGCATGGGCGAAGGGATTGATTCATTCTCCACCGACCCCCCTGGGCTCCCCACCATGGTGCCATCGTCATCTTCGAAGAATGTGCCAAAGTCCCAATTGACTAGGGTTGGTTTCTGTGAGGAGGTATGATTTGGTGTGGTTGGTTTCAATGAAATCGGTTCTTGTGCGATGTTCTCCTTATTGTTTTGATCTAGCGAGGGAAATCCAAATTCAATAGCTTCGTCGAATTTTTGTGGGGATGCCAGGTATACGCGCAACTTCAAACGAGCATCGGGGTCTTGGTAGTATTGTGCATAGGGGTCGATGGTAGAGGTGGATGATTTAGGGACATGTTGAAATCGATGGCGGGATGATGGGCGCGATTCGGAGGTTTGGTTGGAGAGGGGAGCTAGAGGCTGAGATCGGCTGACAGGCGGGAGTCCCCGAGGAGAAATGGGTGTAATTTCTAATGTTTTGCGAAGTTGGTTTGAAAAGGATAAGGAGCGACGGAAAGAGGAGCGAGATCTCTTCCTCGTGGCAGCATCTGCCACATGAGCGTGGTATTCATCGAGCGATAAGTCGAGATCGCCACCGTCGTCGAGCCACCGGAAACTGTCATGGAATGTTTGATCCATGTTTGAGTCCTCTTCGTCCGACTCAGAGTCTGAATAGAAGACGGTCGATGGCTGAAAAACAGGAACAGTCTCCTGGGAGCGGTAACTTTCAGTGGAAGGGCGACAGCTCCCAGAATCTCGGCCGATATCTCGTTGGTAAGCTTCGTCGGCAGCGTCGTAGATGAGGCTTTGTCGATAGGCGTTCCTCAAACGTTTTCGTTCTTCAGGCGAGAAAAGCTTTTGTTGGACCTTAGCGGGGAGAGAATGGAAGCATTGAGAATCCGCCTGGGCGGCCAAGTAAGCCAATTGAAGAGAGCCTGGTTTGCGTAATTTCTTGAAAGGGGAAGAACGTTTCTCAAGTCCTCGCTTCCTAGTCGATCCGTTCCGTAAACCACGCGAATGATAATCAGACCCAGGACGAGGGGCTCGATAGGTCCGATTATCCGTCTGATAGTTTGACGTGGAGCAGGTAGGAGAACTGTGATCGCTCTGGGCTAGCCGAATGCGCAAACGCTCAACATTCGAGAAGAACTGTTCCAATTAGCTGTGGACATTAAACAGTAATTGAAGTGGAGCCGACAACATCCCATGCGCTAACATTGGCCGAGGTTGGCCAATCTCGGCCGATGCTATAAGACAACGAGGGGCGCCACGGGCAATAGTGCGGGTAGTCGGCCTCCACCGAGGGGGTCTCAGGGGTAAATCACAGAATAAGGGCAGACAAAGAAAGTGGGAAAACGGAGAAAACGGGCGATTCAGGCTTAATTGGGTTAAGATGATCCTCTGTGGATGGGGCTATTGGGGGGAGGGAAATGAGAAGTCCGAGCGTGTGACGGTGAGAGGTGATGGGGAGAGAGTGACGAAGTGAGGAAATGAGTAGTAGATCAGCCCTTACCTTTCTTCGCACTGCTGGAGGCAGTGACTCGAAGTCTTCGGCCGACATTGTAGAGACAGTAAAATTCCAATTGGAATAATATGATAGGGATATGTATAGGGATATAGGGATATAGGGATAAGCAATATGGCAATATGGCAATACAGTACTCTGTATAGTATCAGTATAAGTATATAATTTCAACGCCTAATAAAAAGTACATAGAAAGAGGAGGACAAGGACATCTATATATGTAAGAATACGAGAATATACCCTAAAACTAAATATGTTTAAAGTCTTTGATCTGTGACAGTATGCTGTACATTAGCGCCGTCTGTGATGTGATTACTTCTATTTCCAGATCTTACCTCCCTTGCTATACTTCTATATATACTCCGTACTTCGTACACTATACTATATTATACCCATCTATGATCTATCATGAACCCCTCTATTGTTGACTGCGAACATGTCAAACGAACTCTTTACATCCTACCCTACAAAGTATATGAATCCATTCATCCAACATTAAACGTTGCCAAGTCACCAAATCGCCAAGTCACCATGCCACTACGCGCCTTGTTGGCCCAGTAAGGGGATCGGCCTCAGCTCCACTTAGATCTTCGCTAGTTTTCCGGTCTGAAACACACCCTAGATCAGGACCGGGGAATTTGGAACTTGGAAATGAGAAACGTCGAGGCCTTTTGTGCTCTTCTTATCCCTGTTCCCTATTTCCTCATTATTGGGTATGTATCGGCCTTTTGTCGCGGGGTTAGCCGTCAGGAAATGGAATATACGAGAAGATCCGATCCTTGGGAAAAGTGATGCATCAAATATTTAATGCCCAATAAGAAGACAATCCACTTAGACAAAGAACGTTAACAGTTACGATTCAGGCCGACGCCACTTAACTTATACATACTTGACACTGACCTGATATTAACTAAATAGGCAAACAAGTTCCAAGACGGTGTACAACATACTGTTTACACTTACCCGACAGTTCATATACTAATACCAGGATAATCTCTAGCGAGTTCGGCTAAATTAAATTAGTTTACGGAGTAATATATGAATTGAGACTGAACTCCGGAGATTATCAGGAGCCAATGATTTGCTTTTGTTGGATTTTCCTTGCATCATATTTGAGTACTACTCAATAGTATGGAGATCATAAGAAATAGTAAGAAGTACGGGGTACAGCATACATTATCGGCTATTATTCCGATCTACAAAGTACGTAACTAAGCACTTGCATACAAATGATCTACGTTGATATGATTATTGGTTAGAAATTCAAATAGAATGCCGCAGTTAATCTATAAAATCTACATATACTCTGTACACTATGACCTGTCATCGACAGTGCTAATGCAACCACTTCTGGCTAAATATTCAGACCTCTTCTCCTTGCATCGGGCTAATGCATATACGTTCAATTGCATGCGACAAACGAGGAGGTATTTTTTCCCGGGCTCGTGGTGAGTTGAGGCGTGCGGGCTCGGACTTTTACGTATGATCTATCGTCTGCAAGTTATTTCTGACAGCAAACGCTTGCTCACTATTAGAGTGTTTACCGCTGATACTATAGGGAGTAGGTCTTTCTGTGAGCTTCAAAAACATTACGAGCTAGTTGATGCAAGTGCCCGTGTTGGCGATGTAGTGCACGATGGCCATACCGTCAATTTCAGGCCCCTGTCAGGGGGAGTCATCTAATGCCAATTGCAGTAATCCATATAAATTAAATAACTATTAAGCAATAATAACCAATTCAGCTAGATTGAATTAGATAATATAGATCACAGAAGACTTGTATAGAAGACCTGGACATTTGTTGCTCTGATCTACCGAAGAAGTGACCCACAATGCTTACAGTTGATAGAGCGTCATCATATAGTTTGAGACAGCGCTAACCCATATCAAATGAGGGTTCCAGTCGGGTATATTAAGTTTTGAGAGAATAGTGCAAAATGAAGAGTCACATCTTGATTATTTTCCAAGTGCACATGCACAACTCCATACATTTCAACATAGATGTTTTTATTAAACACAAATCTAAATTATCACATCTACTGTGTATATTCAAATCTATCTAGTATCCTTCTCACATTTCTCCCCCTCCCTCTTCTTCCCAGCCTTAACTTTTGTAAGCGTCAACTTTCTTCCAACTCCCGTGCCCAACACACCATCAAGCGGAACGACCACATCCTCAGCCGACGTCCTCCTTGAATTCGAATCCTTTTCAAGACTAAGTATCACCTCCACCGCATCCCGGTCCTCAATGACCTTCGGATGCCGCTGCGCAAAGTACCGTGCATACTTGTACAGTGACCAGTAGCAGCTCACCACGTTGATGAATGTCAGAGCAATCTTGTAGAACGTGTAGTAAAACAAAAGGACTTTCCAGTTGATGCGCTCTTTTTTTAACCGGAGGTGGATCTCATTGAAGATTATCACGTTGAGGATATACATCCCGATTGTGACGCCAAGTAGCATTCCACAGAATGAGGGCCGGACTATGAATGAAATTGGAAGGATGAATGGGGCAAAGAGGTAGATGAGGGTTTCATACACCTGGCGTTAGGGTTAGCTTAGATATCTTTGACCTTAACTTCGACATAATCGTATGCATGTCAAATGTTGAAGATAGGACGGATGTGCCTGTCATACCTCTTGAAAAACGCACAACTTCGCACCAAACTCCCACCAACCCAACTTCCAGCTAGTTAAGATATACTTCAAATCATAGTACACACCAACAACGAAGAAGAAATTCCACCTCTTAAACCGCTGCTGGAGGACAGTCATCTCGCCGAACCCACCACGACTACCACCAGAGCCACTCCAGAACACCGAAGCCGGCGTCTCTGTTTCGACGAAGACCTGTGAGCACATAGTAATGCGTCCACCTAGACGCCGACAGGCATCGCCGAAGAACCAATCCTCGGACACGGAGAATCCGGGATGTTCATGGAAGGTCTGTTTTAGGAACTCGATATTCCAGAGCGAGATAGCTCCGTGTGGGAATGTAGCGCTTCCAAACATCCCGAAGAAAGCACGCTGGATACCGGACATTTTGTATTCGAGGTCCTGGGCTTGCTGGCAGAAGGTACCCTTTGAGGAATTGGGGCCGACGCTTTTGATTGTGTACCCGAGACATTTGACGGTGTTTTTGAGTCTATCACTGACGATTGGGAAATTTGGGGGTAGGAGACAGTCGTCATCGATCAGGAGGGCGTTTTCGAAGTCCTTGGCTGCGTGGCTGCCGACAAACTGTGCCACGATTTTTGAGCCGATGGGCACCCAGAGGTAGTTGATGCCGTAGGGCTTGCAAACTTCTTCTGTGTTGTCGAGGGGGGTTTTGGAATTGCCGTTCGCTATGACGAAGATATTTTCTTTGGGGAAGACTTTAAAGGCGGCTTGGAGGGTTGCGTCGATGATTGTTGCTGACTTATAGCAGGGAATGAGGAGAGCGGTTGATTTCACCTTGGATATGTTGCTTTCTAGGTCCGGAGATTCAGATTCAGATTTAGAATCCAGGGTTGGAGGATCTTTCTCAAAGAGCATCATAAGAGGACAGAATGCGTATCTAGTCTGGTTAGGGCAAGAAACTTGACTCTCGAGAAGAAACTTACAGTGCAGCCAGACCAATAACAATTGAATATCCTCCTTGGATAACGAACTTAGTTCGGACAACATAATACAGCCACCACACAGCACCTTCCCACAGTGGCATACCGACGAGGACAAAGTAGGCGAACAGAACGAGGAATGAATAGAAGCTGTATTCAAACAATAGCCGCACCCAGTGTTTTCGTTGGATAGCAGCTCCCCTCAATTTGGCTTTTTCATAGACTTCTTGCAGGCTACTCTGCTCGCTGCTGATTTTATGAGGGCTGAATTTACTGAGTGGCCGGGGACTGATGAATGCATTCTGAACTGGCGGTATTGGTTCTTTATCAGAGATTGAAGAGGCGGGGTTTGCAAAGTAGTCGAGTGTACCTGAATAATAGGATAAGATTAGCTTATTGACGATCAATTTGATAGGATCGCTGTATTCCCACAAGTCTCTGCTATAGATATGGGAAATCAATTTCATACCCTGAAAAGCAGGAGGATCACTGCATCCACGAGATCTAATTGTAGACTTTGGCCTTGTTACTGCTCGCAGAGAAGAAAGACTCAGAGGACGATTGGAAGAAGTGCGAGGTCCTAGAAGTGATATACGATTGTTATCGGGGAGAGACTGTTCCCATCGAGCCAATTCCCACGGCGAGTTGAATTTGGCAGTGGTGAGTAGTTCTTTAGGAATGAAGACGTCTTCAACAATCGATTTCCTGGGGCTGTCTTCAGCCATTTGGGGATTATATATTCAAGTTGTAGTCATAAACAAGGGTATAATCATCGGAACGAAGGGACGGCAACCAGAGATTACTGGTGAAAGAGTGAATATCTCACCACGATAGTGGATTCGAGGATACTTCTTTTATTTATTCAAATAGGATTTCAAATCAAGAAATTCAAATGAAGATCTCTATGGAGTACATCCTTTTGCCCAAGACTGTGGGCCAAGCTTAGTTGTCTCCATTTGCGAGACTAGATCTGATGGGCCTACATAATAGCACACCTGGGACCTGAAAGAACTTGAGCAGGAAATGAGGATGATGATAGTGGCGTAAATCGTCTTTATTCTAGACCAGAGTAAGTTACTATGAGTATTGTGGTATAACGGCTTGGCAACCTAGCATGGCATTTATGTCCACGATGTACCGCGAGACATTTTCACAGATGTAGGAACCATCGATTTAGCGTGCGTAAGTGAGAAGATGAGAACGATGAAAACCAGACATGTTTAAACTGTCTTTCCATACATAAGTACCCATATAGTTCTTATAAAATAGTTAGTTCTTAGAACAAATTCAACTGTAAAATGTCAAAGAAAACTACAATAGCAGAGGACCTTAATGCTTTACCCAAGAAACGCCTCAAATTTCTCTACATTGAAACAAATTGCGCAGTGGATCACTTTCAAAGTTTTTCTTTTTAGCCCTACGAGGCAGAGAGATCTAGCTCGGTGATCGTCATTGTTTCTTCCTGGGCGGGTGAGCTAAAGTTAGCTGCATATCAACTCCATTGCTTTTCTTTCTCTGGTAGTACAAAGTACTCCATAAAAGATACCTGATCTCGTGATTACACTGGGTAACGTTCCCAGAAGATCAAATGCTGCATACGATGCTTAGTTTGCTTAACAGCTTAATAGCCCAATAGTGCTTTAATTCAGATACAAGTGAATAGGATCTATATAACAAATTACATAAAATAAAGGAACAAGTAAAAAAACTTGGAAAGTCCTGAGGTCGACACTCCTCCAGGGCTGGGAACCCCCCAAGCATCACCACAAGCCTTCCAAGGTTGGACAAGCAATTCTTATTTTTGTTTCTATATATCCAGGTTAGGATGCATAGTAGTTTCTGTGATTTCAATATTATTAGTCAACTCGGTCTGAGAACTCTACTTGAGCGAATATGTAGCCAGATTCCAATCCTCGAAAGTTCTAGTCCTCTCGGCTAGAAGCTGCCGAATTTGACACATCAAAAATGATGATCATTGATCAATTTTGTTAGGGTAACAGGTTTAGCCGCTGGTGATGCAGTCATTGGTATCTAAACATGCCCTATTAACAGCGAAAACAGGATAAACTGGAACATGGTAAGATTAAAAATAATAAAAGTACCATGGTACTCCGTACAGAGCTCCAATCCAAGGCAGGATGAAATTGCACGTGGGTCTACCCATTTATAGCCCTAGGCCTTGGGATTGGCAGAATTATATACCTTCCAGAAAGTGCCTGGCTAGCCCTTGTCTATTCCATGATTACTTTTCTTATTTTTCTAGGGTGGATATGTGGTGGATCTATACTCCTTAGACACCATCTAGACGCATAGAATTGTGGAAGATGGGCAAGGCGAGCTATCTGCTACTGCATTTTGTATATCTTGTACTAAATTCAAATCAAATGTCATCTATATTCTTCAAGCATGTAGATTTACTGCAGAACTATATAGAGAATAAAAAGGAGGTGTATTGGTGAGATAAATCACAAAAAGCAATGTCACAAATAGCAAAGCGTAAAAAGCAAAGTAAAGGAAGCATTGATAAAGCCGAGGACAGACACACCAAAGCCAAGTCATTTTTGTTCGACAATCAGGAGCCAAAGCATTAACAAGGGGATTCGGCTCATATTTAGATTTTCCTAGTCGCTTGCTGGGCCCAAACCCGGACGACCGCCAGCACAACCACTATCTGCTCGTGGGGAAATCAACAGGGGGCTGAGCAGTATCACACGCAGACACGCAGGATCATCGACGTGGTAAGATAAACTGAAAATGGAAAGGATAATCAAGACAGTCGTCAGATCATAAGCTAGACCTCAAGCGCCCATCTTGACACAGAGTCATAGCCACTAGGAACACGCCCTATTGGTAGCTTGTCTCTTTGTATTTGAGTTAAGATTTGAGTGTTGAATTCTTACCACTGATAGCAGTATGAAAAGTAGTCGGAGGGTCGCGAGTGAGACCTGAAACGTCTGTCTTGGCACAGAGTCATGGCCACTAGGAACAAGCCCTAGTGACAGCTTGTTTCTTTGTATTTGGATTGAGTGTTGGATTCTCACCACTGATGGTAGTATTGAAAAGTGGTCGGAGGCTCGCAAGTGAGACATGAACTGTCTGTCTCCGCACGGCGTCATGGCCACTAGGAATACACCCAAATGACAGCCTTTTCTTTTTGGGCTTGATGAGTGTTCGGTTCTAATTACCCATGAAACTATCGGTTGGTCTTCTCTTCAAAATGCCCTTGCCAGATCGAATGTTGTGTAAATACTCATCGACTGGCATGGGGGTAGTGCTAATTAGAGAAAACATTACTTTCTTGATAACCTGGTTCCAGGCTCCGGTTTGGTGTATACCTGCGTGTAAGTTGTCTTTGTTGCTTTTCGCCGACGCCCCGAGGAAAACTCTACCTCGGTCTTGATAATCCGCTACTCAGGTCACCATTGGATGCGGTTGTGCTGCGGCTTTCTGTATGGGTATCTGGGCCAATAGAGCACATGTTCTCGAGGCTCTGCGATAGCTGGTGCAGATAACACTGACAGTGGAGAATGCAATGTCTCCAAAGCGAGGGTAGCTATCTACCAGTGCGATATCACCATGGGCTAACCAGGATAGGACATTCCTGGTAATGCTCCATTACACGATGCGGGATGCACCATTTCGATCGATGCCACGAACATGGTTTGTCTCCCTCCATTTCTATCTTCACAAGCAATGGTGTTTTGGTTGATGATTTGAGCTGTTTCTTCTGTTTGCAGATGTCTCAGAGTTCCCGGCATGTGACTTTTCGCACACCCGTTGATGACCGGCGAGCATAGCCTTCTTTTCCTCCTGGTATATCCCGTATCCCCAGTCCCGGTGACCACGTAGATAAAAGAAATCTGAACCTGGTGAGCTGTACCGCATTTTGCGTAGCTGCGATTGCCCTTCATCTTTGATGTGCTGATCAACTCTGCCCGCGGTAAGTGAAGCATTCTTTCCCTCCTGGTATGCGTTGTGTTTCTTATCCTGGCAGCCGTGGAAATGTGCGAGATATGGATCTGACTCTCGGTAGGTGGCTTTTGGCGTGCCTGTTGATACCCGGCGACCGAAGCCTTCTCCTCATATGGCTCGTGGCTACCAAGACAGGAACCATGTAGATGAATAAGATCTGAGCATTGCTCTGCGCAAATGGTTCTTGGAACACCTGTTGATGAGCGGCAATTGAAGCCTTCTTTTCCTCCTAGTATGGGCTGAGCTCGTAGAGCTAGGAGCCACGGAAATGAGAGAGATGTGAAGCTGGCTCTCTGTAAATGGCACTTGCGGGCTAGTTGATAACCGGCAGTCGAAGCCTTCTTTCCCTCCTAGTATGGGTTGGGCTCGTAGAGCTAGTAGCCACGCAGATGAGAGAGATCTGAAACTTGCGAGCTGTACCTCACATATTGCGTAGCTGAGCTGTCTTTCCGTTGTCCCGTGCTTAATCAACTCTGTCCGCAAGAAATTTCTGAAGAAGAAGACAGAGGCTAAGAACCTGAAGTGTTAGCTTAGTCTATGTTTGAGAGGCTAAGGGAAGAGATAGCATTTAATGTCATGTGTATTGAGATTCTTGCTAGTGGAAAAGAAGAAGATGGAGAGACTATCTGACTGGCAGTCCTGGCAAACAGGGTCAGGTGACCACATGTGTCGTGGTCCCAACAGTCTCAACTTCAGACTATGGGTTCCAAATACTCACAGCTCAACATGTTCGCGGGATCGAATTGCCCGCAGCTGTTGTGACGGTTTTTGCTGAAGAAACCCTAGCAGTATCTCATTGCTAGTATGAGTTAGGTGTACTGCAATCGACATATTTCGAGGCAAATGGAAATTGTTTATGCCGGGGACTCGGAAAATACCACCACCCGCTATTCATTGGTCGCCCTAAGTAAGGGCTAGATCCGTTCAGTTATGAGGCCGATGTGGCAAGAACAGAGACATGGCCGACTTTAAGATACCTGTCCTGTGTCATTGGTCAGCTGGTTCATACTAATGTAGTAATAGAGGGGGACACGAACGGCAATAACGCACCACGCTGCGACTTATGTACATGAATACATATACGTAGTGGTACACAGTCACTAGCATTGTAGATATTCCCAGGTAGAAAGGGAGAATATGACGCAGACGAGACAGAAATCCTTGCCAAAAACCAGAGCGAGAACGTCAATGGACAAGATCCAGGACTATGCCTTCCAGAAAGGCCATTGTGTCTCATAGATTTGTCCATTGGCATAAAGAGATTAAGCACTTTGAGTTGTGAACTCTTCGAGAGTTCATGAAAAATGCCTGGAATCAACCTTGTCGAGTGTGGGCCCATCGAAGGCAATGTATAGGGCCCTTTATACAAAGGCGCTGACGCGGGAATAGCGGGAAATTTGAAGGCCCAGAAATCTTGATCAACCTCCCGATTTCGATGGTCTCTTTCTTGCAGATTTGGGCGTTTAGGATCCGATGACGACTTAATTACCATGTCTGAGGGTGGTCTCCGGTTAGTTTTGGATAAGCGTATCTTGTGAATCCCTTCACGATAGAGGAAATGGCTGTGGAAAGACGGGATTTGAGTTTGAGACTCATAGGAAGCTGCTCGGGGATTGCGCATTTTCTTTCAATCCATGGATTGATTGTCTTCAATGATATGTTCTGTGGACTCAGGTGCTATGAACAAGGATGGAAGGCCCAGATGGATTTGTCTTCCGCGACATAGAGACCTGTAACTCTGAGGGGAATCAAGAGTATACCACAGGGACGGTTTGATTGGTGGCAATGATCAGATCCTGGATCACGCCCAGAATGGGATAGCTCGGAGGGTATCATGTCGATATAGATGATCATGACGCGTACTTTCTTGTCAACAAGGTAATATAGTCGTACTTTAGATCCGATTGAAATGGCAGACCACTCTTTTTTCCTCGACACTTGTAGACCAGAGCGGATGTTTGGAATTGCCGAACCAATATGAAAAACATCTATACCGGCCTACCTTGAAATTCATTGTTAGCAATGAAACTATTAATGAATCTAGATATCGGTAGGGAATGTCATACCCTTTGATCGGATGTAGCCCTAATTGAGGAAAGGCAAGCGGACATAGCTCCATCTTTGATGTCTCGCTGGTTTTTTCATCCCCCCTGTTAGAACAAAAGAATTAGCAACGATCGACCACAAAAGAACAAATCGAGATACTACATACTTAGAAGATGCTCAGACATGGCATTTATCTGTCTCTTCACCTTTTGGTCTTTCCGATCAACCACTGCAGCTCAGATCCGATCATGTCGATTGATCTTTCGGCCATATATAAGACTCGAGATCTGTCATTTTCGTCCCTTTTCTGTTTGTCCTTGATATGGAATAATCATTAGCGATGATCACTCCAAGGTAAGTAAGAGGGCTGGTGACCAATCAAGTCTACACATATTTTGACAAAGGTTCCAAGGTTGGCTATGGTTGTGGTTGTTCTCCCTTGTCGGGCACATTTTAAATGTGCCGGGTCATTGTCATAAATGAAATCATGATGCAAATAGCTGTCGCTTGATTGAAGATGTGTCTCATACTACGACATCGTCAGCTAACAGCGGGCTTTTGCGTTGGTGGCTGGTGGATATCAAGATACCACGTCAACACGCAACTCTTGCGTGATGCAGGACAAGAAAGGTGCAAGTCTGCCGCCGTTTTGGCTCTGCTCTGCAGGCTGTTGTCATGAACAAAAAAAAAAAAAAAAAAAGGGCGCCGGGACCCGCGAGTAATAGGCCTCTGCATTGGGGGAGGTACATTGAGAGATGCCAGCACCCGGGATTCCAACCAACGAGGGGTGGGAAATGCCACAGAGAGGCCGATGATGAAGGAGAGAAAGAAGGGAAAATTTTCAAAGAGCGAGAAAGGAATTTATACCACGAACCACGGTGAGGGGGGTAGGTATCTTCCGGAAGCTCTATGGATAGCATTGGAACTATAGGTCCTTCCGGAAACTGGCGCCGCGGCAACGAGGATGTGCGCGCGGCTGAATGATCGCGGCTGGGAGATTGCATCGCTCATTTCCGGGACGCTGCGGTGCCTACATGATACATGTTTAAAGCAATCATAGGACAGGAAAAGAAAAGCTCAATATAGTAAGAGAAGTACCAAATGCATGCATTATCATTACGCCGATGTATATCCCCCTAGTAGACACAACTCCTAACAAATCGAAAACGAAAATGGCATAAACACCCTAGAAAAGGTATGGTCCCTCACAATACATTAAGAACCTGTTGCATAGCAAAAGTATTGGAGTCCTCGCGGCGTGAGACATAAGCCCGTACCTCTTGTACGCTTAGCTTACCCTCTTGGTGAGTATTGTGTCCGGAGCCCCCAGTTCCACCAGTGGTGCCGCTGGCAGCGCCACCACGAACTCTTTCACGGAGAGCCTCGGGGCCAATCACAAATAGACTACCCACTTCCAGTAGCACGTCCAGCACGCCACCAGGGCCTTTAGTCTCATCGTCAATGTCCCAGGATTTGAAGAGATCTGCATATTGCGTCATGTCTTTGGTTACCATTAACCCGCCAGGTCCGCTGACGGAGAAGCGTTTGAAGTGTTCGAGGAGGAGGCTGCGTATTCCAAGTGCTATCTCGGTCAGCACTTGGCGCACATTCGCGCCGCTAGATGGGAGAGAATTTTGCGCAATGGTGTGGAGACGGGATAGGAATGACGTGATTGATGCGCAGGTCTGTTGGGATTAGTAGGGTACTTGGAATGATAGATGTTGGATGACACGTACTGGAGTCTGTAGCATTTCTAACCATGCGGTGTTATCACTCTCCTTGGGCCGGAAGTCGTTCTTCTTCTGGTTAGATAGCAATCTGCTAACCCAGGCGAATGTGGTGTCAATAGTTTTCTGCTCGATACTATTGATTTTGTCCTCAATGCGTGAGGTGGTTTGGCTCGTACGCTTCTCCATATCCCGGCGAGTGGTGATACTCGCGGCTGATAGAGGGAGAAGAACCGCATGAATGCACATGACCATCAATGTGGTAATGCTGATCGTAGTGCGAGCCGAGAGGAGGTAGGAGAAGTCGGGCTCAGCCTTGGCGGATTCTTGCGAAGTAGCCGCTTCCAAAGCGGCATCTAGACAGACATCCACGTATCCCTCTCCCATCGCGAGAAGAAGCAGGTTGAGCAAGGCGGAGACATCTTTGGGTGTGTCGCTGTTGACACTAAGCTCCAGTCCTCGTCCTACGGCTTCCGCCAGCCACTTTAGCATCCGCTTAGCATCGCTGAGATTGGGCTGTCCATCTTCTTCTGTGAGCTTGATTTCGGTCAATCGAGTTGTCTCCAGCGTGTCGCCTATCTTGGCTACGCTGAGCAGGACTTTCCGCTGGATAGGTGAGACCTCTGGTGAATCTAATCGGCTGATGAATGCATCGCGTGTAGTTGAAAGGAGTTCTGATCCAGCTCGGGATAGCGAGGCCATGAAGGTTGTTGCAGCCTTCTTGCGGCGGGCATGATATGAGGTGAATCTGAACAACACCGCATTGAAAAGTTCTTCTAACGTCCGCTTCTCGCGTTCAAGGTAAGACGATCCGACGAAATAAGGGACAAAAAGCTCCTCTAGCTGCTGATCTAGTAAAATAGCTGTCTGCGAGGAGACGGGCTCCGGGTGCTCGGTCAAACCGTGTGACTTCAAATCTTCGATCAAGGCACTGATATAGCCTCGGGAACTTTGTAGACAACGGAGGAACGCTAGTGACGATACACCAGCCGCTTTCTCCAGCACCATTTCTAGTCGCTGTTGAATAGATTGCTGGAAAACTCGTTGTAAGAACTTGCCCAGGACTTGTTCATAGTAGGGGAAGGCTCGTCGAATAATAGCTGACTCCTCCTGAACTACAACCTTGACTTCATCAATCAACGACTGGAGACTGGATTCAACACCAGGTAGCTCCGCGTCCGGATCAGCCAGTTTCTCCCACGACTCAGGATCGCCACCAACTTCCTCAGTCACCAGCTGGCTGCGTTCAATGAAGAACTGATGTTGGTTGACGAACAAGGCGATTACACTAGCACCGCCATTGAAATCCTGCAACACGGTTGCGCAATCCTTCATACCGTCGAAGTTAGCTTTTCGATAGAACTCGTCAAACTGCTTCAGCAAATCCTTCTCCAGCGTCTCGGAGAATTTCTCAATAATCTCCCGTGTATTCCGACGCGGCGTACGACTCTCGCTGAGATCCTCAGACGAAGAGCTATTCCCGTACGCACCATTCGCACCATTCGAGCGAGCCCGATGTTCCTGCCAACTCTGCGGATCTAGCCGTTGACTAATGCGCAGCAGTTGGCGCGCAATGTGTGCGGAGCGCACCTTGGCCTCTCCCGTGCCAGATCGCCGCAGGCCCTCCAATAGTGAGATCTCGCCCCGGTTGCACACGCCATCCCAGCATTGGATGAGAAAATGGGCATCCAGAGCTCGTCGTCGCTGTCGGTCTAGCTCCTCTAAACGCTTTCCTGTCTCGACCGCCATGTTCCCCGTTCCTGCTGGATTCTCGCGGCCGGGCGCATTTAGAGACGTGTCAAGCTGTTGAAAGTTTTCAATGGTGTGGCGGAGCTTCTGACCGAGAGTGGTGAGGTTCTGGCCATGCTGCGCTTCTGCGCGTCGGACAGCTGCTGAGAGTTCATTCTCGCGGAGCTCGAGGTCTCCGGAGAGCTCGCTCAGACGACGTTGGGCGCTTTCAAAGGTACGGATGAGGGGTTTAGGATCGAAGGGTTGGTTGGCGGCGGCGGTACCGACTAGCGAGCGGCGATTGGAGATAGCAGTGTCGGAGAGGGCTTCAATAAACTCTTTAACAATGAAGTCCCGGCTGGAGAAGTCTTCAAGGGAGAAACTGGGGCCTTGAGGGTACACGGTGCGGGGGTTCGTGATTATGGATGCATTGTCCATCATGATAGCGGGACAGACATTGGTTGCCTGCAGAGCTGGTCAATTCTCTCTCCCTTGGACTGTTGGGAGAATTTAAGGAAGAGGAATCCGGGGAAAGCTGGCCGAGGGGAGACCGACCACGGGAGATGGATGATGTGGTTTCGGGAAGATTTACTGCCACGCACATATATCAATTCTATAGACTGGATGGATGTACTCCAACTAGGCAGCACAAAATACTTGGCTAAGCCTTGGTATATTAATAGAAATAGGAAAAGAAAATACCTTTAATACTTTGAACTTCTTTAAAAATAACAGCAAGAATAAGAACCTTGCATCATTAGTATACTTGTTCAATCCAAAACCGGACAACCAGAAACATCCAACAGCACTCCACTTCCCTCCTCCTCCACCACCCACAACAATGGTCTCCAAACGAGATCGCGAGATCCTTCGCGAGGATCTACGTTCCCGCGGCACAAAACTGAGCGTAGCAGAACGCGAGTCCCTCCTTAAGACCTACCTCCCCGATCCCGCCGAGCTAGGCCAGAAACCAGCAGCACCGGCTGCCAGCGAGCGCAAAGCACCGCGCAAAACACCCATCCGGACATTTCTCAAGTCGCAGGCTCACTACCTCACCTACGCTATCACACATATCATCTTTGGTATTGTTGTACGTCTATTGCAGGCATACCACGCCGTCATTGATCGCATTTTCGCAATTGTCTATCACCACCACCGCACCCCCGAGCTGATTCGGAAAGATGTGAAGACTCTCAAGCGCTTGCCGCAGCATCTGAGTACAATCCTTACGCTACAGAAAGAAGATGACGCTCTTGCAGTGTTGATGGATGAGGTTGCTGAATTGGCGGCCTGGAGCTCGTGCTCGGGAATTCCCCAGCTCAGTATATACGAGAAGTCTGGTATGATCTCCTCCGTACTATCCAGGATGGATAGTCACCAAGACATACCGTAATACTAACCTCCATACAGGTGTCCTGAAATCTTGCATCCCCGCCCTCCACCAGATAATCACCACCAAACTCGCCTCCTACTACGGCACCCCCAGTCACCAACCAAATCTCCAACTCTACGCCCCTCACCACCCAGTCCACCGCAGTGCACCCATCACACCAAATCCAACCCTAACAATCCTCCTCCTCTCTTCAACGGACGGCCGCGAAACACTTGTCGACCTAACCAAGACCCTTGCGGAGATGAGCCAAAATGGCAAGCTTTCGCCGGAAGATATCACGCCGGAGCTAGTTGATGCGGAGATCAGCGAAATTACTACGCGGCCACTGGTTATGGATCCCACATTGCCGGATACGGTACTCAAACCTGAACCAGATCTGTTACTTGTTTTTGGTCCGTACCTTAAGCTGGATGGGTATCCGCCGTGGCAGTTGAGGTTGACGGAGATGTATTGTACTGGTGGGCGCAGTCATGGAATTAGTGGGGATGGGGAGGCAGTTGAGTATCAGGGATACATGCGTGGTCTTTGGCATTTTGCTGGGGCTCAAATGAGGTTTGGTAGGTAGGGTAATTGGACCTCGGGAGGGATTGTGGTTGATGTTAAATATCCTAAGATTGATCTTGACATTGGGGGAAAAAAATAGGTTTTGAAGTGATGTTACCGTCGGTGGGACCTGCACTCTGGTGGATGAGCATGGGACTGTCTATACCCTTATTATATTCCTGTTATGTTCTATGGTCTTAATTTTCTAGCATGTGATTAATTGCATTTTAGTGTTCAATGTTTCTGAGTGGTGTTGTGTTACCTTGAACAAGGGGCAATTGAACACTGAGTGTTTTCAAACTGCTCAGAACTAGTTTGTAGGAATGCTCTCCAGCGCATCTATTCCATTATTATATACAATACAGCCTTAACCGCGCATAACGTGGAAGGCTAGTGGAAGTAACCCCACTACTTCTACATACTACTATCATATTGCTATTCGAATTTATATATAAAAAAATTAGACAGAGGACAGGAAGGCCTCCTTGGGGGGGGCCTGCTCTCAAGGGGACAATGTCCCATTTGACCTTAGGCATTTGGGGTCAGAGAAAGGAAGAAACGGCGCGAAACGACCGCGCAACATGAACTTGGCCGGAACTTTTCTCTCGGCAACATGAGTGTGGGCTTTTTTTTGGACCCCCTTTTTGAGGGCCCTTTGGGGTCGTCCAGGCAGGAATAGCTGGGGGTTTACCCATTCAGCTATCTCCTACCTGGACAATAATATAAGCTTGTGATGTTCTATTTATACGCTATAGTGCTTAGTTATATTTTTATCTTTCCTCTTAATTTGATCTGGCTTCACTTGGTTTCAAATTTGGATGTAAACCGAGAGCAGTAAGAATTGGAGTACTCCGTAACTATACAAATAGGCTTTTGATATCATTATGCTATATGCTAGAATAACCAAAACCCAACATAGGGAATAACAGAAAATAAATAAAGACCATTAATTCGCCATGCATGTTCCGATATAAATGTCTCCAAAAAAAATAGCCACCTTAATCCCAGCCAGTTCCTTCCATCCCAGTCCGGATATCAAACTCCGAAAAAAAAGCCACTCCACGAGGAGCAGCAAACAACAACTCAAGGGTCGTAGGAATGTTATCCATAGTTTCATATACCCATTCTGTCATGTTTACCCTCAAGCCTCCCACAGTGGCGAGTAGATTAACCCCATATACAGCCTCACCCGGTCATATCCTCATGCCGCATATCATCTAAAGCCCAACCAGACGGAATAGAAGCTGCAGCCCAAGAGCCCGCACCATGCACGCAGTCGAGACAACGGACAATCTCCGCCCCAGTCTCGGTGACTTCCTCTACAGCACAGCCGGAGCAGATTTTCCTCCTCGGCGCCTCATTTGTATCATAGTTGGCGTCGTCGGTTAGGCTCATGTGCATGTGCATGCCTTGATCTTCTGGCAGACCGAATGTCCCGCCGCAGGAGGCACTGTCGCATTGTCGGAGACAGATGAAGCATGCCCGTTCGTGGCAGAGATCGCAGTCTGCATAGGCGTCGAGGACTTGGCGCGTGGTTGGGCGGCGGTGGCAGATATGGCAGGGCCGGAGGGCCGAGGGGGAGGCGGATTGTTGGGTTGGGTGGTGAAGTGGGACGAGGGTCTTCGGGGAGACCGGGGGTGAGTATGGGTCTTGGTTTGGGGTGCCGTAGACGTTTGGGGAGAGATGGGTTGGGGATTGTTGGTGTTGGAGTTGATGTTGATGGGGTGGTAGTGTAATATAAGGGCCTTGGACATGTCGGCGCTTGCGAGGGAGGCAGCGTGGTCGGAAAGATATGTCTGCTCCGTCTGGGTGTCGGGAGAAAGGCAGTGAGCAGCTGCTGTCGTATTCAGGCCTGTCAACTCGGCAGGATGGGATACATGTTGTTCTGTTGTCACGTTAGTCTATGTGTCATCTGATTGAGAGAAATACTGTTAGACTTACGGACGTGGTAGAGTCCTTGACTCCTCATGGTCCCACTTGCGTTTCTTCCATGTTGCCGTTATCGAGTCGGTCTGCTCGGGCGAAAAGCCTGGCATTGGTGGTATGCCGTATATCAAGCCAAATTGAAGATTATAGGTGGCTAGGAACCCGAGAAAACTCCAGGGGAAGTCTTCGAACTGAAGGGAAAGCTGACGAGGAGAACCAAACAAACGAAGCCCGTCGGGCGGTGTGCCGATAGGGGATTGTTATCAGCGCGTGTCTTGGCGATTGAGAGATTTCCAACATCCACTACTTGGAATGCGGCATGGAGGCCTTGATCAGGAGATAGGATGATAAGTAGTAAACCTACGTGAAGAATCCTAATCTTCTACATTGTCAACGACAGCAAACTCGACCATATTAGACCCAGGAATGATGATATCCGATTTTCCTTCGTTACCATCGGAAATATCCATAATCCTTTAAATTACAAAGTCAAGACCCTAAGATTTTTCAGCCAATAACGGCTGTCTCTCTGCATCAGCAGCCTCAGTACACCTTTGCCGCCGCAAACCCAGATATAGCAAGATTCCCTGCCCTAGGGCAAAATTATATCATCAAAAGCTATAACACCAACTGTCTGGTACCACGCAGGAAGGATCAAATAGAGAGGCCACGATCGACGGGGGTCTTCACAGTATACGAAGTAGAGACCACGGGAGATAGAGTCCAAAGACCTACAAGATGGCCGAGAGCGTGAAAACTACGCTACTCCGTACTGGAGCCAATTAGACTCGGATTTTGTGTAGGTTGTCGCGCTTGTCCATAGAACCCTATTACTAGGGGTATAGTACTAAAGAAAAATTCTAATATTCTAGTTGTGAAAGAAGCTGAAGAACAAATGCTCCGTGGAACATATTAGATTGAAGAGGAAGTAGGCCAATGAAATGTGCACTCTAGCTTCTTTTCCCGGTGATATGGCGTATTCGAGGGGAGAAAGAGTAGAAGACCAAGCTCATTACGATGCTGTTATGTTTGTGAGTGAGCTTTAGGAATAATTACTCATAAGGCTAAGTAAGTAAGAAATTTCGTATTCTTTCAAATTCATACAAATTAAATGAGAAAAAGCTATGACTCTGGAGCTACATAGTACTACATACTAGATAACTATTAGTATTGTTATTATCATCAAAAGAACGCAAGAGTGCACAGGATACTGAGCAAGATACTGACGGTAGACCCGAAGAGCGGGTTTTTATTTAGCTGGAGTTCCCTATTGTCTTATATTATATAGATAGAGCAGTCAGAAAAGACAACTACATACCAAATCCTCATTCCTTCTCTCGGATCGGAGACGCAACACCATCCAGACGAGCTTGAATAGTCTTCTCGTCAAAACGCCCACTATCACCCACATAATTGCGTAGAACCTCATAGGTCATAAGCCGCCGAGGTGCTTTGCGACCTGTCATTAACTCAAACTGAGCAATGCCCTGTTCAGTCACATTCTCCAAACCGTCGGATAGGACCCAGGGTCGTCCAGTCTCGCTACGAACTCGGCGCATTTGTCGTAGAAGTGGTGTATCGAGGGGTTTATAGGCCAACTATATCCAATTAGTACCGTATGACAAGGAGTACACACATCCGGGGGAGGTGGCAAAGCTCACCTCGAGTATCACACCCCCCGTAGGGCTCCCAAGCCACTGCACAGGCATCTCAAAGTTCGCCGGTGGTTCATCTCGGTCCGGATCAGCTGGCACACAAGATGCAACAAGACTAGGCTGAGCAGCGTCCGCAGGCCAGTCTTCCTTTAGCGACGACAAGACACAAACAACATCAGCCGAGTCCACCTGCGACGAGGCCCAGGAGTTAAAATGGCGTGCCACTTCCTCAGCACGCGACTGCGTGCGATTGTAGATGAAGATCTTCCGGCACCCCAGTCGGAGCATGGCGTAAATGGCGGCCCGCGCCATGCCGCCTGCGCCAATGACGAGGCCTGTTGTTTTTGCGCTGATAGCGTTGCGCGGCGAGAGATGTCGCCTTATGCAAGTCATTATCCCGACCCAGTCGGTGTTCTCACCGTACCAGCCCAGCACGCGCCCGGCTTGGTTGCGTCGGCTGGCTTGTTCTTGAAGTGTGTACATTGTTCCATCTGCATGTCCGCGGAGCGGCATGATTGTGTTGATTGCCCCAATGGCTTCGGCGTGTCGGCTTTTTGAGGCGAGCCTTTGGTATACCTGTACGCGCCATGGCTGCACGATGCTGGATCCCCCGAAGTGCGGGTCTCGGCCCAGTTTGTCTAATACTGTGAGAGAGGGTGTGTCTGGGATGCTGTAGGTGTGGCCCATGCCGCAGTGTTGGTGTGCGGCATTGTGCATTGCCGGGGATAGACTGTAGGCGACGTTCTCCCCGTAGATGTAGAACTTGAGCGGGTCGAGCATGTAACTTTGGAAGAGTGCGCCGACGGCATCGTGGGAGGTGATTTGCGGGTCGTGCTTATTCTCTGTGGACTGGGTGATTGCTGGGTGTGTTACTGCAGTGAGGATCGAGTTGAACACTTGTGAGGTGCGCCCTAGGGCGCCGATGTTATATGCGATGAGCGGTGGGTGATCTCCCGGGAGTGATCGGATTTTATTGCAGAACTCAATCACAGCGGCATTGTCCTCGCGCTTTGTTGCAACTCGGAGGAGGCGAACAAGCTGACAGCCGAGCTTTTCAGCTTCATTGTAGATGGTAACGCAGCCCGCGCTGTCCCATGTAACGGGAGAAGATGGTTCAAACACCTGTTGGCCGATGATCTTGGTATTCCCACGACCTCTGATAGTCCCAGCCAGCCGGGATGTGTCTTGGGTCAGGTCTACAACGAGATATTCCACACCCAGACGTAGACCGTGCTCGAGAATGTCAAAGTAACGTCTAGGCGAAGAGAGGGCTGGTTCTGAGGAGCCGATGCCGGTTGGGGAGTTGTCAACTGAGAGAATCACAGGCGTTCGCGCATTTCGACGCAGGACAGAGACCTGTTTGCTGACAATGGCTGCCATGTCTGGGCTCCAGCGATCGACACACAGCTCGATGGCATCTCCGCCAGACTCAAGCTCGGCCAGGTTGACATTGTCGGCGATCAGATCTGAAGATCGCACGAAGATAGCATGTGTAAAAGAGCGCATTTCTGGCGGTGTCTCTAGCAGAACGAACGGCGAGTCATAGCTCGAATAGTTCACATCGAGTCCAGTAATGAACTGCACAAATCGCGTAAAATCCTCTTTCACCTCTTGCAACTTGAAAGAATAATCTACAGACCGGCGATCCGGGCTCCCATCGTCTAACGCACGCGTCCGATCTTCAAGATTATAGAATTCAAAATTCGAACACATCCGATGCATCGGGTCCCCCTCCCGTAATAACCGCATTGCTTGGTCCTCCAACCCAAGCAATTGCTGGATGCGATCGATATTGCGCAACAGATGCACCACTGGGTTAGACCGGGCGTAGCGACGTAGATGATCCTGCACAGGTCGCGTCAGACTGGCCAGTCCGCACTCCATGACGCAGCCCGTACGGTGGTTATCCAGCATCATCTTCAGGACTTCGATGTCGCGGCGCTGGAACTCTTGGCTGCCATACCGCTTGAGGTATTCCTGTCGCGTGATGCCCGTTACCTCTCGGAAGTAGTGGTCTTCAGTAATGAAGCGTCGCTTTAACGCGGTCGCGGCGACGAATCCTAGCGACCGCTTCCCGCATCCGCGGATGCCGATCAAGACAAGGGATGCATTCGGAGCAAAGGTGCGAGGGGCGGACTGGGCGGACTGGGCGGACTGGGCAGACTCGGGGCGGAGCATGGTGGGAGAGGAGTCTTTGGTGGCACACGCGGAGATATCGGACTTGACGTCGACCGTGGGGGAAATGGAGGGTTTAGGATCGAGCATGGTGAGAGGCGATGGGTCAATTGGGGTCTATGTCGAGTGAACGAGCGCCATGATCAGATGCACTCAAGGCATAGAATGGCATTCAGAGATATGCGGGGAGATGTCGAGAAGGGATGGGCGAGACTGCTCATGCGGACAATAGACAGTAGAGACGAGGTATTTCACAATATGAGTATGTCAGTTGTGGAACGATACCACAGATTATGTGCCACAGTTGGCGTCGGTGATGAGAAATTTAGTATTGCCGGCCAATTTGTTTCCGGTAAAAGACTTTTCCACCAGTTCCCGGCAGGTCTGAACATTGAAAGATGCAACATGGCACTATCCGTGAAGTTGATTGAAATTATGTACCTAGACCACTTCCGTACTAGAAACTGAGGCAACAAGAGGCTATTGTATACTTGTGTACTATTATTCAGCTCATAGATGTGGGGTACTTGTCAACAGAGGTCTAGACGTCAAAATGCAATGAATTGGGATTATACTAGTAGAGGTTAAGCTCCAGCGTTGAGAGTAATATTTATAACTAATCTTAGAACCTTCACATTGCCTTCAATATTCCAATTCAATGCTCGTGTTAATGGTCATGTGACCCCCTTTGTCTAGATAGTCTGATTATCTCCTTTCCTCCCATATGCACCCCTGAACTACGCGTTTTCTGAACTATATGATTTCGAAGTAATTCCATATTCCAAAACTAGACAGGGTAGTTTCTATTTGCAGCTGATATGGACGATCGAACTCACGTCCTGGATAGCGTGCATCTCGAAGAGTCCAGTGTTTTGGGTAAATGAGATAGCGTGCCTGATTGATTAGTCGAAACCATACTGACATTCTACAGCGGAACAGGAAGGGCTTGGGCCAAGAACCACCATAGCCATAAACCCGAGTGCTACAGTGCATGTGGTCTTTCCCGACTCTTTGTTCTCCCATTCTCTGCAACTTGTGACTCCGCCATTCATACATCGGAAATACTCTGTCGAGCCAAGTGAGCCATGGCGAATGAGAAAAACCGTTCAACCTCCTATCTTCTTCCAATCCGACTATGGATTGGCAAGAAACTCTTTGGAGCAGACAAGCTCGGACCACATGGAGTCCAAGTCAGCCCCAGCAGAATGATCAAAGGGCCTTGCTATATGCCGGAGCTAGAGGCCATGAGATACATTGCTGAGCACAATCAATTCCTGTCCCTAAAGTTTTCAACGCCCACTATTACGATGATAGGCTCTATATCGAAATGGAGTATTTCCGTGGAACAAGCCTCGATATAGCATGGAACCGCGGCCACCTATCGCAAGACCAGAAGAAGTACATTATCAACCAGGTTGCAGGCTATATTAGCCAGCTTCGGAGACTAGAACCTCCACAAGAAGGAATAGTTGCATCAACAACTTTTGACAAGGCCTTCGACCACCGACTCGGATGTTGGAGTTTCGGGCCGTTTAAGAGCCATGAAGGATTCCATGCATACATCCGAGCGGACGTTCCCCCAGAAACATTCGGCCCAAAGGTCACCGAATGCCACTCCCGCCGTTATCGAACTTGCTTTACCCACGCAGATCTCGCCCCTCGGAATATCATGGTGGATAATGGGAAAGTCTCTGCCATCGTTGATTGGCAATTTGGCGGCTGGTACCCGGAATATTGGGAGTATACCAAGGCACACTACGGTCCGATAGATCAGCCAGAATGGTATAATGGATTGGCAAACGCTTTAGAAAAGAGATATGATGACGAGCTTGAAGCTGAACGAATTCTTTGGAGGAAATTGGATGACCCACAAACTTTCTGGCGAGGAAGGGAGCATCTCATTCCGGGCCTTGCGTGACAGGATCGAGACAATAAGATCTTATTCAAATGCCTAAGGCATTCACCTATATAACAGGGTCTGCTCTCTTCCAGTCCGCCCGTTTTCCATAGTAGATCCATCATAGCTTCCTCTCCCGGTCATTTATATATATACACACCTCCTATAGGTCCGAGGTATTTCACGTTTCACAAGTCACATACGCCGACTAATGTAATTAATTCTATTGGGTGTAGACTTGGTGCGGTGTACACGCTGATCCGCGAACGCGAGCGTCTCGTTCATAAACCGATCAAGGTCGAATTGCTCCGCGAGACCGTGCTCTCGGAGCTTGAGAATTGTGCGTAGGTAACCTCATTGGGCACCTTGCCAATCATGACCCCTCCAAGAAGGCGACCGCTCTGTTCTGGGTCGACATTTGCTTTCTCTCGAAAGCGCCAATTGCCTTCCTCATTAAGATTGACCCTTCGCACTGGATCGATGAGAGCTCCGTCGCTCACGTCGAAAGCCCAGCTGTCTGGCCCCTTTGGACTTTTGGGGGAAATAAGAATCCCCCAATGGTAGGCTGCATAGCCGAATCGTTGCCTGTTATCGCCGACAGAGAGAGAGAGAATCGCGATGATGCAGCGAAACGAATACCTGGCGTTTATTGCTCATGATGAGATATGCCAAAGGCAATTCAACGACGATTCAAAGAAAATATTCTCGAATTGATAATGGACTATATCTTTATTTGAGAATACTGGCTGTTATATATACTCAAGTTGTTCAATGTATAGATATGAAGTTTATACTATTTTTAGCACCTGGACGCTGAAGCAGCTGTTGTAAGAGCTGAGAATCCAAATCAAGAATAGATGAAATCTGCCTTGCTTCAACTAAGCCGCCTTCCAAACCTTGGAATCTTTTTCCAAGCGACAATGATACGACCCCTGCAATAGCCAACTAATCGAGGGGTTGTTCGCTGATGGTCCGATAAGACCCAACCAAGCCATTAACAATGCGCGGGCACATAATTATATCTTAATTTGGGGTTTAGCAGCCGCTAGGGGCGGCGGTATGCACACTCCCCAGCCTGAGATCAAGAATGAATCAACAGGCTGCATCAAATTTGTCTCGGGCTAGATATTTGATACAGTTCTACATGTGTCAATACTGTCTTTTAAGCCCTGACACGGCTAGCTCCATATACTACTGAGGACGTCAATACTGAAAGAATTACTCCATAGTACGGAATAACATTTTATACATGATGATCTTTGGTTTTATCTCCAATATTGTGTGTTTACCCACCCCAATATCCGTACTTATGCAGAAAAACAAGTGCCTACATGGAGACCGAAGGCCAAAAGACAAGTCCCACTAGAGCGAGGGATTAGAAAGGTAGGATATCCGATCAGGACAGAAGACTCATAGAGTTATTACCTCATTGCCCATATTATCAATATTGGAGCTTGCACAACGTGCTCACAGAAGGCTGAAGTGGTCGTGGCTGTGATAATGATTCAAACAGGATTAACAAAATGGCATAAAATTAGGAGACCACTAGCAAATGCATAGCGTCAATGGAGTGGACTACGGAGTACTACTTCGTAATGCCCTTGCAATGTATTCCACAGTGGCGGCTACAATGTGATTGTTCCAATTCGCGCAGAGATGATAGCCAATCAACCCCTCGAGCTACAGGTCATTAAATAAGCTCACTAGTACTCGGTACTCGAAAACTGTTTCGCACCTAATGCATACCTAGATTAGTTGGGTGCTCTAGACTCTTTGGGCGACATTTAGTCCTAAATTTGATTCCCAGCAGTTATTCTAGGAATATCATGTACTATTTACTTACTTCGTGGCGTCTGCTTAGTAGCGCATTTATGCTGTATAAGATCGATAGCCATACAGAGTCTGTATTTCCAGATTTATTTTCCACTTTCCCGGTCCAATAATCCACTCATAGGAGCGCTGCTTTTCTCGGATAATAGCAAAAATTATTCTGCAGGACCCTACTCCATGGGCGAAGTAATTTATAATGCATAACAGGAAGAAAATACATACTATAGAAGAAGCAAAGTTGCATCGGAAGTACGGAGTACTAAGCTTGTATCTGGGTGGTTGGCGTCGATCGACCGTATCGGAAGAGCCAGTTAGGGCTAGCATTAACACAACCCCCATACTGTGGTGATCATGAGAACCTACAATTCTCTCGACTACAAACTTTATATCCGTCACCACGATCCCCGTTTGTTAAAGCGGGGACATACGGAGTACTATATATATCTGACTAGATCAAAATGACATGACTCATTTGGTGCCTCTAGTTCCTTGGCATCAGCACTAAGCCAACACCGCCGGCACCTGTCAGAGTTTACGCTAATATTCCCATTAATATTATGTTGCCGAGCGAACTAATTTCTACTTTGTATACGTTGCCCGACGCGTCTAGCTATGGGATCTGATAATGGCTCAAACAGTGGCCTAGAGCGTCAAGGGTCGTTTTTGGGAAGACTCAGATCTTACGAAGGAATACAAGTCTGCGCAATCGTGGCTTCTGTTGTGCTGGGGCTGAATCTCATCTTGGCGGTAGTTGCATTTAGTATTGGCTATTCGACGTCGAGTGAGAGTGGGTTTTTGACTGTGCCGCTCTATGAGGGTAGTTGTTCGACGACAAGGAAGTGGTCAATTGGACTGCACTTGGTGATCAACGGACTGGGTACACTTATCCTGTCTACGAGCAACTATTGTGCACAGTATCTAGCTGCACCCACGAGAAATGATATTGACAAAGCTCATGCGCGTGGATCCTGGCTCGATATTGGAGTACCCAGTCTCCGAAATATATTCACCTTAGAAACAAAAAAACGAACCCTATGGGCTCTCTTAATGGTTTCTACACTTCCCATTCATGCATTGTTCGTTATCGTGTCCCACAGAACACAAATTGTACTTCTGACTTGTGACTTTCTTGCAGCTATAACTCCGTACTTCTCAGTTCTCAGAGCTCGAATGAATACAGTGTCCTTGTCGTGCCATCAGATTACACTGGTAGTCGGCCCCTGAGTCTTCCTAATTCCTCCGAATGCTTCCAATCCCGTATGCATCAATCGCTAGCCGACTTCAACCTGGATATTGCAGATGGCAAATTCGATATTCTGTCAAAAGAGCAGTGTTTGAACACATTTGCCGTGAACTACCTCCACGGCCACCGGTCCTTGGCTGTCTTGTCAAAAAATCTGACCTGGGACCTGCCAGAGCCCGTCAAATTTGCGGCGAATGCGAACACCCCGTCAGACTATGAATCGATCGATGCACGGAGCCCATTTTCTTGGATGTGTGCTTCACGCGACAACTCTGTGTGCACCAAATCAACAATCCGGAAGCAAATGCCTGATTGGAAGATCCTGGCATCCGTTTTAGAGGAACCAACATGGACCGTGACTGCACCTTGGGACAATGGCTCTATGACATATACTCAAGACAACTACACAAAGTGCAGCAACGAGACCTCATCTTGCTTGGAAATGTACTATTTGGCCCAGTTCCTTTGGGGAACCACGGTCACCCCGCCGGGTGGAATCTTACCTGTCACAATGCCAGATCTTCAACAATACCTTGGATCAACTTCTGTGTGGGGAGACAGGATTACTTGGGCGAAAGAAGTAACCTATCAGCAATCTGGCTCGCAGTGCTCCAGATACCAAATTTTGAACACGCCTAATACCATTGGTTACTTTGATTATCCATCAATTGGACTTTACACCGTTGATGGGTGTATAAGTATCAAAAGCGAGGAAAAATGTCGGCTCCTTTTCAGCCCGACATTTTCGATTGTGGTACTTGTGTGTACGGCAGTCAAAGTTGCTTGTATTTTGTTTGTCTCCCGTCGAGAACGAACTCCCCGGCTTTTGACCGTTGGTGATGCCATTTCGTCTTTCCTCTCAAACCCGGACCCATTTACCACTGGATGCTGCACATCCTCAAAATCCGATTGGATTAGGCGCTCCAGACTGGATACGGCGGCTGGACATAGATATGAGGGGGTTGGCCAGAGGTTAAACACTCGTACAAGGCGATGGTGGCAAGCTGCTGCTATTAGACAATGGGCTTTTACGCTTGGTCTGTATGTTATACACCCCTCTAAGTGGTGTATTGGACTATATACTAATGTGTAAATGACAGATCTTTACCATGCCTTGGCGTGGCAGGATTTTTACTTCATCGTGGTTTGCAAGATGACAGGCTAGATTCGGTCGGTGGGACAGACTGGTCTACTCTTTGGAGTCTTGGATTGGGTTCTGCTAGCCCTTACACTTTGATATATCGCGTGCGCTCTACATTGCTTGGCAATGTTCTTCTGGCCAATACCCCTCAGCTTCTTCTTTCCGTCTCATACTACTTATACAATTCTACCTTGACTGCAATGCTCATGGCAAACGAATATGAGAATTATGCGATTAAGGGGATGCGCCACAATTCCACAGTTGAGACACAGATGTTACCAGCAAAAGGACTTCGTGTATCGAGTAATCGGAAAGGTGCTCAGCGGTCATTCTATTTCCTCAGTCTCCCATTCCGTTACAGTGTCCCGCTCATGTTAATCTACACTGTGGTACACTGGCTTCTGTCTCAGAGCATCTTCTATATCCAGATTTATCTTTATGATGCAGACATGCAACATGATCCAGACTTTGACGTTGATGCGTGCGCGTGGTCACCAACTGCTCTCATATTCACCATCATCGTTGGGTCTTTGATGGTCATGGCGCTTTTGGGTCTAGCGATGAGACCTTTTCGTTCCGTTATACCACTTGCTGGGAGTTGTAGTGCTGCGATCAGCGCTGCTTGCCACCCACCGGAAGATGATGTGGATGCAGCACTGCGGCCTGTCATGTGGGGTGAGATTCATTCACCGAGTAAGCAGTCCTCCACGGATTCTTTGGTGCCGTTTGCGGTGGCCGGAGAAGTTCACGAAGGGATGAATTTGCTCGAGATGCAATGTGGAGCGAAAGGTACGCAGGGCCTTCCACGCTGCACTTTTACATCTATGCGTGTGGAGCGGCCGACATTACTCCAGACATACGAATAGGCATGGCTACTAACTCACTGCTGTATGGCCCACCCCCGTGGGTTTGCATGATCACAGCAAAATTGCCAACATGAAATAAATGAATGGTAAATGAACCCATCCTGGCCGACAATTTATATGCCCTATTCGTCAAGAGTGTATATTTACCCGAGTTCATTTGGTAGAGTCTTAAGAACAAGCGCACTCCTGTATAATAGAAACAGTTCCTTGTGTTTATATTAACATGCTCGAAGAAAACAATCGAATATGTGCTCTCTAAATTCCTAATTGGGTTAAGCGTCGGCTTTAGTCGGGCGTACGTCTTGAATGCCTTGATGCCTTAATGTCTTGATGACTTGGTGCCTGATCAATTGAAGGTTAGGTAGTTACTCAAACTAAGTAACTCATTGTCTCGTAAAATATATCTATTTCCAGGACTCCTATACGGACATAATATATAATTATAAGCAACTTCATAAGCATCTAACTAAACGATCTCGGGAATATGTGGAATATTTGTGGGGTTGGAGATCCCCCGATTATTCAGAAGTTCGTATCCCGAACTTCACGTCCGAGATCCTCCCTTGGCCTGCCTATCTGTGACTTTTGCCGTGGAGGCTAGTTTGATTAGAGTCTGCTCCTCCACTTTTCTTTTTCTATTTGTGGGCGATCTTACTCTTCTTCGACTCCGTTCCGAGTCTCGGCCTTTGTGTTATGTAGCCCGCGCGACCTTACATTACTTTCAACCTGACTCCGGTACGATTCAATCAACTCCGAATTAAGACAGAGCTGCTGCTAGTCCCCTTATTTTCTCTACATGGCGCGTCCCTTGCGCCAATAACTCCTCTTCATGGATGAGGGATCAGATAAGGCCCCTCGGCGCAAGAGGGTCTCCCGAGCTTGCGATCGCTGTCGCAGTAAGAAAGTGAGTCGCGTCCGGCCATTGCCCTTTTCTCGCATGTCTCACTTGCTCATTCTAACATATTGGAAATTATAGGATAAATGCGACGGTATTCGCCCCACTTGTTCGGCCTGTCAGGCATCGGGCCAGTCCTGCTCCTACGATCCCCATGCGAAGAAACGCGGTCTCCCCGAGGGCTATGTCCGTGGCTTGGAAAAGCTATGGGCGCTGTCGATTTGCAACATAGATGGGTTCGAGGATACTATGCTGGCCATGCTAGGAAACACCGCCGAATCCGCTGGTCGTCGCGAGAAATTGATGTCTGTGTGGTCGGACGATAATGCCTCTGAGAGTTTACACGAATCCTGGAAAACGAGTCGGCTGTTTGGCGCGCTGGAGAAAATGCTATCTAATTCCGAGGCGCCGGGACCGGTGACCGGGAAGCGATCGCGTAATCAGCAAGATGATGGCCCCGATGGTCAATGGGGATTCCGAGTAACGCGCACTTCCACCCCACTCGGTCCTGGTGCTCCGCGTGTAGTTGAGCCTTTTGCCTCATCGCCGGGCGGAAAGAGACCTCGATTATCGAAAGAGTCAGATGGTCGGGGTATCATGGGACCTAGTCCCCATACACTGCAATTGCCGCCTCAGACGTCCCAACTACTCGATATCTACTTTGCGGTCACGCATTCATGGTTTCCCATTGTCGCCAAGCATAACATTCTCCGCGCTTCTTACCTTTACGCCAATGCCCCTTGCTGTATTGCCACGACTTCACCCGGGTCCGGCGATCACGCCGCCTTGTGGGCAATCCTAAGTTACACTATCACTCAATTGCGAACAAATTCACGGGCTGGTCCCGCTGGAACAATCGCCCTGGCGAAAGAATACTATGCTGTCTCGCGAAAGCTCATCCCCACGGAGAAAGAGCGCTATGAACCTGGTCATATTCAGGCACTGCTGTTGCTGACTTTGGTGAAAATGGGCCTTGAAGATTGGACCGCGGCTTGGCTGTTGAGCGGCCAAGCAGTGCGCATGGCGACTGCCATGGGTCTTGGAACTGTGTCAGACAGCCGGCGGTCTGATGAACTCAGACAGGGCAAGGCGGTCTTCTTGGGATGCTTTGTAGTTGATTCATTGCTCTCCTTCCGTCTTTCACGGAGCCCAGCTATGCCTCCGAGCGACCTCACTACGGTGGGACTTTTAGAAGAAGATGGATTGGAGGAGTGGAACTCCTGGGTGGACGTTTTACCACCCACGGGTGCTCCACAGGGCAGCAAGAACCCACCGCGCCGAGGACCCCTCTTGGCTCTGAGCTGCTTCAACCGCATGGTTGAGTTGGCGAGCGCTCTCAATAAGATAACCCGTCACATGTCTTCGGGATACAATATGGCCACCTTTGCGCAGCAATTGGTCATGGAGCTTAAACAATGGGATGACTCCCTACCGTTGGGATGCCGATTGATTGGACCGGAAAGCATATATCCAGAAAGGCATTCAGCCTTGCTTCCCCACCAGAGCTACTTAGGGCTGACATATGTCGCTACCCTGCTTTGGCTCTATCTTCAATTGATATCGGGTGAGCAGGGGTTGCATCGTTCACAGCGCCCAGCCACAGAGGGGGCCAAGAAGCTCCTGTATCGAGGCCTTTCTATGGTCACCCAACACTTGGAAAATTTCTCCGTGTGCGGTCTTCCACCGCTGTTCGAGCTGAGTCTTCGCACAATTGCAGAGCAAGCGACCAGACTCCGGGCCACTGACTCATCAGATACCTTCCCCTTCGCCAGGTGGGCAGACGAGTTCCGACACAAGACGGCAGCTTTCGCCACCACATGGCCAGCCTATGGATCTTTGGTTTCCATCATGGAGAGGTGGCAGCACTCCAAAAATGTTGGGGGGCCATCCACTTTCCCGGGGGCAGTCGGTCCCCCATTTTCGGGTACACCTATGGCAGGCTCCATGCAACCCCCAGGCGCAGCTCGCAGCTTGCCCTTGAACGGTGAAGGAGATCACACCTCTTCTATTGTTGGCATTAGTATGCCAGTTGATGGGCAATCTTCGACCCCAAAAGACACAATAATGGAAAACACAGATCTAGGCATGATGGACGTGTCATTACACCGCCAAAGGGAACTACCATCAACCTTACCAGACAAGATTGCTCCGCGCAACAGAGCAGATTCCGTGTATGGCACGGCCAACGCCCAACATCAATATCAACAGCCGCAACCCCAGACCCCCGACTCAGCAACCTCAAACCCAATGATGCTTGGAAACACCGTTACCACCGGCGACATCGACGCCATCTTCAAAGACCTTGCATACCTCGATACCACTGAATGGTCCACGAACCGCGAGGCTGGTCTGAAGGATTTCGGTTTCTTGGACGATAGCACATTCCAGGCTTTCTGCCATGATCCGGATCGTTTGGGCGGATCACAGCCACTGGTTCATCCGCCTTCCATAGCGGATATCTGGCCCCCGCCTGGTTTCTTCCCAGAGACCTTCCAGGAAGTCCCCGAGGAGTCTATGGGCGGCTGAGAGATCTCGATGTGATCTTGCCAGGTAGCTTTTAGAGACTATGCTACTTTAGTCCACCCCATCTCCCTAGGAACGTCACCACTCGTTTTGGCCATCTCACTGGCCTTCCTGGCTGTCTATAGACTTCTCCTTGCTTCCAGGCGCATTTGTCGCCTAAGTGGGACACGGTGAGCTATTTGACTACATAATAGCCACCCTCCGAGCTAAGTCCAGTGCTTAGTATCAAATCACCCCGCATGAGATTGATCTCGGTGACTCATACTCCAACTATCAGACTCTCGGTACAGGAAGAACATTCTTGTTCGTCCTTCACTAGATACTGAATGCAATCAAACAAACCATGTACATACTATACCCGCGCTGTAGGATATTTTAAAGTCCAGCGCATCTCCACATGTGGGTGGAAGCCACACTACCAATGAAAGATCCCATCGAGTCGATATTTTCTATGTAACTCTTGACACATTGCTATTCTTTCTCTATCCAAAAGGCCCAAAATATATCCTCTCCAACTACCTAAATCCTCCCTTACCAGATATTCCCAGCCGTCTGCTCCCTCTCCAACTTCTTAACATTAAAATTCCTCCAAAACCAAGTACAAAGAATACAAAGCGGCACAAAACAAACCCCAACAATAGCATCCCGCTCAGCCGTCCCATCCGCATACGACATCTGTTTCACCAAATCCGCAAAGATACTCGCCGAAAGATGTTTACTTTCCTGTGGCAGACGGTTGTGCAACTCCGTCTCGAGAATATTATTCCACATCCTGCCAGCGATGGCAGATCCTACAGCCGCTCCAATCGACCCGAATAACCCCCAGATCGCGTTCACGACAGCGATCTCTTGGTGAGTCACCGTCGCCATTACAGCTAGTTGTCCGCACACCGTGAAGAGACAGCTGCCGAGTCCAACGAGAATTTGGATCATTGTTAATAGCCCCACGTGTGTGTCGGGAGTGCGGAATGGAATTAGGAGGGCTGTTCCTAGGAGGAAGATTGGGACACCAGCCACGGCAGTCCATTTGAAGTCGCCGGTCCAGCTTATTACTCTGGGAGGGGAAGGTTTGTTAGGCTTTGTATAGAAGGTAGGGAGTGTGCGAAGGGTAGTGGGCTGGGTGTGCTTACAGGCCAAAGATAGGGCTGAAGATAAAAGAGGTCAAGGAGAAAGCGTTGAGTACATAGTTGGCTGTCATGATGTCAAGTCTGTTAACGACTTGTAGGTACGAGCCGAAGTAGCTGTTCCAGGTACTGTGTTTCGGGTATTAGTATGTCGCTGAATTTGATGAAAACGGCTGGAAGAGACTGGTACTCACAAACAGGATATAAACATCACGCCGTACAGCATGCACGAGCCAATCATTGTTGCGTTTCTCAGATACTTCCACGTGAGGAATTGAACCGGCGAACAGTATGGCTCCCAGATGTAGAATGCGGGCATGCACACTACGCCCAGAACTTCCATCGCGATGATATATCCGGTCGCCCATCCCTTGGGGCCGTATGAGGCGATGCTGAACGGAATCAGGATTAGGGAGAATGCCGCTGTGATCAAGATGATCCCAATAACTGAGGAATTTACACTGTTAGCCACACGTCGAATAAAAAACAGGCTATATATGGGATGGGTACATACCATCAAACTCAATAAAATAGTGAGCGATGGTCTGCCACCAGACACGCTCAGAACGAGTCTTCTCAAGAGCACCACTCTTCTCAGCCCGACGTTGCATAAACAGCATCACAGCGATGACGGGTATAGAAACCCCAACCTGCATGATAGCGAACGCACCGAGTGGCCAGTGGAAGTCGAGGTTTATGTAGAGGAGTGTGGCAATTTCCGGGCCAGCGAAGGTACTAGCAATACCCGGTGTACCATTCAGGTCGAGCATAATCATCCGGTTCCTGAGTGAGGTCATATCTGCCAGCATGATGTCCACCGCATAAGTCAGACCAATGTGGCCTACCCAGTACAGAGTGTGTGCTGCTGTATACATCTCCATGCTTTTGCATGTAGCTTTTATGATCAGACCGATTGTGACGAGAACAAGCATGATTAGGAATCCCTCCACACGGCCCCATATATCGATGATCTTGGCTAGTGTTAACTTTGATGAGCTGCCCAGGATGGTTGAGACGACGCTGACGACTGTCAACAAGCCGTGCTTGTTGAATGAGGATGTTATGTAAGGTTTAGTGCGCTTTCGACTGTGCTTAGGAGTGCGTCTACGAATGCTACAAGGTAGAGCCTATGTTGTGGTGGAATTTGAGTTTTAGTTTCTCTTGCTGTGGGAGGGGTAGGAGGGGAGGGGAGTTGTGAATCCAGGGCAGACTTACAGAATGAACATGAGAATGAGCGTCTTGGTCGACCATGCCGATATAATAGTTCTTACTCGCTGCACACCACCCTAGAACTCGTTCGCATCACGACCAGATAGGTCGGCCTTATCATCAGGTAGATTTTCCATGCCCTGGTGAACTTCGAATCCCGCCATTCTCTCAGCATCACGGCTGGTACCGGCCGATGTGACCTGATCCGATACGGTTGTCTTTTCCATTGCAGTAAAATAGAGGCAATCGAGGGGCCTTTCCAATTATCAGAAAGCAAAGTTGTATCAAAAAGGCCGCCGCCACTGGAGGGCAGTCGATCAAGCTATAAGGGAAATTTCCGGTTTAACTGCCCAAGCAAGTCCAAAATTCCAATCAACCACTTCCTATCAGATCATTTGATAAGAATCAACATTCCCATCGTCTAATCCGCAAGGAATTTGATTTCTTTGGCGTCTCAGTAAGGTTTTGCCCCGTGGGTCCCCCGTGGTGTGGCCCGGGAGTGGTTCAAATAAGGACGGCAATATCAGACACGCGTCTACTTAACTTCCACCTCAAGGGACTCTGTTTGAGGTTGAAACTTGCATTTTCAAGGTCATTTCGATATAAACAATATATTATTTCGGTCATGGTATACCGGAATATGGTAAGAATCTTAAGTGAAATCATTCCAGATTGGCGAAGTAACCGGCAGCCTCGTTGGGTCAGAAATTGCGCGAATATCGGAGGTAATCAAAATATTGATCTTGGTCTTAGAGGACGGTGCGTTTCTCTAATGCAATGACTGATGTAAGTCTATCTCACATCGCTGAAAATCATGCTGCCTATCTGAATAGATCAGATCTTCCATGTTCACTAAACGATATCCGGTCTTTCCCACTGTAAATTCGATGCCGATATGCCTATTCATCCCCCGACCACAGCTTCCGTTGGGATGAAGCCAAGACAGACGCCAAGCAGGAGAGATCTGCAGTGTTGTCTGGTATTTGGACTTGGCCCTCGGGATGGTCTCGCTCCGGGCAAGTGGATCTCTCAGGCGAGGGCGGTTTGCGCGATATATCTTGGACGAATACACCCGTCGAAGATTTCTCGCGATGGAGTTTTCGCCATGGCTATAACTTTTCTTTCTTTTGCTTAAATCAAAAGTTAGTGTGTCTTAGCCCGGTTTTCTAATTTCTCCTAGAAGTCCGGAAACCTTTATGGATTTTAATATGACTGACACAAAAGTCACTTCTTCTAGTTACATACTTTTTGATAATGACGTCTGGAATATGAACGGACTTCAAAAAAGCCAATGAAATTAAATTCTGAAATCATTTCTTCGTGTCTCGAGATAAAAACCTGCACGAAGCAATGATCGTCGCCAAGAGATTATGAGGTCTTGAAGCGAGGCATCACTCCACGCTTTTTCCAAGGCAACCTAAAATTATTTTAGGTGGTTAACTGCATATTGGCCTTCTCCATGTGCTTTCTAGTGTTCAGTGTTGCTGCATGATCATGGCCTAGCGTCTTCTCTCGCCCACGCAGAGTTCGTCGGAACGTACTTCTTGCCTCTTTGTACAGCTTCTGGTAATATTGCGAGAGACCAAGCCAGTATGCAGAATCGAGTGTTTCTTCATGGTCATAGCCTAGCGTCTTCTCTCGCCCCTGAAGAGCTCGTCGGAACACAGTTATTGCCTTCTTATACTCTTTTTGGCGATAAAGCGAGAGACCGAGGTAGTGTGCAGAGTAGAGTGTCTCTTTATAATCTTGACCTAGCACCTTCTCTCGCCCCTGGAGGGCTTTTCGGAACATAGTTTCTGCCTCTTTGTACTGACCCTGGTTATAGAGTGAATGACCAAGCCAGTGTGCAGATCTGAGCGCTTCTTCGTGATCGTGACCTAGCACCTTCTCCCGCCCCTGAAGGGCTTGTCGTAGCACGGTCTCTGCCTCTTTATACTGTCCTTGACGATGAAGCGAGAGACCAAGCCAGTGTTCGGATTTGAGTGTTTCTTCATTATCATGGCCTAGCACCTTCTCTCGCCCCTGAAGAGCTTTTCGGTACATGATTGCTGCCTCTTCATACTGCCCCTGGGCGTAGAGTGAATAACCAAGCCAGTGGGCAGAATATAGTGTGTCTTTATGACCATAGCCTAGCACCTTCTCTCGCCCTTGAAGAGCTTGTCGAAATACGGTTTCTGCCTCTTTGTACTGACGCCGGTTATAGAGTGAGACACCAACCCAGTGTGTAGAATCAAGTGTTTCTTCGTGATCATGGCCTAGCACCTTTTCTCGCTCTTGAAGAGCTTGTCGATACATGTTTTCGGCCTCTTTGTGCCGTCCCTGGCGACGGAGCCAGTCAGCAGTTCGGTGCTGGCTTTTAGGCTCTGTAGGGCGGAGCTCAAGTGTCTCGATTTGACCTTGACCTTTCATAACTTCCGGCACTGCAGTCTCTTGAGAAGAATATATCTTTTCTTTCTGTGTCCCGATAGTCTTCCCTGGGGGAGCATTGACCACCTCCACTGCAGTATTTGCACTAGACATGCTATGAAAGGCACCCTCTGGCGCTTCTGAAGAAAGCACTGTAGTCCATGACGCAAACTCTTCAGTCATGATTGTAACTGGAGATGGGATCCTTGGCTTGTCTTCAATCGCTTTCGCGGGCTCGGAGGGTTGGAGTATTAGCGATTGTATCCACACGCTTGACATAGCAGAGCTAGCCGTCATTCTATCATTAGGATTAAGACACATAAGTGAAACCACAAAGTCAATGCCTGGTTGACTGAGACCAGCATCGGTAAGCACGGTGACTGGGAATTCCTGCTGAGATTTGTAACCTGCAAGCGATCCGAGAGTCGCAAAGGCAGGTTTTTTGGTGAGTATCTCGAATACGATCTCTCCAAGAGCCCAAATATCAGTGGCATATGCACTGCCTCGCTCAGCGAGCCCCCAAATTTCAGGGGCAAAATATCTCGGGGTGCCTTTCAGTGTTGTCGATTGCCCATGGCTTTCTTCGATGCGTTTGGTGATACCAAAGTCTGCCAGTTTAATCCACCATTTGTCTCCAGGAGGGTGTGATTTGATAAGGATATTCTACTTAGATATTTTAGTGAATTCTTTCTTTTTGGTAAAAAGTAAACTTACGTTTGGTTTTAAGTCTCGGTGAGCAAACCCATTCTCATGCATCATATTCAGACCATCGAGAATCTGATATGCAATTTCCTTCGCTTCTTCTTCTGGTACTGGAGGTTTTTGATGTAGATAAGCGAAAAGGTCGCCGAACTCAAGGTATTCCATTGCTATGAAGAGCTGGCCTGGTCCTTCGTACCATCCGAATGACTTGACAAAGCATCTTTCATACTACTTTAATCAGCACATCTTATCATAATAAATATTTCTTTAGAGACTAACGCGATAATGTGAGAACTTAGCAATTGCCTCCAATTCACGATCATAGTCGATGGGCCTGAGACGCGTATCTATGTCAATCTGCTTGACTGCTCGGAGTGCACCATACTGAGCTTTGCCCCCTGGCCGCCCACCTTTGGTGAGTTTCTCTAGCCAGATACTACCAAACCCACCACGTCCGACTCTCTGTTGCCGCTGCCAATGCTCCAATCTTGTCACGAGGCGCTGTCCAGAAGTCGGGTCTGACTCCTGGAACTTGTGGACTGTCTCTACGCTACAGTCCGGGAGAAAATATGTCTCTAGCTTAGAATCTCGAATGAGATCCGGAAGTCGGGCCATTGAGACGTCCCTGTAAGCAATTCACGTGTTGGTAGCGGGGTGTGTTTCCCCGCTGCGCCTCAATTTAGCTTAAACGACTATCCCTGTAAGTCACCTGACACGATTGCTATGGCCCCCAAAGTGTCGGGCCTAACTCTTATTATTAGATCACACATATAAAACACAGCTAATTGAGTCTGGTCATTCGTATTGAAGCTGGATCACGTTGCTTTTTTCTTGTTCAGCCGCAAGTATTGGCAGTGGTGGTATACAACTTGACCAACCAGGGACTTTACATGGACTTGTATAGACTTGACTAGACTTCATTTATGCTGCGGTATTTTAGCCGGATTCGTATACTTCAAGACATCTAGAAATATAAATACTTCGTCCTCTTGCTGTGAATCTCTCATTTAATATCCATATCTCATAGTATATCAGAGATCTTTGTACCAAGCCAATATGAAGTTCAATGCCGTCTCCCTTCTCATGGCTGCTGGTGCAGCGCTCGCCGTCCCCATTGTTGAGCGAGACAATTCTATCCAGATCAGTGATTTCTGGGCCAGAGCTAGCGCTGGCTCCTCCGCTTCGATGCATTTCGTCGTGACTGATCCAAACTACCCCGAGGACACTCCTACCGACTGCAACTTGATCTGGTGAGTCCAATTTGTTAAACAAGAAATTCTTGACAACGGCAGATGCTAAATTATGGTTTAATGTCAGGACATACGGATCTTCGCCGAAGGAAAGTGCCCGGTGCAACAACAGTCAATACTTCATCCACTTCCCTGATGGTGCTGTGGACTTCAACCAGTTCACATTGGGACTTGAAAGGGTTTCCGGCCCAATCTCTGAGAACGGCCATGCCTTGCTGACCTCGGGTACGGAGTGGTCTTGTGTGGACAATCCGGAGAGCAGCGTTCAGCTGAGCTGCTCTTATGATGGTGTGCTTAGCATGCCTGTGTGAAGATATGAGGTGTCAACCAGAAATTGGGGCCTGTATGGTACAAATAAAGGATCATCTATATTGGTAAATACCTTCAGTGAAATTTATGGATAACTTCATTCTCCGTATCATATGGCTGTCTGTCTCTAGGCAATCTCATGAGTTGTATTACATTATCCTCTACCGCTCTACCGAGGTAATTTCCAGGCGTTCTAAAGATGGTGTCAGGTGATTCTCTCAAACAGAAGAGGAAGGCACAACCCAGCCCTAGAGGGTCCTTCCTAATTGGGAAGGGATTCGTCACCTACCCCAGTTTCCTTAAGGGCAGGGTATAAATACCCCCCTTCTGTAATTTCTCTCTTCTTTTTTCTTCCTCATACACATTTCCTCTTTCGTCTCATTTTTGTCTGGACCATGACTTCCATATCTTGGCACCCCCACCATGACCTGCCTCTATGCCTACTTCCATGACAACTTCTATGAAGACTTGCCTCCATTATGAGCTTCCACCATGACCCTCATCTATTATGACCACTATGGTGACCACCTTCTCTTGTGACAATGACCACCATCCATCGTGAACATCACGACAACCTTCAACTACGGCAACCATCTGTCATGGGCCTTCCGTCATGGCGTACTTCCATAATGGCCTTGACAACCTTCAACAATCATGGCGACCTTTCATCGCGACAACTTTCTGCCATCATTTTTTGTAGTGTCTATCCATGCATTTAACAAAGTAGACCTGGCTGATTCGTTTCTAGTAACTCCTATACCCCCACTCCTACCGCCCCCCCCCAATTCTCCCCCTCCCCTCATAACAATCCAGCAGCCAGAAACCGTTCTGGTCGACAGGCTTGCAGTGGAAGCACTCCGGCCGGTAGTTTGAATGCTAGCCATCATAGGTTGCCTCGAGGCAAATCAACAACCGGGCGTGGCTTCGCAAAGCGACTCAGACGGCAACAGCTGTTCGCATGCTGTATAAATGAATGTCGACAGTTTTGCAGTGGAAGCACTCCGGCCGGTAGTTTAAATGTTACCCACTGCAATTCTCTAGCAACTGAGCGTGGCCTCGTAAAGCGACTCAGACAGCAAGCTTATGGTGAAAGCACTCCGGCCGGTAGTTTAAATGCTACTCACCATAAGTTGCCTCGGGGCAAACCAACAACCGGGCGTGGCTTCGCAAAGCGACCCGGCGGATATCTTCTCGCCAGCTGTCGCGAAGGAACGAATCCGGATAACTCTTATGCCTAACATCTTCCCATTCCCCATTTCCCCCTTCCCACCTCCCACTTCACTTTTCGCAATTCCAACCTTATGCTCAAACGCTCCCCCACAAGCCGGTCGGTATCCACAAACCACAAAATAATCTGCATCAACTGCGACAGCCAAGACCTGCAACCTGGATTCACCTTTTAAATCTTCTTGATCGGTCAACTATCTGCATCTCAACATCAATCCTTGCGGTCTCACAGCCACACAGCCACACAATCTCTCCAGTACCAACTGTCATGGTCATGGTCATTGTCACACCCACCTGGACGGATAGAGTGGTTTCGCAAAGTTGAGAAACAAGACAAAAACAATATAACGCAGCTGCCCCTTGATCTGTCCGATCTGGTTACCTTTTATCAATACAACTATCCATCCACATCTGCTAAAGCCTCTCAACCCTGTTGATGCTGCATCCATCGATAGAGTATTGCTATCTAGCAAAGCCTCTCGATTCACCATATTGACACTTCAGCCAATGTGACCAAGGTCTTTATTTCCATTATCACCAGGGACCACATTGTGCGGGAACTTTGAGCATCATTTTCCATCTACTTAATATCAATGCATTTTTTTTCCCGTTCCATGCTTTCTTAGTTAGGTACACTGGACTTTATAATTGCCTATCCGTAAATCTGGATAAAATACAAACAAAGATGGAAGGCTACAGTTTGAATAGGCAGCTTTTATTTTCTGCGAACAAGGCATAGGCTAGCTATTAATATATACATAGGCAACTGCTGCATGTAGTAGAGTTGAAGGTCTCTCTAGTACCTTGAAACCCATGTATCTGTTGCTGGTGATCAGCTATGTACACAATGCAGTGTTGATGGGTCTCGGCTTGTTCTGATTTATACAATAATAAGAAAATATTTGTACAGTATGAAAGCTCTCAAAGCTCTTCTCCCTCCAGAGCAAACCTATTTTAGTCCTGAACTCATTATTCACACTATCTACGAACATACCTCTCCCGCACCGGGTCACCCTCATGAGAATGAACAACCCAATTCCCAATTCCAGAAGCACCACCCGTATCCCCCTTACGGTCTGACCAACCAAAAATCAAATTGTCAGGACGATAAGACGGGTCCGACTTCATACGCTGGATAGCAGAAACATGAATTTGGGCATTCACAGGAATGTCACGGGCTCGACCACGCGGCAGCGGCCATCGTACAGCCTTCCACGCTCCATCAGGCTGTGCTTCCATCCTTCGCAAAGGAAGATACTCCATCAGGCGCCACGAGAGGACGGAAGTCAGCGAAAGACCGTTACCAAACGCAAGGAGATCATGAATATGCCCTTTTGTGCCAGCCAGGTCAAGGGCCTCTAAGTAATCATTGTGAGATTTAGGCAATTCCGAGCTCCAGACGTCCCTCTTCGAGTTCGACGCGACTTTCAAATCAGAATCAGAATCAAATTCCTCGATGCACTCGTGTTGTTTCAGCTTTCTCGGATCGAGTCGCAGTCCTGCGCGCCGCGCCTCTTGTACCATCCACACGAGAGGCGCGTGTGTCAATGGCCATGCCTCGCTAGATTCGAGATTCCATCCGCCGCCAATATCTGCGTGGCCACCTGGAAACCACATTTCTTCGATGTCCTGCATTCCGTCGTCTTCTTCGTCGTCGTCATCCATTTCTATCTCCCGTTTCTTGCTTGGTTCGCTGATGTTTGGGATTTCTGGAAGAACAGGAGGCCCAGATATGTACTCGGAGTCATTGATCAAGGTCTTCTTTGCAGGCCTCTTTTCATCTGAAGGGGTTTCACCAACCCATTCATCTTTCTGCGACCGCAGCAAAACTGGGCGGAACTTGATACGCCGTTCATCAATGCTAACCGCATGTCGAACTACCTTGGTCGAGGTCATTCCATCAACATTAACCTCAAAATCCGCGATACTATTAACTGCATCGAACATGCCCAAGAAATGCACACGAGCCATAGGCCGTGACAATATCTCCCGACTGTCTTTCATGACTTGAAAAGCCTTCCGCTTCGCTTCTCTGTCATTATCCGTCCGGCAAAGCTTCCATGATACAAACGCATCCCAGATAAATGGCACCACTTCTTCGTTATCTGGGCCGAGAAGTCCGACATAATCAAGCATCTCATTCAAGAACCGGGCCGTGTATGCGCCACGTGAGAAGCCAAAAATATACACCCTGGAGCCGGTTTGATAATGCCGCATGAGGAAGCGATACCCACCAAGAACGTGCTGATCGAAGGAGCGACCCAGGGCGAGATTGAGCACTTTGTTATTGCTTTGTTTGCCCTTCTTTCGGATCATCGTGCTGGCCAGGGATCCTGGGGTTATGTCGGTGCCGATTCCCGCTGCTTAGGGTTAATATCCTTGTTTTTATCTGGTAGATACGCTCATACGTTGGTAGTAACATACTGGCTTGCGGTTAGAAGACTTGTTTCAGTGCCATAAAGGAGGTAAATCTTACATTGCTCGTCGGACTTTTCTAACATCCGACAGATTCTTAAGACATTGGTGTCCGTGCCATCCGTGCGAAATGTGTTTCCTGTGCCATCGAAGCACAAGACAATTTGTCGAGCACTCATTTTGCAGTCTACTCTCAAATCCCGGAGGGGATTCCTTTGGTAAGGTTGGGGAAACTCGCATTTATATGTGCTTGAGGCGTTGGCTAGCGTCTGGTCCGCTTTGTATTTCCCCACTCATTGGTATACTACGGCGACGATCGTGCCGATCTTCATCAGTTGAGGAACCATCGAGTTGGCAAACATGCCAAGCGGGGGTTGGTGGGCACTAGTTCGCCAAATGGGGTACTGTGCAGTTGATCTACACGCTCCATTGCTTGTCGAGCTTTGTGCCTCAGTCGGTGGCTACTTGGCGTGTGATCAGTCTCACTCACAATAGTGCAATATTGCAGTATAGCATATCCTGAGAAGCAGTTACCCCTTTTCTTTGTTCGGCAGAAGGATGGCCTATATCAAATGAAGGTACTCCGTACAGAGTGCTCCGTATACGGAGCACCAAAGAAATCAATGCTGCGTTCTTCCCTTGACCTAAGGTGTCTTTTCCACAGTTTAGTTATCAATAGAAGTCCGCCCACAGTATACATGTTAATGTTGGTATACTGGTAGACTCACCGTCTCATTGAGTTGATGTCAGATGTCCGTCTTTGAGTCTATTTTGGTCTTCTTAACCACGGTCAGAAATATACACTCCTTACTTCATAGTACATTCTACTCAAGCCAAAATAGGCGTGTTTTCCCTTTGAGGTTTAGGTATATGAGATCGAAAGAGAAATAGGGCAAATGTATCATGTGACTGTTCCACGTTTTAGGCAGGTACGGTGTAGACCTAGACACATATCTTAATACTTCTCAGGATTGTTAAGCTTCTCTGCCATTTCCACTTCCACCTCAAAAACTAGAAGTGGGGTTCAATTTGAGCCTCCAGCAGACCCAGTGTGTCAGCTTTTAGCTTCTCTAGCCCGATTCGATGCAGGATGAGGCAAGAATCTGCTAAAACCGAGCAGATATGGACCCCTCATCGGGGCCCTTGTTAACTGGGCCACAAAATCTTGGCTTTGCTGGCCGCTCATCATGAAGATCTGGCGAACTGAGTGATTATGAGTGGTTCATCTCATGTTTGCACCTCTCTTTCGTACATTTTCTCGAGATTTTTTGAGAGTTAGTCATTGCTGTTTATACTCTTTGTGCTTTTATAACTGACTCCAATAGTCTCCCCATCCATATCCCATATGGAAAACCACACGAAAATCCTTACGTCGAGTGTACCCGGCCACACCTCAGAAGGGAGGAATGGGGGTACCGAGATACAAATGAAAAGATTTTGGGGCCAGCACGAGGTCCCAAACGGCCAATTTAGGGCCCGAGCCCGGAAAGCCTGCCCCTTGGATGGACAAGCAACCTTTATTTTTAACGACTGTTTTGTATTTATCAAGCGAAAGCCTGCCGACAGGCGTAGGTTTTGCTCTTAAGGGGAGCATTCACTGTGGGATTGTGAAGAGGATTCAGTATTGACGAAAAGTGAAGAGACAGATAAATGCCATCTCTGAACATCTTCTATTTATGCGGTATCTTGATCTATTCTTTTGCGGCCGATCGTCGCTACTTCTTTTGTTCTAACAGGGGGATGAAAAAGGACCAGTGATACATCAAAGAGAGACCTTGTGGGACAGAAGTGAATCATCTTCGAGGAGCACCCAGTTGTCACCAAGATGGACATCCTGTTACAATTTCTTGGCACTGTCTGGGTCCATATGCTACATATTCGGAACATTCTTTTTTGAAGAACAGTCAATGTAGGTATCACATACGCCAGTGTGCCAGACATCATAATAATATCGAACCCGGACTCACAAGAAGTGACCCCCAGGAGCTGCATGTTGTCAGGTCACCTTTTTGTGACGGGCCTGAAGTGTGGCCGTGGCAGCTTGACACGAAGCACCATTTTACTAAGGCCCCAGTGACAAATATGCAGACATAGATGTTCACAGTCACACCAGCACTACGGGGCACGTGGAGGTGATTTGTGATTACACCTTATGATATGTCTTATCCACCCTAAGGCATCTTGGGTTCAACTCCCAAACTGCAACTCGTGTTTGGAAGTATTGGATCGACTTGTCATCAGGGCGTTACCATGGTGTACCGTTCATCGATGTCGTTGAAGGCATTACGACTCCCTTGGTTTCTAGATGAAGATTTCCGATGGTTGCACTACATGAATTTGTATAGCAGTAGCTAGTTTCAAGTTACCATTATTGTTTCTTTTAAACTACCCAGATTCATTTATATAGAATGGCAATATAGGTCAGACAACAGGTGGATCAGAGTTTTATCTAAAGTACAGACCCACTAGACTTCTATAGCACATCTTCTTTACTACATTTTTGTATTTGGAAGGGTTTTAATGGTTATGATTGAGATATTGGTATCACTAGAAATGATCAGTAGATGTAATGGAAATAAGAAACGAAAGTTAGAACGGTCCAGCGACCAAAAATGTGTTGTCTGCCCAGCAGACGATGCCAACACAGTGCCATAACAAAAACGCCTCGCCAATGACTCTCTTATGAAAGCATAGAATCACCTTGTCCTTAAATATGAGAGTGGATGCAAGATCGAGTAAGGGGAGTAAAAAAAAAAGGTTGATATATGTGCAAGAACAATCCAAGGGGAAAGAAAGTGGCTGAAAAACAAAGTAAAGAAGATCAATCGAAGATGTATTGCACCCCATTGCATGAAGACTGGAACGCTTTGAGAAGCTTGTTCACACGAGGCCTAATCCAACCAGACTGCGTTCCATTGGTAGCAACGCCTGCAAAAGTAGTAGAAGCATGTTTACAAACACCCTGAGTGTGATCAAACGAATACTGCAAGCAGTCCTCATTACGCGCGCAGACCTCAGCACAAATATCCACTGTAGGAATTGTGCCAGCTGCGAAATCAATCTTGACCTGAGAGAGGTTATCCCAGTCGTTGCGCGCCGAGAAAGTCCCATCGTAGACAAGTTTCTGGTAAACGTCCGCATGCAACATGAGCGCGTTCTTGCCACTAGCAAAGAACGCCTGGTCAAACTCCCACATCTCCTCGATATCCTTCGGCGCCATGTGATGGTACGAGATAACTGGGTAACACCACGGCTGTCGCCCGTATCCCTCGGAGAAATGGTCGATTTCCCATGGCCGTGACGTCATCATCATTGGCCAGGCCCAAGTCAGATCGACTTGCACGTCGTGTAACGCTCGCGCCAGCACGCAGTCGCCTGCCCATTCGCGCGCGGTCATCACTTCGAGATCTTCCTTTGCCCGCATTTGATAGTCATGTAGGAGGTTCATTGTCCAGCTTGAGAGGACGATGCCCGCTCCGCCGTAGCCGAAGAGTGTCTCGCCGATTTGCATCGGGCTGCCCAGGTAGTATTGCCGATCTGGATCGAGGTGGCCCAGCCAACTGATCAGGTTCGGCCATACGACGTATGTGTCGGCTTCGAGGAAGACGTACCACTTAGCGTCGGGCATTACTTCTAGTGCTTCTTCAACCATTGGGAGGAATTTCCATTTGTCGAGCTTCCAGCCAGGGTTGTTGACTTTGCCTAGTGGACCGTTTGTGTCGTCGCCCCATTCTGCGTCTGTCAGGCCTTCGCGTCCGACTTCTTTTAGACGGCGGTAGATGTTAAATTCGGGCTCTTTTTGCATCGTTGTATCGCTGACATTGCGAAGGACGTCATATGTGCGGACGCCCTCGATAGTTTCTTCGTAGTCTGAGAATATGGCGAAGTGTGGGACGCATTGCAGCGTAGTGCGGAGATGGATGGGGACTTTTTCGAGGGATTCGGTCGCGCCGGTTTTGATTACGATCATGACATCGTCGAGTGCGTGTAGTAAGCGGCCACATTTATCCTCCACTGTCTCCTCTTTGGGAGGGGGAGGGGGAGGAGGACTGCTCTCGTGCTTCTCCCCTACCACAATTGTTTCCTCTCCAGCTTGAGGGAATTGTTCTGAGTTGTTCACGATTATTGGGTTGGATTCAGGCAGTCGAAAAAGATAGTATATCATGCAAAATGTAAGGATCGGAAAGACGATAAAGAGCCATCGTCGCGGAGAACTAGACATGGTAGTATAGTTTTGGCACTCGAGGAAAATCTAAAAATCAGAGAGGAACTGAGGCCATTCAGTTAACGAAAGTAGGGAGGACAAGAAGAGACTGAAAAGATTGAAACAAATGCTTCATAGCACGCAAGGAAAGAAAAAAGGGTCAGTGATCGCTGTCCCTGAGTCAAACCAGTTCGACCTCGGCGTCAACGGACAATCCATGGACCGACAGAACAGGCTTCATGATTCGGTCGAACCTCTGAACGGGGTAAACTAGGGAGCTTTGATAGGTCAATCGACAAGTTCATTGGGGACTGATCAACGACCACGCGGCACAGGTAACTAGGCTGTGGCGTATTTCAGACCGCTGCCCCACGGGCAGCGTCATCACCTGCGGGACTTTGCATCGCGAGGCAATGATCGACTGTGTAGAGTGTGTTAGTGGGGGAGAGTTTTAGGAGGTTGATCACATCAGGGGTATCACAAGCACCAAGTTTGAGATTGATGTCTATTAATCTCCAATAATGCAGCCACGGCGTTTAAAAATTAAGCATGAAACGGGGCGTCCAGTGGGCGGACCTGTTTGGACCCTGCGAGATCGGCTGATTGCCTTGTTTCAGCCTGAGACATGAGGCATGAATCACGTGCGTTTCAGAGCTTGAGCACGGACTTATCTGGGACTGAGGTTCCTGTTGATCAACATTGAACTCATATTGTCTGGGTTAAAGATACAAATAATAAATAGATACAATCCAATCCAATCCAATCATCACACATAATACAATTATCTACACCGCACAATTCAAACATCGACTTCAGCATCAGCATCAGTATCGGCATCAACCCTCAACCGCTTTTTCCGTTCCCATAAAAACACAGGAGTGATAGTCAAAGCAACAGCCAAACACACAATCGCAGCCTGGATACCGAAAACTAGTCCGAGCCCATTGCTCTGGATCCACGCAGGCTGGAAGTATCCCACTGCAAATCCACCGCAGGTGCGCCACATATTCAGAATGGCCGAGACACAGGTCGCCTGCTGCGGGTATTTTTCCAATGCATAGGCCGAGATGGCACTGAGCAATGTTAGAGATACAACACAATACTCAACAGAACGAAGTTGGAACTTACACAATTGTGGCTACCATGCCGATGTTCACCATGATCCACCCAATAGCTATCCCAATCCAGTGTTTACCGAAGTTCATAGTTAGTCCATAGGTAAGGAGACCGCACGCCATACTACCTATGGGGAACCAGACGCCGTGGAGACGGAGCTCGGTTCGCCAGGTTGAGCTATGGTGCTTGAAGATCCAGCCGTTAAAGAAGTGGCCAAATGCCCAGCCTAGGAGAATCGTGAGAATCTAGAGATATAGGGAGCGGTGAGGATGCATACCACATAAAGCTCCTATGACGCCAGCGAATCGCATCGATGATGCCTCGATCGTATCAAACAAGTACGGAGGGCTGTGCAGGAAGGTATCGATGGTGGTTGTGATTCCTGAAGAGTCAGCGGGTGAAAGAACGGTGATGATGATGAATACTTACCAATTGGCCAGGTAAATGTTACCAAAATAGCGATGCCTATTGAAAGAAAATTGATCAGTGGATGCTATCGCAAGCTAGATTGGCTATACCCACCGGTCATGAACAACGGGAACTCGAACACATAGACCACGACTGTTCGACTCCAATATTTCAACGTTGATCCCTTGGGAAGCAGGGTATTGCCAATGCCAAAATAAGATGCCAGGCGCGACTGCTTAGTCGTTCGTCCGGGCTCATGGTATGTCTCATAGCCGAAGAGGATGACCATGGCTGTGGACACGCCATAGATGGCTGTTAGGACTCCGAAGGAGGTGCGCCAGTCTGACCCGGCGCTGATGTATCCTGCTATCACAGGACCGAGGAATGGTCCGACGAGGAAGGTGGTGCCCCTATTCTCAGTCAGTGCTACTCTAGCTAAACTTGAGTGGCAAGTCTCCTACCAAATATTGATCATCCGCGGCCATTCTGTTGTCGGATCAGCATAAAGCACTCAATGCAATACCGGAGAAAGGACTTACCATCCGAGGTATACATATCATGAATGATCGGAAGCCCGATTACCTGAGGCACAGTCCCAAACAGACCCTGCAAAGAACGGAACGTTGTAAAGGTAGACCAATCATTGGAGAGGGTAGCACCCAGCACCATGAACATGGTGATCATCTGAGGCCACAGCCAGATTGGCAAACTACAAATTACGTGCAGCTGTCAGTGTAAGAGCCAACGCATGTGAAAATTGAAGCAACTCACCGACCATACGCTTCAATAAGCGGGACGGCAAAAATTCCTCCAAACCCTTGCAACAGAATGCCATAATTCATACTCGTCGCCGAATGAGCGATCGAAATATTCCAATCCATGGCCTGCTCCGTGACCAGCGTCCCACCCCAGACCATAGCCCTGCAAGAGATTCGTCAGAAAATCATCTATGCATACACCTCTGCGATGGCAGCCGCGATTGATTTCGCGATCAATTGGCCATACATACCCATCTGCCAACAACGAGCTCGTCATCAGCGATAAAAAGAGCATCGTCTTTCGCGCCGAGGACCAATTCCTCGGGTTCAAGGGATCCCTGGCCTCAGCATCCGAGTCTGAATCGCATTCCTTCACTTCCTCTGCCCCAAGCGACGACGACGCACTAATTGCCATCTCGTCTGTAAAGTAGACCGGCGAAGGTTTCTCCATGGTAAAAACATTCATCTTTTTTACCTGCATTCTGTATAGTGTAGGGGCCAAGCTTGAAACAGCGGATTGGTGTCAGATAAGGAGGTAAATAAAGATCTTTTTCTTTTCTGACTGGGCAATGTAGATTTTATTCATGACCGGTTTTTACGCATGCAGATTCCCGCGTGGTTTTTGTCTTACAGGGAGATTTTAAAAACTAGTTAGGGAGTTGGAGAGATCAGACATCCATTTTTCCGATTTGGATCTGTTGAAATTCTCCGAAATCTACAGTAGATAGTGGATGTATCACAAAGGTAACATTGGGGCTGGTAAAAAAAATTCCTTGACTCAGTTGCCTTTGAGTTTAGTATTCTCTAGTTATTGGACTCTTCTATTCGCCCATCTACTCTGATTGGCTATACTTCTTTACTCTTTGCATCGTATTTCCATGACATCGCTGTGTCTTGGTTCGATATCCCTTGCGCATACCTAACCTACACATATTGGACCAATGATCTTTGGCGGAGCACACTAATCCCATACTAATAATGGATCTGGGATTATTGTATTGTAATCTGTTAGTATTCTACATATCCTGAATTATCTATCGCGTACTCCCCACTCCGTACTTATTCTCTCATATTGCACCGGAATTCGTGCCGGATCCCGTATGTACTATAATAGTATTTAAATCAAAGTAATGAAGAGTAAACAAACACACTAACACTTCCCTGACTTCCTTATCATCCTCATACTCAAACACCTTCCATCCCCAATTCCCAATGTCCTTTCTAACCCGCCTAGCCAGCTTACTAGGCCTATCATCCCCGGCCCCTGTTGCACCCCCAGGCGCTGCCCTCGCAGCAACCGTCACAGTAGTGAGGATGAGCACCCCATCAGACAAGTCTTCTGTCTAATTTAGTCACAGCCTGCATCCTTGGGATTCGTCCCAGTCGCAATTCACTTTGACCTCTTCGGTATCCTCGTAAATCATGGCGGACCCGCCACGGCTGATGAAGTTTCGGCGACCTGCAATGCACATATTAAAGCCCGAGGAAAAGATGAGCCCGAGCTGAGTACGTGTTTGGGTTTGGAGCCGATGGCTATTATACTAACGATAGGTATAGGTACCAGATTAGCCTGTAAGCACACCTGAGCTGTATGCTCGTATAGGTACAAGCAGTATATCAATATTAATACCCTTCAGCGGACACACTCTACATTATGGCCGGACTCGGTCTAGTCGAACTCGTGGCCCAGGACTTATTCACGGCAAATCCCATCACAAACCACATGGTTGCCATGCCGTCTGCCCAGCATGGCGCACTGCACTTGTCAGTTCCCCCATGCGTATGATATATCATGATGTCTAGTTTCTATTTTAAAAACTACACAATGGTTCATGCACTAACCCCGCCCAGCACTACCGAAGGCCTAATGGCCGCTGCATTCCTGATGAAGAAGCTCCAGGACACCCGCTTTGCATATCCCTTCGCCGACGCAGACGGCCCGTTGCAATATGCCTATCGGCTAATGGGGGAATCCAAGCTTGCAGATCAGCATACGTACTCGATCATGGAGACCCAGGGTCGCATGGATAGTTTCAACCATTTCATGGTCGGCAAGTTCTTGAAGTTCGGGACCTTCCCCGAGCGTGTCAAGTCGATGGGTTATGATTTAGATGTTGCATTATCTAGTTGCACTGCTACTGGCTCTGCTACTATGGTTGACATCGGCGGCGGTCGTGGCGAGCTCCTCCTTGAGGTCCAGGCTGCATACCCGCATCTCGGCGCAGAGGATCTAATCGTGCAGGAATTCAATGCCGATATTGATGACGTGCCTGGTGTGCATCTCATGAATTGGAATTACAAGGAAGAGGCTGAACAACCCATTCGTGGTGCCCGTGTTTATGCGCTGCAGCATATCCTGCATAACTTGCCCGATTTGGATGCTGTAGCGTTGTTACAGAAAATTTCGCGTGCTATGGCACCTGATTCGCGACTATTGATTATTGAGTATGCGAAGAATTTAACTTATACTTCGCTACATGCGAGTATGATTGCCTTGTATGGGGGACGAGAAAGGAGTTCGGTTGAGTGGAGGCAAATGGCGGGTTTGGCTGGGTTAGAAGTAACCTTCGAGGCTTATGTTAGAGCTGGAGAGTCATTGGTTGAGATGAGGAGGATATTCCAGGGCTGAGGGAACAGATTAAGTAATTAATCAATGTTAATTGTGATATATCGTTTCTGCCACTATACAAATTGTACAGATCACATCCCATCTACCCGACGTCGATAGCTTCGCTTAACCGAAGTTTTTAGTTTTACTCCCTCGATCATAGGATTGCAGATCCTTGCATATTGAATTTAAAAGTTTATCGACCCATCAATTCCACATGGATATGTATTTTTGTTTTCTCATTCCTCGTCACATTTTTTGCTGCAACACGCATGGCCACCACATGCTTTCTATGCCCTTCTCTGCCGGCAATTTCACCGGTATCTGCCAACACGATCGAGTTCGCATTCCACAACGGGCGGATTGGCCATGCAAGTTCGACACCTGTCATAACTAGGCCTGCATGACCACGTACCCTGGACTTCATACTGCCTCGTCCAACGCACAGCTCGTTTCACTTGACCTTGGTTGTTTTTTCTGTGTGAATCCCTAGTTTGCAATATATCCCTTGTTTCCTATTGTTTAGCTTTTCATTATTACTATATACCCCTTTCGGGATAGACGAGTGTCTATGCAGGGTTCTGACCTGTAAATCAGTTTGGGAGTTTTTAGCCTGACCTCCATTTCTGACAAACTTCAAGGGCAAGTTAGACGCTTTGCTCTGCTAGTCTTTAATCCTGGCTTAGGCTTAGATTCTGTATTTTTATTTCTGATTCATCGGATCAACCCTGTGCACCCCTCTCGTCTCGTTGTCAATGCCAACGACTATATGAATTGGCTCCCTTCGCTGTAATCCAGTTAATCATTGTTTTTCATCTTCATCATGGATATTCCGAAACCTTCCGAGGGCGATGTTAACGTTGGTATGTTTATCTCACGACAAATGCCAAGCAAATTAACGTAGAGGACTGTGGATTGACATGTTTAATAGGAACCGGCACATTTCAGGCTTGCTGGGTATGCTATCAATCCTCTATAGACTGCCTCTGCATATGATATGTGTATTTTAATACTCGAGCAGGTCCTCACATCCATCGTCGGCGTGGCATTGTTGTTCCGCTATACCATCAAGATCTGGGTGCGCTGGGCTTTGCCGCAGGTCACCGCACCCGGTCGAATATGGGGAATAGAAGATTTGTTCTTCCTCGTGGCTTGGGGTTTTGATCTTACCCATATGATACTTATTCAATGGAGGTAAAACATCGACTTTTACGATTGCTTGGAGGCCAATCATTAACTCTGTCCAGTTCCAATTGGGGTCTCGGAAGGCATTTCTTCTACTTGACTGGCGAAGAGCGTCTTAATGCTATGAAATGGGACTTCCTTTCACAGCCGATGGCTGTCACCTCAGCGATGATCTCGCGCACAGGCATGATGTGGTTTCTTTTGACTTGCTTTTCGGCGAGCGACAAGAAAATTCGCAAATCTATCATTCTCTGTGCTGTTGTTCAGATCGTCGTCAATGTGGTTACAATCGTCCAAATTATTGTCCAGTGTGGACCAAACCCATATAAAACGGTCAGTATTCTCCTTCTTAGTTCTCGATCTATTCTAATCTCATCACAGACTGACCGAGTAAAATATTTCCACTATATGTGGACACCGCTGCCTGAAGATGGCTCCGTCAAGTGCCAATCTCCGATGGTCCAGACGACTATCGGCTTTGTGCAAGGCGGTATGTAAGATGACCATACCTCAGTTCAGCTCAAATCTAATTGCAATTTTCATAGGATTCAACACCGTTATCGATTTCTTCCTTGCCGTGCTCGCTGCAGTCGAACTCTGGCAATTCTTCCTGCGAACCCTTCATCGTAATCCAAACATGACATTCTGGTCCCAATTCCGCAAAATCAGTAGCAGCGTCCGATCCCGTCGGATCTGGCAGACTATCACTCTCAGTGGACCACTGATCCTGTCCGGTTGCGCTTCTATTGTAAAGACCTACGTGGGTAGACTATCTTTCCCGACTCATACAGCCACACTAATCTTATTCACCAGAAACTGAAATCCATCGGTGATAGACAGGACTTCACCTATAACATCGTGACCTTCGTTCTCTGGGTAAAGTAAGTACAACCACCATCTCCCAGCCCTAATCTTATTAACTAGCAACCCAACTCCAGAATCGAAAACTACAGCATTCTCCTCGCCTCCTGCGCTCCAGTAGCCCGCCTCTTCCTGCGCTCCTTCGTCGACCACAGACGCGAAGGCCGTACTCATGGCTACTGGTCTCGCTCCCGGTCAACGGGCCACAACGAACCTGACACAGAGCTGAAGTCCCGCACTAATGCAAAGGGGGAATGGCTGGATTCGGCTACAGCGACCAATACTTGTATTAACGATGAGGAGAATCCAGCCACTCGGTGGGGTGGACATGAGCATGAGCACTCAAGTAGTAAGGCTTCGAAGGCGAAGATGCCGGAACATCCCGATGATGGCTTCGTTACTGTTAAGACGGATATTGTTGTTCAGGTTGATGATGGGAGGTCGACTTCTCCGGGTGGGACGAGATTGTTACCTGAGGGGGGTGAGACTCGTGCGGGGTTACATTGATATTATGAGTTGATTTACAACGGGGGAGGTTGGAAGAAATTAATGTCATGGCATATAGATTTCTGGCATATAATATGGCCTTGAGACTTTTTACCTTGCTACTCTATACAAGACCCAAGAACTATACGGAGTACTAGCCGACAAATTAAACTATTGTATACTTCATCTCATAAGCACTAACTCTGCCAAGTATTTGAGCCCACGACGCTACTTACAACATTCCCATTAGCATCTCAATAACATTCACTAATTTGAGCTACCAAAATTCAAACCAAAAATCATATATAAACGCCATTCACCATGCATATCCCAACAGAGATCCAGCTTGAAATAATGCAAGCTGTGGTAGGCACCCTCCCAATTCATAATGTAGTCAACCTAAGACTTGTCAACAGTACGCCAAGAATATATCTCTCCCTCTCTCTCCCACACAACCCAATTAACCAAAGCTAACAGGTATATTCGACTCCGAGATAATGACCCGACTTATCCACAGCCCGCGTCTGGAAAGTGACGGCTTTGGATTCCGACAGCGTCTTCGAGGTTACTACGGCCATCTCCCCGGCGAACCCAGCCTCTGGTGGTTCAAGTTCCCGCACCGGTGTTAATTCGAGTACCTGCATGAGAAAGTTAACAGACACCTGCGCGACCAGTGTTTCTTTACCATGTACGTTCAGGAGTTACTTAGGGTGTCGCATGGGCCGCGCACCACAAAGAAGAAATGGATGCTCGTTGATAAGTTGATTGAGACTTGGCTGTGCGGGAAGTATTCCTGCGTTCGCAATTACCTAGATCCGGCTCTCTTTTCGGATCCTTTGGAGAATGACCGATTCTGGGAATGGATAGGCAATGCTAGGCGCTGGTGGGGGACACTCGATGAAATGCTGCTGATTGCTTTGGCGACTTGTGCTATTGTCAGGGGTGATGTGGTCGGATTACAGGCTGTTATAGACCAGTGCAAGGAAATGCCGGAGATTCGTTCTGTCGAATTTTTGGAGAATAAGGGTGGTTGATTTGGTGATATTTGTCCATTACAGGTTGCTGCTAGGTATGCATCGGCGGATATTGCTATGGTGTTGGTTAGGAATAACTGCGGTATGTATTTTTATGTCTCGCACTTTAAGCGCAGGGGTTTGTTGTCTGTGGCGGCACGCAGCGAGAATTGGGAGGGGCGGAGGGTTTTGATTGATCATATTAAGAAATCTGAGCCTCGTTGGATTGATTGGCTGGGTGGCGTTGTTAGAGATGGGATTCGAAATGGGAAGCTAGATAGGGTGAAGTTTATTGAACAGGCGTCCGGTCATGACCTCGGCAAGTTCAAGGCTGAGGCATTGTTCGGATCTTTCCAAATGGCTGTCGCCAGGAACGACCTCAGTATGCCACAGGAACTGCTTGATCGAGGCGGTTTCAATATCAATATAAAAACCGAGCAGTGTCCATACGGTGCATTGCTTGCGGCTTTGTCTAACAAGCGTGCCAGTCTGCCGATTATCAACCTGCTTCTGGCAAATGGCGCTGATTCAAACGAATACCACTTAAGAACAGACAGACTACCCTTGCATGTTGCGGTCAAGAGTGCAAATGTTGAATTGGTGAAGCTGCTAGTGGACTACGGTTCCAATATCTACGAGGCGTCCCTTATTCCTACGAGGAAAGGCATGCTACCCTTGTTACTTTCCGCAGCCCAGACAGGGTCTATTCCATTGGTAAAATTCCTTCTCGAGAATGGGCTAGATGTTTCTTTCGTGTGGAAAGGCAAACGGTGGGAGATGAGGGAGGTTACGGTGCCGGTGGCGGAGAACGAGAAAGTCTGCCATCTGATCGCACGGGGTGGGGAGGCATATGAAGTATATGTCCTTGCCATACAATCAACTGATAAGTGAAAGGTCCATATTGGTACGGAGGTATAATATTATAAACTTATACTCTGTACAATGTTATAATATAGGCCCGTGCTCTGATTTGGTCCATTAGGGGATTTGGGCACTTGCTGTCGTATATTTAACAAGAGCCTGTGGTGAAGGTGCAAGCGAATGACAGTCCCTGTCATAGTTTAGTGATGATAGGCTGTATTGGAATATTAGAGAAGGGAAAGGTTGAATATGGTTGATACTGCATGGTTGCGTCCGATATATATATATATAGAGCGTAGGCCAGGAATGATGCTAAGCAACCCAGTGTATGATGGCCCCTGTTCGACCGATCAAGCCAGATCACCCAATGGCCTAAACTTATGGAGAATGAAGTACTATAAAATGATTAAAAGCAATACCGCCAATATACATAGATTTAGAGAGAATATAGTTAGTAGTCATTCAGTACACTTCTGAAAAAGTGCCACATAGTACCATCTTTCGCCTCCCCATTCATCAATTGGCCTGAGTGGTCGAACAGTTTCCTGGTCTAGCGGTTATGATTTTCCGTTAACAAATACAACTAGTATATGTTCCGGAAAGGTTCTGGGTTCGATTCCCAGGGAAACTATTTTTTGTAGTTTTGCTATTTAAATATTAGCCGAAGTACCTCACTCTTTTATGTTATTTAGCCTCAAACAAACATCAAACAGTTTCCTGGTCTAGCGGTTATGATTTTCCGTTAACAAGTGCGATCAGCACGTGTTCCGGAAAGGTTCTGGGTTCGATTCCCAGGGAAACTATTTTTGTACTTTTGCTATCTAAATGTTAGTAGAGGTACTTACCTCTTTTTCGTTTTATTATCACCACCAATGAAATGTTTCTTTTCCCCTAGGTTAATAATTTTTTTAATACTACACTATCAGTTCAAGCTGCTAGTATATCAAATCATTTTAATACATCTATCGATTAAAACCGACAAAAAGGGTTGCTGATCAGGCATAGTACGTACCATTGCAGTAAAAAGACGAAAGACGCTATAAAAATGAACAACATGAGATAGTCCTAGAAAGGGCGAACTTGTTCTCCGTCCACATACATAGCATTGTATTTTACCAGAGTTTCGAAGTTTCTTCTATTTCTTGGTTATTATGTGGTTCAAAAACGAAAACACAAAAAAGAAATGCTCACACTCGGAATCGAACCGAGGATCTCATCATTACTAGTGATGCGCTTTACCGCTAAGCCATGCGAGCTGTTGATGTATGGAGTTGGGCCATATGGAACTATGATCCAGAAACCAGGACAAAGCAAAGTTTCCCACGGCTGATCGAACTTTGAAGAGTGGTGGGCCTCCCCGCATTATATTGTGAAAGTTATGTACTTTGTACATCAAGTCATGAAATATCAAATTCCAATTAACATCCCAAATCTCAAAATACATTATCACCGATGACATAACCGTCACGTGCGTCTATCCTAATCCCTACTGCGCCATCAACAGCTTCACCTCCAAACAATGTCGCCCAAAAAACCAGCCTTCCCTTACCGGCGGAGCTCCAATGCCTCGGAAGCTGACTTTTTCGATATCCCGGACGAACCATTTTTCTCCATAGTCAAGCGCCAGCTACGACATATTCGAACATGGGTTGCAGTTGCCCTTATTGTCCTGTTTATCCTGTGGCAACGCCGTGAACCTTCGCTGCCGCCGCCCCTACCACATATTCACTACGACGAAGTTGACTGGTCGCGCTTTGCCTATACCCAGTATGCAACGAACGAGGTCTATATGTGCAACTGCCTGATGGTTTTTGAGTCTCTGCACAGACTCGGTAGTAAGGCGGATCGCGTGTTGTTTTACCCGGAGGAGTGGGATCTCGTTGTCGAGGATGACTTCGATCGCGTCAGCCAGTTGCTACTTGAGGCTAAACACAAGTACAAAGTGCTACTGATCCCGATTAAGATTGAGGGAATCCAGGATCCAAGGGGTGAGTTGCGCTGCCGCTGTTGGAACTGACCCAGACTTTTGAACATACCTACTTACATGTCACTCATTTCATAGGCATCGGTTCCCAGGCTTCGTGGGATACTAGCACCGCCAAACTCATGGCCTTCGGCGAGCACGAATACGACCGCGTCATCCACCTCGACTCGGACGTTATTCTCCTCCAGACAATGGATGAGCTCTTTTTCCTCCCACCTACCACTGTCGCCATGCCACGTGCCTACTGGCTTCTCCCGGATAAAATTCTTTCATCGTTGTTGGTAGTCATTGAGCCCTCCCTTCGCGAATACCTTGCTTTGACCGAGGCTACTACCCTCGCTCAGAACGGTCAAATCGATATGAACTTGACGGAACACCGGTATGATATGGAGCTGTTGAACGGGCGGTACGGAGACTCGGCGATGGTCCTCCCGCATCGGCAGTATGGTCTATTGAGCGGAGAGTTCCGGAAGAAGGATCATCGCAGTTTCCTGGGGAATGATGAGGAAGTTTGGGATCCTGATCATGTCCTGGCGCAGGCCAAGTTCGTGCACTTTTCCGATTGGCCAGTGCCGAAGCCGTGGATTATGTGGCCGCAGGACGTATTGGCGGCCGAGCAGCCGAAATGTGATAATAACCCTGGCACGCCACAGGAGAGTGGGTGTCGGGATCGGGAGATTTGGAAGATGATATATGATAAATATCGGAGACAACGAAAGGTATGTCTGTTTATGGGGATGGGGATGAATTGGCTGGTTGCTAACTGTTGTAGGATGTCTGCAAGCTACTCAGTTATCCGGCGCCGATGTGAGTGGAAACACTTCCTCGATTAATTGTATACATACATGTAGCATAGGATATCATGGCGTTTTGGATATTAGCTTTGTAAAGGGAATGCATGAATGAATTGATGATAGAATTCAAGACCACTGTATCATATATCAACATTCGATTGGATATCTCAGAAAGTACACAAAACACCGAAACACCCAAGCACCACAAATGCAACATCCTCATGAAGACATCAAGCGTACCCCATCCCCCTCCTCCACCAATTCCAAACCCCCCTCCTCTCCATAATGCTCCCAAACTCCTTGACACTGTCCACCTCATCCAGTCCCACCGCAAGATCCAACTCTTTCCCGTTTTTCTTTTCCCCGTTCCCGTTCCCGTTCCCAGTCCCTTGTTTCCCACTTCCATCCTCCTCCTCCACAATCCCAGGCCTCGTAGCCAGCTGGAAATCCTTATATCGCAGCCGACGTACAACATCCACCCAGCTCTCTACCCGCTCCTTCCCGCCCTCCACGTACATGATCCCTGGACACCCGCCGGAGCGCAAGAGCACGGCGCATTGGTGTGTGTCTGCGGCGCGTTTGAGTGCGGTTACTTTTTTGCGGGAGGTTATGTGATGAGTGCGGATTAGAGCGTTGTAGAGAGTTTGCATTTTGGGGGTAGGGAGGGAGAGGAGAGGGAGTTGAGGCTGGATGGGGAGCTTGGAGCTTGGAGCTTGGGGGCGCTAGACTAGATTGGGGATTTGGATGGAATTTGATTTTGAAGCATGAGAGAAGTTGGTATATTGGTATTGGTTATAATCTAAGTTAGTAATAAATTTCTGTGATATTTTATTTGATCAGAAACCCTGCATGATCTGTAGAAGATTGAGTATAGCACCATGAATCAATGTATTTCGTGATATCGAAATTATTGACACCTGAGGCATCCACGGATAAATCGATACATTAGTAAGCTTTGCCGCATGACCTCCAGGGCTCGAAATTCTCCGATGTGGCAATCAAAGAGTCTGGGTCTGCAGAAAAGTGTACAATGCGTTAATGGACAGCGCATGTTTTAGGACCTTGTATACTTTGTATAGCACACATATAATCTGAGCGAACCCATGTTGTACAGTAATGTACAAAGTAAGTCCTACGTAGATCATACCTTGAGATGTTATGGACCTAACTAGGCTAGATACTATATGATTTATAGGGTTAACGAGTTTGCCGCTAAGGAAAAGCTCTAGAATGGTTCGGTGGATCCTTTTCTCCTCTTGGCTGCCCTTTTCGGCTAAACAATCGCCGGTGGCCGCGGATTCCGGATTAAGCGTGTTGGAATATTCCTCGAATCTTTTTATATCCGGGGGTTTCTCGAGAGTACTGCCAAAGTTGGTGAAAATAATGAAAGAAAAGAGTTGTTCACATCCACTTTTCCCTTGTCATTTGCCGTATGACGATATAGTCCGAGATATGATCGGGCCCACCATGAGCATCTCGACAATTTTGCGTTTTCATCGATTGGCCGCTCGTCTCCACGTTCATCATAATGAGCCTTGGCTTCCTTTTCAAGTGTCATACCTTTTTTTAAAAAAACTGTTTTAAATTGAATTCTTGTTATTGTTCTCTATAAATATGAGTCAAGATTGTGCAGTTTCTTCATATAGTGTATAATGAGCTCGTTGTTTCCCTTCTTATAGCTATACCACCGAATGGGTCAATATGCCCGCTCCTCTTAACCCTCACCCGAAGCACACATCATCCTTTGCAGAGAAAGAAAAACACAACAATGATCCTCCAAGAGTGCAGGTCTCGCATGAAGATGAGAATATCCTCGCCGATATCCATCACACCTTAACCGCCCAAAGTCATATGGACCCCAAGTATCCGGAACCACATTCCTCCTTTGACAAATTCCTCGAAGAACAAGTTCAGGGCAAAAAACCAGCCAATCTTGGCGTCTGTTTCCAATCTCTCTCAACTTGGGGCGATGGGGACTCCCACGCAGATATCAAGACACTCGGCACAGCCCTGTGGCGGACCCTCACCTTACAGGATATATACGAGTGGACGATCCAGCCATGGATCAAAAAGAAGAAGCCCGAGGATGGGCGTCCGCTGATCAGAGACTTCTCTGGCGTTGTGCAGAGCGGGGAGATTATGCTGTAAGCAAAAACCCAACACCATCTTATTCTTACCGAATTTAGCCTAATTGAGAAATATAGCGTTCTGGGCCGTCCTGGTGCTGGCTGTTCAACCTTTCTCCGAACTATCGCTGGCCATCACTCTTCTTTTCTGGGCGTCACGGGCTCAATTGATTATTCAGGTCTTAGCCCAGATGAAGTCAGGAAGCACTACCGTGGTGCCGTGGCTTATGTCCCCGAGGACGATGTGCATTTCCCGACCCTGACCGTGCGTCAAACGCTCGAGTTTGCTCTGCAGAGTAAGACCCCTAAGCGCTACCGGGAGAGAATTCCCCGGTACCTGGAGATTTATGGGCGTGTTTTTGGTATGTCGCATACCATGAACACGTTGGTGGGAAACGAGTATATCCGGGGTGTGTCCGGAGGAGAGCGTAAGCGCATCTCCATTATTGAATCTCTCGCTACCGATTCATCGGTAGCATGTTGGGATAATTCCACGAGAGGACTGGATGCGTCTTCGGCACTCGACTATGCACGCAGTCTGCGTATCATGACCGATACATGTGGCAAAGCAACCTTGCTCACTTTGTACCAAGCCTCAGATGCTATCTACGAACTGGTGGATAAGGTGCTGCTCATTGATGAGGGCCGAATGCTATACCAAGGACCTGCCAATGAGGCGAAGCGCTACTTTGAAGAGCTGGGCTATGAGTGCGCTGATATGCAGACGACTTCAGATTTCCTCACCAGCATCACCGTGCCTGAAAGACGGCGATTGCGTGCTGGATGCGAAAAAAGCGCCCCAAAGGGCCCCATCGAACTTGAAGCCGCTTTCCGCCAGAGTGCTGCGTTTGCTAATATCGAGGCGGCTGTCGAAAGATATGAAGATCAGAAGCTCACCGGGAGGTCTTCTGGTGCACACCCCGCGGATTCGGAGTGCGATAGTGTGGAGGTATTCAAGAAGACTGTGCAGAGCGAAAAGTCACGCTTCGTCTCGTCCAAGTCACCATATACAATTTCGCTTTTCCGGCAGGTCGTTCTTTGTGCGAAACGTCAGCTCTGGCAGCTGAAAGGGCATATGGGCCCGTTATACATCAAATTGATTTCTTGCGTGATCTATGGGCTGCTGATTGGATCTATGTTCTATGACCAGCCAAAGACCACCGAGGGTATGTATTCCCGTGGAGGTGTGCTCTTCTACTCTTCCATTTTGCTTGCCTGGCTGCAGATGTCGGAATTAGAAGACGCCATGCAGGGCCGTGATATCCTGAGTCGACAGAAGAAATTCGCTTTTGTGAGACCTAGCGCTGTGTGTCTGGCCCGAGTACTCTCAGATATGGTGATAACTGCGCTTTTGACGTTCTTGTATTTGATCGTCATGTATTTCCTGTCTGGTCTACGGCCCGATGTGAGTAGTTTCAGGATCTTGCTCCAAGTATGGATGCTAATTCTTCTAGGCCGGTCCCTTCTTTATCGACTACCTCTTTATTTACACGTGCACAGTCTGTCTCACGGCCCAATTCCGTGTCTTCGCCGGTCTATCGCGGAACTTTGAGGTTGCCCTCCGTTACTGCGGAGTTTCTGTTGTGTGTTGCATCGTCTTCGGCGGCTATGTTCTCTCTGTCGACAAGATGATTCAAGATGTTCCTTGGGTTGGATGGATTGCATATACAACCCCAGCTATGTATACATACGAAGCAGTCATGGCGGCCGAATTTCACAACGCCAACTTTACATGCGCGGCCGGATCCATTATCCCATCCGGTCCAGAATATACGGACGTCGCATACCAGACTTGTGCCTATGCTGGTAGTCACATTGGTAGCACCGTTGTGAACGGCGATGACTATCTGGCTGTGAAATTTGGATTCTACTACAGCAATGTCTGGCGCAATTTTGGGATTCTGTGTCTCTTCACCGTTGCCTTTATTGGAATGACCTGTTGGCTGAGTGAGGCACTTGAGTGGGAGCTGGATAGTGCTGGCCCTATCCAGTACAAGGGCTCGCGGAAGCTGTTCAAGCGGGAGAAAAAAGTGCAGTCTGATGAAGAAAAATCGCCGGTCTCGGTTGATTCTGCTGCGCCGCCTGCTGGTTATGAAACAAAGCATGACCAAACACTTACAGCTACCGAGTCTACCTTTTCCTGGTCTGACCTGGAGCTCAATGTGCAGATTGGCAAGGAGACCAGGAAACTCCTGGATGCCGTTTGTGGATACTGCAAGCCAGGATCTTTGACTGCCCTCGTTGGCGCCTCGGGAGCAGGCAAGTCTACATGTAAGCTCCCTAATGAAATGAATTCGTTGCTTGTTTTCTGACATATTTAGTGTTGACTGCGCTCACTCAAAGAGAGAGCCCCGGTACATTATCGGGGTCTCTATTTGTGGACAACCGGTCAATTGACCAGTCCTTCAACCGACAGATCGGATATTGCCAGCAAATGGACATCCACGACGAAAGCAGCACGATCAAAGAAGCATTCGAGTTCTCCGCACTGCTACGACAAAGTCGCGAAGTTCCAATGGCGGAAAAACTGGCATATGTGGAAACCGTGATTCACACATTGGACTTGGTTGAATTACAAGATGCAGTGATAGGTTCTTTGGATATCGAGAAGAAGAAGCGTGTTACTATTGGAGTGGAGCTGTGCGCTCGACCAAACCTGCTTCTTTTCCTGGATGAACCCACAAGTGGACTCGACAGTCAAGGCGCAACTAGTATCGTCGCTCTGCTTCGACGTTTGGCCAACCAGGGACTGGCGGTCCTCTGCACCATCCACCAAGCTAACCAGCAACAATTCGAAGAGGTAAGTACTAACCATCCTGGTAATGAACTGATACTAACGAGCCCCTAGTTCGACCGCGTCCTGGCCCTGAGCCCTGGCGGAAGCACATACTACTTCGGCCCAGTCGGCGAATCCGGCCGCGCAATCTTCGAGTATTTCGCAAGACACGGCGGCAACATACCAGAAAAGGTCACCAATGCAGCCGATTTCCTCATCGAAGTAGTCGTCGGCGGTATGAAAGCCTCGGGAAATCAAACAAACTGGGCAACCGTCTGGCGCAACTCAGAAGAATGCGCCGAAGTCAAGAACGAGATTGCCTCAATCCGTTCCGACAAGAATACCCGTTCCCCTTCCCTACCTCCAACTCTACCCCCTCTCAGCCAGCAGATCAAGCTCCTCACTCAACGGACCTGTCGTCAGTTTTGGCGCACCGCTGAGTATCCTTACTCGCGTCTTTACTCTTCCTTCCTGCACGCTCTCGTCAACGGCCTTACCTACCTCCAGATCGGCAACAGTACTACGGACCTCCAGTCGAAGGCTTTCTCTTGCTTCCTTGTTTTGATGCTCGTTCCCGAGTTTATCAACGCGATATCCATGCGCTTTGTCATGAACCGCGATATCTGGTTAGCAAGAGAAGGCCCGAGTGGTGTATACGGCTGGGTAGCATTCTGCACAGCCCAGATCATCTCTGAGATCCCTTATTCCGTCATCGGCGGCGTAATCTTCTTTGTCCTATACTATTTTATGGTTGGATTACCACTCGGCTTTGCAGCGGGATACTGTTTCCTGATGTTCTTCCTTTTCTTCTTATTCGCGACCTCGTGGGGTCAGTGGATCGCCGCTATGAGGTGAGTCTAGTATAACCAAGCACTGTTACTTCCCCACAGTGATCAACTAACTCATGTTGTCAATCTACAGCGCTGACTCAATGGTCGCCGCTACCCTCATGCCCTTCTTCATTATTATGTGCGAGCTCTTCAACGGTATCCTCTGTCCGCAATCCCAGATGCCTGTCTTCTGGAAGTATACTATGTACTATATCACACCGTTTACGTACTGGATTGGTGGTGTGCTCACTTCCGTCCTGCGTGGTACTGCTGTTGTTTGCTCTCGGAATGAATTGACTATCTTTGAGAGTCCGCCCAACACTACCTGCAGTGAGTACGCGGGTGCATGGCTTGATGCTAAAGGTGTTGGATATCTCTCTAACCCGGATGGGACGGGCGAGTGCGGATATTGTGAATATAGCTTTGGTGATGATGTGAGTTTGATCCCTGGGATATGTTTTGTTCTTGAATCGATGCTAATATGTGACAGTATTTATCTGGTCTTGGTCTGGACTCTTCGAAGATCTGGCCGTATTTCGGTATCTTCCTTGCTTTTACCGTTACTAATTACTTGATGGTTTACTTGCTGGTTTATATGCGGTCTGTTATGAAGCCGCTTTGGCGGTCCAAGTAGCTTTTTGTTAGCATTCTCTTTGATTTGGATCTACATTTGGCATAGCATTGCATATATATCAACGGTGAAGCTTTTAATTTTACTACCATGAATTTTGGCCTTGTATTCTTCTAGAGAATCTGATGTTAGGAATGATCTAGAACATCCCTGGTTTACCTGTGTCTCATACCCACTCTTGAAAATATTCCCTCTGGTGTCGTAGTTTTAATATAAGATGTCTTGTCCCGAAATTCCTTTCTGGTTTCTACCTATTACCATATGTCATAATTTACTCCGTACTATTACTCAATAATCACCTCCCAGAAGTTCCTAAGGTATCATATTTTTTGTCATCATAGTCAGGTTTCCAGAATACAACTGGCGAAGGAGGACGACCGTTTTTGCAGTGATGGACTTGTCGTTTAGACGGTCTAGTGTGGCATGAGCTTGATCAGGTCTTCCACTGTATGCCCAGCAGTTTCATCTTACTGAAGAAGGTAGGGTGTCGGGAAGTATAGAAACCATGGTGTTAGGGAGGGGAACATAATCAAGAGGCCCCGTAGCCCCCGGGGCCGGCCCGAGGTCCAGACCTTCAAAGGACGAATTGAGGCCACGTAACTTAAGATGGGGTCTGCGAATTCCAGTGACCCTTAACCCGTAAAGAGTATAGAAATGGAGATTATGATTATAATTAGTATGAATTAATTAATCCTTGCAGATCTCAAGCCCCAAACACTCAGGTGAGTCACATTGGCAAAGCTTGACTTAGTTATCAATCAATATCCCTCGGAGATAATATCTGTATTACCCAAAGTAGTATCTCCGAGACCGGGCATTTCATATCGAGTAAGCAACTTCAGCCATCGGGTCTTGTCATCATAGCTATACGTCAAATAAGCCATCGTGCCCTCGTGTCACCTCCGTTTCAAAGGCCATCTGTCAATTGACAACTCTCACAGAGATACATATTTTCCGTCAAATCTCGTGGAATATTCTAATCCGGAAAGGCGCCCTCATCTCTAGGCACAAACGTCTTAGGCTTGGCGTCGCAAGGACTTCATGCGACGAACAAAGAAAAATTCATCTGAAATCAGAATCATTTGAAAACCATCATGGAAAATCATCACGATCATCCCTCTACAGATCATGAAGAGGTGGAAGATCAATCTCGCGCTCCGCAGCGGCGACGCCGCCCACCCCTGTCTTGTACAGTCTGTCGCAAACGCAAATTGAAATGCGACCGATCTCTGCCTTGCGGGCAATGCGTGCGCTCAAAAACAACAGCGCAATGCGTTTTTGTCGGAGCCCAGCCCGGTCATGTATCGGGGTCTTCTAAGCAACACATGTCGCCCCCGCAATTACCAAATGGAGGTGTGGAAGACCAGTCCGGCCGGAAAAGCGGGATTTTTGTCTTCGACTCAAAATTGGGGCCAAATTCGACTTCAAATCGCGTTTCGAAGCGTGGCCGTCCAGATGAGCTGCATGAGCTCCGGAATCGACTCCGTGTTCTAGAGAATTCGCTTGGCAAATCATCTCATCTTCAAACGCCTGAGACCTCGGTTTGTGATGTTTATTCTGAAGTCGACACGGCCAATGGTTCTGAGAATGTTGGTGTTGATGACCGCGTGCGATTCTTGCCAGATTCGAGTTTCCGTGGGAAGAAGGTTAAGACTCGTTATTTCGGTCGCAGTCATTATACCACTACTGTTTCTTTTGTGAGTACCCTGAATTTTATTGTATGATTGATTTACTAATTAAATATAGTTCAAAGATGTTGGTGCCTTTATACGCCGTGGTCATTGCCGCGGAGATGAAAAAAATAGAGAGTACACTGATATGAAAAAGTTCAAGACGGAGCTTTGGTCGCGTGAGACAGAGGATCATCAGCGAAGTTTCCGCGAGCAGGCTTTCAGGCTTAATGAAATGGTTCCACTGAGAAATGTGGCAGATCATCTCCTTCAGCTGTATCTTGACACTTTCGAGACGACATATCGAATCTTGCACACGCCAACTTTCTTGAGACAGTATGCTGATTACTGGGCCAACACCCAACCAGTCGACATGGCTTTCGTCGCCCAGTTACTCGCTGTTATGGCTGCTGGCAGTTGCTTTTATGTCCCACCACCAGGCCAAGACGACCGAGACACATTCCAAAAACCGGCCATGAAGTGGATTATGGCTGTTCAGTCATACATCTCGTGCACATTTGTGAGCCCAGATATCGACTTCCGAATGCTCCAGACCCAAACTCTTCTTCTGGTAGCTCGCCTCGGAGTTGCTAGTGACGGGGATGTTGCCTGGGCCTCAGCTGGGTCGCTGATTCGGTCTGCGATTACAATGGGCCTGCATCGCGATCCGACTCGCTTCCGCAAGGCTCGACCATTCTACTCTGAACTACGCCGTCGCCTTTGGGTAACCATCGTCGAGCTGGACCTCAAGATCTCTCTCGACCGTGGCGTTCCGCCGTCAGTTGATCTAGAAGAATGTGACTGCGATCCTCCATCGAATTGGGACGACGCGGACTTGATACCGGACATGGAGAATGACCCTACTCCACCCAGTACTGCCATTTATACCCAAAACTTCTACCAAACTCTCCTCACCAAGACCCTCCCACTACGTTATCGAATTGCGAAGAAAATCAACAGCCTTCGTTTTAATTTATCTTACGACGAAGCCCTGCGAATGGGCGATGAACTCTCCCGCTCCCTGCAACATGCTTCCTCCCTATTCGAGGACAATGCCTCGAGTATCGCTTTGGAAGAATCGGGACGTCACCGATTCGCCCAATCCCTATATCTCTTCATTATGCGAAAATTCCTCCTCGCCCTCCACCGCCCCTTCTCACTGAGTGTTGTCCGTCTACCAAAATGCTCCTACTCCCGCAAGGTTTGCCTCGAAGAATCCCTCGGTATTCTCTCCCAGATGGAACTTCCTCTGGAGACCGAGAGCATCGTCTATCCGGATATCACGCAGCTTGGCAGCGGTATGTTCCGCGATGAAACCTTCCACGCTGCAATCACTGCCTGCGTGGAGCTGTCTCTCCAAGCCAATGAAATGACTACGTCTGCTACATCCGGGTTGGATGGTGTCAACTCCAGCGTGCTCATGAGCATGATCCAGTCCCAACAAAGTGTGATGATGAAGGCTGTCGAGCGCACCGCTGATAACTTCGGGAGGCGCATCGGCCCCGGTGGGAAGGGATGCAAGCCTTTCTTCTTTTTGAATATTATTCTCGCTTCGGTCAAATCGCGCGTCAAGGGTGAGGATCCTTTGTGCAGTATTGACGCGACCGGGAAGAGGTCTGTTCGCATTTGCAGGGCGATCTTGAGTGGACTTACATATCAGGAGGCTAAGATTAGCGTTGATAATCGCCCCGTTCAGGTTGGTATCCCTGCTTATAGCTGTGTGTCCATACCTAACGTCCCTGTTCAGACTTCCATTCCTTCGGGGGTAACCCCGGCCTCAGCTACACCGAGTGATATTGATCCTGCGTCACTTCTATCGAATGACTTCAGCGATTTTACGGCAAGTCATCGTTCCTCGGATGCTGCTTGGGGCTATGCTGACCTTTCACAGCCAGTGGATCTAGGGGGCTGGTTTGATGGGTTAGATTACACTGGCCCGGAGTTGTGGGATTGGGATGCCGACTTGTCTGGCAACCTTCCGACATTCTCATGAAGTATTCTCCAATTTTAATGCCCTTAATGCCCTGCGATAGTTCTACTCCTGTCCTTCTCAGAACTCCACTCAAATACCTAGCTACAACCTACATGTACATACAGCCTTCCCTGTCAACCACATAATACCCCCCAGAAGCAACACACTTTCACTTTCACTTTCTTCTCTATTAAACCTGTCTCTCGCATCAGAATTTTGAAAAAATACAAGCCTAGCAACATGGTCTGAATGTGAACCTCTTCGTCTAGTAAAAATCTCATGAATTTCGACGTGCACCTTTAAAATCTTAATTAAAACAATGTGTAAAAGTTTGCAACCTATATCCCTCTACAGCTCTACAGAACGACAACCCATTCAAATCTCAAATGCTCTCTATCTCCCCCATTTCCCGACTGACAATCTTCGAAGAAGCCCGAACAAAACTCTTCCTCGAGATCGAAACATAGCTCTGAACCAACCTATTCAATAAAAAAATTTAGCAGGAATCCCTTAGTAAATCCAAGAGGTATACTTACGCCTGATACCGCTGAATATTCCGAATCTCCAAACCCGCCAAATCCCCCAAGGAGTCTTGTATGTCCCGCACCAAGCTCACACACCGTCCCATACTGAAATCCGTCCTGACAACAGCCCTCATCATCCCCATCGTTTCACAATCAGCAGCCATAGTATAGGCAGGCACGATCCACCCCCTTTCGCGCAGTTTCCGCGCAAGCGCCCATTCGTCGAAGAAGACGTTCTGCGTCGAACTCAGTCTGAACGCCACGACTGGTAGACCATGTCCGCCTCCTTCGCTCATGATTATGAAGCCCATGTCGTGCAGCTGGCTGGTGAGGAAGTCGGCTGTTTTCGTGAGGTTCTTCATGATGCTTGTGTACCCGCTTCGGCCCAGTCGGATAAATTGGTAGTACTGAGCTATGATGTGCGAAGCTGGTTTGGAGAAGTTCATGGTGAAGTTTAGTTGCTCGGCGCCTAGATAGTCGATGTTGAAGACAAGTTCTTCGGGGAGGTACTCTGGTGATCGCCAGAGGGCCCAGCCGATGCCGGGATAGACCTGTGTGAGATTAGAATATTGCGCTATTTTAGAGCTGGGGGCGATTAATGAATGTACTTACAAGTCCGTACTTATGCCCAGAGACATTGATCGAGACGACGTTGGGCAATTTGAAATCCCACACCAGATCCGGGTTGACGAATGGGGCTACGAATCCGCCACTGGCGGCGTCGACGTGGATAGGTGTATCCAGCCCCCTCTCAATGAGAAGGTCACTGATGGCCTGTACGTCTTCGTACTGGCCCGTGTATGTCGTGCCGAGAATCGCGCAGATTCCGATGGTGTTCTCGTCGACCATGTCGACTGCTTGAACTGGGTCAATCACGTATCGCTCGTCGGTACATGGGACTAGCTTCTCGGCGATATCGAAGTATTTGGCTGCCTTTTCCCAGCAGACTTGTACACCGGTACTCATGATGATGTTTGGGTTGGAGGCATCTTTCCCTTGGACTGTGCGGTTGATTTGCCAGCGCTTCTTCATGGCCAGGACTGCGAGCATGATGGCTTCGGAAGATCCGATACATGATGTGCCAAAGGCGGTTGGGGTTCCGTTGGAGATTGGGGAGTGGAACAGGTCGGCGAGGATGTTTATACAGCGATGTTCGATTTCGACGGATTTGGGGTACTCTTCGTGGTCGATGACGTTCTTGTTTGATGATTCGGCGAGTAGTTTGAGGGCTTCATCTTCCTGTTGTAGTGTTAGTAATGATATAGGTTAAGGATAAGATAGGAAGTTGTATTACCATGTACGTGGTCACAAAACTGGCGAGGCTATAACAGTATGTTAGTTTAGTTTTCGGATACTTGAGAAATACACCCACTTCAAGATCGGCTGACCATCCAGGGCCAAGTCGTCTTTGATCAACTGGTACGCCACCTCTTTTGGCATCTCTCCATCGGGAAGTCTATGCGATGGCATAGGCATGGCGGCGAATCGGGAGCCATAGACGTAAGAGCTGTCGCTCTGGTCAGAAAGACTGGGTAATTCCTCTATAGAGCCCATTATGCAGTGAAATGTGTAGATTCAAATTGGAATACTGATTTACTAGCAAGACCATCCTGATTTTATATTCTTTCTTATAAGTGTCGATGCGTAGAAAAATATCTCATAGCTAAATCGTGTGATAGAATTCTGAGGCATTTATTTACGCAAGACATCATGATCAACGCTATGGTAAAAAGAAAAGGGGGCTTCCGTTTCATATTGGGTTATTGGGTATGTGTTCTTTTCTGTAGTTCAAGGTATATAGATGACAACGTGATGAACATCACAGCATCAGCCTGATGCTGCTATATTTGAAACAACATTGTGTCAAATCGGAGTATCAAAGGAACCTAAATACCCCACAGAGGACAAGCCAAGACCTTCTAGAAAACATCATCAGTCTTCTTATCATAACAGATCGCAACTCCTTATTACAAACTGGCGGAATCGGGAATGGCCCTTGTTATTCCTTGTTACTTCCTGTTCTAAAATTGGAAAATTCTGGCCCTGGATTGCAGGGTCGATGCTCATAGATAACGCAGAAACTACTTTATAGACAGGAGATTTACTCACCTGCTTTGCTTCAATTAAAAATCCGGCGTGGAAGCCGGTTTTCCCTCTCTGATGGATTAGCCCCTGACTCGTAGGAAAATGTTCCGCCGCTACAACCGAAGATGGGGGTGGCGCAGCACATGTACTTTGTATCGATCAAATGCTTTTCGTATATTTAGTATGTTAGGCAGCAAAGTATTGAATTGTGGCGACACCGTAGGGCTTGTTCAATTTACAGTACTCGGGACAAATCCACTTTTCTGCTGTGGCTTATATCTAGGAGCCGCAAGCATATCGTGCTAGTGCCCTTGATTTTATATCCCAACTTTTGTAAGAATAGACCGTATACTAATGTTTATTCGATGCAGTTTGAAATGTTTCCCAGCGAAAGTAATTGTCACCAATATATGACACGTAAACAGCACATCCCTTGCTCCAAGATTTATGCAAGCTGGATGAGAACAAGATAACAGAACTCGAATAGTAGAGTCAGACACCAAAAAAGGGAGCAACTGTGATGTCGGCATTCGCGCGATTTACAAAGGCTCGTCCATTCTGTATTCTGTTCATAGCATCAGTTCTTCACTTGCAGTAATAGGATGCTGCACCCAATTCTGGATACTAGTAGTGTTAATGTTGTCCTTTCCTTATCAGGTAAGACCTGAAGTACCATGTCTAGTATTTTCATTTGATTAATCGTTTTAGGAATATACGTTTTGATTTTCGGGTTTATCGCTCTGAAAATCAAGCAGAAATGGTATCTCGGTGAAGCTTGTATGCCATCCACGAACCCTATTGAATATCGGTCGCTGATCGTATTCAGTGCCCTCTTTCATAGTCGGGGCTGTCATAGGGCCTTTCTGTGCGAAGTTCATAAATGTCAGTCAGTGGGGAGGAGACACCGACCACGATAACGGTGACATTGCCTATGTAAGTCTTCGCCGCGAAGGAAAATATCAAGCTAATTATAACAGGGATTAACTCGATTGGTGATTGGCATCGCTATGGTCAAAGTCGGCTATGAGCTACCAAAACGATACATTCGGCTTCACCTGCTCGAACTCACCATCTGCTTGCTGCCATTGATGACGATACAGTGGCTGATGACGTCGACATGTATCAAATTAATGATCCCTAATCTATCTTTTGTATGTTCGTCTTCTTATATTTGATATACTCCCACTAACATTCACACAGTTGACTTCTCTCATCATCGGATCCTGCGTCATATGTATTGACCCGGTTCTCTCACAAGCTATCGCCAAGGGTCCTTTCGCAGACCAATATGTCCGACGGCATCTTCGAGAATTTATTTCAGCTGAGGCAGGTGGAAATGACGGGTTCGGGTTTCCATTTTTGCTTCTCTCTATTGCCATTCTTCGTTATGCCGATACCCCGGGTATCGAGACAGCAAAAGCTGGTGCCACCGAACAGAGTCGAGATTGGATTGGTGAGCCGGGTACGGGTCGATTTGGTGGAGATGTCAGTCGAGCATTGGCACATTGGGCTGTTGAGGGAGTGTTGTATATGATCGTCATGGGCGCTGGGTATGGTGTGCTGGTCGGGTTCCTAAGCCGAAAAGCCTTGAACTTGGCTTCAAAAAGGTATTTACATATTTGCGGAAGTTTTAACAAACTGGCTAATGATATACACAGGCGTTGGATTGACAAGGAGAGCTTCTTCACATATCCTGTTGCGATGGGTGTAAGTCGATATTAAGCAACAGCGGAGACTATAAGCTGAGATGATTTGTAGTTGTTTATTGTCGGTACCTGCGGCTGTTTTAGCTCTGATGAAACTCTCGCTTGTTTTGTTGCTGGCTGTGCGTTGAACTGGGATGGTTCTTACCACTTCGAAGTCGAAGAGAGACACGACTCCTTCAATTCCACTATCGAAAACATCTTGAACATTGGAACCTTCATGTTCCTCGGTGCTATCATGCCATGGGACCAGCTTCACATGTCTAGTCAGAACGGAATCACTATCGCTCGATTAGTCGGGCTCGGATTTTTGATCTTGATATTCCGTCGTATCCCGGCGATTATGATGGGATATCGATTCATGCCCAAGGTCTGCAAAAATTGGAAAGAGGCCTTGTTTATGGGATACTTTGCTCCAATTGGTATTTAATCCGGACTTTTTGTGAAAGTGAAATACTCACCAGTTTTTAGGAGTTGGTGCCATTTCATACGTCGAGTATGCGCGGCGATTGTTACCGGACCCTGGAGAGAGCGACAAAGAAATAAACGATTTGACTGCAGCCATGATCCCGGGTTCGATATCCTTCTACTTCGTGATAATTCGTGATAATGTATACTAACCCTTGATTTTAGTGGTGTATTGGCTTGTCTTCTTCTCTATCGTCATCCACGGGCTGTCTATACCGGTCCTGAACTGTCTTTATAAGTGGTTCAAAGTCCCTACTATTCGAGACCACCCGGTAGAAATTATCCTTCTTTCCGAAAATGAGCCTGTCCCTAACAACAGCGTGGTGAATCGCTGTGCCCACTCTGTCATACTAAACAACCGGTTTTCCTGTGCCTTGAGCCAGCGCCCCTATTCCGGCCATGGCGATCAGCACCACGAGGGAACAGATACGGTGGTGCTACGCTGCAATGGGGAAACTAGCTATAGGAGCTCGCTGGAAAGGGCATCGACGAAAGGCTTGTCGCCCGAACTAGAGCAGACTGTATCTACCAGAAATGTAGTCTGAGTGGCCGCTAACGGGATTTGTATATTAAGTAAATATTTTTTGATGTGCTTATTTAGACATTAGATTCCATGTAAAATAAGGCATAAAAGAAAGGAAGTTGATACAATATGCCTATGAGCTGATGAACATATCCGATTGAGCTTATCTTTGACAAGGCTTCTCGTCAATTTCATATCTCTAGACTCTGGTCGATAGGCGAAACCAATCTGGGCTATAAATGGGATGATATGTATTACGGTAGATAAAAACCTGGTCAGGGTATCTAACATAGTCTGGAAACGTATCACACGATGGGAACGTGAAGCAAGGAAAAACCACGCTCTTATTCAACATTTATCTTGGGGACTGAGAATCCAAATACCAAGAATTAGATTTTGTAGAGAATCAGTGCGATATAGGTGTGTTCAGACGTGCAGAATTCGAAACAGGCACTGATGTGGAAGCGAAATAAGAAGCACCTTTATCTTCACTAATTGAGCTTTTCCCAGCACATAATGAAAGAAAAAGGGGGAAATGAATTGAACTCCAATGTTGTCAGAGTGGATCACCACACAAACCTGAGTGAACGAGATCGACAGACGATGATCTCATTCTTCGGCCTTTCTTCAAAACCCACATGCCCATTGACATAGAAAAAAAAAGAATCCTGAGGAGATAAATCATAAATTCCATAAATCTCTGATAATCAAGAATGTCGTGAGTGCACATATATATAATCACACCAAAAACCACACAGACTAACCCCCCACAGTGCCCTTTTAACAACTCTCGGCCTCCGTGCTGCCCCTGGCCAGGTACCCGCGAACCACGCGTCAGGCTTCCTGGTGGCCAACTGGGTCTTCGCATTCTGTTTGATGAGCACCCGCGGCAAAAAGGTTCGTCTGGGTCTCGATCACAATGTCAACCCGCGTGAAGACTTGACTACCTATGGTGAGGCGGCTGTACGGTCGGGAAAGATTAGCCGTCGTACCCTCGACAAGCTCAAGCGACAGGAGTCGGCGCATGCCAATGCGCAGGAGGGCTATTCTTTGCTTGTTGCGGCGAGTATGTAGATGATGAACTTGTCTGAATTTGCTGCACTGTACTGACCCTGAACCTAGTCCTAGTCTCGTTGTACGCCGGTCTCCCTAATGAGACCATCAATGCTGTCGGTGCTTGGTATTCGGTTTCCCGTGTCGCGTACAGCCTGCTGTACTCGCACATTGAATCTCATCCTTTAAGCTATCTGCGATCAGTGGCTTGGTGGTCCGGAAATCTCAGCTGTATTTACGCGTTGGTGCAGGCCAGCAAGAAGTTGTAAAATAAAGATCGGTTATTGACGGCCTTTGACCGATATATAATATTTGGGATCATATAGATCAGCTAGGCAATACAATACAATTGCACCCTTGTATCTAGGTATTCAAGTCAATCTAAGATTCCATGACAAGCTTTGATAATAGGCAGGTTAGAAATGACAGTTGAGATAAACATTAAACCCTGCTTCATAGTTGCTGTGGGTAGGAGGCGCCACACTCTCAAATACCGACTCTGGGCAAGCCTTACACTGGAATTGCCCAGACTCACACTGGAAGTCTCCTGGAAGACTCAAAATGGGACAATTCATTCCATCCAAGACTGGGCGTTAGCCTTCATAAACGCAATATCCAACGCAAAATAAAAATCCCGAAGGAATGAGCTCTCGGTTGTCTGGAAAAAATCACAACACGATCACGATGAGAAGGTTGCATGAGGAATTATTTCGCTGATTGGTGGAACATGAAACTCCTATACGGGGGAATGAATCCCGGCTATAAGGATGAATTACACAATTTCAAATAAGAACATTCCAAAAAAGCCTAAGCTTGTCCTAGCTCCCCGCGACAAGTGTCTCTCCGCATCCCCGCAATGTGCTTGGCGAAACGCGGAGAAATGACTCCATTTACTTGTCTATACACGAGACCAACTCGTACTCTTGCCGTATTCCACAGGCCCTGCCGATCATCCCATCATATGATGGAATTGTTTTTAACAGGCGGAGAAATCTCTTTCCTCTACCCGTGCCGTCCCCTGGGCCTTGGTAATCTGGGGAAGGACAGCTCCATTTGCTAGGGTCCAGGCTCCGGGGTATTCTTATAAATTAGGATTGCCTGCTTCACTATCCTACTTTTCAACAAGCATCAATCGGTTTCATTGACATCGCTATAATGAAGTTCCTCGCTATCGGTGCGCTCTTGCTCAGCACAGCCAGTGCTCTTGCGACAGAGCATATTATCAAAGGCGCCCAGATCATCCCGGCCAACGATAAGGCGGGACTGAAGAAGGTCGGTGCTCATGGACATCACAAGCACCATGACCGTCGGACAGTGACAATCCGGTCATCAAGAAGCGACACCGATGATATCTCAGATGATTTCCTTTGGGGTATTAAGGCTGCCAACCACGGTGGCAGACTTCTCTTGCAAAAGGGAAAGAAATATGTTATTGGTAAGAAGCTTAACCTCAGCTTCTTGGATAATATCGAGGTGCAGCTTGAGGGTGAAATCAAGGTACATATATAGCCACCAATACTGTGTGAGATTGAACCGCTCTGACATGACACAGTTCACCGACGATATCGACTACTGGCAAGCCAACCACTTTTACTACGATTTCCAAAAATCTATCACTTTCTGGGTCTGGGGTGGCAAGGATATTAAGATCTTCGGAAAGGGTACTCTCAATGGCAATGGCCAGGAGTGGTACAATGCCTTTGCTGGCTTGGAAGTTCTGGTGAGCACAAATACAAAAAGAGTTGGGAGTAAATTTGTACTAATGGAATAATTCAGGACCCGGACAACACTTTCTACCGTCCTATTCTATTTGTGACTGACAACGCCACCCGCGTGTCTGTTGAGGGTATCACCCAACTCAACTCCCCCTGCTGGACCAACTTCTTCGTCCGTACCAATGATGTCTCTTTCGATGATGTCTTCATCAATGCCTACTCCACCAACGCATCTGTAAGTCATGCATCTGGTACATTATCACAACAATAAAATCTAATCACCTATTCCCAGGCTTTGCCCAAGAACACCGACGGATTTGACTCCTACAACGTGGACGGTCTCAGTGTGACCAACACCCGTGTTGATATCGGCGATGATTGCTTCTCTCCCAAGCCCAACACCACCAACATTTTCGTGCAGAACTTGTGGTGCAACAATACCCACGGTGTCAGCATGGGAAGTATTGGACAGTATGCGGGAGTCGAGGACATCATTGAGAATGTCTGGATTGAGAACGTGACTCTGCTGAACGGCCAGGTAATATATTCCCCCATTCAATTTATGCGCAATTGATACTAATCAGAATTCAAGAACGGTGTCCGTCTCAAGGCCTGGGCTGGAGAGAACGTCGGCTTTGGTCGCATCAACAACGTCACCTACAAGGACGTTCTCATCGAGAACACCGACGCCCCTATTGTGTTGGATCAGTGCTACTTCGATGTGGACGCCGAGACATGTGCCAAGTTCCCATCATCAACCGACTTCACCAACATTACCTTCGAGAACATCCACGGTACTTCGTCGGGCAAGAATAAGAAGGTTATCGCTGACTTGACTTGCTCGCCCAATGCTGTGTGCTCGAATATTCATCTTTCTGATATCGATATTACTAGCCCGGCTGGTGGTCCTCCTGTCGTTATCTGTGATGGAATTACTGGAGATATTGGCGTGGATTGCGTGTCGAGCGCGGCTTAGAAGGCGCAATATTGAGAGAAGAAGAGTTCATAGTCAGAAATCAAAAGTACGAATCATGACGCCAAGAGAAACTAGCATCAAATATTATTTAGGAAGTGTAGCCCGACATGTGTATATCCGAGGACAGGGGTTAACGGAGTAGTCATCTCCGAGAGATAGCATCGAACCCGTGCACATCCAACTGGATGACAATGATCGCTCTCTCCACAACCGGTGAAATAGTTTATTTGATTACCAGCAGCGATTTCACAGTGGATTGGCTGTAACAAGTCCCTTATCCTGCTTATTATGTACTTATTCTGCACTTATTATGCACACCGGTATGACTATACGGAGCTTTGACCCAATACTCTCAGCCCCGACAGAGCCAAGCAGCCAAGTGGCGAATGGGGAAAGTCAAGGTTGCCGACAGCTCGTTCTGAGCTTCTCAGCCAATGAAAATGAAAACAAGCATAATCAACTCTCTTTCCCGAGAGAAGATAGCTGTTGATATCCGACCGGGCCGACGTTCCCTAAATTACCAAAAGCAACAAAGAAGATTGAAAACCAAGCCGTTATACTTAATGATATCTCATCATGGTAAATAGATAAAAGAACAGATTACCCTCATACTGTAGGATATATAGGTATCTCTTTCCACACCCCACACACTCCCACAATCTGAGTGGGAGCAGCGGCTGAGACTATATCCGTCCCCTGTCTTTTGTCTGCATGGGTCGTGACTTACTAGGATTCAGTATCCTATTATCCTGCTCGAAATTGCTTACTATACTTGTCAATCTCTCCAATCTGGGGGAGTTGCGTCCACAACCTCCCCTTTCACCCCACCCCCAGATCCCCCGGAAAAGCGAGTACGGGGAACGAACGGGACCCCGGAGATTACGGGGTTTTTGCTATAAGAACGCCATGCATAAGTTCTGCACCTTTTTTTCTTTTTCTTTCTTTTCCTCGTCTGTGTTATTATCTCCCCACAGATCACGGCATTGATATTCAACATGGAGAAGATGGATAGCAAACAGCAGCACGTTGAAGCTGCAAACGCTAGTCAAGTGATAGAGTCTGGAATGCAACACGATTTCTACGTCGAAGATCGAGTCGCTCATCTCTCTGAGGAACATCGCCAGTATATTCTTGCGAAGCATGGAACACTGGATTTAGATCCTATCCCTGACATGACCGATGCCGATCCGTACAATTGGCCACAATGGAGGGTGAGAGACAACACCTCCTATTATCTATCTCCAATTTGTCTATGTCTCTAACATGATTCCTTGATAGAAAAACTTGAACTTAGCCCTCGTCGCCTTCCACGCCATGATGGCCACATTCACTGCCTCGTCAATCCAATCTGCATTCGAAAATATATCCGAAGACTTCGAAATCAGTATGCAGCGAACCAGCTACCTCGTCTCTCTCGTCATCGCCGTGCTAGGTGGAGCGCCTCTTTTCTGGCGCCCGCTGTGTAATCGCTATGGTCGCCGCCCCATCTTTCTGATCTCGTTGACCTGCAGTTTGATTGGAAATATTGGCTGTGCAAACAGTCATTCCTATGCAACAATGGGTCTCTGCCGTGCCATTACTGCCTTCTTTATCAGCCCTGCAGCTGCTATCGGTAGCGCTGTTGTCGCAGAGACTTTCTTCCGGAAAGATCGTGCTCGCTGCATGGGTGCATGGACGCTAATGGTTACTCTGGGAGTCCCTGCTGCTCCGTTTATCTTTGGATTTGTCGCTTTGCGTGTGGGTTATCGCTGGATTTATTATACCCTTGCAATTGTGAGCTTTACTTAACCCCCATGTCTGGGAGATATATCCGTCTAACCATTCGCTTCGAACAGGTCAACGGAATCCAACTGATCATCTACTTCGTTTTCGGATACGAATCCCTCTACATTCGCAGCAATGCCCCCTCCAACGTCGCCGCCCCTGAGAGAAGTCTCTTCAAATTCAGCCGTATCGATCCTACACCACTGAAACTTTGGGACTTCATCCAGCCCCTCAGCTACGTGATGAAACCATGCGTGGTCATCCCGGCCGCCGCTTACGCAATGATCTTCCTTTGGGGCAGTATCACGCTCACAATCGAGATCTCCCAGATCTACCCGCCCGAGTTTGGCCTGAACACGCAGCAGGTCGGTCTGCAATTCCTTGCTGTTATCGTCGGATCTGTCATCGGTGAACAGATTGGCGGGCTTATCTCTGATCGCTGGATGCTTATGCGTCAGAAGCGGACTGGAGAACCAGCTCCGTACGAACACCGTCTTTGGTTGAGTTATATTGGCCATGCTTTGACGATCTGTGGTCTTGTGGTTTTCTGTATCCAGATCCGGGATTCTGGCGGTGTATGGAATATCACTCCTCTTATCGGCGCTGCTATTGCCGCTGGCGGTAATCAGATCGTTACCACAATTGACATTACTTATGCGGTTGATTGTTACCGTGAGGATGCTGCCAGCGTGGGTGTTTTTATCACCTTTGTTCGGCAGATTTGGGGATTCATTGGTCCTTTCTGGTTCCCTCAGATGTTCGAGGTTGTTGGCTGGGCTGGAGGTGCTGGCATTGCCATTGCTCTCATAGTTTGTGTCAGCATTATTCCGACTATCTTGGTGCAGTGGAAAGGAGCTACCTGGCGTTGATGTGGTTGATGGCATTAATTGCTCTTTTTATCGACTAAATAAGGGAATATTGATGTTCACATAGTAGAAGATGGTGTTGCCAAATTCTACTAAATAGTGTTCGAGTACTCTGTATTCGCGGTATATTAGTGAATCAACTTGGCATTTCTTATACTATGTGCTATATGTAGAATCTTAGTTTCCACTGTTACTGGCAAATAAGCCTTCCTATACCCGTGAATAGCTTGGCAAACACTTCCAACTCAGTATCTGCTTGCTACTCGGGGCTAAGTCGGAGATAGTTAATAGGTTCATGCTAAAATGAAGTCAATCTACATAAAGTAATAAACAACAAATCGTAAACCATCAACTAAATATCACTACCATCCATCAACCCTCCGCATCCTCAAATGCATACCCTCAACCGGCTTAATAGTAACAGCCCCGGCAACATGTATCTCCTGCTTCGGATCCTGCATCTCAAACAAAAACCGCCCAACAACACCAGCAACAGCACAACGTAACTCCGCCCGTGCAAAGTCCTTTCCAATACAAGATCTCTGCCCATGCAGGAAGGTAATTTGTGCAAAATTTGTCGATGCCCCACCATTGTTATTCGGGATACAATGTCCGTTCCTATCCGTATCGATCCACCGCTCCGGCACGAATTCTTCCCCATTTTCGCCCCAGAAAAGTGGGCTTCGGTTTATTGCCCACGGACATAATACCACCCGTGTCCCCTTCGGAATATACTTTCCTGCTACGACGGTGTTGCGGACTGCTTCGCGAATTGTTATTGGGACCGTTGGGTAGAGACGGAGGACTTCTTGGCAGACGCCGTTGAGTAAAGGGAGGGATTCGAGATCTTGGTAGGTTATTGGGCTGTTTCCTGACGGGATCTTGGTGCGGATCTCATTCCGGAGGCGGGTTTGGTATTCTGGGTGGAGATGGAGGAGATAGCAGGCCCAGGTCAAGGCACTGGCGGTGGTTTCGTGCTGTGAGGGTTAACCAGTTGGTTAATTACTTGGACAAGCCGATTATAGAAATTTAGTTGGATTGAGATACTCACCCCAGCAGCCAAAAATGTCAACATCTGATCCACTAACTCTGTATCCGAGAAATCCCCACCAAGCATCATTGTTCCCAGAATATCAGCCTCGAGATCCTGAGCAGAAAGCTTCGATCCAGCAAGAGTGGCTCGCTTCTCACGCACGATCTCACCGCACGTTCTGCGCAAATACGCTGTCTCAGTACTTAGAACATCGTTCATCCGCCACGGCACACGCTTTGCCATCCACTGCGGCAGTGCAAAGTTCATCACTAGGAACGCCATCTTCTCTTTAGTCGGCTCGAGGATCTTGGCGAAGCTGTCTGCCACCTTGTTCCGCTTGTTGTGCAGCGAGCCAAAGTCACGTCCCATAGCTATAGGCCCGATTATGTCGAGCGTGAGGCGACTGCGGTTCTTTAACATACTATTCTCGGGAATATAATGCGATGCTTATGACACTTACCTCGCCCACTCGGCCATTTCAATCTTACCCTCCTGGTCCTCTAGACTTGTGCCATCCATCGGTTTTACCTTGATTTCTTTTTCTAGCTCGTCCAGTAACTGACCCGTCTTGCTCCACATGAGCGAATACATCGAGCGGATGTTCTTAATATTGAACGCGGGGGTGAGGGCTTTGCGCTGCTTCTTGTGCGCTGTACCTTCCGAGGTAATCATCCCGAAGCCGATAATCCGCGCGAGGAAGTTGCGCATCCGCCATGGCTTCTCAAAATCGTACGTGTTTGTGCTCATCACGTCTAGCAGCGCTTGGTGACTGGTCGGGATTACATAGCTTTGATTGAAAATGTCGCGCATGTGGATGAGTCCTTCATTTGGGACGGTTTTTATCCAGTGGAGGGGCTTTGTCCCTCGTGGCGAGTCGAAGACGAGTTCTACATTCGAGCCCTGTATAAGGTTAGGGATTTGTGTGTATGATTTCGCTTCGCCTTGCATTCATACCTGGACTTTCGGTAGATGCCGTATCGGGCTTAGTAAGAATGGCCATATTATTATGCCGTAGAAAGCTTTTAAGAGTATATTTACTCCCAGTGCGCTCAGACAGAGTCTTTGAAAGGTTTTGTCGGCGAAGAGAGTGCGTTGGAGGAAATACGCCTCGGCAAGGGTAAATACACCCACTGCTAATATACTGTCACTAAAGGCCATATTCGCTTCTTTGCATCGAGTTGTTGAACAACAAAAGCCCTGTATTCAGTCGTCGAGGCTCATATAATCTCTCGTGTTCCTATCGGCTTTACCCCACAGAGATCGGCGCCCCTGTTGGGGTGACCAATGCGAGACCTCGGCTGTGTGAACTGCCATTATTTCGATCTGCATTTTAGTGTTATTGTGGGGAGAGGAAGTTGTGGTTAGAGGCATGTGAACTGCTTTGTATGTCAGTAGTTTGTGATGTTAGGGTTGGACCAATAGGTAGTACTGAGAAACGACGTAATCATGCATTATGTCATGGGGTCTAATGCAAGCAGTTTATAATCAATATCAACTGTCAGGTTGCATAATTCAGAATGGCCTGCATATGCAGGCCCCCATAGTAGAATACCAAGACGCAATCACTGTTGACCGCTATGCTAATTGGAGTTAGGGCTGGACGAAGTACATAATGCGGGGGTGCTAAGAGACATGTGAAAAGACAGTTTCGAAGAGAAATCAAAGAGAAATGAAGAGATTCGAATGTCTGAAAATGTCATAATTCTTGATCGTCGATCCCTGTGGTGGAACCATCTCGCATGAATTTCCTAGTTCGATCGGAAATGTGAAGCCTCGGTTGGAATATGTGAATATTCTAAATATTCTACGTATCTCTCAATGGCCTAAATACCGTTAGTACCTTATATATCCTTGTCTAGTTTCATTAATATAATTAATCTTCCGCTACCCTCCGAGATCAAACCACCTCACCTCACTTCATCCGTACCTCAATAGCAACAATGTCTACCTTTGACCTCATCGCCAAATACACTCAAACGGCTCTATCCCACCTCCCAGGGCCCACCCAAAATCTTCTCCGTAACTCAACGGCCCAAAGAGCCCTTGGCGTTCTTGCCGCGTTTGCCCTGCTTCGCACCACAAACAGTTTCTTTTCACACCGCGCCCTCCAAAACTGGACTTCCAATCAACCATGGATCCCCACCCGCGAGCTCATCTTGCTATCCGGCGGTTGCAGCGGAATTGGCAAGCAGGTCATGGAAGACCTAGCGCGCACAGGCGTGCGTGTTATCATTCTTGATATTAATGAGCCAACTTTCGCACTACCCGCCAACGTCACCTTCTACAAGGCGGATATCACTTCCTCAGCTGACATTACCCGTGTTGCGAGCACGATCCGTGAAAACCACGGCGAGCCCACGGTGTTGATTAATAATGCCGGCGTTGGACACGACGGGACCATCATCGATGAGCCCGAGGAGAAAATCCGCCAGACTTTTGAGGTTAATACCCTCTCTCATTTCCTTATGGTGAAGGAGTTTGTGCCGGCTATGGTGAAGGCAAATCATGGCCATGTGGTGACTATCGCCAGCATGGCGAGCTTCGTGGCCATCGGTGAGATGGTGGATTATTGTTGCTCCAAGGCTAGTGCGCTTGCTTTCCACGAGGGGCTGCGTCAGGAATTGAAGCATTGGCATAATGCACCCAATGTCCGCACTAGGTGAGTTATCCTCGGATTTTTTCCAGGTGTATCTGCGGACTTTTGCTGATTGTTGCTTTAGTATTATTCACCCCAGGTGGGTGCGTACACCCATGATCAAGAAGATCACTGATAATGAGGCGCATTTCCGCCAGTCTATCATGACTCCCCAAGTTGTGTCTGAGGCTATCTGTAAGCAGATCTTGACTCAGACTAGTGGCCAGATTATTCTGCCTCCCAACCAGTCGGTGGCTAGTTTGGTGCGTGCTATGCCGAGCTGGATGCAGGAGGGTGTGCGCAATTTGGTGTCGCGTGGGTTGAAGAGGACTTGCGCTGCGCAGCAGGCGGAGGCAAAGGCGTAGGCGTAGTAGATATATTGTTTTGGAAATGATTGGAGATGTGTTTATGTCGTACTGATTTTGGATTTGGTATACGGGATGAATGTATGCACTGCCGAGGCCAAAGAAATTTCATAGGTTCATGGAGTATATTGCTTTCTGACAGACCGATCGATGTTTTAGCAGGAAGGGATGATAACAGATAGAAGGGAATTGTATTGTAAGATCTTGAATATTGGAATTATAGGATTAGAGGGGTTTCTTGATTATGGCGGTCAATGGAGGTTGCATTATATAGTGGCCTACATATGCAGATAGTTCGTATATAAAGAGATCCACGCTTGATATTTATCTGCGGAAATCACCAGCAAGTAATGAAATGTTTGACCTCTAGCCATGTCTTCGATATGTACTCAATCCATGTATGATATAATGATCACATCAACTCGGCCAAAAACACCTCAACCTTCTTCCCCTGCTCTGTCTTTGTATTATCCCCCATCTCCAAATGATAAATCGGCGCAACGTGACACTCGCGACGACCAACAAACAACTCCACATTCCCAAAGCCCTCCTTAAACTTAGCCGCCAAGTCCTGAATTAGGGGCAACATGATCTCATTTTCGCCCGCGGTAATCAAAACCGAGTTCACCGGAAAGGTCGTAAACCAATCCGTCGGCGCAGTCGATAAATCAGTGTAATAGTCCCGCTTACCAGAGCCAATATAGGCAGTCGACCAGGGTCCCGCAACTGCTTCGGTGATAATATCGCCGCCATCGTAGATCTCCATGTCCCGGAATTCTTTCTCCAGAAGTGTCCACGGTGCAATCATGACTGCGCCGGCGAGGTTGCTTTGCAGTGGCAGGGGATCAATATCCGCGTGTGGGTGGGCCAGGTGAGAGAGTACTCCACTAGCTAGGTTCCCGCCTGCCGAGTCGCCGCCTAGGAAAACCGTGGACGGGTCGCGGTTTGGCTGCGAGAGGATGTATCGCAGACAATTCACGGCTTGTCGGAGTTGCGTCGGGTAGACTGCAATTGGGGCTAAAGTGTATGTTAGACTGAAGACCGCGACGCTTTTGCCCGATGCTTTGAGGTCGCGCACGAGCTGCGCGTAGAATTTGAAATAGCCCAGGTTGGCGGGGAGTCCGAAGCCACCCCCTGAATGGTGTCAGTCTAATGGTCTTTCTTTGTGTTGACTGTATCCATACCATGAAACCAGATTATCACATTGTCGGCATTTCGATCGCCTACCCAGTGGCCCAATGCGCCATCCCCCAATTGTACGGATTCGGGCAGTGCGCCGGTTGATTTGGAGTGTTGTTCGTATATCTTGTGAGATGGTGGTAGCAGGTACTGCATCTGACTCGCGGTCAATCGCGTGCTCGACTTGCGGAACACCGCATATCCCAAATGAAGGGATAAAGTCTTGGCTTGGCGCTCGGTGCGCCGGAGGCCGGTCAGGAGAGCATAGATGTAGGCAAGTAGGATGGAAGCTACGGCTGGGAAAAAGTCCAGCTTCTCCAGCAAGGAGAGCTTCACTTTAGTCACTGTAAGAGACATGGTTGTAATTGAACTTTGATAAAGTGTGAGGCCATAGATATATTTTGGCCGTTTAAGTGTTGATCCTTCGCATGGCTATCCCATTTAGGAAATTGCCGAGGTTTCTCTCTCTTGAATATCGTTCTGACATGCATCTCTATGAAGGGCACACTAGCAGTCTGTATAGATCTCTATAGATTTCTGCATCTAACTATAGGTGTCGATTTAAGAATTTAAGACGTTGAACCAGATAGATCTGTGTAACTCTCTACGGTTTTATTCATTGAATTCTAGATCCTGTATTCTATATTATACGTGTCATATAAGTAGCACATGCATTCGTATTCCAATAATTTCCCCGACCTCCCCGATCTCCCCGTGAAGCTCCAGAGAGCGTTTAAGGTTTTACGTGTTGTTTACCCCATATCGACCACAGCTGCGTCGATCCGTCGATCAAAATGTGAAACCGAGGTGTCGACATTCTTCTTAAATAACAATGCTGTTACTGACTGTTTTCTGATTGCATTCATCATGAATGGAACAGTCAAAATGAAAGATAAACAATTCGATATTATTATCGTCGGCGCAGGTATCTCCGGCATCAACGCCGCCTACCGTGTCCAAACCCAACTTCCCGGCTACACCTACACTATCCTGGAAGCTCGCACCGATCTTGGGGGTACCTGGGATCTTTTCAAGTATCCTGGTATCCGTTCCGACTCTGACCTTTTCACCTTTGGCTTCCAATTCAACCCCTGGTCCCGTGATAACCCCATCGCCGAGGGCTCCGCCATCAAGGAGTACATCCACAAGACAGCGACCAAATACGGTATCGACAAACACATCGTCTATAATCACCGCGTATCCTCATCAGCCTGGTCCTCTGAAGAAAACTCCTGGTCGCTCGCTGTCGATCACAATGACTCCGAATACACCTACACCGCCCGCTACGTTATTTTCGGCACGGGCTACTACAACTACAAGGATCCCCTGACAGCCGACATCCCTGGTCTGGACGCCTTCCAGGGCCAGATCGTGCACCCGCAATTCTGGCCCGATGACTTCCAATACAAGGACAAGAAAATAGTCATCATCGGCTCCGGTGCGACCGCCATAACTCTCCTCCCCAATCTCGCCGACCATGCCGCCCGTGTCACAATGCTCCAGCGCAGTCCGACCTACATCCTTTCCGTCCCGAATCACTCAAGCAGCCGCTGGCTCTCATACCTCCTCCCTGCTGCCCTGTATTATAGGCTACAGCGCACGATATGGATCTGTGCCACGCGCATCTTCTTCCTTTTCTGCCAGCGCTTCCCGAATTTCTCCCGCTGGCTGCTTAAGTTGAATGTGCGCAAGCAGTTGCCCAGTCATATCCCCCATGACCCACATTTCAAGCCCAAATACAACCCCTGGGAGCAGCGATTGTGTGTTTGCCCCGATGGAGATCTGTTCCGCAGTCTTCGACAGGGCAAGGCGGACGTGAAGACTGATACGATTCGCGAGGTTACAAAGAATGGTATTATCTTGAATTCTGGCGAGCAGCTCGACGCAGATATTATCATTACTGCTACTGGTTTGCGCTTGCAGATTGCAGGTGGCGCGGCGTTGTATGTGGACGGGAAGGAGGTTGATATCGGTGATAAGTATCTGTGGAACGGAGTCATGCTCCAGGATGTACCCAATGCTGCTTTCGTTATTGGGTATACCAATGCCTCCTGGACTCTTGGTGCGGATGCCACGGCCCAGTTCATCTGCCGTTTGCTCAAGGAGCTTGAGTCGCAGAAGTTGATCGCTGCTGTCCCCCGCTTGAAGGAGAAGGAAGCTGCTACACTCGAGGATCGTCCTCTCTTGAATCTCAAGTCGACTTACCTGTCTATTGCCGGGCGTGTATTACCTAAGGCTGCTGATCGTGGTCCATGGCAGCCGCGCGATCACTACCTGAAGGACATGAAGTTTGCTATGCGTGGTGATATTAATACCGGACTGGAGTTTGTGCAGGGCCCGAGTCTGCGTCTCCGCCCTAAGATGTCCTAATTGATGCATGTGTATGATATGATATCGCCCTAACTATTATGTGAGTTTGTTTGATTCGGTGTATGGCGTTTGCAGGCCCAGTATACAATATAATTATTCCTATTCTTCAGCTGTGCAATCTCCCTTCCCCGTTGAACATTAAATATGTTGCAAGTGAGGTAATCAACAGCTAGTATATCTCCCGCATCATTATCCCGATCAGCTTATCAGCTTATGCCTATGCATCTATCGGAGTCGCGCAGACACTCATATTCCCAAAATACCATCCATGTTCGGGATTCGGCCACCTCAAATCATGATCTGAACCAGCATTTCCCGCATTGCTATTGATCCCTTCAACATATTGTACCCCATCAGCGGTGGCCTGCACTCCAGTCTCCTGAGTAATCCAATATTCAGGCGAGGGCTGGCTCCAATCCAAGAACAGCAGATTGAGCGGTACTTTCGGTACGGGATCTGTAGTATGCGTGGCTCGGTAGATACTGTTTGATATTTGTTGGTCGGTGATAAACTCGGCCAGTTTCATATTTCCTGGTTTTGGGCCTCCGAATGTCCACTGACGAGGGTTATAGGTTAGATGGAGCGTAGATAATTTTTTTTAGTTTTGCAAACTCACAATGTCTAGACTGAACCCTTGTGTTCGGAGAGTAGTCCCTGCTAGCGTCGCAATACCCCCACCTAGACTATGTCCAACAACACTCAACCTATATCCCGGATATGAGCTGGTTGCATCACGAAGCTGGGACGTCACCTGATTCGCTACAGCGGTCCAGTATACCCAGAACCCATGATGGGCTTTGCATCCGGTGCAAACCTGATCAATTGGGGTGAGAACGATATCAAGATCGGTGTTGCCGTCGCTTTCAGATACCGTTCCGCGGAATGTTAGGAGGATTAGTTGCCGTGTGTGATCTAGGGCGATGTAGCCTGTCGGCCCATTGTCGCTGTGAAATGTACTGACCACTGTTGTGTTGTCGGCTGCTACAAGTTCGCAGGTTCCGTAGTCGCAGGTCAGGCTTTGGCCCGTATGGTTTATGTTTTGGTCGCAGGCCGATAGGCTGGCAAATTGGGAGAATAGGGTAAATCGTTCAAGTAACTCGGTTGGGATTGCTAGTACAGTTTCATCGTTAGATTTACGCGGTGCTTCATTGTATGTGAAACTTACCTCGGCGCGCTAGTTGGATAGGAGATGCAATGGCTGTTATGCTGAGTGGTGATAACACTGCCAGCATACATGTTATTGACCTAACCATATTGAACAAGACGTGATATAATAGTGTTGAACGCCTAGATGGATGGCATGTATAGCATATATTGGGGCGGAATATCTTGCAAATGTGGTGCTTTGTAGGTCTACTCTCTTTATCTCCGAGAACTGAGGCCATATTTATACTTCTTCTTCCATTGCTAATGGTAGCCCACTCATGGAATGACGACTCCAAGGAGGGGTAATGGCTGTAGGGTTCATTGCTATGTACTGTGATACAATTTGTGTGGAGCTGAATTGTATAACCACCAGCTGACTATACCCGCAGCACTAATCTTGCACCCGGAGGATAACCTAGTTTTATAACTCGACTTTGGGGCTGAATAACCAATCAATGTTGTTGAAACAACCATAGTTCCTCGACACACCGAGGATGCCGTCGGGTGGCACCGGGAATGGTTGCACTGCATTCCCATACGTACATGTGCATCGTTTATGGCTGTAATCTGTACATTTTGATTAACGGTACCCCTTGCATTTTTATGTAGTGCAACCTTTAATTGAGCATGCCGTAGCTAGACATGCTCGCACGTGTGACTATGATGTATGTATGTACTAGAACCGCTTGATACAAATCTCGCCGATCTCTTACTTGGCTTCGTGTGATTAAATGTGCATTCAAATACTAAATGTTCTCACCCAATAAATTGCATGCTATCATTGCCTTTGAATCATGTGTGTATATCATCACATTCGCATGCATGTGCACGGCATTCTCAACCCCGCAATCATCCCCATGTGGTTGTCAGATCTATTGCTAAGGTAGCATGACCACCGATAATTGCTTTTTCTGTCTTTTTTCAGCTGAGGGGAGGGCTCTCAACTTACTCTATTCTTCTCATATGGTGATACTAGCGTGAAAACATAATTCACGACTTTTTAGCTGAGAGTTATTAGTAGATGTTTTATTCTTGCCTTATACAAATGTTGTGAAATTTTCTCTTTATGCAGGGCACCTCTCTATATTTTGATTAAGGCTAGCTCTTGTCACATTATCGAACCATGCTAAAATTAACGAGACTCACGCCATTTAGACTGAAAATTGATACTTCCTAGAATCTTCTAATTACACGGGTAACCTAAACAGCCTGACTTGGATGTATACCTTTAATGCCGCATTAAAAGCCTGAAGTAATGACCCTGATATGCTGGATAAGGAACTTGACATATAGCCTCCGTATGTCCTTGCTATCTGAGCCCAATACACTCTTTGTGAAGCTGAACCCGGCGATTTCGAGTGATATATGTATTCTATGCAATTCAATCATAGATTGCCATAGGTTGCAATGAGAAATGCAAGATCCTCCAGATAGGCCTGTGTAGTCTCGATAAGGGAATATATATGAATTGGCATTATATATGCCAAGGTTTGCTCCCTGCAACAAATGACCTTTCTCAGACCATATTTGCAGCTGTGTGCCAAGCCGCTTGTTTCTCTGAGAAAGGAATCCTCATACATCACTTCTAAGTTTCTCAATATCCAATATGATTGGATGGGGAGCTCGGAGAAAGCGGTCGAGCTTTGGTGATACGGCAAGATGGCAGAGCATACGGAACGTTGCCTAGTTCATAGTTTCTGAGCTGTCAGTCGACGCAGCTGAGCTAGATGTACGCTTGCAGCAGATTGATAGCGGTGGCCGGCGAGGGGTTGGCACCAAGAGGGTACTTGGCTGGTCTATCTCTGGTTGTACGACCTCAATACAAATAGTAGCTCGACCCCGGCTATGCATTCTCCAGAAAACCTTATGGGATCACATTCAAACAGCGAAGAGCCTGAATCCACGAATATGACCCTGGCCAAACACCACTTCAGGATGCTCAGCAGTAAGTAGCCGTGGGTGTATCTGCTCACGGGAGAATGGGGAGTATGCAAAAGAACCAGGCATATGAGATGTCTGGTTAGGATTTGTGGTAAATCTCAGATTGGAGTGGGATGATTTTCAATTTTAGTTTGATTTTCCACGATGTTCTTGAGTAATTTCACTGTACCAATACCAACACTCCGGACTAGGTGTGAAGATTAACCTATAATGAGGCGCTCCTTGGAAGAAATAGAGTTTAAACTTGGGGGAATTTAACTTTCAAGTAATATTTAAGGTTAACCTTAAACCACAGTAGGGAAAAAAGTTGCTCAGGTCCACTGGTGCCCAGGTGGATTTCGTCAATTTCAAACCATGGCATACAATACAACCTCACATTCCGGATGATGTAACTCGATGACACCGCCCGGGCGCCCGGGCACCTGGGCACCTGATATATCTATCCAGCAAGATTCTCATCTCGCTTTCATCGCACCACATTGGACCAATAAATATCCTACATCTATGTCACCTAAAGACAAGTATAGCGACCCCAAACTTCGCGATGAAGTCAAAAAGGAAGTCCACGACGGCGATAAGGGCGGGAAACCTGGCCAATGGTCTGCCAGAAAGGTAGTTGGCACCACTGCTCCTATTCCAATCCCTTGATATCTCCTGGTGTGTTGACACTCGTGCAGGCCCAAATGATGGCATCTGAATATAAAAAGCGCGGTGGCGGCTACAACACCACAAAGGAAGAAGGTCAGACCGAATCTCAGAAACACCTCGAGAACTGGACAAAAGAGGAATGGCAGACGAAGGAGGGATCTGGCACGGCACGACAGGATGATGAATCGCGTAAACGGTACCTACCGAAGAAAGCCTGGGAGAAATTGAGTGAAAAGGAAAAGGAGGAGACGGATGAAAAGAAGGTTGCCGAGTCACAAGGAGGGAAGCAGTTTGTTGGTAATACCGCAGAGGCAAAGGAGGCAAGGAGGAAGGTCAGTTTTGATGTTGAGAACGAGGGCCAGGAGATTGAGGTAGATTCGAAGGATATTCGACCGAATGGGGAGACTGGTGAAACTGAGACAGAGAAGAACGAGGAGGAGAACGAGGAGGAGAACGAGGAGGAGAACGAGGAGGAGAACGAGGAGGAGAACGAGGAGGAGAACGAGGAGGAGAACGAGGAGGAGAACGAGGAGGAGAACGAGGAGGAGAACGAGGAGGAGAACGAGGAGGAGAACGAGGAGGAGAACGAGGAGGAGAACAAGGAGGAGAACACGGACGACAAGAAAAAGGATGACGAGAAAGGCGGCGCGGGAACCAAACGCAGTGCGAATCAGGATGCAACACCAGAAAAGAAACAGAAGAATAGTGCTAGGATGCAAAGTCTGCGGAAGAGAAATTAATTTTGATTCATTTGCAGTTGGTTGAGACTGCATGGAAAGACAAGCGTAGGATGTTCTACCAACAGCACGATGGAGACATGATACTGTGATGTATTCGAGCCGTAGAAGGAACATTCTAGTCAAGGACAGACAGTGACTAGATCGGGACAGAGACAGCCTCTGGGGCCACCCTACGTATAGTCCTAAAAAAGACAACAAAACAAAAACGACCTAGGACGATGTTTACGAAAGAAATGCAAAAAGATAAAAAGAAAAAAATATTTGATTAAATGAAATATCATTTCAATGGGTATCCGTGGTCTTCTTGAAGCTCTACTTGTTAATGTTCAGCTTTTAACCAGTCATGCCAGGAGATTAACCCAAAACCATACATATGTACCATTACTTCATCCTGACATATCTCGTTCGATACGAAAATTTCTTCACTTGCGCTCCACATCTTCAGCACGCTGGGGTTCAAAGTGGCTGTCTGGCAACATGTTCATAGCATCCTCCTGGCCGTCCAACTTGTAGTTGGTGGCCCAGAATCCAATAGCGCCGACGAAGGCGAGAATAGCAACCACAGTGTAGTTCCAGACCAAGAGAGGATCATCAGCCAGACCAATGAAAGCCTGACCAATGGCAGATGAGAAAGCGTTCATCAGCAGGGACACAGCCTGCACGAGGGAACGCATGTTCTTCGGGGCCTTGGTGTAGGCATACTCAAGGGAAGTCACGGATGCCAAGATCTCGGAAATACCACCCAGGATGTAGGCCAGGGCCTGGACCCAAACGGAGATGTTGCTGTGCTTGTGTTCCTCCTCGAGACAGTAGTTGGCCTGGTTACCGCAGGGTCCCATCTTGTAAATATAATGTTGGGTGACTGCGGCGACGACCATACCGAGGGCAGCCACAACGAAACCGGATGTGATACGCTTCAAGGGTGTGAAGTTGAAACCCATCTTACGCAAACCGGGGTAAACGAGCTGATCGAAGATGGGGATGAAAATGATCAGTGCGATGGGGTTGAGATTGTTGATGATGTCGTTGGGGACACCTCCCAGTTTCATGGTGGCCGCTTGAGATGTGAGGTTGTTCAACATCTGGTTGTAGGCGAGCCCTAGAGATAGTCAGAATATGGAAAATACAGTGGACAAGAATTCGTCACATACAGTAGAGAGGGTACCACAAAAAGACTCTGCAGGCCATCAGTCCTCGTCGAACTTCATCAACCCACGCATCATCGAAGTCCATCCACACGGGCTTGCTGGCTCCGAGGTGGCTGGGCTTAACATTGGCCCAAATATCAGTATTAGAGGACCGGAACCTAGAAATGAAGGTCAGTAAATGCAACTTGTTCGTTCACTAGATGTAGCTTACCATCTCACGGGGTTCAGACTCCAGTGGCCCTTCATCGCCAATTTCCATAGCTTGAAAGCCTTGGGGTAGATTGATCCACTTGGGGGAGTCAGGATGTATTGCTTCTTGCAAAGGAGCAATACCAGAGGGCAAATACAGAACAGGCCTGTGGGGAGAAGGTACGACAGCCAGAAACCGACATATCGCTCGGCGTAGACCATGGCGATCTGACCAACAAATGAGCCGATGTTGACCATCATGTAGAAGTACATGTAGATACGAGAAACAGTGGCAGCTGGGTCAACAATGACACGCTCACCACTCTCAAGGGTCCTTATGTAGGGCTTGTCGTCGCGATATTGTTCTGCGATCAGGGGAGCGATGTTGGCCTTGAAACCACCAGTTCCAATACCCATGATGATAAGACCAACAGAGAAGCATCCAATGGCTCCATGGGGATTGTTAATAACGTTGGGAATGGCGGAAATAATGAGAATGACGTGTCCAAGCAGTGCACAGGCAATGGCAGACATGATGGTGCGGTAGCGACCCCAATATTGATCAGCAACCAAGGCACCGAACAGGGGCATGACGTAGGACCAGAACTGGTTGACTGTGCAAGTCAGGCGTATTAGCAATGAATTGAGCCTACGGGACCATATCACTTACAAAGTGTCAAACCGGTGGAGGCCTGTTGGCCCATACCCAGAGCTCCGGGTGAATCATTGTTCCAGTCAGAGATGCCTGCAACAAGGGCTCCGGTGCTGGATCCAGTAGGCAAAGGTCGCTGAATAAAATTGACGACTGATTCAGGTTAGCCATTTATCCTTCCTCAGTTAAAGAATGATTGTCCATACAAACAGCAGTGGTACCGTAGTACGAGAAACGCTCGCACAGTTCGACGAAGGCAACACTGTATGCTGCTATGGGCAGCTTGCCGGCGACACGGCGCAAATTGGCCAGATCAGCCTCGTTGGGATAGGTCTTATCCATAGAATCATCAACATCGAATGATGAATCTCGTAGGGGAGGGGCATTGTCGATAGTCATCTCATCAACCACTGGGATTTTCTCGTTCATTCCCCTGGATTGACCAGCTAGGATTTTCCCTTCGATTTCTTTGGAGCTGTCAACAGTTGGGATTTTCTCTTCGATACCGATATCATGGGAGATTGCCCTGGCTTTGGCAAGCTCAGCCACCTCGGCAGGATCGCTGGCGTTCATAGTGGCAGTTCTGGGATCCAAAGATATGGGAGATGAAACACACAACAGAAAGAAAAGAAAAGAAAAACTTGCGGGAGGGCGAGATGAAGCAATTATATGCACATCGCGTGATTAGCGTAGCGCCATTTGGGGTTTGGAAGAGTATTACCTCTCTCTTTTCCTATTCTAGAACCGGGGCATTATCTGAATTGGGACGTGGCGGACGGCGGACATGGCAAAAACCGTCAATAGCCGGGACAGACCCTGCATCTAGTACTTTTCCTAGATTAAGTCTGTTATGTTTGTGGCTCCAATGAGCTTTGTTACCGGCCTGACCACTCTTTTTTTCCCATGATAAGCAAAGGTCAGCATACTGTGTAGCTTCATTCGAAATCAAAAAAGATCCCGGAATGCTAATAGATGCCAAGACTTTCATCATCCAATCAATCAGCTGTTGTGGGCTTTGGCCCTCAGCTTTAGTGCCACCAAGACCCACTTAGCGTGGCTTGGCACGACTTGGCGCGGTCAAGCCGAGTGTCTCCCCGCGCCATGCCGCTTGGCTGGTAGGTTACATTGCAACCTTGTCTGCTTGGCCACCTCGTCTTACCCTATCACAGCCAAGAATGGCGATAACCGAGGTGAGATAACTGGTATCTCTAATATCTAAATAATATCTCACACATGGCCTCGGCCCAATCACACACAACCCCCTCGCGCGATGGCAAAAATTGTGGGAACTGATTAGACTCACGCCAGAATTGCCACTATCCACCTGGGGAAGTGAGACACCGTGTGGTTAGGCCATTGGGCCATGTGATGTTGTGATCAAATTACCCGAGTGCTTTACAAACTCCTTCCGCATTGGCAGGGGTCTTGGTCCGTCGGTGTCCGGCAATCGGCCTCGTATAAGCTCATGACTGTTAAAATTGACTACCTGTTTATTGTTAGGAACTATCGGGTTTCGCCCCAAGGTCTCATGCGATTAGGCCTCTTGATTGCACTTCGCGCTTCCTTCCATACAATCCATCGTCCGACATTGGAGAGTGTTTTTCACCACCTCGTATCTCTTGAGTATTTCCAATATCCAGTTTTCCATCCGTCAAGATGTCGTCGACTTTGATGTGAATGACGAGCACCCGGTCGATCATTACAGCCATTGTGCGCATCAGTGGGTTGCAAAGAAGTTGGACGTTGGAGTGATATTTGCACTGGAAATTCTCAGTGATTTCTAGACCATTGCGACGTTTATTAATGTTGCGGGTTCTTGCTCATTTTGGTATACAACATGCTGAAACGCATTTCCCTGATCGGCAAATATTTTCACCGCTCGGGGCTAAATTCTAAAGAACCTTGCCCGTTTGCTTATTGACTATTGCATCCCTGTCCTGCATCCTTGTCCTGCATCCTTGTCCTGCATCCTTGTCAGCTCTATTAATTGTTTGATTGGACGATAACCTCATAAATGACGGATCGAATGTTCGTTGAACTGCAAGTACCGAGCCAAATTGGCTTTGCCTGTCTTGTTTTTGAGTGGATATACGATCGCGTGACTGCATGCCTGCATTGTTGCATTGTCAGATTATATTTCAATCCATACAAAGTACTCGAAGATACTAACTTTGCAAGGATCGCGAGGTCAGCTACTCTAGGTTGTATGGATTACGTATCTTTTACTAATCCCTCTTTATCACTTTTCAGCCCTGGAGGGTTTCCCTATTGAGGAATCCCGAGGTCTATGAATCGAAATTTATCTGACACTATCCATATGCGAAACATAATCCAAAAGGTCTGTACCGAGTACAAAATATGGCATTGAAGTGGCCATTGCACAATATATATATGCCCCACATTTGGGACTACTCGTTGGTAGTGGAATGACAAATATAGTGGCATCCCCAGATCATATGGATAAACCCACCTGATAGTGCAAATGCATACTCCTTACGGAGTACACTCCTGGGCAGGGAGAAGAGCCGGGTTGACCGGCCCGGTGTAAAGGTAATTCGATAGACACTTTCCTTCGCGATTTACCTCAATCTTAATTTACACAGTATTTTTGATATCTATCTCAATATTTTCTTCTCATCTTTTATTTTTGATCCTTCAAAGCTATCAAGGCTAACTACGGTCGCAGTCGAGTCAATTAACAATAAACCCGAGGGTGCGGCCATCCCCCTGTCTGTGAAAGGAGAAATCTTCCCTCACCAATCCAATCAGCTCCCAGGCACAATTCCCCCGCATCTTCGGTACTCTTGCCTCATAAATCATGCGAGGGATGTTATCAAAACTTGGCTGACTGGCGGATCATCTCACATTGGCTACAGGCTCTATCGTGACATGGTAAAACACCCCCAATCAGCAAAATGTCCCGATACCACCCCAAATCACACCGAGATATCCCTACTCCGTACAGGGGAGAAATATTACAAGAATGCCAGATCGACCTTATCAAGATCCTGGCCTTGATCCTACCCTATATCGCACTGACAGTTCTTCTAACCTTTTTGGAAGCCTGATCGATCTGACTAAGATCCTGACCCCGGTCGCAATCTACCTCGGATCGACAACTGAGCTATGGAGAGAGAACCCGAGGGAATATTGGAAGGTTTACCCCTGTTTACATCAACAGGCCCTGGCAAGGCGAGGTTTCTCACGTGAAAACCAGATCGATCTGACTAAGATCTGGTCGCGACTTTCATTCCAGATTTGACCGACGGCTTTGACAAAGGGTTTCTCGAAAGAAAACCAGATCGATCTGATGACCTGATCAAAATTTCAGCCCCTCTCATCCCTCACTCGAATGGAGGAAAGAACATAAGAATTACGGCATACAGACCGACTGGTCTACCACGCGCGCAACTGTTTGTGACGAGCGCTCTGTCTCATCGCCGAGCCCCAGCACCTCTAGTAAACCAACCAGATACGGAAGAAGGAAAGGCGCAACATGCACTAGGATCTAGTCTTTAGCATTCCTCTCTACATCTCCTTCACCAAAATGCACCTCTGGGCAATGTACGAGGTCAACCGGGAAATAAAGCCTCATGTTGGCCATTACGTGATACATAGTGAAAATTGAGGCTCCTTTTTACAGCCGAGGGAATATTGCTTTGTTCTGGAAGCGGCGTATATCGCAACAACTCGCGCTGGTCCCGAGCTCTGACCAACGAAACTGTCAGAAACCTCGTTGCAAAGCCAGCATGTCACTGGAATTCTCGATCATACCGACTGGTGGCAATCTAAGCCCTGCCCTACCTCGAGTCGATCATGTGTGGTATATTCGTGTTTACATATATCTCTAGTTGGAGCGCACCGGTGAATGTGGCCACGCCATTCCTGTGGTCGATTTTACCATAAGAGAAATAGTTTGGTTCGATGAAAAATTCATAATCTAGGTTATGTAGACTATGGGCTGAATACTAGACAAAGCAAGATAAAAGTTCTTTTTGACCTGAAATATAGTCTATAATCTCAAGTATCACTATGTAATTCAATCTTTGGAGCCCTTTTTGGTTGATGCCTTGTCGGTTGACGCCTTTCCTTTGGAAAGAATTTTCGTTTCGCTTCCGAGACAAAGAAAGCTAATTCCAAAATACATGGGTAACGAATTGTGCCTTTAAAGCTTCTAGCGGTGTCGTTGTCTTGTCCCAACGGCGGCCACGGCTCCATAATGTCCACTTTTCGTGCAGCAGTTTCGGTAAAGATAATTGCATTTCTCCGATATATATTGGACGTCTTCCCCGAGAGTGATGACGAGATTGTATAAAAGAATAGCTCACCATCCTCTATGGACCTAGAGACCATACTGCCTTCCAAATCTAGGTACTACATCCGAACCAGCTCAATTAGAGACTCCATAGATCAGGATGCCTTTTAGATACGGATGACCTGGATGGAAGGGGGGAAATGAGACATCTCCTTGTGAAAGGGTAATTAGTATGGTGCATTTCCATGGTGTGAGTTATGAATTCGGGTACGTTGCCCACATCAAGCAGGAGCCTTCAGTATTTGTGATATATGCTAAAATAGTCTAGCATCCGAGTTTTGAAGGTGAATTTACGATATTTAACCTTTGCCACATATGTCATGGTTGTAGGGCTTACGAGAAAATCTAGGGGAAACTCACGATGTCGACTAATTGAGCTGTATGGCACGTGCGAGCAGCCATATTTTCCCGTTTGACTTCTCGTAGTCTTTTCCTTTCAACAGCACAGTCATCTTACGTTCAAGGGTCATCTTACTTTCCGACAGTGACAGAGCGACAGGGACAGATGCGAGGAGTTTTGTAGGGACCGCGACCCCTTATTCATGGATTCTCTCTCAAAACAGGGTGGCGGATATGAAAACAACCAGGACGCCGAGATCAAACCGCTCAGTTTATCAAGTGGGATCGTTCAATTCTAGGTGACGTCTATCTGGAAAACAGAGTTTTCCCCCTAGAAGACGATCTTCAACTCGTGTCATCGGGCGTGGGAAATGGGCAACCACACGGTACGATATACGCCCCTTGCGTCAGATTGGCTGAACTGTAGGTCACAGCATTCCCTAATTGACGTACATTCCTATCGACTGTGACTCGCGATCCTTCTCGATGATCCAGCCACATTTTCATGACCACGGCCCCACCCATGTTAGATGCCCTGCATGATACGCATGGGGGATATAGCCCTGCATTGAATTATCCTCGCATGAGCAATGCACCGAGTTATCCACCATTTTGAGTTGGGAACATACTTTTTCTACTGTATCTCATTTGTTGGCTGGGCATAGCGAGGGCTAAAATCGAAATGACTAACGGAATCTAACGGAGAAGACACATGCTCATGTTCTTCGAGTTATGAAACTGTGAAACATGCCCATCCAGATTTGCCCTTGATATTTGTTGGCAGTGGAAATTACAGACATTCTATATATATGCCCCTTGGTTGCCCAATCGACATGAGGATTGCGGGGCATCGGCGAAACGCATCCACCAGTGCATTAAAACCCCTTCTGCCGAGTTCAATGAAGCATCACAATGCCTTCCATCTTGAAATTGATCTTGCTGTCTGCTTTGCCTCTGGTCTGGGCCGTTCCGGCACAAAAGAGAGCATCTGACCCAACTGTGATCATCTCCAAGCCCGAGGCCACTGTTGTTGGCTCCACGGGTATCGACAAGGTTGACAAGTTCAATGGTATCCCATTTGCGCTGCCTCCGACTGGCTTCCTTCGGTTGAAACCACCTCAGCCAATCAAAACATCCCTCGGGACCATACAGGCTACTTCTGCTGCGAAGTCTTGCCCGCAATTCACCTTCAGCACCGACGAAAAGAACATGCCTAGTTCTGTAATTGCAAATCTCATCAACATCCCAATCTTCCAGCAGATCATCAATTCTGGCGAGGACTGCTTGACTCTCGATGTACGCCGTCCGTCCGGAACTAAGGCAGATGCAAAGCTGCCGGTGCTCGTCTGGATCTTTGGTGGTGGCTTTGAACAAGGTGCCTCTACACGATATGACGGATCAAACTTCGTGACAAGCTCTGTGAGCCTGGGTATGCCAGTTATCTTTGTGACTATGAACTATCGTCTTGGAGGGTTTGGGTTCTTGCCAGGTGCAGAGATTCTGAATGATGGCTCTGCCAATATCGGACTAGTGGATCAGCGACTTGCTTTGAAATGGGTTGCAGACAACATCGGTGCATTTGGAGGTGATCCATCTAAGGTCACTCTTTGGGGCGAGTCTGCTGGTGCTATCTCAGTGTTTGATCAGATGGCCATGTATGATGGTGACAATACATACAATGGGGCGCCGCTTTTCCGTGGTGCCATCATGAATTCTGGAAGTATTGTGCCTGCAAATCCCATTGATGGCACCAAAGGCCAGGCTATATATGATGCTGTTGTCAAAAACGCCGGCTGCAGTGGCGCCAGTGACACCCTCGCATGTCTACGCGGGCTGGATTACACCAAGTTCCTGAACGCTGCCAACTCAGTCCCGGGAATTTTGAGTTACAATTCCGTCGCTGAGTCATATTTGCCTCGTCCCGATGGCACGATCTTAACCCAATCACCAGAAAAATTAGTCATGCAAGGTAAATACGCTTCGGTGCCATTCATCATTGGCGACCAAGAAGATGAGGGCACCATCTTTGCTCTATACCAAACCAATTTGACGACAACCGAGCACATTGTGGACTATCTAGAGAACCTATATTTCTTCGATGCCTCGCGACAGCAACTCACTGATTTCGTTGCCACCTACAAAGATACCCAAGAATACGGCTCGCCCTTCCGCACGGGATCCTTGTACAACTGGTACCCACAATATAAACGACTGGCAGCAATCCTGGGCGATCTATCTTTCACTCTGACACGCCGGGTCTTCCTGAACCTCGCCCAGATAGCGAAACCAGATGTTCCTTCCTGGTCCTACCTGGCAACCTATGCCCATATCATTCCCTTCCTAGGAACCTTTCATGGATCTGATATCCTGCAGGTTTTCTATGGAATCCTGCCAAACTATGCATCAAAATCAATACACTCATACTACTTGTCATTTGTATATGAGCTCGATCCCAACGCAAAGGCTGGAGATTATATGCACTGGCCACGATATGATAATAACCAGTCGTTGATGAACTTTTGCATTGATCGTGGTCTTCTCCTGCCGGACAATTTTCGTCAAGATACCTATGACCATATGATGGCGGACATTGGTGCATTCCATATTTGAGTGGGAACGTAAGTATGGATGAGTAGGAAATTCACGAATTACGGCTATATGAATTATGTGTCACGATATATAGCCTAGCTAGTACTGTGTTCTGGGATTTGGTACGCAAAGTTGTGCTATAGAAAGTAGGTAGTTATAAATGACATTCGCAGATTTGAGTCATAAATTCATCTCCAAGCCAAGTTTGTCATCAGGACGAAGTCCTTGTTTATCTCCAACTTGCACTCACAGTGGCTGTGGCTCCAGTGCATCCAGTCGGCACCGTGAACGACCGATTGGGATCACTTTCCCATGTCACAGCTGTAGATCCGGTCGTTTGCCTGAAGAATTTATACTCGAAGGTTGTACCGACAGGGAGTGTGATAGTCGCCTGCCACAAAGGATTGGAAGCGGTGTAGCTGCTTGCAGATAGTGCAACGCCCTTAGTCGTGTCCCAGGTTCCAAGTTGGCTGATCGATCCTGTGAGGTAGATATTCTGGCCGTAGACAGTAGTCACAAGCTCCTTAAACAAGACGGGCAGTGCAGTAGCTTGAACGCAGCTCCCTGTAGTGGTTGTTGTAGAGGTCTGGGTCTGAGTCGCTGTGGTGGCTGTGGTGGTGGGACCGGTTGAGCCGCAGAGTCCGTTGCTCACGGATGATGCGAGGATAAACACCCGTGGTAATCCTGATGCCATTGGCACGGCGATTTGACCGCTGGAATCCACTGTAACAGATGTGCAGGTGTACAGCTCCATCAGCTTGGTGCCGGATGAATATCCGCTGCCACCCAAGTACAATGTGTAGGAGGATCCAGATGATCCGGCATTGGAAAGCACTGTTATGACTGGCGAGCCGCCCGATCCCTTCTTCATGGCTATTGTGTGGCTGTCTTGATAGAAGGGGACATTCTTATAACTTGTCAGTGTTTTTCACTAACATCGCTTTAGAAATACGTACCTTGTTTGTGATATAGCTGGAGTCTGCTGCGACTGCCGCTTTGCGGATCTTGTTGGTAGTCGCAATGTACTGGTATAGCTCTGATGTGGTAGAGTATCCAGAGAGCCAGATAGCTTCGCGGTTGGCTGGGTCGTTTCCACCACTATAGTGTTGTTCCTGGCCGGAATACACAATGGGAATACCATCTGATAAAAAGAGGAATGCGAGCACATTCTTAGCCTGTGAGTAGTCGCCCGTGTAGCTATGAAGGAAGGCAGTTAGTCTCGGGTACCTCTGAGAGCTTCAAATATCTCACCTTGGGAAACGTGGGTTATCGTGGTTCTCGATGAAATTGCCCAGTAGAGTTGAATCCGCACAATCATATGCCACAGTGCCAATCATGTTATACAAATCGCTGATGCTGCCGCTGGAGGACTGGAACGCACGTAGCAGTGGGTAATACCTAACCAGTCAGTTTTTAGTTGGGAAGCCGGGCGGCAGTCATCTCACATGGGGTAATTCAAGACACCATCTATGTAGTGCTGATAGTCGCAAGTGTAAGCTGGATCTCCATCAAAGACCTCCCCGACACTGTAGACGCCTGCTGCGCTATTAAAGCCAGGCCAGAAGGACTTCTGGACATGCTTCACAGTATCGACGCGCAATCCATCAACTGAGAATGTTAAATCTATTTTTCATGTCGCTGGATTTATTAGACTTACTGGAGTACGTAGACACCAGATTGGAAATCCAGCTATTCCAGAGACTCTGCACTGAGCTCTGTGTTGTGTCAAGATCTGGCAATGAGACAGTGGTGTCACCGAGCCAACAATTCTCGACATTGCTCTGGTCATTGTAGTTACTGATCAAACAATAGGGGTGGAAATAGGAGGAAGAGCTGAAGGGATTGAAAACACTATAATCCACATTGTTTCCAGCCCCGGCGTAGCCCTGTTAAGGTGTTAGAAGGTATCCATTTCATTGTTCAAGATAACGAACCATATGATTTGCCACAACATCCACCATGAGATACATGCCTCGATCGTGCAGTGCCTTCGACAGTGCCTTGAGGTCATCGGACGTGCCATGGTTTGGATTGACATTGTATCTAGTGAAGTTTGAGCAAGATTACGACATAGACCGTGGAATAGTCTTACAGATCCTGCTGCCAGTATCCATGGTAGGACGTGCCATCACCAGTGTTTTGGGAGAGCTGTTTTGTCACTGGAGTAATCCAAATGGCAGTGAAGCCCATTCCCTGAATATAGTCCAACTAATAGCCAAGTCAGCATATGGAGTCTGAATAGAGGGATTTGACGCATACGTGGTTGATGATTCCCTGCCAAGTGCCACCGCAATAATTCTAATACGCATGATTAATTTATGAATTGAGACCCAGAATAGAAAATAGGGCATACTCGGTCCTGAACGTTACAGTTAGCAGTGACCGAATTGTCGGTGCGTCCGAAGCGATCCGTCAACAGGAAATAAATTGATTGACTCCGCCATTGGGCGGGAGTCAGGGCTGCAACCATCTGCCATAGCAGTAGGGTTGCTGCGAATATAAGGTTCCTCATCTTTGTAGTCCTGAACAAGACAGGACTAGTTGCGTCAGCGAGGGTTGAGTTCTCAGAGAAATCAATGGGGACAGCGTAAGACCCAATTTATACTTCGCCTTCCATTCTGTAGGCTACAGCGACATGTCATCTAGGTCAGCATGGCATAAAATTTTCTTCACGGGAATATACACTCACATAAGCTTCCCGCTGCGACAATCCAATCGGCCGAATAAACAAGACGTAGAAGGCCCAAATGGTTTGTAGTCTGCTCCGCCGGGCCGACATATCGAGTTAAAATATCCACACACCTTGAGATGAAACCGGAGATTTTTCTGGAAAAGCAGTCAGCAATGCTGAAGATATCCATTTCTCCGGGGTCCAGCCCATTTTCGGGATTGTTGATGGCTCCACATCTTCAAGGCAATACTGAAGACGAGAATTGTCGCATCTAACTCATTTCTTACCAAAGCGCTAGTTACAAGGCAGGGCTAGTGTGCCGGTGGCGGGTAGAATTGAACGGGCTGATTGGTGGCCACCACCCCGGATTAACCGGTGAAGATGACAGGGGACGGAGAATCAGCGGGATCAAATAGCGGAGATAAACGACGCCGCATTCGTGTTGACGATAATTGACGCGTGTATCGGATGTGGTTGATCCAAGCGATTGGGATAGAGATCAACGATCGGATAGTAAGGTGTTTCAGGTGTCTCGGGAGATATTCGATTCACCTACTCGAGGGAGTAATGATATACCTGATAGACCTGATCATTGCAGAATTAGGAATCAAGCTCTTTAGCGAACAGTGATGTACGTGATATGCACAAGGGAAATGCCGATCTCTGATTGACGGTATTTTTCCGGGGGCCGAGGCTCACTTCGTGTGCAATATCATGCTATTATGCAAGTGGCATGCAATTTTCATGCAATGATCATGCATGTGCATGAATACGTGTAGTCGCGACCGAGAGGAGCTCCTCTGCAAACCCCCCCTACCCCCTATAAAAAGCAAGTCTGATCCCACCGACGATCCCAAACCAAACTCACCTTCTTATCTCAAGATGGCTCCTCGTTTTTGGACAGCTCTTTGGGCGCTCACTCTTGGCCATGCTGCCATCGCCGCGCCGCAGGTTCCTGTGGTTCCTCGTGCGACAGGTGATTTGAATACCTGGTTGGCATCTGAGGCCGTGTATGCAAGACAGGGTATCTTGAACAACATCGGATCGGCTGGTGCCTATGCTGGAAATGCTAAGCCAGGCATTGTAATCGCCAGCCCAAGTACCTCCTCGCCTGACTGTGAGCTATTCCACCCCTATTTATTGAAATAGCAGTTTACTGAACTTACAGACTTTTATACTTGGACTCGTGACTCGGCCCTCGTCTTCAAGACCTTGGTCGATATGTTCAGAAACGGCGACACTGATTTGTTAACCGTTATTGAAGAATATATCAACGCGCAGGCCTATCTCCAGACGGTGTCCAATCCATCTGGAAGTCTTTCCGGCGGTGGTGGATTGGCAGAGCCCAAGTTCAACGCCGATGAGACAGCTTTCACTGGCTCTTGGGGTCGTCCCCAGCGTGATGGCCCAGCCTTGCGAGCCACTGCACTGATTTCGTTTGGCCAATGGCTTATTGTATGAGTTTCGAACCTGTTGCCGTTTGCATTACTAACTCATTCAGGCTAATGACTACACCAACTATGCGACCAACATTGTCTGGCCCGTTGTGCGCAACGATCTCTCCTATGTTGCCCAGTACTGGAATCAGACCGGATTTGGTTAGTATACCTCAAACTTTAGCTGTGCACATTCCTAATACCCTTTAGATCTCTGGGAAGAAGTTCAAGGCTCATCGTTCTTCACCATCGCGGCTCAACACCGCGCCTTAGTTGAGGGAAGCACATTCGCGAAGCAAGTCGGTTCTTCATGTTCGTACTGTGACTCTCAGGCTCCCCAGGTTTTGTGCTTCCTACAGTCTTTCTGGACTGGGTCTTACATTCTTGCCAACTTTGGTGGTGGCCGTTCTGGCAAAGACGCCAATACTCTACTCGGCAGCATTCAAACTTTTGATCCAGAGGCAGGATGCGACGATACCACATTCCAGCCTTGCTCAGCTCGGGCACTCGCAAACCACAAAGCTGTGACTGATTCATTCCGATCAATCTACAATGTCAACTCTGGTCTCGGCGCGGGTAAAGCTGTTGCTGTTGGTCGATACCAAGAGGACTCATACTACAATGGTAACCCTTGGTACCTCTGCACTTTGGCTGCTGCGGAGCAGCTGTATGACGCTATTTACACATGGAATCGTCAGGGCTCCTTGACAATTACCTCTGTCTCTTTGAGCTTCTTCAAGGATCTGTATGGTTCTGCTGCGACCGGTACCTACGCATCGTCCAGTGATACATACGCAGCTATTGTGAGCGCTGTCAAGACATATGCGGATGGATATGTTAGCGTTGTGGTATGTTTCACATTACAAGATTGTTGAATACCTCGATTAACAACTATTGCAGGAAAAATACGCTCCGGCTAGTGGCTCCTTGGCCGAGCAATTCGCTAGGGCAGATGGCACGCCGCTTTCAGCTCGTGACTTGACTTGGTCCTACGCAGCGCTGCTTACCGCCAACGAGCGCCGAAATTCCATAGTTCCTGCACCATGGGGTGAGACATCTGCCAACAGTGTCCCCGGCCAGTGCCAATATACTTCGGCTATTGGTACTTACATCACTGCAACCAACACCGCCTGGCCTGCCACTTTGACCAGTGGAGCAGGCGGTAGCGTGACTACCACTAAAACTCCCGGTGGAACTGCCACCACGACGACTACCACTACCACAACAGCATGCACCGTTCCCACCTCCGTTTCAGTGACATTCAATGTGATTGCCACTACTGTATATGGCGAGAATATCAAGCTCGCGGGATCTATCTCTCAGCTTGGCACCTGGGCTCCAGCCAGTGCTATTGCACTGAGCGCTTCTTCGTACACTACTAGCAATCACCTGTGGTTCGTGAATGTGGCACTCCCAGCTGGTAGCACATTTAGCTACAAGTATATCCGAGTGTCGAGCTCTGGCGCTATCACATGGGAGAGCGACCCGAACCTGTCGTACACTGTTCCTGCCCAGTGTGGTACTAATTCTGTCACGATTAGTGATACCTGGAGGTAATACCGTTCAGGGAATGGACCCAAAGCAGCTGGGATTATAGAAGATTTGATTTAGCTATTTTAGATCCTTGCTGTTTTGGCAAACCTTTGCCTACTTGGTTGTAGATCATGTTCTAGTCGTTCTATCAACATAGAATAGCAACATGACAATGAAGATTTATTTGAACATAGCTTCAGTACTGTGACCATAAATTAATTCTAAAATGAGGAATTTGGCGGTGAAGATGAATGCATATATAATCAACTGATGTATTCATTTTTTGGCCGTTCTGTAATGTTTGATGTTGAAAGGCCTTGGGACAAGCAAGCAGTCCTTTGATAAAGCACTATATACTCTTTGTTCCAAGCCATGACCATTGTTGTTCATCATTTTCAGAAGATATATAATTAGCTATGAAGTGTCCTCATTTTAGTGAAATACTATTTGGAGACTTTATACATTAAGTGTATACTAGGTTCGCATCCTATCAGGCTGGGGATATAAGATGGCGTGGTGCCACCACAGCAGTATCAAAAGAGGGAGAAGAGTGATTAAATTCATTCTTTTTGATTCTTAATCTTCTATATCTTGGGGTCGGGGACTTTTTTGAATGCTATATATGCCTTCGAAAAGATCTGACACCTATATAAAATTCTGATATACTATTTCACCAAATGGCCCGTTCGGGTTCAAATTCAAAATCTATATACCGTCTATAGAATAGCAGGGAAATTGACATCCGATGTTCGCCCCATCTGGTTGGATGTCAAGATTAGACCAGTTTATGGCCGATAAAGACTTAGTTTGCTCAATAGAGAGTTATGCTATTCTCCTCATCTCTCTGATCCGCCATTGATCGAAAGGTAGGCATATCAGCTAATTAAATATTGGCACTGCTAATACTAGTCATCATAAGATTCCAGCCCACCCTACCTTGCCCAACAAAAGCAAAATGGCAGATGGTCGAATGTCAACCTTCCTCGACAAGGATGGAAGTATCATCGCAGAAGAAAAGATCATAGGGATTGGCGCGTCGGGGATTGTTGTTTTACATGAAAGAAACGCGATCAAGCTGCCTATCAGACGCCCGGAAACGCGCCCTCAGAAAGTCGCGCTCGACCTGGCTGCCTTCGAGCGTGAGCAGGATATTCATCGTCGACTGCAACCGACACCCGAAACATCTGTCAAGGGAGTTATTTCCTACATTCGTCTCGACCACGGACTCATCGAACTCAAATACATGGAGAATGGAAGCCTTTTGAAGTGGCTTCGGCAGCCAACCGCTGAGATCACCATCGGTTTGCAGGTCAAGTGGTTCCACCAGTTAGCCACTGGCCTTGCCCACATTCACAACCATCGTGTCATACATGGAGACATCTCCTGCCGAAATATTTTGATGGATAAAGATCTCAATGTTGTGCTTGCGGATTTTGGTCATTCATCAATGTTCTCCATGCAAAGAAACATGATTGCAAACGGCAGGGATACGAACGGGCGCACTGTGTGGACAGACCTCTGCCAGCTTGGTGGGGTGTTTTGGTCAATTGCAACAGGTGATCTTGTTGACATCGACATGCATAAAACCAATGGGTCCCGAGACGAGGTTGCGTTGCCTCCGCGATCTGCTCTACCGTCGACGGATCATATTTGGGCTAGCGTCCTCATCGACCACTGTTGGATCAAGGGAGGTTACGGGGATGGAGCTAATACGCTTGTTGAAACTTTGGAGTGTTTGCAAAAAGGCATTTCTACCGATTAGGCGCTGATTCAGCAGCATGCTAAGGTTACATTTGGGTTTGGGGTGATCTTTTGGGGTGGTCTTCTGAAATTTTCCCTTTGATGGTGTTTTGCGTATCATCTTCAATTATCCAATTGGAATAGCACAAACACAGAAAACAAATGATGAAACTTGAAAATGCGCCACACTGAATAAATAAGAAGAGCATATGCCTGAAAGCATTGTAGCGCCAGCGATGAGACAACTATCGGGACAAGTTGCCTTCTAAAAGTGGCCTCTGGATTCTACGTCATGTGCAAGATACATCCATCAATGTCAAGTATGGGAGGGTTTAAAATTCCTTTCTAATGTTTTTCAACTTGATATAATAATGTGTTTCCCAAAGATGGAGTCTAGATTTGATGGCGCGCAATAAACAACCCGGTGAATGAGGCCAAAAGCGAACAAGCAAGGGAAACAACTATTCAGTATTAGTGGAAAGCACCGAAACAAACAGTATAACACAATCAACTCACGATATGTATGCTTAAGACCAGAAACATAACAATTCACCACAATCTCCCGCAGTTGGCCAGTCAGGTGCGTGATATAATTCGTATCAGCCATCGCCCGTTGAATAATCTAGAAAAATTAGCACAGAGATCAAAAATTCTCGCCGGGAGATTATTTACCTCCTCAGAGCCAGGCCCGCGGAGATTGAGCTTAAGCTGCCGCTGGAATTCCATCCCCAGAACGGAATTGGACGTAGTCACACCAGCCATTATGGCGAATCCAATAATCAGCATATATCCCGCCGTCGCCATGGCGATCTCCTCAGCTGGTAGCATAGAAGACATGGCAATAAATGATGACGCTGACGCAATTCCCGTACCAAATCCACCAGGGAGAATAAATAGTGACTCCCAGAACCCGCTGTGTCCGTCCCAGCGGAGGAAGAGGAGCAGGTATGAAATTCCGGCAACCAGACCGGCAACGACGAGGAGAATCTTGAATTGTCCTGTGCGTCGGATGAATATTCCTGCTACTAACCCACCAACAGTATTTCCGATCACTGCTGGGATGAGATGCACGCCCGCTACTGTCGTTGATGCGCGCTGGGTTACTTGGAAATACAGTGGGACGGAGAACATCATTCCCAGCTGCGCGGCGATTTGTAGTCCGCCAATTATGTATGCCATTGATACGTTTGTGCGCCGGAGGATGCGGAGGCTGAAGATCGGTTCGCGGGCGACGTAAGCTTCCACGAGAACGAAGGCGATTAGCAGTGATACTCCGCTGCTTGCTAGGAGGACTGTCCACCATGAACTCCATGGGAAGGACTTTCCGCCTTGATCAAGGAGTGTGACAATCGAGACAATGGATGAGGCTAGTAGTGCAGTTCCAAGGAAATCAACCTGGGCGAGTTTGCTTCCCTTGGAGGTAGAGTCTGCTTTCTCTCCGACGTTCAGTTTCACAATCACGAGGACTGCAGCTAGAGCGAAGAACGGGGCTTGTAGGATGAATAGCCTAGAACATGGTTAATATGGTTAGACAATGTATGCAGTTGTCAGATAGTGGAAGCCTACCATCTCCATCCGATAGTATCGCTCAGCCAGCCACCCAACGGACCTCCGAGACTACGTCCAAGTGTCATGGCGATATTCACATATGCTCTCCAAGTAGCGACCTCGCGCTTAGGCACGATATCTGTAATTATAATGGAGCCGATGGTCATGATTCCAGCACCACCCACTCCGCTGATCGCGCGACCAAAAATAACCACCCACATCTGGGATCCGATGCCACTATATGCGGTCAGAATCATATATTGGCTCTCAGAACAGGAATCCGCCTACCTCATTATACAGCCCAGTGCAAATAAGACGTATGACAGTAGCAAAATTGGCTTGCGACCGTAAATATCACTCAGTTTCCCATACTAGATAACAATTAGACCTTGAGATGTCTCCGGTGTGGGTTCTGCTCACGCACCATTGGCTGTGCAGCACAGGCACCTAATGTATACCCAGTTGCGAGCCAACTAGCGTCGCGCAGATGATTGAATTCGGAAGATATGCGGCCTGCAGCCGCCATGACCAGTGTGGTATCGGCATTGGAAATGAATTCGCCTATATTTGATCAGATCTTGAGTCCTCTTCTTGTACTGTTAATTCACCTACCGAGCAGAAGCACTGCAATAATTGTCCCAACACCTGTCAAGGCCTTCACCTTCGCATCGGTATCAGATCGCGGGAGTAATGGACTTTCTTCGTCTTGGACATGGCTACGCTCATCGATGCCCTCGGTCCCGGTGATACCCGGAGGCACCTCAACCGTGTCGCTTTCTGTATCAGTCATGTTGTGAGATGAGAAGAATCAAGAACGAAAAAAAAGTATTGAGAGGGGCATTATGTACCGGCAAGTCTGGACTTCAGGGCTACCGGTAAATTCAACCTTTGAAGCTAAGTTGTGCTCATCGGAGTTATCAAGCACGCAATGTATCCACTTTTATACTCTTTAATTTCCTACATTATGTACACAAGACAAACTGCATTTGAAATCAAAATAAGCAAATAGTACTGTGACTCATGTTCATTGTGGATATATCATGCTATTATAGTACGGAGTATATTTACACTAGCTGCCCTCGACTAGTTAGTAGCCCGTTCCTTTTCACTTTACCTAGCATCATCTTTGGACAACTATCCCATGCTATTTTCACCACCGAGTATTTTTTAAAAGCATGGGTGATGCTATCCAAGCGCAAAGATTTCTTTTTCTGTTTTCCCCCCTCCCCGCTCTACCTGGGTATTCCAAACACTTTGATAGAACCCGCAATGAAAGGGTCTCAAAACGTCCTCTGGGCCCTCTAATAAATACAATGCAATCTTTTTTGCGTCATTGTGTTTTGTTCCAAGATCTATTCCGCTACCAGGAATATAAAGGGGAATATAAAAAAACATAAGCTTTGGAGACATGTGGAACTATTGTCTTACATATAAGCAACAGAAAAGCATGGCCAAATCCCTAACTACTAGTGTGCAACTTCTGTTGATAATAACTCTAGTGCGACGATTCGAGACCGACCTACTTCAGATAAGCCAAATGTCTGTACAATTTCGAACCAGGGCTCTCGCACGTTTGGGTTGTAGTTTGAATTTTCGAGGTCTATTTCCGAACGATTATCTCTTCATATCTAGATATTCGCCATACGGCGCTTCTGCAAATTTACTGTATGCGTATTTTCGAGCGAAATCTATGAGGAATTATCTTTAAATTCGGAACCCTTGGTGACGGCGTAATTAACATAGAGTAAGGGTTTGCTTCAACGCTAAGCCTATCGGCATTCTGATTCGACATTGATGACTAGTATTCGGCGGCGCGAACTCCTATTGGGCTAGGGCCGTAGATCGAGAGCTAGTCCAGCTTTGAAGAGGATAGACCGCAGGGTGGGGACAGGCTGTGGAGTACAACTAGACTATGTAGTAGGAGATTATTTATTAGGAAGAAAGGAACCCCTAATTTGAAACCTATGCATGTCATGAGTAAAATTTTAGTAGTCAATTTGAGATCGTTTATCGCCCGATGGCATAGTGAAATCAGGCTAGATTCTAAGCAAGGCATCTACTCAACCAACGCTGCCTGATTCTCCTTTATGTACAGCTGCGTATGAATGCTCTTCGCCCGCTGTTCATATGCCTGGCTAGACAACCCCTGCGCTTCGTCAGTTTGACTATCTCCCTCACTCCGATAGAGAAACAACAATGGAAGCGGATTATCAGCCCACTTCTGTAACTTCCCACGGTGCGTTTTCCACTCTGTCCCTAGCCAGGTCACAGCACTAAGCAGCCAAACAAGCAACGGCAAGCTCATCCACTGCCAACGGACATGAACGACAGTGACATTCACCTGTGTAGAGCCCACTGCCATACCAGCCTCCGGCCCATTATCTATATATGCCTGGTCGCGGAACGATTTAGACATAGCACCAGCGACATTCCTCATCGCGCAGCCAAACCGGTCATTCTTGGTGTCCGCGCACCCCGTGATGTTTCCATACATAAAAGACTGCATGACATCAGCTGTCGCATATGAATCATATTGAATTCCAATTGCATTGAATGATAGCCCCATCGTGGTGGTGAACGCGTTGCCAGAAAAAAGTGACTCCATGAACAGCTGTATCGTAGCCTGGCTTTTCGGAGCCAAAGTAAAGTTCTGGCCAGGGTGCGTGCCTAGGCTTTGATTCCAGTTGGGGACGAGGGAGGACCCGTTGCTGCTCTTTTTTATGTCGTACCACACATCTACTTTTGTCCACTCTGCGAGAACGGTTTCGTGATAGACGGAGTTATTCACATCGGCTTTAACACTGCGGACGATGGGTTCCAGAGAGCATTCCGTCGCGACATATCTAGGATCACGCCTAATATCTGAGGCTATATTCCACCCTGATCCCGTGCTGGCGACTACTGCTTCAATGCGTTGGAGGACAGGTAAGGTGGCATTGGTGTACATGACGGGCTGAGACGAGGGTTGAACTTGCAAGGCGATTGCTTCTGCTGAAGGCAGGTTGGCGTAATATACTGATACCCCATTGGGAAGTGAGACCGTGCAATTTTCATATGAACCCTCGAATTTGTGAACACGGTGTTCGCATACTTTCTTGATGGAGGATGTAACGTTTGAGCAAAGGGCGCGCACTGCAAGAGAGGCAACGGGGTCCCAGGTGCAGTTGCCTGTTGGGCACATATACTGTGGGATGGCCCATGGCCTCGCTGGATCTGTACTGAATATGGAGTTGTATATGTTTCCTTTGAATGTAGGCTCAATATAGTAGTCTGTTTATGTCAGTACTTGGTCAGGAAACAGCACAAGTAGGCTGAGAACGAACTATTTGAAGCGGTTCCCAACGGTCCAAGGCCACTGTAATTTGTGGCATTTGCTAGACGAGAGACCTGCGATGCATCCACGATAAGATCGGGCGAGTAATGTACTAGATTCTGGATAAACGGGTCAAAGCCGACGGCGAGCAGCACCGCAATGGCACCCAGTACCGCAAAATGACTATCTCATTAGCATATGGATAGCTGCCATGCTATGAAAGCTTACCGCATCCCCAATGCCCACACCAGCTCTGCACTCCCATATATGCCTCTACTGGCGTTATCAAAAACCCTCAGGTCTGACAACGGGCGCTTTCTCTGCGCAAACCACACCCACTTGAGCTGCGACAGGCCAGCACTGAGAGGGAATGCAATGCAGGCTTTTCCAACCGTACTCAACCAAGAGAGGAGAGTGTTGAGCGAAATCCACTTCCACCTGGGTTGTTGCTTGCCATCATACATACTCAAGATGACAATTATGGCAATCAGCATGGCAAGTGCCATGCCGAGCCCAACTATATTCCATACCCACCCGTAGTCTATGTTTGAGGGAGCGTGGTGTAATTTGCTGTCTGCGGGGTTTTCCTGTGTCACGACCGTGGTCTTGGCAGACGATGGGGCAGGAGAGTGTTGTCGTTCTGCATGAGGGTGCCCGCGTCCTACTTGCGTTGGAATTGGCAGTAAGGGATATTCTGGGCTAGGGTCCTCGTTATTCCTGCCTGAGTCCATACCTGCTAGTTCATCCGTTGTTAAGGAAGAGAAGAGAAGGCAATTCCAAACAGATTTAAATTGTTTTGCTGTCTTGAATAAGTGGGCTTCCCTGCGCACGGGGCAGATGAGGCTGTGAGAATTGGAGATCATGATTGGCGGCCCATGTATGTTGTACAAAGATTTTCGGGGGCGGAAAGTCGATCTTTTGAAGATGAAATGGCAGTTGGCAGGCAAAAATGAAAATTGATTCAATCCTGGTGCTCGCATTCAGTCCAATACTCGATCAAGTATCTACCGTATATTTAGAGAGAGGGTCCATAGCAGGAAAAGAAAAATATAGAAAAAAAAACTACTAACTCAACCTAGGCTTGATGTGACTCCTTTCAACTCCTTTCGACACCCATACCTCTAGCGCTATATCCAAGTGTCGAGGCTAGTTTTCATAGGTGACGCTGTTCGTATTTGGCAATGAAATCCTCCCTTGACATATCTCCGCTGTCCACAAGTGCCCTGCTCTCTTCTACCTCCTCCAAGGCTTCTTCATATATATCCATCTCCCTCACCTTCCGCTCCGCGAATTCCTCAAGCTCTTTTTGGTTGTCGAATTCCATCCCGCGTCTTGCCCATTCAGCAGCCCCCACATGTGCGCGCAGCTGCGTAAAAGGAAAGCTGTAGTCATCGTTAAAGCCAGATGAGAGAAGCATGTGCAGCCACATAGCCCCGGAGGCTTGTGACCACTTAACAAGACTGGAGAGCTCTCTCGCTCTCTCTCTTTGTGTCCTTGCATCTTTGATTCTTCCTCTTCTAGGACACGTATAAAAATCTCTAGGTATCTGAAGTATCTGGCCCCGATTTCAGGCACCTTCTCACCGTCGCAATCCCACGTACTGTTAACGGGCCTATCTTGGAGAAGCCATCACGGCGCCGAGCCAAAAAGTTGGGCGGGTCCGATATATGACCACTCAAGGTCCACTAATCCAACGACAGTGAGATCTTCCGTACCACGAACAATCAGATTTGCTAAGCCGAGGTCGTCGCAGATTAGTTTGAACTTGCAACGGTCATACTTTGCGTTGATAAATTCTGGTATCAGACTCTCTAGAACTTTAAAGGCGACATATTTGTTTTGAGCGTCATAGAAACCAACAGTTGAGTTTGGTTGGTAAACGAGCTGCTTCCAATCCTGCCCGACGACATATTGAAAATATTCGGTTGTCGTCGTAAACCCTTTGGTTCGATCACCTAAATAACATTTGCTCAGTCAGGGCACTATATAACCTGACGATAATACGTACCGAAAGTATCGACTCCTCCGTTTTGTAGGATAGTTTGTGCCTTAAATGCTAATGGCCGTGGTGGTGTGGGGCTTTGAGTTTCAGCCTCTGGCGATGGTATGCTACCGATCTGGTCGAAATCTAGGTCGAAAAGTTGGAGCAGAAAATTCGCCAACTGCGTATAAATAACCTCAATATCACTGTCGCTGATATCGTCCCTTATAACTCTGCTAGGTTGCTCCGCGTTGGGTTTCTGGAGAAGGCTGCTAAGGCTCACACCGTTGATGAAGTCCATTATAATAAACGGGCCTAGACCAAGTTTGTTACTAGCAGCCGGACCCCAAGCCTGGACCGTTGGGACGGGAATAGTAGTCCGATTGCGGATGATATTCAGGGCCGACACCTCTATAGCAACCTTCTCATCGGCGTGGTCTTCGCAGACCATCCCAAAACGAGGGAAGCGAACCATCCAGGCCGTGCTATCAGTGAAGACCATCTTCATACCGGCATTGAATGCGCCATGGTGAAAGGTACCGTCAAGTACGCAGGGAAGGTTATGTGGATGGAAAGTCGATACCCACTGGCAGAGACGGCCTGTTATATGGGCCTCATTCACCTTGTCAACCCAAAGCTGATCCTGTACCACGTGGATGTGATCGAGAAGCGCGTTGATGTCCATAATGTTAAGGTAGATGTTAATGGTGGAGGAGCTAGTGAAGAGACAAGCGAGATGGACGAGAGGTATGCCTGGTTTTTATAATTGGTCATGCATGAGCTTTGAATGGCATGCGCTTGGAGCGGCATTTGTTACCTCCTTGTGTTAACGTATTTCGCATGCGAGTGGTCCATCCCAAAACACATAGTAAATGCGATATTTTACAACCATATATCTCAACAACCGCGTTGTTCTCTGATTTCATTGTCATTCGACAGCTATTGATAAGCTTTCTGGGGAACATATATCAATTTTAAGAAAATCTAAAGGCTGCATTATGATGGTATTGAAAACCACGTTAAATTACCATTAGAAAAGTGGGAATATATATATCTCAACCCCAAAGTCATAAATATTTTCCGAATTCTAAAGAGAAGCTGTATTGAGCTATTAAGAAAGCTCCATATAAACTACTGCTGTTTAGATATTAAGTTGTAATTTATCGCAAGTACTATATATTTTGTGATGGACCACTCGCATGTGAAATATGCGTGCACCCCACCAAACGCCAGATTTTCATTAATAGGCCGTTGCTCACTTGTCCACTGATATTATGATACATAGTAGCAATTGAAAATCCATTCATACCACATAAGCTATCCAGTTATAAATTATGATGTTACTTCGTAATTTATTCTAGTCTCTAACTAGAAAATGGGGACTCCTACCGGCTGTGGATGGTTAGATCGCTCTTCACCCATGCAATCATTTCGCTTGACTCCTGTATTGACACAGCGGGCTCATGGACCTCTCGCTAGGCTCATGCATTGTACTAGTCTAGCCCCCTCTCTTCGTAAATTACTCGTCGAATTTGGTATTAAATGGGGTACGCTTGCTTATATGTGGCTGTTGCGGTCGAAATAGATTGGGAAATCATTTGCGCAGTCTACGGGTTCGACAGAATTTATCACCGTGTAGACGCCTTCGCACAGCCTGATTCCGTGTGGTGGAGAAACCCATGGTCGACCCCCGGCTGGAACTCTACATGGAAACACTTCTGGTGCAGAACCTAGTATCTTTTGATGGATGCATGCGTCAACACCATCAACACAACATCCTGTTTAAATTATTGAGTCGATACTATTAATTGTTCCTTATATTAACGAAAACTTGGAAATATATATACATGTTCCTTCCTGCCAAGAAAAGGATAAACAAGCTTGTTCACCCAATGTATAACACTGCGTGGCGCTTGTATTCGGGGATTTATTTTCACAGCATCCAGATACAAATCCCAAGCATGGCACTAACAAGGCTGAGGGTGATTGGTGCTTGAATAGGAATAGCACCGCTGGTATCACTGCTGGTGCTGCTGCTAGGGTGGTAATCGTCGCACTCAAAGTTAGATTTATCGCTTGGCAAGCGACCGATATCCTCGAGCTCACGGAAGATCGTGCAATTAAAACTGGTAGAGTTCGGCGATGAAAAAACCCGGAAGTATTGTAAATTCGAAGGAGGAAGGTCATTGCTGGGGCTCATTTGTTGGGCGACAAAGGGTTCACTGTTTTCTTGGGTAAGCTTTTGTCACCATTGGGCTGTAAGGGAAAGACACGTACAAAAATGCATTTCCTACAGTGGCGCCTGCAATATGAATGCCAGAGACATTCTTTGGCCAGTACCAAGTCTGAATGCGTTTGCCTTGGTCATCGGCACCGTATATCGACGTCAAATTTAGATCAGGGCCACTGTGGATGGAGAATGAAACGCCACCTGTCCAGTTGACAGCTTTGGGGGGGGAGTGTGATGGATTTCAGAATCTTTCTATCGTCATCCCAGATGGTAAGATCACTGAGATTATCAAACGGGATTTCGAGATGCGGGATGAGAAAGGAGTTTGATATCTCGAGATGATCGGCCTCAAGTGTCTCAAGCTTTGTGCTACGCTTAAGCCCCGTAACACTTTTGAGGTAGAGTTGATTGATGGTCATGTTCTTTGTCGAGGAGCCTCCTAGCGTGAGAGAGGAATTGGCAGAGATTACGAAGTACTGGACAGAGCTGAATCCAATAGGAATGTTGTTGATGTTCGGGAATGGACCGTATATGTAAACGTCCTCCATATCAAGCTCATTGTCAGACAAACTATCGAGCGATTCGATTTGCATCGGGTAAATCCATAGGGTTGTCACATTGCGTAACCTTGTGTGATGGAGCGTCCTGAGATCCGGGGCGCCAAGCGTAATGCTACGCGCGGAATGCAAATTCGTGATATCCAGGTAGGTGAGGTCGAGGGCACGTCGCCCTATATTCACGTAGTCATTCGCGTAAACGAGTCTAGGAAGTGTGAGGTTCACTATCTTCGTACTGACGAGTCCAAATTCGACCGCATCAACTCGCTGTAAAGATGAAGCGGAGAGCGTGTATTCGGGCTGAGTGCTATAGCGTTCCATGAAAAGAGGGGATTCCCCGAGGGTGCCGACGATATGTTGGATACCGTCGAGATTAATGTGGACAGTGTCATTGCCCTCAAATGGACCGATGCCAACATGACCCCAGACAATTGGACAATTCTGACGAAGCGTATCTGCTTCAGCCTGAGACGTGATCCAAGTTGTGCTGCAATTTGCAGCGTAGGCATCTAGCAACATAAGTCTGGGCAAGGAGCTCATAACAAGCAATATTTTACTCACTGGGACAGCATAGCGACACGGTTAGCAGTATGATAGCCGATGCACGAGAAATCCCGAGCATATTGGAGATATTGGACACTAAAATTGTAGATCACAGTTTAAAGCATCCGCAACAGTTGGGGGCGCATCGTCATATGTAGAAATGCTCAAGCCCCTGAAAGTTTTTCAAAAAACACGGGCGCCACCCCCAGAATGCACTAGTTCATAGATGCAGCTAATCCCTAGTACGGAGTAGAGAATCACGTAACATTGGGGCCCTGCGTTGGAGAGACCTCATTTGGGGTACAGCCAAGAGGTGACAGCGCCCGGGCTCTTGGCAAAGGTGTTCTTTTTTTTTGGGGGCTCTTTTTTTGGGCCTGAGATATTAAACTGATGACTTAACATTCTATTTCTGTGCTGAAAATATATAAATAAGGGTGTTTAGAAACCTGGGTCTTGAAAGGAGGCATGTAGGGAAACGTCTAGCAGTGGCTTTTCCTTATGGGGCTGGAAGCTAATACCATTTTAGAGTGCCAAGTTCTGCCACAATACAACGGATATACGTCCCTCCGCAAAAGTCTCCGTACGGTCGGATATCGATACTAGTGTTTTTGCGAATACCTAGGTATTTTTCCGAGCATAGGGCACGGAGTTGAGGCTGTAATTGACGCAAATGGATGGTACGCTAAGTATCAAAAAAATAATCTAAATACTATGGCTAATCGGCTACCTGAATTATATTTTTTTATATTTTTATCTTAAAAATTGGGGGAGTAAACCGTGAATTAAATATGTAGGTCATACTTGGTGAAATCAAGAGTGTGTAATATATATTTGATGGGGACCCCGAGTGTACGGAAACTTCTGCTGTAGAACTGTACGTACCTTTCGCTCCCTGGCCTAGACCTCCGCAAAGCCCATAAATAGGCCCGGACCTCGGGGCCAAGGCCCAACCAGCAGTGGGCTATGGGCTCAACCTTCGAAGCCCAACCCAACCCACAGCCTATTCGTGGGGGCCTATAAGGCCCACATTATAGCCCATTAAGGGGGTTCAACTAGGATCTTGTAATCGCTGTATTCTGATCCTTCTACTAATTGTATAGACTTTGAATTTGGAATATATAATCAGAATTACTATATAAGTGTATACTCTAGTTTTAAATAAAATCCAACCAGTAGAGGCCGGAAAAAGATCAATGTATACTTTGATATCAGATATATATTTTAAATCTGTGTAGGAACACTACCACTTTCTTAGTGAAATTCTATAATTTCTAAAATTTCTAAAACGCGCGTTTTCTCCGTTTTTAAACGTGATTAATATATTTCACTATTAATTTTCTATATATCAATTATAATAATAAAATATTACCCCTAGATAAAGGCGAGAAACGGGGTCTATATATATGGTAATTAAAAAAGGCATGTTTTTCGGAATATTTGTATCGTTTAGTGTTTTTTGGGCTCTAACGGCCCCTATTCAAAGCCCAGTGGGCTTTCACCCCGGGCCCATAGTCCACTGGTGGGCCTAAGGACCGGGCCCAAAACCCAGCCCATTAGTGGGTTGGGCTTTGGGCTTTGTGGGCTTTGCGGAGGTCTACGAGTCTGGCCTCCCACATGGACGCTTGCCGCTGTCTTTAGATTCGTCTTGCTCGTTGCCACTCGTGTCAGAGTAAAACCTAGGTGAGTACTAAAATAACTGGCTATTTTATTAACAAGTTGCCTTGTTGTCTGACATGAGATATACGCATTGTAAGTCTGGTACGGATGCCATATGTAATTTGGTAATTTTAATCTACAGGCCTGATGTACATAGTGCTGCGACATCAAACCATTCTGCGTTCTACCCTTTGAATGAAAAAGATAGTTTCATGGACATATTTTTTTTTCACACAGAGGGAAAATTTGAATGTAACTTAATGATAACATCCATGTTAAAATCGAAGAACCGAAGAATCGAAGCAAATGGCATACATTGATTTCCATCCCTTAGTATAAACTAGTTACCTAGGGCTCCTTGGACAGACCCTCCTCTTTATTGCTAGTGAATTTTCTACTACATCATAATGACGGGCTTTCCAGACACCTGCTAGTTCCGGTTAGTACGATTTGTGCTGTAGTACCAGGTACACATGAACTTGGATTGTACTGACCTTTCCAAAATTGGCCGAGATTTCGTTCAAATCTTCAAGCCTTTGCACATTCACCACTGGTGTGACTAATCCTCGTTGGACAAAGTCAATGGCATCCAACACATCATCCCTTGTACCCACACAAGACCCAATCATCCGTATCCCCTTATCAATAAACAAAAGGGGATGGAATGGGACCCGTAGATGCGGAAACGGAATCCCCACACAGACCAATGTACCAAGGGGCCCGATAATATCAAGCGCAGTCTTATAGGCGTCAACTGATCCCGCGACCACAAGCACGCTAGGAGCACCTCTTCCCTCTGTGAGTGAAAAAACGTCTTCTTGAACATCCTTGCCGTCCCTTGTAACGTCAATGTAAGCGTCTGCTCCAGCCTGAAGGCAATAATCACGCTTCAAATTTGTGGCGTCAAGAGCGATAACTTGGTATCCCATCGCTTTTGCATATTGGATTGCTAGCGCGCCGATGCCACCACCGGCCCCAAGAATAGCTATCCATGCTCCGACTTCACCTCCACCAACCTTGACAGCTTTATAAGCTGTCACGCCGCCGCAAAGGATTGGAGCAATGTGCTCATCTGGCACAGTGATAGTTTTCGGTATGCGCATAATGTAGCTAGAAGGAACAGTTGCGTATTCTGCGAATGATCCATCACAATGAAGGCCAGAACGAACCGATTTCTCACATCGTACTTCTTCATTGGGCGTCCGACACATGAAACATTTCCCACAAACATCTCTGATCCACATAATGCCAATGCGGTCATTTATTTGGACTTCTGTAGAAGATACGTCGTCCCCAAGCTTCTCAACATACCCAACCCCCTCATGGCCAAGAATATCAGCAGTTGGGCCAAGGGCGCCGGCAGCAAGCCCCATATCTGTTCCACATATTCCCGTACATGAGACCCTCACTAGGATCTCATCCGATTTCAGAGTTGGAAGCGGGACTTGTCGGGTGTCAAAATGAAACTTGCCGCCATCTTCTTGCTGTTTATTTCATGCTAGTCAGCTTGGAATTCATTCGTGGTTCAACCTGATCTGCACGCACCACTAAGATAGCAGCCTTGGAAGTCCTAGATAGATCTTGCATTTTGGTCGATAGAATGAGTCCTTTAGGATTGCGTTGAAATTTTCGATGTATAATTGACCTAGCACTCGACTGATCGTTCGAAAAAATGCTGAATCAACTCTTTAGTATTCTTCACAGATCTAGTTGAGCCATAGTTCGAGATATTCAAGTACCACTCAAAGATAAAAGCAAAAAAGTTCTACGACGAGGCGGACTATCCTACGTTTGGTTTGCTCGCCGAGGATGTGGGTAATTTCCGAGAATCTTTGTAAGACTCCCTCATTTTTACTGCTCCGAGGCACACCAACAAACTATTCGGGTCTCATCGGTAAATGTTGTAGGAGAAGATCGAGCATTTCGTTGTTGTGGGGGTCGAGATCAATGTGTTGATGCGTCACATGATCGGAAAGTTCTCACACCTGAAATTAGGCAAGTATAGATATTTGTATAGTGGGAATAGCTTCAATGATAGAGAATATTCACAGTACACCGTATAAATCCATATCGAAAGCGGTCCCTAAGCACGCACAATTCAGGCCCCCCAAATAGTTCGAACCCAACCCTGAGGGCTACACACCTACGCATAGAAGGGTCTATTTTTAAAATGAGAGAATATATGATCCTAGTCGCAGATTGAATTCGGCATAAGTCTGAAATTCCAACGATATTCAAGGTCAACAATCTTCTATCAACCTCTTCTTGACCACCAAAATAATCACATAATTAAAGAACTGCATTATTTGAAGGATCGCCCATATAGATTCGATAAATTAATACGGCGGTACTCTAGAAAAAGGCAACTTGGTCACGAAGCAAGCCCGTTTTACGAGCACAGAATGATGGCCCCTGCGAAACAAGAAAGTAAATTATACAAACCCTTTATTTCGATACATCAATCCTTCCAAGTCACAGACTTTGTTCTCACCCACTCTTCCAAGCCATTCAAGGTGTTGAATCTTCCGTAGCCGCTTTTCTTTGCTCCTCCATGTGGAAGACCAGCCTCATCATGAATAGTCATGGAGTTTATATGCACTGCGCCCGTCTCAAGACCTCTAGCTAGGCGAATAGCCTGTCGAAGATCTTCCGTAAAAATGGCCGACGTGAGCCCATACTCTGTATCGTTTGCAAGCTCCAGCGCCTCTTCCTCAGACTCCACTGTGAAAAGAGAAACCGTGGGTCCAAAGCTTTCATTGTAGTAGATGTCCATTCCCTTTTGAATGTCGCTGAGAACAATCGGACTAAGAGTTGTACAGCTATTATCGATTGCATTGGCGTCGCCGTACACCGTGGTAGCACCCTTCTCAAGGGCGTCCTTGACGAGAAGTTCATTTTTGCGCACTGAAGCGTTATTGATTAATGTGGCCTTGCCAGCAAATCGGTTATCAATAGCAGCCTTTAGCTTCTCTTTGAACTGGACAGCGACATTTGCATGCACTATGATCCGCTCGGTTGACATGCAAACTTGGCCGCCATGGACAAACGCGCCCATCACGCAGTGGGATGCCGCATTGTCAATGTCGGCATGCTCACAAATAATTGCTGGAGCTTTACCACCTAGTTCCAGTAGCACCGGCTTCAGATGCTTCCCAGCGAGGGATGCAATAATAGCCCCGACCTTTGTCGACCCTGTGAAATTGATCTTTTTCACCAAGGGATGAGATATAAGGGCCGTGGTGACAGAAGCCGCGTCTTCGGAGCGATGGTAAATAGTGTTTAGGCATCCTGCAGGGAGACCGGCAGAGTGCAGCACATCTGCAATAGCCCAGTAAGTGGCTGGTGCTAGTTCCGGTCCTTTCAAGATAACTGTGTTTCCCATTGCCAGAGCGCTGATGCAAGCTCGCGTCCCAAGTGTATATGGCGCATTCCATGGCGCAATACCCAGCACCACCCCGTAGGGCTCTCGAAGAATGAGAGCGGTAGTTCCATCCATCTGTGATGATGGGATGGAGCCTTGAACTGCCTGTATAAGACCAGCTATGCTCATACAAGCTTCTATCGCGATGTTACATTCGTGGGCGACCATCATCTCAAGGGCACCCGTTTCAGCATGGCTGTACGACGCAAGCTCCTTCTTTCTCTCTTCAAAAATCTGTGCAGCACGAAGAAATATATCGCGCCGGTATGCAGGCTTTGTCTTTGACCAGCTGATGAAAGCATTTTGTGCACCAGCCACTGCGGCGGCTGCATCTTCTTCAGATGCCGAAGAACATTTGTACAAGACTCGACCATCAATAGGCGACACGACGTCGAAACTGCGTGGGGTCGTGATTTGCGCCCCGTTGAGGAAAAGTGGGATTGTCGATGTGGAATCGAAACTCGATATTGTTGTAGCCGCGTTCTGAGTATTGCCCGCCATAATGTTTATGTGTTGTTTGAGTATTGTGCAAGTTATGTGTGGTTGGTGTTGTAAGTGAAATAAGCAATAAACTGGACGTCGTATGTTTTCCCAGTAGGTAGTATTTAAACGATTTTATTACTATCTCCGCCGCTGGTTTTCTTTTTGGAATACCGAGGCTACCACTAGGCGAAGTAGACTAAAGCGGTATACTAATTGCAAGACCGTTGTGAATTCAAAAAATAGCTGGATATCTATGACAGTACAACTGGTTGCTATCAAACACTGATAATTTCCCGCCAAGATACGTTGTTACTACTGAGCGACCAGCGCACCAGCCTCGGGTCCTTCCAGTATGGCCGCGGCTCCCCCACCCCCACAGACGCTTCCTATCTTTGAATTACCGATCGTCTCTGTTGGATATGGAATTACGGAGATTTGAAATTATCAATACTAACGATGTATGCGTGATTCATACTACGGGTCTAAACAGGGTGGAAACTTGATGTGGGGGTGAATAGAATCACCTGGGGTTATGGAGTGGAGCACAGAAAATAGAAAAAAATATAGATACCTTAGACAGCCAGAAAATACAGGAGTCAGAGCAAGCATCTTGATCGGATTTTTTTTCTTAGGTAAATATCCAACTTTGGTGTTTCAATCTGTCATCTCGTCCGCTACACGTTGACATCCACTATGCCGGAGCCAGTATTCCAACTTCTTCCGCAATGGCATTCACAGCCAGCCAAGTTGCGTATAATCTGCGCTGGTGCTGGAGCTGCTGGTCTATTGATCGCGTATAAATTGCAAAAGAATTTGACAAACTATGACTTGATTTGTTTTGACAAGTGAGAATCCCCACTTGTATCACAATACAAATCTACTGTGCAAGGCTCACTGACACAAAATCAGAAACCCAAGCATTACTGGCACTTGGTTCGAAAATAGGTACCCAGGATGTGCCTGTGATGTGTAAGTGACGGTATAAACGTAACTCGCAAGCCCTTCAGTTGCTCTTTGTTTTTTTACTTAATTTGCTTTTTGCTGCCCTTTCTTTCTCCGCTACGATATGCTAATTGTGAATTAACAGCCCTGCTCATGCATACACCTATCCCTTCGAGCCTAACCCAGACTGGTCCAGCTTTTACGCTACTGGTCCAGAAATCCGGCGCTACTTTGAAAGTTTTGCTGAAAAGTACAATCTTCACCCCTATATCAAAACAAACTCTCGCATCCTGAGTGCTACATGGGTGGAGGAAAAGGGGATCTATGAAATTATCATTGATAGGGATGGCGAAATAATCCACGATTGGTGCCATGTATTCATCAATGGTACTGGCTTTCTCAATAACTGGAAATGGCCGAGCATCCCGGGTCTTCACGATTTCAGTGGCAAGATGATGCATACTGCTAACTGGGATAACTCGGTTGATTGGAAAGATAAAACCATCGCCGTCATTGGCAATGGGTCCTCGGGGATTCAGATTATCCCAGAACTACAACCAACTGCCAAGCATCTCACCTGCTTCATGAGATCTTCCACGTGGATTGCCCCTCCATTGGGAGAAGTCAAGATCGGGCACGACGAGAAGGGGAATCAACCAGACGACGCGAAGTCTGCGCCTACTGGACAATATCATTATACCGAGGAGGAGAAGAAACGCTTCCGAGACGATCCAGAGTTCCTCTTACAGTACCGACAGAGTTTGGACTCCAAAGCAAATCTTTTCTTCGATGTCTTCATCCGTGATTCCGAAATGTCCCATTTCGGAAGAAAGATGATGAAGGAGGAAATTGAAAAAAGACTTGGTCCTGGGCATGAAGACTTAAAAGTTCAAATGATCCCTGAATGGGCACCTGGATGTAAGAATGGACTTGATCGACACATTTCACCAGTTGACTAATTTTCTCCCTCCCAGGTCGGCGAATTACTCCAGGCCCCGGGTACCTGGAAGCCCTCGTGCAACCGAGTATGATATGAAAAACTAAACAATAATTGTTATTTTCCAGAACTAACTTATTACAGATGTAACAATTGCTCAAAACACCATCCAGCGGATTGTTCCGGACGGATTGATCGATGGAGACGGGAAGCACTACAAAGTCGATATGATCGTCTGTGCAACTGGCTTCGATCTAGCCTTCGCCCCGAATTTGTATGTGGCCTAAATATTGGTACACCCATCATGCTAACAATTATTCCAGCAAGGTTAGCGGTGTCAACAGTGCCATTATGGCGGATGAGTTCAATCCTGAGCCCAAGGTTTACCTTGCCGTAACTGTGCCTAAATTCCCCAACTATTTCATCGTTAATGGCCCCCGAGGTATGACTGAAGATATCTCCAAATATGAAACAGATACTGATTCAGTCGCTTCACAGGAAATTGGGGCGCTGGATCTGCCCTTCCTTCGGTAAGAGCCTGCTAAGCCTTGTCTAATGTCAATTCTGCAATACTGATTTCACAACAGCATGACGTTCAAGTCGATTACATTATCAAATGCATTAAGCGGATGCAGCAAGAAAACATCAGGGCACTAGAAGTGAAGCCGAAGCCAATTGATGATCTTTACGAATACATCGATGAGTGGCATAAAGGCTCAGTGTGGAGCGATAACTGCAGCAGGTGAGTTTGGCCGTACTTTTGGCTTTTCAAAGACATTCATTGATTATAAAACGCACTAGCTGGTATAAAAATAATATAATCGATGGTAAGCATCACGGCCCCATTTATCCCTTAATCTGCGGCGATCTAACTCAAGGTTATAGGGAAAGTATGGATTTGGGGCGGATCGGTATGTACCCTAAGCTCTATCTAATACGGGGTTCCAATTAACACTGTTTAGTCCCTTCACTACATGAAGACGATGAAAGAGGTGCGGTGGGAGCACTACGACATTCGGTATAAGTCAGACAATATGTGGGCATTCCTCGGTAATGGTCGTGTCGAAGCTGAGGTCCTCAAGGATACCTCCCGTCTGGCACCATACATGAGAATCGGAGATGTTCCGTGGGAGATTTAACCATCAGACGGTTGGGCATGTATAGAAGGCATATTCCTTATGTTTCGCAGATATCTTTGCCCTTGTTCAGGTATTTCCGTTCTTGTGGGCACAATATGGCTCTATATTGCGTTTTCTTTGTATTTCCCGCCTATCACTCGTTCCCTTGGGTTTCAAATACAGTTTCCGCAAATTTCTCTTTCTAACATAATGTGCTACTTCTTCCAGTCTCAAAACTCTCTGCGAAGCCACACATAGCATAGTACGAGACAAGATTCGAAAGGGCTCTTGCATATCCTTTGCCTGTAAGCTCTGCCATAACTAAAAATCTTGCTGGTCTCCTGTCTATTTGAAATGCAATAAGCAAGGAATCTTCTTTTCCCTTTACGTTTGACGATGAAATGATAGCAATAGTAGGGTACCGTGCGTATTGCTACTATGAGGAGAGACGGAAAGATAAAGGTGCTCTGCTCTCCAAGCCAACTACTAAGCTTGGAGAAATGATGCATAAGATAACATCATGGTCAGCAATCGTGCTATTTTCTACTTCTCAAGTAAGTCTTGTGCAATTCTAGCCGAGCGCTACGATCATTAAAAGTTTCGTCTTCCTCGGTGTATGAGGGTATAGTGAATTTATCAATCTTTATTTTGGTCATTTAGCTACACTGTGTCCGTTGATATAATTCTACAACAGAAACAAAACGCACACGGCTTCAGCAAATTTACGGATTATTTCTGTAAGGCTGCTATTTGAGCATCCTCACACTCGTCACCGGGAAATCACGTACGTGGAATACTCCATATTCTACTGTAGCTAACGTTGAGCAGGGTTAATCCGATGGATTTTGTCCAAAGCATCAGCTTTACTTCCGAGGCTGCTAGAGGAGCAGGAAGTGGGTCCTCAAGGAACAGTGGGGGTGAGACTTTTACAACCGAGGACTTGGTGAGGTAGCTTTGATCGAAACGAAAAGATTCATTATATACAGTATAAGACCACAATATTATACTTTTATCAACTACTTCTTCCATTCTATCTCCATTCATATACCTAACAGCAATATCCTGATTCCAGGTGGAATCAATTTTACGATGACTGTCAGATCACAACCTCTTGCTGGTGGTATTGCATTTATTACTGGAGGAGCGCGTGGCCTTGGAAATGCTGTGGCAGTTTCCTTTGCTAAAGACGGGGCAACTGGTATAGCCCTTGTAGATATACAGGATGAGCAGACGTTTCTTGAGGGGAGGACGGCTGTGGAGAAGTACAACTGCAAGGTACGGCCTGCTAATGTCCTATTACTTCCTATCCAATAGAACCTAGCTGATCATTAACATTAAAATTGCCATCAATAGTGTATCACCATCAGGGCAGATGTCACGAAGGAAGAAGAAGTCGAAAGGGCTGTTCGAACCGCCGTGGCTGCATTCGGCCGTATTGATTACGCTGCGTAAGGACCTGCGCATTGACTTGCCCCGTCTTCCTACCCAAAGTCTAACACACGAGTTTTCCCTTTACAGAAATTTTGCCGGTATAGCTGGTCCATTTGGAAAGACTTGGGAGACGGATTATGATGCTTGGAACCGGCCTCAACAGATAAATGCCGGGGGTACATTCTTATGTATGAAACATCAGCTGAAGCAAATGATGAAACAAGACCCAATTAAAGGGTGAGTGCCTTTTCTGGATGAAAAAGATTCAACAATGGAATAGGAAATGACTTTGAATTATAGAGAAAACGGGCGAGTGTCTCAGAGGGGGTCAATTGTCAACTGTGCCTCGATCAACTCAATGCTTTCCGTAGCCGGCGCAAGGTCATATACGGCATCAAAACATGCAGTTGTTGGTATGACAAAAGCTGTAGGTTCTCCAGCCCGGTTAGTGGTTGTCCAATGCTAATAATGTGATCATAGGCCGCCTTAGAAGCTCGTGAGCATGGCATTCGGGTGAACGCCGTCTCTCCGGGCTTTATTATGACGCAACTACTGGGTAATGACCTAGCAGCAGCGGTAGCATCTGGGAAAATTGAGTCTCCTTGGAAGCCCCAAGAGGAACGTCAGGGCCGTAAAGCCTCACCGGACGAAATTGGCGATGTTGTGGTCCTACTGTCCACACCAAGAATGAGTCTGGTGAATGGGCATAACCTGGTCATTGACGGGTGAGTCAATCATTAAAGTCTTCATTTCAATCAAGAGCTTGAATGGGTTACTAATGATTTCTAGTGGCTTTTCAATCAACGGTGGTAACAATTGAATCAAGCAATTGTATTGGCATCGAGTCAGATACCTAGACCTTGAAGAATTACAACATCTATATCGATGACTGACGCATAACTTATAAATGCCTAGTACGGAATACTGAGAAGTACTAAATACAATTGTGCATGTAGCGTTCTGAATAGTTGGGACTTCTCCGGCTGTTCGAAGTACGTGGATAACGTATTTTGTCAGACTGGGATATAGCCCCCCTAGGCCTTAAGCAGGAACCGAGGTTTTTGTTATGGCCTAGTGGTAAAATGGCTGTATGATTTCCCACATATTTCACATGGGATCTGCGCAGCCGAAAATGCCATAGTAAATGCGATATGTATGCTACACTTATCTCTCAACAATGAACAATCAAGCTTTTTTTCTTATTTTTTTACTTGCCAATAGCCATTGATAAGTATTCTGTTAGCATATATGAATCTTAGATGGATTGAAAATTTGAATTATCATGGTATCGAAAATTCCATCTCCAACCAACCCCTGAATATATAGATCCTAGTTCTCAATTTCTCAAGTCACTCCTCGAAGTGCCAAAAGTTTATGTTGAAAGCATAGATTAATATTATAAGAAAAGGCTCGCTTAGAGAAGTATTGCTACGATGTACAGTTGTAACCTATCACATTGAATATGTACATCGGACTGCGCAGCTCGCTTATGAAATACGTAAAGAGGCTTTGGCTACCAATCCATTTCCAAAAAATTAAAGTCACAAGTGTAAGTAGCGCAAAGAACTTGGCTGGTAATAGGATCTATGTGTTGACTATTGAAGGCGAACATGCAAAAGATACGTCATGTAGCAGACCCTACATTTGACCAAAAAGCCACAGAACACCGCACACCAGACTATCGACGAAGTTCGTGGTTTCTGGAAGACTTCGAACCGCCCAGAAGTAATGTGGTAGTCCTTTGTAGTGATCATGTCGTGTGGGCACACCAGCGTTCTTCAATGCTTGTTCCATAACATATGAATCATCTCTAAGAGGATCGTACTCGCACGAGACAAAGTAGACTGGTGGGAAATGCTTGTGGTTTTCAGTCGCTAGAGCAGTGAAAACATTGCTGTCTTGGGCAGCCACACCGGCATGTTTATAGAACGTCTCCATTGACTCCCTGTCAACGAGCGGAACATTGGTAGCGTTCTCCTGGAACGATTTGTAAATGGACTCGTACTCCGCTGGAACATAGTCAGGATGTAGAGTGGATGGGACCAAGGCAGCAACACCTCGAATGGTATCGCGTAACTTTGGGTTCGCCGCCATCTGATTTGCGACCTCAAGCGCGATTGCGCCGCTAGCCGATGCTCCGATTGTGAAAAATCGGGTGGAATCTCCACCAAAGCTGCTGGCGTTTTTGATAGCCTGGTGGGAACTTAGCAATCTTGGGAATGTTTTCCGAGGATTTTGGAGTACTATACCCAGGTGTATACACCGAGTGTATCATTAAGTTGACTCGGCATTTGAAACTCCGGTGTAAGCCGGTAGTCCACGCTTATGATAATGCACGATGCTTTCTCTGAGACTGCCCTGCAAACCCAGTCCTCTGAGTCCAGATCCCCTGTCATCCATCCACCACCATGGGTGTATATTCCAACAGGCAATGGCCGCTCAATGGAGTGCCCCTTAGGGGTGTAAAGTCTATATTCGATTTCTTCAACTTCACCGTCGCTGGCCACCACTGTGTCTGACGGTTGAGGAGCAAGCTTTGCCATAGTTTCAGACATTTTGATGTGCGCCGCTTTGATTTCTTCTGGGGTACCATGCACCGCGAAACGGCCACCTTGAGCTTTCTCCACCTGTGAAGAGGTTAGCCATATATTGAATAACCACTGAATTTACATACATCCAGCCATGCCTGACTGTAGACCATCGTGATTGGTAGGTAGATATAAATTAGGAAACGGGTTTGAGAAGCGAGGAAAAATGTTCATCGAGGGGGAACTCCAAAGACGGGCTGAGAAGTTTCAAACTAAGATTGTTTTCTGTCCTTAAGAGTTTATTAAATAGACACAGCTAGTTTGAAAAAAATGCTCAAATCTTTTATGCACATCTGCATAGAGACCCGGTAATTACATTAAGCCCGAAGAATTCCCACACCACCTTCCAGTGCGCTCCACCCCCACCCATTCTGCGCCGAGGCAGCGGGGTATAAGTTCAATTTCCGAACAGATGGGGATTTTTTGTACATCAGAATATTTTATGATTCAGCAAATTGCATATTAGAACTACAGTAAGATCGTATGAAGAAATGCGAGGTCAGTAAACTATTCTCAGAACAAATTTTTCAATATGATGCGTGCGGCCAAATATTACGGCAAGGAAGACGTTAGGGTTGAGCAGGTGCCTATTCCTCAACCTGGGCCTGCTCTGGCGCTAGTGGAGATCGAATGGTGTGGAATATGTGGTTCCGACCTACATGAGTTTATAACTGGTATGTGAACGTCCTATATGAAACAAGTAAACGTTCGACGCAGATCCTCATTGTGTGTACCAAAAGGACCTGTGGGTATTCCAAAACCCGGCTTTCCACACCCTCTCACAAATGAAACACTGCCGATCATCTGGGGTCATGAATTCTGCGGCACAATCAAATCCGTTCCACCCGGCATTAATCTGAAAGTGGGCCAAGCCGTTGCTATAGATCCACGATTAATCTGTGGGACTTGTGGTCCTTGCAACAACCATGCTGACCACGGATGTCACAAACTCGGATTCATGGGTGTCTCTGGTAGGGGAGGAGGGTTTTCGGAGTTTGTGGCCGTCGAACCAAGCATGATTCATCCGCTACCAAAAGACATGCCCCTGGAGTATGGCGCTATTCTGGAGCCCCTCGCTGTGGCCAATCATGCTGTAAAGATGGCAGGTAATCTCCCGTGGGATAACTCTACTGTCTTGATCCTAGGTTCAGGGCCTGTTGGTATAGCACTGATCCTATGCCTGAAGGCATATGGAGTTCGAAGAATCATAGTATCAGAGCCCACGATGAAACGAAGGCAGCAGGTAGAAGATATAGCTGATACCGTGATTAATCCAATGACGGACGAAGTTGAGGGAACTTGCCGGGTGACGACTGAAGGTCAAGGAGTCGATGTTGTTTTTGATTGCGCCGGCGTACCTCAAGCTCTTAACCAGGCTTTCCGGGCAATCAAAGTCCACGGAATGTATGTGAATGTGGCTATCTGGGAAAAACAAGTATGTACTCCTTCTGGCACACCCAACACATATTAATCCAGCTGGCATCTAGTTTGAAATACCGTTCGGTGATTTTATGTGGAAACATATTACAGTCCTGCCTTCCATGGCCTACAATGCAGAGGACTTCCGCGAGGTTGTAAAAATGGTAGCTGAAGGTACCACTACTGTCCTCAAATGAAGATGCGATGATACTGATATCCAATAATAGGCCAATTGGTAGGGTATGAAAACATAGTGACAGCTCGGATTTCGCTGGAGGACATCGCGAGCGAAGGCCTTTGGGAGCTCATCAGAAATAAGGACCAGCACATCAAAATACTAGTTACCCCCAAGTCTCATCTCTTGCACTAGCTAAGATCATTGTTTCACAATGATCAAAATATCTAATTCCAATTTAGTGCTATGGCTAGAAACGGAATTTAAAATGCTGATTGTTGATTCTTTTGGCTGTATAAAAGCGATTTCAAACGCGAGGTTACAATGCCTTGTTTTTTAATTGAGGGTCCGGGTGCCCAGAATGCGCGGAAGAAGATTGCTTCAAATTACAGAATACGAAGAATGTTCAGCCGGATCTTTTTGACCAAAGATGCGCTACCCACACCACCGCAGTTGTTTCAATTTGGTGGTAGACCTTAGAAAATAGCCTCAAGAAAGATGCCCGCAAAGGCTTTTTATATGAGTCATTCCCAGTTCGTGAGTTGTTATAAAGAGTCATCCGGTGAAATTGACCGAATGTCGACACATTCTAGTTCCATTTCAGCTAAGATACAAAATTCGGCGGCATTTTGCACAAATCCCCGTCGTTTCCACATATCACGGGGGTGGAGATCCATGAAAGTATGATTGTACTGCTGATATGACTTGGTCTCTTGTCTCACGCATAGCTGCCAAATCTTACGCCAATTATTGAGGCCAAAGCGAATGAGATCACCGTTCCAAACACACTGTATAGACCCCTTGAAAGTGTAAATTAGAGAATGGAACGCTGTCGGTCGAAGTTTTAGTATTCACAGATTAACGGCTCTTGGGGTTTTTTTTATGACTTACCTGACGTCATGAGAAACATGTTCAATATCCCCAGTTCAGCAAATGATTGAATGTCAGCCGGTTCCATATTGTCACAGCAAATACGATCCATTGCTTTGGCTAGAGATATACCAAGGTTCACCCAAGGAGGATTGCGATCATAGCACTCCAAAGATGTGCAAGCTTGAAAGCATGTATCAGAGCAAGCCATACTCATTTCCATGTCTTGTATTCTCAGGTTTGGTGATAGCCTGTGCATAATCACAAATGCCGTATCCATCATGAAAACAAATATCGCAGTTCTGGATGATGTTATTCTCTCGTGCAAATTGCATAAAGGATCACCAGGGTATTCTACCTTTTAAACACCTCATGGGCAATGAAGTTCGTGCCAATTAAATGTTTGCCGACTGGCTTGGAGAGGATCAGGGTAGCTTGCGAAATGTTTCATCAAGTCTTTCATAACCTACTTGCCATTCAGATACCGAAAAGGAAGTCATACTCAAAACTTACGTACTGCTGTAACCACAGGATAGCGGAACTTCGGTACCCGTCGCTTACTTTGCGCAGAACCCTCCCAGTTCTGTAGTACACAGATTGCATAAGCAGTCTGGAGACCTTGAACAGCCTGCATAATGGGACCGTCTAAGATGGGGGTGCGGGATGAGCGTGGGTCGCCGGTGGTCTGGCGGTACAGCGAGTCGTCACTGAACGCCCCTTCTTCGATGCAGTCAAACCAGATCTTGGCAGATTCTTTGTGAGATGTGTCTGGTGATACACATGCCCCTGGAGGGAGTTAGTTAAGGCCCTTGCAGGTATTGCACTTCTACAGTACCAATAAGTATCATGGCCGCGAGTAAAGTTGGCTTCGTCGAGAAAAGATCAAAAGTGGGCCTATGAATGACTTGCCAGTGCGGATACCACGAGGCCCAGAATAATTCTAAAAATTTGAGGATATTCGAAGGGGCGAAAAAGTTTCTACATTCTTCCTCTATTGCCGACGACCATCGAATTTCGATCATACTGCTTCGCGGGGCAAATGTGACCGCATCTTTGATGAGGCTCAAAATCTCGCGCGTTTTGAACGAAAGCGGCTCGAAATGAACGGTTCTCTGAGCACCGGCGTCGGCTTGAATTGATCCTGATGGCCCGCTAAACAGGAAAGGGTATCTTGCGTGGTAGTCCAAGTGGCTGCCGAACATCCAGTCTGACGTGAATATCGGCATAATCTCCTGCGTCTTAGAATTTTCCGTCGTTATCTCGCAACTCTGATTGCCCTCTGGCAAAGTGTATCCCCAGATGTGATCAATCCCTGACATAAGTGACGATTGAGGACGATCCGCAACAGTTTCCTTGGGCGAATGCTGGGATTCATCATCCTTGTTAACGAAAAATTGGTTGTCGTTCATCTGGAGTACGCATTCAATGACTCTTTCCCTTTGCAATGGGGATCCGCAGTCAAAGGAGCATATTAAACTAGTGGATTTCAAATTCACGTTGCGCAGCAATGACGGCGATAAAGCCGACATCAAGCCCTGGCCCTCTTCATCCAAATCAGGCATGGCCATGTTGTGGGTGTCAAATACCCTCCACAGAGAGGCACCTTGGGAGTCTGGCTCACTATGGTGGAATGGAACACCCAGCCCGGTAGGCACTGCTGTTGTAGCTCTAACAGACGTAGTATCGAAGCATAGATCAATGTGGGAACCACTGCTGTCATGATTATATTGCACTTGTCTCTTAGGTTGGTGTGAAGGGGAGTATGTGCATGCGTCTCCCCTCTGAAAGCACAACGAGCAAGGTCCGTTCAGATCACACGCACTTTTGAGCTGTATACATTGGTCGCACGCCCTCTTCTTTGGTTGTTCAAATAAATCTCCAGCGCTGCTAGATAGTTCAGGGACTTTTCGCATTCTCTCACATATACGCGCGTGTCGCTTGAGCACATCTCTAAGTAACGTGCGTCAGTCGGACCACTTGTCTCATAATTACGGGGATAAAGCGACTCACCCACGCTTGAACGTGGACTGGCATAAAGTATAGCGGAATGGGCGGTTTGTTTTATCTAAAGATCGAATATGGAAAAAAGACGTTAGCCCGTTTCCAATTGATCGTTGCTGTCACAAGTGCGGGTTCACTCGCGGGATGCAAGATGGCGCTCAAGGTGTTCGAGCCGGCTATATGTACGTTGACATATTGAACACCTTGGTGAGTCACGAGGGGATGTCATACTAAATGAAAGTTGTCTATTGTAGATTACTGTGAAAATTGCTTGAGAAGGATTTCACTTCCATTAGAACTGTCTTGGTTGTTCTTGCCATCCGCGCTGCACATGACCTCCCCCGGAGCGCGGGGCCCCGCTTCTCGCTTACGCGCTTTGCGGGGAATTAGGGGCTTCCCTAGAACTTCCTATTCCTTCATACCTGCGAGCTTCCTATTGAGGAAAGCTAGCACCTTGGCAACCTTCGTGTGGCGAGAAATAGGCCTAACATAGCGCCTTGCAAAGTTTGTTGGTCCTTTGGTCCTTGTGGGTTGTGGGGAATGCCCGGTTGTGTGGAATATCCCGACTGGTGAATCTTTCTTAGCTCAGCAAAGAGCGCATACCTGTGGACGTCAATTACAATTTAAATCGCAGCTATTAAGCGCAAGTTCAGTTAGTGCGCCTCACTGCTATCAAACCCCATGGGGAAGTGGATATGGAGGTGGGAATTTTCCTTGTCCTATTCGAAGGAGTATATGGGCTATCGCTATCCAAAGGAGAGCAGTATATATATAAATGGGAATCTCATTATATTTTGCAAATCTCTATCTTCAATTGCTTGCTTGCACAGTATTGACATCTTATTGAATTTCTCAAAATGACCGTTGAAGGCGAGCACAAGTGGAACTGGCAGAATTTCGTCATCACCTTTGCTATATCGCTAGGGCAATGGGCTTTTGCATATCCCTCCGCTATCATTGGTTCAACAATGGGGCAGCCATCTTTTCTAAGGTACATGGAGTTCATCGAAGAAGATGGAACAATGACAGATATCTCGGTAAATCTCCAAGGCGCAATGACAGGCGTGTTTCAGGTCAGTTCATTTGCTGATGTGCAGTTCGAAGCTAACTTACCATAGGCAGGTGCATTTTTTGGAATCCTCCTCGTGAGTTGGGTTATGGATAGATATGGTCGCAAAGCTGGAATGATATTCTGCGCAATATTGAGCATTGTTGGTGGTAGTATCACAACAGCTTCTAACGGGGTGGCAATGTTTATCGTGTCAAGGTTCATATCCGGTGGAGGCTCCTGGGGATTCCTTGCCGTCAGTGAGCTTTAGTCCCTACCTTCCATGCCCTATACCAGTGAAAATACTGAATAAGACCTTCCTCGTTCGGCAGCCCCCGTATACACATCGGAGCTCTCACCTCCAAATCTTCGGGGGCTATTTGTTGGGATGAACGGAGTGAACATTGCTGTTGGCTACGCCCTCGCGTCGTATATGGGGCTTGCATTTTTCTATGTTTCCGACCCTGCCGCCCAGTGGCGCTGCCCCCTGGGGATTGCTTTGGTATTCCCCGTCGGGATACTTCTAATCATGGCTGTGGTGCCCGAGTCACCCCGTTGGCTCCTAATGAAGGGAAGAACCGAAGATGCCAGAAAGATTACGCTCAAGCTGCACAAAGAGGCGGACACTGGTGCTACAGAATATGCAGAGGCTCAATTTGAGCAGATGTATCTCCAAGCAGAGGTCGATCGCACGTTGAATCCCACCTGGCGTGAAATGTTCTTACGGCCATCCTACCGGAAGCGGGCAATTGTGGCAATTGCATTTGCATTTATTGGACACAGTACAGGAGTTACTGTTATTAACAGTTGGTGATTCCAATTATGCACCCTTCTACTAGAGGTACTGATGACTTTAGATTACGGGCCGACTCTTTACAAAGCATTGGGGTATGATTCTGAATATCAGCTCATTCTCCAGACCGGGTGGATTACCATGGCCATCCCCGCAAACATTCTTGGTGAGTTTTAATGTCCCATAATCTCAGCCTAATGAGAATTCCTTGTTTGAAGAAACTAAGTCTGCTTTTAGGTGTTTTTGTCACGGATTCTTGGGGCCGTAAACCTCTTATCTTACTAGGAGTTCTTGGATGTTGTGCCTGCCTGATCATTGAAGCTGCCCTTGTCGCAGTCTATGCGTCTCCAGTACCAGAGGCCCCTAACCTTGTTGCCATTCGAGCAGCGGTTGCTATTCTGTGCGTCTATTAATCCTAACCTTCTTACTGATGACTGATTCACTCACAAACTGTATAGTTACCTTTTCATGATTTTCTACTCCCTCGGGATTGACGTCGCGGGAATGGTCTTTTTTGGAGAACTGTTTCCAAACCATCTACGTGCTAAGGGTATGGGCTTGGCCGCGGTGACAATTGCCCTTTCAGATTTCGTTTATCTGCAGTGCGGCGCTATCGCATATAGAGATATTGGATGGAAATATTACTTGGTAGGTTGATATTGGAGCATTCAGCGTTGATTTTCATTGCTAACAACTAAAATACGCAGGTCTTTGTCATAGTGACCCTCATTGGCGCCATATATCTCATGGTATATGTCCCAGAGACTAGAGGAATTCCTCTGGAAGAAATGTCAGCATTATTTGGGGACGTGGATGAAATCGCGAATTTCAGATCCTCCCCTAACCGGAATGGTGATACTGATGGTATTGAACCCACAGTAACCTATAGAAAAACCGACGAAGATGGCGATGTTATCACTACCACTCATGTTGCATGAGATGATGAGGAATCTTTCAATCTGGACTCAATATATATCAGCCCGCGTACTGTGTTAGGAGCCAGAACATACTGTTATACACTGCTAACTAGTCATCAATGTTACAAACCAAGTGAGGTAATATCAACCTTATTGGAGATGTTTGAAAGCACAGCGCTCTGTCCCACTATAGCTAGCGTAATGCGGGACACCCGAGGAATACACATACCCTATTTTATATTATAAAGTAAGCATCCCCTAATTATGGATGTGACAGGGCTAAATATAAGCACGTAGTAAGCCCTCTATATAAACCTACCGCCTCGCTTAATGGATCGAGCTATTCTGTCTATGCTCATATCAAGCATATGGCCAAAGGAGAACCGCAAGGCATTGAAGCTGCAGGTGGATACGCAGGTATCTATGATTCAAAGTAATCATTCACCTTGCTGGAAGCTATGGCGCTCAATTTAGTATGGTCCCTGAACATTCCTAAGAAATATGCCTTGTCAGTTACAATTGGGGATACCTCGGTTTCGTGTAATTTGAACCCACAGTTACATCGTGTCTGTCACGAGCATGGTTTAATTTACAACCCATTAATCCAGACATATGATTTATGAGTTGAACAAATGGAAGCCAAACTGCTAGTCGGTCAGATGGAGCATAATGCTGCGATGACAATCGTGTAACTCAAAATTTCGGATGGGCATTTCTATATTGCGAAAGGAGGATCAAAACACATAAATATATAATAAATCCTAGATTTTGAAGCAAATCCCAAATTAAAAAGACACTGAGCCGATTATATCATTGAGATTTTGAGAGACTAAAAAGCCGACAAAAGGCAACTAGGTCCTGAGCGAATTCTTCCGGCACTTCCAAAGCAGGGAAATGTCCACCCTGTTTCTTTATTAGCGCATGCTGTGTTTGGTTGTGGGCTTGAAGGATAGATTTAAAGACTTACTCTCTCATGCCGCCGGAAAAAGATCAGTGGACCGATCATTTCAATGGCCACCCTGGGCAAGGGGTTAATGTCAAGGGGGAACCATGAAAACCCAATGGGCTTTGGAACGCGCTGTTTGAGGATCTGAAAGTCTGGAGATGGTACCTAAAGCGGAATAGCTGAGGTTAACAACAGATCGGATTTTTGCATTGAAAAGAGGAAGTCACCTCGCGGTAGGCATAAATGCTTAGGGGGAAAGTTTCTGTGAGCCACCAAAGGGAAACATTGCACAACACGACATCAAGCGGAATTTCTATATCCGCCCAGTCCCGGAATTTCTCACCCATCCTAGCAAATACGTATTAATACAGATAAAATGGTCCTCGATTTTCAGGAGTGGGAGTCAAACCATGCCAGCAGTGCCAGCGGGCTGCTCGCTAAAACATGACTTATAGTACTCGGCCGTGTACCATGTTCGAATGCGTATGCTGCTCCGTTGGCACGAAACCATTCTCCACGAGCGAGCCCTTTCTCTTCGGCTGGCGTAAGTTGACTGTCGCTAGAACGAGAAAATGGAGCAAAGTCCATTGTCACTTGGATTAACGAGTAAGATTCCTGTTATTTGTATGCGTTGTAATCAAAATTCAACAACTTACGGTGTATGCCTGTTGAGAAGAAGATCAGCCGAGAGCACAAGTAATATAAGAAGCTTTGGAGCTTATACCTAAACAATCTTGGAAGTTAAGTGCCAGAGCCCTAGCAACTACACTTCCAATATCACCACCCTGAGCGAGATAGCCTCCGTTCTGGGAACTATAACCCAGTTGGGTCATCAAGCCGTTCATCAAGAATGCCACATCCTCTATCTTGAAGTCTTTGTCAAGCGGAGGCCCAGACGAAAACATATAGCCTAATACGGGGGGAGAATAGAACGTTAGGAATATGTACATAATGGGAAGTAGACGAACGCGTGCCTTACCCGGTAGGCTAGGAACTATGACGTTAACTTCGTTGGAAAAGCGAGATTGTATCGCTTCGACTGTAGGCAAGTACTCCATAAAGGAACCTAGTATGTTAAGCACACCATCGATCAGCTACTCTTCATGGGACAAGATTCAACGCTGAACATACCTGGCCAACCATGCAAAAGGATAATAGACTTTGCTTTCGGATTCTTGGTGAAATATCCTACAAAGTGGATTTGGAAGAGTTCTCCATGTTTGTCTTCCACCTCTGCAATGAATTGTGGCAATTCGTTAAGCTTTTCCTCGTGCGCTTTCCTAGATACCAGGGACTGTCAGGCGAATAAATCCCCATGGAAGTTGAAAGCGGCTGCTTGGGGAATAAATATACCAATCAAAGGTCTGCCACTCTCTTTTGGCATTCTCCATGTATTCATTTTGAATGCCGAATTTGGGGTCCTTTCCTTCGAATGTCGGAGGAGGAAGTGGTGAGAGTCGGACCAGATCAACTAAGCGATTCCATTTGTCGGGAGAGATTTGAATTTTGAAGGGAGACAGAGAACCAGGCTTCTCCGCGACCTCCATATCGCCTGTTTTGGTGGAAAACTGATTTGTATACTTGCTGGTTGCTCAATCTAAAATGACAAGAAAAGCCGTGGTTTGGTTCCGTGCATGTCTTCTGGGGGGTTTGGGACGGTGCCCATTTTATATGCGACGCAAGTTCCCCATATGAGGATTGGTCAATACGAAAAGGGGGGATTTTTGCAATGGCGTTCATCACTCCGTACTGCGTAATCGGTAATCCGTACACTCGTCGGCTCGTGCAAATTCACTGCTGCCTGTCCTGACCTGCTTGCCGATTAGTAATCGGAACGAGGCCCTGAATTGAGGCGCGTAGTGAAGTGGGGAATTTCCGGATATGCGGAAAGATGGAGATTTGAACAGATGAGTACGCCAGGTGCAAATTCCAATCCCCAATTTGGACTGGTTTGGCATTAAATAATTCAACATCCCTACTTTTGTACACCGGGTAAGTGACCGCTCAGTTGATCTCAGCAATCGGTGGAAATTTCACATAGCAGGTGAAACACGCCAAGACTGAAGCCTAACAACGGCGGACTTAAGATGATGCATTATATATAGTATTTATGTCGGAGAGTCATGACTATCAAAAAACATACTGCTTCCAGAGTTGAAATTTGATATTGTGAGTGTATTAATGCCATACAGCTACTAAACCAGGTGGGCCTGGAACAGCTCTATCATGAATAGTAGTATATGTTAAAACAGTGTCAAGTAAATTTTACATTACCAACGAATATCACCCACCTGCTCACCTGAGAAAACAGCGCTTGTTGTGTATGGTGCAGTTGTAAAGATGTTCAGATTTTGAAATTACAATTTCGCACGAATTCTTGAAATGGCAGTTAGCTTGGGAACTACTGGTGATGGATATATCAAGTATCATCATTCTGAACTAGTACCTATGTCATACTTCTGGAGCACAAAGGTTAGGTACCGCATTTCAAGATCTATTTGAGGACTGCGCCCCCAAGGGTCAGCATCCTCAGAAGCGGGATCAGCCTGCCCTGTCCCTATTAGGCGGAGTAAGGTTTTCGCGAGCCAGCAGTATTCGTCGGAGTGCCGAACAAAGCCAAGCTCTCTTACTTGTTGAGGAGTCATGTTTTTCTTAGATCCATCCCAGATAGATTGCCAACGAACAAGCGCGCGATGAATAGGGTCTAATGCGAACTTGCCCAATCCACTGTTGTGAGCCACCCAGATCATGTTGTGTAACACTGTATGAGGTACAAGTTAGCAGTGATTCCTCATATAAATCAGTACATATTCAACCACACACACCACTTATAACAATAAATAGGCCAAGTCTGGTGGTCCTGTTGAAAAGTTCCCCTTGACCATCTGGCCAATCTTCAGCCAGCAAAGTGCTAACAGATTGAGAGAGCGATAGTGGTGGGGTTGGAACCCCTTTCGTTACATTCGCATAATATTCAATGCTGGTTGTTGCTTCAAATAGTTCATCTGAGCATGGGAGGTCTGCTGCAAGCTCTGCAGCTCCAAACCGTGGCGGGATGTTGTAGAAAACAGCATATTGGTTATCGCAGAGGAAAATATAATTCATGATACTAGTGACTGATTAGTTTGAAGTCAACTACCCAGTGCCAACTTGGTTTGAGGCAGGAGATAGATTTTGAGAGCAGGAAAACCCACTTACCGTACACGAGTTTCCTTCTTAATGAAACTATGCCATTCAGATTCTGGATTTGTTGAAAAATCGAAATTGGAGGATCGGTTTCGTGCAGCGGTTAGTTTTAACGTACGCGCACTCTGTGTATTGATCAAAGGGAACGTATTAGTCAAAAAAATAATTTCTCAATATCAGAATGAATTTTGAGGATTCTTACAGATTCGCCTGAAGAGGAGCATAAGCCTCCTGCAAGGAATATGGCAAGCAGCAGAGGAAGAGAAGCCGTATAGGAATTGAATGTTGCGTGATGTATGATGGGACAATGAGGATGGTGATGGTGAAAATAATTATGTATAAAACTCTGCATGTTGGATATAGTGAATAGCGTAGATGTGGAGCTTAGTGGCGGGGAAAAGGATTTTAGTGAAACTTGATCTGAGAGATTCCGGTATCTCTCGTTCAATTGGAATCTTAGCTCGCAAATTCGGACTTCCAGTGGACTCGAAGGCATATTCGCCAATGCATTTGGAGAAAGGTTATGAATTGGCTGTTCAACCGAGGGCTGTGGAAAGAGCTCCGCTTGACCGTCTTGGAATGGCGGCATTTCAGGACAGAACGATAGACCGTCTAATGACGGAAGACTATTCGATTCATCTTGTACACAACTGTATGGAGACTGACCACTCGAGATTTCATAGTTGAGCTCATTCAGATCAAACTCGCTGAGGGAAACTGCCGAGTCCAGCTCCAAGAAGGAAACTTAGAAAACCCATCGCAGTTAGTGATAGCACATTTAGCAAAACGTTGACACCGAATCGAGCGAGTCACCTACAGTCACACTGGCCTAGTTGTGTTTGATCGTAGGCCCACCAACTTGGTTCCCAATTTATCTGCAGGCACTTTGGAGCGGCGCGCGAGTACCCAAATGTATCGGGGATGGTTGAGGAGCCGTCAATAATGAAATTCCGAAGGAAGGGGACTGATTTCATATCTATTCTTTCGACTTGGTGGTGTACTTTTGTAGAATTACCACCATTGACTGGAGACGGACGTGGTGGTGCACCAGTGGTTGTGGGTGATCGAGGATGAGATGAGGGCGTGGTGGTAGGCGGATGTGGTTCGACCGAGTCATTTTCCTTTATGGCGCGTACACGACTCCATGTACACTGTGAGTGACTGTTTGTGCACGCAGAACATGGTCGTAGTCGATCACAAGCATATTTCATGGCTGCACAGCGATCGCAAGCCCGTATAGGTCGGCCACGTCTGAGTTTTTCGGGAAGAGGCTGTTTCCCTCGCTTCTTGCAGCTTCGGTAGCGCCGGATCAAAACATCTCTATCGATTAATTAACCAAATGAACAGGTCACTCCGCATTTACGGAAGCCGAAACTTCGCCCTTAGCGCTGAACAAATAAGGTTTGAAGACTGGCCTTTGCAAAACTCGCATTTGAATAATTTGGAGGTCGAATCTTAGAAAATCAATGTCAATAATTGTGGAGATTTCTTTTGATTGAGTGGACAAACGGTTTGTTTCGTGTCTCCGGAGATGATCAGGACGAGCGAACGATGTTGGACATTGGGTGCAGCGATATCTGGCCGAAGATCCCTCTTCGTCTGTCTGGGAATTTGTAGACATGATGGAGTTGTGGATGAATACTACATGGATTCGTCTTCTCGTATGGAAAAGGGCTGGCGAGGCGAGAAGAAGAAGACAGGATGGGCTATTGGCAAGAAGTCGGCCGAGACGGAAGGTCGAGCTGGTGTTAGGTGCCGAAATGGTCAACCAGCCTCCTCTTCCCCGCAGCTAAAATACATCCCCGATCTCTTGGAGGGCCTAAATATCGTGCTAGTTACTAGTGGCGAGGATCTAGTGGCTGAACCTCTCTAGGGAAATTGAGAAGGGCCGTCTACCCGTTCTGTGGGGGTGGGGGTTATTAGCTGCTGGTTGGACCGAGGCCGATGATCCAGTTAGACCTCGAAGCCGAGTGGGAGAGTTCTATGGGGCTGTCAATTTCAGAAAAGTGCAATGTAGGTTGTTCGGAATTAAGAGCTTGGATTTGTCGAAATTAATCATTGGTTAATTTATCCAATTCTCGATCCCGTTCAAGACTATAAATCTCTCCCAAAGATTCCCTTCTATTATAACTTTCGACACCCTTTTTACATCAAAACGTGAATTAAGATGGCGACCTCTCACAACCCCTTGAAGGTGATTATTATTGGAGCTGGAATCGGGGGGCTGACATGCGCAATTGCTTGTCGACACGAGGGCCTCGATGTAAGCATTCTTGAGCAAGCTCCCAAGATTATGATGGTAAAAACTTCCTCCCAGTCATACTCAGTCTAGCTTTGAACTCATCAGTAGTGAAGGTCGGTGCTGGAATACAAGTACCTCCGAATGCGGCGCGAGTTCTTGGAAATTTCGGCTTAATGGATAAAATCCTGAGCCGCGCTAACATTGTAGAATCGATTGACCTTCGTCACTACAAAAGTGGAGAAATTCTCACTTCGAGACCCGGTGGCTCCCAAGTCGAGCAGGAGTTTGGCTCACCGTGGCTGTAAGTGAACTCCTCGACTACTATCTGCAGTCTGCATTGGCAGCGCTATCCTTTCAACACAAATAACCGTGATATATTTCTGTTCCTACAGAGTCATACACCGAGCGGACTACCAGACGATTCTGATGGAAGAAGCAATTCGATTGGGTGCCAACCTGCTCTTAGATTCTACGGTCACTTCAGTCGACTTCGACAAAACGGAAGTTGTGTGCGCAAATGGACATACTATCAAGGGTGATGTGGTCATCGGTGCGGACGGTTTGTTATCCCGTGGAAATAGAGTACTTCTTTTTCGTTAACCAGCTTCATCCAGGGTTGTGGTCTAAAATGCGGGACTAGCTTCTGGGTCAGGAATCTCGACCAATTGAGACTGGTGATATGGCCTACCGCGCCACTTTCGCCCGAGAACAGTTGTTGTTGTTAGGCGATTCTCGCATAGAAGATCTATGCGAGGAGTCTGTTGTTTCATCATGGATTGGCCCAGGTCGACACTGCGTCTTCTACCCACTCAATTCTGGTCAACAATTCAATCTCGTTTTAGTCCGACCGGATAACCTGCCGTCAGATGTCAGATCTACTGCAGGCGATATAACCGAGATGAGAGATACATTTGCATCATGGGATGAGATGTGAGTAATTTCCATTAACATCCATCTGGCGTTCTGGAAATCAAACGCTAATTTGCGCTTTTGAAGATTAACGAAAATGATTTCATGCATCGAAACCGTCTTGAAGTGGAAGCTCTGTCACCATGAGGAGCTGGAGACTTGGTACAAGGTATGTGGAAATAATTGCTTTGATATGATTATGCTAACTGTCAGGGACAGCAAAACGTCGCGCTACTAGGCGATGCCTGTCACCCAACACTGCCGTACCAAGCACAGGGAGCGGCTATGGCAGTTGAGGACGGAGCAGTGCTTGGAAAGCTGCTTGGTCTGCATTCTCGTGACCGGCCGGATGGAGCAACAGAAGGTATCCCAAGGATCCTCCAGCTATATGAATCGTTGCAAAAGGGTCGTTCAACTACCAATGTGAACGGCGCAAAAGCGAACCAGCGACTGTATCATCTACCGGATGGTCCAGAGCAGGTTAAGCGGGATATCATGCTCAAAAATGCCGACTATAAATCTCCGAGCAGCCTGAGCTTTGTCGATGTGAACTATCAGACGGCTTTGTTAGGGTGCGATTGCATTGCCGAAGCAGAGGCCGCATTCCACAAGTTGAAAAGCGTGGATGTCTAGCACTGAGAAATATATTGAGTATTAAACATCGAAGTTAACCGAGTGGAACAAAATAACTTTCATCATCATTAATCTCAGTGACCACAGTGAATAGTTGTAAGACTTGCTCAATTACAGCAATCTGGCATGTTGACTCAAATTAGTTGTCATGAGTGGTCGTTTTGGCAAATGCACCATTTGAAAGATACTCTGTGTTTCAGTTGAATCGTCCGCAGAATCCATTAAGTACGGTATAGATCGCAGGCTATTCATGGATTAGTTAGCCCGGGCTTTGATTGTAAAGTAAAAACCGCGAGGCAACATAATTGAAAAACTGCATTCCAAAAGGGGTAAAAAGTGGTGTTGAGGCAATGTTATTTATTGATTTCTGCGACATTTTCTGAATGTCCAAGTCCAAGTCCAGGTGAATGTAAATAGTAATTCAGTCGAAATTTCAAAGCAAAATACTGAACTACGAGAAATGCACGCCCAGTCCGAACTAGTTTAAGACAGATGTTTTGTCATTTTACACACGGGTGAAAATAGCTATATACCCTGCAGCTTGCTTTGAGAGGGTAAGAAATTGTTATAAAATAAACCAGGTTTGTATTTTCTAATTTAGTGATTTCGACATGACCTGTACTAACCGGCGACAAGAGTTTGGTTCCTGGAAGTTAACTACAGAAAGTGGTTTGACTGTCCCAACTGGGAAACATTGAGTTCCGAACATTCCAAGGGTAGATGTGAGATGTGCGATCATCTAACCCAGGATCTTGTCCAGTGCTGAAGAAAGCTCATTTCCATCATCGAGTGGCGGGCACAATGATCGCCAGGCGATCATGTTATCCGGGCGAACCAAAATAGCTCCTCCATCGCGGATATCCCTCACATGAGCCCATTGAGACTCTTTGTCAAGGTATTTGCCATCTCTTGGAGAGGAGGCCCCATGTTGGGAGATCTGGACTATGCGCAATCCCCGTCGGCTAGATTCTACAACTCTCTTAACTGCGGACACCCACGCTTCACCAGATTCGTCGGTAATGAGAAGGAAATCTCCAGTTGCGCCCACCAAGTCCAGGGTAGAGAGCGACTTTCCGTCTCGGAAGAGCCATGCATGAGGCAAGCGGTGGCCTGGGCGGGTGGTTGGGATATATCTTTGCTGCAATGGGTCCTCGGGTGGCGGATTTGTCCCATCTGTAAGGAGGGCCCCTGATGGATAAGAAAAGCCTAGCTCTATATTATGAGCACCAAGCTCAATCGTTTGGCCGTCAATTGCATGCTGGACCATTGCATGTGAGGCCCGACCAATCTCAGAGCTAGGATCAAACATTTCAGTAAAGCGCTGGGTGTTAGCTTGTGTTTGGCCTGGTAGAAGCCCAATAGCTGCGTTGATGACGGCGATGTTCTTGAAGGTGAAAAGGGCCCAGTCAGCATTGCGCTTGCCAATAAGCCTGCGTTCTGTGTCATATGTATCAAGCAAGGCAGCATCTGCCTTTCCATTTAGCACCAGGGCAAGTTTCCAAGCAAGGTTGTGAACATCTTGTATAGCAGTGTTAAGTCCTAGTCCTGCGGTGGGTGGGTGACGATGTGCAGAATCCCCGGCAATGAAAACGCGGCCCTCTTGGTATTTGCTTGCAACGACATCTTCCAGTAGCCAGTGGCTGACACCCAGCACTGTCAGATCAAGCTTGGGGAGTTTTAATAACTCTCGGATACGCGGAATCAGGATATCCTCGCCATGAAACCGACCAGGGTCATTAACACTGAAGCCGAAATGAAGCTGCCATTCCTCTGAATGGCGACCCCACGAGGGACCTAGAGGTAGCATAGACCCACTGGCAAGGAGAGCTCCCCCTTCCGGGTTTGCAAAATGTGCAATAGTTGTTCGATCATCCCATAGATCGGAAAGGTCGGCTTTGAAATGAGTCGAGACGACGTGGGCTAAATTCTTCGGCCCGAGCATCTCTACTCCAATCTTTGTGCCAACAGTCTTTCCTCCATCTGCACCGACCAGATAGCTTGCACGGTAGGTAAACTTCTCGCCATCCGCTCTTTTAACATGGACAATAACGTGTTGTCCTTCGTCTGCGAAATCCACGACGGTGTGGCCGAACAGGACCTTCGCGGGGTTCCTTCGTTCGGCAACTTCACGGAAGATTGGTTCAGACCGAAGCAAAGGAAGATTGGTCGATATATGGGGGGAATCCTTCCTGTGGATATGAAAAACAAAGTTCATTAGCGTGGTTCTGTACAGAGGATGCCGCGAAAAATGCAACTTACGCATATGCTGCTCCTCTTTCTGTCTTCAAGTCAGTGCCAAATGCATCGAGAGTACCGAGAACCTTTCGATCCAACGGTCCATCGCCCCCGAGCGAGGTCTGCCAAGCGACCTGGCACATAAAATCGGGCGGAGCGCTCTTCTCCAAGATCTCATCAACATAACCGTGTTGGCGAAAGATTTCGAGCGATCGCTGGTTGATGACGTGAGCTTTCGGAAGTATCGATGTTCCAGAATGCCGTTCGAAAAGGACATGATCTATCTTCAGGTCGGAGAGGATTATAGACAAGTTCAGTCCGCAGACTATGCGGTGTTGTTAGTGCTGAGGTGGTGCTATGGTGGTCCGTCTAGTCCTTTACTTACCTCCTCCTCCAACGATGACGACTGGCACATCAATGAAATCCATATTGGAATAGACTTGAAAAGCTTTTTTTTATTGATCCCTGCAAGTGCGTTGCTTTGAATGTTGATGAATTGGTTGGCGACGGAGAGAGCAGAATACCGGAGAGTGAAGCGAAAACCTTTTGAAAATATATACAGATGAAACTATAAGCAAGCTGCACTGGCTATTTCATATGTTGTCTCGTTAGAATATCCACCTATGGAGCGAGATTACACAATATAGGAGCATATCAGAAGCCAGGGAGGCCAGTCCATCGACCCTCCCCCACCCCATCGGCCATCGGGAGTCTTCTGTTGTGTGGTGTCCTCTAGGTTTCATGGTCATTGCCATCACTGTTCAAGTGACCACTCGGTATGCAAAAATGGCTGAATCCAAAATTTGTGGGAATTTCCCAGTTTCTATGACCGAGGTCAGAACCAACGAGTCTGACCACCGAAGGAACAGATCTCGGAAAATTCCCACATGAATTTATCGACGAGCTGAAAGCCAGGAAGGATAATTTTGAGATCATTCAAAATATCGGTATTAATATTTAAGTGCTCTACAGTATGTAGCTCACATTCAGAAACACGTCCCTTTCACATCCTTCCCATATCTCTTCGAGCCCAATCATCTCAATCACCATGGTCGATTTCAACGCTTCAGTCCAAAATGTCAAGAGTCCCAGTGCTCTGGCCCACGTCTTCCTACGGACAAACAATTTCACCAAGATGGTGGACTTTTACAAGGAATTTCTCGGTGGAAGCGCAGCCTTCGAAAGCGATCACATATGTTTCATCTCATATGACTTTGAACATCACCGCATTGCCATCGCCACCATCCCAGACACAACCCCGAAGAAGGCCAATAGCTGTGGACTGGAGCACATCGCTTTTACTTTCGATAGCCTTTCGGATCTTGCTCTGGCGTATCGTCAGAGGAAACAACTGAATATGAAACCGTTCTGGAGTGTCAACCACGGACCTACTACCTCAATCTACTATTATGATCCCGATGGAAATCAGATAGAAACACAGGTCGACAATTTTGATACACCGGAGGAAGCCACAACTTACATGTTATCCGAAGAGTTTGCTGTGAACCCAATCGGCACGGATTTTGATCCCGAGGATCTTGTCGCGCGATTGGAATCTGGAGAATCCGAGGCTTCTATCAAGAAGCGGATTGATTGTGGCCCTAGGGGTACACCAGACTACATTCTCAATCCTGGAAAATAGGAGATGAATTCCGTCGAAGGACTTGTGGCACGGAATGTTGTTATCGATTTGATACGCTGCGATTGTAGCTTGTCTTGTTGAATTTACAGAAAGGCATTCTGAAACACCCGATACTGGACGAATATATATATATATACAAGTCATGGCCACCTTGTGTGGTCCCTTCCTATCCAAATACCCTAGATCTAATAAATATTAGAAAAACAAAAAAAAAAAATGACATACAACAGTGAGGATTCGCTGGTGGTCACCCACCCAACTACTAACTCACCGGCGTGTGGCTTAAGTACGGCTGAGCGGACGGGAAGCCCTGTTTTCCACACCCTATGGTCGTATGTGCTCAAAGGCTGACAGGGAAGAAAACTATACTGTAAATAATTGGGTAGAAATAGACCCATTTGGGTGTTGAAAAGAGCGGGTAAACTAGGTAAGAAGCTAGTTCATTGCGTGGTTTTATATTATATCCATGAATTTGGAAATGTCCATAGTTTCGTAATAAAGTAAGTTACCTGAAAGCCCTAAACCTCTATTGTTTTTGCTGAATGGCTGAAAGTTGAATCTAGTAAATATATGTCAGAAATACGGCATGTATTACTGGGTGAAAACAGCTGATTTGTCATGTCACAGCCAGTACCCGGAATCCCCTACAATTGGTTGGAAGTGTATTAGGATTAGTCAGCAAGCCTCACACAGAGTTTTGGGCCCGGTCCTTAGGCCCATCGATGGGCTATAGGCCCGGGGTGAAAGCCCACTGCACTGGGCTTTAATAGGGGCCCAATAGGCCCCAAACAATGTAAACATACTAAGTTGAACCCCCTAAAAGGGTTTTTAGAATTACCCTTTGCTTTACCCCCGTTTCTAACCCTTATTCTAAAGGTAATGTTTTATTAGTTCAAATTATTTAGAATCAATTACTAACCGTTAATATAGTTTATATATCTAAGTTCTTAGGGATTCGGCTTCTATCGGGGGTTAAGCTTTCTTTAAGCTCTTCGGGGGGCTTTCTTTAAGCCCTTCGGGGATTCGGCTACTATCGGGGTTTATTTCTTTGATATATAAAACGACTAAAATATAGTTCTTTCAAAGAATCTATAACTAGTTACAGCCTAGTTTAAGACTAATTTTAGGCTTATAATATATACTAAGCAAAGCTGAACTTCTATTTTAGGAATTTATTGAAATATTACCTCCTGTAGTATTTAAGGTAGTTATAGTTAAAGATAATAATAGTATAGGAAGAACTAGTTATATATTAGTTAACTACTAGTTCAGAGCTCTAGAAATACAGTTAAATAGAAGTTATCTACTTATAAAAATATATATAGATATACTGTAAAATCGACAGTAGACCTTGCCAACTCCCATGGACCCACTCCCATGAGAAAGTCTTGGCGGTCAAAATTAATGCCAAGCCCGACTATCACTGCCTATTTAGGTAATATAATTCCCTAAATAGGCTTAGCCTAGTCCCATGGGAGTGATTTTACTCCCATGGGACCAGGATATGGGACCAAAATTTTCTTAGTCCCATGGGAGTTGGCAAGGTCTAATCGACAGGGATAAAGCAATATATATATAAACTATATAGAATATTAACAATATCTCTAAACCCCTACGGGTAGGTAACCACTAGAAGTAGTTAGTAACTAGTATAGAATATATAGAACTAGTATAGAACTACTTACTGTATTTCTTACGACGTAATATTTGTTACTCTGTAGCTATATAAGTCTCGCTTTGTATATACGGTACTTAGTTAACTAAGTCCTTGAGAAATTGGAGATCTAAAGTCTGTCTCTTCCCTGCTAAGTTATAAAAGAAATAGTGTGGCCTTATAGAGCTTAAATTTGAATATATAAGGTAGGGGGAAAAAACCCCAGCGATATTCTAAACTAGTTAGTAACTAGATTAATATTAATATAGAGGACTTATACTTACCGGTTCAGGGAAGACACACTATACTAAAGAGTATAAGTCTTCCTACCCACTATAAGCTTTCTTCTCTTAAAACCTCCGAGATACTAAGTTATAGAGACTAGTAAAGTATTCCTTAGTTAACTATAAACTAGTTCAGAACTAGTTCACTTACCCCAGACTAGACTGCGACATCGCCCGTCCATGGGCACCTAGGAGGTGCCCAAGGCCCGTCCACGGTGGGCCTTAGGCTATTTGGATTTTCGAGTGCCCGTCCATAACGCCCAAGGCCCACGGGTATACCCACGGCGGGTATGCCCACGATACCCACTATTGTATAAAGTCACCCAAAATAGACGTATAACTCGCTGACTTTGTATAATAAATAACTGTTATTTACACCTGTTTTGCCAACTCTATATAAAATGGCAGTTTTAATCTACAATATCTATAAATTTTACTGAAATATCTATATATATAAGAAACTAGTATATATATAATACGAATTGGAATAAAATTTTAATCGAAATATATTATATTGTATGGTATTTTTATTAACTTATCAAATCATACTATAACAGCTTAAAGATATATATTTAAGTCAGTGGTATATACCTAGTATTTTCTATAAGTAAAATACTACTTATAGATTCTACTTTATCTCTTACTCTGGTATATTTCTTATAGGTAGATCGAAAGATAATTAGTATAATTCTTATTTTATAAGCTTATATCACTAAATTCTGTCAATTATATCACTCAAAGACTTATATTATTATTCTGGGAGTTTTAAATCCTTCGATTGTAACTTAAGATAGGCGTTTAGGTATATTCCTATAGGCGTACCCACGGGTATACCTACGGGTATACCTATAGACAAAGACACTTATAGCTAATCAGCTTATAATATATAGTGGGTCTATACTCAATTTACGATCTATTAGATCTATATAAAGCACCCCTTTTACTAGTAATCCTCGTTTTACACGGTCGCAAGTTACCTATTATAAGTTTAGATCACTCACTCTCCTATAGTCGTTATATTATCCCTTATATTATATTAACTATATCCCAACCTAGTACCTATACCGTAGGGCCTTCTTTACTTCCTCCGAGCTCCTAACTAGACCTCTCCTACGTCGCCGATATATTTAATCCTAACCTTGATCTAAATATTGATCTTAGTCTCTTTAACAGCTAATAGACTTCTATCTCACTAATAGAGTCCGAGTTCACTTTACCGGCTATTCTTAATTGCTCTCTTAAACGCGTCGGCCCCGATCGGAGAAAGCAGTTTATCCTCTACAACGCGATAAACAACGCGTCTAAAGTAAAGTTTATCGAGTAGTGGCGTACTATAGTACGCGGTAGCAGTACTGAGATATAACAAAGGCTACGATAGGATATAAAATATATATTAGATATCTAGGAGAACTTCGACTAGGTAGTATATTATATTATAGGCGAACCTTTGGTTATATATCGGATATATAGGGTTATATTACCTTATCTAAGTATAAAGCAAAGCGGTACCAATACACTTAAGCGGTATCTAGCCTTAGGTAAATACCAAAAGGGTAGTAAAAGTAAGGTTATATAACAGTCGATTAAGGAGACTATACAGTATATACCGGTAAGTCTTATATTATTATACCCTTTAAGATAACTAATATATTATATATTAGGCACTGGAGTTATCTTATAACTCAAAATTCTCGAATAATAAATAGGAAAGAGAGCAGATTAAATATCTTACTAGTCTAAACCTCCCTTTCCGGATACTTAAGAGGAAGCAATTTACTTCCTTAATTCGAATAGTACAAAAGGCTCTAGCTAAACCCACTTTACTCTATCCTCGCACTGCTTAACGCCGGCTTAAGAAATTGGTCGACGAGAAGCAATATTCAATTCTCGCTACCTTACTATAAGATACGAAGCTCTTAATTACCCTCGACTGCTAGATATCGCCTTTTCAGTAGGTATTTATAGCAATTATAGGGTACTTTATCGACCGAGACTAGAATTACTGTAAGCTCCTACTTGGTTTCGAACCACTTAATAGGGTATATTCTAGTGTGAATCTAAGTGAAGTACTTATAGAGATCTTTAAGAAGCTTAATATTACTGATTGTGTATTAGCGATTATATTAGATAACGCGTTAAATAACACAACTTTAGTATAGGTAGTTTAAGACTCTATTAACTCCCTTAAACTACCGAATAGCCCGGTGGTTATTCGAATCCCTTATCTTGTATATATTATCTAGCTAAGCCTTCGCGAGCTACTTAGATCGGTAAAGGCCGATCCCTAGAACGATACCACAGATCGGAATATTTCTGATATCTAAGCCTAAGCCTAAACTCGATCACTCTGTACTTCACAGAGTGAATAAGTTATTGTATAAACCCTTATTAAGGTAAGTATATCACTTTGTTTATCACTTAATATATCTAATAACTATCTAGATTCGAGGGCTTACTGTATTTATTAATATAAGCCCCTAACGTCGCGATAATTTCTTCTGTCTCTAGACTAATAGAGCAAAACTTACACCTATCTAAGATATCTGTACCCGCTAGAATTCTACCTTCTTAATACTTCGTTATACGAAACGCCTCAGTAAGCCCTACGATAAATACTGTGATAATATTAGGACTTAGAAATACAAACTTAGTAAGGTAGAATAGCGGTAGGTCGACTACCTTCTATATATCACAGAGCTGTTCTATCGCTTTACTACAGTGCTTTTAAAGACCAAAGAGATAACGGTATATTATATTTTTAGTATTTATAACACCCTCTTTAAGCACTTCGAGGAATCGATTGTATAACTCACTCCGAAAACTATACCTTAGAAGAAGGCGATACTATAAGCCCTCAATACTAGGATAGTAAAGCTTACCTCTTACTATATAAAGACGAAAGAGATCTATAGTAGTCTCTACGCAATTGGAACAATTCTTACACCCCAGTATAAGCTTCACTTCTTCTCAAGTAAGGCGTAGGGTATATCGGAGAACGATATAAACTAGAGTGATTAGTATAAGGAAACGCTTCGCTAGTTTATAGCTCCTTATACCCAAAGACACACTTAGATATAGTCCCTACGAGAAGAGTAACCCCCTAAGTATCACTCAGCCAGTATAAGTAACCTAGACACCCTCCTTAACCTTCTACCTTATATCCACTCTAATCTATTAACGTCGGAGTATAAACTTACTAGATACCTTAAAAAGCGTACGTTATATTCACTGTTATTACGAGCAGGAATACTAATACCTATAATAGTAAGGAGAAAGGTCGATCCTTTACAATTCTGGAAGGAATATAAGAATAAATTCCCAATTCTTTTAAGTATTACTCGCGATATTCTCTCTATTCCTACAATAGGCGCTGGAGTTAAACGTCTTTTCAATTCAGTACGGGATATCTACCACTACCGACGTAGGCGGCTAAGTGCGAAGACAGTCTAGGATATTATAATATTCCGGTATAAAACCTAGTTCGATATTAAAATAGAAGAACTACCCGATAAGGATACGTCCTTAGATTCAATATAAGAAGCAGACGAACAGAGAGAGGCTGAGCTTACCACTAATATACCTAAACCAATCAGCGATAGTAAGGATTCCGAGGATAATAATCCTATTAGACTAATCGAGTATAAGTTTATAATAGAGAGTCAGCTTCCTCGTCCTTCTATAGTGCTAAGTACGCGGAAGCGACAGAGAAGTAAGCTAGTCGACAGCGAAGATAAGAGTAGTCCTTATCTCCCTTATTATAGAGATAAGGGTAGCACTTAAAAGCGCCCTAGTTTAAGAGAAGTAAGGAAGCGTAGTAAACCCAATAATAATTAATTTGTATCGTATTAGTGTGAATATATAAATATAATAAATACCTAAGTTATTATACAAAGGCTTCTAAGGCTTATTTCTGACCCCGGTCAAAAAAGTGACAATATATCAAGTTATTATATAAAGGCTTCTAAAGCTTATTTCTGACCTCGGTCAGAAAATTGACTGTAGTGTTAAGTTATTGTATAAAGGCTTCTACAGTTTATTTTTCTGACCGAGGTCAGAAAATTGACAGTAGTATCAAGTTATTGTATATATAATCGAATTACTCAAAAATACAGAGAAAAAATGCACAAATAATACAGGTCACGAGGTCAAGAAATTCTGCTTACTAAAAAGGCCTATAGGCGCCCACGGTGTCTATAGACAATAGGCCCTAAGGGTAGGGCCCGTCTATAGGCGTATAGATAGTGCCCATCGCCCGCTTATATAAGGCCCGTGGGTACTGCCCACCCGCCCGTCCATGGGCGATGTCGCAGTCTACCCCAGACTGTGTCTTAAATATTGTATATTAACCTCCCGAGTTTAGAACTCTCTCCTTTTAGCCTCAATTTGTACCTATAATAGTATATCGGCCTTATAGTGAGATATATCCCTAAGTTCGGGATTAAGAAACTCGTATACTTTAATACCGCTGCAATAAAATATTCTTTTCTCTGTCTCGCAATTGAGGAGAGAATTAAAAACTTTTGTAACTAAGCCGACTACTGAAGTAGAGTATTATATCTAAAAATTAGTATTAAACTAGTTCAGAAGTAGTTCTGAACTTAACTTATATCTCTTATTATATTAACTACGTTCTCTCGAGTAACAGAATAGAGATCTTTAAAATTGATAATATAGGTATATCCTTTTTTATAGGACTTAGGATAATTAGGTAGCCAATATATATATTTAACCGAGAAAGTATCTACCCGCCCGTTTAACACAAGAGGTATCAATACACGCTTTAAACTAGTTAGTAACTAGTCAAAAGCTAGTTTAGAATCGAACTATACCTCTTTATCTCCTACACCGGGAATAGTACGGTTCCGATTATATAGAATATTATAATCGGGTTAAGCGTCTAGCTCTGGGGAGTGCCTCCTATTATCAGGAGGATCAAATTCGATCAATTTATCAAGAAAATACGAATTAAGATCAAGCTCAAACTCGGAAGGGGCGGGGATACTTATATTGTTGATAAAGTAGTTGTGAACTAGTTCTAATAGAGGGGTAGAGAAAGAGGCAGAATTTTCTTTTACTAAAGAAGTAGTTTCGAACTAGTTCAAATTCAATAGTAATTGGTAAAACAAAACAAAAACCTTTTAATACAGGAGCCAGTGAGCCGAGCCCTTAAGTCACATAACATTATTAGTCATCTGGTGAACTGAGCTCTTAGGTCATCGATGAACCGAGCTGTCTTCTGCCCTATTAGTGGGCTACGGGTTGGGTCCGTTCGAAGGTTAGGCTCATAGCCCACTGCGGGTTGGGCTTTGGGCCTAGGGTGGGGGCCCATTTGTTGGCTTTGCGGAAGTCTACTTCCTATAGTCAGTTCATTATATTCTTACCCCTAGTTCTAGCCTGCCGTTTTCTGTTCAATAAAAACAGTAGAGTGGTGGAAGGTACACACCAGTGACACCACACATCTCTACTGGGTGGTAACTATTACCTGCGATCATGGGCAGTAGGAGACAAATTGATAGCCAGATAGGTATATGATCAATAGTTACAAGATTGAGTTTCACAAGACATCGAATGACTGTCATGTCTTTCTATCCATCTTCTTCTTCCACCTCCCGAAATTTTGAAACACCATTTCACTCGAAGATGTGTTTGTTTCGAATTTACCCGATGCTATCAATTTCCACCTCTACGACGTCTCCATTATTGAGCCACGCTTGCGGCTTCATAAAAGCCGCTACACCTGATGGCGTACCAGTCATAACCACTGTTCCCCGCCGAAGCGTTGTTCCACGACTAAGGTGCTGAATGATGGAGGGGATTTGGAAAATCATGTCGTCGGTGTTTGTTTGTTGCCTCACAACACCGTTGACTTTGGTTGTCATCCCCAGGTTGTGCGGATCACCGAGAATGCGTGGGGAGACAATTACTGGGCCAATTGGTGCAAACTTGTCAAACCCCTTTGCAGCCCCATGCTGGTGGCCGGAGCGCTCTGGCATTTGCCAATAGCGGGAAGAGACATCGTTACCCACGGTATAGCCAAGAATGTAATCCAGTGCGTTCTCGGTGGTAGCATTCTTGCAATCCCTGCCAATAATGAAGGAGAGTTCTGCCTAGAAGATGTTCAGCGTCGATTATAGCACAGGATTGAAGAGTGCGTACCTCATAATCCATCCAGGTACATTCCGAATTCACATGAATGTCCTCAAAGGGTCCCGCTAGTGTATCGGCCGGCTTGATGAAAGCCACAGTGTTTGGGCCGACAGTGAGCTGTGTGGATATTAGCGAAAGGAAACCAATAAACGCACTTGCAAGAGGAAGCTCTAGACCTTACATTAGATTCTGCTGCATGTTTTCTATAATTCACACCGATGCAATGGATTATCGGAGTGGAATCAAGAGGACAAAGCACCTAGCAAAACATCAATTTCTCTTAGCTCCAAATAATCGTGTCTGTTTGGGGTTGGCGTAAACCGACTTCTTTAATTATCTGGCGCTCACTGGTAATCTTCCAAGACTCATCCCATAGAGAGAGGCCATTATATACCGTAACTTCTGCCCCAGCCAAACTCTCCTTCGTGATCAGTTCTTGGCTCTCAACTTCTCCATAATATATGGTGCCGTTCTTCGCGCGGAATCGCACTAATCTTCCAAAGGAAGCAGTAGTCATGTTTTGGCAGAGAAGCCTCTGCTGAAGTCGGAAAACGGGTATTTTTGGGTTACCGTCACAAAATTGACAAAAAGATCTAATGTTTGATTCATCAGTGTTGGAGGGTGGTTTAAATTATTTAAGCATAATATTGTAGATGGGTATCGGAAAATTCCCACTCCCTTACCCCCACTCCGACTTCCAGTAGATACCTAGGCACTGACTGCATGGGGTAAAAAGTATATACCCACTCCAGAAGATAGCCCATATCGTTAGAATATTTGTAACTCACAGGTTCATCGAACTGCCGAAGCACCAAACCAGCCAGCCCAAATCCTCAATTCAAAATGAACATCACCGAGCTTATCACCTCATTCCGCAGCCGTGATGAAGAGCAGAATATAAGCAAGGCAAGATGGTATATATTGGCGGTAAGTTATAGGCGAGATGCTTTTTTGGTCTTGCAATTAATTAGGCAACATAGGCCGCTGCCCTTGCGTCTGTGGGAGCTGGCGACGAGATCGTCAGGCTTTATGAAATATCAACAGAAGACCTGGACCTTGAAGACAAAAAAATTGTCCAACGAAGAATCAAAGAGTCAGTTTTGAAGGGAACCGTTTTTTACGGTGTTCCTCGTTCAGCGCAAGCTTTATTGCCTCTTTTCAAGACTTTGCCAGAGGAAGAAATCGACCGTTTTAGCCCGAGGTATGTATCTTCAGTCCATTCGCCCCTTTTTGAGATTGCTTCTCCTGGTATAATCTGACTATCAAATATAGAATGAGTTACCAAGGGGACGCCAACGAAGAGCAGAAAAGAGCAGAGCGGGGGCGAGTATATTTCGACAAGTTATGGGGTGCAGAGGCTGGACAGGCAAATCGAGACCTTATACGCAATTATTTCCCTGACCTATGTGCGTATACGAGTACACCTTCCACTAGCCACAGTATTTCTCTAACAATAAAGCCAGATCTCCTGAATCTCAAGATGATATACGAGTGGTATCTCAGCGAGGATGCAATTTTATCCGACGTCGAGACCCAGATGTGCAATTCGGCAGCACTGAGCTGTTTAGATTCTCCTGTTCAGGCAATGTGGCATACACGAGGGGTCATTCGGCTTGGGGGCACGTTAGATGATGCTCGACTTGCGCAAGATCTGGGGATGAAAATTGCCCGTGCCTACGGTTGTATAACCGACAATATTGTAATGGTGGATGATCTTGACTTCGAAAACAACACCCTCTCATGAGCTATGAATTAGGTTAGATTGAAAAACAACGAGGAAGCCAATGTCGTCTCTTCTTGCTCGAACAAAATAATGATTACCATCTTTCAGTCACGTAACTAAGAATTCTGACGTGTAAAATCTCTACATAATCTTGCAATCCTTTGCACTGTTGAAGGAGGAAATTTACATTTATTATTCAAATAATGATGGTCGAAAGTAATATATATCCAATTGCTTGTCTAGGAGTATGTCCTTAACCGGCTCAAACCAACTACAATAGCATGTAGGAAATATGCATAGCGCGTATCAGTTTTGAATCGAATGAAAGTGTAAAAAGTGCAACCGAGGTATTATCTAATAAATTCCTGGGTCTATGATGATCATGGTCGGGTGTCGTTAGGCCTGAAAGAGAGGGGCTCGGTATAGTGAGTAACTGTGACTTTGATCTGCGGGGGAGGGGCGGATAAAGATGCCGGGGAATTCCCACAAATAACCCAACATCAACTTCTCACGTACTAGAGAAAATACCTCTATGAAAGTCATATAGATAATAGTTTGTAACGGTTGCGTAAACTGAGTCTTGTCTCCCTCCTGACACATCACTTCAGCTCTCAAATTTGCCTATCAACTGGGCACCTATTGCTTGAAAAACAGTGCTTTCGATGTGGGCACCAGACGAATTCCCGTGCGCCTTGCCCGAGATTGGCTTGCCAGAGGAGGTGTCTTTGTCGTCAGCGGCAGAGTGGCTGTCTCTCGAGCTAGGAAAGTTATCAGAGGCCTCTTTTACCAAGGATGCTATCTGGAGAGACTCCTTTGCATTGACAGGTACCCTCCGCACTTTTTACACCTCAAAATCAGCTATAGCGGCTTGGAGAGATACAGCTGGCGTCCTTGGGGCAAATTCCTTCGAAGCAAACTCTACGACCGCAAAAGTCACCCGCCTTGGCAAAAATACCGCATGGGTAGATGTTCATTTTACTTTTGAGACAGAAAAGTCTCCATCTTTGTCTTGCAGCGGATATGCATCTTTGATTTATACAAAGGAAGGGGAGTGGAAAATCTGGGTGCTGCGGACAACCCTCGAACAACTGAAAGGCCATGGTAATGTTGACTTGTTGGAGGAGACGCGGGTGAATGAATCCCCAAAGAATCATCCAACTTCCTCGAATGGTTTCTTGCATTTTGACTGTGTGGTTGTTGGCGGTGGACAAGCAGGGCTAAGCTGCGGTGGGCGATTGAAGGCTTTGTCGGTATCCTACGTTGTTCTGGACAAGAATGATCAGGTGGGCGACAGCTGGAAGACAAGATATGATTCTGTGAAGCGTAAGTTTGGAGTGATATACACCCAGACATTTCATTCCTCAGCTGACATCTCGTGCAGTGCACACCCCAAGAGAGTTTTGTAAGGTCACTATTGGTGCTTTTGGCCATCGAATGAATCTCATATTTATACTACAGCTCATTTGCCATTTTACCGGACATTCCCGGGGACCTATCGCGAATTCTTGACGAAAGATGACTTGGCTCAAGGTTACAAAGAGTGGGTGGATAGGCTTGGAATAGTAAGTGAATATTAAAAATAGGAACGTATCAAGATATTAAACGAAATATACTGATAGCGTTTCAGACTGTCTGGCAAAAGTCTACGCTTATTTCAGGTGCATGGAATGAAACCGAAGAGATCTGGGAATTGAACCTGTTGCGTCAGGGGTGTTCTCAGACTATAACATGTTCCCACGTTATTATAGCAGCCGGTGGAGGATGCCAGAATCCCTTGGTTCCGAAATACGCAAACTCTGTTAGTGATTTTCCCCTTCTTTGCTGTGAATACTCCTTATATCTAACAACGGCTCAAGGGCAATTTTGGGGGCCTAGCCTTGCATTCATCGGAATATGAATCAGCCAAAGAATGGGCTGGAAAGCATGGAATCGTTGTTGGAACCGCAAACACTGGTACTTCGCTCTCTTTGACCATGTACACGACCTATTATACTAACTTCGGGTTTAATAGCACATGATGTGGCCGAGGACATGGTGGCCGCGGGAATGGCCTCCGTGACCATGGTGCAAAGGTCACCAACCTGTACGATGCCCCTTTTTTATTGACCTCTCAAGTGAATTACTACGATCGATCTGCTAACCTAACAGATGTTTTGCCACATGAGTACTATAAAGCAGTGCTTGATAGTGAGGCCTATATTTAACCACATGTGTTAGGCAAACTCGCTGACATATATTTAGCACTTTACAATGAGTCAACACCAACCGAGACTGCTGATCGAATTTTTAATTCAAGCCCACTTGCACTCACAAGGCTGTTATGTAATACGACGCTACATTCCATGGCTAGAGGAGAGCCCGGACGCTTTGATGCACTCGAGGCTGCCGGGTTCAAGGTGGAGCGGTATGGCGATATTGTTCATTCCCTGTATAGTCGGTTTGGCGGTCATTATATGGATGTTGGAGCAAGTGCAAAGATTTCAAAAGGATTGGTCAGTTCTGATATTCCACTAATTATGTCTAGTTGCGGTGTTTTCTGACCAATACTTTTAGATCAAAGTCAAATCTGACGCTCTTCCCGTTGAGTATCTCGAGGACGGTCTTCACTTCACAGATGGCAGCAACTTGAATGCAGATGTAGTTGTATTCGCGACCGGATTTGTCGGTAACATGCGCCACACAGTCGCTGACTTGTTTGGGAAAGATGTTGCAGCTCTAGTTGATGACTTCTGGGGTGTGGATGCGGAGGGTGAACTGAAGGGTGCCTTCAAGCCGACAGGAAGTAAGGCCTCTCCCTTTTCTGTCCGCGATGATAACACTAATGTTTCAATTCAAATATAGATCCCCGTTTGTGGTATCATGGTGGCGCCCTTGGACACGCAAGGTATTTTTCGCGCTTCCTGGCGTTACAAATCAAGGCTGCATTGCTGGGCTCACCTCTTCGAATCTATCACAACACCCCAGAGAGGGGCTAGTGAGTGTGTAATTCGGAGAAAGGATAGGTTATATTGAGTTTTAACTAAATTAAGTGTCTATACCTTTAGAGCTTTGTAACTACCCTAGTCAGAGCTATCAAGTTTCCAGTTATATGCTTTTAATTTCGTATCAAGGAATCTCTGATTAACATCATATAGTATAAGAGTAGGGTAATAGCTGCATAGTTGTCCTCCGGGAAAAGTACGAGTATTCTAAACGTCGCCTAGATATAGAAATGGTACATATCATGGAACTTAAGGTAGAGACGAATTTGCAAATATCCAAAAATTTCATTTTGATATCTTTTGGATGCGCGTCGCGCCCTAGATGGGACTACCGGAATTCAGAGGGAGTGCCGCGAGCATCAATTGCGTATTTGTATTGCTCGTTTTTGCTTCGTATAATGAGGCAGTGATTATACCTGCTACCAAATTGTCATATACATTTGATCCGGATTTTTTCAGTCAGAATCCTCTATCGCCACCAATAACATGAACTAATTTCGACCATCTAACGAGCCCCGCTAATTAGGCTCGGACAGGCTCGTTAGCTCAGGGGAAACCCTGCTTGATTGGGATTTAGAGAGGCTTGTTTACTCTTAATTCAGCGTAGACAAGTCGGGTTATAGGTACATATGTAAGCAGGGGATTGTATCAGGAGAGCAAGCAATGGGATCTCTCCATTACCACCCTGGATTGGACCACCTGGTTAGTGGACTATGGCGAGAAGCCGCATTTGACGACCGGGGGTTAGTTGCTAACACAAGCCAGGGTCTGCTCTTATCTTTAGCCAACCGCATGCAAAACAATTGGGAAACAAGCGTGAAGTCGCCTATGATAACTTCAGCTCCTAGTCAACAGAGTGTGTGGCGTCCGGCAGTACACCGGAGTCCGATAGCATCTGCGTGATATCTGACCCGAGCCTCAAGTCGCTAGGTCCGTTCGGTTTCTTCTTTATTTCCTCCCCCCTGGCTATCGATCGCCCTCTACGGAATATAAAACCTAACTTTCCCCATCCCACTATGGTTGTTTCTTACATCCACCACAACCGAGGGTTGTCTCCATGCCACAGGAGTAGCCGTAACTTACCACAAACCCTTAGCTAGAGAAACGAATAAGGTTATTTTATCCCTCTTGATGGCAGCCGCTCGCCCACCTAGTATCGAGATGGATAGACAATATAAATCCGCTGGCGACCAAGCGGAGGAATCTAAGCGTCCAGTGCAGGTTGAGGTGTCGCAAGAAACCAAGTCGGAAGAAAATCCCCTGAGTTCGCAGAAGTCTTCCGCCTCGGATGAGCCCGAATATCCTGGGTCTGCCCAGGTGGCCCTCATCATGATCTGCATTCTGTGTGCTATCTTCATCATGTCGCTAGTGAGTTTTTGCTCCCTTCTTATGGACGAAGAAGCCGCCCTTCCGTAGCTGAGCATTCAAATCCAAAAACCCCCGCTAACCCTATGTAATAACAAAGGACCGCACGATTATCTCGACCGCAATCCCCCATATCACCGACGAGTTCAACAGCTTGGATGATATCGGGTGGTACGGCAGTGCATTCATGGTCACTGCATGCTGTTTCCAGCTCCTGTGGGGCAAGGTTTACAGCTTCTACCCGGCCAAGTACGTCTTCCTGGCGCTGGTGCTTCTGTTCGAGGTTGGGTCCGTGATCTGCGCCGCAGCACCTAACTCGATCGCCTTCATTCTGGGGAGGGCAATCGCAGGTATGGGTAGTGCGGGCATCATGTCCGGGGCGATCGTGCTGATGATGTCGGCGGTGCCGCTACACAAGCGACCGCTGTACAACGGCTTCTTTAGTGCGGTGCTGGGCATCTCCTCCGTGGTCGGCCCCTTGCTGGGGGGTGCTTTCACTAGCAATGTCAGCTGGCGATGGTGCTTTTATATCAACCTGCCAATCGGGGGCGCCGCTATGCTCGTGATCCTGCTAGCGCTGAAGCCCATGCCCGCAATGTACCCCGGGCTGACGCTACGGCAGAAGCTCGCCAAGCTCGACCTCTTGGCCGAGCTCTTCCTCTTCTCCGCGCTGGTCTGCCTCCTGCTGAGCTTGCAGTGGGGCGGCAGCACATACGCCTGGAGTAACTGGCGCATCGTCCTGCTATTCGTGGCGTTTGGCGTCTGCCTAATCACCTGGATAATTATTGAGGTACGCACCCCCGCCACAGCGACGATCCAGCCACGGATAATTGGCAACCGTACTGTCGTAGCGGCGATGTGGTTCATGTTCTGCCTGTCCTCGACGTTCCTAATGTTGCTCTACTACCTACCAATCTGGCTACAGGCGATCAAGAATCGCACTGCTGTACAGTCCGGCATCGACACGCTACCGCTGGTACTCTCCCTCGTTGCTGGTAGCACCCTATCAGGCCAGCTAGTTGGGCGGCTAGGCTACTATACCCCCTTTACCATGGCCTCCTCGTGCCTGATGCCCCTCGGTGCTGGCCTCATCTCCACCTGGCGCGTTGACACGAGCGTCGGCATATGGATCGGCTACCAGATCGTCCTGGGCTTTGGCATCGGCCTGGGAATGCAGCACGCCGCCATCGCCGTCCAGACCGTCCTCCAGCCCCGCGACATCCCTGTGGCTGTCTCCCTCGTGTTCTTCTGGCAGCAGCTTGGTGGTGCCATCTTCGTCTCCGTTGGCGAGAACGTCTTCGGTCAGAAGCTCATTGCTGGACTAACCCGCGTTATCGACGACTTTGACCCCGAAACTATCGTTAACACTGGTGCCACCGACCTACGCAGGATTGTGCCCGCCAAGGACCTTCATGCCGTTCTGGTCGAATATAACGCCGCACTGCACTGGGTCTTCATCGTTGGTACCATTATGGCTGCACTCTCCGCATTGGGCGCATTTGCCTTCGAGTGGAAGAGCGTCAAGGGAAAGCAGCGCGGGCCTAGCAATGAGGATGGGGAGTAGGGTGCGTAAGTCTTCTCCCATACCTCACTGGTCGAAAAGTTCCTGATTAAAATGTACGAGAGGATGTACCACTCCCTCATCCACCTCGGTCTGAGAAGCGAGTTCGGCCAACCGGCCATCACCGTAGAGACCCTGGCACAGGCGGCCGCGCGCAAATATGGACACATAGACCAATTCCTGTTGCGGGTCAAGGCAGCGATCACCAGAGGATGATACCGCGACGACAACAACGCCACCCAAGTCGCTGCGGCAGCTCGCCAACGAGATCCGCGCCCACCCACGCACCTAGGCGAAAATGTGCGCGGGAGAGCTGATTTTTTTGAGATTACTTGCAACGCAGGTTCTGCTTGGAGATGATTGACGACGATAAACTTAGTTTCCCAATCAGACTGTATATTTTGATGCCGGTCTAAGACCAGAGATTGTATCTAACCGGTGACTATACTTCGTATACCTGAGTAATATTTTCACTGGCGATTGTGAATGGTGCAGGATTCGCTCACTTGTCTCCAAATTAGATATAGAGATTCTCATCTTACGAGGTATCCTGCTCAACCACATCTACATCTGCTGTACCTTCTAGTCCTGTAATCCTGACAGAAGAGATATTAAAGCATGGCCAACAACATCACGTGCGCGAGAGGAGCTTTGTCCGCGGGCCGCCGCAATTCGCGGGTACCCTTGAGAAGCGACCGTATGCATCGCGATATCGCTTTCGCATGGTGGGCTTCATTTTCTTCCAGCGCATGAAGTCTAGCGTGGCCCCGGAGTAGGCAGATAGGGGTGCAAGGCAGGAAAGTAGTACCGCAGCAAACTCGTCGAGAGACAGCCAACTGTCCCGAGAGGGAACCGGGCACTGCCATTTGTGTTTTTCACGCTCACATTCTTCATATCGTACCGGCCGTCAGGGTCGTCCGCCGCTTCGACCATAGCCGCCGCCAAATCCAGGTACGAGACGAACGACTCCTCGCTGTGGAGGTCCAGACAATGGCCCCGCTGCTTGTCGACCGATAGAACCCCCGGTTTGATGAAAATGGTGGTGACGAGATCGTGCTGATCGCGTAGAAACGCCTCGGTCCGTCGCAGGTCGTCGTAAACATGCTTGGATGCGGTTAATAGCATCGCCCGCACGAGCCACGGTATCTTCTCCGACAGCTGATCATCGATGGTCGCTGACGATAGCAGCACGATCTTGGGTAGCGACACAGCGCCGCCCGTCGCTGTCTGGAGCTGCTGCAAGGCTGCAACAAGGGTCTGGGCCGTCTGCAGCCCAACGTTGCAGCCTGGGATGTTCGTGTTGGTGCTAACCACGTGGAAGATGGCTTTGGAACCCTGCACGCACTGCGACAGGAGTCCTACGTCGTCGATGTTGCCTTCGAAGATCTCAACGCACTTGTTGTTGACGAGGGAGGGCGACAGGGCCAGGAGTTTGGCCCGGCTGCGGCAGTACCCGCGGATCGTCAGGGTGGGGTCCCGTGACAATATTTCAAGGAGGGCCGTGCCACAGTTACCGGTGGCACCTATGATAGCGTATGTGGACATCATACGTTGCAGAATTCGCCCAGGAAAGAAATCTCGAAATTTAATACAGCACGCCTAATTGACCACGGGAGTACATGGGGACTGAGCGAGAACCACACAGGGGGGGAAGGGGGTGTGCCTTATCTCTGTTCGTGGCGGACGTCAGTCCTGACTTCGGAGCTACGACATGGGCTTGGATCAGCCACACGTCGGCAAGGAGAACCCCGACGAGACACAATCCTGTTTAATGAGGGGTCCGACTTTAGATGGAGAATTTGCCTCTCACAATCCCATTCTAGGAACCGGAAGGGTGTGAAGGAGGTTTGCCTCCTAATCCTGAACTCACGATTTGACACCTGCTGAGGTGAAATCGGAACATGAAGTGAACCTGCCTATAGATGAAAGTAGATATAAGAAGGGAGGTATGTCACCTCAAGCTGGTATTTCAACGAAGAGATGAATAACGTGAATTTAAAATGATACTGTAGTGAAAGACTGCGTTGGAACCTATTGACAAATGGGTAGCAATGAGAAGGAGAAATGAAATTGCAAACAGTGAAGATCCAGGAAAGAGCGAAGTGCGAAGACGGAAAGAGACAGGAGCAGACGCACATAGCACATAGCACCCTACGTATACATAGCATAGTACTGCACTTGGACTCAATGTCAAGACCTTACCTGGCTCAAGTAAATGCAGTATAAGCTATAGCAGTCCAGTTGCCACTTTTGCAGCTTCACAATTTTCTCTTCCATGTCCGCAGCTTGAGAACTCAGGTTTTCGATTATAGTATTCAGGCTTTGTGCAGTGCACCTGCTGCCACCAGCTTTGCTAGGGACTCGCATTGCTGAACTGTCTGGTTGTGGTCTCCAAATGGTAGGTACTAGTCTCGATGGAAGTTGCATCGCTTCCAGCTGCAAATAAAGTGATAATTTGCGCATTCCTCCATTTTCCCTGTCAGGGTAGGGATCACCACACATCCCTAGAACTGCCCGTGGAATTTTTGGCACTTTGACGGCTATTTTGAGGGTCAGCTATCACTCTAACGGTCTGGGCGAGCAAAGTTCCAATGATTGCACTTTTCTAACTGACGAGGCAATCAGGCTGGTAGTTTTGCTTGTATACCCTGTATTATTTGAGTATCGGACAGTGAAAGGGATGAGAAAAGGACAATACGGAGAAACAATGAACAAACCATTATATATTGTTTCTTATATCCTTTAAGATATCTTGAGCCATCTTGATTATTCTCTATTATTGCTCGATGTCAATACTTGGATTGAACCAAAATCGAACTTTCTTCAGAGCAGTGCGGCATGCATTGTACATCCATAGATAGTCAATTAATACAGTATTATTACATGGCATGGGTAATAAAATACGATATTACGTTCGATATACATGTTTGGTACTAACGTATTTCACAAGCGAGCTGCGCAGTCCGATACACATAGTAAATGCGATAAATGACAACTATATATCTCAACAACACTTGCCTATGTGTACTTTTCCTTAAAACCTGATATTACCACTTTAGGGGGGATTTAAGAAATGAATATCTGAACTATATATACACACATGGAGTGTGTAGAGACGTGATTTTCGATACCATAACAATGACACTTCAAATATATTTAAAAATGATATATACTACGAAATATACTTATCAATGGTTGTGAGTAAGTAAAACAATAAGGATCAAACGTTGCTTGTTGAGATATAAATGTAGCATATACCGCATTTACTATGGTTTTGGCTGCGCGGCTCTAGGAGCTCCGAGTAAAAACCTGACAACAGGCCCCTCGTACTTTTGTCCCTCCTAGTAAGAGATTTTCTACTTGTAATTAATAATTTTTTCCCTACTAATTGATTACTAGCAGGATCTACCTACTAGGTAAGGTAAGCTAAACCCACTTGACAATCTGACACTGACGAGCTTTGCGCCGAGAAATGTTATGCCGGAGATATAAATAACAGACTGGATTACCACGAAATCAGAAAATCTTATTTCATCCGAGGAACTCAAAGTCGGCCATTGCCTATCGACATGCATCTCCAAGGGACCATGGCTACATCTTCCCTGCTATTTCTCCTTGGAGTTCTCTCCTTTGTCTCTCGAGTAGCCGCCTACGACATCTCTACTCTTATCTCCACGCTTTCCTCGTCCACCAAGATTTACTATCCTAGCGATGCCAATTGGACCGAAACCGTTCAGCGATGGAACGCCTGGGAAGAACCAACCTTCTCTCTGGCCATTAAGCCTGCCTCGGTTACTGACCTGCAGACAGTAGTACGTTCTCTCTCTCCACACCTGACCTTCCCCATCTGATTATATAATATCGCAGGTTAAATACGCCTCCAAGCATAATATCCCGTTTTTGGCCAATGGTGGAGGCCACGGATACAGTACCTCTTTCGGGGCTCTTCAAAATGGGCTCAAAATTGACCTAAGCCTGTTCAATGAATTTAGTATTGATACAGAACAAAACACTATAACCGTCGGTGGCTCTGTTAGATTCTCTGAAATTATGGGACCTCTCTACAAAGCTGGAAAGGAGATTCGTTAGTATTTACCTAGTAAAGTGTGCTTACTTTCTTCTCTAATGCGGTTTCAATAGAAACTGGATCCTGTCCTTGCGTGGGGATGGTGGGCGCCACCCTCGGCGGTGGTGTTGGTAAATACCAAGGCCTTCACGGTCTCATTCTCGATGCTTTGAAGTCGGTTCAGCTCGTCACTGCCGCTGGCGATCTCATCACCGTCTCCGCATCGCAGAACAAAGAGCTATTCTGGGGTCTTCGTGGCGCTGGGTTCAACTTTGGCATCATTACTTCGGCCACATACAATGTCCACGACCTAACCAACAACGGCAATGTGCTTAACGCCGACATCATATTCCCTGCCAGCCTTAACGAGACCTATTTCAACATTCTGGCTAAGTATGGCACCTTGCCCCCCGGTCTATCCTTGTATACTTTGGCTATGAATGATCCTTCCCTAGGAGTAAGTTTTCTGTCAATTCAAGTAAACACACTTTCCATTCTGACAAAAGTTCATTTAGCCCGTTATCCTCCTCAATGCCGTCTACCCCGGTCCCAAGCATGAGGCACTCGATCTAATAGCCCCCTTTCTCAACCTTCCCTATCTTAAACGCAACATCTCGATGGTCACCTGGGATGTACTTGACTATGAAATCGTCTTTGGACTGGCTCCGGTATTTTGCACCAATGGCGACAAGCACGATATGTGGTCTGTTGGTGTGCGCTCCATTGACGTAACCACACACATTAATTTCTTCAACAAGCTCGCCCAGTTCTGGAAGGACTATCCCGCTGCGTCAGGAAGTAGCTGGCAGCTGGACTACTTTCCCATTCAGGCTGTCACTGCTATTGCAGATGACTCCACTGCGTACCCCCACCGCCAAATTAGCACTCAAGAGTAAGCCTCCTTCTTCCCTTTGACGCAAATCTAGGAATATATCTAACGCCTGTTTAGAATGTTTTCATTCACCTTTACCGATAGCTCTATCGCCGATAAAGTAGATGAATTTGCTCTTTCCGCTGTTGAGACCTTCCATGCGACCAGTGGATTCGATGATATGCGCATCTACGTCAGCTATGCCCATGGCACCGAGGGACTGGATGCTTTGTATGGCGCCGAGAAACTACCTCGGCTATTGAAGTTGAAGAAGCAGTGGGATCCCAAGGGCTTGTTCAGCTATAACAATGGATTACCTCACTGAGGGCTATGGTCCTTTTTGATAGACGGGGGAAAAGTATTTGTTCAATTCCTTTGTAACTCTTATAAATACAGTTTCATTATTCGAGGCACGGCATGGTACCTGGAGTCTCGCGGGAGCGTAATCCCTGTTGCCGTTCTTCTGGCCCCATTTATACATCCATGCAGCCCATTCCAGTTTATATTAGCCCAATAGGATCTACGAGATAAGCCAGAACGATAGTGGAGGTATGCAGTCAGCACTCACCATGGAGTAGAGGCATCCTACTGCTGACCACCATGTTGGCGCTGTGCTTTACCTGCATAAAAAATGACGTAATTTGGCTACCTCATGAGGCTGGGCTTTCTTGGTGTTTTCTCCTGGGACTTTTGTAAGACAACGGAAGGCGTTTCCTCCGGCCACTAGGTCTATAAATGGGAATAAATTAGCCAATAAGGATGAGATGCGATGTGCCTGATACGATCTTTGACCCCTAGGGTGGAGGGCCAAGCTTTACACGATTTAAAGGTGACCACAATCGGCCGACGGTTTATTCTGCTTTCAATCTGGCACAATTGATCAAGTCAGATACTTGATTTCATTTAATCTCCGAGGGGAATCACTTGGCGCTTTTATGTAGTAATGTAGCATTGGGGTCCAGAATGAGGTGAGATTACGTATTGACGGAATATTTAGCATATGTAGACTGGTACACATGCAATACATACCTTAAATTATGCATAATTACACGGAATTCCGTGGATATTACATTTAAATATCCTACATACTACTACTAGTATGTATATAGTAGTACTAGGTTTGGGTTGAGGCCGACGTGAGTTGGTGTTGTTTTACATTGGATCTACATACCCCAACTGCTTATGGCCCACTGATGTGTCCGAAATCCATCTATAATCTCACCTGCAGGCTCATCCATGTATAGTCAACCCCCTCGCAAATTTGCTTTGTTATCTAGTGTGCCTAGAGTGTTTTAGCCCTGGGTACTAATGTGGTCTCCGTTATTATAAAAATCTTTCATACAATTGTTCACAAACATTAGACTATCGTGATTTATAACTCACGGTGTTTTGTGTGCCCTTTTTGTTGTATAATTCTAGGATGAAAGTGATGAATTTTTATCTGAAATGCCAGCGCACACAAGGCTACAAGACTATGGTCATGCAGGGTATTGATTTTAAAGAACTAGGTAGGATAGCAGGTATCGGGCAAATTCTCTAAAGTAGTATGTACGTAATAAATCTGACCAACCTTCCCCGGTTGGAAAGGACTTCAATTATATACAATCACTTGCAACCTATTCCCGCTGCATCGTGGAAAATACTTTCCAAATCCGAGTGGTTACCGTTTAGTTGTCTACTAACTTAGTGACTGGGCATTCTAGAGGCCATTGTCCGTGAAGTTGCTGCAAAAAAATGGCATACATAATGGGCCAATAGTAGCGAAGCGCCTGGATTGTAAGGTAAAGGTGTTTTGTGGTTGCGTAAAATACTTGAACGATACATTGCAAAATAACGGTAAACAAAACAAACAGTGTATGTACATGTACGGTACTATATAATAGATAACAACATCGGACAGTATTCTGTAAACACGCACCAAGTCCGATAAATTAAATCTCCGACAACAGCTCGTCAATATTCACCACCGGCCCCAACTCGGACAATGTTTCTTTCCAGACCTGAGACTGCGTGATTCTACCAGAATCACTATCTCCATATCCGGCAAATGGAGCTAGCTTGTTGTCACTCAGGAACTTGCCATTGGAAGATTCACCGGCCAAAACCGCTGAATGAACCAATGTACGAGCACCCATAGGGGTAGAGCGACCGATGACTCTCTTCACACCTGCAAGGACTGTACCCAAGGCGCCCTCAGCTGTACGATGCAACTCAGAGCCATAGCAGAAACCAGGGTTCACCATGTTGAGAATAGCTCCTGTGGAGCGCTTGGCACTGGATCGGCGGTTCAGCAACTCGAGGAAGAAGAGCTGCTGGAGCAGCTTGGAAGCATAGTATCGATCGCCCATGTCGAAATGGCTCTTGTCATCCATTACCTCGATAAGTGGGATTCCTTGCTCGGTAGACACCTTAGCTTCGGCGAGCTTGGCCCAAGCGGCTGTTTCACTTCCAACAATGGAAAGCACCGGACGAGGGCGATTGAGGTTATCGGCAGCTTGACGATCGAGCTCGGGTAGCAAAAGCAGGGTCAAGAGAGCAGTGCTCAGCCAATTAATTTGAATACTTGACTCATGGGAGGTGGGTTGGTTCACGGTGTATTCGAAGTTGGCAACACCGGCATTGAGAAGAGCAAAGTCGATCTGGATCTCAGAGCGCTTGAGACGGTCAACAAATGCGATAATACTGGCATAATTTCCTAGGTCCAACTCCCAGACCTCGACCACGGGGGTTTTGGCCGAAGCGGGGAGTGAAGCGAGAAGGGATTTCCGGGCAGCTTCGCCCTTGGAGATGCTGCGAACGGCCAAAATCAGATGCGATAGTCCAATCTCAAGCAGCTGTGCTGAAGCATGATACCCCAGTCCAGTGTTGGAGCCCGTCACGAGGCCTGCCTTGCCGTGAAGGGAGGTGGTTGACGGGGCCTTAGATGGGCAGACCAAAAACTGACGATAGAGGAAGCCTGGGTAAGTGTTGAAGAAAGTCATTTTGCAGCCTTGAAAGGGATGAAGATTGGGGATAAAAAGGAAACAAAACAGGATATCAATCTAGGATATAAATACTTGCTTGTTTCCTTGATGGCCTTTCGTGTACTTTGTGTACTTTGGTATGGAGTGGAAATCGACGGTGCCGTTCTATGCTGTGATTGGTCAATTCGCAGCAATGATCTCCGCAAAACGGAAGGTGCCGTTCCCATTTTGCATTTCATGTCAAGGGCTAAGGACCGGTAACAAGGGATATCTAACAGGCCAGGCAGTCATACTATCGCTTCTACGATCGGGATTAGGGGGTAGTAACGGGTTTAAGGTAGATTGCAGGAAAAAGGAACAAAAGGAGGTTTGAACCCTCTAACCTGTTTTCGTGATTTCAATGTCACAATTTTAAACACATTGATAACAGAGCTTTATATTCAGGGGGCAACGGTTAAGGCTAGGTGGGTGAATGGTTCTGAGGCCTGGAGTGGCAGAATGCTGACTTCTCTCGGCATCCGGCTTATGTAATGATAAAGTGACTTGATTAGTTGGGTAATGCCCAGGGGCATTTACTGAACAAAAAGCGGCAAGGGGTGAGCACTAAAACGGAAAGGAGAAGTGTTCCAATGTTGGAAGACCTCCAGGGCTCAGTTACCAGGACTCAAACATATCTCGGCAAATGTGGAATGCCGGTTTTCAGATCTGCGGATATTTGTTTAGCGCTTGTGCTCATGATGAGTATAAAGCACGCAATCCACTTTCATACTTTTTATGCTTCACCTTTTCTTATAGAACATCTGTGAACAAAGACAAAAGAGTAGAAGTGAGAATAAACTCTCCGAGATTATACGAGATATTATACTTGTACGAATTGTACGAACCACGTTGAGTCTTATAGATCTCGGGAGGTCTTCAAAAGTGAACGAGCGTGAATCTCCATCGCCATTAGGCCCATCTATGGCATCATCGCTATCACAAGCTCTAAGATCCACATTTGCCAAGACCTTCAATTTTGATGATATACTTCTCATAAAGCTGAATCTCTCTACTATTCCAATCATCTCACAATGAAAATAACCACTGCACTTGCTGGCCTCGTCGCCGTCGAAGGAGTTGTCGCCCTGAATCTCCAACCCGAGCTACAATCAGCTCTCCAATCGGTACTAAAACATAGCGAAACACAATCGCGCAAACCAAACATTCTGTTCGTCATCACCGACGACCAAGACCTTCAACTCGACTCGATATCCTACACTCCCCTAATCTCAAAACATATCCGCGACCAGGGCACCTTTTTCCGCAACCATTTCGTCACAACAGCCCTATGTTGTCCGTCGCGCGTGAGCTTATGGACCGGCCGCCAGGCACACAACACAAATGTAACCGATGTCAGTCCGCCGTACGGCGGATATCCCAAATTCGTCGAGCGCGGCTTCAACGATGATTTCCTCCCGCTTTGGCTGCAAGAGGCGGGATATGATACTTATTACACCGGCAAAATGTTCAACGCACATACCGTGGAGAATTACCACAGCCCGTACATCAATGGATTCAATGGATCTGATTTCCTCCTTGATCCTTACACTTATTCCTACCTCAATTCGACTTACCAGAGAAATCATGAACCACCTGTTAGCCATGAGGGTGAACATACCATTGATGTGATCACGGGGAAAGCACTGGGTTTCCTCGATGATGCATTGGCTGGCGAGAGACCGTTCTTCCTGGCTGTGTCACCTGTTGCCCCGCACTCGAATGTCGATCCGACAAATATTGCTTCAGGCAAGATTTACATGTCTGCGCCCATCCCGCTCGAACGACACGAGCATTTGTTCCACAACGTCACAGTACCTCGCACAGCGAACTTCAATCCAGATCAAGTAAGTGCAGCCTTGATTGGAATTAAAAGTGTTTGTGTTCGCATATTCTGACTGATTTTATTTGCTTGCGCAGCCAAGTGGGGTCAGCTGGGTTCATGATCTGCCCCTGCAGAACCAATCGGTTGTCGACTATAACGATCACTTTTATCGTTCGCGTCTGCGCGCCTTGCAGGGTGTTGACGAATTGGTTGACGGGCTTGTCACCCGACTAGAGGAGAGTGGTCAGCTGGATAATACGTATATTATCTATACCTCAGATAATGGTTTCCATATCGGCCAGCACAGACTCCCGCCCGGGAAGACTTGCGGGTTTGAGGAGGATATTCGCGTTCCCTTATTCATTCGTGGACCCGGTGTTGCTAAGGGATATGGCCAGGATGCCGTGACTACGCATGTGGACTTGGCGCCGACCTTTTTCCATCTTGCGGGTATTCCGGCTAGGGATGATTTCGATGGTACTGCAATTCCCGTGACTCCTAAATTTGATGGTCAGCGACATGAGCATGTTACAGTGGAGTACTGGGGTTCTGGGGTTTTGGAAGGTGTTTATAGCAGTATTGGTAAGTCCAGAAAACATTTTCGAGAGTTATACGTGATACTAATTCTGAAACAGGCCCCGGAGGCTCAACCTTCATCCCGAACAACACCTACAAATCTGTCCGCTTACTTGGAGAGGGCTACAATTTGTACTACTCGGTCTGGTGCAACAACGAACATGAGCTGTACGATCTGTCGGTAAGTATATAGTACTTTGGTTCGTTATCACAGCAACAACTAATTCTTTGGCAGACCGATCCGTACCAGCTGAATAATCTGTACCAGACAAGCTCTCAAGCTGATTCCAATGAGCCTCAAATTCTCGGTCGCAGCTTGACCCAGGCTATCAATCGACTCGACGCTCTTTTGATGGTTCTCAAGTCTTGCCAGGGTGCGACTTGCATTCGGCCTTGGGATGTCCTCCAACCAGTAGACTCCGTTAGTACGCTCCAGGATGCTCTAAAGGAGGATTATGATGGTTTCTATGGTGCACAGCCTCAAGTCTCATTTGACTGGTGTGATGCAGGATACATTGTTGAAGCCGAGGGTCCACAGGTGCCGTTGACTAGTCGACACGGCGTGTCTTGGGATGTGTGGGTGTAATGAGATATACTAAATACTAGATTGTAACTAATTACCAAAATTGGATTGGATTCTATTCGGTATTTGTTTCCGGTGCAAATTTAATTATCGGAATACCGTAAAGACATACACAAAGGTTGACGGCAAATAAGAGCATCGGAATCAACGTATAGACTTTCGAATAAACAGCCAAAGCTGAAAAAAAAAAGACTCCAATAGAAACAAAGAATCACATTCTTACTCACAGGTTAATAATTCCCCAATAACTCCCCAAATGTTCGGCAAATACCGTCGTCAGATGCGCCGTGATTGCGCCATATCTCCCCGTGTCGCGACATCAAAAAAAGCTCGCATTGGCGCGCATTCTAGATGTTCCCTAGTACATTTATAGCACATTAAGGTACGCAATTTTTTATCGTCATGCGTTTCTTGTTTTCTATAAGAGTGCTCGATCAGCCGTGAGGAGTGTTCCTATAAGTTCACCAGCTTAGGTACTGATACATACTTTTTTGGTGTATTTTTGGACATTGATCTTTTTTCCAAGCTCATCTATATCCCAAGATGGCAGACCAAGATAGCTTGGATGAGAAACACAGAATAGGCGAGCAAATCATTGACTCACCTCCAAATGAGCCCGATCATGGTATTGTGAAAGACTGGGAAGAAGAAGAATCAGCCGTTCGCCGGAAGTAAGTACTATATATATTTTTCTCACACAGCAACTATAAACATGTCACTAACAAGCTTCTTTCAGAGTCGACTTTATCCTCATCCCCATCCTAGCAGTCGCTTTCTTCGCCTTGCAAATGGACCGCGGCAATATCAGCGCTGTCTTGACATCGACTATCACAAAAGACCTGAATATCACAACAAACCAAATAAATATCGGATCACAACTGCTCTCCGCTGGTATTGTGCTTTCTGAAATCCCATCAAATATTATTATGCAACGAATTGGACCTCGTGTTTGGTTATCGGGTCAGTTGTTCGCGTGGGGGTTGGTTGCAACCTTCCAGGCATTTGTTGACTCCTATCCTGCGTACTTGGTTACGAGGATTCTGCTGGGATTTTGTGAGGGTGGCTTTATTCCTGGTACGTGAGTCTATATTTATGCTTGGATAATCCTCTGACACCCGGTAGGCGCTTTATACTATCTCTCCACTTGGTACAAGAAAGATGAGACTAGCATGCGCACAAGTTTGTTCTTCTATGGGCAGATGTTCGCATCGGCTACATCAAGCTTGATATCCGCCGGTCTGCTTCAGCTGCATGGCACCCATGGTATGGAGGGATGGAGATGGATCTTCCTGGGTAAGTGCATAGTCAAAGAGATATATTCTGAGAGTCCGAGCTTGTCTAACTAATAATCTAGTCGAGGGATTAATCACTCTGTTCATCGCAATTGTATTTACTCTCCTTGTGCCTCCATCGGTTGGAGACGGCCGTCCATTAGTCGCCTTCGGCCGCTGGAGCTACTTCACCGAGCGCGAGTCGCACATCATGCGCAATCGCGTTTTACTAGATGACCCTCTGAAAGCTACAGGCCATATCCAGATTTCACGCTCTGATATCTGGCAGACCGTTAAGCAACCGCGCATCTGGCAGCATGTTTTCGTGACCTTGGTGTCTATGACTGGGTTCTCGGGTTTGACCCAATACACACCCAGCATGATCAAAGGGCTGGGCTTCGGTGCTGTCAGGGCAAATGCCTTAGCGTCGGTTCCCGTCTACTGTAGTATGGTCTGGCTGGTTATTCTGTCTTTCGCTGCGTGAGTGCTTCCTATGACCATTATGATGAAACATACTCTAACTCCTGATAGTGACAAAACAAGACATCGTGGTCCTTTCGTCCTCTTGGCTATCACTTGGAATGTGATTTCCTACGCTTGTCTTCGCACAAGTAACCCCCTTGCTTCGCAATGGCACCGATACGGAGTTATTGCCGTCGCTAATATCTCCTATTGCAGCATGCAGTAAGTCCTCTGTCCCCTCGTGTGTATAGCCCGCTCTGACAAAATATAGTATCCTAAATGTCGGCTGGCTTTCATTCTACTGCCGCAAACCCCAAGAACGAAGCGTTGCCATGGCACTGGTGGTTATGGCAGCTAACTGTGCTGGTATCGCTGGGTCGCAGATCTTCCGCACTTCCGACGCCCCGAAGTATCTGCATGGTCTCACTGCAATCAGCTGTCTTGCTGGTGCCTCGTGGGTCCTCACTGCTGTGCTTTGTGTTCAGTACTATTTCCGGCGGCAAAAATCGGTTCCTTCGGATACTGTGGAGGCGAAAGCTTGACAAAATTGGCCGTAACGGAGAATAATTATGACGATTCCCCACTATGAATAAATAGATCGTCGAATAAAAAGCAGTTCCCTTCTTTTCTGGAACATTCTAATCAACCCAATAATCCCAATTGGTTCTGACCAATCTAGAAACAAAGTTGATGGGCATAAGCCAGCATAAACCAGCATAAATCCAGGGCTTGGCATTCGTTAAGTCCGACGTCATCATTAGACGTAAGCATCTTAAATCCTGAAGGAAGTAGGTAAATAGTAGTATAGTTGTAGTCCTAGAAAAAAAGTACTTCTGACAATATCCACAGTATTCCTTCCTATACCAGATTTGCCGGTAGGTATTGGTTCCTAAATGAAATCTTTTCGCCGGATATAACCTAAATTAAGACCGTGATGACAATCCACTCGATCAGAACCCACTCGATGACAATCCAATTGATGGGTCAAGTGGACCTTTTCTTCACCTCAATAGCCACAGAATCATAAATCGAGATTTAAAGAACCCTCCGAGACGGAGCTCGATCTCTCCGCGCGGATAGTTTAAAGAATCAGGATCCTGCTGGAGTTGTAGATCATATCAATTGAATCCCAACTTTATACATTTTATATATATTATCATGTCTTCCACCGATTACAAGTTCGAAGGCTGGGTAGCCCTCGGCCCTGAAGCCGCCGAAGGCAAAATGGTCTGGCAGGAATTCGAGCCTAAGCCATGGGAGGAGACCGATGTCGATATCAAGGTCACTCACTGTGGTATCTGTGGCTCTGATATTCACACTCTGCGCAGTGGATGGGTATGTCGCATTCCTCTTGAACATCATAGAAATCGAATCGAATTGCTAACACGGCTTTCCACAGGGCCCCACCAACTACCCTTGCTGCGTCGGCCACGAGATTGTCGGAACTGCTGTTCGCGTCGGATCACAGGTCGAGGGAGATATCAAGGTCGGTGACCGTGTCGGTGTCGGCGCCCAAAGCGGCTCCTGCCAGAACAAGGATGGGGACTGCCAAGCCTGTGCATCGGGCATCGAACAGCACTGCACTAAGATGGTCGGCACATACAACGGTGTCTATGCCAACGGTGGCAAGTCGTATGGTGGCTACTCCACATACAACCGCTCTCCCTCGCACTTCGTTATTAAGATCCCGGATGCCATTTCCTCCGCCGACGCGGCACCTATGTTGTGCGGTGGTATTACTACCTACTCGCCTTTGAAGCGCAATGGCTGCGGCCCCGGAAAGACCGTCGGTGTCGTTGGCATTGGTGGTCTTGGCCACTTTGCTATTTTGTTCGCGAAGGCGCTCGGTGCTGATCGCGTTGTCGCTATCTCCCGCAAGTCTGATAAGAAGGCGGATGCGCTCAAGCTCGGTGCGGATGACTTCATCGCTACCGGCGAGGAGGAGGATTGGGATACTCGCCACGCTAGCTCTCTCGACTTGATCATCTCCACTGCCTCCTCTTCCAAGATGCCCATTGTCCAGTATTGTGGACTGTTGCGGGTCCACGGAACCTTCATTCAGCTCGGTGCTCCCGAGGATGGCGGTCTTGAGATCCCGGCGTTCGTTCTCATTCTTAAGGGCATTAAGCTTGGTGGCTCGTTGATCGGTAGCCCTAGTGAGATTCGGGAGATGTTGGAGTTGGCCGCTGCCAAGGGCGTCAAGCCTTGGATCCAGGAGCGCCCAATGAAAGATGCCAACCAGGCTATCGTGGATATGGAAAATGGTGATGCTCGTTACCGCTATGTTCTCAAGAACGAGCAGTAAATCGGTGATCAATCATGAATGAGTGATGAATATGTGAGACAGGTTCATTTCAACTGGCGTTTGGGGCAATGTATAGAAGCTGTTAGATTTAGAAACTAGATCCCCAATGAACGTTTTGTATATGCATGGTGTGCCTATGAGGGATGTCGTCAAACCAAAAATTATAAATATCCTTGTTTGCCGCCAAGGTCCTTGATTCGCCGCGGCGATATCATACCGACGATGTCATCACATATCAAATTCTTTGAACTGCTCTTTCTTCATCAACTTTCTTTCTTTTACACCCTTGCAGTTTGCTGAATGACTGCATGAGAGTAGCGATATTCTTCTGAATACCCTCTATGAAGCCTAAGTCAGCCTGATATCCATGAATGCCAGTTGTTATGTATACATCCTGGCTACAGGCTAGCTAGGCACTCCTCTTAAACGATCTACATGTTGCGCTATAACTGACTACACCTCTAGGCACGCAAATGAGTCGGCTTCACCACAACCAATGTCGAATACTTGAACATTTTACGAGTTGTCAAGGTTTCAAACCAATGAAATGTTTCACCATTTTCAATGGCACATTGACACATGCACTGTTCACCCGAAGCCTGAATATTGCATACCAAGGCCCAACAGCTGCGTATTTTTATTTATATCCGGCCCGATGTTTTGCCAACAGAGATTCATAGCACATGCAGCAAAGTCTAATTTATGACCCTAATACTTTGCTACTACGCATTGCGATCAAAACAGCTCCAAAATATCGCTCATGGCTTGGAGGATATGATGATCCACAATTCATATTGCTTCGAACAGATGATCACTGTGAAACGAAGTATTCGGAATTTTAACGCCCCATCGCTGCCATTTATACAAGCTGAGGTGTTTCCAAGCAGCAGAAAAACAACACATTCACTCAAAGTCTAAATCCACCCAGATGAATCATCTACATACGCCAATTGGAGTATGGTTGTCCTTCTATTATGGTTCGGAAGATCGGCGGCTCGAACCCTCGACCTTTCCCAAAGAGGAAACGGACAACGGACGAAGTTCTTACGTGCAAGGCGAGAGTTTTGGGGCGGTGATGGAATTTTGTCGGAGAAAAAGGGCTTCATATTCGAATCATCCTCTGTGGAAGGCAACCAACTCGTTTCCATTGATCTCCCTTTCATCTATCTCGCTTTCATTCATCTCCCATTTCCCCTTCTTTGTGGTGATCCATCTCTCCGAAACGTTGCTATTCAGACACTCTTTTCCACTTCCAATATACCATCGGCTTAGAGTATTCTGTTCAGATCTATCTTCCAAACTTCCTTCACGTCTCGTCGAGAGACCACCACACCCGTCCAAACAATCCAGCAGTTCAACCCAGCTGTTCTGGCTGCGCGTTGCTTCTATTGACATCAGAGATCTTGATCCATACCCGTCCAAGAGCCAGTCTCAGAGCTGTGGGGGTTTCCTTGAAAAGAGAACTCGCATGAACACATTCGTTACAGGTATGAACTGTTCTTCCGACCAAATGTATACAATCTTACTAAATCATCGGTTATTAGTTTGATCCTCGCGACAAGAAGCATATCTTGCCCGGAATATCTACTGCTGTCGAAGAAATTAATCATCAGCACCAGTTACTCACAAATACATTCTCTCCTCATCTAAAATGAGCGTTTTTCATCGCCTCATCGATGACGAGGGTCACTACATCGCTCTTCACACAATCATCGCCACTGGTGACGCAGTAGTCGTTGTCCAACGCGAAGATGTTGCAGTCAAAATGGCAATCGTCTACAAGTATGACACCCTGGAGCAAGTGGAAGCAAACCGCGAAAGGATCAGACGAGAGCAAGAAGTATGGCGGCGCGTTCAGTCCGACTTCGACACCCCAGTAGAAGGAATCGTCCATTGTCTCGACCTTCCAGGCGAGACCATCGAGATGCGATACATGTCCGGAGGCACGCTTTCTAAGTGGCTGAAGCACCGAGCGCGACCTTGCATCAAGCTACAGCAGCGTTGGTTCCGCCAGCTTGCCATCGGCCTCCACAACCTTCACCAACGTTGCATCATCCACTGCGACATTCTCACTCGCAACATCCTGATGGATGGTTCACAGAACCTCGTCATCGCTGACCTCGGTGCCTCGAGAGTCATGCCCATTGACACTGTCATGGCTGATGCGGTGGACGAGTTCGAGTGTTCCATCTGGACGGATCTTTGCCAGCTTGGCCTCGTGTTCTACGAGATTGCTACCGGGAGGCACCCCGGTATCAGCCTCTATCACACCCGTGGCAGTCATGACCCTTCCGCTGTGTTCCCCACCCAGGACAGGCTTCCTGTCCTCAGCGAGGGGCTCTGGGCCCGGGACATCATCGAGACCTGCTGGAGGAAGGGGGGATATGGGATGGCCGGCGCGGCAGGGATTCTGACGAAGCTAGACAGCGTGTAAGGCTCGCGTCGGGGATGAGATGTACGCTCAATTCACTTTTGTGTGAGAGTATGGCCCTCGAGCCCTCCAATAGAAATGATGTAAGATGAGAAGTACCAACCTGATCTCACCTTTGTATGATTTAGCTATCTGTTACATTAGCTGTATACTAGGGAAGTAGATCTTCTTTCTGCATACTTTGCTCATAATGGTCCTCTACATGGATCTATCGTGTTTTGGACTACGTACGCTGGAGTGCGTGACGACACGCAGTATACTCACAAATCATGTCAACCTGCATATTTGCTTTCGCTATCTATATCACTTCTCCTTACACTTGATTTAGTTTTTCGCTGAGTATCATGTTACTGTGCTTTTGGTATTTTCTGACTTTACTCTTACTATCTCTACATAAATCTTTGATTTGGTGTTAATTAAGTCTTGAAAGGTATCTTCAACTTCGTGAATCTCCCAAACAAATTTCATTCACACAAACCCATGAATTGCGCTAACCAACAAACATGTTTGCGAGGTCATTATTGGCCCAAATTTAAGTCCACTTGGAAAATTTCCCTCACGTACAACGACCTTTCCCGTACTAACCTTAGACTTGAGAGTCGTAGTTGTAGATATGTTCGCTAGATGGTCGTTAACTTTGAAGCTGCCAGAAATGTGGGAATTGTATGATCGGCAGTATGACCTAAAAGCATCCACTTGAATAGTAGGTTGTTATCCACAACATCTTCTAAAATATCAAGCAAAGATAGGACCGACTTTTTGGTCATATTCATTCCTTTAGATTTAGAGAGTTGTTCTCCACCTCGTTGAGGTTGAACTGGTTCTTGACCGTTTTTTTTTTGTCTCTTCCCTTCGTACCGGGCTTTTCTGTTTCATAGGGAATACCCGGCTAAAATCAGAACAGCTAGCAATTGGGGATCCAAGATCTGTCAGGAGTTAATAATCTGTTTTGTAATGGAAATATGGTTTATCGAGGCCTATGTAATCCATCAAGCTTAGTTCTAGAGTTAACAAGCTTTGTATGTTTCCTCTTTTAAGGCGTGGGAATGAAGATTAATAGGGAGACATAGCAACTTGACACTGGCTTCAAAATAAATGTGGCTGTAGCAACACTAACTGTTCCCGGTGAATATATATAGATACAGCCAAACTCTAGTGTCAAACAAACAGAGATGAGGGCCGGTGAAGTTCGCAGATATAAATATCTGATCTTCTCGTTTAGTGTTTCTTCCTTCTTCCCCTCTCCACGACACCCTTTGCCAGCTCATGTTTAGCCCAGAATGGATCTCCAATAGGAATTTGCTGATCTTGGAAATCACGAGCCAATTTTCTGTATTAGGGTGAGTGGAATGAAAATGAAGACAACAACAAAATTTTGACAAGGCTATGCCCATGCAAGAGTCACCAATATATGTAAAGTTTTATTGCGGTTTCCAATGATGAAGACTTGCTTGGTTTCACCATGAAGGCTACTGATCCTGAGCACCACCTAAAGGTGCAGTTTTGCTCGGGTGCTACATACAGGGCCCGTGTAGCTGGATTTGGAGAAAAAAGAACAGGGAATATACAACAGGGAATAGGCACTGGGTCACCGAGGGCTATCTCCGTGGAAAGAACCAACGATTGGCTCACAGAGGCAAAGTGTTACAACCTGCTCCTGGACTGGCGAGTTACACACTAGGCCAAAAAGACCACTATATCTGAGCGTAATGCTCATATATTCCACGCTCCGATATATATAGTGCGACATGACACAAAGGTCCATTGGTTGCGCAGAAAGCCATTAAAAAAAGCCATTTCCGATCGTCAAGCATGGATGAAAGTTGATGACGCTATTCACCATTTGAATTGGTTTGGTTTTCAGGTTTACACCTATAGCAAGCTGCTCTGTGGGAAATTCAATCAGTTCCAACCGAGTTGCCTGTTACATTGACCCGGAACTGGCTCTTTTGAATGTCATGGAACGACCTCATTTTGTATAAAGAGTGCAAATAATCCTCGTGCTTCGCGGGAATAAATCAGAGCACAGTTGGAGAAATGGCTATCACACAGCTATGTTACACCGTCGGCCAAAAGTCTCATGGTGAGACTTGCAGGGCCTGGACAAAATGACAAAGAGCTGGAATCAATCCATCAATCAATCAAAGTTGAGTTAACCTGTTGCAGCCTGACTAGTTGCATACGACTACGCAGGCACTTCATCCAGACGAGGCAAGGACTCGAAGCCAATAGTTGATTAAAGAGCTGGAATCGTGTTTTGTTCGCCATCACCCTCGACACAATGAATTGGTAGAAGCAGCGGGAGTTCTCCAAAGACAACTAAAAAGGGCCGATTTTTCAAATTATCTTACAATGCATTCAAAGGGAATAGCTCGATGATTGCCATGAGCGGTTTCTCCATATAAATATAACCTAATACCTTCACCTCAATGAAATCGCCACTTCTCTGACTGAGGGACCTGATTAGCCCCTGAAGCAAGATTCAACCAATGGGTTGATTATTGTTTCCCGATGTTTTCGACTTTCACGGATCTAGTATAAGATGAAGACTAAGAAAATGGAAAGACCAACGGACTCAGTCGCTATACAAACTGCGTATTGGCAGAATCTCATCAAACGCAATTCAGCATCTGAAGGATATTTACACAGGATTTCTTCCAAATGTACATATGTATTTAATAGCAGTACAACGATGAAAAGAACAGGCCTGAACCAGGCCTGAACCTCGAGTCTTCCTCGAGTAGTCTCATAAATTAGGCCAGTGGTCGCCATTAACTACAGTTGCTCGATATTCGGATTTCCCTGAGATGTAATCAAGCCAGGCAATCCACAAACGGCAGGCTAATTTTCTCCTGGATCTCTCTGAATGCCTGAAGTAACTTCTCTTCCTCCAACTTCTTAGCAACGAGCTGCAGAGAAACGGGTGCATCCTTTTGTTTTACTGGGTCATAATGCTCGTATGCCCAGCGGTCGAATTCGTTCTTCGGAGTGTAAGTAGTATCCTTGGCATCTCTATCGGGATCCACCTTGGTGACAGGGAACACAAGAGCCGAATAATCGAGGAGATTGAATAAAGAAGTGTAGCCCCAGTACCTCGAAGTGTGGTGGAGGGGGGCAGGTGTGGGGAATGCAGGGCAGAGTATAACATCCATTTCAGGCGCAACATTGTTCCACTCTGTAGTAGGGCCAAGTAAGATCAGAATCCGGAACGAGCTTAAATAATGATTGATCTACGAACCTTGCAAATAGCCGTAGCGGAACATCTCCCGTTTCCCAGTCCATTCCCATACACCCTCATGGCTCAGTTCTTCAATGCCAGGGGTATCCCGCAAAGTCCAAGCTGTGAGCGGTGTGAACGGCTCACCAGAGGCCTCGACATTCCTGGCAAATGCCTTTCCGCCATCTGGAGCATAAAGCCTGGTCTATACATGTTCATTGGTTAGTTCAGCTCACATTAGTCATTGAGTTGATATGGACCACTTACAAGGATCTCAAGAGCCTCTTCCTGTTTATATGCTTTCCATTCAATAACCTCGATACCAGCCACCAGTTTAAGGCGCTCAACCACTTCCTTCAAGGCCCTTGTTACTGCCGGAGCGGGAGTAACTACATTATCCGTCCACATCACACCGACAGTTAGCTTCTTGTTATCCAAGTGAATATGCTTCTCCTGGTCTCTCCAAGGGATTGGAAGCATCATCGAATCTTTGACCCAAGGCTTTGATTCGATTATCGTCTTCATGAAGAGTTCAACACCACCGAGTGAGGGTGAAATAGGCCCAAGTGTTCCCATAATTGTCTCGCATCCCAGAAGATAGGAACCGCATCCCAGTAGCGGTAACCTACCGGTTGAGGGCTTCAGGCCGTAGAGGCCACAATTGGCCGCGGGGGAGCGAATACTACCACCTAGGTCTGTTGTTGGCAATGAAGTAATCAATCTAGAGAATCCGGCAACATACCAATGTCTGAGCCAATTCCCAGAGGGCTGCCATAAAGGGCCTGCAAGGCTGACTCTCCGCCAGAAGAACCACCTGGTGTGAGAGCAGTATTATGTGGGTTGGTGGTGGTGCCAGTGATATTGCTGTAAGTTTCAAGAGCCATCTATACCGAGACCAAGGAATTAGCTATAAATTCACGCGTTTGGAAATTTAGATCTGCCTACCAGTCCCTGTGGCTCGGTTGTTCTTGCATAAACAACCGCACCGGCATCCAAGAGAATCTTCACGATATTTGCATCGCCTTGACTTTTTCGGTCGAGACAACCGACGAATCCAGCAGCCAAGTCTCGTCCCCTGAGACCTATATGTGCTTTGATGCTAATTGGTAAACCGTGAAGTGGGCCTGAGGGTTTTCCATGCTTCGCAAAATACTCATCGAGATCCTTGGCGCGGGATATGGCACGGTCGGGAAGAAGCTCATAAATACAGTTGGTCTATGCAGTTGAGTGACGGTCAGAATCCAAAATTTGAGGTATTAGCTGGAAACAACTCGCAAAATTACATACAAGCTTCTGGGCAATTGCAGCCCGTCGAAGAAAAGCGTTTGTTACCGCAGTCGCAGTCAATTTGCCTGTCGCTAGGGAATCTACCAATTTTTCAGCAGAACTCTCCGTGATAGCGATCTCTGCTTGCGAAAGGTGCTTTCTAGGGAAATCAATCACCCTGCCAGTATGTTGATCGGGAAGAGTAGCGATGGCGGGATCAACCTGCTTTATGGAAATATCGCGCACTGCCTGGACCTGGAGGGCTGACTCTTGCCAGGAGAGCTTCTGTTGAGGTACCACGGTCATTTTTCTAGCTGGGGTTGATTGATTTTAGGTACGGGTGTGGTGAACAAGTTCCGTAAAATGCGGCAGTGTGTTTAATAAGGTCGATAACTGGACATCCTTCCATAATCTCCACATTACATATGTCACTCTATATGAGAAACGAAATGGCTCCATCCTTGACCCCAATGTTGCACCTCGCTCGAATTGGACAGCAGTAGCGATCCTGAGCGGGTCATGTCTCCACCGTGCAGCGGCGAGACCAACTGTACTTTAGTTGTCCCGATGTTGTATCTGCGCCAAGCAGGACAAAAGAACCGTGCTATTCTGAGATGAGTCTAGCACCGGTGATAACCACCCCCGCCATACCGTCGGGCTCCCGAATAGCGGACCGTAGATCTGCGATCTTTGTCTTGAGCATTTCAAGTGCGCTATTTTATTTTATTGATTCATTTTCTAGTGCAATGTAATATGGCAGGGATTTCTCTTGGTGGTCCCGATTGTGTAATTTTAGACCCAAAGATCCTTGAAAATTGAATTTGAGGACGATTAATATCTGATATGTTAGCGACATGGAGGTTTATCCCTGTCAGGGGTAACCCTTCCATATAATCATGGTCTTGACTTGTGAGAAGTAGGGGTTCGCAATTCCTGTTGGCACATATGACCGACCTTCAGGAAGATTTCGGACCAACGCTATGGGTGGTGAACACAATTTTCATTATACTGGCCACACTCGCTGTTGTTGCCCGCTTTGGAGCACGACGACTGCGAAAATTGTCTCTTGGTGCAGATGACTGGATCATCTGCGTAGCCCTTTTCTTGGATTGGGTATTATATGGCATTTTTGTGGGATGTTAGTACTACCACCACTATCATGACTTTGATTCTGCTAAAGGATCGCAGTAGTAATACTAACGGGCTTTCAGGTCGAATTAATGGCCTTGGCAAACACCGAGAAACACTCTCACCAAAAAAAGTCGCTATATTCTCGGAGCTCCTCTACTTCTTCCAGATTTTCTACATTCTCGGACCCCCGAGTGTGAAGCTAGCACTCCTTTTTCTGTACCGACGTATTTTCGAACATTCGAGGTTCTTGCGAATTGTCGACGGCATGATCATCCTCATCTCTGTGTGGGCGATTATTATGACTTTCCTCGCCATTTTCAATTGTAATCCGATTAGCGCCTTCTGGACAACGGAGGGGACTTGCTTTAACTTTAAGCAATTTGCTATCGGCTACGCAATTGTAAATATTATCAGTGATTTTGCGGTTTGGTTGATGCCAATCCCCAAAGTGTGGAATATCCAGCTTCCGAAACCACAGAAGATTGCCCTGTCCCTAATCTTTACCTTGGGTCTTTTGTATGCATATTCTTTTTCTACCCCATTCCAAGGTACTTGCTAATACATCGTTCTCTCCCAGTGATTGCGCTGCAGCTATGGCCCGCCTTCTCCTCTCAATGCTTGTCCTGGGCGAGTACGACTCCACATGGCTCTACGCAAAGGGGTACATGTGGTCCATCATCGAAGTGTCAACGGGTATTGTCTGCACATGTCTGCCAACGATGCGAGTACTCTTGAGGACAGCTTTTGGTGGCGCTTTTGCAAGATTTTTCGGTATGTCCAGCGGGAGGGCCAGCCATCAGCCATCCAACAATACGCCATGGTCTAGAACAAAGGAGTATTATAATGATATTGGGGAGGTAATTTCAGCGGAGGTCCCTTCCGATGGCCATTGTACAAACAATATTTCGGAATTGCATGATGCTGACTGGGACACGAACTCGGACCGGATTCTGGTCACCGAGGAGGTAAACATTGAACTTCATCCAGTCAAACAGATGGTATCTAAGCAGTGAAAGAACATTGAACAAGGTGCGCATTTCCTGTAACTCGCCGACTCGTACATCTGTGACATAGATTACACGCTTTTCAGGAGGAATTTAGGTAATCTTGGTACCAAACCGTAAGGGCTGGGGTTATCGATGGTTCTAAAAGATGGTCAGCTGAAGTGACTCTTTTTGTCTGACTAGCCAAGCCGCTCTTCTCCTTGTCTGCCTAGACGAAGATCAAATCGCCCCTTGATCTTCAATATACTAGTTTTTTTAGTTGCGAAGTTTCTATATTTAGCTCAGAGAAATGGCCTTCGGAGACTCTCCACCTCCAAAAAAATCCAAAGCTGCGAGATTCAATGCCCATGTATTGAAAAGTTTACAAGCAGCGGTCACTGAAGATCCAGAGATCGACTTAGCCGAGAAATTCCCAGCTGAATACTCGCAACGCCTCCTAGAAATGAGAACATCAACCAATCACTCACCCAGTAAGGATTTTGGTTATTTTCTTGTTCCTGTAACTAATAACATTATTCCTCAGAGGACATTCATTTAAACCCTCTGGATCTTCCCAAGGTCGATGAAGACATTCGTCAAACCCTTGGATCATCGGATCCGGTCGGAATTGTTTTCCCTCTATCAGATGTGGTTGCAAAATTACTCGAGACCAGGTCATCAACAGTGGAGTCTCTGCCAGTAGTCGGACTCTCCCAAAGGCTGTTTGAACTTCTACAGAGGATTGAGATTCTTTGGCAAGCTCCCTGCGCTCGACAAAAAGGTGTGTTCAAATGCTCCGCGGAAGTAGTTGTTAAGACAGCTCGCAACTTGGAACACTACATTACACTAAATACACCACCTTACAATATATTGACTGTCATAAGTCAAGTATTCCAGCACCGAAACCTTTTGGCTTAGTGTATATCGGCAGAGTTACTTTGATATTCATGAGCTATATGAGATCTGTACCGCTGGGGCAAGCCTGGTCAACACTAGACTCTTATCCAAAAACCTCTCAGAGCAACCAGCTCAACACGATACTTGCCGATTTAAGAACCCTCCCATATATTGAAGGGACTGCTCTGGGAGGAGTCGCGGGTGAAGGTTGTAAGGACCTTAGGAGGCATGTCTGCACGAGCGAGACACCTATCACTAGCCTTGAGGATTTTGAAACATTTTTGTTCTCTAGCCCGCATCCAGGCGGCGATGTGTTTGTTAAATTTCTTCGTCGATTTTCAGCGTCGCTCACACACCAGTCGGGCCCTCGGATTGTTTTCACACATGGAGACCTAAGGCCGGACAATGTTATGGTTAAACTGGCTGACAACAATAAGTACACAATTTCCGGGATCATTGACTGGGAATACACCGGGTTTTATCCTGATTATGACGAAGGCATCCGATGCACGAACTGCCTAAGTCCATATGAGGAAGATGGCTGGTTTTTATACCTGCCAGAATGTGTCTCACCAAACATCTACGCTCAGTGGTGGCTTCTCGATCGAGTTAGAGAAACGAGAGTTGTATGGAAAGGAGGTCGGTGTATTTTAACAGCAACTCTACACTGTTGAGACTATGTATTACATCATTGTACGCCTTTTCCCCTTCCAAATAGTTCGTACACCACTGTGTATTACCCCAAATCACTTCTGAAATGCTCGATAGTATCAACTTTCCTTGAAAGGAATGCGGGCCCAACCTACGCGGGTCGGGCCGTCCTGTCACAACCCTGGGAACTTTGAAAGGTTTCCACGGATCGCCGAAGTCATGAATTGCCTCAAATTCATTGGATCCATCAGGTACAAACTAAAAGCCTTGAACATTATTATTGGATTTTTCCTATGAGTAGAGAAGGAATAGGAATGAGAGAGGGAGGTCTTGGCAAGTCTCATGGTCAAATCGGGTATCTATCGGTCATCCAACTATGCCTAGGAATCCCAAACTAACTACAAAGCATAAAGGCAATCAAATAGTGCTCGGGAAGTAAAATTTCTTTTTATCGGATGATATCCAGAGGATTTCCATGAAGTTCTCGCAACTACTCCGTACATCAACCGAGCATCTCCGAGTCTCAGCTGGACAGACCATCCCCTGAAGACTCTTGGTCAAGGTTCCAGATCTGCAAAAAATTACGACCCAATGGCTGATGCAGGGTTAAGAGGCCGAACCACGAAGTATAATCAGGTACATTTATGTTTGTCTTCCCACGGATTGGTTCGTCACCTCGCCCATTACCCAGCTGGCATTCTCGCTTCGGCATGTATTTGCTTTTGGGAGGTCTTCGGCCAGTAAACAACGTTCCTGTCTCCAGCTGTCTTGATGGCGACCCCTTATCTTGTGCCTGACACCGAGCGGCCTGGTATTTAGTTCAAGTTAAATAATTATGATCATGCATTTCATCTCGTACTCGTGATTACTTTTACTGGTGCATGTTAGGTATTCCTGTTCCTCTTCTTTTTTTTTTTTTTTGCTTAGTCCAGAAGATATTCAGGGCTGTCCCTGGATCTCCGCGGCCTGGTCTATTTTTTTAGGTTTAGAGCTGGGTTCTCTCGCATTTATGAGAAGGGCCCGCAGACTGTAACTGGACATAGCCTTATGAGCAATATCAACCGTTCGGATTGTAATTGAGAAGCTCACTCGTATGATCAATGGCATCATACGGGTTAGTGATGTAGTACTTTACACAGCACCAACTACCTGAAAAAGGCTGTTTGTTTCAAGGCGAGAACTTCGTGTGCGTTCTAGACATCTAGGTCTATACGATATATATAGACCTCCGGAACATTTGAGCTTGTTATGCTCTTCAATGTTAATATGTTAAACCATTGTTCTCAAGGGTCTCTCCAGGCTTGAGTTTGGGAAACTATTGGACCAATGCATATATTTTGGATGATGAGGGCTTATATGTTTCAAAATATATTCAAGGTAAACACTACTATGATGACGTGGATGGTGTCGGTCCTTTGCTACCTATCATGGAATGCGAAACGCATTTATTTTAATATTTAAATTTTAATTCTCCAAAGCATCAACTTAGGCTCAAATATCAGTCTGATCTAGTGGAATGTGGAGTTATTGGCTGAAGACAAGGTGGTTATCTAATTCGGGGCTAAATCGTATCTCAACCTTGCAGCGACCCCAGTTATCCTCTTCTCTCTGCATTGAATCTTACAATGATTGCAATAAAAAGCCACCACTCCCCTCATATGAGGAGACAAACAACTATCTAGTCCCCTTTGTGAAAGATGCCCTTACCTGAGCCCCGCCAGATCAAGAAACCCCGGTTATCGCTTAGCTGTATCGTCTGCCGACGACGCAAGGTTCGCTGCGGTCGCGAACAGCCAGAATGCGCCAACTGCGTGCGCATGAAAGAGCATTGTGTCTACAGGGCGATGGTCCGTGATGAATCCACCGGCCGCGTACGACCGATATCACCCCAAAACAAAGACTCTAGAGATGCAGATGCTCGCCCAGACCTCCCTTGGCCTGATTGGGGCCGAGACGCCAATGCGCCGTATCCCGATAAGCCTTCCAGACCTCCCTCTCGTCCTCAATTCTCCGCCAATGCCAGTCCTTCCCCACATAGCCAACAGCCATATCCCACAGTCCCTTCATGGGAAGAGACTATCCAACTCCCTAGGTATCGTGACACGAGCGTTCCTCAAATTGGTGGTAGCTCGGCAACTACCCGGAATCCCTCCCCCGTGGCATCACCAAGCTCCTTCCCGACTCTCAGTGATCCCCTCTGCCGCGATTACCTAAGTATACGACGAGGAGGCCGCGTGCGATATGTTGGTCGGACTTTCTGGGGGTTTGTTGCCGGGAAGGTGAGTCTGGCTGGGGAATACAAAAAGCAGAGATGCAATCTGCGATGGGGGGCGTCGCTTGGAAGGACCATGACTGACCTTAGTTGATCTTCCTTTAGGAGGGTCTGAGTGATGATTTTTTTGACGAAAACCGGCATGCCCACCCGGATCTACCCCTTCCACATATTTCCACTATGGGAATGTTCAATCTCCTTCGATCGCTGCCCACCAAGCCCGTTAGTGATGCCCTGCTGGAGACGTTCTTCCTCGCGGTATGGCCACTCCTTCCCCTCCTACACCCGCCTTTCCTGCAAGCAGATTACGACGAGTTCTGGGATTGGTGTCGGAATAGCGATAGTGCATTACCCGCCGATAAACTCCGCGATGACCCTACCTTTATATGCCTTCTATTTGCAGTCCTTTATTGTGGCGCATCTGCCGCGCCAGCAGCCAGCTGGGCGTACAGCAACCTCCAGGGTCTACAAAAGGAGACGACAGTGAGCCACCTCAAGTCGGCATATACGACGAGTCTTTCTCTATGTCAACATCTGGAACATCCAACATTGAATACCCTGGTTTCAACTTTGCTGACTGGACCCTTCCTGGACCGGCCCTTCGAGCCCATGCGTGGTCTGGTTCATGTGAGCACCATGGTGCGCATTGCCCAGACTATGGGTCTACATCGGGAGGGAACCTCATCTGCGCTGAGTCGCGTTGATAAAGAAATCCGACGTCGGGTGTGGTGGCATATTGTTTGGCTCGATGTGCAGTCAACTATCTCCACAGGGCTGCCCCCCTGTTGTGGGAATGACTCCTTGGAGGCCGTGGGTATGGTCAACATACACAATGAAGAGCCCAGTGATATCCCTGCTGGGCTTTCCCCGTGCACAGACTCTGTGACTAGTCGACAATCGGTGGCCATGCTATATGCTGTCGGACGCTTTCAGACAGCTCACCTACAAGCCAGGATCGTGGCACATCTACAGAGCGCGCAGGGTCCAACCCAAAATGGATTTAGTGAGCTGGTCACGGATGCCAAGGAGCTTCTGAAAGAGATTGACTCAATTATCGCACGCGTTCCTACGCAAGGAATTCCCGAAAGGGGGTATATTCCATCTCGTCTGGCTAATGTATCTCCATTCACGCATCCCTCGCTGTACAAGGATGATGCAAGCCAGCCCACTGTGTTTGCAGCATGGACGCGTATTATGCTAACATTGCTGAAATTGGAAATCGCCATTTTACTGCAAAAGCCATTTTTGCCACCCCCAGACAGTACGAACGAGCAATCACGCAAGTCATGGACCAGGTACGGATCATCTCGTCACTGTCCCGCATACTCTGTTCCACCCCCGTTTGCATCCTCTCTTCCTAGGGAATCCTGTCCAGTTTGACTAAATATCTACTTCCATTGATCTTGCATCACCACATTGTTATGACACACTTGTTAACACACGATTCAATCTTCCAGCATGTCACAGCTCTGCGTGAATTACTTGCGTATTTACCTGCAGCTGTATCAAGCCCCTGCGTTTTCACCTTATGCATGGTTCTTCTGCAGCCATTATGGGCCTCTCCAATGCGTATTCATCACCCTAATATATCTTCATTCCTTCCAGGACTCTGGAGAGACTTTGCTAGCCCGATATTGCGTTGATGAGGTTATACATCACTGCATAGGCCAATATCAAGCGCCAGATCCCTCTTCCACGAAGGCCAGCCCCAACGATACTGATCCCAATGCGGGCAAGACACGGCTGCCGTTGGTCATGCAGGTTCTCGTTGACCTTCAGGAACGCCTTGACTTATCCCTCGGGGCTGAGGATCGGCCCTCGCTTCCATTGGACGTGATCGAGTGTCATGCCCACTTTCCTGCGTCACACCTTGCTACCAAGGCGTCTGAGTTACGCGCGACATCTAACCAGCCCTCTTCCGATGCATCCTTCTCCACCACACGCACCAACCGCAATTGCGAGACCCCATCTATGACCACAGGACCTCCAGTGGTTGCTGGGCACAAGCTAGCCCCGCCAAACAGCGTTCTGGTGGCTGAGAGTGACTTGGGTTTAGATATGGACTTCCTTGCTACTATTTCGGATCTAGAGGCCTGGTCCTCCTCATTGATTCTAGATTCCGACAATCTCCTCGCATATCTTAATGATATAACGCCTAATCACGCTGTAACCACAGGGTCGGGTCCACGCAGTACGACGTCTGGTCGCCGTGACCTGCATGAAGGACTCGATTTCACAGCCTAGTACGCTATAATACGTGGTCTTCATCTTGCTTCCTTTTTCTCGTAAGCCAAAGTAGATACATAGATTATACGAGAAATCTTGATAGACCTGCATTATCGAATTAAATGTCTTCTGCCCTGATTCCAAACAATCAGCGATTCCACCACAGGTTTACACCGCACGCCAGCCTGCAACGTAGAACGCACCATTCTCCCTTTACAGGTTGTGCTACTGCACGGACACACACATCTCAATATCTGACACGCATACTCCGTACAGGCGCAGCCAAGCACCTCGATACGTCCATTTCCCTCACCGTGCAGCCTTCCAATCAGATTACACAAATCAAATACCTCGAAAATGACGTACGACGTGCACACCTTAGCTTCCACAGGCGAGACACTCCATGTCGACGTTGGCCAAAGTATATTGTATATCCCAGCATCGGCCAAATAATATGCAGTCAGCCTTCAGCTGGCAGCCCTTGGCCCCTCGCTTTCAGCCCTTCTGCTTATGGCATCGCATATTGACAAAGAATCTCGGCCTTGGCCCGGGCGAACTCGCGTAGGATCGTCTCGGCCCTCGCAGCGGAGCGAGGCACAGTTTTACATTTGTACGTCCGTGGAGATACAAGGAACCCCTCGGTGTAACCCGTAATAGGATCGGTGTCAATTGGGATCGGCTTCTTCGACTCATTGACCTCCGGCTCGAACTGAAACCCCCATAAGAGCTTCGCTGCTCCGATGAACATGCTGCGCTCCGACAGATGGATTCCTGGGCAAAGTCGTCGGCCAGCCCCGTAGATGAAGTGATCCCTCTGCATCTAGTCCGGCGAGGCGGCATAGTCCGAGGCCAGTTTAAGTCGCCCTTCGTAGCGACTTGGGTCGAATCGGTCGGGGTTGGGAAATATGTGTTCGTCGTGGTGAAGCCCCCACACGTTTAGGAACACTGTTGTTCCCTTAGGTAGGAGATATCCATTAACCCAGTCATCTTGGCTTAGCGCGTGTGGGAATGCTAGTGGCGTCACTGGCCGCCAGCGCATCGTCTCCTTGACGATCATGTTGATATACGGTAGACGGCTGAAATCAGCCCATGTCGGGGATCGGTCTTCGCCACAGACGGCGTCGATCTCGGCGCGTGCCCGCTCCTGTACTTCTGGGTGCTGCACCAGCGCCTGGATCATCACCAGGAGCATCGTCGACCCGGTGTCGGATCCACCCTCTATCATTATTCCACCGAGGAAGTCAACCTGGTTGTCAGTGAGGTTTTCCTTCTCCTGTAAATCAAGGACGTGGTCGATGAAAGTGCAAGCTCGACTTTGAGAGCCTTGCTCGGCCTGTCGTCGTGCCTCGATCCCCCGTCGCCGGAACGACCCGTATAACCCTTTCATCCCGCTAGCCACCTCTGCCGACCGATCGACCCAGTTGCCCAGCCACTTCTGTGGCATCCATTTCAGCCACGGGAAGATATCGACGGGTGGAGTGGCGCCAGTCTCCATAATCTTGGACCATTTCTCCATGATGCCGTAGAGTTCCTCCATATGTGGTGTATCCCACGACGGGGTACGAATCCCATACAGCAGACTCATGATTATACTGTTGGTGGTCCGTTTCGTATGCAGCATATGTTTCTCTGGATATAGGAGGAAGTCTCGCATCATTTGTGTGTGCTCGGCTTCGAGCAGCCTGACGTGCTCTTTCTCGCACATGCTTGCCATGAAGTGCTGGTGAATCGTCTTGCGGCATAGCCGCCAGCTTTCGTTGTTATCCATAGTAAGCACGTGGTCACCGCCGGTTATGAGGTTCTGACCGACATAGGATGTTGGCCGTGAGCTGTATAAAGCGCTGCGTTTATCGAGCAGTTCCTTCACCAGACCTCGATCCGTGATGACGGCAGCGGTGGCTGGCCCAATGCGGAAGCTGTAGAGACCGCCATAGATTTTGGCCCATTCGGTGAACCTGTTGATATCAGAGAAGAATACAGTTGATGATAGAGATGAAGAACGAACTTTTGATGCGCGCGCACTGGCGGGATCTGGTGGATGTTGCCAATGAGAGGGAGACCAGGTGGACCTGCACTTCATTAGCTGGACGTCTCTTTTACTTCATCATAAAAACACAGAGGATATATGCACCAGGAGGTAGTTTGCGATGTATTCTCCAATTATTCAACACATTTCGGAGGAAGATCAACAGCAGGCCCAGTGCAGCCAGTGTGGCTATATGAATGACCGCCATAGGTTTTTCAATACTTTAAATCCAACTCATGGAGATTTCAGCTGAGGATAAAGACAAAGTGAGAAAGCCTTTGGGAGATACCGAAGTATAAAATGCTAACGGTACGATAATATATACATGTACTCTGGGGATACGTGCATCACAAGATATCAAGTCGGCCGACGTACTATATATATGTAGATGTCCGGACAAAAAACTGGTATTGACCGAGATGACACAATAAGAGTTTAGGAAAGTCATGATTATCATTTTCTAAGGGACATTGATTGATTCCACTGGTCATTTGCGATTTCGCTGCTTACACATTTCATTGGAATGTTGCTCGTATGCTATCCTCCAATGATGATGCATTCCCCTCCCTCCACACACTCATAGAGATCTATAGCCTAGCTAATACCTGCTTATTATTCTCCTCAATCCGAAATCGCGGAAATAACTCTTCAGCCGCACCGCGGGAAATCTCCTTCTCCCTCTGCCTTGTGTGCGCAAAGAACTCCTCCATCATCCCAACATACTTGTTAATGGTCTCAACTGGAGCATAGGGGAAGTCACTGCCATATAACACATGACCTGTCTTTGCAAACCCATTTTTTCCCACCAGTAACTCTAAATTCCCGTGGTTCCCACAGAGTGCGAGATCAAGATAGAAACCCCTTGCCTGCTCTAGGAATGTCTCTGGGGTAATCTCAGTCAGCCCTGCGTCATATAGCAGATTCGCCGCCCGAGTTGCGACAAAAGGCAATGTACCACCTCCGTGAGACAGTATAATTCTCACATCGGGGTTCTTGGAGATAGTCCCCGAGGTGATCAGATCCACCGCCGTTCGGCATGTCTCGTGCGGATAATCAATGATTGGCTGAGGTATTTTCGCATTGACCAACTCTGGCTTTTTCTGGGTTTCCGAGGCGGTGTTTGTCGGATGGATGAAGACCACTGCCTTTCGGCGGTTCAACTCCTCCCAGAGTGGTGCAAACGCAGAATGACCGAGATACCCAGTTCCATTATAACGTGTGAACAAAGTGATTCCATCTGCTTGAAGGATATCAAGAGCATAGGTAAGTTCCTCGATCGCCGAGGGGATGGTCTCTGGTGTCAGATGCGGGAGACTAGCGAAGAAACCAAACCGACTTGGATATTCCTGATGAAGTTGAGAGCCGTAGAGATTTATTTCCCGGGCGAGGCTGGCGGATTTCACCGGAGAGTCAGATAGGATAGAGGTGCCCGGTGCGGTGAGGGAGAGAATGGCTGTGCGAGTGGAGTGGGAGGTCATGAGGGACAGGGTTGATTCTGGGGTCCATCTTGGGAGATGCCAGCCAGAGGGGTCACCAAGGGTTGAGTTGAAGGCTATAATTTGGTTAATTATGTCTCTATGGAGAAATGAGGGATAGAATAAGATACCCTGAAGATAGGCAGGGGGAATGAAGTGGTGGTGCACGTCGATACGGTCCATGGTGACGGGTGTATAACTTTACTGTGTATAGGTTTATGGACGGATGAATGAAATTAACTCATGAGATATATTGAACTTATGAGATATATGTTGATCGTAAGGTCGTACAAGTAAAGGCAAGGGATGTACCTGGGCGGCCGAGCAGCAACATAGCCGATACTCTGCTCGGCCGGAGAACCTACAGCTTAAGGCTGACCGCTGGTTTGGCCGGTGTGACAATCACTTCACACACTCGGTAGTAAATGAACTGCCCTTGTCTGCTGCTCCATGATCTAATGCAGCTCCAGCATCATGTTTGCCAGGGAAACGTGATAAACTCGCACCACAAACAGCTCCAACAAGGAAACCCCTGTCAAATATAAGCCCAGCTTAATATTCGACTTGAAAATTCGGCCACCCGAGCGTCGATCAGTTAGATCCAATGACAATATATGCCATGGCATACTCACCATCCATACACCGAGTCCCATCACCCAAAAGATGAGCGACATATCCGCCCGTAGCGCGGTGACAGCAAATAGCAGTACCTGCAGAGCCCCGAGGACCGCTAGCAGAAGCTGGACATTGTTCCCCATCAGCACGGCGAGTGATTTCACACCTATCTTCTCGTCGTCCGGGCGATCCTGTGTCGCATAGAAGACATCAAAGTAGACAACCCATGCCGCTGTGGCGAAGAACAGAGGAAGTGCCTGGTCCAGATTCTTCAGATCTCCAGTAATTCCCACCCATCCAGGAAATACGGCACCACCAATTATCGCCCCAAGAACGACTTGTGGGAATGGCATGATGCGCTTCATGAATGGGTAGATTGTGCTCAGCACCCATACTGGAATGAAGCCCGCTGTGACGGCCGGACCCAATGTACCCCAAGTAATGGAGAGTGTGATAGGCAACCAGCAGATAAATGCCACGATGGCCTCAGAGGTGTTAATCATTCCAGCTGGTAGAGGGCGGATCTTGCATCGCTCCACGTGTTTGTCGAGTTTTTGATCACAGATATCGCTGATGCACTCGTTAGCGAGAGATAGACATGCCTTGCGTTCCCTTTCACACATACTTGTATGTACAAAATGCACAATGTGTAGCTGTCACGCTTGCCCAGATGCCGAAGAGTAAACGGAGGAATGGCGTCAGTTCCAGCGACACATCTCGTATACCCGCAGCCACACATGCCCCCCAGATGGCTGGATACCAGCATAGCCAGGCTTCACGGGTGTGTAATCTGGCCAGTTCCCATACACCACGAGGCACATTGCGCTGGGAGTTAGGGCTAATAGAGACAGTCATACTGAGGATGTTATGCGGGACGAGGGCTTCAATGAAAGATCGTTATGGAAGACAAGTTGAGAGAAGGAAAAGCAAAACTTCATATCCCCGGTTGTTAAAAGATACATTTCAAAGAACCACCTCTCTGTATCACTCGGGACACTTGGGGCCGGTCTCGTTGGTTCTAAGCCGGGTCGCGTCAGGCATCGCGTCAGGGTAGAAGTGATTTCACCTCGGCCGATAGCTGACCACTCAAGTCACACTCAGCTATGCGATTTCGGTAAAGAGTGATACCGGCCGATAGCGGCCCAGTCAACCAGGCCGGATGCTGCACTGCAATCCTATTGATGGTAGACGAAGTATCGTTATTGCGACATTGTAGAATATTCATACTAATACATAGAGGGAGAGTTATATTGGTTTGAGTTCACTGCGCGGGAGATTCAAATATTCAGATCAACGTGTTTAATAATTTTTTTATCATAGACTATACATTACACAGGATAATGATTGCTTCGATCGGGAGGACAGAGGTCCTCACCTCCACTGAGAGTTCCAACGATAGCAAAGGCACAACGACTCCTGCAACCAGCACCGAGGAAGCTGAAATGCAGGGTGATCTCCCCCAGAATGATACGAGTGACGATGTTGCGATAATTGGCATGGCATGTCGCGTACCAGGAGACGTGAAGTCACCATCCGCATTGTGGCAGTTCATACTCCACAAAGGTGATGCTTCAGGCGACATGCCCTCTTGGCGCTGGGATCCGTATCGAAAGCGCCATTCTCGTAACGCGGCTGTACTGGCTCAAACCACTGCCAAGGGATACTTCCTCAATGACATCGACCAGTTTGATGCTGCCTTCTTCGCCATCTCCCCGCGCGAGGCGGAGCAGATGGACCCCCAGCAGCGCATTGCCCTTGAGGTTTCCTGGGAGGCATTGGAAGATGCAGGCATCTCTCCTTCCTGCCTTGCAGGTTCAAATACATCCGTATACATGGGTGTCAACTCTGATGACTATGCCAAGCTGGTCTTGGAAGACCTTCCCGACATCGGGGCCCATATGGGTGTGGGCACAGCTTATTGCGGCATTCCCAGCCGTATATCCTATCTGTTAGACTTGATGGGCCCCAGCGTTGCACTGGATGCGGCCTGTGCCTCATCCCTAGTCGCCGTACACCATGCCCGACAGGCTATCCGTGCCGGCGAGACTGATCTAGCCATTGCAGGTGGTGTCAACGCACTCCTGGGACCTGGATTGACCCGGGTGCTAGACAAAGCAGGAGCCATTTCCGCAGATGGAAAATGTCGCTCCTTCGATGACTCTGCTAGCGGGTACGGCCGAGGCGAAGGAGCGGGCGTGGTGATCCTAAAGCGTCTGGATAAAGCTATCACGGACGGCGATCGGGTATTGGCGATACTAAAGGGCAGTGCGGTGGCCTCAGATGGCAAGACGCTTGGGATCATGGCCCCCAACGCGCAGGCACAGCTTCTCGTTGCCCAAAAGGCGCTTAAAGAGGCAAAGGTGACAGCCAACTCTATCAACTATATCGAGGCCCATGCAACTTCCACATCTCTTGGTGATCCCACAGAAACGAGCGCCTTGGCTGAGGTATATGGTGTGGGATCTGGAAGGCAACCATCCAACCCGTGCTATATCGGTTCCATTAAGCCGAATATCGGCCATTTGGAAGCTGGTGCTGGTGTCATGGGTCTTATCAAGGCGGTACTTGTGCTTCGCCATGGCCAGGTGCCTCCGCAAGCCAATCTGGAAACATTGAATAGCAAAATTGCATGGACGGAGAGCTTACTACGCCCGCCCCGGGAACTGGTGACGTTGCCTCATGGGAGCCCATCAAGACCATTGCGGGCGGCTATAGCATCATACGGATACAGCGGCACAGTATCGCATGCGATTATCGAGGCCTTTGAGGAGCGATCCTTGTCCACTGGTCCACTAGTTCAGATTCCAGGAAGTGATGCTACGCCAGTCCTCCTTCCCTTATCCGTGCCTCAAGCAAAGCGAATTTTAACAACAGCTAGCGGCCTAAGTCAGTGGTTACGTGAAAATGATGGATCGGTATGCCTAGCGGCAGTCGCCTCCACGCTATCTCAGCGCCGCGCACATCATCGCTTTCGCCACGCGATTGTTGCTGAGTCCGTCGCAGATGCCATCGCTACTCTCGACGATGTGGCCAAGGAGGTGACAAATCGCTGGGCGATCAACAACCGAATTGGAAACGAAGCGACCAAAGGCCCAGTATGGGTGTTCTCGGGCCATGGTGCGCAGTGGCCTGACATGGGTCACGAATTATTCCACTCTAACCCGGCATTTGGGGAAGTGGTGCGCAACCTAGAGCCAATTATTGAATCGGAATTAGGGTTCTCCGCGATTCAAACCCTCCACACCGGCTGTCCAGATCGAACTGATGTTATCCAGGCGATGACATTCCTCATGCATCTAGGCATTGCCGCCGTGCTCGAGGCGGAGTCGGGTCCTCCTGCCGCTGTCGTGGGCCATTCCCTGGGCGAGGCCGCCGCTGCTGTGGTCTCAGGGGCTCTTACTTGGCATGAAGCAGCGATAGTGGTATGTCGGCGAGCGCGTCTTTACCGTGAGTTCATGGGCAAAGGTGCCATGGCCCTGGTTCGGCTACCAGCTTCCGAGGCCCGTGCGCGTATCGCCACGCACCCCGGCGCGTCCGTCGCAATAGAAGCATCGCCGACCGCGTGCGTGGTATCCGGTACTGTTGACGCGGTCCAGCGAATATCAGAACAATGGTATGAAGAAGGTATCGAGGTGCGCGCTGTCGCCACAGATGTGCCCTTTCATACGCCACTGTTGGAGAAGCTGGCAGCTCCCCTGTGTGACGCGCTCAAGGGCGAGCTCCACCCCCAGGTGCCGCATCGGGCGCTCTATTCGACTTCGCTAGTAGATTCACGCTCAGAGGCACTACGCGATGCAGAATATTGGGTGATGAATATGGTCCAACCGGTCTTGCTGCAGTCGACAGTGGCAGCACTCGTGGACGATGGATTCCGCGCATTTCTGGAGGTGGCAAGTCATCCCATCATGACACACTCGATCGTGGAGACTATCGACGAGCGGACAACAGACCGCTTTATGGCGACACCCACTATGGTGCGTAAACAACCGGCACTAAAGAGCATCTTGGCCGCTGTGGGCCGTCTGCATTGCTTCGGCTGCTTTGTGAAAACTACAGACCTTGACCCAACTGCGCCATGGAATTCATCAATGCCCGGTACCATTTGGCATCACCAGCCATTCTATCGTGCTGTTAGCGGGATGACGGCTACACAGCTCATATCAACACATAAACCTACGGCCAATGACCTATTAGGTACTCGCACCGCGCTGTGGGGAACGGACGAAGTGGTGTATCAAACGCGCCTCGATGAAGATAATCGGCCTTTCCCTGGCCGTCACCCACTGCATGGGTCAGAGATCGTGCCTGCGGCTGTGCTTTTGCACACATTCCTACGCGCACTCTCTCCCATGAGCGTGGAGGATGTGTCGCTCCAGGTGCCTGTGGTAGTGTCTCCGGCCCGCGAGATCCAGATCCGGCATAATACGCGTAATATCACTATCACGTCTCGTCTCGAGGAGTCAACAAGCAAAGAAGATGGCTCATGGCTTGTTAATACCACTGCGACGTTGGGCGCGGCTAATGCAGTCCCCTCCGTCAGCCACATCAACATAGCGCAGATCAAGAAGAGGGTACCACAACAGCTGTCGGACAGCTTCTCGATGGACTACCTTGCCTCTGTAGGCGTGTCTGCCATGGGATTCCCATGGCGGGTAGCTCAACATATGGCCAGCGAGAACGAGATGCTGGCTAGGGTAGACGCCAATCCGGACAGTATGCCCGGCATGGACGATCTTTTGACGTCTGTCATGGATGCAGCAACTTCCATCGCTTCAACACTCTGGCGCCATGCGCCCAGACTCCGCATGCCAACAGCCGTCCGTCGTGTCGTGGCCGTTGAGGTTGCTACGCCCCAAGTCGTGTACATCCACTGCACGAAGGCGCGATCCTCTGTCGACGAAGCCGATGTATTAATCAGCAGCGAAGATGGCACCATTCTGATAGAAATCCAGGGTATGACTTTCGCCGGTGTCGAGGGCGAGTCACTGTCACGAAAAGGTACCTTCGGCCTGGTGCACCATATCAACTGGCCGCCGGCCGCGCTGGTTGAAGAGCCTCTGCAATTTGCACACATCGCCTTTCTGGCACCAGATGCCACCAACTCTCACATAGAAACCTACCAGCTGCAGCTCAAAAGTAGAGGTATCTCTACCTCTATCCATGAGCATGCTTCCGACTTGCCCTTGACAACTCATCCGTCTCTGGCTGTCATCTACCTTCCTCAAGTAGGTGATCAAATATTCGAGACAGCCACTAGCGCCTGCAACGGCCTCGTATCAGCAGCTCAGATGATCCTATCCTCCTCGTCTAAACCCACCACGCGCCTCTTCGCCCTCACCGCCGAAACCAATTTAGGCCATAGTGCCCTCATAGGCCTCAGCCGGATTCTGCACACCGAACACCCCGAGATCTGGGGCAGTCTAATCCAACTCGAAGACCCCTTGGTCTTCCCACTTATTGCAATGCGCTACGTGCGCGATGCCGATGTCATCAAGATCCAGGACGGGGTCCCGCGCACTGCTCGACTCCGTCCACTCCGCTCCGCCCCGCTCCACCCCACCATTGGACCTGCTCCCCTCACATTCTCCCTGGCATCTACATATTTAATTACCGGCGGACTTGGATCGCTTGGTCTCTCCGTCGCCCAATGGATGGTCACACAAGGCGCGAGACGTATCTTGCTCCTTTCTCGTCGTTCTCTACCCCCGCGCTCCACTTGGACCGCCTCCCATAACCCTGAGACTCAGTCCATCATTCAAAGTATCCTCTCACTTGAACGCCTAGGCGCTACTATCCATTCCCTGGCTATTGATATTTCCCATTCGTCTGCGGTTACCAACTTGCGCTCGGCCCTCACCACACTCAACCTCCCACCCGTCGCCGGCGTGATTCACGCCGCTGGCATCATCCGCGACCAGCTTGTGGAGCAAATTTCTCCTGATGTCTTTGATGCCGTCCTTGCGCCGAAGATCGCTGGCGCTTTGACGCTCCACACCGTCTTCCCTCCCAACTCCGCTGGCCTGGACTTCTTCGTCCTCTTCTCTTCTTGCGGCCAACTCCTGGGATTCCCCGGTCAGGCGTCGTATGCGAGTGGTAATTCCTTTTTAGATGCTTTGGCACGGTCACGGAGACACGATGGAGACAATGCCATCTCGCTCCTTTGGACCTCTTGGAGGGGTATGGGGATGCGAGCTAGTTCCAATGGAGCCCTAGAGGCGGAGCTGTATGCCCGTGGAATTACGGATGTGACCCCTGAAGAGGCATTCCGAGCTTGGAGTGCTATATCTGCGGTCGAGGGTGCTGATCATGGTGTTGTTCTTCGAGCTCGGCCGCTTGAGTCTGGAGAGCCGTTGCCACATGCGATTCTGAGCGATATCGTCACGAGGAAAGACAGATCGATGGATATGGAGATTGGAGAGAAGAGAGAACAGAGGAAGAAATTGACTGGCAAAGAACTGGTGGGGTACTTGCAGGCCGTTGTGAAAAAGTGTGTCTCGATGACATTATCGATCCCCCGGGATGAGGTAGATGAGGCAGTGGCGTTGCCAGAGATGGGCATGGACTCTGTCATGACGGTCAATTTCCGTATGATCTTGCAACAAACGCTGACGTTGAGTGTTGCGCCAACTTTGGTATGGAAGTATCCTACGGTACACCATTTGGTTGAATATTTCTGCCAGGTGTTGGAAGAATAGTTCGGATATTGTACTGTCGAAAGCATGTATATACATATGTAGCTACTACATACATTACTTCTCCTAATCTGACAAACCAGAGCTGTAGAATATATCACCAGCTATAAAGCTAGGTAATCTCATTGAGGTATATCGATCTATACAAACCCGTCGCAAACAGTATCACTAACTACAAAACCAGATTGAAATATTACTATCTACACCTAATCCTGCCGCCGTTTAGTCAACGCCAGGAACTCTCCATGGAACTGCGGCACAACCATATCATCCCATTTCATATCCTCCACAATTGTCCCTACGAGGTCCAAATCGAATCGGCGCACAATATACGCGATGGCCATGTACATCTCCATATACGCAAGACTACACCAGAAATCCGTTAGTCGCACGTCTTTCTCGAAGTACCGGGGGGCGCGTACTTTATTCCCAGACAAGACCGACTCCCTCGTGAAAACGGGACCAGGAACTTAGCTCTCTCCGCCGCCACCTCTGGCCCTTGCAGCCAACGCTGTGGATCAAACACGCGGGGATTCTCGAAGATTGTCTCATTGTAGTGGATATGGTAGATGGCCATCCCGACCCGGGTTCCCGCTGGGATGAAGCGACCGTCCGGAAGGCGGACACCGCCTGGGGGAACGAGACGGGGAGTGCGGGAGGCTGCGGGAGAGGAGTATCTGAGGCCCTCTTTTATCACGGCTGTCTGTTTCGTGCCATATCAGCGTTAGTATGGGTGTTTTGTATAATGTGCCTTCTCGGAGTCGAGAGAGGGGATAGAAAGGACCAACCAGATATGGCAGTGCCTCAAGCTGAAGATATGAGACATGGGAATTAGGCTTCGGCATAAGAGTTTTCAGCTCCGCCAGCAGACGGTCATGTATTGTACGATCATTGAAGATATTGAAGAGGGTGACTGTGTTGGCAATTCCGGTGGTGTCATCCCCAGCGGAGATCACAGTAAGAAGCTCGTCACGAAGACCTTGTTTATCAGGGACTACATAGCCCTTCTCGGGAAGGGGAATGAGCATACGCTCCATGAGTGTGGGGAAGGTAGGGGTTTTCCCCGCTGCTGCCGCGGCGATATACTCGTCGATGCGGCGAGTTGCAAACTGGATAGAATGAATTAGTACTGATGTGTTCAATAGGGAATTTATAGGTCGAGCGTACCTGTTCCAACTCGTGGCCCATCTCAACAGAATGTGAGATTCTTTTCGCAATCCACAAAGGCAGCGAGCTGAGCAGTCGCACAAAAGGAAAAGCTTTTATCACATGTAGACTAGGTAGAAATTGCTGGAAGACACGTACAGGGAGCGACTTGAACTCTGGATCAGAAAGGGCGTCGAGGGATTGACCGAAGGCAAATTGAGAAACCATATCTAAGCCGTTCAATTAGATCAAGGGGTAATTCCAGTATTGCAAGCAAAGATGCATACCCATTGCCAGAGACTTCAACGCCCATTCCATTGAGACAGGCTTTCCCTGAGCGAAGGTCTCGTCAAATCGCTGTGAGCAGTGGTCAACATGCTTCATCAGCATTGGCTCGAGGCTAAGTATGTTCTTTTTAGAGAACAGAGGCTCTAGTGGCGCCTTTCGCTGCTTATGTCGCACTGGGTCACTCTCGGCCAGCGTGCTCGACGGCGCTCCGAGAACCTTGTGCATCGAGGGGTCTTTGTAGTACCGACTACCCGGTCGGTACAGCTCGTGGTAGAAAGCTGGGTCGTAGATATGCACCTCATTAGGACCCATGCGCAATGCAGGTCCTAGGCGCTTATGCATCTCTTCGAGCTTAAACAACGTCTGTCCTTTGTGGCCGGGGCTGAGCCCGATATTCCAATAGGCTTCCCAGCTACAGTGTATAATTAGCAAATTAGCAAACCTGGCCTCCAATATAAAAGTGAGTACGCACTATTCTCCCAAAGCGGCCCATGGTGAACCTGGAAAAGCGGCCAGCGGACTGAAGAAGATCAAATAGATAGCACGGATGGCATGATAGATAGCGAAAGCGCCCGCTGCAATTAGCCAGAGGCTCACAGGGAACACAGATACAAAATTCATTGGATTTTACCGACCAGCAATAATACCCAACTCTGTATATGTCCAGTTATATTTAACTGTGCTGCTTCTCTCCCCGATCGGCCGAATACGACACAGCCCGATGACCGAAAGTTCCGAGACAGCCCTAAAAGCAACATAGACAAGGCCAAGCCTGGGTAGAAGATCTCCAGTTCTGTACAACTACTCTCAGCATGGCCGGGATGAATTCCTCTTGGATGACTGTGGCTTTGGAAACTAAGCTATTGTCCCTTAACAGCGGACACTACACAGCCCTGGCCTTTATCCTCGCCATCTGCATCCCACAGTCACCTCAGGGAACTACACTTCGCCATGGATTGCTTCTCCTTCAGGCTACATGTGCAGTACAAGCATTCTTTGCTCCGCCACCTCCAGTACTGGAACCGGCACTCCTATACTCGTCGGGTGTGCTCATGGGCAACATGCTAGCACGCTACTTTGACCGACTATATACGACCGTCCCGGAGAAGACATTCCATCGGCTCACTGACAAAACCCCTGAGAGTGCAACTAGGCTTTCAGCCTCTCAGCGCTTTGTCTGGGGCTTGGAACTTTTTAGCGTCACCCGCGGGATTGGCTGGAACTGGCGCGTCGCCGGTATTCCCAAGTCTCCAGCACCAACTACCAGATTACGATTCGTCGCATCCCAGCTCATCAGATGGATTGCCATGTATGCGGCTTTACACCTCGTCGATGTGACCTGTCGGCTTGTCTTGTCAAACCAAAACCCGGTCCTCTCATTTGCCGACAAGGTGCAAATCTATGCCTTAATTGTGGGCGGCTGCGCGATGACAATATATAGCCATTTTGGTATTCTTATACTTCCACTTTCGGCTCTTTGTGTCGGCCTGCAAGTTGGCCCTCTCTCGTGGCATGATGCTGCCTCCTGGTCCCCTAATTTTGCGAGCCTGACCGAAGCATACAGCATTCGTCGATTCTGGGGACACACCTGGCACCAGCAGCTGCGACGACAGGCAGGTGCGCCCGGGGAGTACCTCATTAGCATGCTACCAGACAGCATGATGACGTCCAAGTGGACTCCTGTTCGGTTAGCGAGGCGGTACTCACTCCTCTTGATGAGTTTCTTTGTCTCGGGATTGATTCATGCGTGTGGAACCTACCAAGTGACACGAGCGCTTGGCCTGCCGTTGTCGGATGGTGGGGAGATAAAGTACTTCCTTTTACAGGGGGTCGCAATTATCGCAGAGGATCTGGGTTGTTGGATATTGGGTGTTGATGATCGGGGAACAAAGCCTGGGGGGATGCGACTGTGGGTAGGTTATGCGACCACGCTTTCTTGGTATGTCTGTAGTCGCGTACACCTCAAGGGTGTGCCCATAGCGCTGGGAATGGGGATTCGGCATGGCAGGGGGACCTGCTAGCTGCGTTGGATCATGTTCAGCAGTCTGCTGCAGTTGTGCCAGGCAATTTTGTGGCGAGGGCATGGGAGTTGATTCGGTGATTTCTTGATGAGTATAGAGTTACTATATATGTGGAAGATAGGAGATGGAACATTCCATTTATATATAACAGTATAATAGTTGGAATAGTTAGGAAGGATTCGTGCTAGATACTAAAGCCTTGACTTCCGGTTGAATATGGTAGATGTTGACGAACATCTCAGGAACACATAGAACACTCTCTGGATAGCCTATTTGAGCTCAAAAGGAAGGGTCGTCAATTTGCCCATCTCTGCAATTGTCTCATCCCACAGTTTCTTCTGAATCTCCTGGCCCGCTGGTGACTGGATGAACGCCCCTTTCCTACAGGGGAAGGCGAATCAGCTATTGGTAAAAAAAACTTTTTTTTGGGAAAATGGATAGAGAACACTTACTCTTCGATGGCCTTGTCGCCCAAGAACTTGCCGTGGGACTCAGGGCCTACCACCAGTGCACTATGCAGGATAATCCAGCCACCCACCTCAACAGGCCTGGCACGAAACGACTTGACAACGTTCACAATTAAGCGCAAAGGCAGGGGTAAAACATCGCTCATGCTAGTATTCACCATACCCGGGCACATCATGTTGATGACGACTTTCCTAGGATCCACCCGCGGGGCCAGGCTGTACATGAACATTGCGCAAAGTAGCTTCGAGTCTCCATAGCGCTGGAACGGGACGAAAAACTCGTCCTTGTCCATATGCTCAAGCACACCCTCACCGGGCTTGATAGGAGCTTTCTTCTCGAGGCTTGTGCTCTCCTGCGCGCGACTGCCAACCCAGCTAATGCGTGCGGGGGAGCCGGTCTTCTCCGCACCAGCCTCAAGATACGGCAGGAGCTCAGCAATCAGTAAAACGTTAGAGTAGTAGTTGACTTGGGTGGTCCGGTCATGGCCACTTGGGCTGCGTTCTAGCTTCAGCAGACCGATACCTGCATTGAGAATGAGGAGATGGACCACCGGAATCTCTTCGCGAAGCTGCTTTGTGAACTTCCGTACGCTGGCGTAATCATCCACATCAAGAGCCATGACCTTGATCGTCGGATTGGGGTTGTGGGTTTGAATGCGACGGTCCTGGCGGAGGGACGTTGCGCAGGCCTCGCCTTTGGCGACATTACGCACAGCGAGAATCACAGTCGAAGCGCGCAGCCGCAACAGCTGTCTGGTTGTTTCTAGACCCATTCCAGCACTCGCACCGGTAACGACAACGGTTTTACCCGTTAGGTCAATGCCCGTAGGCAGGGGATCGATTTTCGGCTGGATGATGTTGACCATGATGGGGGTGAAGTAAGGAATGAGATGTGAGAATCGAGGTCACCAATGTGAAGAGCACAATAGATGATAGAGGAGAAGAGGTACTGAGGTAGTCATACTCGAATTACTTTTTCTATCACAAGCTACGCTGGTATCATGTACTCCAGGGCTTCTTTGTCGGATTGTTCAGCGCAGCTGACAAACGATGGATTCAATGATGGGTGACTCAGCATTCGGCCGACGCCAACCCCAAAAGGGAAGTTCAAGGGGATGAAGACCGAGACAACGTCGCCCGAATGAACACGACCAAATGTCTTTCTCGTCTGATATGCAGTCGACATTGAACTATTGTGTGTTATCTCATTTCAGAAAAATGAGAGATGAAAAAGAAACAGCAAATATGTAAAGCACGCGGTTTATCCCATTTGAGGTTCCCTCCTCTCTCACCCACATAGCTAGACATGGCTCCCTGCAAACCTCGTACCTTCACAGCCGGTCAGGATCCACTGACCAAATTTGATGGAGCTATTTCTGTCCGTAATCTGCCCAGGCCCCCGGACCGCTTGTTCGAGTTTCAGGGTATCATGAGGCCAAGTCGCGGTATCTATGCCAAGCTGATCGCGACCGGCCAAAAACCCCCCACACATTTCCATCCCTCCCAGTGGGAATTTTTCCGTGTCCTCCGTGGGAACCTTACAATTGATTTCAATGGCTGTCCCCTTCACCGGACCCCTAGTGATGGCGAACTGGCGGTGCCTCCATATACCCATCATGTCATTTATGGAACCCCGGGGAAGGAGATGAACGAGGTAGAATTCATCGTGAGTGCCAGTGATCCCACTGCAGAAGACGAGGGTGCCACTTTGATGGATCAGCCATTTTTCGAGAATTGGTATGGGTACCAAGAGGATGTTTTTCAACGAGGGGAGAAATTAGATTTCGTGCAGGTTCTTTCAGTGGGCAAATTATCCTCCCCTAGGAAATATTCGAAGACTCACAGATATAGATGTTTGATGCCGGAGGCACTTATCTGTCTCCGCCGTGGTGGGTGCCCTTCCGATCCTGGATCGGGCTGTTTCTCGGCATCGTGGTGGGCCGGTGGATCGGCGGGCTACTGGGCTATGCACCCTTTTATCCTCAGTGGACGACCGACTGGCAGGCAGCTTGCGAGACTATGCAGAAGAGCTGGTTCCACCGTCAATTTGCGGATCCAGAGGTACAGCAACGAGCGCGAGAAAGGTTTCGCGAGCAGTTAGAGCAGGAGGCATCGGCCAAGGGGGAGAAGTCGCAGTAGATAAATTTCTTGGGGGAGGGTACTGCATTCATTCACATATCAAGATAGACAGAAAGTCCTCCACAAATTGACTGCAATCTACACACAGGAAATACGCCGTTATGCCGAGCCATGGACAACTACCTACATACTTGTACGTAACCTTGATGTCTAGGATTTCTACTCCTTATCAATGTCTCCTTTTTCCCTTGATATTAGCCACAGAGTCCTGCTGCTTCTCCAGACTTTGCACATAGGTGTAGACCACAGCATATACCATGTCAGACCCGATACTACCCAGCAGCAAAAACCGCCCGTAAGGGCTCCACGCATATCCAAATCGCTCGGGCCAGTAATATACGCGCCAAAAAAAGCAACAAGCAGCCGCAATAGTGCCTAACATTCTTGCCCACCTGCTTATCCTGTAAGTGCGAGATTAAGGTGAGTATATTGAAGAGCTATCCACTCACCAAATTCCCCAAGAATGACCGAGGGTATTTCCACGCGACAGAAGCTGGGCGATTGAGCTGAAATTGATAAGAACCTGCATGGGCCAGGCAGTCATGAAAACAACCTGTCGACCAATACTCGGGATAAACGTGGCCGCGATTGCCAAGTGCAGCCACAGACAGATCACGCATCCGACCACAATTATACCTGCAAGATGCTGCGCTACCAGGGGTGACTGCTTCCAGGCATATGGGGCCGATCGGAAAATTGCATAGAAGAGGACCACGTCGACAATCATCCATTGTGCGAATACGACTTGATTCAGCAGCCCCGGGCCGTACACAAACCCGTAAACTGCCTCCCATGTGATGTTCAAGCACAGGCAGTGGAGAGGCATTGCGTAAGACCGATCCTTGAAAGCCATCTTGGCCATTAATATGTACGAGATAGACCATAGGATTCCTGAGATGGCAGTGAAGCCATCGGGTACCGACTTTGCATGCCAGTACGGTGCTGGGGTATCGTTGTAGTCGCGATTGGCCGCTGCCCACTCCTCGAGCGCGAAGAAGCCCATTTTGTTCGAAGTTCTGAATAGTAGATGTGTGAGAGATATAATTTGATGCTGCATGTACTTGTGTAGCCATATATCATTCCAACTTTGGTATTCATATACACAGAGCGAGAGAGAGGTACGTCGGCCGAGCTAGTTCGGTAGTCCGAGACATCACTAGTCAGACACGAGACTATCGATCATTCCATCATCGAACTCGAGTGTGAGAAGAAAAAAAGAAAGATAAAAAGCGAACTGTCTGCCTTACCATGCATTCAGAATCACGCGATGCATGCAAGGTCCCGCGAGAGACTGCAGATCGTAGAGCTATAAAAGACTGGTATCGCATATTACTATAACTAGTCAGGTGACATCAATCAGCATGGCCAAGATTACCTCGATAATAGGAGTCCTTTTGGGTGCGTGGGCCACAACCACCGCAACCTCCATCCCAACTCGATCCCCGGCTGCTGCTGCTCTCTCCTCGCTAGGTGTTTCTCTTCCAGCTGGTGATGTTCTCATCGGAAATGCTGGTTACACCTGTAGTCTCTTGAATCACATCTTTTCCAAGAACGAGACTTTTACAGTGACTTCGCCTTACTATGACGTTTTGATCGACGAAGCGTGGTCGCAGAATTGCCGATTGAATGCGTCCTGCGTTGTGACACCTGATTCCGCTCAAGAGGTCTCTCGCCTGTTGCAGATCCTCAGCATTCTGGAGACAAAATTTGCCATTCACTCCGGCGGACACAATACCAACCCAGGATTCAGTTCGATCGGTCGCAATGGAGTCTTGATAGCTCTGGAGAAGTTGAGCACCATTTCCATAAGCGCTAATCGCAAAACTGTCACTGTTGGGCCTGGTAATAAATGGCGGTCTGTATACAAGTTCCTCCAGCCGTATAATGTCACAGTCTTGGGAGGCCGTGAAGCTGTCGTTGGCGTTGGGGGGTACATTCTCGGTGGTGGGTGAATAAATCCTCGTTCAAATCTAGATGCATCAAGACATTGACATAGTCAGGTGGCCTCAGCACATTTTACAACACCTATGGGTTGGCTATTGACAGTGTCACCCGATTTCAGGTGGTGCTCCCTAATGGAAATATTGTCAACGCCACCCAAACCGAGAATGCCGATCTATATAAGGGCCTTAAGGGAGGCCTGAACAACTTCGGTGAGACTGATATTGTCCATCAAACCATATTTCAATCACCTAATTGAAACAGGCATCGTGACTGAATATGATCTCATCACCAACACCGGCATCAATATCTACTACGAGATCAACACGTACACCATTTCCAACACACCCGCCGTACTTGCGGCCTATGCAAAGTATCTTTTGGATCTCGATATCAATAGTAACGTGGAAATCCAGGTCAACCCCACCTATACTTTGGTTTTCTACGGCTATCTGGGCCATGTATCCACACCCGCAACTTTTGGTCCATTTTCTGGCATACCCGTAGCCTCGACAATTTACCCACCGACAAACGGCTCCCTAAGTGAGCTTCTCCTCACAATTGGTTCCGCCGGGCTGACATCTGAGGGAGTATCCTACAGCAGTACCTTCACGTTTAAGGCTACTGGGCCGAAATTCCTGCAGGATACCCACTTGGCCTATCTCGAGGCCGCTGCCTCTCTGCCCTCCGGTGCGGCTCTCTCTTACGTACCTCAAGGGATCATTCCGAACCTAGTGACTCGAGGAAAGTCACAGAATGGAGGAAATCTGCTAGGTCTAGAAGCTACACCTCAGCTCTGTGAGTATCCTCTTCTGCTCATATTCTAGTAGAAATCTCTAATCAGTGTCTCGCCTAGGGATGAATATCTTTGTCCAATTCCCAGCAACGCCCAATCAATCAGAGGTGGCAGGTACTGTGGACTCATTGTTGGCCAATCTCACCTCCAGCGCAAAGTCGGAGGATGTTTTCCTCCCCTACATCTTTGTCAACGACGCAGGCCCCAACCAGAAGCCGCTGCAGTCATTTGGGGAAAGCAATATCAAGTATATTGACGCAGTTTCAAAGAAGTATGATCCCCAGAGAATCATGCAGAAGCTACAAAACCAGGCATACTTTGTTTCGAAGGAGTTGTAAAATACTAAAGCAAAATTTTGTCCATCCATATAATATCCAGGCACACTTTCACTGACCCCCTCAGGCGTGTCTACACTTAGTCACAATTCTCAACCAGTATTTTTAACATACTGTGATATTCCTAAAATATTTTAAACTCCTATCAGATCGCTTTCCATAATACCATGACACTATCCAAGTACGTTCAACGTTTTTGTATTATTGTCAATAGATCACGCGATTCATCCTGTCACTATTTAATCAACTTTATAGAATACGAAACCATTAGCATTAAATAGCATTTTCAACTACACCTATTGCATCATTTTTAATGAGATAACATAGTTTGTTAGAATTGCACTACCTTACGCAGGTGGACCCTGCCGCTTTGATGGGCGGAAAGTTTGAGCTATTATCGCGGAGTATAGCTTGTTTTCCCTGAATTTGCTATTTTCATTCGTCATTAGCTACTGTAAAAAAGCCTTAATCTGGGTTGCTGAATACGGAAACCGAAGCCTAGACTTGGTCAAGCAAATATATTTTCTATGTAGGCAACAAGGAGTTCTAAAGAGGAACTTACAGGTGCTCCAATGGTTAGTACGACTGGAAGCGAAAATATATATTGAAAGAGATCGCTATAAACTCGAGAACAGTCCACGAAATCTTTTGTTCAGACGCTATAGACGGAACATCATAGCGAATCCGATCCATATATGCTACACTGATCTTAACACCCAACCCTTTCTTATTGTGTTTTTATTCACTTGTAAGGATCAATATTACTTTTAAGTACAAAATATTGGTTTTGAGGAAATGCCAAATCTACATGATCGTTGTATGGAAAACTACGCTGTTCGAACTAACAAATATATATATCGCAGTCTTGCCGTCGTAAACCCTTACCACACGCCGCAAAGAAAGAAGACATTATGTACGTAAAAAGCATTATGTATTAAGGATAACCCCGTATGCAAGTATTCTTGACACATCGAGTTGTAATCTATCCCAATTAATAGATGTATCCGACTGCGCAGCTAGCTTGTGAGCACGTTATTGTATCGTGGCCTTGGATATTTGCTAGATGTTGGTAAATGGTAGTAGTTAGATATTACCTCCTCTCTGTTTCCGTTCTTCCTCCCGTCCGTTCCATTTGATAGGAATTGATATACGTAGTTTCTCCATACGTATCTGCATTATGCTGTGGTTATTAGAGATATTCTGGGTAATGCTCAAACAGCCACATATAGATCTACTATATTTTTGTAGACTAGAATTGGCTATCGCAGGAATTTTCCACTCAAATCTGCCCTCGCATGACTTGGGGTATACATCCATAACAGAAAATGTATCCCAAGGAGCCAGAAACCCCCAATGAACGCTAAGGAGGACAACCGAGTTTGCCTTTGGCCCTCTTCTCATTGCCGTCAGTCACTTCGCTTCTTACCGACAATCCTAGACAGAGCTTTTGATTGGATATGTCCGTAGCTTTTACCGCCACATAAGTTATGGTGATCCACAGGCTCGGGTTCCGAGTACGAACATTGGATCCTACTTCAAGCTTCAATGACCTCATATACATACTGACCCACCTAATCTCGGCTTTTCGAATTTGATGTTTTGGTCCTGACAACTGAAATTCGAAAATGGCGCCCAGTGGTGATACGCTGCCATTGGCATCCCTCCCGCTTCTCGTCAACGATAAGTCAATCGTGACCGATCAGACCTTTGAGGTCAAGAATCCAGCAACTGGGACAGTGCTGCAAAAGTGCAGCACTGCCTCTGTTGAACATGATGACAAAGCTGTAGGATCGTCCCAGAAAGCGTTCACTGATTGCAACACCCGCACTCTCTATGAGTGACGAGGTATTTTATCGAAAGCGGCCGACATGATGCAGTCACGAAAAGATAAGCTCGTCTGCAATCAGATGGAAGAAGAAGGATGCGACCGTATGCCTGTAGAGATGACCTACACCGGCACGGTTAGCTTTATGCGTGACATTACGGCACGAATCACGACCATTGGGAATTTTCTCCCGAGCACTCCACACAAAGAAAGAGGGGCGATCGCGGAGAAGGAACCCTACGATGTTATTCTTTCGATTGCAATATGGTAATTTCTGGTTTTCTCGATGCATCGGTGGTTTTGACTAACATCTGCTAGGAATGCACCGTTTCACTTGGCTAGTCGCGCCGTGACTATTCCGCTTGCCGCCGGGAATACAGTGGTCGTGAAGGGACCGGAGCTCTTATATAAGTGCATTTGGGCTATTGATGATCTCTGCCCCAAGCTGGGCTGCTAGTAGGCTATTTGAATATTATTTACCACTGACCTGAAGATGCCGCGTCTGTGACAACGAGCTTACTCGCGAATCTTGCAGTCCAATTTTTTTTACAGGCAGTACGAAGGTCGGTGCTACCATTGTTTCAATAGCAGGGAAGTACGTCAAGCCAGTTTTGTTAGAACTTGGTAGACAGGCGCCCATTGTTGTGCTCGACGATGCAGATCTCGAAGCGGCTGCTTGTAACTGCGTCTTGTGAACTTTGATGAACGCTAGCTATTACAATTTGGATAATTTCCAGTCCTATAGAATTGCTAATGATAAGCTAGGCCGGAAAAATCTGCATGTCATCAGAACGCATCATTGTGTGGTGGCCAGTAGTAGACCATTTACGTACCATGTTGAAGGGAGAAGTGGATGCAGCTTATGAGGTACTGACTGGAAATTCTAATCCATCCATTTCAGCCATGACGCCAATAAATTTACAGAATGTTACAAAAAACCTGATATTTACGCCAAAGTGTCCTTTGGTCCAATTGTGTCTGCCTTCGTTATCCATAATAAAGAGGGGGTAGTGGCACTAGCACTGGCAAATGTTACCGAGCACGGTTTGACTGCTGCTGTCTTGACGGAAAATCTGCAGCATGGATTGCGAGTCGCGCAGCAAACCCAATCAGGGCATGACTCAATCGAAAGATATATTTGGATACCGAGTACTGAAACCAATCATAGCGCCATGCATATGAACACTTTGACCTCTCACAGGCGAATGGAAATCCCGCTGATTATTTAGTCGATTTGGTAGAGCTTCGTGCTATGATAAATTTCTCCAGACACGTACCACTACCTTCAATAGAGAATGGATTACGACTCATGTATCTATCTTCCTTTCATTCTATACATGGCAATTATATTATGAATGACCCCAAAGTAGGCCGAATTATCGATTTGTGAGGTGGTATTCTACCCCTAACGACAAGTTGAAAACTACCATATATTTTGTATGGTAAATTAGGTCAACTTGAAATATTAGCTGTCATAATATATCAATACTAACCGGCCTCTCGGGCTATAGAGACCAGTCAGCAGCGATAGCAACTTCATGGGCAGAGCTTCGTTTTCGATAGTCTAACCCAAGATGAAAAGGCCCTCAAAGGAACATGATCAAAGGGGCCGGCCCTGTAATATAAACTCATGAAGAATCCTTTTTCAATTGAGGTACATATATTGACAACTTGTATAAATAGACATGAAGGACAAAGACAAAATAGTATTCGTTCATAGCACATACTAGTCCAGCTCGTAATTTTGTGATCTGGTTCGAGGCACTCCAGTTTCTACTAGAATATCTCCTTTAAATTAAGTCTACGCATCGAGTTAGACATGAACTCCGGTCCCACAGAGCGTAGAGCCTAATATGACATAAATTAATAATTTCGGAGCCTCGGAATGGGCATGCATATCATTAGTCTGTTACTACGTGGCATTCGGGCATTGAACATCCCCGCTTTCTAGTATCAATTTGTACCTGCACATGTAGGTAGGATAGAGACCATCTAGAGCTTGAGAGGTGGCGGCAATGATCCACATCCTGAAACCCACCTCGGATTCCGATATAGTATCTTCTCCCGAAAATTGCTTCCCCAGCTGCAAAAAGGAAAAGAATATATATATATATATATATGAGTTATTATCTGCATTCCTTTGATTCGAACCTCAAGCCTGTTCCTTATCACTCTACAAACCTCAAGACGAGAACAGCAAACTGATCAAATCCCTACCTTTCTACCAGGCGACCTGCGTAGCCTACCGCAAATCCCCAATCTTTTTCTACCCCACATTTGCTCAAAATGAAGGAAGGTCAATCTGCGTATCCATCTACAGCTTTTCGCTGGTGGATGATGGCGTTCCCTGCTTTCCTGGTCTCTTTCTACGCCGTTCAATTGATATACAGCACTCCACCAGGCGACGCTAGCGTGAAAGCACGTATCCTGCCATCGATTTCTGGGTGGATACATATCATCGGTGGTGGCGTGGCAATACTACTGGGTCCTTTTCAATTCATTGAGAGCATTCGCCGAAAATCCCCTTGGGTACACCGATGGATTGGCCGAGTATACGTGGCAGCCATATTTGCCAGTGGCTTTAGTGGCCTTCAGATTTCCTTTCGAAGCGTGGCATATTCCATCGGTAGATATGGATTTGCAGCTCTGGCTATTGTCTGGCTGATAACCATGTTCATGGGCGTTTTCACTATCTGGAACGGTAATATTTCTGGTCATCGGGAATGGATGACACGTAATTTCTCCTTGACCTATGCGGCTGTGATGCTGCGCTGGCAACTTCCACTCTTGATGGTTTCTGGTTTGACGGTATCGGCTGCTTTGACGATCACAGGGTTCTCTTGTTGGATTCCAAATTTGATTTTCGTGGAATGGTACATTGGCAATCGGAAGAATCGGAAGTTTGCCATTGAATAAGATGAAGTATCTGTGCTGGAATGTGGCAGGAGAGGTGAATATCCCTGGTTCTCGAGAGTTTAGATAATTTTCATATCGATCATCGTTTTTGCACCTTGTGAGGACTTTCTCTGCAAATATTTGTACAAGCTGAGCTATAACAAGAATGCGCTAGAAGATTTTGCATATCAAATCCTATCCAGCCATACTAGTAAATCAAGGGACCGAAAGGCGCAGATACCTCATGCTCGATAGTTATCCAATGTCTAACCCCAGCCAATTAATGCTAAGCTCCGCTGCCTGTAATATTATACAAGATGGTTGCCTAGTTAACTAATGAAGAAAAAGCCAAACCTTGCTGGATATCGGGTTCTGATCACCTCGGCCTTCCAATTGGACTTCATTGGAGTTCTACGAATCAGGTAATTACCGACTCATATTTGAACGGGAACGTGATTTCCTACTGTTAATTGCTTTCTCACATTTCAAAGACATTCTAGCTCACCACCGTGGCAGACATTCCCCCGGGCCCGAAGTTCATTTCTTCGAGAGTTTATTTTGTTAATTATATTGCCTATTTCAATACGGATAACTTCAAGGAGTACAGTGCGTGCTATTCTCCGAATACCAAAGCCAGTCAAGGCGAAAAGAACTTCCATATTCCGTTCAACATACGAATACGCTCTAACATACATCCTTCCGATGCCTCTCAGATCAATTTTTGACAATACCTTCATCTCCTACTACAACTAAGTCAGGCCATTGTAGGAAAGAATTTCCGAGTCATTGGTTCCACAGATGTTCTCTCCCGACAAGGATGGAAAGCAGTGGTGACGTTCTTGCCGCTCTGAGATATGCCGGAGCTAAGTCGCAATTTCCTAATAGTGACTTGGCTTCCAGAACTGCTCCAAATGGTCTTCTCTGAGACATTTACCTATGAATATTTGTCAATGCCCGTGCTGATGATGGGCCATAAGCTGGTGGGAGACTACATTTATTAAAGAACCACTTATTATCAGGTGAGGCCTATGATCAATACGGTGAGCAACTCACTGAACCTTGTCAATTCAGGGGCTTAAAATCTTTTATATACAAAATGGGTATTCTTCCACGTCTATATCCTTTTATAATATCAAAATCTGAAAGCCGACGTTCCCAGGCGATGAAGAAGCCACAAATGGAAGCATAGCCACATGGGTCGTCAAGCCACAATATCCAAATTACTGCATCGGCAACTGTCCAACTCCACAACTCTGTTCATACTTGCAACGGCAAAGATGAGATCTATGATGCATCGGCAGGCTATCACAACTCTCTCATATTTGTTTCCAACGGAAGGCCTGTTAAGGTGTAGAAATACACCGCATGGCAAATTCCGTCGCCTTTCCGGCACTCTCCGCATACAACAGCCCAAGATCAAGAACATCCCCAGCTGCAGCAGACGTGGAATCATTACGCTTCCCAACAAATCACATCATGTGATATGGGAGAGTGAGATGAAAAAGGAAGCTTCTTTTGATCAAAAGGTGTTTGACTTGTCTCGTGCTTTAGCACAAAGCCGAGTAAATGATGCAACGGAGCTGCGCTGCATGGTCTTGGATGTTGATGGGTCTATCAAAGAATCTGAAACTCAAGGAACTAAGGACGATCTTGCTAAACAGTGGGGATTAGATGGACGTGATCTGCGTAACGTGGATCTTGTGTCAGAGGGAATCCCGAATTTGCTGGTCCGTCCATCCGTCATCTTTATCAGCATGTTCACCTTGCGGCTGCTAGTCCGCACTGATGGGGTGCTTCTTTTTCTTCTCCCAATTGAGGACTGCCACGTGAAGGTGCAGGATGTCTTCATGACAGACCTCCGGAGTAGGCTACAGCCCTGTCCTGGCTCGGGTCTTTTAACAAAACTCCCGTTTGAGCTACGTGTAGTGGATGCAGCGCTTGCTTCTGTGGTCGCAACTCTTGAAGCTGAACATGTTCTCATTCGTCGAGCAGTTGAAGAGAGCTTGCATGATTCAACAATGGAAGATGTTGTCCACTCCGTTCTCCGCGGGTTGCAGGATAACAGAAAGAGGCTCATGGCCATCGAACAGCGTGCCCGCCAGTTCCGCTCGGCGCTACAGGAAGTTCTCGAAGATGATGAAGATATGGCGATGATGTTCTTGTCGGATCGACAGGCAGGCCGACCGCATGAGGTAGAGGATCACCTAGAAGTGGAATATCTCCTTGAGGCATATTACAAGAACACAGACGCAATCGCAGAATCTGCAACTGCTTTACTAGGGGATTTGGAACGCACCACGGAGACCATTCAATCGATCTTGGATGTGCGACGAAATCAGATCTTGATTTTTGAGGCCCAACTGGAGATCTGTATGTTGGGATTTGCTGTGTCGACTTTTGTGGCGGGCCTGTTTGGGATGAACGTAGCGAACTTCTTTGAAGAGAGTACTTCGGCGTTTGTAATTCTTGTTGGAGCATGTGTGATGGGAACGGTCACGATCTCGAAGTATGGCCTATGGAAGCTGGATAGATTCCGAAAATTGCGATTTTAAAGCATATTCAAATAGCCGTGGGAAAAAAATCAAAATGAAAAAATTCCACAATGAAAAAAGTGTTTGCCTGTAAGTGATCTAGTCGCTTGAGACTAAATTTTAAACTGAAGACGAACAGGAGATCCAAGGGCCAACCGCCAAATGCCCATCCATTCATATATACTGGGCAGTGTCATTTACCCCAGAAATGTGAGTTAAAAATAAAAAATAAATATACATCTAACCCTCCTAATCCTAAGTACCTTGTCATTGGGCTATGTGACGGAAAGTCTACAAAAGGTAATAGGAAGAGTGTAGTTATACCCACTGCCTATGTAGGTACCCTAGCATCTGATTATATATACCCCAAGTATCTCTAGGCTTTATGTTTGTTTTTTAGCTAAATAGACGGCTCATAATTACGTAGAAGTGTTCTATACAGTTGTTCTTTCCAATACCAACATCCTTCCAAGTTTAGTCCTTCCCGTAGAACATTAAATGCCTCATCCTGGCTCTGTTTCTTCTCTTCTTTTCTCTTCATCTCTTCATCTCTTGAACTCCGTACCATTCAATTCATCACATCCTTCTACTTTGCGCCCAAAATTCAAACAACCGTCATCATGCCTTACGACAATTACGGTAACTGGTACTCCTACAAAAGCAGTGGAGTTAACAACGAGGTAAGTCAAGAACTAGCACTCATCCAAATCCGCTCTGACTGATTTCTAGGGAAACCACTACTGCTCCCGTGATTACGGTTCGGGGGCATCCAACCCCAACTCGTACCATTACTCCAACCAGTACGTGATGCTTAAGATTCTGGTGTCTACATTGGACTGACATATATTTTTTTTTTTACAAATCAGGGATGGTTCCTACTATTATTCAAACCCTGACGGCAGCACGTACTACAACGATGGCAATGGCTATGCTGTGTACACCCCTCCTTCTGCCACCACCGAGTACTCTCAGGAGTCTGATGACTGGGCAAATTAGGCGGGTTGCCAATATACATACAAAGGAGTCGTTTGTTCCACCTCCTCTGGTGACGGAATATTGGTTTGCTTGAAAGTGGAAATCTTCAGATGGGCGTGATGGCGAGTTTGCTGGGTTGGACCTCGTTCGAACTGGCGATGAACAACTGGATATCGAACCCCAGGATGGAAAAGCTGAAAACATCAAAAATATATATATTTGCCCTGGGTTTATTTTGGACAACTTGTCCAGTATTGCACCAAATGCATAGTCTTATAAAATATAAACAAATGAAAATCAGCCAGCACCCAATGAGATCTGACCCTCAACGGACCAATTTAAAGCAAGAAACTTGTTCTGGTCGGTCTCCCTTCCAGCTTTCCACAGATGCTGCGATGGGAACAAAAATTTCATCTCAAGTCTCTCCCTAACCCGAAGCACTGATCATAGAGTACGACCGACGAGCGATCGAGTCCACTTTTGCTGCGGATCTCACTTTTTCCATCCCCTCTCACTCGTGTTATATGAAGTACTATCACAAATCTGCCACCACCCCAGTTGACCAGTCATTGTTGTCCATATACATAGCTGACCCGGTAATAGGTCTAGGTCGGACTAGGTAACATAGTAACATAGTACTGGGTCTGGGGCCTCAAAACAAACTATGCGAACAAGCTAGTTATGTGTATAATTCTGCTGATTTAGCTATAACCGCCACCTGGGCAAGACCCCCTTTTATGTCAAAACCGGGTTTTCTGGGGCCCCAGTCACTGGCAGCTCAAATAGGAAAGCCCCACCCGCCAGGGAAAATCCGGTGCATATGCGGCACAAATATATGATCCAATGATTGACTATAATACATCATCTATCTTAATTCACAGCAATCCCGCTCTGCTGTCGACCTTCCTTTAGCGCAATCTCCAACCCATCAATCACATTTTCTGGCATGCTCAGGAATGCCGAGTGAGATGCATCGACATGATAAGTCACTGGGTTGCCCAAGGTTTGAGCGAAGCTCTCTTGCGCAGGCAATGGAATAGCTGCATCCTGGTCGCAAAACAGATACATGCTAGGCATCTCATGCCAAGGTTCATGCATCGCCGGCTCATGGAAAGACTTCTGCGACTGAGGTTTCAATTTGGAAATCGCCTTCTGCTGCTCTTCTGGGGACATATCATGATAGAATATCGTCTCTTCGCCAGAAGACCAGCAGTAACCATCATCAGGGCTCTATATGTAGGTCGTCAGTTGCGAACAAAATGGTGGACAAACAAAGATAAACCACCCACCTTGATGACCATCCAGGGAAGGAAGTTTCCGCCCAGCATGTCCATAACAGTTTTGCCCTTTGGTGTCACAAATGCAGCCATCCATACTACCATAATAACACCGCCGGGAAGCCCAGCTTTGCATCGCTGCGCATATCCCAGGCCCTCGACAGCACCGGCACCGACGATCCCGCCATAGGAATGGTTCACTACCACAATCTGGCGGCCAGCTTCGACCATCTCTTTGAGAACAGCCTGAGTATGCTCAATATCCGCGTGCAACCCCTTGTTTGGAGGGCATGCGCCCACAGAGGGAGTGGAGATAGCTTCAGTTGCAAATCCGCGCTTGTGCATCAAATCCCGCACGAGATCGAATGTGTCTGCCGCATGCCATGCGCCTGGCACAAAGACAAAGACCGGGCTCTCAGACATGTTCTTTTTGGAATATATCTTGCAGTGGTTTGTCGTTGGGTTTGAGGGGGATGCGATGCGAATAATGACTAGGTTCAACCGGGAATTGGAAACTCACCAAACCCCGGCGAGGTGATCATCCTTTCCCTATACTGAACGGGGTATATTATTGTTGACCCGCAATTCCTCGGCACGTGGAACTATTGGAGCTTTTGATCTATTGTTACAACAATTTTCCCCGAAGGATTTCGACTGTTTAGCGCCACCAGTGGAGTACTGCGGATACTCGGCTTGCTATAGGCTCATGGAGTCCCTAGCAAAACCGTTGGAGCGGCCGGAGATTGCACTAAAGGGTCCCGATTGGTATTTGAATCAGCATCCACGCGGTAGTCGGCTGTGTCCAGGAAAGAGTTTCAATCCTGGTAAAGCCACGATCCACAATCGGCTGGACGGACATTCCACCACAAAGGACTCAAGAAGGCCATTGTTCTTCTATTCCCCTTTCCGGGTCCTGGTCTCTTGTTTCTGGTTTGCTGAGGGAAATTGACATGCAGATCATATATCATATGAAGAATATTTGGAGCCCCAGTACCTGACCTGCCGTCTAGGGCCATCTACTATGAAAGAAAGAAAAAAAACCTCGGATTTTTCTACCTTATCCTAACTGGCTAGAATCTTGAAAGCAAATTTGAATAGAAAAAAAGTAACTCCATGATGACTTGCACTGGTATGTTAGACACCACATTTAGGGCGTTAAGCCTAAACAAGCATACTAAGCATAATGACCCCTGCATCTAATCCCTGCACACATAGCTGACAAAACCAACCTTAAAACGCCTAACCAATTTAGTTTTGTACAAGCAACCGGAGAAACAACATCAATCCCCAGGGATGTCAGAAGTAAACAGGCCCAGCCCTATTCTATGATCCACCCAAGGACCTCGAATGTTGTTATGAGTTAGTATTTAATAGCAAAATCCGGGTTTGAATTCCTCATCATAGTACTCCTTTACACATTAGGTATACGGTCTGCCGCTCAATTGTGGATAAACATGAATCCTCTGACAGTTGAAAGTGGATATTCTCTGACGAGTCTGTTTGGGCATGAGGGGCGTTCATTCTTTTCACCTCTTTTAAATAGACCATTGCCGCTTCATTGGCTTCAAAAAATGTTTCGATATTGATCGGTTCTTGTGAGTTCAAACACGATGGCCACAATCAATCCCCAGGATAGCTACCAAGGGTCCTATCGGGCCGGGACGATCGCAATGACTATCCTCGGTATCCTGTTTGTGATCTTACGATTTTTGGCACGGTGGAAGAAGTCACTGAAGCCAGGCCTGGATGATTATGTGATCTTGGCTGCTTTAATTCCTTTATTGACTCTCGTTGGCTTGATGCTATCATGTACGGCGTGTTTCCCTTGAGAGTTCTCGATTCTGATGCTGATAGTCAAATAGTAACTGACTATGGTATGGGATTACATTCTGAGATCTTGCCAGCTGAAAATATCATGATGATTGCAAAGGTTCGATTCGAATTGTAGAAAATAAATTTGACCCTCCGCTAATATGCATATAGCTCTTGGTGGTATTTGAGTGCATCTATGTCACAACTATAGCAGTGACGAAAGTTTCTATTCTGCTCATGTACTGTCGCATCTTCCCCACGAGAGAAATCCGCATTGCCTCCATGATCCTGGGTGGGATATCGCTCGCGTGGGCGATCGCTATCATCCTCGTCAGCATCTTCCAATGCACTCCGATTGCACGAGCCTGGGATACACGGATCCCTGGGACGTGCATCGACCTTAAAGCCTCCTTTATTGGAAACGCAGTACCCAATATTGTCACTGATATTCTCATTCTCTCTCTACCCGTGCGGGTGGTGTGGGGACTGCATGCAAGCCTTACGCACCGACTGTCCGTAATTGGAATCTTCCTGTTGGGTAGTTTGTTCGTATACCCTTTTCATGCATATCGCTGCTAGTTTCTGACACTAGACTGACTCACTCTTCCGCACAGCGTTATCTTCACCAGTATCTATCGCTTCACTACTCTGTTTGAGTTCAATCCGGAAGACATTGCCTGGACACTCGGAAATGCCTGCACTTGGTGTATCGTTGAAAGCTCAACTGGTATTATCTCCGCCTGCATGCCGACTCTGCGTCCGTTGTTTTTAATGGTTTCATCCAAATTCTCCAGCCAGTCTGGTACGCAAAAATCACGAACGACAGATCTCGAGAACTCTAAAGGTTATGAGTTAGACAACTCTGCCCTTAGGCCTGCTGATGAGCAACGCAATAAAACTAAAGTACATCTAGATGTGTCCCAGGCTGACGATGCATCTGGGGATGAGGTACCGTTGAATTCCATTCGAGTTCAGCGGGATATGACATGGCACGAATCGGGCGCCGATTCTTTTCGAGGTTATAAATAGATATTTACGCAAATGATATACCTAAATCTCAGTCATCAGGTCTCCTTGAAGCCTAATGACTTCCCTCATATATCTACACAAAAGGAAAGACACTATTATCCACAGGACACAGTACTCAATGTCTACCAGAACATTAGAAATGAAAGCACGCGTCCCACCCGCCCACCTCCATTTCCCGCCATCATGATAAAGACCCTACGCTGTTCCTCGCGGTCAGCCTATATGGATGCACTGTTTCTTGCTCAAAGGATTGGTGATGATACCAGTATGTACTCCAGTTTACTCCTTGACGAATGCCTGAAGTGAACTTGGCAACGTCGGAAACAATTCGGAACCATCAATCCAAACCCACTTCCGCCATAGTGATCCGAACCATTTACAAAGATTCAAATCGAGTCAAACCGAGAAAAGTCAAGCAGGAGTGGCACAATATCGGCAACCTATACCAGAAGGCAGTATGTAAGTGTTTGCCCAGAAACAGTCTGCAACTTGTATCTCTGCCGTTTTATGATGTACAACAGACCCATACACACCCTTTAATACTACCCATTTTCCGATCGCAGGGTGCAAGGGAAATCTCATATATATAGCTCTTCATTGAGCAATAGGAAACAAAGATGAAAAGTACATGAGTGTGTGCAGCAATCCGTGCATAGATGTAATTGTGAGAATAAAGCGCGCTCAGCGTAGCAGATTTGTTGTGCCAACACTTGTCGATAACATCATCGATTGTCTGTTCACTATCAACGCTCGGAAACACCATCTATTGTAGCAAATCTACGACCTTAGGCCCATGCTCCTTGCGATCCTGGGTAAGACGTTGACTTCCATAAACCTCAAAGCCGTAGTTTGTCAGATAGTACAAGGAACCAAGTGCAAACTGCCATTCTATTGTCATCTTTCAACCATTGGTTGCCTGATATCTAGATCTAGATGAGATTCTCAGGCCTTAGCCCTGTAATTGGCTCAGCCCTAGGTGGCGGCAGCAAGGTTAAGTTAACTTGTCTACAGTATTGTTAGTTCTCATACCGATATCAATATCCTCAATTGGGCATTGTCAGTTGAGGTCCACTTCAATCGAGTGGTATTGGGATAAATCATGAATAAGAACAATTCAAATTGCTAAAAAGAAAACGGCAAAAGTTCGTAGACAAATGGTATACAGATAAATACAAATCAAATTCAATCTTGATTCCCTTGATTCAATAAAATATCAACTTCTTTCAAGCAGTAATAATCAATTAACGAAAGATGCAACCAAGGCGATGTTCTCGCTATCTCAAACATGCCTTGCTCCAAGTTTTATGTTCAAAGATGTCGCAATAAAAAGCAAAAACAGACACATGGTCCAATTGCGAAGAATATACACGAACAAAGATCAACTCAATTACAAAGCGATCATTCCGACACCCGCCAGGAGCGCGGTGGCAATGTAAGCAACGATCTCGAAAGAGCCGAAGACTGAGCTGGAGTGCATGCTGATAGCGCCGCTGCTAGAGGTAGTTGCTGAGGCCGAGGAAGAGGAGCTGGCGCCAGAGCCAGAGCTAGAGCCAGAGCTAGAACCAGAGTTCGAGCTAGAGCCACCGATGTCAGTGCCCTCGGTGCTCACAGTCCCGACTCCGGCAGTTCCAGCCTCCTTCATCTGCTGAGCGCAAGTTCCAGTGGCCTTGACAACGGACTTGACGGTGGCAGCTCCGGCGAAGTCGCAAGCATCGGCCGCTTTGTTCTGCTCAACGTAGTACTTGTTCAGAGCAAAGGCGAGCTGCTGCTTAGTTGAGCACATGCTGTAGGCACCGTATTCACCGGTGGTGGCATTGGCGGTGAGTCCGCTGCAGTCGGTATAGCCACAGACAGTGCTGAACAGCTTTTCGTATCTCTTCGAGTCGAGGGACTCGGTGACAACGCAGGCGGAGGCACCGTACATGCAATCGCACAGGGTGTTATCGGCGACAGGAGGAAGAGGAGAGGCTTCGGCAGACCACTTGGATCCGACAGTAGGACAGCTGCGCAGGGCGGTGTTGGTGGGGGTGTAAGAAGCCTTCTTGACACCAGTGGGGTTGACCTTGGCGATCTGGCTGGAATAGTACTTGAAGTCGGACATGGTGCTAACACTGGTGCTATCAACGGCGGAAACCAGACCTGTAAATCGGATCAGCCACGTACACATACTTTTGGGGGAGGAGTCGCTTGCTTACCGTAGTTGTTGGCCTCCTGGAAGTACATGTACACAATACCGCCGGACCAGACCTCAGCCATAGTATCGCCATACAAGGCATTTACCTCGGTGAACAGGCGGGGGTGGACCTCGTTGCAACCGTACTCAGCAAAGAAGACAGGAACGGCGTAGTTGGCAAACTCTTCGGTGCGATCCTGATACTTGGATTCTTTGTAGGTCGAGTTACCGCACCACGAGTAGATGTTGTATCCCCAGAAGTCAATAATATCCTCAGACTCTCCGCAGTCGAAGTAGTCGGCCATGTTTGCGCGGATGGTGGAGACATCGGCGGTAGCATATCCAACACCCATAGGGCGGTAGCCCTTGTTCTTGATGTACTTCTTGGTGTCACGAACAGCGGCCTTGACGAAAGCGCTGGCAGCAGAGGTATCGACGGTGTTGGAAACCTCATTTCCAGCGAAGAATCCAATAGTGTTGGTGTACTGGGACAGTTCATCGATGACGCTGGTGTATCGGGCAAAGAGGTCGGTTTCCCATGAAGGATTGGCTCGATCGATCGATAGGTTGGGCTCGGATAGATCGGAGATAACGTAAATGCCAGCGTCCGACAAGAGCTTCATGCACTCGGAGTGATCCGCAGAGGCGTTGATGGCGTAGGTACGGATAACGTTGGTGCGCAGCTCTGCCATGATGGGAATATCACGCGCACAAGCGACGGGATCGGCTAGAGGGTCAGCGTAGCCACTGCTACTTGTGCTTTCCTCTGCGAAGGGTTAGTTGGAGACACCGAAAGTGATAGCATAAACGACCTACGTTGATAGGCAATTCCACGCATGAAGCTATTATTGTCAGTCGCCGAATTCAAGAGACCTCGGCATATTCGGACTTACAACTGAGTGTCATTGCTGGAATAAAAGAACTTAGAACCCTATTGTAGTGTTAGTACCGAATATGCAACGCATTATGCACATATCTAGATGTATATGTGAGGATCGTACCTTGATAACGATGGGATCCAAATCGGCAACAGCAACCCCGGCGAGGGTTGCCAGTGCCACCAAGGAGAACTTCATAATTGAGTTTTGCGGATCTAATACCGCAAGGATTTGTAGCGAGTGTATATAGTTAGGATATTTGGATGTAAAAATATATAAAAAGAGAGTGAATCAAGAAGTCAAACGAGTGAACAACGAAATGGGGGGGGAACAAGGTCAAAAGACGGGGATGCACTTCAAATTCATTAATGAGAGATAGTGAGATTTACTAGTCTCAGATGGTCCAATTTCATTTTCTCTCCTGAAATTACAAAAAGGACGCGTATAGCCGACCGAACGAGCCTAATATGGTCAAGTGCTTTGAAGCCATCGTTCAATAGGTTTAGTACTGGCGCCATGTCAATTTCGACCAGAGACTGGTCTCATAAAAAAAGCATTATTAGGGCTCTAGAGCCAATCGGTTTATGTAGTCCGAGCCAATAATAGGGAGATGAACGGGCTCCACGCACTTAATGGAACTTGGCTTTTACTGCAGTTTTCTTCTTGTCGATCGGCAAAAAGATATAGATATACAGTTCTGCAGATCCCCATCAAAATAGCCATAAATCATACTTTCACAGTTATATGTATATTCTCATAGTTGAAATCGAAAAAAGAAAAAAGTGAAGCATCCGGCTGACGCCGTGGGTGGTGGGGCTTAGGATGGCACCGGCATTGTGGCTTTTTCTTTTCCCGTGCTTTTTTTCAAATCACATCTAATTTTATTCTACGCTAGGTAACTTGAAGCTATAGTTTACCGGCGGCATTGCTTGGTTTTAACAAAAGTGTCACAAGGCCTTGCAAGGCGTTGGATCATTGGTCCACCGCGAAAAATGAACTATTTATGTACATATATATGTCATATGCACACATACTCATTGTTGCTGCCTATCTCAACATCACCAGGGGTACTCCGTAGAAACGGCCAACTCAATATTGACCTATTTTGAGAACATTTTGCCACAACGAGTTCGGGTGAGATTGAGAGTATGACTTCGATCTTGTTGCACTTCTTCGTCCAGATTTTCCATAATGTCGTTCCGAATGAGTCTGGGATTTCCTTAATCTCATCCCAGTGTAAGCCGGCCCTGTCTTGTAGACAGCTGTGAGGATGAGTTTCGAGTTTTTCAAGACCACTATGGATTACTGTACGCTGCGCGATCAACAGACCATGGTTAGTAAAGGCAGGTTCGCGACGTCGTATATTAAATTTTATTGCGAGATCATTGGTCCTAGTTAGGATCAAATTAGTGAAATTTTCTTGTTGGTTTGGAAAGGTCAAACGCCAGCTACTGCATGGTATCTGCCATGCGATCAAAGCGCTTGAGTTCATTATGAAAGGGAGGAGAAATATCAAGGTAAACTATTTGATCAGATGCAAAGCTCAGTTCAATGACCGTGAGCTGGCTCAGGGTGTACGAGCTTATAACTATAGATAATTATTATTTAGTCGAACTCTCACCATTTCTCGCAATAAGGTCTGATATCGATCTTATGGGTAAATGGGCTCCTCGGCTGCGTGTACAAATACCAATAAGTGTCCGCCATGCGCAATTGACAATTAGAGCGAAAATAAAGAGTAGACTTCCGCAAAGCCCACAAACGGGCCCCCACCCTAGGCCCAAAGCCCAACCAGTAGCCCACTAATGGGGGCCTATGAGGCCCCCATTAAAGCCTATCCTATCGGCCTCTGTAATCGCTGTATTACGACCTTCTACCTATCGTATAAAGCTCAAACCTACTTTCTAGATTTATAGTAGCTATACTTGTATATATATTTCAATTTTAAATAGGATCCGACTAGTAGAGGACGAGATATCGCGGAAAGTGTTCATTTTGATATTTCAATCTTGGATATATATTTAGAATTTATGCGGTAAGGCTTAGAAACGGGGGTAAAACGAAGGGTAGTTTTAAAAACCCTTTTGGGGGGTTCAAGCTAGTATATTTACATTGTTTTGGGTCCATTGGGCCCCTATTAAAGCCCAGTGGGCTTTCACCCCGGGCCCATAGCCTATTGACAGGCCTAAGGACCGGGCCCAAAACCCGGCCCATTTACGGGTTGGGTCGGGTTGGGCTTTGGGCTTTATGGGCCGGTGCGGAAGTCTAATAAAGAGCACAAAGACCTCTACTTACACCCTGCAGATCGAGTTTTTGCATCTGGAATTTCTTGGCCATAGCATTTAGTCTTCTCGGTGTTGGTGATCCTGTCAATAATGATATGAGAGACATGGACACCGTAGGGCCCCAATTCACGCGTCAGAGACTGAGCTATAGCGCGAGCGCCAAACTTGCTCGTAGAAAACGTGGAAAGTCCAGAATTTCCTTTGAGTGAGGCCATGGCACCTGAAACTGTTAGTTATAAATAGTCTCTCTCCTAGATTGAAGTAACTAGTTGATACCGGTGAAGATAACCGTGGGAGGGTACCGCCCCTTGTCCCCGCTCAACATAAGGGGTAGTGCGGCCTGAGCAAAGTTGAATGGACGCCTGATCGATGGTCCTAGGTCTCTAATGAAGACTTTCGGGCTTCGTTCCGACAATGGGTTTATCACAAACTTGCTCGTGGCATTGTAAGTTGCCGCCGCAACCATGAGATTAGGACTGAACTTGGTTTTGATATGCTCCATTGTCGAACTCAAACTTGAAGCGCTGGTCATATCAGTGGGAATCCCATTAGCGGAACTACCACTCTACGTGATTTCCGTTACCAAGGGCTCTAGCGACAGTTCCGATCGAGCAAGTAGGACAATATGTTGAAAAACTTTGGAAGTTTGAAATGAAAAAGGGTTTGATGTAGATCTGCGGGTATCATGTCGCGCTTTTGTAGGTTTCTGAAGTTAAACAACGTCATCACTTTCACCTCGGGGGGACTTACAAACGGATTGTCCACAATAATTGAGGTACCTCATACTTGTCTGGGGAAATAGTCCTTGACAACCTCTCGGCGGGGTATATTCCGAAGAGGAAAATCCTCCCGAACTATGATTCGGTACCCCGTCAATAGATCGGTGAACTGGATGGCTTTGGGAACAAGGCTTCAGTGAGAATTTTGTTTTGTTTTGATACACGAGCTGTACAGAATGAGTAGGGCTGTTAATCTTTGACGGGGTCTATGAATCCCGAAATTTCCGAGAAGGTTTGCTCATAGGTGTACTTTGTAGTGGAAGGTAATATTAGCGGAATTAGTGAGCTCGGACCCCAAAATGAGCACTCCGGGCTTATCTCCATGGTGCCGGGGTAGCCAGGGTTGACCAATCTCCCTGCCCAGGGGCCCGAGATCAGCTTACCTGCCTAATTGGTAAGAGGGACTTCGGGAAATTGCACGGACCTAGGGATGCTGATTGGCCAATGCTAAATTATCCCCTAGTTTGTGTACTTCTCCATGGATGGATAGAATCCTTATTTCTCTGGCAGCTTCGCTGTTTTGCGTTCGACATGCTAGAGTACCCGACAACAAGCCTATTGGGAGAAACCAGGCATTTACAAATGCCCTTGACGTTCAACTTTCTGTTTCTAGTTCATGACTTCTGATGAAGCTTTTTTTGACTCCCAAATATCTTCTGTTCTTCTTCATATCGGTGATGAAGCCAATCACTCTACGTATATGGTAACCATGCTGATGCTCATCCCAAAAAGTGGGTATGATTCTAGGAGGGCTTGAAATTTCCTACGAGGCCAGACCCCTTGCATGGATGGATATCAGATCGCCTATGAAGAGATAAATCGAAATATAAAATGCTCCTGGTTGAAATCTCGTGAAATAGCGACTATTTCGCATGATAGAGACGTTGGTTAGGGGATGGGCACGCGGGATGGGCACGCGGGATGGGCACGCGGGATGGGCACGCGGGGTGGGCACGCGGGGTGGGCGGGGCAGAGGATGAAAAGAAGACGGGCTTACGAGAATAATTCCCATCCTTGCAATACCGGATATATCTACGAATTAGAGGCAGAGTAGAAGTTTCTGCAAGGATGAATTCCGTGCTTATCCGCACTCGTCTATTATAAAACTACCAGTGGTCCACGTATATGTAGTGCATATATTGCTAGCCTGTTCAAGCTCCCATACATTCTCGATATCCATATTCACTAAAGGATATTGCAAAAATGATCCTCGAAACTGAAACTGGCGCTAATGTGCCATTGATCAAGGTCTATCCGGACAAGTTCTCTGATCACGTCGTGCTTGTCACAGGTGCTGCGCAAGGAATTGGCTTCGCCACGGCACAATTATTCAGCGACCAGGGAGCGCATGTGATTCTCTTGGATATCCAAGAAGAAAAACTCAAACAAGCTATATCTTTAATCGAGGCAAGAAATGGCAAATCTTCTTACCGCATTTGCGATATCACAGATGAACACTCGATTCAGGACGCCATCGACTGGGTGATTCGCACTTTCCACAAAATCGATATCCTGGCCAACATCGCCGGAATTTACCCCAATAGTGGTATCTGCGAGACAACGACGGAACTCTATCGTCGTACGATGTCACTAAATGTTGATGGTTCCTTTTTCCTAACCCGTGCCGTCCTCCCACATATGCGGACTGCCGGATATGGCCGAATCATCCACACCGGCTCGACAACCTTCCAAGAACCAGAGCAAGGCCAAGTCGCCTATGTCACGTCAAAAGCGGCTATTGTCGGATTAGTTCGCGCAACTTCGATTGAGGCCGGGCCCGGGATAACCGTAAACGCTGTCATGCCTGGGCTGATCAAAACGGAGCATGTGTGGAAGCTAGTAGTTCAGCCGGACGGATCTTATCCTCTCTTTGAGAGCGTTATCAAGAAGCAAGATGTCAAACGATGCGGATTACCCCAAGATGTTGCACATGTGTTCTGTTTTGTTGCTAGCCCAGAAGCTTCATTCATCAGTGGGCAAATCTTCGACGTCGGCGGTGGGGCGACCTTCCATTAGAGATGGAAAAGGAAGAATGATGAGACTTTGGGAAGGAATGTGACAAGCAAGCACATGTGAATACGTTGGTCCGATGAAGAGAGATTTCAACAATACCATTGTTCCTTTTGGGATATACATAATTGGATCATAACAAAGGCCACATCGTACAATCCGTATGTAAAATGTGGAAGATAACAGATAATAGCCTAGTTACAAGTTACGATGCCTCCATGGAGCGTATATTCGGGGATCCTTGTTCGGGCCACTTCATACAAAGTTTAGGTCAAATCAACCTGTATAGCCTTTTTTGAGATTCATGCACGTGATAATCAGTCATAGTTTTAGATCTTTGCAGAACCCTAGTCAACCATCTGCGCTAGAGATGGGAGTTTTATGACCTTAGCGCATCTTCATATAAAAACTGCTAAACTGCCTGAACACAAAGACAATGATACAAAAGCAACAGCAGCGAATTTTGATATCTCTCCATGTAACTCCATAATAACACAATAATTATACATCAATACCCCGTGCTCGAATTGAGATTAGCATTAAAAAGCGTTCGTTCGTTTCGTTCTGGTGTAACCGGCGGGCCTCGGGCTGTTCCTCACATCCGTTGCTGTTTGCGATGTGCGTCGATGGCTGCATCGAACGATCGGATAGTGTCGAGCGGGCGCTCGAGTCGGCTGCGTGTTGGGTTGGAGAGATCGGGATCGGCTATCATTAGGTTAGAATGTAGCTCCCATCGAAAACTATTTTAGCTGATGACTTACTGATGATGTTTCCGTCCCTGTCTCTGTGCTGGATGCTTCGGAGTGAGAATGCATCCCGAGATCCAGGTTGAAGGTTCACAGCGGCTACTTGTTGTCAGTGGATGTTCTAGATCAAGATAGATCACTTTTGCGGGGATACACACTGGGTTCCTGTTCATGTAGGGCCATGTTGGGGTCGGCCTTGGTTTGAAGAGAAGTCTTGTGGTTGTGGTGCGACTTGACAGAGTCAGAGCGCTCGCTAGAGGCCAATGAGGACGGCATTTTTGGGAATGTGTAAAATGGATCTTGGTTGAGGAAATTGAAGATGTGTATAACGTATGTCAAAGTAGAATAGGTTGATAGTGTGTGTCTAACAATGTAATAACTACGTAGCCGGGAGGCGAATTTGGCCCTATATATATCCCCCTTGTCATTTTTGCCATGTGAGGATTTTCCAAGATAAAACTAAGAATAGACTGCTAATCTCGAAACATCAAAAACCAAGATCACGCAAGCCGTGGCGACATCTGTGGATCATTTGATGATTGGGCCGATTCTGATCGGCAACTATAGGCGAGTTGTCGGTATAATCCAATTTCGTGTGACGTTAAGGGTCCATCCGGAGCAACCCCAATGGCCAGCCAAGCTTCTATCAGCTGTCCTGCAGAATGCTTAGCATTCGCTTTGGCCAATCCAAATGAATAGGCACTTCAAGGGCCACGCAAGCACGGTGGCTGGAATCTTGGCCCGGGCACCCGCACGGATTCCCAGGTACCCGTTCCGTGTAGTGTGTTGTTTCTTGGGAAATCATATACACAGTACTAGCTAGGAAGATATGCGTCGCGAAAGTTAAATTGTACGTGAGGATGTATAATGAACCTATTCGTATATTGTATGCACGGAGTACAAAGTACAACATACAGAGTTGACACTCCGTACATACCTATGACGACTTGCCCCAGTGGGGATGATCGCCGGTTTCGAAAATGTAACAGGAGCGCCCCAGCATTCTTGCTTCAGGAACAATCGATCACACCCCAAGGGCCATAAGATTTGCAATGCAGATTTCACGTGGTTTTACAGGGTGCTAACTAATAATCTTTCTGGCACAAATAATGTTTCAGGACTGTATACGGAGTACTTGTTATCACTTGCACAATATAAAGGGCTTGCATTAGAGAATCAACCCAAATGCCTTAGTTGATACAAAGTGGACAAAAGCACCAAAATACTTCTTTGTTTTCTAGCACTGAGTATGTTGGTAAATCTCGGGCTATTTATCATAATGCTGAGACCGCGATTGAGGGCGTACAAAGTATGTTGGTAAGACACAAAATCTTGGCCAGGAAGGAGGCAACGTAATTAATGTAATTGGAGAGATTCAATCCAATTCAGTGGGTCAATTGAAATATGTACGGCTATTGCACAAAAAGTACTATGCATTATGTTGTACCTGACGGCTATGGGCCCTCATTCCGGTGCTCGCCGGATCCGAAATACAAAGTAACCCCCCAGCATTCCCAACGGCGAAGAGGCCTTTTTTTTCCCCCTTCTCACTCCAAATTCTTTTGAAAAGTGGACCCCAACATCCATGTGGGCGATAATGACATTTTCTGTCACGATCTGGGGTGCGGTTGTGACTCTACGGTAATTCATCGCTGGCACATGACATTCCCGTGAGTGTCCTAGTACGGTCGCTTTAAGTCCTTCGACCTTTCGGGATAAATTTGACCAAAAGAGCGGCAAATGGAGCGCTTAGACCTCGGAACGCCACCTGAATAACACTTGGGCACAGACTTCAGTCATAATTCAACCTGAAGTAAATGCATGCAATGGGTGAAACACAAAACAAACCATGACTTGCAAGCACAGAATCTCTGTTTGGATCAAGGTCATATAGACAGACAATCCTGAGCCCTGGGTTGGTCAAACTTGTTCTGGCATCCCCATTGCTAAGGCGATGCGATCATGCCAGACCTTCGGGCTGCCCTGTTGCTGTGGACCTGTTGGGTGCAATCGAGTACCTTGTTTCGACAACTGGGCAATTTCACCGGCGTCTTTTATGATCTCTAGCTCATTCTTACATGAATCGAGTTTTAACCACGGTGTTACTGATTTTTGCCGGCTCCGATCGGACACTAGCACAACCGATAACTGCCGGAGAAGTGCGATCCCTGAATGGACACCCTCGAGGGTGAATTTCACCGATGCATCCTTGATGGAACGGGGAATAAGTCCAAAGAAAGCCGCAGCCTCATTATTGATCCCTTCGTGATCAGCCTTCACGCCAGCCATTATTTGCATTTCCACGTCGTCTAGGATCTGTCGGCTGCTGTTTATTGCACCCAATAAATCCTCTCTCTCCGCATTGGTAGTTCGCGATGAGGCAACTAGGGCTTTAGTCTTGGCAAGAAACCCGGGGCACTGAGCTATTTCATTGAATGCATAGTCCATGAGCAAGCCCAGACCACAGTTTGTGCCACGTCGCTGCTCGTCCTCTAAGGCATCTGGGAGAGTTGACCTCCATTCCTCGCTTTCTAAGAAACATGCCTCTCCCCGAGTAAAGGCCTCATAAACTAGGAGTCCGCGAAAGGATAAAAGTAGGGTACGGCCATATCCACTCGCATGAGTCTTCGCTCCCCTGAGGCGCAAGAGATGAGAAATTCCACGTGAATGTAGCAGCCATGAGTTCTGCTCTGTTGAATTCATCAACTCATAAATTCCTAACAGGATTGCAGCTCCAAGGGTGTCGTTCGTGCCAACTGTGGCAGGATTCTTGATGGCTTTAACAAGATGTCGCAATCCACGGCCGTACATTTCCTGACTGGCAAGAATATGTCGTTGATTGCCATTTACCCTGCCTAGCTGCCAGGTCCCAAGGCTGCGAAACCCCCACTGCATTGCAGGTCCTGCACCTCGGTCGTATTGAGCGATTTCGAACCAAGGAAGTTCCACACGATTGCTGTAGCTGTAATAAATGTTCGGAAATACGGCGTCCACAAAGTCACAAAAGCCCTTTCTGCATTGTCTGTCTAGCGCCTTGGAAACCAATCCTGGCATTACAGCCTCATCCATAGATGCACGGGGCATTGTGACATACTCCTCTGCTTCTTGTGTAGTGGCTAGTGCCATATTTGATGTCGATGATCGTGTCGAGGGGGATGTCGATCTCGAGGGTTCGCATTGACTGCTTGCAGAGAAATGGTAGAACTTCCGGTCCCTTGCGTAACCAGGACAGGGGTTCCCTCTTTTCCTGCAGGATTGACATCCTGGCTGAGTTTCATCGCACTGGACCCCGAATTAGACTGTTACCTTAAAAAAGCGTAAGACTGGGGCTCTCGTACTTTGACCCGCCGCTGGATACATGCCAAGCAGCCTTTGCTGCGTGGAACACCAACCATCAATACTGTCTGATCAGGATTGCTTTTTGACGTTTATTTTATCGTTCCGAGGTGCAAAAGAAGACACATGGCGAGAATACGAGGCGTTTCAGGGGTCCCCGCAACTCATCTTCGCACAAATTTCCCCGTTGCCCATTGGGCATCTTGTGGCTTCCGGACTTCTTGGCGTTGATCGAAATTGGAGCTTGGCGAAAAAGGAGAGATGATGTTCATGTTTGACCCTCAGATAGAGCAAACTTCCTGTCCACGTGCGGTGACTGGTTGCATTCAATACAAGTGGAAAGAGCAAGCACGATAGCTTCATAAGAAGCAAAAGCTTGGCGTTCAGGGTCCAAGGAGTGCAACGGAGACACCAAAGGCCTAGTTTCGAGACAAACGGCCGAGGCCGGAGAACAACAATTTCGTCAGACCATCCTTTATTGGTATTATTCAGGTGCTCTCTTAGCCTGCGAAATCCGAACTGAGGCAGTTCCTCACAACGCGTCCACCTGAGCATATAGCCGACTCACCGGGCTTGGCATTTGCTGTATAGAGATCGGCATTTTGACCGAGGTCTCCCCCCGCGTGGACTATTTGGGAGCTCTAACCCTCAGACATATATCCTCTATATATACAAGGTAACTAGCTGTCTCTGAAATCTAATTTCGCTCCAATATCAGCAGCTTCCAATGTTCAGCCCACAATGAGACCATTCACCTCACTTGCTTCCCGGCCACAAGCCCTATCGGGCGCACTTCAACCTGCAAGAGGATCACATCTCACGTCGCGTCTGTACTCCAGTAAACCCTCTGATCGACACCGGACTCTGCCTCTCGCTGGAATTACGGTGGTTAGTCTCGAGCAGGCTATTGCTGCGCCCTTTTGCACACGGCAACTTGCCGATCTTGGAGCTCGAGTCATCAAGGTCGAACGACCAGCCGTTGGAGACTTTGCGCGACATTATGACACGCGAGTCGGGGGTCTAGCATCTCATTTCGTATGGACGAACCGCTCTAAGGAGAGTTTGGCTCTGGACCTCAAACGCGAAAAAGACCATGCCGTTTTGATGAAGCTTCTCGAAAAGGCCGACGTTCTCGTTCAGAACTTGGCTCCCGGTGCCAGTGCGCGACTGGGGCTTTCTCACGAGGCCTTGAAAGAGAAACACCCTGGTTTGATTGTGTGTGATATCTCTGGATATGGACAAGATGGTCCATATCGCGACAAGAAAGCCTACGACCTTCTTATTCAAAGCGAAGCTGGCATGCTATCCGTCACGGGCACTGAAAAAGAGCCGGCAAAGGTTGGTATCTCCATCGCCGATATTTCTGCGGGCATGTACGCCTACAGTAACATTCTCTCGGCCCTACTGCAGCGTGGAAAGGATGGACAGGGCTGTCAGATTGACATCTCTATGCTAGAAAGTATGGTGGAATGGATGGGATTCCCCATGTACTACGCATTCGACAGTACTCCAGGTCCGGTACCGGCAGGTGCCTCACATGCGGCCATCTACCCGTATGGACCGTTCGAAGCTGGTGATGGCCAGTCGGTTATGTTGGGCATTCAGAATGAGCGCGAATGGGTCAATTTCTGCAACGGCGTCCTCTCACAGCCAGATCTAGCCACCGATCCTAGATTTTCAAGTAACTCACAACGGACTCAAAACCGAGATGAGCTCAAATCTATTATACATGATGCGTTCTCGAAGTTCACGACACAAGAAACAATCGCTCGGTTGGACGAAGCGTCAATCGCCAACGCTAGTGTTAATGACATGAAAAATGTCTGGGACCATGCTCAGCTTCAAGCACGAGATCGATGGACCGAGATTCAAACTCCTGTGGGAGCTGTTCCGGCTCTTTTGCCTCCTGGGTCAACCAAATCAGCCGAAAAAGGTGGATATAACGCTCAGATGGGTTCAGTTCCACGGGTTGGGGAACACAATGAAGCCATTCTTGCGGAGCTAGGTCTGTCAAATTAATCCGATATACAATCAAGATTATTAGATTCCAGGAATACGCCCAAATTCTCCGTTTGAACCCCGATATCATCGAGGCAGTCATTTTCAGCAGCATTCCTACGCATCTCTATATTCTTTCTATGTGCAATTGGATATCGAAATGAACATTGTTATTGAGTTCGCATCGCTATAGGAATCGATACAGAAACTCGAGGTTCTCTGGGTTCAAGTAGTCCGGGTTTGATAATGAGCCAGCAAGGCCCATAACATCATCACCCTCGATGTTGAACAGCTCATACCAGTCCATATTAACTGGAGGCTCTTCCCGAGTGTTATGGTGAGAAATGGTGTTGGGGGTTTTCAAGAGATCGTCTGCTGTGTTGGGAGAAAGAGGTCTATATGAGCCACTAGCAGGAGACGCAGGCGGTACCTCCTCAATATTTTGACCGCTGCCTATCTGCGATGTTGGTGCCAGCATAGTAGAATCAGCTAATCGGAGATCACGAGCAGTACAATCATCCAATGACCGGAAGAAAAGATCCAGGACCCAGTTCTCTAAGTCCCATGATTTCTGTAATTCCTTCAAGCCCAGTAGACACAATTTTGCCCTGTGTTCTGCTAACTTGCGGGCCGTACCTGTAACTCGTCCAAAATGAATGGTGTGTATACATAACGCCGAGAAGGTATGGGTGATTCTGCTTCAGTGTTAGTCTTAGTCCAAGTCGAGATTGTTGGAAGGACCTACAAGTGAACAGATCCATGTTGGACCAGATTTTCCGAGAGCATGTCCTCTAAAATTCGAGTGCTTCGTGTTGCTGCATCCAGAGCGATATTTCCTTCCGGACTGACCGACTGGCCTGGGGGCTGTAATAACAAGGGTCGGTATAGGAGAATGTACAAGTTGCTGCATGGATATTAGCTAGGAGGCTCAGTTGTTACCAGAGGTGTGGCAATACGTACTTATAGGCCATATGGAGCATACCAATTAGAAACATCGCGCCTCTGCTCATGGACGTTTGAAATTGCATTTCTTTCGGGAGGCGAGACTCCCAATCAACTAAACGCTGATGAAGCATTGGCCGAGCCGCATTCTCCAACTTGGATCGACCGGGTAGATACTGGCTGCATACTATTTCCCGCACTGAACAAACAGCTGTCAGCAAATGCGATGGTCTTGATATTTCAGGATACCGTACACAACTTGGCCAGTTGAGCCATTCCAATCACGTAGGGAATATGAACTTCTGGTGGTGTGTGGAATATTTCAGTAGGCCCCGTTGGCTGACTATCCTCAAAGTCTGCGGCTTCAAGATCTGCGATTTGGCAGTCTTCATCGCGTATTCGAGGCGGTAGGCCCAAAGCCGCCGATGTTTGTTGATCGCGAACCTGACGGAATGTTAATCCAAGGGTCTTGTAAGCAACCATTAAGAAACGAGAAGCGTACATATAAAGCCCACCAGATTCGTTTCCAAATCTTTTGGTCTTTGGCATTAAGGAAGGACAATTTAGACCTATTCAGATCAGCGTATATTCGGGCTCAATTAATCAAGATACACGCCATACATGACATGCATGCCCTTTTTTTGGGCAAGGCTGATGGCAGCTCCAAGCCAGAATCGAACATCGCGCTCCTCGGTTGCAGTTCCACGCCAAAAGCTCAGGAGAAACAACGATTGCAACTTGATAACTGTGTCGGTCTCCCATCCTGAATCATAAATATCCTTTGCTCGTTGATAAAATACTTCTTTGGCTTGGTAGCGATTATTAAAGCCCGTAATGTTCAAAGCGGTATCCGAGCACAGGCTCACTCCAATAAAAAGTATTGACTGGAAGAGCAAAGGCGACAGTGTGCCATCTTGATAGTCCCTTTGTAGATCCGCTCGATCAAGAATCGGAAAACATGGGTGGAGCCAGTCAAAATAAGCTTGAAGTAGCGTGTCGCAGACAGCAGGTGACGGGAATACGAGAGCCCCATCACGGGTAAGCCGATCATGTATCGTCTTGCGCCGGGGGCCTAGTGAATCCTGGCTACTTTCAGTTGCGCCACTCATATCGGAAATGGAGTAGTGCAGTCGGCCCTTTTGAATGCTGCAGGAGTACCCCTTGTCCGGGGATCGTTGCCCTTCATCCACAACGCATGTGAGGGGACTTGACTCGCCAAGGAACACGGTTTTATGGATCCCATCCTCTGCTGTTATGGGACGAGCCGATGCATACTGAGAGCTCTGTCCGGGTAATGGGAATTGACCCGGTGTGATTCGGGAATTCGACGCATTTGCCGTAGTACTCGGCATTGATGATGTTCGTGTCGATACCTTTTTCTTTCGGGGATATCTAACTAGGGTGAGTATAAACTCAAGTAATAGTCCATGATCTCCTTACTTTCCACGGCGTGAAACCCCTACTTCACAAGTGAGATTCCATGACACACAGTTTTGGCAGGGCTGCATTTCTAACACATTGCACCGAACGCGACGCGAGTTACATGTCAGGCATGCTTTTTTTGCCCGCGTCCGTGGCCTATCTGGACTCTCGGTCTCCATAGATAACAGAAGAATCGGCTGTTTTGATTATAATAACATTTGAATATTCCAAAAGTCAGGGATTCTTTTGTCCTGAAAAAGGTGGGGGCTCGGCTTCTTCGGTTATATGACATCGGTGTTTTGCCGACATCTTGATATTCATCTTTGATTTTTTTTTCCCTTCCTTTTTTTTACTCAGTATTGAAGCTGCTTAGATTTAACAAAGAATACATTATATGAGGCTCGTTCTAATCAAATATGCTCGTGCTAGCCTCTCTTGCTAGTCTGATAACGGACACGCGTAGGCTGGAGAAAAATTGGCAATAAATTTCTTAGCGGAAGAGAGACAAGATGAAATCTTGAGTAATAGAAATGAAACAGAATAACAAGAGTCCTTGATACATAGTCTCTTGAGGTCGAACTTTCGACCGAAAACATCTTGTTCTATTATATATTTAAGAACCCCAGACACGTACTTTGCACGGATTACTCCGTACATAGTGCCCCATACTATGTTTGCACAAGACGTTATGAGACGAGTAAACATCAGTAGACCAATGGCATATCATGCCAATGTCAGTGAATATAATATTACAAATCAATTCGGAGGAAGAAATGACAAATAGAAAGCCTTCGGAGCAATTAACTGCCCGTGAGTTCATGTTCATTGCCTTTCAAGTTATGCACATGCACAATATGAAGCAACGCTAAGGCATCGCAGAATATTTCAACCTTCGAAAGTTGGAAAATTGACAAGATGCTTACATATCGTGAATGAAGTGGATCTGATCGGCAAACTTCATTCCCTCCACAGACCTTAGTCCGAAAAGGCTGGAACAGATCTCAATTTTCTTACATCACTGTAAAACTGGGTGGATCTGGATTATTGGCATATGTTGTTAAGATAAAAGAGGCTATGTGCCCCAATTGAATATAATCCCATCTTCAAAATCACACACTTCATTATTATACAATACCTTGTTAGTTAAACATGGCTACAAGGTTTCCCAGCGAAAATGTCGATGTATCGCCTCTTGGGGCACCATTGCAGTTCGAATTTAGTCAGCGTAAAGCCTTTAATCGCTTTCTGAAGGCTGCTTTGACAGAAAGAATGGCCTCGTGGTCTCTAACTGATATTTCCGCTCGAGGTATCCCCAGTCAAAATCTCATCAATCTTTATCGTCGGTGGGGAGAGGGCCAATTTGGACTTATTCTTACCGGTAACATCATGATGGCATACGATCAACTTGAGGCACCTGGAAACATGATCATTGATCTTGAGAACCCATTCGGTGGCGAACGATTTGAAGCATTCAAGCAACTAGCCACTGCCGCCAAGAAGCATGGAAGTTTGATCGTTGGTCAGGTCAGCCATCCTGGTCGTCAGACATTTGCACAGCTGCAATCCAATCCAGTTTCTGCTAGCGATGTCCAGCTTGTCATGCCAAGAATGAGCGCATTTGGGAAACCCCACGCAGCTAGCGAGGAAGAAATTCAGGATATTATCCGCCGCTTTGTTCACGTAGCCGTTTACCTGCAAAAGGCTGGGTATGATGGTATTCAGCTGCATTCCGCCCATGGCTATCTCCTCGCCCAATTCTTGTCTCAGACAACGAACAAGAGGATAGATAAATATGGCGGGAGCTTGGCCAATCGTGCACGGATTATTGTGGAAATAGCCGACGCCATTCGTCACGCACTCCCAGAGCCCGGATTTATCATTGGAATCAAGATTAACTCGGTGGAATTCCAAGAACATGGATTTACCCCCGAGGAGTCAAAGGAATTGTGTGAGATTCTAGACCGCACCAACTTTGACTTTGTTGAGTTGTCTGGTGGAACTTATGAAGCTGGCGCCTTCGTACACAAGCGAGAGTCTTCAAAGAAACGAGAATCGTTCTTCATAGAATTTGCAGACCTCATCGCCCCTGCTCTCAGGCGCACTCGCAGCTATGTGACAGGAGGATTTTGCACAGCCTCTGGAATGGTCCAGGCTCTGGAAACAGTTGATGGCGTTGGTCTTGGCCGCTCCATTACCCAGGACCCTCGCTTACCAATGGAGCTGCTCGCTGGAACTGTACAGAGTGCAATTAAGCAGAAGATTGATCACCAGGACTTTTCCAAGACAAGTCCTGCTGCTGGAGTACAAATGCTGCAGATTGCACAGGATGAAGAACCGATCGATCTGAGCAATGATGCCAACATGGAAATTTTCATGAGAAGCCTTGGGGAATGGGCACAAGAGGTGCAGAAAGATGGCGCTGCAATGAAAATGTACGGTTATGCCCGGCTTCCCAAGGGTGAGCCATTCCAAAGTCATATATGATAACAATGTGACAGGGAAGTAGGAAATGCCGAGATCATGAATATATGTTTAGTTGCATGTAGCATATTTATGTCTACTTTTTCCAATATAGCTTGTACTGTATTTATCATATAGTACAGATCAGTTGATAAAATTGAGAAGACATTTTTCAATTTCTACTATCTGTTTCCCGGTGTTGGTGGGTAGTGTGCAATACACAACGGTTGGGGAATGTAGGGGTGCTCCATCAACATCAAAACATTTCTAAGAATGCTAAACCTGGGCTTCCCGCGTTATTGGAGGAATAATGATCATAACAAGTGTATTTGCTGAGCATTTCCAAATTCTTGGCCTACTGGCGCTGGTATTGTAGCACCATATAGCTGACGAGGAGATCGCTCTGTCTTTTTTCTTTTGTTTTTTCTCTCTCTCTCTTTCAGCGTCCTCTCGTTGTTGACAATATGCACTTCCATACCGCATTGCTCAGTGGGCTAGCTATCCTCCCAGTGGCTCTAGCTTCCTGGCCTTTTCTCAAAACTGAACAGATATCGGCAGTCACCTACCCCAATGAGCAGCCCGATGTGACAGTCGAGACCCTATTTCAATTTCCCAACAATGGCTCATGGATCGGCAACATGGTCCTTCGACCAGATGGCAACATTCTTTTGACGCGTCTGGACACCCCTGAAGTTTGGCACGTCGACACCACGACCGGAAAGGCGGCTCTCGCCCACTCATTCGCCGGCTTCACTAGCACCTTCGGAATCAGTGAAATCGAAGACGATGTCTTCGCAGTTGTGGTGGGCAATTTCTCAATCACAACCTATCAACCAGGTGCAGGCTCATTCGGGGTCTATAAATTGGACTTCAACAAGATTGATGCTAAGGAGAAGATGCCAACGGCCTCGGAAATCGTCGCAATCCCAGAGGCTCTGGCATTGAATGGCATGGCTACTTTCTCAAGGGAGTCCAACTTGGTTCTCATTGCTGATAGTCCCAAGGGAGTGGTGTGGAAAGTTGATACCAAGACAGGAGACTATTCTGTCGCACTGGAAGATACTACAATGGCTCCTGCGGAGGGACAGGCCCTTCCCCTTGGGGTCAATGGCCTGACGGTGCTTGGTAACTATGTCTACTATACGAGCACGACACGAATGCTGTACTGCAAAGTCAAAGTGGATAAGGATGCCAACCCAGTTGGAAATTTCGAGGTTATTGCTAGCGGATTCTTACCGGATAACGTTGAGCTGACCGAAGATGGTACTGCATACGTTCCGACGGATCCCCAGAACTCCGTTGTGCGCATTACTCCATCCGGACAGATCTCTCTCGTTGCAGGTGGCCAAGTATCCACGGAGATACCAGGTCCAAGTTCTGCCCGATTGAGTGAAGACGGACAAATACTGTATGTTGGCACCACTGGTGGCCAAATTGCGCCTGTTATGGGCACATTCATTGAGCCCGCAAAGGTTCTGAAGATCACATTGGAGGGATAAAGGGAAAACTTGATGAATTTGGGAATATGTTGCAATAATTAATGTGGACATTCAAAACTGATAATCAATGAAGTTTCGCGGGAGAAGTGGAAGGAGTGGACTTCGGGAGATATTGGATAGCTTACTAAATACTTTGGTCTATCAAGCACTTTTACTCGGAATGAAATCGCTGCTCTCCGTGATGACTCGCGCATCTAACTCGCAATATTTCGCAACTCAGGCTTTGTGAGTGGTAAACGGTCACTCGCGTTGGTGTCAGTTTTGTATGTGCCATACAGTCGAAAGATATATAGTGTTCTCGCTTAGGTCGTAGCTCCTCTATCAAGCTAATGTTGTGTATCTCGCTAAGACTCACTTCAGTCTCTATCAAGTAAAGCATCATCGGCGTTGAAGAAGGCCCATCCATAAGGATGGAGGCAATTTGCAAGAAACCAAACTACATAGCTTTGATATGATTGCCCGTATAGTGCATGGATTGCCTCTACAGCGCATATAAAACCATCTTGCTCTCCGCGTGGTAGTGGGACCAATTCCTGTGGTCAATTGTCCTCAAAAATTGAGTTATTTTGAGCCGGCTCGGGTCGTAAAGGAGTGCAGACTAGTTGAGATGGAAAGTGATTGAGCTCATATATGAAGATTGGGAATTTGTTCCCCGAGCCCAAATTCATGGAATTGTGATACATATGTGCCATGCATATTGTGGAGCCGGTCTTTATTTGTATCGAGCTGGACAGATCAGATAACCTTTGCAGATCCATATGGCACACTTGAAGAGGGTCAAGTGTGCACTACAATATAAATACAATATGGATTATCATTGCGTGAGATACAACCCTGGGATATATATAGCAGGCCGATGATGAAATACAGGAAAGCACGATGCTCAAATTTTTGGACCAGGCTACAGTCATATGTGTGTGCTTCAAACAATTGAAGGATTTCTTAGGATGGTTTGTTAACATTCATAATTCTACCACACTCTCTCACCCTGAGGTTCCTTTGTACACATTACCCCTCGACACCTGAGGCAAGAACTGACATCTTGGAACCCGTGGACCATGAAACCAATTAGGTAAGCAGTGTCAGTCAATGACATCATATACAGGTGTCTCCCCGAGCATTCGAGTAACAGAATGTTGCAGCCTTGCAGGACAAGTTTCCGTCACACTCTCGAATTTTCAACATTAAGATGCCTGGACACTTGGGCCAAAAGGTCCTCAAGACCTTAGGTCTGAAAAATCATTCCGATCAACAAAACTCCTCGAGCGTTCAGCTTCCAGGCAGGCCAACCGTGAATAATGATGAACGCGGATTGTGTTCACCTCCCAACCGTGGCACATACCCTCGTCTCTGCAGGCTCTCAGATGGCACCATCCTCTCGTCCTTTACGCAATTCCCCGATGGACAGCGCTCACTACGTGTAGCAAAAAGTACCGACAATGGCCTTACATTCCAGGACCTCTCTGAGGTAACCCGCGCTGCTGGCGACGTGGATAACATGTTTTTGTGTGAGGTGGCTCCAGGCACAATACTGGCGGCTTTCCGCAATCACGACAAGGGCCCAAATGGCCCCACGCACTTCCGCATCACTGTCTGTCGGTCTACGGATGGAGGTCAGACCTGGAAATTCGCTTCGCAGGCAGCTGAGAAGCGCCCTCCCTTGGGAATTTGGGAACCCTTTATGCGCGTCGGGCGCCAGGGTGAAGTGCAGCTTTATTTCTCGCAGGAATTTGCGCATAACAACCAATGTACCATGCAAGTCACCTCGCGCGATCAAGGAAGTACCTGGACTCAACCGACCTGTCTGCATGGTGACCAAGATCCACTTCGCGATGGAATGTGCGGTATTGCACGAACTATCGACAAGGGTCGCGAGACTCTTGTTATGGTATTCGAGACCACTCGGTGGGGACCTTTCAGTGTCGAAGCACTTCTATCCTATGATGATGGTGCGACCTGGGGTTGGCGACATCAAGTTTTCTGCCCACGAAAGGGTCATAATGCGGGGTCTCCCCAAGTTGCCTCTTTCGCAGATGGCTCTATGGCCACAATATTCATGACAGACGATGACTCCGAGCACGTGAGTTGGGTGAAGAATGCCTCTATCAAGGTTGTATTCGCTGGCCCACCAGTTGACGGGCGTGTTGAATGGAGCCCACCAACCCTTGTCTCTCCAGCCTCTAGTTTCTGGCCTGGAATAATGGCATTGGATCACCACAACGTACTGGCCACTTATGACCGGGGTGGACCTCTTGCGAAGACCATCACATGGAACCCTGTATAATAACTTGATCTCGGGGTAGTCTCTGTCTGGCGAGAGTCTGAGACTGGTTTTGGTGTTTTCGTCATATTTTTCCGTATTCAAGTGGGTGAAAACCGCTTTCACACGATGCCTCGCTCGACGACTTCTGCATTCTTTACAAATTTCCGGCAAGGTCCCAGAACAGTAATAGTTGAATGCATACCATACCAACTATGTCTTCCCACGGGTTTTCTGCTTGAATCCCCTATTTTTCAAATTTAATGAAATGCTTCTTTTTATCAACTATCAAACACAAGAATAGTCAGCCGAATGAGGGTGGAGCCGAGATGTTTCGGGGTGTTCTTTTTAGACGTCTTTTGGCGCAAAGCGGACGCTGGCCCTCAGTATGACGCTCGCCCTGAGTATTTTTACCAGGTCAACAAAGACTCATCCAGAGTTAGAGAAGGCTGAGCAACTTGTGAGGTTAATGGCCTTAGGATCTCCACGCTTGCAGGTACCTAGGTAGGCAACTAATTATCGTCCCCGTCAGCCAGCAATTCAATAATTACTTATCAAACTCCTACAATGTTCTAAGCTTATGTGGATGACTTGCTGAAGGCTCAAAGGGCTCAGGAAATGCTCATACCTAGGTGGAAGCCGAGGCTAAGGCCGGGAATAAAATACTCCGGTCGAGCGTCACCGGCAGATAGGATTAGTCACCTCTTATTTTTTCCCGGGGCCCTCGGGGCCCCGAAGTCCTCCAAGGTCCCAAGGTTGTCTGGAATAACGGATATAAATTACTCCAGGGCTCGGAATTAGCCGAATGGGGCAATTGGTCCCGGGGTTAATCTGATAATCTGATCAGATTAAAATGGTCGCTATTTATAAAGATCCCCTGGGTAACCTTTCAACTTTCCTCAAACTTCATCTTTCAGAAAATGGCAACCTCACTACGGAACATTATTGTTGTTGGCGGCTCGTTCGTCGGACGTGTGAGTTATTCTCTCCATAAGATAACTAGAGAGTGTAACAACTAATGCCAATACAGGCGACAGCTCAGGAGCTCGCACGTGTGATCCCCCCGACCCACCGAGTAAGCTACCATTGAGGTCCCCGCATACCTTGAAGATGCTAATGTTTTATGCAGGTTCTCTTGACCGAACCTCATACTCACTTCCACAATCTTTTCATCTTTGTAAGTTGATTTTGATACCAATGGACATATACTCCCGTAAACCTCCAACACTAACATTCCTCATAGCCACGGTTCGCAATTGTCCCGGGACATGAACATAAAGCGTTTATTCCCTACACTGGGATCTTCAATGACTCGCCCAATCCCTCCTCCCATGGGATAGTCCCGGATCGTGTTGTGTCGGTCAAGCCCACCCATATTCAGTTGGACCGTGAATGGCAAGGCTCGAAAGAGGTGCCTTTCGACTATGTCGTCCTTGCGACTGGTACCCGTCTCTCTAAGCCTGCGGGTATGGACAATGATGACAAGGCATCGTCGGTCAACTATCTGCAAAAGCACCAAGCTGGCGTGAAAAAGTCCCAGTCCATTCTGATTGTCGGTGGCGGTGCTGTTGGTGTTCAAATGGCCACCGATCTAAAAGAATATTATCCAGAGAAGGAGGTCACCTTGGTGCAATCTAGGCCGCGGGTGATGCCAAGCTTCCACCCTGGACTCCATGACCTTGTTAAGAAACGATTTGATGAGCTGGGTGTCCGACTTATCACTGGTGCTCGAGTCACTGTCCCACCGAGTGGATTCCCGAATGATGGCAGCACCTTTGATGTTCAGCTCAAAAATGGTACCACTGAGTCCACACAATTCGTCATCTTGGCCACCGGACAAACCCCAAATAGCCAAATAGTGGCTGACTTGAAGCCTTCTCGCCCGGATGGCGAATCAGTGATCAATCCGGATAACGGATATATCCGCATTAGACCCACTATGCAGTTCTTGGACGAGCAGTATTCGAACATGTTTGCTGTGGGTGATATTGCAGATACCGGTGCCCAAAAGGCTGCTCGGCCAGGCTTGGGCCATGCAGCGGTTGTCGCGAAAAACATCCAGGCTCTGATTGAAGGCCGCGCTCCCGAGGACACATTTGTGAAGGGACCTGGGGCTATTCATTTAACACTCGGCATGGTAAGTTAAGGAAGTGGTTATGGAGGCATCGATCTTTGACAGGGCTAATTGTTTATTTTTTCCAGAAACATAATGTGATTTTCCGCAATCCCAATACCGCAGAGGGCCAGACAGAGCCTTGGATCAACCCAAAGGATGAGTGAGTTCCTTTTTCCCCTTGGCGTCAACTTAGCACAAGCTAACATATTCACCAGTGGCCAAGAGGATATGAATGCGGGAGGTATGTGGGAGAGGCTGGGTGTCTCGGTTGATGATCCTCGTCAATACCACCTGTAGCACTTTCAAGCATGAGAAAAATAGATTAAACAGCATGTCGCCAGTCTTCCCACCTCTGCCGCCATCTTAATACCTCACTTTTTAAATTAATTTTTATATTAACACGGGAAACTTGGGTCAGCTTCGCTTAGTCCATAATTACTACAACATAGAAATGAAGGATGTTAGATACAATATTCCCAATAATAGTTTTGACGGTTTTCGATTTCCGATCGAACTGGGTGTTGTTGTTGAGGCCTGATTTGTTAGGCTGCAACATGTGAGCGAGTGCTTGCTTTTCCCTAATTTCCCCTTTTCTTCCTTGATTCCTTTTATTTTCTTCTGCGAAAGCCCGGAAGCTTTTAAAAGAGTGCCTTACATGCTATGAAAATTCACATGTGAATGTGAACGAAAATGGCACTAGAAATACCGCGAGGACCGCCCATACTACACAACACGGAGTTCCAGGGGGCATATCAATGTGACAGTCCTGCACGATCCCCTAAGCGAGCATTCCACATAGGATAAGCACTTAACTTAAACAAGGTAAGGATTGGTGCATACATCTTCAACCACCTTGTCAAAATAGCACGTCTTGCTCCACCAATCATCACCAGGTTCTTCAACCGGAGCTTCCGTTGACTGGGTGTTATGATGATCATCTCTTTAGTATAAATATGCATAAGAGCATCCAATTTCGTTGATCATGCGAGCAAGTTTTGCTTTTTATCCTCTGTACAAAAGCCCGCCTGATCTTATCCAATTTTCCGTTCAACATGCATTGCAAATTGGCATTTCATGTTTTGACTGCCGCACTTGCAGCCCTATTTCCCGATAAAGCCTTGGCTTCCAATGACAAACGAAGTGTAGGTAGCGAGGTTCCATACTCAAGGTTTCTCTGCTAACAGCGAGCTTGGCCCAAAAGGTGGTATTACCAATTCCAAGTCTCCAGATTCCACTGGGAGAGAAATTTATCGGAAGCGCGGTGGCAGCCAAACAACTTAGTCCAAAACATGTTTATAAGCCAGAGGGGTTCAATATGCACCAAGATGGTGGCAATACCGGGACAGTCGATAACTGGGGCCCACTAGGAGCTGAGCTGGATGTTTCAAGTGCTCTTGAGGGTCTACACATTCTACTTTGGACTAAGAGTGGCCAGTTAGTCACCGGCTACACAGGTATTGGACTCAGTGGGATGAAATGGGGACTGGCCGCGGTCGATAATGAGACAATGGGTGTTCAAGCAACCTGGTACCCCGAGGTAGATGGCCAGACCTTGAATGTGGCATATATGGAACTGCTTTTGGACAAAGACCAAATCGTGGTGACATCCAAAGAGGGCCAGATTTACGTTGTTCAACTATCCACTTCCGAAGGGTCGCCCAGTCTAGATCTCGTTCAAACTTACAACTTGGATTCTGTTCTGGCCCCTGGTGAGCTTCTCATCAATGCAATGTATGATACCGATGGCAATTTGTGGTTTACCAGTGGTGGCTTGCGATCTCAGGCCGAGGGCGGCCATGGAGATCCTGCGCAAAACTCCACCACCATTGGATATATTGAGCCCACGGGGTCCTTCCATATCCGCCACATCCCAAATGAAATGGTTGAGAATGGTATCGCTGTCACAGGAACTACCGTATATGTGGTTACAGGGCCCTCTGGTACCAAAGATCATGAGAACGCAACTGGTACTCTCTATTCGCTTACCTCAGGACCTGGAACTTCCATCAAGACACTTTGGAGCATTCCCTATGATGCTGGTGATGTGAAGAAGCCTGGTTCATTTGCGCGTGGCTCCGGTGCAACCCCGGCACTTCTTGGAGACCAGTATGTGGCCATCACTGATAATGCAAACGGCCGTGTCAACCTAGTCGTTTATCATCAGACAGCGCAGCATGATTCTTCGCAGACCATTTGCAGTGTCCCGTTATTTGAATCGGGGCTGAGCAATGTCGACATTGCACCTCTAACACATGGCGATGGCAATACCTACGGTGTGATGCTTTGCAATGACTACAATGCACCAACGCTGTACTATGTGGACTCGGGCCTGAATGGGGACTTTAATAACCTGACAGCCATGGCTCCAGGGGTGATCCGCGTCGATGTCGCCGCTGATGGCAGTTCCTGCAAAATCGCCTGGGAGAATGACCTCAGGGTCCAGTCGGTTCCCATTCTTTCCACCCAGAACGGCCTTGTGTATGGTTATACACAATCAGTGACCGCATCTTTGAAGGGTCTCTATGAATGGTATGCTGTCGCATTTGATTGGCAGACAGGAAAAGAGGCCTGGAGAGTGCGAGCTGGCGCAGGGGGAACTTACAATGATGACTATCAGCCTGGGGCTCTTGGGCCAGATGGAAGTTTCTATCAAAGCGTGATTGGAGGCTTGGTCAGGTTCAGAGACGGTGCATGAACGTTGAGTGTTCTCCGTTCACACCTGCCGATTGTATTTTTCTTTCTTTTCTAGCAATATACGAAGAAATGGATACAATCCAGCCATTCATGGGCTTGCTTTCGGCGAGACAGACTGATTCAGCTTCTTCATCCGCTCATCCAAGACAAGAGACGAGCTAGGACATTCTTGAGAAACATCTTCTTCAAGAATCATATGACCATATCTCGGCAATAACACTTCATAAAAGAAATTATCTTAATGGCGTGGCTCAGTCTCGGACTCGGACAATAAAGAAATATTGCATTGTGATATAGATATTACGGATGAATTGAAATAGCTTGAGCCAACTTCCCCTTCTCACTAGACATGCTCGTAATGTGCTGTCGTTGCCCCTTTAATATTTTTTCCTAATTCCGCGTTCTCCATAATGCGATTTCTTTCTGCGTCGATAAATGTCTGTGGACGCTTACGTTGGGTCAGTTCTTGCTTGCCACACACAATCGGTGAGGGATATTGGATGAAAATCTCGTCCATGTCCTCCAAGGTGCGTCGCGAAGTTTCCGGATAGAGACAGAAGATTATAGGGAAATAGGACCATGCAATGACGGCGAAAACTAGATATGAATGGTCAGGTTCCAGCTTATTCAAAAAGCGTCTCATTCAGACTCACTCAGATAAAACCGCCAGTGTAGATTATTGACACCAACACTAGTGAACTGCGTCACAATGAATCCGCCCATCCAGTTGGTGGCTGTGGCCGCTGCAGCTCCACGAGTGCGCCAGCCTAGTGAGTTCACCTCAGAGTTATAGACCCAGGGGACTTTGGCAAAACTTGTTCCATAGAAGAAGTAATACAAAAAGAACATAGCAGTTGTTACCCGTCCCATCTACTTTTGTTAGTCATGCCATTGATTTGAATGAGGCCCAGTAATCACTTACCAGTTGCTTTCGTGATGGATCACCCTCGCCAGTTCTCAGGCACATTGCAGCGATTAGATAGCATGCGCCCATAGTTACCGAGCCATAGAGCATTAGCCTTGAAGATAAACGTTAGTACATACTTGTTTGGAGGAATTGCCGAAACACCGTTTGTGTTTCACTTACTTGCGACGCCCAACACGATCAATAATTGCCAGACAACAAAACGCGGCGAATAGATAAGTCGTGCCATTGACAGCAGTAAGCAAGCGACTCTCCTCTTCTCCGAGGCCGACACTTTCCTGCAAGAGTGTTGGAAGATAATATCCAAGAGCATTCACACCGCTGAATTGTTGCATGAACTGAGTACCACAGGACAAGAGAAGCCGCCGGAGATTTTGTGTCTTGTCGCGGCACATCAATACATCAATCATAGGTACCTGGCTTTGACGCTCAATCTCAAGTGCCGACCGTATCGATAAGAATTGGGCAGTCACATTTGGGTCGTGAACGTCCATATTTTTACCCTCCAGTCTCGCAATTACTGCAAGCGCCTCCTCGTGTCGATCCTTAAGCAAAAGCCATCTCGGGGACTCGGGAACGAATATCAGTGCACCAACCACAATGCATGGGAATATGAGTTGGAATCCTAAAGGAAATCTCCACTGTAGGGCCTCCCCTTGAAAGAATAAACCATAGTTCATCCAGTTAGCTAAACAAAAGGCTGCAGTGTTGGAGAGAGAACCGACTACCACGAGCTTACCACGAACTCGTGGTTTGGAGCACTCAGCTTGGTACACAGGACACGTCGATGAGGTCAATCCCATACCAAATCCATTGATAACACGGCCAATTATCAGCTGTGGGAAATGCCAGGAGACAACCTGAAGGACCGCACCAATGGTGTTGCACACCAAGCCGAGTGTAATTGTCTTCTTTCGACCGAGCCTGTCGCCGAGGGTAAAAGCAAATATAGCGCCGAAAAACGCACCAAGCTAGATCTCATCATTAAAATGAAATCGGATGGGAGTCATGGTAGGATGATGAGCTCACAGAGAAGCAACTCGATGTAATGCCAGAGATATTTGAATCTTTCGTCTGTGGGAAATATTTCTTGAAGTCGGCCGAGATTAGAACTCCTGAAAAGACTCCTTGATCATAGCCAAACCATGCCATTGAGCTTAATTGTGACTGGGTTAGCCGTTATTCCCTGTGTAGTATTAGATTGAAGACTCACCAAGCATTTGCGACAGTAACAACAGTGATCAGCCATCTCCCACTGAGCCGACTTGAGAGATCCAAGGTACCCATTGTTTCAATTGATATGTTTGTGTTCAATTTCGTGTAGAGTCAAATCTGAGGTTTGTGGACTTCGTCCATTAAATACTCGTTGGCCTTCTGATCCTTTGCCATGCTATCTAGAGCTTGGGAGCGAGTAGAAAGCCTGTCATAGGCGCTCGAGTGTCAGCCACACAACGCTAGGCTTCAAACCGAGGTAATGAAAGAGGAGAACACAAAGCGAAGATCTAATGATGTTTCCCCCCCCAGATGTGGAGGGAAAACGGCATTCCCCACGGGGAAGATTGGGGGAAGCGGCACGGGGGTAGGCGGCAGAGAAGAAAGACCACTCTATCTTAGCTGCACTAGCTGTACTAGCTGCTGCAGCTGCGAAATATGCCGAAAAGCTATTAACAAATTATATTTTTGAACGAATACCACTAGGTGGCCTCTTGTGATGTCGGCCTCCGCTTCGAGAATTTAAATACCAAATACTTGTAGAATTTGACCAATGATGAAGATTGTGCATCCCTGAGTTGAGTGTTTATCTGAACTTAGGAGAGCTCATCTACATTACAAAGGCATGAAGAATACGGGAAGATAACACAAAATACTAGATAACACTTGGAGAAGCTCATTTATCTCGCTAGGTAAACATCTAGCTTTAGCGGCAGCTGGGAGATCTTTCACTTAGCGAGACTGACTGGGATACTAGATCCCTCACAGTATCATGGAATGAATGATACTTATATCCCAACTCCATTGCAGCGGTTTGACCATCCAATCCACAGCTCTCATCAATGACTTGGTCTTCTTGTGTGACCTTAGTTCTTAAATCAGGGAACTCCTCCGCTATGATCTTTGCAGCCAGGCCATAGGAAAATCGCTCTGGGGATGAAGGAACATATCTTTTGCCACCCGCCTCTTCTCGAAATAGCGACTCAACATGTGCAATGGCCAGGTCACGGACATCAATCCAGAATGGCACTCGGGCGACAGGCAGAGGATTTTCTCCATTGGCAATTTTCCACAACATCGCATTCGACTCATTCAGTTTGTCCACATGAGCAACGGGATGTACAACAGGTCCAAATGTCATAGGAGGGCATAGCGCAACAATATCGAATGCGGGGCTGTGTTCCTGGACATATTTCCAAGCCTCCAGCTCAGCGAATTTCTTCGACCCGCGATACGCAATTATAGCATTCGTAGCTGTATCCACAGATTCCTCATAAGTCAGAGGATTCCAATCAGCACCAGTGTAAGTGAAATATGGAGGGCTTTTGCGATTTGCATCGAGAACGGAGGCGAAGGAAGATGTAATGACGATGCGCCGTATTTTTGGATTACTGCTGGCGGCTTCAAGGACTGCTCGGACACCGTTTATTGCGGGAAGGATAAGCTCTTGTTCATTATTCGTTGTGTTGTATGTGAAAGGCTGTTCGAAGAAGTCCTTAGTAACTGAAAACAGGGGAGATGATAAACACTATGGCTTACACTGGCCGTATGGATCACTCCGTCTACTCCTTGAGCAGCTTCCACCAAGCCACCAGGCTTTTCAAAGTCATCAATCTGAACAAACTCCAGTCTCCCTGAATGCTGTGGACGATCTTTGATCATAGCATCACCTTTCTCCAGTGAACGTGTCGCGCCGCGCACTCGCATGCCACGAGCGAGTAACACGTCGACGATATGTGCGCCGATGAAGCCGGTCGCACCCGTAACAAGAATAAAATTGCCCATTTTCTGCTGCATGAAAACAAAAAAAAACTGCCCAAGAGCAGTCAAGAGTGAGGAATAAATACATAAACCTATCTTGCCTGTCTCGCTGGCCAATCATCATCCACGGGGGAAGCGGCAGCCCCACTGGGGGGGGGGGAAACCCCCGCAGTCGGCTTTCGTTGCGACGTTGCGAGCTACATCTTGTCGGTGTTGGGGTTTGGTTAGTGTAATGATATGATATTTCCTCTTTCCAGATCTGTGTGGATGTGGGGAGTAGAAATAGTGAGAGTCAGAGCACTATTTCTGTTCCATTCCCCCCTGTTCTCACTGATATTTTTTTCAAGTCTTCTCTTGGATACTGTTTCCAGATATATTCCATGATGGGGGTAAATTTACCAGTCCAAGTGCAGGATATCACAATTACTTCTTTCGAGGTTATTGACCTGCGATTCCCTACAAGCCTAGACGGTGTAGGCTCGGATGCTATGCATGTAGGCACCAACGGCTCGCATCCTTACATTCAACTGAAAACAAATAAAGAAAGCCTGATCGGAGAGGGCATTGTAAGTCTAAAATCCACTTCTTGGTGGAATTCTGGTGCTGACACAATCTCACAATAGGCATTTAGCAATGGCCGAGGTAGCGAGCTGATCTGCATGGCTCTCGACATATTCGCCCGACGCGTCGTGGGTAAAACCATGCATGAACTGACTCGTGACATGGGGAAGACCTGGAGGTACATGGTATCTGATTCGCAGTACCGCTGGATTGGCCCTGAAAAGAGTGTCACTCACTTGGCCGTTGCGGGAGTGTTGAATGCTGTTTGGGATCTCTGGGGCAAGATCCTAGGCAAACCAGTCTGGAAGATTGTGTGCGACATGGATCCGGAGGAAGTCGTCAGATGTATTGACTTTCGGTACATCACGGACGTTATCACCCCCGAGGAAAGCATCGAGATGCTCAAGAAAACACAAAAGCACAAAGAGGTCCGCCTACAAGAGGCTCTTGAAAATCGGGCGGTTCCAGCATACACCACTTCTCCTGGGTGGTTAGCTTTCTCTGGAGACCGAATGCGAGAGGTACTCCAGGAGACCATTGCAGCAGGGTATACTACGTTCAAGTTTAAGGTTGGAACCAATGTTGAAGCTGATCGGGAACGTCTGGCTGCAGTGAGAGAGGTTCTGGGGTATGATCAAGGACACCAGATCATGATCGATGCCAATCAAGTCTGGAGTGTTCCCCAAGCAATTGAATACATGAAACAGCTGGTGGAATTCAAGCCAGTATTTATTGAAGAGCCAACCAATCCAGACGATGTTCTGGGACATGCGACTATTCGCAAAGCTCTCAAGCCGTACGGTGTCGGCGTCGCAACAGGCGAGGCAGCACAAAATCGCGTCACTTTCAAACAGCTCTTGCAAGCAGAAGCGACCGATGTTTGTCAAATCGATGCCGTACGACTCGGCAGCGTCAATGAATGTCTTGTGAGTGCAGTTTGCTTTATCCATTCTTGGCCATTCGTTCTAACCGACTCAACAGGCTGTCATGCTCATGGCGCTGAAATTCAATGTCCCTTGTGTGCCTCATAATGGTGCGATGGGCCTCACGGAATTGACATCTCACTTAAGCACAATCGATTACATCGCTATCAGTGGACGTAAATCAATGCTGGAGAATGCGGACAGCCACAGGGAAAATCTACGCCATCCTTCCAAGATTGAGAATGCACACTATGTCACACCACTCGATCCAGGATATTCAACTGGTTATACTGACGCGGCATTGGAGAAGTATACGTATCCATCAGGGAGCTTCTGGGAGAGTGATATTGGACTTGAAATCATTGCTCAGCCCACTGGGGGAGAATTGTAAATAAATGAAATGTCCAGCGCCTTGGGTATGTCGATTGGATGAATTGACCCATGCATGCTCCCTGCATAAACTGTAGTCGACTCATGACTTGTCAGCAATTCATACGCGTGAAAAGTCTTTGCTTTTTCTGGACATCTTCAAGTATAGTTATAACAGCTTCAAGACTGGAGAAAGCCCACGGTCGAATGTTGTTCAAGGCCAGGCTTTGCAGTGCGTCAATATCGGTCACCAAATGTTGCAAAGCAGGATTTAGTGAAGCAAGTGTTAGAATCACAATTGCACCGAGTGATCTATAGGGTTTACCTTGTCAGAATTTGTAAAACACTGTTCGATCCATGGCACATACGATAAAGAGAATGTCCACGTATACTGGCTCGGGTTTTTCAGGATTCGGGCCGTACTGTGGATGTAACATCGGCAGCTCTCGATGCATATCCCAGCCTTCTCAATAATATCATGCGATATGCAGGTGATATCATGTGTAACAAGAAAGAGAACAAACGGCCTATATATAATGTGACGCGCGGCAAAATACCGAATCCGTAGTATTGCCTGACGATCGTTCGATTCCCGCACAGAAGCTTCGATGTTGAGCTTTGGTCGAAAGATTTCCGGTATCGAAGAATGCCATAACTCGAGTTGCGAGCGTAGTTCATCGCAAACCGCACTCATGGATGATATATCATCTATGGAAAACTCCTCCGGCGTTGCCAATGTGGTGGATGATAGTGCCAAAACGTGTTTCTTGTTCGGGTAGAGGGAATTATGCACGCGATTTAGCAATCTTCGAATAGATATCTCTGCGAGATAACAAGTCGATTGCATCATCCCAAGATTGGTGCACTCTGGAAGACTTATTTCGTCAGTCAGTTGCTGCAAACCACTCCGTGGGAGTTCCAGCTCGGCGAGTCGATCGCACTCGATCAAAAAGCAGGACCAAAACAGACGGATCAAGCTCTCTCGCCACCAAGGTTCCTTTTGATGAGTGTCAATTCTGCGCTATTGTCAGATTTTTCTTTTCTTTGGGGCCTTCAGAAAGCTTACCCTGAAAGTTTGAACTGAATTATCGTCGTGGCAGAGTAGATGAGTCGCCAACTTTGAAGGGGCCGGACGATGTATGCGAAATATACGCTAGCAAGAACAAGCGCCTGTGGTAGCACGATGCTACATGAGAACGACCATGCTGACTGACTGAGGAGGGTCGGCATGGCGTGCTGCATGTACTGCATACCGGGGGGTGAATGAAGAAATGCATGAGCATCTGGTGGTGAAGCAGCGACGGCACCAAGTGCCAGAACAACCATGCATAAAGCGGACGTAGTACTCGAATCAGGTCCATTCTCCAGAAACTGGCTGAATATCTCCTCAAACTCGCCTGGATCCAAGATTGGATGATCATGATGAGCTGACGCGAAGAAAATAGATACTAAATTAGTAGCAAGATCACGCTCAATGTCCATTGATAATTTTGGTACTGCCCATGTCTCAAATGACAGCTCTTGTGGGAGATGAGCTCGGGATTCTAACAGGAAAAACAAATCAGTCGGATACTCCCCAATGAGTGATTTGACTGGGGGTAAGCTCAGGAGGTAGCTAGATGATGTCTTGTGTTTGACCGGGATTGTCAATGGGGGTAGTTCTGGCAAATTTGGTTGCATATCTAATCCAGCGAATGACCAGGGCGATGACATGGTAGCATTCGGAAGCTCTCTTGCAGAAGCAGATGTGTGGCCTGGTGGTGAGGTCTCGGGGACATCATGAGCACCGTTTTGGAACTTGGTAATGTTTGAGATCTGATGTGACTGGGCCTTCAAAATTGCCTCAATATCATGTAGGCGACCGAGGATTTCTCGAGCGCCGCCAGATGTGTCGATCCTATCCCTGTGAGACGACATTCGCCCATAGATAGTAAACCAACACAAACCTCTGGGAGGGTGAATCATCATAGCGACATTCCACCTCTAGCTCTCTGCAGTGAGCACAGGATGGCTTTTGAGCATCACATCGCCGTTTTCTGCGTTTCATTTAGCATCATCATGGGACATCGGAGTGGGCGCAGGTCACCTACCGACTGCGACAAAAAGTACAGGCCAGGGTGGCTCGTTTTCTGTTGAAACTCATGTTTCAATCGTGTGTATGGATTGTTTCTCGGATATCGATGCATGAAGCCATCAAAGAAATTACGGTATGGAGACACGAGCAATGAGCAGGAAGGGAACCTCCCTCCCTAGAGAGAGCTCCAGTGATGGAGCTCTGGAGGGAGGCTGTCGGAGAAGCTGAGTCATCACTAGTTCCCTGGGGCCCGCCCTCCAGGGCTCCCTCCAATGGAAGAATTGAGAAGAATCCTTTGAATAGAAATCTTCTGGCATACTTCACTTCATGATGTTTATATTTTCCGGTTCCTGTTTCACACAGCTTGCAGTTGAGATTCCTCATGTCTGATGTTATGTGAAAAGATCTTCTATTGATGTGTGGTAGTTTTGTAGACATGAAGTATGTCGACAAATATATGTATCCCTACAAACATTCAATTTTATGAATACAGTTTTGAATCCTTAAAACTACATGGAAAAATATCTACCATTATCCACTCATTTAAGAAAAAAAAAGGGCCAAACTGCGAAGGTGTATCCCGGCCAGGGGTCGGAAACTAATTATTACTAATATTGGTGCCTTATGATGCCTGATTATGCCTGATTATATACCGCCTTTTGGCACCGCTCTTACAGTGTATTGTAAATGAAGCCCTCAAATGGAAGCCTCCCTCCCGGGTAATATTGAAGCTATTCCCACAATACAAATATTCCAACCCTCCCGTTCCTAGGCGTGAAGCCTCTCTTATACCATATTCTCGACGATTTCAATGCCCCTCGACCATACATATCGCCAATCTGTCCTTATCGATCCCGACCGTACAAATCGCTATCCATCCTCATCAATCCGAATACCCCTGACCATCTCCATACGCCCACGGATCAATCTCGACGCTTATAAACGTGAGATTCGGAGTCAGCCTCGGCGATAGGAATACAAGGACGTATAGTTTATCTTGAGGGGAGCTTCAAGTGGTGAAAGAGAGGGGGACGAGTACACAGTGGGAAGACTTCAACGCCCAGGAATAAGGGAATTCCAGGATTTGTATAGGTGCGAATAGCGTCATATTTGTGCCTATTTCTTGAGGCACCAGGATTGTCGACCTCGGGAGAAATTAAAGAATTCGTAGTACTTGAATTCTTTAATTTCTCCCAAGGGCTCTGTTATGGTAATTCATGTATTCATATTTTCTGCCGGCAAATATTCAGGCTTATTAAGGCATCAATATTACTAATATTGGTTTCCGACCCCTGGCCGGGATACACCTTCGCAGCCAAACAGAGTTATACATCGGAAACCACTTGTATAGAAGAAAATTCTGATTCCTTTAGTTCGATATTCCCCTTCTGGGGTCCAACTCCAATTTCCCGGCCCCGGACAAATGGATAATCCATACGAGACCACCTTAGTCAGCGAAATCCATCCGACCTTCAAGGTTGCCCAAGGCATTCATTATACGATCATTGCGAGATGCTTGTCGAAGCCAATTGCAAAATGACAAATCATCGAAACATGGGTGAAATTTATGTCACCTGAGTGATATTATGGTCTGGCACCACGGAGGCCCTCCGTTCACATGATCGGGGCCATCTCCGAGTAAATTCCGGATGCGCAATGGTTGGATATTACTCTTCCACTACAAACCATCTGGGTAGCAATGAAACAGAATCATCAGCATTGGCGCTTGTCGTACTGGAGGGCCTCCGGTGTGCTCGCCGTCGGTTCCATCCGCTCGAGGATAGCACGTCTCATGTCTCCGTCATCGCGTTTAAGCTCAAGGGTCGCGTGATCGGACATTATAGGTTCAGAATTTCGAAAATAAAAGAACGATTTGTCGAGGAGGGATTTTGCTGCAAAATCAAAACCTCTATCGATCGTCGGATATCCTGCAAAGACATCTCACTATGACTCCAACGATCTCATCTCTGTTTGGTTACAAACCCTGTCGCTCTGAAGCACCAAAGGCCCTAGAGGAACCCCTCAAAGCTCTCCCGGCTTCCTGGTATCGTTCACCAGAGATGTATGAGTTGGAGAGAAGGGCCATCTTCTCAAAGAAATGGATTTTGATTACTCACAAATTGCGTTTCGAAAAGCCGGGAGATTTTTATCGCTTTGAGGTTGCTGGGTTTTCATTTGTGCTTTGTCTCGACCGTGAGGGTAACTTAAACGGCTTCCACAACATCTGTCGGCATCGTGCGTTTCCGCTTATCTCCCAAGATGAGGGCAATACCCCAATTCTTTCTTGCAAGTATCATGGATGGTCATATGGACTTAATGGAAAATTGGCCAAAGCACCCAAATTCGACAAAGTTCCAGGATTCAAGAAGGAGGAACAAAACCTATTCCCAGTTCATATTCATGTTGACGCGCTAGGTTTCATCTGGGTCAATCTCGATTTCTCCCCAACACCAATCCCCTGGGAAGAGGATTTCAAAGGCGTGGACACGCAAGAAAGGTTCGGGCAATTTGATTTCAGCCGGTATCAATTTGACCACACATGGCATATGAATGGAAATTACAACTGGAAAACCTTGGCCGACAACTACAATGAGTGTTATCATTGCACTGTGGCCCACCCGGATGTCGCAAAGCTCGCTGATCTGTCATATTATTACACAATATCGAAGCCTGGACACATCCAGCATTTCTCCCGCCCGAAGAAAGACAAAGTGGAAGACGATATCAAGAATGCCAGCACGTACTATTTCCCAAATGCTTGCATGACAGTTTCGTAGGTTCTCACTCATATCGAAGCACAACAGTGGGAACTAATGTCTTTCATTATAGGCCGCACTTTTTCTATCTCATGCGATGCGTACCAACTTCAGCGGGAACTTGCTCCATGGAATACGAAGTTTATCGGCATAAGGAAGCCTCTGATGAAGATTTTGAGTACATTGACTCATTTTTCAAGCGAGTCTTGCACGAAGATAAACATCTTTGCAATGCGGCTCAAAAGAATCTAGATGCTGGAGTGTTTGTCAATGGGCAACTTCACCCAGAACTTGAGAGCGCTCCTTTATTCTTCCAAAACACTGTGAGGGGCCTCCTCAAAAACCACCGAGACGAGGAAAAACGTGCGAAAATGGAACTATGGCCAGCTCGCCAGAGCTCCACGGGTTCGACCACTGCTGACGATATTGAGTTCTGTGCGGAACTAGCATGTAGTGGGAGATCTAGTAATCTTGAATGGTAGTTTAGGAGAAATGAGCTGGTCCAATGGAATTTGGTTCTTTTGAGTTTTGTTCCTAATATTTCCTTTTTTTGCAACTGAATAGGCAAGGCACAACAGCTAGCAATTTCTAAGAATAGTACAACTTAGAGGATATCCATTGGATGGAGATAAGTAGCATACACATGTTGTACGCTGGCTACATATGTATGCACGATGTCCAGTACATGTGGACCCAAGAGACAGATCATTTGCGACCCCGCACTTTCGTTGAAATATAATATTCACTCCGTGACAGCCTATGTAGCTTCATTATCGTGTAACCACATAATGACTTCTATGAATTCCCGTGTTAGCAAGAGATCGCATCAGGCCTGTGAAAACTGTCGGTATGTATTTTCTCCATATGAATCCAAGATTACCCACTGACACGCATTGTATAGACGAAAGAAGACGCGCTGTCCCGGGGAAAGACCGGCATGTTCAACTTGCACTCGTCTCAGCCAGACATGCCGCTATAGCAGGCGTCATGACTCATTGGAACGACCCGGCGATCGGGTTTTGGTGGGACATGACTTGACCAATACGGCCTCAGCAAACTAACCAAGCTGTAGGAAGATCGACTACACCATCTAGAACAGAAACTAGAAATGATGTTGGAAAGGTCGATGTATGTCCATTGAAACCCCTACCGCCGTGAGCAGTCTCTAACTTCGATAGCCCAAATAACCAATCTGCAACCCCAAATTCTTTCTCATGTGAACCTGCTAGTGCACACGAGCCTACCTCACTATCCCCTCAAGTCCTGCGTGATCCTATAGCCATGGGGGAACCCCACTGTGATAGCCTGGAACAAAGTGCGAGTGACACACCATTTATCATTCCACCAAAGGAAATTGTCATTGAATCTTTCAGTCTATATCTACAGTATTGCCACAAACAGCCGTTGTGGCTTTTTGATGAAGAGGATTTATCAAATCCACAAGGCTCCTGCCAAGAACTCATGTTTGGTATACTTGCATTGGCTCTACGTTATTCAGACAACCCATTTTTTGAGGGTCAAAGGGACAAAATGTGCCGAGAATATGCCGAAGCTGCTCGTGGCCTTGTTATGCTTCGAATAGCCCAGGGAAAGGTACGACTTTCTACGATACAAAGCCTTTGTCTCATTACGCTGGGAAACTTTATCTGTAAGTCAGCCACCTATCTCCTAAGTCATCCCTACTGCTAATCACTCAGTGTGCAGCTAATGATACTCACATGGCCTGGTTACACATTGGTCTTGCTACAAGCCTCTCCAAATGTGGGGGACTTGACATTGAGTCGCATCATGGAGAACTCTCAGATACGATCGAGACACAACGAAAACTGTTCTGGAGCATTCACCTTCTCAATCAGCAATATGGCCCAGGAAATATGCAACTGAGCCTGCTCCACGAAATTCAACATCCAAAGTATATGGGTGTAAACATGGACACCATGAGCAGAATGGGAGTAAAACCTCCCCAGCCTCCACAGGAAACCGGAAATGCAAGACAAACCGAAGGTATCTGGATTTACATGGTGCAACTATCCACTTTGTGGAGCGAAGTACAACATTACGTTTCACATTGCGCCAGCGGAGACTCAACACCCCCTTGGTCATTGAAATCGGGTTATTCCGCCATAGGGGCCCATCTAATGAACATTGAGACAAAGTTTCCTACATCACATCGTTGGGACTCGGTGAGATTCATGGACCACTCAAAAGAAGACTTACACCAAAATCGAGGCTATTGGAGTCCTTGGCTATATCTCCAGTTTACCTATCACGCCATCCACAGTGTCCTCAACCATCCGTTTCTTTATTCATGGAGACCCCAACAATCTTCTCAACTTGCTGTCCCAAACACCTTTTGGAAAACATCATCTGAGCTAGCTCTCATTCACACGACATGGACAGTTCGGCTGATTGAAATAATCAAAGAGAAACACTACCAAGTATCCGACCCATCCATTGGACATCTGGTAGCCATCGCTGCAACAATTCAGCTTTACTATTGCTGCGCGGCAGATCCGGCCATCAGGGACTCTGCGCAAACCAAAGTTGATATTTGTCTGAGGTTTTTAGGACAGCTTGCAAAAAAGTGGCCAAGGTGCCAGGCAATAGTAAGTATGATCCGACAACCAAAGGTTTCAATAAACTTACCAAGCGAAATAGCACCAAAAGCTAGAACTGATCCTACAGTCGGCATTTGCTTCAAATACGGCCCTGAGAAGGCTCAATTCTCCCCGAAGAAAGCTATCAATCAATACAGCGTTGATGTGGGACATCCTTCTCTACAACTCGCCAAGGACGTCATCTGCACATATAGGAGAAGGCCTTTTTGATATATCATTTTTCCAAGCGCCTGAGAATAGGATGGAGGACAAAGAGACTGTTGAGACAGAGTTTTTTCATCATTCTACAAGAACAATCGATACATCAGATGGAGGTCAAGGATTACCACCCTACTCAAGTGCCGTGAATGGTCGATCCTCTTCAAGAGATGAGCAACAGAGTGAACAAGGGCTGTGGAATCGAAGTCTTTCTTCCCCTCCGGACAATATTAATGAACAGCTGCTACCTCAAGAAACAATGATATCGTCCGGTTCCGGGTTCCGGGGGGACGTATCTTGGATGGACCTTTCACATGACCCATTTTTTCAGTTCCAAGATAATCTCAATCCTAACTTGGGAATATGGGAAGTTGGCAATTTATAATTCGGAACATCTTTTTGAAAAAGAAATGCTATCTGTCCCATGCCTAGTAAGAGCTCTAAGCTTACTAGTAGACTAGTAGCTCCTAGTAAAAAGTTCCTTATAGAGCCGCTGGCATGTTTTATCGCTCATCTAACAACTACTACATAGTAGGTGCGTATAAAATATACAATACGCTACGAGATATATTCGAAGAATAGCTTCTATAGATTTTATCTTACAAGACCCCTAGTCACTAATTCAATGCCTCCACACGCTTCAACTTCACCCACATACCTCCTTCAGGCTTAGTAGTAATCAGTCCTGCTGGGATAGGATTATTTTCGGGATAGGCCATGGCAATCTCAAATGCCGCAACCACGTTGGCGGTTAATGCTCTTAGCTCGCCCTTTGCAAAGCCTTGACCGATGCAAGTGTGTGGACCGTGTAGGAATGTCATAATCGAGTAATTATTGTCTGCCCCACCTGTATTGTTTGGCTTTTTTTGTGGTGGGATCAATCCAACGCTCAGGATCGAAAACTTCTGATGTTGGACCCCAAGTTTCAGGAGACCGATTAACTGACCATGGAACAATGTAAATCTCTGTTCCCATTGGTATATGATAACCAAGCACAGTTGTTGGCTTGGCAGGCGTTCTCATAGTCAGCGGCACGGTCGGGAACAGACGAAGTGACTCGTTGATAACCCCATTTAGTAGTGGGAGACCTTCAAGAAGGCTAGAAATATCAACAGTGTCATTTTCAAGGTCGTTGGGCTTCACATATGTTCGGAGTTCTTCGCGTAAACGTGACTGGATATCGGGGTGACGAGCCAGATGGTAGATGACCCATGCGAATGTAGAAGAAGTCGTTTCATGCCTTAACATTTGAAGTCAGTTTACCGCGATAATGGATTCGAGAGACATAAGGAAATTGACCCAGCTGCAATAAAAGTCAAAAGTTGATCGACCAGCTCAATATCTGCAAACTCATTCATCTCGATAAGCTTCGCCAAAACATCCGTCGAGATACTTTGAGAGTTTGACATCAGGCTTTTCTTTTCTTGAAGAAACTTCATACAGATCTCCCGCAATGTAGCCGTAGCCAGCTTAAACCGCTTTTCAACCTTTCCAGGAATGAATCGGGTGAGCGAAGTAAGTTGGTAACTACTAAGAATAAACATAGCAAGCTTCCCAGGGGTTGGGTCCAGAATCTCTTCGTAGCTTTGAACAAGAATGTCGTCGGACTTCTCCAATGTATTGAAATCGCGGCCAAGGGCTGCCACGCCGATCATATCGAGCGTAACTTTAGTTGACCAGAAATTGATGTCGGTTATAGCCTCGGTGCCCTTTTCAGAGTTCTGAAAGAGGTCTGCTTCCATGCACTGCACCAGCTTAGCTGATTTTCTCCAGAACAGAGGATGGAGCTCCTTGATGCTTCGGAAACCGAAGCTAGGGAGAAGACGTTTTCGCTGAAATTTGTGAACATCTCCTTCAACTGTCACAAGACCCTTTCCCAATATAGCGCTCAAAATCGCGTGGACCCTCGGCTTTTACAAAATCGTAGGGCCGCTTGACCAGAACTTCAGCGAGTGCTTCGGCACTAACTAGAAGGACATTGTTCTGGTTCCAAAATCCCCTATAACGTATCAATCCATTGTTGGGAACATCGCGAATGAATTGAAGGTGGTCTGATCCAACAGGCTTTCTAAATCGACTGAATCCGTACCCAACTAGTGGATAGCCGCCCTATACATTATAATGTATCAGTTCCAATTTGGGTTTCAACTGAAATGGGCGATAGAATAGCTTACCTTGGGTGCAGGAAGAGACCGGAGAGGGCAAATGAACCTAGGATATACTTCCAAGATAAAAATGGCCCATAATATTGAGTGCAGGAGAATGAAGTTCCAGACACAGGCTGAGGAAGAAAGGCCGTGGAAATACTCTGGGCGGGCGTGATAGCAACCCAGGTAACCCGCTAGGGTAACGGGTACCACAAATAGCTGATTTACAAAGGCGGAACGCATGATGTGAAATATGATGTGAAATAAAAGTCTCTAAATGGTCTTTTGATCGCCTCATAAAAGAATGGTCGGTCATATCAGGTAAGAAATCCCTACTTAAGTCTGAACCGAGCAGAGTGGACGACATTAGGATATGCCGACACCCGATATACGACCCCCGAAATCCGAAATGAGGTACCAGAGCGGGTGCAGGCCATCTCGTTCTATACGGCAAGCGGAGTGAGCATTGACAACTAACCATTGGGTAATTAACAACTACAGAACACTGTGCCCTGGAGAACCACAGCAACTCTCTTTTACATGATATACTGTATGCACCCAAAAGCACTCATCTCAACCATTGTCGTAGTTTATTATAAAAGCGTATCTACAAATTGATTCAGGTGCCAATTTTGCCTGCCTCGAAGGTTCTGTGGACAGAAAAAAGCAGTAGAATACTTCTTGAGAATGGAGTTAAAGAGAATCACAAAGAGGTTGCTCAAAGGTCAATATCGGCATGGTCCGTACACGAACAATACGAAGCTGGGAGCTCGGATGGGGAAATTCCAAACACAGTGCTACCAGGCCCCCAATACTGGGCATGTGCCCTGAGGTTGGTTCCGAGGTCTGCGAGAAGGCAGAAACACACGCTCAGATCCCACGAGTCACCTCAAGGGATCACCGCATGACGACTATGTGACTGAATTGGAAGGCCTCGGACTCCGTTGAAAAAGCAGAGTGAGCACAAAGGTCAATTGATTGGGAACCGATGCTATAGCAAAATTTGTTCCACCTATCGGGGTGGAATAGCGCCGTCGGCTCAGTTTTATCATCTTTTCTTGAATATTAGTGGTCTTCGGTTGTCGGTGGTATACATATTTATGCCCTCCAGTCGCCCCACACCGTCTCGAATAGGATTCGTCGGCCATAGTAGATATCGGATGTCGCTACTATTTGATAGAGTTAATAAAGATACCCCAAAAAATGGGAATTAGCTGGATAGTAGCTAATAGTTACACTATATTCTAATAGCGATAATGCAGTCATAATCATAAAAAAGGACAATTACTCCAAGGGAACTCAGTCGATCGACGCTAGATATCACTTGGTGAGATATACCGTCCGGGAAGTAATTGTTAACCTAGGGTTAATTTTAAGTGCCGAGAACATTACTAATGCACCTATAAAGCTATTGTTGAATAAGGCCTTTGAACCGATGGGAGAGAAGATAATCAAGGCTTCGGCAGATTGATAACAGCAAGGAGATGAAATCAGATGGAAAATGAATTTGAAATCGATAGAGAAATAGGGGGTAAAACCATAAGGAATGAATTGATAGAATATGTATAAAAAAAGAATTTGAAAACTACAAAAATGTCCAGTTTTTAGTATGTGGGCCTGAATGACTTCGATACATAGTTTTTGCGGATGAAACACTAGATGAGATGATTTGTGAGGGTTTATGCCTAGGGGTGTGTTGTGGTGGCGGACAGATACGCGTAATAAATAGCTAAACCCAATCGGCGCCCAGGACCCCCACACTAGAGATATCGAGAGCGCCATTTTTGGAGTAGCAAAAAGACCCCTTATATGCACCGACACTTCCGAAAGCGATACTTTCATCTGGGATCGGGTAGTGTTGATCCGACTACAACCTTCTAGGTTCTCTAAGTTTAGGTAGCATGCTCGATTATAAGCCTGGGATAGATTTTGAAGTGTTTCACAAAATCTGCATCTTGTCCTTTGAAAATGAAAAACTCTGATGTTTCAGGGAAGCGCATCACTTGGAATCGTGCAAGGCTAAATACAAAGACAAGGGCTCCACAAGGGTGATATAGATATCTTCAACCCATGTTGTTAGTATTGGTGCATGAGACAGATCGGTTGGAAGGGCAGCTATAGTTTGCTATTATCATATTCGCACGGTCTGTGGTCTTTTGGATAAATATCATAAATAATCACCCATCAATTACCACGCAAAAAGATCAGCTATGATCCGTTTTACCACTAGTTCCGTGGAGATACTCATCAGAAAGAGCAATAGAGAATCAACCCCATATCTAATCAAGCAATGTGAGTACGCCACTCAACCTGCTCAATTGAATTGAGGGTTGATAACCTTTAGAGTTCAATCTTCTCTAGCATCTTTAGATCTAGCTATTTTGCGCTTTGTAACTGATACAGAATATCCTCTAGGGAAAGATAAGCTGCGAGACAAGTATTTCACTTGTAGAGCCTACAAAGCGCGCGCCTAGTTTGATATTGATCAACTTGCATAGGTGAGATAACTGATGCGTGGACTAATCGGATAGATTCTGCCAGGAAAGTTAATCTATTGCGTTTTTCACGGGAGCTTGATAGGATTGATAGGATTTGCTATCTATGTGACTGGAAGGGACCGCGTTTATGGCGTAGATCCAATCAAGAGTTATTCAAGAAACCGATCTACATCGTGGATACGCCGAATTGAGGAAAATTGCACTGGAAAACCAATGGGATACATTCGATTTGAGAGTTAGAATTTGTGGACTTTGTCTGTCAGCTTCATATATAATTCTACGGAGTAATCCGTAGTTATTGACCATATACGGAGTGCTCTGTACTAGAAAAGTAATATTTGAGACCTTTACCCGTCCAATAGTGCCCCTAATGAACGGTGAGGCATAGATCTGCAGCCCTATCTGTAATAATGTCAGGGGGTTTGGTGACAATTATACCTCTGGCGAAGATCAATACCAAGTGTGTCACTAGGCTACGTGTGATGGATAATATACTCGTTTCTTGCGTTAGTAACGATCTTGAGGTGGATTCACACCTACTTAGCGTTAAAATTACCAGTGACACAAATCATGGAACAGGTACGGAGTAAGAAACAATTAAATGTTTTGGGTTCAGCTGGTAGGATTATGGACCAAAAAAGGGCCCGGCTCTGCTTCATGCTATCATCTTTTCTATTGACAGAAAAGGAGTTGTATCGGTATTTTTTTGATCTTCATCTCTACATTACACGCTGCTCTGATCCCCCATCTAACAATTTCCCCTGAAATTTGTCTCTTTCAGCCGTATCTGTCAGTTTCTTCTATGCTTACCGCAATATTTAGCAACGTCTCAGTTTGAAATTCAATCCCTCAAACCTGACATCCTAAAGCCTCAGGGGATACCTCCTCTTGTCGTCTTCGAATGACCAGGTTCGCGGTCGAATCAGCAGCCATAGACACCCCAAACCGCCTGACTTGTGGTAGACATGTCTCATCGAGCTTAATGTCATATTTGAGAAGGATTTGGCAGAGAGCAATTTTCATCTCGTTGGCGGCAAAAAATCTTCCGGGACAGGCATGCTGCCCAAAGCCCCAGCCCAAATGAATTGGAGAAGGTGCAACCAGTTGAGCGGCTGTCTGTTGGCCAGGAATATCACGCATTTTGAGGAAACGATAACCATCAAACTGTTGTGGGTTTTCATAGTTCTTCTCGTCCCACATGCTATCCGCGGAGATCAAGATGGTGGTGTCTTTGGGGATGAAGACTCCGTCTGATAGCTCAACGTCGGTGGTAGTAAGACGACGCATTGGCGCTGCCAACAGTCAATATTTTGAAACATGGAAATGTATTGGGAAATCTTACTGATTGCAACAGGCTTCAATCGTTGGCTCTCCTTGATTGTACTGTCCATAAGAACCAATTTGTATAGGGAGATCTTATTCCAACCGTTATCGCGAGTCACAGTTATTATCTCCTCGCGTAGAGCTTTAATCAGGTCTGGCTGGGCAGCGATGTCAAAGAGAATCTGTGTCAGCATGTCCGCTGAGGTATGGATAGCAGCCATAGAAAGCAGAAGCTGTGAAATCGCTGGGTTGTATGGGCGACCTTTGGCAACATCTTCCATCCAGTCAATAGCATCATTATGTTCTGTTGGGACTTTTCCTGCCTTGATTGCAGCTGCTTTTTCGGCTCGTCTCTTGGTCAGGATTGGTGTGATTAGGTCAAGGGCCTGTTTCATATCCGATCGAATCATACGGCACGAAGGGAGCACCTGATTGGCGAAAGGTCGCAGAATCTTTGGCCATTGTCGCAATTTTTCGGTCGCGCGAATCACATGGATGGCATAGTTAATGGTGATATGGAGCCAATTGGGGTCTCGGCATAGCAGTTCACCCAAGAATACCCTGGAGGACATCTGGGCCAGCATGGGAGTGATGGTAGTTCGGAGAGATATGGCGTGCCATTCTATCTTAATGTGAGCATTCATCTCAACTTCACAGAAACGTATGTCCCAACTTACCCTTCTCATCAGTCCAGTGTTTTTGAACTGCCATGGCAGTCTCCTTCGAGAGATGCTCTGTGACGCGCCCTTTTGTAGATATTTAGTTAGTCCTTAGTGTCTTCCAAATGTTTTCTTGTGAGCCGTTACCCAGTGTGCGTGTCAGCTTCGTCAGTACAACATCGTGCATGATTCGCTCATCTTTGGATCCTTCGCGAAAGGGCTCAAAGCCAGGAAGATGGGAATGCAATTCCTTCGCGGATGCCTTGTCACGGCTCATGTCGGGATGATTTCGAATCTCATTGAGATATTTCGGTGGGAGTACAACTTGGCATCCATTATCTGTGATCAGCCGGAACCCCTTCGCGGACTATATTGATGAGATGTAAGCCCTGTGTATCAATTAATAGGTGTGATAAGTGGAAGGTACCTGAGAAAACCCGGATTTGATAAGGTCCGCCGCGCCAGTGACATAGGAACGACGAGACTTCATGCTTCCAAGATCCAAGATGGAATTTTGATTGATTAATGGCAGTTTCGACCCAACTGCAAAAGCGAGCTGCAGGACATAGCCAGTAAGAAGAATAACGCCAACTGCGACTACCGCATCAGCAGGCGGTAGCCCATTGATTAGATACCCAAGCATAATGAGCTCTAGTAGGTACTGTAGCTACAATTCAAGTGCATATAAATAGTAGGCTTTCCAGTATAGGAATTGAAGTGTATAGGAATTGAAGTGTATAGGAATTGAAGTGTATAGGAATTGAAGTGTATAGGAATCAGTAGCAAGTTGAGAAAGGATGGGTGGGCTTGTTGAATGCTGGCAAATGGTTAAATAATAGATAGAATTCGTAAGCTGAACGTTTCCCGACGCACGTATACCGTGGTGATGCATAAAAATATAGAAAATATAGAAAAAGAACTACGTGTTCCGCTGACGCAAGGACAATTGGGAGTTCCAAATGAGAGAAGAGGGGTGAGACCTCAGTAACATGTCAATATCATTGGAGAGAGATGGATGTGATGATGATCACAGAAAACAAGAAGCTATCAAGTTCTCCTGTATGATGTCAGTATGCAGAAGTGTTGGGTGGCTTCAGGTCCAAGGGCCAAGGACCTACGCAGGCAGTCACATGTGTAGATCCCTCTTTTCTTCTCTCTCTTCCTATCTCTCCCTATATGTGCCTCCCATTAATAATGAAACTCTTACTACATTCTTTCTGTTCTGCGATCATTCATTGTTTAGCATATTTTGGAAGAATGTTTATGTAAGGCTTATTTCATACCTACTTTGTATACGGTCATATAGGGCGCTGATATACTTTGTAGTTCGATGACGGGTGGCTTTCCACCTGCAGCCACCCATCCCCAAGAGCTTCACTTCACTCCGGATATGCTACAGTAGAAATTTACTGAGACAGCAGGTTGAAACATGCGTGAATTTGCAAATGCATATTTGATACTCTGTATCTCAAATCTTCTTATCCCACACCGCTCCCTCAGTAGGAACCAATAGTTCCCTATATTGTACATGCAAGTAATGTATAGAATAGTGGCTGGCTGATTGGACCATGGCGATCAGTGCATAAATTCGGCATTGGGACCTTCCGTGTGAAGATCATGCGCAAACGAGCCGCAGAACTCCATACTGCAGAACAAGATTAAATAGTAAGACACACTAATGCAAGTAGCCGAGAACATTATACTATGTGGCCCGGTAATATTCGGCCATTCTTGAACCTGCGTAATGGTCATGTAGAAGGGAACGCGTACTTTGTATGAACTTGATATATCTGGTTTCATGTGAGACGTATGAGCAGTTCAAAATTTTATTGATATTCCTAGTTAGTTATCAGTGATTGACATGGGATTGCCTAATTTGGCGTTCCGTCTCGCCAAGAATCTTGCTCTCCTGTGGAAGTAAGAATAGCGCTGCCCATGTAGTTCGACATCGTCCGATCCCTTTATCTATATAAAAACTACATCATGTTATATCGCAGGAATACAATTCAATTCGAGTTGCATGCAGTTATTCGACACAACCCGGTGTTGTTGTCATTCTCCGTATGTTTATTGCCCATGTGCAATTAAGGGGCCATGTATCTATGGTAGACCTGAACCCAGAAATATATGTAAAGGGAATTGTTAATTGTACGCCCCACCCCTGCCTGATTTTTCAGTACGGCCTCCCAATTGGTCACCGCTTTTGCCTCGAAGCCTAGGTCTGCCTACCGCTCTCTACACCGTCTTCCTGGCAAACTCCCTATACAATGGTAGTAGACAGCAGGTACCTACAATTTGTATATAAACCCTATATAAAATGAAGTCACTTTTGTTACTCAGGACGCTGAGGAGAGCAACAATGCCGAGACCGGAGGACAGGGATATGGAGGAGCAAAAAACCCGCGGGGAGGTGTCTGTAAACTAGCATAATCAATTTGTAGAGTAGATTAATAGAGAAATGAATGAAATATACGATTTTTTCTGATTCAAATGGTGCATTCTTCACGATATAAACCAGAATTACTATGGTGATGGCAGAATATATGGCAGTACAAAAATGGAGCGGCAGAAATCATGGCAGAATTATCGATCGCGCCCAATTAAGAAGGCGGTACTGAAAAATCAGGCAGGGGGGTGAGAGCAGCAGGAGGGGGGGGGGGGTGCGATTAACAATTCCCTATATAAAACCAGGGTTCATGTTACAGGAAAAAAAAGCTAAGATAGATTTACAATTTATTTCTATGCCTCTGCGTAAGAATATCTTTGGAAGATGTTCATATTAACATGCAAGCTATTTTTATCTGTTCCTAGTCCTTGCTAAGTAACCTAATCCCTAGCCCCTATGTTGGGTTAGGAGATATAGGTTGGTGGATATATAAAGTAGGTCGAAGCGAACAATTTGTGCCACAGAACCGAACATGCTGGTATTTCAAACACGAGTGAACAAGGTTGGAAATAATCCGACCAATCAGACAGAAATATCTGTCAGAAGGATTCTATGATATAGTAAAATACAGTAGGTAATAATCTATTGAACAAGTTTCTCATGTGCCGGTTCATCACCGATCTCCATCATCTTCCTCTCCAATAACTTCGTCATTTCAATCACAGCTTCCGCATACTTCGGATCCGAATAACAATTGAACAGCTCGAGCGGGTCCTCCTGGCAGTCAAACAACTCCCATTCACGACAATCTTCACCTCCTGGCCGCGCTCCCTCAACGAGCAAATCGTCATTGTACCAGTAAATCAACTTGTACCGATGGTTGCGCACTCCATAGTGTGCATATGCTTCGTGTTCTGCATCATTATGCATCCAGTATCTGTGATAAGCCAGCTGATCCCAATCAGCGGGGCAATTACCCCCTAAAATTGAGCGGAACGTTCGGCCCTGCATATACGTCGGCGTTGTGATGCCGGCGAAATCCAAGAATGTCGGCGCGAAATCCACATTGCAGACAATGTCACTGCAGACACTGCCAGCCTTGATTTCTTTGGGGTATCGAATCATTAACGGCATTTGGAAACTCTCTTCGTAAATGAACCGCTTGTCAAACCATCCATGTTCGCCGAGAAAGAAGCCCTGATCCGATGTATAGACGACAATTGTGTTCTCTGCCAACTCCGGATCGGAGTCGAGCAGTTCAAAGATTCGGCCAACATTATCATCAATGCTCTGAACGGTACGGAGATACCGTTGCATGTAGCGCTGGAACTTGAACTCAGCCAGTTCCTTTGTGGATTGAAAGCGGAAGATGGTGCCGTCTTCATTGTCGATGAGCTTCATCTTTTGAACTTCATCGTCCGTGGCAGGTGAGGGAACCTTCCGCATACCGAAGGCCATCTTCTCTCCGACTTTTCTTCTATCACCATCAGGCTGTGCGAGACCAAGATCTTTGTAGGACAAGTCTTCCGAAACTCGCATTTTCGCAATTGCAGCAGCCTTTGCTCTGTTTTTGTAGTCATCCGAGAAGGTGTCGGGTAGCTGGATGGGATCTTGATACAGATCCTTGTGCTTCTCCTGGTATTCCCAGCTCCGATGCGGCGCCTTGTGGTGGCACATGACGAAAAAGGGCTTGGACTGGTCTCGACTTTTGATAAAATCGAGAGTCATATCTGTGATGATGTCCGTCGCGTATCCTTCTATGACTTTTGTACCATCTGGACCAATGAACTCGGGGTCATAATATTCGCCTTGACCCGGGAGGATGGACCAGAAATCAAATCCTGTGGGCTCATGCATTTTTCCCTCCCCCAGGTGCCACTTGCCGATCATGGCGGTCTGGTAGCCACCCCCTCGGAGCTGTTTGGCGACGTTTGGAGTGTGTCGTTGGATCTTCGAGTGGAGGGACATCACGCCATTGACATGGTTGTGCGTGCCAGTCAAGATGGCTGCTCGGGATGGGGTGCAGATACTGTTGGTGACATAACAGTGATCGAAGCGCATTCCCTCGTTTGCGATCCGGTCGAGGTTTGGCGTTTGGTTGATCCCAGCTCCGTAGCAGGATATGGCCTTCGAGGCATGGTCGTCGGCCATAATGAAGACAATGTTGGGTCGCCTGGACCCTGAATTATTAGCGGCCATGGTGGTCTTTGGTGTCAGCAGATGCTAACAACAGGGAAATCTTGAGAGGCTAGAAGGGGCGCTGCGTAGGAAAGACGAAATTATCACGAATGCGCTCGCAATCTAGGAAACAGTTAACTGGGCATTGTGTCTTATTAGCCACGAATGGTGCCTTCGATGTGACACGATCCCCTGAGAATTCAATGCTACATGATAAGAGCTAGAAGATTCGAGGTTTCCCCAGACAAGGCGGCTGTCGGAGGTTCTTTGGAAGAAAGACGGATGTCGGTCAGTCTGCCTCAACTTGGATTAGTCACCCCACCGACACGAGCTTCGGCCCACTTAAAATGAACCGAGACTATCAGAATGTTACTCTGCAACCTCAACAAGTATGGGGACTTTGATCAATGCTTTATTATCTAGGTTACCTGCACAATGCCGACATCCGATCCAATGATATTACCTTATTTATCTGTTTTCAGATCGCCAAATCCTCGAGCGAAACAGGTCTGCCAGCAGTGCCGAGCTCGGAAGGTATTCCCCGCTTCGATAGTGTTCAGGACAAATCAAAATCAATTACTAACGGATGACCAGGTCGGCTGTGATGGCAGACTTTCTATTTGCCGCAACTGCGAGCGCCTTGGCTTCCAGTGTTCCTTTACTCAGCGGGGTGAATCGCTTCTAGCGGTTGGTGCGAGATCAGGTCTAAGCAGCGACGAAAGACCCGAGCGGCTACGAGGCCGGAGTTCGTGTTCACAATGCCGGTTGCGAAAGGTCCGCTGCTCTAATACCCACCCGCAATGTGCCAACTGCATCAAATATAGCAGGCATTGTTCATATCCCGCATCGATGGGGACCCAGCGACATGACAGAAATTCCGGGGGACATGGGGAACATGGGGAACATGATCTACCTGGTGCTCCACCCCCAGGGTCCCAAAGTCCCGATACTGCTTTTCACACACATAATGCAATGCCAGTTGATGACAGCTCACTGTCGCCAGAGCTAAGCAAAGAAACAGCCCATGGAGATCCCTCACACAGTGAAGCGACAGAACTGATCCAAAACTTTTTCGAATATCTCTATGCAGTTCCTTCTTATGCATTTTTGCATCCTTCTACAACCTTGGCGAAATGCAATAAAGGCACATTAGAGCGACCGCTCGTTCTTGCTATTTGTGCCATGACATCCTTGCACATGCCTGTACAAAACGTCACCGTCGATCGGGAGAAGAGTGCTGCATGGGTCTCGGATGCGGAAGAGACTATCTGGAAACGCCTGGAGAATCCATCAATGTCTCGTTTGCAAGCTCTATTGCTGACCATCAGCTATCGAATGGCAACAGGGAGCTATGAAAAGGCATTCATGTTGACCGCTATCGCTGCCCGCGCGGCATCTGCCATGGGTCTTAATCATGAGCAAACCCACTTGGACCCGATTTTGGAGGAGACTAGGCGCCGCACCGTATGGTGCTTCAAGTTGATAGAGTCATATTTTTCTATCGGGTTGACAGAATTTGAAGTCTGCCCCTTTGAGTGCATTTATTTACACCCTCCATCATTGGAAGACTCCTTTGGTTTGGTATGTCCGCCTGGCTCTGAAGGGTTTTCCGTCTATGCATTGAGAGATCCGAATGAATTGGGAACGTTGAATATGTGTATTCGTTTGGCCTCTATTCGCAGGGATATTATGAAGTTGACCCGGGAGCTCGCTGTCTGCAGCGAGCCTTACTTGCATCTCAAAGATGTGACTGGAGGCCTTGAGGAGATCCTCTGTGAACTTAAAATAGAAATGCCAAACCAAGGAGAAATCTCGACCACGGGGCTGAAGAATTTGATTGAAAGTTCTTGGCTCCCCCGTCACATTATGATGTTTACCATGTGGCATGGGTGCTACTTTGACCTCTATCGGATTTTCCTTCCTGGGTACCCCGAGGCTCCGCCATCTGTTGTATTGAGTACCATTGACGCACAGTTTGTTCAAATGGCGGCCAGAGTCTGTATTGAACATGCATTGGCAGTCGTCAATTTGTTCTGTGACTTGAACCACACCTGTACCAAGCCGCGATTGCTTGAATTTGCTACCGGGGTGTGCGTTTATCACGCCATTCGGTTGATTTTGTTTATCGCTCATTCATCCACTGAGCCAGATCTTCTCAGCCTTGAATTTGCAGTGAGTCGGGCAGAGTTATGCTTGGCAGCTATCAAGCGGTTTTACCATGGGCTAGCCTTGGCACAGCCAATCCTCGACGATATTGCGCAATTGATCGAAACATTTTCGTCAAGCAGTTCCGCAACAGAGAGCCTTTCCGTATTCCACAAAGTTAATCACGGTCGAAAGTCCGACACACGGATTTTATCTGCCGCGCGACCTCGGCAACACTTAGCGGTTCACAGCGTCTTACAACAGGCCAAATTCCTCACAGAGGAGCCTCTCTCATGATCAATTATTGCAACCCTGAATACTGCGCTGGCGTTACATTAGTATTAGATATGGTTACATATGTAGGGAGTACAATTGAATTTGATACAGTTTTTCTCTCGGATTACCTATCACCTAAACCCAGGCCAGGATACCAAGATACACGCGATATAGCAAATGTCATCGATTTTAAGTCCTCCCTAACCAATCCCCGCATACGAGGATCCGATCTCGCTAATGCAACCTGTTGAACTTTAACCTTGTCAGCTTCAACGTGTGGAACCATAGTGGAGTCCTTCGGTAGTCGGTCTCTATTCCCTAATTGGGATATCTGCCCCATTTTCTTTTTTTTTCCTCTTTCTAGAATTTCAATATGACTTGAAATCAACCCGATAACAGTTCCGAATAACATGGAGACGAATATGGGGAAACTCCCAAGAATCTCCAAGAAAAGCCAAAAGTTTGACAGTTACAATTACTCTATGCTCTTTTTTATCTTCCTTTCGGTTACATAGACAGTTCGTTTACTCCGTATGCCGCCCCTTGTTCAAGCCACACGATAACACAATATGCACTACAGCACGTGCTAGATATCGACACTGACGCCATCTTTCCACAATCTTCCCCATATTCTTAGGGGTCGGAAGTCATGTGCAGTGTAACATCAAATTGATAACACTCTATGATCTAGATCCCATATCGACATAAATGTAGACACCTCCGCCCCCGAACGAAATAAAAGAATGCTATCGGGTCTTTCTTATTGCGTCTACTTACATCAATACCACCCCTGCACTTGACCTACACACACAAAATTTTCTCCTCGCTATGACAGCCAAGGAGACCCCTGCCATTGGGGCGGCTGCTGAGACTATGAAAGAGCCTGCGACCGAGTCGGAGTCTCTTGACAATACTACCAGTGAAGTCTCGCCTTCTGGTACAATCTTCTCCAAAATCAGCGGCTGGTATGCCAGGCCTATCTTCCAGCTGATTTTGGTTGCCCTCATCTGTTTCCTTTGCCCTGGCATGTTCAATGCCCTGAGCGGCATGGGAGGAGGTGGACTGACAGATGCAACCCTGGTGGACAAAATGGTAAAAAGAATAACATGTTCTCTGCTTTGGTGAACTACAGTCAATACTGACAATCGATTATATAGAACACTGCTCTATATGTTACTTCTGCCTTCACCAGTTTCTTTTCCGGTACAATCGTGAACCGACTGGGTGTGAGACTTACACTCGCCTGTGGAGGTATCGGTTATTGTATTTACGTCGCCAGCTTGCTCACCTCACTACACAAACACGTCCCCGGTTTCAACATCTTCGCCGGCTTCTTGCTCGGTGTGTGCTCTGGCCTGCTATGGACTGCTCAGGGCACAATCATGGTCTCATACCCATTGGAGCACCAGAAGGGCCGCTTCTTCACTTTGTTCTGGTCTATCTTTAACGTTGGATCGTGTGTTGGCAGTTTGGTACGTCTCTATTGAAATATCCTCTCTCCTGCACTTGCGTATCTGTGCAAACTTCTATGGGAAAAAACCCCGATAATTTACTAACTGATGACGGTGTGGTAGATTGTCCTTGCAAACAGCATCAACGAGAGGACTAATGTCAACGTTCCAGATAGCACTTATATCGTCTTTGTCGTGCTGACATTCCTGGGCTCTGTTGTTGGCCTTTTCGTCGCCGACGCAAAGAAGGTTGTCCGGTCGGATGGATCGAAAGTCATCGTGATGAAGAACCCTAGTTGGAAGTCCGAGTTCATCGGTCTCTGGACAACCCTCCGCAGCGAGCCCTCTGTCTTGCTGCTTTTCCCTATGTTCTGGTCGTCCAACTGGTTCATCTCCTACCAGACCAGCTCCGTCAACAGCGCTTATTTCAACACCCGTACCAAGGCGTTGAACACCTTCCTCTACTACATTGCTCACATCCTCGGCGCTATCTTTATTAGTACCATGGATCTGAACTACTTCCGCCGCACTATTCGTGCTAGGGGAATGCTTGTCATTCTCTTCACTCTGACGATGGTCATTCATGGTGGCGGTTATGTGTTCCAGAAAGGATACACTCGCCCTGCCAACGGCGCGAAACCGTCCATCAATACGGACTGGACTGATTCAGATTATGGTGGTCCAATGTTTTTGTACTTCTGCTATGGATTCTATGATGTTGTCTGGCAGGGTTCTGTATACTGGTATGTGACCCCCCTACTCACCTTTGGTATCGAAAATTGGAAATCTGACCAAAAACAATCAATTTAGGTACATTGGAACGATTAGTAACTCTGGTCGTAAGAGCGCCAACTACGTCGGCTTCTACAAGGGTATCCAGTCTGCCGGCGCTGGTGTCATGTGGGCTTGGGACTCAACCCACCCTGCGTATATGTCCGAGTTCGCTAGCAATTGGGGCCTTCTCGCCGGCTCTGTCATTTGCGCTGCCCCTATGATTTGGTTTAAAATCAAGGATCATGTTGATGTCGAGGATGATTTGAAGGGTACAGACGAGACACTCGAGGATGTGAAGCCTGTCGATACAGAAAAACGTGATTTATCACGCGAAGCTTGACACTAAGGTACAGTGACGGCGAAGCCATCATGAGAAGACTATGAACGCTGACTCTGACTAGGAAAATAAAGGATCTTTCAAGAAGACCCGAAGAATAAACAGGCAAGCAGGCGCCCACTGATTGCCTCAGTGCTGGATATATGGGAAAGGAAAGAGGGTACTCTAGTTACATAGGAACAGGACATATAATACATTTATGCTAATACAAATTGAATGCGATCAATATTCTACTATACGATGGTCAAATATGAAGATTCATGCAAATCAGAAACCATAAAGCGATGAATATCTCGAGCCAGAACATGGATAACGCAAAGTATTTCTGATCATTATCATTATTCAGGGAGAAGCTTTGATGTTCAGCATAGCTCTAGATAAAGTAATACAAGGAATAAGTCAAAGATATATATATGGGGAGATCAACGGGAGGGAAAGAGATAGGTAGAAGGAAAGAGCTATTTATTGGCACTGTCAAATGAATGCCAAACTGCACCCTTGACCAAAAGGTATCTTAGATCAGTTTATGTCTACATCCCTTTATTCGAGAGCACCATTTATGAATATCTTTGCCAGCAGGAGGCATATTGCAAAGATGCTTCTTATTCATGTTCTGGTTGCTACCATACTCCTCCGGTTTGCCGGTTGTCGAAGGATCAACCACCTATTACGCATTCATATTTGGGCCGATGTAATCCTTGCATTATCGACAACAGTATGTGGGAGTTGACCTGACGGGCGAACGTTTCTAATAAGCATTCTCTGTAGCTAAACTCCTTTTCTATTTTGGTTACATGTAGTATACAATCCACAGCTTGTGATACTTCAACATTATACACTATATTTTTGAGCTCCTTTTCTAATATGAATACATATAGTGTTCATCCCACACTTTGAAATCCTTGACAAGCTTCAAATCTTCAAATAAAATACAAGCCATAGCAAACTCTAGATCAGGGCTTGACAAAGGTCAAGAAGTCCAGAGTAAGATCGTGGAAGAAGCTAGCTCCAGCAGCGGTCTTGGGGCGAGCCGGGTCTGTGACGTTGCAGTAATCCGAGAATTCACCTGCCTTCTTGATCTTCTTGTCAATCAGAGCACTGTATTTAGATAAAGCGCAACTATTTCCAGGGCCGTCTTGGCACTTGGAAATAGGATAAACAGCGTCATTGAGCAAGGTACGGATGTAGGGCGTAGTCTTCTTGCCTTTGCGGTCTGTGCAATCCATGACCTCGAAAGCAACGGTGCCTCGCATGGTGACAAAGTGCGCCGCCTGGTATAGGTGCTTGGAGGGCATGCTATCACTGGAAAGAGGCTTCTCGTCATCGAAAACTCCCATGGCAGCGGTCAACTCAGTAACTTGGTTGTCGTTCAGGAAAGACATGATAAGCTTGGGGACTTCGAACTCAGAGCCGTCAGCTGCAACGCCGATGTGACCGGGACCGGCCTCGAGAGTAGAAACCAAGCTCTTCAGGAAGGGAAGGAAAAGGACCTTGGCGGGACCATCGGAACCGGGTCCGACAGTGTAGTAGTAATTCAAGTCCTGCTCGTAAGCGTAGTTACGGAGCTCGTCCTGGGTGAAAACATCACACCAAGGGCTGACGCGGCCGACGATCTGGCTCTCGTAGGCACAGATGTAGGGGAAGAAGAGCACATCGGTCTCGGTAAACTTGAGGTCCTTGTTAACCTTGGAGTTCATCCGCTTAACGGCCTTGGGTAGCCATGTAGCATCCCCTGGATAACATGTAAGCTAGTGTTCTTAATAGCAAAAACAAGAGAAGAGGTTGTCCTTCGTTTTAAGAAAGGAGAACAGAATTTGTGTGGTGACACTTACAGTTGGTCACGTTGTTACCTCCGCTGTTGGTAGCAGCGAATGAAGGGCAGAGATCTGAAGGTCCGAGGGAGTTACCAATGGCAGCAGCGGATCCAGTGGCGTTCACGCTGACGACGGTACCGTATTCATCAGCAAACTCATACATGTACCCACTGAGGAAAGATCTAGCAGTCTGAACCACTCGTGATTCACTGATTGGGAATTTGTATTGATTAGCCCAAACGTAGAACGGGTTGCCGTCCTCGTAAAAGTCGGGATCTGTTGAGAATTTATGAGTTCAAGTACGTCAAACTTGCAAAAGGAGTAATGACTCACATTTAGCCCGCAATTGGAAACCAAGGTCGCTTGCCTGGATTTTGTCAGCGAATTACTTCTCATTTTGATTGTTTGGTTGCATACCTCTTTCCAACCTGTCATCGACTCCTGTGCAATTTGCAATTCAGGATTGGTCAACACCGGCTTCCACTCAGAAATGAATTCGAGCGCTCCCTTGGCCTTGAAGCCCTTCTTCTGTGCTGCGGCTTGGATCTGTTCCAAAGAAATGAAGAGTAAGAATTTTGGAAAGTAAAAACCAGGGCATGCAAACAAGAATAAAGTACCTTGTCATGAAGCGCAACCCAGTCGTTGTATGCACCGGTGTCGGGGAATCTACCAGCTTTGAGGTTAAAATGATTGCGCTCGTGATATGGTACCACAGCCTACATACCTGCTACCATGTCTAACAACATAAGCAGCCTGACGAACGGTGCACTTGTCTGGGACATCACTGCTAATGCGGTTCACATTAGGGCCTAAATCGTATGTTAGTAAATATGGGGGATCATGATAACAAGACTCTTACCGGCAAACCATGGAGAGTTGCTGCCTGCATTCTCAAGAGGATCCAAATATTCCTTTGAGGGACGGCAATAGCCAACTGTGGCCATGCCCATCAGGGCGCACAACATAGAGCTCTTCATGATGCTGATATTGAATGATGCTGCGTGATTTCACAATCCAACAGGGATACTGTGGCCAGTCTTGTTCTTTATAGTTGATGATAGTGGATATTTAGGAGCTATCGAGTTTAGAATGCGGATTGGGCACAGCTCCGTTATACAAGGCCCCACAGGTTAGCGCCGATTGTCTTCTAACTAGCAATGCATGCACGCCTACAGTTACCCCACGTGGGTGGCAGTTCGAATTGCATGGTTTTTTTTGATTGATAAACAATATGAGTGGACTATTAGTTTATCGCCATATGTCCACAGGTACCTTCAGGGCTAGGTATACTATCTATCAACGTTGTAGCTAGTGAATTTGCATACTAGCCTGGAAGCCGAATGATTTAGGCAATGCCCACTTTATTCTCATATTGACCAATCATTTGATTTCCTGAAAGCACAATGCTGGATAAACTCGGTTTATTGACTGAGCTCTGAGACAATGATTGCGCCAGTGGAAATTGCAATATTTGTGCCAAGGTGCTTGTATCTTAGTCATTTCCAAGGTTGTTATCAGCCGTGGAGCCTCGGGGAGAAATGTGCCTAGGCATCCGGTCCACCCGTCCACGGGTGGAAATGAACTCTTGTTCTTTGATTGGGTGGAATATAACATTTGTACCCGTTTGTTTGCCTTGTTTGCATAACAATCTATAACATAGTATTGTGTACTTAACCTTTTGTGGTTCGTCTTTCATCTTGAACACACCACACACTTTATACTTTATTGTCAAAGCATTAGATGCTCTTTATGTTGTACGCAAACGGGTCAGGAGCTTCCCCCGCAACCGAGATACCCACACACAACGACATGCCTAGTCTCACCCAGAATCAACTGTCGCGACTTCGATCCAACAATGGGATTGCTAAATGCGTCACGGTAAGCTCGGATACATTTGCAAGATTTGGGTCTGTGGGCGCCCACATCTATCCAGAGACATGATACCAAGAAAAGTGCTGGAGATGCGATACTGTGAACAATGATATTGATAGGATGGACAACAACGCCGAGAACTCAACACTTTCTAGCCGAAGCCATTTCCGGTTACGGACAGGATCGGTTAAACAAAAGCCATTGCACCAAGACTTGCAAAGTAAATGTACACACGTGCAATAGACCGTTTCAGTTTATAGCTCGATATGGGTCGATCTAGACGTTTTGGAATCATCCAGTTCTTCCGCGGGTTTCTTGTTTGCATTGTTTGCGGAGTCCGGGGAATCCTCGGGACCCCACAAATACTCCTACATATCCCCACCAATCCTCTTCCTTTTCTCTTTTTTCCCTCTACAAAGTATGCTCGTTATTCTGACTGGAGTGCACTACTCTTTTCTTTGGCATGACGGCTGACAACATAGCCTATGGTTTAGTTCAAAAGAAGATTCGGTGTTGGATGCCAGGACATAGGCAGGCTCCTGGCACAGTTTTTGAATAACATTTCCAGGTCACATCTTGTTATAAAGCTGAACCCGCCCATCACGACTAATGTACTCACTTGCTCATGAGCTCCTAAAGGGAATCATGAGGCAACGTTAGGATCCTACCTCGACGCTTGTTGTATACCCGGCAGCACATGCTTATCTGAAAAAAAGGCAAGCTGATTGATGTGAGTTTGCATTGCCCTTGATTTGAAAAATCAAGGAGTCGGTGTCGACCATGTGATTTTCACTACCTACTAGGTGCCTATGTCTAGTTTATCATGTAAAACATCGCCCATGACCTGGCATTTGTCGGTGTATGATATCATCTATTCACGAGTGATCGGCTCTAGATATAGAGCCAATCAACGACTTGTCCACTCCATTAGAGGCTTGGCGTTGTCTCATCACCTTTTTTTCTCCAAGAAAAAACACGTATCCGATTCCAAAGGTCGTTGGGCTCCTACACACACAAACACCAACCGGAACACTCAAACCCGCAATTATGGTTTCTCAAACCCAGAGACCCGATATCGGATTGCGTATCGATGTCATAGACCAACCTGAGGATATCATTCAGGCTTTCGACTGCGTATGCGAGGCATTTGGTCGTCAGGTGCAAGATGGAGTCTGGATAGCCATGAACCCAGGATGGGACACACCTCAGGGGAAGGCATCTGGAGCTGAGAGGATGGTCGCCCGCTGGCGCAACAAGACCAATGACAAAAATGGCCTCCCCAACACCGTATTTCTCAAGGCTACCCTACCGTCTCCGGAATCTGAAAGCCGTATCATCGTGGGCTTCAGTATTTGGGTGCAAGCTTCCACTGTAGAGGGCCATGGTGATCCTCCAGTGGAAGATCTAGTCAATGCCCTGGACCTCAATACGCTTTACCCCGGAAACGAGCCCGAACAACGTTACCTCTGTCAAGTTATTTCCTCTCTGCATAAAAGACGCAACGAGGTAATCAAGGAGAAAGCCACTGCAACCCCACCAGCGGTGATGATCCTAGACCTGTGCGTCGTCGATCCGGCGCACCAGCGCAAAGGCATCGCACGAGAGCTTGTACAGTGGGGCATCGATGAAGCGCAACGACGGGGAGATCTGGAAGCCACAACCGAAGCGTCCAGTATGGGACGGCATGTGTACGGACAAATGGGATTCCAAGCGGACGGGCCCGAGGTTGAATACGTTGTGGACAAGGAATTTGCTTCTCGCAGCAAACCACCTAACCTGTTTATGCGCACTAAGGGTAGCGGGGTTTGATGTCATTTGCAAGGAAAAAGCCATCCATGACTATATATGAGGGGACGTTTCAACCAATCATAATGTGGTAAATTTCCATCTCTCTTCCGACAAATGGTCTCCCGAGGTTGTACCTTGTGGGATTCGAACATTACTGTAGTTATAATTAAGTTTCTGGGGCATATTCAAAATGCGGAGAGAAAACATCCACCTAATGTGATATAGAGTGATACATTACGCCATGCGAACTTTTCGAGCATGTAAATGGCCTGAAACCCTGCTCATCTTTTCGGATGAAGCCGCATATTACTCACATGGTAAGCCACGGCGGGGTGAAATACGAGGCTGGGCATCAGCTCTACATAATCAAATTTTTAGATCTATGATCCTGAATAATGCGATTCAATGATGCACGTCGGTGGAGAAATAATGCAGTGGCGTTTACTATCAACAAGGACGGGCGCACAAAGCAACAATGAAATCGAGAGGAAGAGATATATATCTCGCACTACAACCTCGAAAGGTCCCGGGCCTATGGATGGCCTGAGGCAACGCAACAATAACCCAATAACCCAGAGCCACGCCTCTTCGTATTTGTCAACACGAGGTAGGTCACGATTGATGTCTTAAGTAATTGATGTCTTTGATTTCTGTCTTTTCTGGGGATGGCATTGAAAAATGAGACATAGACTCCGTGGGTAGCATGCCCTTGGATATGATCGAGCCTGTTTTATGTTCTTTTTTGTATGTCTCGCCGGAAATGTTTCTTCCAGTTTAATCGAACAGTCTCTAAAGTTCCCCCAGAGAAGTACAACCAAAAAGAAACGAGTACACCGCTCATAGCAGTCAACCTTAGTCTCCGAACGACGTAACGTACATGTCCCTTATATGCTGATTCATGTGTGACAAACTAAACCTTAGAAGGGTTAAATAAGTCATATATATGCATTCAGGCCCAGTCAGACTGTAGGCTGAGAGCCAATAAATAGCCCAGCCTTCCAAGGTTGTGTCAATTACTATTATCTGAGATGAGAGATTTCAGCAGAAGGCGTGGGATGCCTAATGTCTCATAACCTACATCTATAAATATGTTCGGGTTATCGAGCACACTTATGCGGGGAAGCCATGTCTGCTGCCGTATGGTTTATGTGCGTGGATAATATCCCTATATATATTTGCATTTTGAATATTGACAGTCAGACTGGTAGCATGTTCTTGGTACTTGAATCTCTTAAATGCGAGGTTGGTTGCGCAAACGTATCATCCAAGGCAGAGAACAGTAATGCCTTCATTCGGGCCTAAAGGCTACTCCTCTTGTGTAGATAGACATGTAATGAGCATGGGTGGCCTTGTTGGAAGCTCATCTGATCAGGATACGAAGGGCAGTGCAGATCAGCTACTATGCCCCAAAGCAAACCAAGATCCGTTGCTGCAGGTCGTAACATCGGCTAGATGTCAACCTATCAAGTGTCTAAGAATAGCAAGGATGAGAAGATCATGGAGACTTCAGCTCCAGGTTTCAGCTCAGGATTCTAGTAACCAAGGTATAAAAGCTAGCTGTTTTCTGCGAGCTGTGATCTCTTTCATTCCGAACAACACAAGACTCCAACCGCGTTTTCAAAGCTTCCAACCAACCCTCGCTTCAAATACGATCATAGCATTTTATAACGATCCATCCAAACATTTCACAATGAAGTTCACCATTGCCGCTATCATCCCTCTTTTGGCAGTCGCCATCTCTGCCTCACCTCTCGAGGCCCGCCAGGCCAAGGATGTGACCGTGGCTCTATCCAATGACGTATCTGGAGCCTATGCTGGAGCGACATTCCCAGCCGATAACACCGACAAGAGCATCTTCTCCCTCTACGGTTCTACCTCTGTTGGGGCAGGTGGTACTGTCAGGGCAACCTCTGCCCAGCTCACCAACTGGGCATCCGCCGGACAATCCATCAACTGTGTCATCAAGAACAACGGCGCTATCATCGGGACCTTGAATGCTCAGCAAACCTTTGTGAACCTTGATGGAGGTGTCATTCCCCGTGTTCCAGTCAACCTCAACAACGCTCAGATTCGCTGCCGTGTTTAAATTCCTGGCCTCTCACCAACCGCCAGAACTCTTGGAATCTTTTGAGTGATAGGATGTACCGGTGCAAAATCGGAATCGACTGCGAGACCGTGATTCATCATCTTTTCTGTGGCAAACATCTTGTTGTGGCATGTGTTGATAAATGAATAGGTATTCGATTTGTTGGACGAGAGAATTTTGATATTTTGACATCCTTTGAAGTTTTGGTAGTAGAAATCACATCGTAGCACCCGTAGTAGCTCATTTGGATTACCGCGGTACTCCTTTTTTCTAAAAGCTACTGGCTCTTTGTGCTTTTCTTGTTTCGCTCATTTCCTGAATAACATTATCTTATCACCTCCAAGGTTTTCGACATCTGAAAGTGCTCACAAGGTCCTCTGAAGATGGAAATATATTTGTCCAATTTTTAGAAATTTCATTTCATCTCTCAAAATAAAGAACATTGGATGTGCCTCGGGCGTTGGTATGTATAAGTTTGCAAATCGCAGGTCTCATCGCCATGATATGGACAACACTGAGGGTTGTGACGATCGGTATTCTAACTCCAGTCGGAGAATGTATGCCGCCCCTGTTCAATTTCCTCGCCAAAATGCCCCAGCGGATGACTTAGCTGACAATTTAACAGAGCGGACTTTCGAGTTTTACCCCTCCTGGTAATTGGATTCGCTAGCTATCAGCTTGACAGAACCAATATTGCTAGCGCACTCACGGGAAATTTTGCAACTTACATATCCGTCGACCAAAACATTATCAATCTCGGAAATCAACTGATGTTCCTGGGTGTTATTGTGCTGGAGATACCATCAAATATTATTCTACACAAAGTATGTGGTGTTCTCGCCAGGTGATACGCGAGTTACTAAGTCCAGATTAGATCGGCCCTCGCCAATGGATCAGTGGACAAGTTTGCATATTCGGGATAGTAGCATGTCTACAAGTACTTGTGCGCAATAAGTTAGGCTTTCTACTCACCAGGACGTTTTTGGGTCTTGCTGAAGCTGGGTATATCCCTGGTGCAATGTATACACTTTCTACTTGGTATACCAAACAAGAGTTGACAAAACGAATCGCCATTTTCTTCTTCGGCATGTTTGGTGGAACCGCTGTTTCTCCGCTTCTTGGAGCTGCTCTCTTGAAACTGGACGGAAAATACGGTCTTTTTGGCTGGCAGTGGATATTCCTCGGTACTATTAGGACTGCCCTCGCAAATAAAATATGCTAATAAGTATTTAGTCGAGGGTCTGTTGTCCGTTGCGGTTTCTATCGTCCTCTTTTGCTTCCTTCCTAAGTACAAGGAATCCCCTATATCGTCTAACCGACTGAGCATTTCGGAATCCGGAGAGCATCGCCTAATCAATAAAACATTGGCTCACCCTGGTAAAACGCATATATCATTCAAGTTCGTTTGGGACACGTTAACGAACATACGGAAATGGCCGCACTTTATTGCCACAGGTTGTGTCTTTGCTACGTGGAGCCCTCTCACAACTTATACCCCGAGCATTTATATGGAGCTGGGTTTTTCTCGAATTACGGCAAATGCACTTTGTGCAATCGGAAGTTTACTCACTCTCCCCGTGATTCTCTTTTTCGCGTGGGTGAGCGACAAATCGAACAAAAGGGGCCTCACTGTTATGGCTGCTATCTTTGTCTACTTGATCGCGTTGGTAATTCTGAGAATCATGATGCACCATGTGGATAAATGGGGCAAGTTTGGACTCTGGACAACAGTCAATGCTTTGGCTGTAGGCTATCATCCGATCCACAATTCGTGGATCCAAATTAACTGCGAGAGTCCCGAAGAGAGAAATATAAGCGTTGCGTGAGTGAAATATTTCCTGGTCGTTATTCAAATGAGCTAATAGTCTTCCTTCATTAAGAATGTGTAAGACTACTCGTCCTATAGTGGAAATTGAGATTTACTTCCTTTACTAACTCAAGGAAGTTGTCATGGCATCTACAGGAGGGCTTATGGCAGGAACCCAGATATTTCGGGCGGATGAGTCGGCTATATTGTAAGTGTATACTTTCTCATCTTACCCACCTCCCAACACTAATGATAAATATATGGACCTGATAGTTATCCAAGAGGGGTGTTGATCATGATTGCACTGGTGGCTTTGGGTCTGTTTCTTGTTTCCTTGCAAATCTGCATATTCTGGGCCCAAAACAGGTGTATCAAAGCGAAATCTGGCAATAAGGCGTTGAACAGCCTGTAGGAAGCCAGGGGCAGCCTTCGTGTCAGGTCTTCTCACGTCTAAGAAATTGTTTATATAATTTTACAAAATTCTTTCCACTGAGGGAGAAAAATGGCAAATAGAAAATACAATGGAAGAAACAAATAAGAGATTCAACATTCAACAAGCTTTCATATGCTTTTCAAGAATCCTAGTGTCTCCATCACTTCGTCTACTATTCTTTGAGCTAACATCTGCTCCGAGGAATCCACGTTATTGAGGAAATTAGCACATTTTTCTTCCACCAGGCCTCGAGGAATGGCTATGCTTTCTTCAATGTTTGAAATTTCCTCCAGCAATTCCTGCATCTTCTCAAAAACTTGCATTGGAGGAAGCAGTCCCATTTTGACCCAATCCAACCCCTTAAGACGGCATTCCCGTGTAATTTGCAAAGTTGCACGGATAATTGCTCGGCTTCGAGTTTGGTTATTCAAAACTCGGTCCGCAAAAATATGGCCATGAGCCTTGGTCTGCAGGTGACGCGCAATCCTGGTTGCACAAATCTCGGCCAGTGATGAGTATACCAGAACTCCCAAAAATGCCAATTGCAGAGCCCCCTTCATGTTCACCATACATGCAACAGATGATATGCCGGAGAATGTCCCCGACAAGGTCCAGAACCAATGCAAAGCATCTTTCACCCCAGTCCGGTCATATTCCCAAGTAGAACGAGCCCACTCCTCAAGCTCCTTTTGTGGTCCCTTGAATATCACAGTGCCCCCCTCATCGCGTTCATACACAGCATATCTGTCCTGTGTGTCGTTTTTAATATGATCTGGTTTGTGGATTTTGACCATAGAAGTGAAGGAAATAAGCACCGAGGCGAACCAATGACTGCTATATAGAAAGAACAAGGTGAAAGCCCAAAGGTCGGCCATCAAAATTCCGCACACCATACCAGTCGTCAACATGGCTCCGTTGACTAGGCAAATTAGGTCTAATGCCCATTTTGTAAGCAGCCACGTTAAGTTTCCTAACTGCTGACGCACATTTTTCTGGCGTTCTTCCCTTGATTGGTACATGGCATCCACGTAAACGACAACGAAGTCGTTTCCAGGCTGCTTGGATGTTTGAAAAGATATTATATCAGTCAGCCATGCGTTGCTCAAGTTGAGTGGTAGTTGACGAAATACATTCCCCGATACGTCTGATCGCACGTGGAGCATAACTGTATCTTGTGCGCATAATTTGATAGATGGATGAATCCACTTCATCGTGGCATTGAGTCGTTCAACAAGCATTTGCATGGGTGGCAGAGTCCCTCCAATCATTGTCAAGTGTGGCCATATGAATAATCCTCGATCAAACTGAGTATAAAGTCTTGCTGCACTCTTGTCAACGCGAGGGTTGTAGAGTACGGCCGCAACACCAAGCGGATCAAACGTAACTCCATCATCACTCTTCAATTGAGCATGCAAGTCTGTTAGTGACTGTGGAAACTTTTCTGCTTGTGCTAGTCCAATTATGGAGAGCAGACTTGAAAGATACAACGACGACGATGGCATTTCAAGGAACACGGGGATGGTCTCCAAGATTCGTAGCCCATGGTTTATTTTAAAAAAAAGTTATCTAGCTCAGTAAATACGAGTCAAGCTAACTCAAAATCCCGCTGGACATTCGCTAATCCTCCTTTATTGGGGTTAGTGCTTACTAGCTGGAGTCGCCATGGGTGCTACACGATCAGCGATCCACCAATAACTCGACCTCTAGGGCTAGTCCAATAAACAACCAGCAAAACTGCGCCTAGAAAAGCAAGTTGCAGACAGCTGACAGAACCTAAAGCGAAAAATAATATCGAGGGGTAGAAGAACTTTCCCGAAAGGTAGCTCGAACTCACATTAATTCTCGGTATGCCGCAGCTATCCTATTATTCACCTAGTCTCTCAATATAATCATCCCTCTAGTTCATATATTATTTACAATGGTTTGCTCCTGGATAACTGAAGGAAAGGCGAAGAATTGCTTCTCTTTGTGAAGTTGCGAGTCTGACCCCAGCTAACACAACACGTGGTCCGTCCACCTACAAGAAAACCCACGCACGTCCTAGTTGTACAACACCACAATCCTACTCCTAGCATGTACGTGCCAGCATCTTCAGTGTGCGGATTTACACTTGTTCGAAAGATTTATGGATCAAACGCCAAACTATGACCCCAAAGGTCTCTCTCAACTCTGTGCTTTATTCGATGAAGGCGGTGGGGTTGCAATAAGAGACGTGTTTGCTATCTATTCTATTGTCGCGTCTTCTCCAGATTGGAAGACCACAGCATTAAAATCCGGACTTTATGCAGAACTCATATCAGCAGCTTCTGCTGTTGGAAATGTGATTCCTGTCCTACTCACCACAGAAAATGTACATTTATCCACGGTGGACATTGTCTCATTGCCATGTCCAAAGCATCCACCTTTCGACTCTGCGCGGGAAATATCACCTCGGGATAGCCTTCCTTGGTTCCTTGTCAATGCATCAAAATTCTCTAAGCACCAGATTGTCGGCCGCGGGGACATTATTGAGTCCTTACTCATAATTCTCCAGCGACCGTGGTGTGTCCTTGAGCTATGTTGCTGCGATGGTCTGGTCATATCGGCTATTTACCAGTTCGCCATCATTGCGACCAAGCTCGACCCCGAACTCTATAATCATGCATCAGCTTCGCTACATCAGGAATTAAGAAGAAGAACAGTGGTTTCTCTTAATGATATAAAACACTCTGGGTTTTCGTTGGCTAAACCCTGGATATCTTTTGCCAAATTTGATACACCATCGTATGCTATCAAAGAGGTGTATTCCGACTTGTCTTTTAGTCGACTTCGCTCACACAACTCGTTCTGGTTGCGACTGATTTCTACCTGCGCTCCATACCTTGGTATAAGCTGTTCAAATTTGGTTCGCATTTTGTCGGACATGACTTCTAGGAGCACCAATTTCTCTGGGCAGAAGCATGCAACGAACCAAGAATATCACCCAAGTATTGAACGTCTCTTGCTTCATTCCCGCAGTTCAGTAAAAATATCCCCACGAAACTCGGCGCTCCCGACAGGGGGGAGTACCTTGAGTCTCAAGGACCACGGCAAATATATGGCACTATATGATTTCGAAATTCTGGGCAGGGATCTACAATTCCTTCTTCTAATATACAGACAGACTCTACGAATTATATCTGAATCCTTGCCTTGATACCGAACGAGGGATGGGGGATCGGAGTATCGGGGGTACATTTATTGATCTTCATCTTTTATCCAAGCCTTTTGCTTCGATTGTAATCAGAGGATTCGTTAGCTTATTTTATGACCGCTTTCGTTGTCAATATTTGAAAGATAATTATATCGTAACAAGTACAAGTGTTGAGAAAATTCTTCATCACGGTATAGCAATCAGCAATAAAAAATAGTCACATCATGGCACGTACAGGCTGCAATTAAAAACATATTAACCATTGCGGTTTAGCAGTCGACATCACAAAAACTCCAATGTGTCCTCGTATACAGGATCATCGTCGCTTGACTGGTAACCCTCTTCCTCTGTTGGGTCTTGTGTGGTGGCATTCTCTGACTCATCGTCAGGAGGTAAAGTCTTGACAGATGCTATTATAGCATCATAAATGTCCTGCGCTGCCACCATAGCTGATTCCGTTTTATGTTCTTCATAGACATACTGGGAATCGTCAAAGGTCTTGCCATCTACCAGACTCGGTGGTAGCTCGTGCCCGGAAATACTTCGGGCCAAAGTCCGTAGCATTGACTTCCGTAGATACGGCCCTGGCGTAGGCCAAAAATCCCTCGCCGCTGCCTCGACCTTCTTCGTGAAGAGGTCATTGCTCTGCTTCTTGCAGAAGATGTAAGTGATGATAAACCTAAAGTATAGGTATCGTTTCGCAGGTCTGTTCTGGTTTCGGAACTTCAACTCTTTCCCATCAAACTCCTACTAATATATTAGCTTGCTAGGAGGTAAAGGTGTTCATCTAATAACACACATCCCATAACCACGTTTTTGCGGGGGAAGCTAGGGCCTTTTGGTACCGCTTGCTATTATCCGTCAGGACACACTTCCAACGCGAAGGATCAGTAGCAGGCGCCTTCTCAGGGTTGGTGGTGTGATTCTCCTCCAGAATTGGGACAATGACTATTTGCCCACTGTCAAGGGCAATTTCAAGGTTTTTGTGGAGGGAAAGGGCTAGATGTTCAATTAGTACCAAGTTCGCTAATTCTAGATAGTCTAAGAGCAATAATTAAGTACCATTTCGAGTGTCAGATAATACGATCTTCCGAACGCCGAAGAGATGGGATATCTCATCGCCAGTCAAACTCCGGGGCACGAGATGAGCTGCTTTTACATCGTGGGCATTCCACTCGCCTGATAGATGGCAGTATGCCATTCCCTTTGGAATGCCATAATAAAGGGCCACATCTCTCTTGAAGTTAGAAGCATTGAAGTGGTGCTCCCGAAGCTCTTTGTCCTTCTGTTGTTGGGCCGTAGCCGACATGACCTTTGGCATGATCGAATCGACATAAGCTCTCTCCAGTAGCTCCACGTCCGGCTCTCCTTGTCGCCGGCGCTTATTGGAGGCTTGCTCTTCTAAATCTTCTTCCATAATCTTTCGCTGAAGATTCAGGGTTTTCAGCTCATGAGAAACCGTCCTTGCTGACGCCATGAACGGCTGTAAAGCGTCCGCAAACTCCGTGGCGGAGATCAGGTTGGTATCCAAAGCCTCAACAAGGCCCTCGTGGGCGCATTGTATGTAATCCAGATCACAGCGATATTCTTTGATTTTCGATTCCAGAAAATCGGACACGGACCTCGAAGTTGGAACTTCTTTCTTCTGTTTGTTGAGGAGGGCCTGTTGGCGATCCTTGGGCATGACAGCAAATGCCCGCCGCGGGACTTGAGGGGGATTAGACATTTTGATGATGAATGGAAGTGCGAGGCTAGAGGATTGTGGTGTACGGACTTGAGTAAAAGTAGAGAGTACTTGGGTACATAGAAACTATACTATTCCTATTTAGGAAATCATTACGACATTGGATCCGACACTCGATTAGTTAGGTTACCAATCCCTTCCGGATTAGTTAATTGGTCTTTTGGTCTTTTTGTACGGAGTTCTCCGTACTAACATTTGTTCTTACTTCATATGCTTCACCTAACGTCGCATTACAGGGAGTGATACATGATCGACACCATCTCTTACGCGGAATGACTCGTCCAAGTTTCATACAGATTTTTTTTCTTCATATGATCGTCGACTTACCAAATACTCTTTGTAGTGAAAAATGGAAAAACCAAAACCAAAATTGAGCTCCATATTCCATACCGTCTTCTCAATCCCTTATCATTCAAATATGAAATAGACTCCCATGAGAGAAATCATTATTAACATGTTGCTTTGTTGGTGTCGAGACCATAGTCTACCCCAGAATTTGAGTCGGGGATCTAAGGTGATCGGCCCCTCTGCCCCCCCCCCCCCGAATGACTCCGTACATTTTAGATCTATGAGTGTCAAATATTTATTGCATTTCCTACAAAGTAACCTAGATTTTTGAGGCCCACTTGCCTTATTGCATGGCCTAATTCTGGTCTCTCATTGGGCTTTGACGGGATGGGGGGATAATAACAGCCACCACTCCGCTATATCCCGTTTTGGACATTGCCCTACAATATTATAGCAATATTCACTTCAGGATGATACGAAACACCACACTATTTCACCCGTGTGGATCGCTGATTTTATTTACCCCTGTATATCATATTTTTTGTTGTATATATACCACAACCTCCTTAGCCTTTCTTATTTTGTAGCCATTCCAAAATCAAACGCATTCATCCAGTGTCTTGTCTTCTCAAAATGCACGTTCTCAGCACTCTGATTCTGTCCTCCGTCGGACTTGCTTCTGCATTTGACGTTCCCGCCAATTTGCAAGCAATCTACGATGCCCACAAGGTAATAATTGCATATTCATCAACTATAGTGAATGGGACTAACATACCTATAGTCTGGCGACTGCAAAAAAACACTTTCCTCCGGATATGACGATGGAACCAAGGGCACCACCGATATGGGCTATTGCGGTGACATAGATGGCGTCATCTTCTTGCACAGCACGAAGGGAGCCTACGCCGACATGGATATCGATTGTGATGGCGTTAACCGATCCGCCGGAGATTGCGCCAATGATGGAAGTGGTCAAGATGAAACCGCTTTTAAGAGCGAGGTGGCCGACTATGGCATTGAGGACCTGGATGCCAACCTCCACCCCTATGTCGTCTTCGGAAACGAGGGCAGCAGCCCTTCATTTATGCCCGATGAGCACGGTATGGAGCATCTGAGTGTGATGGCTGTTGTGTGCGGTGGCAAGCTGGTACTTACAACCCCTGCTCCTGCGACTGATTCAATATTTCCCTGCTTACATATTATTACCACAGCACTACGGTATCTGGGGTGATACCAACGGCGCCACTTCCACCGGAGAAGCCTCCATCTCTCTGGCTAAGCTCTGCTTCCCCAATGAGGGCATCACCGGTAATAGCGGACACGGCGATAAGGATGTCCTATACATTGGCTTCACTGGAACGGACGCAGTTCCTGGATCTGATGCAGACTGGTCTGCCAAGGACAGCAAGACCTTTGAAGCAAGCATCAAGTCTCTTGGTGATAAGTTGGTCGCGGGTCTTGGGGGCTCCACTGACTCCAAGGTTACTACCGGAGGCTCTGCAGCTTCATTTGTCACATCCGCGAAGGCTACAACTAGCATCAAGGACAAATCCACAACTTCCACCACGAAGACGAAGACCCGCACTCTTTCCAGCACTCCTGCTAGCACTAAAACCGGGAGCTCCTGCCGTCAGGACTAAATTGCCTGGCACGCATGGCCCTTGGTCGATTTAAGTATGGATTGGACTTTCGGAGAACAGCAGTTGGCTCTGTTTCTGGTCATATATAGCAGTGCAATAGTGTTGAAATGTTTTTGAATGTTGGTAATTGTTAGGAATTTATTTTACTTGTTGCGTTACTTGATTTGCATATTTTCCACATGAGACATCAGCATTATATCTCTTAAGCCAACGAATGTACAACATAGGTCTAGAGGGAGAGGCAGGGAGTTGTGGCCTGAGGTTCTTTAGTATAAACTCAGGCACCAAATCCAATACATTGCTTTTCTACCTCGTCTCATATACAGTATTTTTTGCACTTCCAGGGACCGCATTGGGTTTATCTTGGAACAAATTCGCATAGAAGAGGAAACGATCATAGTATGGCACATATTCCTGACTACTTGAATCATCTATGTACGAATTTTACATCGGGGAATTCGGTTTGTGAAAATAAATAAGACAAATGTCTTGTGTTCTATAGATGCAATAGGTATATGATCGATCCTTTATATATACAGAGAAAATAATTGCGCAAAATAATGCTGCTCAGTACTCCAGGCCCAAGATGATATTGTGTCATGCAAGTTCATGCATCATGACAAATGCGAATCCAAAATGCAACAGCAGGTGTGGAAAAACAGAAGAAATTGAGATTTTGAGAAGCCTTTGCCACTCATGCGTTCTCCGCGTGAAGGGCACCTTGCGACTTGCGACCGTACGGGTTCTCCTCCGCGATCCAATCCTGGTGGCGTTCAGGAATCTCGAAGCTGGTGCTCTTCCAGGGAACAACCTTGTTGACATACATCCAGTCAAGCTCCTCGAGTGTGCGACCCTTTCCTTCAATAACGAAGAAGTAGACAACGCCGATACCCACGAAAAGACAGCCAGCGAAGACGTAGCCGTAGGCAAAGTCGATCTCATCGGTGATGAAGGTCGTGAAGAAACTGATGAGGAAGTTCCACAGCCAGTTGGTTGCGGTAGCTGCGGCCATACCCTTGGCACGGTACTTGGAGGGGAAGAGCTCTGCAACAATAGCCCAGACCATGGGACCCCAGGTCATAGCATATGCGGCAATGAAGAAGCAGGTGACGACAATCATACCCTTGCCGGCGGCGGGGGTGTTCTCAGGGTTTTCCACATCCAGGACGAAATGGCCGATGGAGGCGAAGATCATGAACATGACGAACATCCAGATCGCTCCGAAAATCAGGGACTTGCGGCGACCGAAGTTTTCAACGACATACAAGCCACCAAAGGTAGTTCCAAAGTTCACAGCGCCGAGGATGACCTGGGTCACGAAGCTGTCTGAGATACCAGCACCTTGGAAAATAGTAGTACCCTATCAAAAATATTCCTGTTAGCAAAGTGTTTTCCCCAAAAGTTAACAAGAATGTCTGTAGGAACTTACATAGTAGAAGAAGTAGTTAGCACCACTGAGCTGCTGCAGTGACTGCAAGGCCATGCCAAGGACAATACGGTAAAACATGCGGGGGGCAGTGAGGAATTCATGCCACTTCTGGCCTTCAGACTCTGCCTCAAACTGCTCACGAATTTCACTCATTTCTTCCAAGATGCGAGTATGGTTCTCTGGGATACCGTAGAGCTTGGAGAGAGTGCGTTGGGCACTCTCGACCTTTCCGTGACGGAACTCATAACGTGGGCTTTCGGGGAAGAAAACCATACCGCCGCCAAGGATGATAGCGAAGAGGAAGGTGATACCGAGAGTGATGCGCCACTGACCAGTGCCATCCATGTTGTGAGTACCCAGGTTGATGAGGTAGGCCAAAAAGATACCAAGGGTGACGAACAGCTGGTAGCAACTGATCATAGCACCACGAATATGACGGGGGGCACTTTCACTCTGGTACATGGGGACGAGCAGGGAGCAGCCACCAACACCGAGACCAGTGACCCAACGGCCAACGACAACCTGGTACCAGTGGCCATCGGGGGCGGTAATTTGAACAATCAAACCGACAATGAGGATAATACACCAGAAACTGATGGACCACTTTCGGCCCATCTTATCAGCGACGGGGGCTGCGACCAGGGCACCAATCAGGGTACCGATAGACAGCAGGGCAACAATGAGACCGGAGCGAACGGTGCTGAATTTGTAAGAACCATCTGCTGTGGGCTCACCATACCGTTCTAGGTAGTTGCTCATTTCTTGGAAGCCGGAAATCTGACCAGTGTCATATCCGAACAACAAACCACCCATTGAGACGAAGAGGGCCATCACCAAGGACCGCATGGTTATCCGAGGGATTGGGGTATCGACACCCAGGGGTTGCTTGGGCTTCTCAATAGGGCTATTTTGGTGGGAGGACTCGACACTCAGCTGTTGAGCCGGGGTGATGGACTCCCCATGGTGGGAAGACGCTTCGGCACCCATGGTGTAGGAAGGAGGTATATGTCTGGCTGTGCTGGTATTTGATAATTCAAGTTGTATTTAAGAGATATAGAGGGATTAGAGGACCAGCTCAGACGATATAGAATAGAAGAATAGATATAAGCTGGGGAAAAAGAAAACCTTGGGGAACATGGGGGAATTGGGGGCCTTTTTGTAATCCAGCAATGAAAAGGTAGAAGAGAAAAAAATAAAACCCAGAAACCCAGAATGGAGGTGGGGAGACAATTGTGGAGAGGCAAGTTGTGTGAAATGACGATATTCATGGCTTTCCAAAGCAGGATGCCAGTAAACAAGCCGGTGGAAGCCGATTTACACAACTCCACCAGGGGAACAAGCCACACAGGACAAGTTCCAAGTGATCATGAGCTCTGGTTCGCCCCTTTTGAAGTGGATTTGTGGTTAGCCGTTTTTTTTTTTTTTTTTTTCAGGGCAAGGATCGGAGGTGGCGAATTTAAGCCGTAGGCCAAGGCCGTGCCGAGCTACTTCGGCATCATATATTCAGTTGAGGCCGATTAAGAGACCTCTTTCTCGTGGTTTTGGAACCATATTGATAGTATTTAGTAAAATATATGTACATTGAATGTGGGATATCAATGCTAGAATTGGATGAAAATTTTCAATCTGGAGATACCACAGTGGGCCATGTATGTATGTTGTATGTACTCCGTACTCCGTACCATATTCCCCAGGCTCTCCGGGTTCTCTCCGGGTTCTCTCCGGATCTCAACAAATTCCTTTCCTCTTCGGTATCCCGGTGAGAGCATCCCCGAGAATTATCGTCTCCGGACATGGAGGGTTTGGGTTTCGAGGGGAAATGCGGAGTCTGGGGGGGATATGCTTCGTAATAACTTGAGACATTTCTATTCTTATGTGCATTAGATCGATATTACTAGTATTACTTTTACAATCTTGTTCCCATTATTCCTCTATATATATGTGATCCCCAACATAAATAGCATCGGCATTGATATTGATATCCCGAATGCCGAGTCGTCAGTGGCGGGCATCCGAACCGCCACACCCGTCGTACGTCATTGAAGAATTTTCAAAATTCAAGTAATTTTCATTTTCTAACTTGGTAATTTCATTTAATTTATTATATGCATTTTGATTCCATGGTAATTTTCGTAACCAGTTCCTTATATAATCCAATTGTTTACATCTCTCAGGGCATCCATCTGGGCAATGGATCTAATATCAATATCACTTAGGTAATATGCATATCTGATTCATAATTTCTCTCCGCGGCCTCCCGTAGCCTCTCTAACTCGCCGAATAGTTCGACTCCGCATGCCGGCTGATCCGCGACGGCATCTCTTCAGAGATATTACCCGTGCCAAGTCGGGGCGATTCTCGGCAAGAAAACCCGTTCGGCTGATTCAACGGAAATCTTGTAGCATCCATGGATTTATGGATTTGTGGATATGATCTCGCTTAATTATGTACATAGTTACTGAAGGCTCGGAGATCTGGTCCACTCGACGGTGAGCGCTGTATAGAACGGGGTATCTTTCATTCTGTGCAATCAGCGATCCACTCAGAAAAGCTTGTGGAAAAACCACACATCTAGTACTGGTTCAGTGCACGAAGTAATAACACGCGGATTTTTTTTTTGTCTCTAATATCTCATGTCAAGAGATAATCCGGGTCTGCTGTACTTTAATTAGCCCGTGAGATTCACTTGGATTGTGAACTGGAGTCTAGGAAATGATTACATATAACGAAATGTAGAGGTCAAGTGGATATATGTTGCCATATATATACACGTTATAGCAATAAGAATTTCCGGCTTAGCCAGCCGACTTTCCATAGTACTATTACTGCATGTCAATAACTTGTCCGCATCTCCCAGGTACAAAGTACGGCGGCTGAAACGCCTTGACAAATTGAGACAAGCGTGACAATTCCTCCGCGTTTCAATTTCTGCAGGACTTTCCCCCGCAATAATTGCCATTGATCCATGCAGTCCTGAATTTCTTACATACCCCGCATACTAACGTGTGGTCTGACGAATGGACTTCCGTTGCCCAAGTGCCGAATCATTAGGGTATTCCATGCGGAGTACCGCCTCGATTATTCCGCAAACAACACGGGGGGCTTGCGGAATAAGCTGCACGGTAATATCCTATGGCCTGACATATGCTTCAGTCGATGGAATAATTTCGACTTCCTAATCCAGGGCGGAAGTCGTTCCCCGTCTTTGTATATCCCACCTGATCTTGGGGTATATATATCCACGCATACAGACATGCATCGACATCAAAACAACAGGCATCGGGAACTCTAGGATCACTATGAAAACAGTAGCACTCTTATCCCTGGCCGGCCTGGCCTGTGCCCAGGCTGCTGGGTACGGCCAATGTGGCGGAGTCAGTTGGACCGGGGCTACAACCTGTACCTCTGGCTGGACTTGCCAATATCAGAATGAGTGGTACAGCCAGTGTCTCCCATGTAAGTGTGGCCAGACATGGGTGTAATTCTCCCCAATTCGCTAACGCAGAATACTCCAGCTACTGGCAGTGGCACCACTACTACTCTCACCACAAAGGTCTCAACTTCGACAAGCGCCACTAAAACCACCACTACAACAAAGCCAACCAACACTAGTCCTAGTGGAACAGGGTTCCCCACTACAAATGGACTGGCATTTGAAATCGATGGAAAGACAAGCTACTTCGCCGGTTCCAATTCCTACTGGATTGGCTTCCTCAATAACAATGCCGATGTGGATACCGTCTTCGACCACATGGATGAATCCGGCCTCCGAATCCTCCGAGTTTGGGGATTCAACGATGTCAACACTGTTCCATCTGCTGGAACTGTCTATTACCAACTCCTGAAAGATGGAACTGCCACCATTAACACCGGTGCAGATGGCCTGCAGCGTCTCGACTACGTGGTTGCCTCCGCCGAGGCACGGAACGTGAAACTCATTATCAACTTCGTTAACAACTGGTCTGACTACGGCGGTATGGCTGCCTATGTCACTGCCTTCGGTGGCAGCCAGACAAGTTGGTACACAAACACTGCAGCTCAGACGGCCTACCGTGCCTACATCAAAGCTGTTGTTTCTCGATACATCAACTCGCCTGCCATCTTTGCATGGGAGTTGGCTAATGAGCCCCGCTGCAATGGCTGTGCCACCTCGGTTCTTTACAACTGGATCAAGTCTACCAGTGCCTATATCAAGTCTCTGGACTCGAAGCATATGGTCGCCATCGGTGATGGTATGTACATCCATGAGATCTCCTCGCGTGGTCAATTGTCTAACTCGCTTTTCTAGAGGGCTTCGGACTGGACCTCATGTCTGATGGAAGCTATCCCTTCAGCTACGGCGAAGGTCTGAACTTCACCATGAATCTGGATATTGATACCATCGACTTTGCTACATTCCACCTCTACCCATCGAGCTGTATGTATATCCTTTTTCCATCACTTCTGGTCTAGAACTTACTAATGTATTCACGCACAGGGGGAACCAGCAATGACTGGGGTAACCTGTGGGTCGAATCCCATGGAGCTGCCTGTGCAGCAGCTGGCAAGCCCTGTCTCTTTGAGGAGTACGGTGTCACCTCCGATCACTGTACCATCGAGGCTCCATGGCAGAAGACGGCGCTGGCCACCAAGGGTGTTGCAGCTGATCTCTACTGGCAGTATGGAGATACTCTCAGCTTTGGAAAATCCGCCGATGATGGAAACACCTTCTACTACGGAACTAGCGAATTTACCTGTCTGGTGACCGACCACATCGCAGACATTGAAGCCCAATCCTAAGAGCTGGGGTTGTGTGGGGGGGACAAAACGTGTCATCGGCAGATAGTTATCTGGGATGAGACAATTCCAACTGGCCTCGATATACTGTATCTACTAAACAGGGACTAAGAAATATATGCTCTTTTATCAAGATTTTTGAGAATGCTGCGCGGGTTATGATATGCAAACCACGCGGAAATAACTATTTTGGGGTATTGATACTTATGTACATGCAATTCGGTGCTGTTCTAGAATTAATTAGATTGAGCTAGCCTCAAGGGGTATAGAGGGTTTGGTATCACGATAGCAAGATAAGTTCAATGACTCAAAGTGCCTTCTTGGGGACCTCAGCGTAGGCTGGGGGCTCAGGGGAGTGTTCGTTTCGCTCCACAGCGTCGGTTGGGGGTCCACGGTAGTTGTTATAACCCCAGATAGCATACCAGACGGCAGCAATAATGATGAAGCCAGCAAACACCACGGAGGCATAGTTCATGCTCTCCTTGGTGACCGATTTAAGTGTCGGCATGCAGAAAAGGGGAATTGCAAGAATACTCCAGCCTAGAAGGGAGAGAAAAGTTAGCGTTGAAATTCGGGTGCAGAATTTTCAGAAACAACTCACCAAGAGCAATAACGTTAGCGATCAGGCCAAAAATTCCGAAATTGAAGCTACCGTTCTTGATATCCTCGCGACCACGGAAGATCAGGGAAACAGCGATCGGACAGGCATAGCTCGTAGTCAAGAAAATGACACCAACACCCGAGAAGGCATTATACGCAGCAGTAGAGCCAAAGTAGATCACACCGAGAATAATTTCCACAACCATACCCAACACCAACGCATTGAAAGGAATGTCAAGCTTCTTGTTGACGACGCTCCACCAAGCCGAGCCGGGAATACCACCGTCACGGGCAAAGGCCCAGGTACAGCGAGAGGTAGCAGTCACACAACCAACACCGCAAATGATACCCAACACGAGGAGGGGAATCAGCAGACAGAATGTACCCGCAGAGTTTCCAATGGCTGCCTTGAAGATGGCAGGAGTAGGTTGGCCCGAAGCCAGGTTGACCAGGTATGTGATATCGGGAAGCACGAAGCAGACGGGGATCAAGAAGAGAAGACCGGCGACAAAGTTGATGATGATGGTTCCGACCATAGCCTTGGGGACCATGATGGCGGGTTCCTGAACTTCCTCGCAGAGACTAGATTTGGTTAGCATGCGGAACGGCTGGATTGGGGGAGAATTTTATAAGTTGAGGGTCAAACTCACGAGATAATCATGCCAGTGGCTGATGTGGCATAGGCGGCTTGCAAGAGACCGATGAAGAACGACCACCCGGCAGGCCATCCAGCCTGAGTCTCAAAGTGACCAAAAACCCATGCGGCATCGCGACGACCTTCCTTGGCGATAGCTAACAGGCAGACGACAATAGCGACTAGACCGGCCATGGTCCAGAAAATAGCGAATGTCTAAAAAAAGGATAATCAGTACTTGTTACCCCATGGGGCAAATGCGGGACGTGCGATACACGATTACATACCTCCAACCACGGCAGCCATTTGTTACCAAAGGCCGAAATAGCGTGGGTCAACAGGGTAATGGCCAAGAAGACGAGGAAGGTCTGATATGTCTCGAAATCATCGGTGATTCCAACACCTGGTGATTTTTCAAAGACATTCAGACAAGCCACGAAGAGCAGACCAGTTCCGAAATTGACGGCAAGGGTAATGGTGATGTTCCCCGCAACGTATGCCCAGCCACAGATCCATGATGCGACGCGACGACACCACAATGGTGACAAGACGAATGTTTGATAGTAGACACCACCTGCAGTCGGGTAGACCGAGGTGATTTCCGCCAATGAGATAGCCACGCACAGAATCAGGAAAGAGATGATCACCCAACCCCAGATGATATTGGCAGGCCCACCTGCGGCGAGTGGATAGTATAGAGTGGTGGACAAGCCGTAGGGAACTGAGGAAAGAATGAAGCACATGAATGTGACTTGCCAAATCGATCGATTGCGAGACAATTCAGGCTTGTATCCCATATCCTCCAGAGTGCGATCCGCATTTGAGGTGCTCACACCCTGTTCAACCGTACCCCCGGACGGGAGACGGGATCCATCATCAACAGCCATTAGGAATGAAGTTTATTGGATGCTTCTGATCTGCATACGGTGCAGAATTGCTATATTGGAGAATAGTCAAGAGAGTGAAAAAAGGATAGAGAAACACAAACTACAAAAAAAACAAAAGATAGAAAAAAAAAAAGAAAAAAGAAAAAGAGATGACCAGGATATTAAAATGCAACCGAATGAAATCCCCTTATCCACAATGAATCCACAATTACGCCACCTTGACCCACAACACATCAGCGCGATTAACTTTGAACCAGTTAACGTGCGTGGAGGGGCCGGGAGATACGCGGTTCAGCCAATCACACTGCTTATAATCCAGAACATGAACGAAAGTGGACTAGTGGCCTGACATAATCCTTGTTTTGAAACCTTCGAGAAAGATTTGAGAGACTTTCACGGGTGCTAGTGATTATCCGAGGTGTGTCTTACAGGTGTATATAGAGTATGAGATCAGCAGTTTATCAGTATAATGATATCAATCTAATATTCCCCGATATGCTAGGTACAAGCATGCATCTTCAAATCTATGCAAATGCATACCTTCTCCGTATGGAACCGCATGATGTCGGAGGCGTTGGAGGCGTTGGAGGCGCCCAACTTCTGCCGAGCCCGGAATCCACGTCTTAGGAAATGGTCCCCGTGCAAATGAGACCCTGACGATTTTGAATCTGATATTTTTGATATTCTATAATACAGGTACATATTTATGTTGTACATTATAGGGCCGGGTTTGAGTAACCAGGACACCTTAAATATGGTTAAAACTCGGAATTTGCTAATTTCCGATACCAGCCGTGTTTTGACAGGCCATCCCGCAAGTATAGAGATAGCCTCAATTAAAAAGGGGCCACAGGTTCTGAGTGCAAATATTTTCATTGGTCAGGCTATCTTGGCTGCACTTTTTTGCTTTTTCCCTACGGCGTACTCCGTATAGTCAATTTATTTTTCAATTGTTGGCAACTTGGAGCGTCTGTTGCTGAGAGGCTGGAGAGTTGATGTTGGAGGGAGATTAAGGTGCTGTTTACCCGGTGAATCCCTTCCAAAATCATAGGTATACGGAATATATGGGGTCATGAGAGACATGTCCAATATCACATGTAATTGTTACTCCGCATCATATGTCATTCTCTAGTACTTGGTAGTCACAACAAACGGGTGGGACTGGCAATATGTGGTTGCCTAAGGTGTCCACCGAGCTTACCCCGTTGTCTCCAATAAATTTGCCCCAACACTTCGGGCGCAAGTACCTCCATACAACTTAGTGCCCACCAATATCCGCAATCCAAATTCCCACACCGATATAATGCGAACGTTCCCAAGAATTCCATCTGTTTCCAGAACCGAGTCGAACCCTTGATGCTCATTCGGGTGGATTGCTGCTGAGCGTGACATGTGCCCCAAGCTTACAGGCTATTGGTGTGTCATATCTACAGCCATCATCACAATCAAAGAGGGGGTGTATACACACATTGTGAGCGATAGTCGAAGCGAGACATTTTGCGACCGGACCAGCGCATTCAACACTCGTGACGCTCGTATCCAACATGGCGATCGCAATGCGCAGGGGAATGAAAGATACGAGCGCATCAGGAACACAGACGTATCCAACTTGTGTGCTATAGATACAGTTTCCCAGGATCAACCTACCAGTCATGTATCATGCATCGTGTACAAATGCCTCACTGATAGGATCCATGCAGACCACACAATTTCATCCAAGATCCTACCCCACGGTCGCTAACCTATAGATGTGCCCAGACGAACACCCGTGCCCGACTCCTCGACTCCTCCGACCCCTCCGACTCCTTATCCCCATACAAGCCATGGCTATGTGCTAGATATCTCGCCTGAGACATGGAATTTTGCAGTTCAGATACAAGCGTGAGACAGACGAAAATGTGGGGGTACCGGAAGTCTCGGCTTTAGGTGCTCTTCAGTCTCTGGTCTTGGGTCTGTTGGAAATAAGTACTTCATACTCATGACCAATCAATCACAGATGAGAGGTATACGAGTCTTGATTGTAAATTCCGAATGTGCCATTTTAATCGAAATTGGTGAATGTCAACTCCAAATGGGGAATTCCACGGAACGCCGAAGGCTTCGTCTCGGTCCGTGGTGGGGGATGTGGGGAATCTTCTTTCCAGAATTGGAAAATTGTGGGGGAAGGAACCTGAATGACATGCATAGACTCTCTTTGGGCGACATTGAAGAATCCCTTACTGGGCTGTAAGGAGTCTTGAAAATCAAAATAGCGATCTCGTCTCATCCCTAAAAATACTACCCGTGGCCGTTACCTTTAAGCTCACCCTCTATGTCCATCTTCTATATATGTCCAGATTGATAGTAATAGATTTACTGTAGTTCGCAACATTATATAGCCGTATAGCTGTAGTACCAATCATCGGTGCATGTTCTTATACCAAAATGACGTCGATTTCTTGATTGGGTGTCGGCCCTAAAGAAACATTTGGAGTCCTCACAAAACAAAACTTGAGTCATTATGAGGACAAGTACAAGTACCAGTAGGACAGCGTGATTCAAAGTGATCCTTCTTCTTCTTCTCTTCCGTCGCATCCTCATACAACATGGCCATCCAACTTGTTAAATCGTTTCAACATTTAACTGCATGCTTCATCCTCGCAATCAAGAACACATTTTCATCTATCACCACTACCACCAAGCATCTCAAAGCCAAGCATCACGACTGTATCAAAGCTGACAGAGTTAAACTGCTCTTACAAAAACTTCAAGAAGAAAAACATACCAACCTTCAACTCAACTGGATATCTGAACATCGCCAGGAGATACGACGGGCTCACAATATCATCCAACGAGAAACATACATCCGTGAGCTATTTTTCGACTATGACATCCAAGCTCAGAAGGAAAGCCCGCCAGAACCTTACACCCTGAAGAACCTTCAAAAATGCGATCTCGAGCTCAAGCTACTCAACATTGAATACTTCGAACACCTGGAACGGATGGCAGAACTCATGAAGCGAAAACCACTAGGGCACCTCGTTCATCGATATGCGAGAAATCTGCGACACAATCTAAAACAGCTCTGGATTATCGAACGGACCTACTGTCAACTTCGGGGAGGCTGCTGCGCTCGTGAATGTGGTTGCTGTGAGCGACCTTGGGATACCATCCGGGACCCTTCTGGAAAGATTCAATATATGCACTGCACCGGAAGCTGTGGATGCTGCACCCGCCACCGCGGTTACTCTTCCTCAAGTATGGTGGTGAATAAAAAATCCGACATCTAGCCTGAACGAGTTGGTGCTCGACGGGCCAATCTAGGCAGGTCCTGGCGCCACAACCAATGAGAGGGGTCTTTCGCTTTGCGGGGGCGTCTCGGAATCGTGAACAGTTATGATGGTGGGAGGATAAGTGAATGGGGAGATTTCTCTTGCTTGCATGATTTGGGCGGTTCTTGGATTCTTGATAAACCTTTCTTGGGTATTGATCACATGGTGCACTAAGGCCGAGATGGAATATCATGCAATAATAAGAAACTTTGGAAGATATAATTCCCGGCGTTGCTTATTTGAGCTTAGTATGCTCCTTTGGCCCGTGTAAGCTAGTACTATTACATCGAAGGGATCAATGGCCTTTGATTGGTTATCTTAAATATCTTTACTATTCTGGCGTAGTGTCAGCTTTCCCCATTCCTTCCTGATACGAGGGCATTTCGGTTTGCTCCCGAGGTCTGTACCTAGTTTCTTTGCCCAGTCTCTCCCCTTGCCTGGTCCCGTTGCCCAGTCTCTTTGCCCAGACTTTGTCTTTGCTTTTCACTTGTTCTGGAGCCAATAGTTTCCCGGACCGGTTGCCGGACCGGTGCTGTTATCATTTAGGGGCTATTTTACGCTCGTGTTTTCTATTAGAGGGTGGGCACTTTCCCTTCTAGTTGTATGATGCGGTTCACGCCCAGGTGGCACCTGTCACGGGGTGTAATGAATCGAACAAGGGTAGCTTTGTAGATTATGCGTTATTCGGTCTCTTTATTCAACCTCTCGCAACCATTGACTATCTTTCCTGTTGATTTCCTGTTGACTATGCTCTTGGTATGGACTCTAGGGAACTTGGGATATAAGGTGTTATAATAAACAATCCCACCATAATCAGCCCCTTGACGCCCTCGCACAATTTTGCACTCTTATCTTCAGCTGGAAGGCTACATGGTGGCTTACCCCAGGATTGTACCTTTGCTCGGGCCTAACAGTCATTTAGGCGGCCACGGACCCCTCTACTGACCAGTCATGGACCAAAGATATAGCAGTTTAATATCGCATGGCTAAGGGTCTTACGGGATGTAAGTGATCTTTGGAGGGGAAAAAATATTTAAATGTAGCCCATATCCCTGTCAATCTTTTCATCTTCAGTCAGCATTTCCTCATTTCATTGTCGCACAAGATGGCGACCATCGAGACTGAAACCCACAACTATGGGGGTGATAAAAATCCGATCAGTGAGAAGGGCAAAGCACTTCGACATATGGTCGAAGCCGATCTGCTTGATGAACGCTATGAAACCACCACCAAACGAGGTTTGAAAAACCGCCATGTTCAGCTTATGGCCCTCGGAGGCACGATCGGAACTGGTAAGTCTGTGGGTTTGCGCCATGAAAAAGGGACGATTACTCACGCAAGTCAGGACTTTTCGTGTCGTCCGGTCAAGCCCTCGCCAATGGAGGCCCCGCATCGCTTCTACTGGGTTACATTTTTATCTCGGCCATGGTTTATGGCTTGGTCACAGCCATCGCCGAGGTCGGTGCCTACCTTCCAGTACATGGTGGAACAATGAGTTACCATGGATTCCGTTATGTGTCGCGGAGTATGGGTTTCGCCATGGGATATCTATACTGGTACTCTCTCGGAATTTTAGTGCCGTACGAGATCACAGCTGCTGGACTGGTTATTGGATACTGGGATCAGAATGGATCGGTCAATATCGCTGTGTGGATCACAATCATGATGATCGTCATTATCGCGCTCAACTTTATGCCAGTGCGAGTATACGGCGAGTCGGAGTTCTGGTTCGCCGGGGTGAAGATCATCACTCTGATCGGCTTGTTGATGGTGTCTTTCATCCTCTTCTGGGGTGGCGGACCCAATCGCCAGCGATTGGGTTTCCATTATTGGAAGAATCCACGCCCATTCAACCCGTATATCGTGGAGGGAGATACGGGCCGGTTTGTGGGCTTGTTGAAATGCACAGTATCCAGCGCCATTGCGTTCATTTTTGCCCCGGAGTTGATTGTGATCAGTGGTGGTGAGATGGAGTCCCCTCGACGCAATATTCCCCGTGCAGCCCGGACATACATTTATCGATTAGTATTCTTTTATATCTTTGGTGTGCTAGCCATCGGTGTTATTTGCCCATCCGATGCCAGTCGTCTGACCAAGGGCGACGGCACGGTAAACTCCTCTCCATTCGTGATCGGTATCCAGAATGCCGGCATCCCCGTCTTGGACCACATCGTGAATGCTGCCGTCTTGACTTCCGCGTGGTCTGCAGGAAATTCCTTCTTGTACATGTCTTCACGTTCGCTCTATTCCTTGGCTATGTCAGGCAATGCGCCACATATCTTCAAGAAATGTAACCGGTGGGGTGTCCCATACTTGGCTGTGTCAGCCTCAGCATGCTTCTCGGCATTGGCATATCTTGCAGTTGGAAATTCCAGTTCGATTGTTTTCAACTGGTTTGTCAACTTCACAAATACCTCCGGCTTCATCTCATGGATCTGCTGTGCCGTGGTGTTTTTCCGTTTCCGCAAAGCCGTCGAAGCACAGGGCATTGAACAACCGTACAGATCAAGGCTGCAGCCTTATGGGGCTTACTTTGGCATGGCGGGTGCCACTCTTATGATGCTTATCAATGGGTTCACAGTATTCTTCCCATCGGAATGGTCCGTGAGCAGCTTTTTCACCGCATACATCGGTATTCCCGCTTTCTTGATTCTTTACTTCGGACACCGGGTACTGTATTGGAGTGATCCATGGGCGTGGCGCCCGGAGGAAGTTGATATGCACACTGGGTTGGATGAGATCATTGCTGCTGAGCAACCACCGAAACCACGGGGTCCGTGGTGGAAGTTCTGGTAATCCACATAATGAGGAAGGGAAGTGACTACTTATGGATGGATGACCCACGGGGGTGGACCTCAGGATTAGTAGTTAGTTATGGAAGGGATGAATAATAATACCCCGGAGAACATCCATGGATTTGTTTGTCATGTTTGTCATGTCTGTAAACTTTCCATAATGTTTGTCAATGTTTGTGCTGTTTGTCAATATTATGACGCATTGAATAATATCAGAGCGGGTGTGTTGCTGCGACTAACCCGCCTTATCACTATACTTATATCCCATAACATCCAATAACAACTAATAAATTCAACTCTTCAACCTCTCAATAACCCGGAATTCGGAGATTGCCCTTATCAAAAGACTTTATTGAGAATATAACCAGTGAAAACCTTTCTATCATCACATCGTCCCACATATACTCTCCTATATTCGGTACACGCCGTTGACCGTCCACAATCTGGTCCGGAGAACCGAACTTCTTAGTATCAGCCCAGAGCTTTAAAGACTACTTCGTAGAACATCTTTTGAACTTCCTGTTTTGAACTGTTCACCTGAAAACTCAAGCATCCGAAACCATGGCCGTCCGACCACTTACTGTCCGTCCGCTTCAACCTCCTCCAGGATCAAGCATCGATTTCGGTGCTGAGATTCAAGGTGTTGATTTGGAAAACTTGACTGGTTTGTGGTTTGCTTTCAAATACAAGAGCACAAGCTAATGATCATATAGATGAGCAATTTGCAACTATTCGGAAAGCCCTATACGAGCACCACGTCGTGGTGTTCAAAAACCAGAAAGGGCTATCACCTAAAGCCCAGTATGAGCTGACCAAGCGCTTCGACCCAGTTTCTGACAACTACGGACATGGCAAGACCATTGACGCGAAGCGAAGCATTCTCCACCCTGATCTCAAGACTGTCCCTCACCAGCCTCAAGTGCAGGTGATTGGAAATGGACATGTTGAGTCGTACGAGGGTCTCAAAGATATCACCCTGCGACACCCTCACCACCGAACATTCCATAAAGATCACATCCCAGACGAGAAGGACTATGAATTCACCCGGTTTTATCGCTGGCACATTGATGCTGCACTTTATGACTTGTACCCACCCCAGGTGACAACGCTTATGGCCGTGAGTGTGCCCAAAGGCCGCCGGCAGACATTGCTGTATGACGATGGAACCGGAGAGACCATGGATGTACCTCTTGGAACTACTGCGTTTGTGAGTGGCGAGCGGATGTTCGAACTTCTGTCGCCTGAGGATAAGGAGTTTGTGAAAACGAGCAAAATAGAATATGCCCCTCATCCGTAAGATATCCTGTGATATGCCTGTGGTTTCAATCAAACCAGCTAACCACCATAACAGTTACATCTGGATGAGCCAGGCCCATTCCCGTTCCACCGGGCTCGGTCTGCACTCAGAAGGCCTTGAGTTGTCCGACTCAGAACTCCCACCCATCGACTCCGACAAAATTATGGTCTTCCCAATGACCTGGAAGAACCCAGTGACGGGCAAATTGGCTTTGCAAATTCATCCCTCTGCTGTGCGCCGTATCCACTGCGCCGATGGAACTACAATCGACGACTTGGCCCGTGTGCGGGATATTGTCTATAAGTTGCAGCGGCCGGCTATCAGCCCTCAGTATGTATACCCGCATGACTGGGAGGATAATGACTTGGTGCTATTCAACAACCGTGGCGTGCTGCACTCCGTGGTTGGCGCATTCAAACCTGAGGAGGTTCGATTGTTCCGTCAATGTAATTTGGCGGCGTCCGAGCCTCCGGTTGGACCTTGAGTGCTGTTGGTTTTGATTTAACGAAGATCATGTGTGTTTTTTTTTGTAAATATTGGGCCTTTGGGGGCATTTAACATTGGATTTAGGTTGGCTGGAAATTTTTGGAACAGATAAATCTACGCGTGGAATCACATCTGCAGTACTGAAATATTATATATTTGGTGTTATACATAAGAGGGCTATGAGCATATTGCCAAAAATTAGCGGACGATATAAAACCCATTCACGGCAACTTGGCTCTCTCTAAGTTCATCTGCGACAGACCGAACTCCAACTAGGTGTAGTGGAACTTGTTCTACTAACTTCTGCCCACGGCTGATGATATTGGTATATCCCTCTACAGTGCGATCAATCCAACTCGAGTTTTGCTGAGGATCTGAGATCGCCGGATTTTCCGCGGCCCATGCAGGATGAGCCAGAGTATCCTGCACAGCTGATGCGTCATATACATCAGCGAGCAGAGCCGCCTCTGCAGCTGCTGCTTGCGCGTCAGCGAGCTCTTTGCTCGTGGTCCCAGTGGGTGGTGGGATTTCGGCGCGAAGGTATCCCAAAATACGAATCTCGACCTTGCTAGTTTGGATAGGGACGTCCTCGAGGAGGCGCAGCGCAACCACGCGTTTTGATATTTGAGCCAGATTTACTCTCGTCGCCTGGAGGGGATCCAATACCCGCACAGACAAGATAGCTGGGCACCAGTCATCAGCCGAAGGACCTTTGTTTGGCCCAGTGTCAAATCGAGCCCAGCCGAAGAAATAGCCCCGTAACTGCTCTGTCACCCAGTCGGGCATTTTAATTAAGCTCAATCTCGGTATATTCTCAGGGTTGTCGTTGTACGATATTTGATCGGGTTGACAGCGAGCTTTGAATGTCATAGGAAACGGTGGCTGAGGACCGACATCGATAGAAACGGGGTCGCTTCCAGCTATTTCTGGCGCTGCTAGATTTATCTGGGACCTCCCAATAGGACCTCTAGAGCCATTGATAATACCACCCACACGGTTTTCAATACCAGTAGTTGCGTAAGCCTTTTGGGCCACAGTCCTGGTCATCCACGATGGACGAAGCGCAGCAGCTTTGGATTGAAGCGGAGCAGCCTTTGCTTGAATGGCCATGGCAGCTGGACCGGCCGCGGCTCGCGCGGCAGTTTGGGCGTAAATGCTCACAATCATAGCCCCAACCTCCAGCGGCAGCGTGCTCAAGCTCGCACCACGGATAGAGCTGGGGGCGGTGGATGTAGAGATCACACGGAAGACGGGGCTATTGCCAAGCACCTTCTTCTTGAGTCCCTGGCAGAGAACTAACTGAAAATAACCATCGCCTGCTTCGGCGGGAATCCGCACAACGGCAGTCTCGCGTAATTGATGTGTATCGCGCGGACGAGGCGGGGCCTTCTTTCGAAATTTCTTGATATCACGTTGCCAAGCTCGTTCATCATCCGGAGTTACCTGGTCGGCCCTCAATGGCATGCCTGGGGTCACGTCCAGCCAGCTATCTCGCAAGCGGAGGAACGACTTGAATTGCATTCCGGTCTTCCCGCTCCAACCTTTGCTCTGTAACCACAAAGTGTGGTCAGGTGGTAAGGGGGCATCAGAGAAGATTGATATAGCAACTGATGTAGTCGGTCCGCGGTAGAAGACCAGTCCATGGGAATGTCGCAAAATAGTGACATGTTTGTTTGATTCCGTTGGACGATTGATTAGACCAGTGAGAAAATGCCGAGCTTCACTATATGCCTTTTGAACAGGTGTTGGCGGTGGAGGGGTTGGAGATGAAGTTGGCCCTGCTGTTCGTGGTCGTGGCAGTGGACTTGCAGGCCTGGGAGGTGGTCCATAAAGGTCCGTATATGATGGGGGCTGTGATGATGGGGGTTGCACAAGAGATGGGGTACTGGCATAGCTTGTTGCTTCCCGCTGATCGGCATACGCCGTAGCTCGCAAGTTCGGATTTGACACGGGCTTTCGCTTGACGTGAAATGAATCCGGCGGATAATTCGGGTTTAAATATCCAGACATTTTCTACATAATACTCGAGGAGTTCCCCGACTGTCTCTTCTTTTAAAGGGGCGCGGTGGCCAAGAATAATGATTGGCCCAAGCTTGATTGAAGCCTGAGGCAAAGTATTGATGCCTGAGATTGTATCGAGGTGACATGAGTGCAACTTGACTTATTGATTGGAGAAAATAAAAGAGGAATATATTAGTAACTTCAATTGGGGCAAAAGGCCATGAAATTATCCCGCGATCACCAATCATCATATACCCAGACCATGCGATCGGGTATGCATATGCGACCCCCTAGCCTCCTGAGTATTGTCGCGCATTTCTTTGTTGTACGGCCCCATGGCCAAAGATAACCGTTATATCTCGTTGGTTATGACTTCTTCCCCGTTGCATAGCTCGATACATTCAAAGTCTACCACAGACACAGAAGGCTTGTTATCGTCCTTATGGTAAAGCACATTGTGGCTGGCAAGGTCCTTCCAAACCATTCCCAGATGTATTCGCCTATCTCCTCTGTAATGCTTCTCTCTTCAGTGAGAACAAGGATGAGCAGCGAATCACGCCCACTGCGTAGGGCGAAGCAAAGAAAGAATCCCCCTCAGGGTGCTTCTTCTGGAGAATCTAGTAGGTCATCGTCTCGTTCCAATAGCTATAAGTTTACCGCTATATTAGCTTTCAATAGCAGACTTTGGGCGGTCAATCCAAACCTTTGAAGTTCGGACGCTGCCTAACACTTGCCTATTGCAAGCTGTCTGTGCTAGATGACCTCGAAGATTGCCTCTGTTTTGGTGACTCGGATTTTGTGACCTCAACTGAGTCTATCGCAACAGGCTCGTGGTTACCAAAAAAAGGATTATCTGAGTTGTGACATTGAATCACCGCGGAGTAGTTTGACTATCCGCGACAGAAGTCTTCAAGTTAGAGTAGTACATAGAACGAATCGCGTTACCCGGTGATCCTGGGCCTGAGCGCCCTCGTAAAGCTGTCGCAACCCAGATAGGGAAGGCTCCAGGCAGGCATTACCCTGTCTATTTATGCACATATATGTATGTATATAGATGTCTACACATGTACATATATATGGATGTAAATGCAAGAATATTAGTTGGGCACTTTTGCAGCCTTGTTAAGTCATTTGATAGTAATTTTTTGCAGTCTTTTCAGATGTCTTTTTGGATTTCTTTTCAGGGTTTTTTCTTGTAAAATTGTTTCAGTTATTTCTTTCATTCATTAATTCTATGACTAGAGTTATACGAATCAGCCTTAAAATACAGGATAAGATATATACGTGGTAAGGACAGCTTAAAATGCACAAACAGACTTTTTCATGTATATTATTTGACGCCATTACCTATCTCCTGGTTTGAGCTACCTCTTTTGGTACAACTTAGGCATATACATCATTAGAACCAGATGACAGCTTCCAGCCTAGCTTGGCATGTAGTAAAGTTCGAGTGCTTCAAGGATTTGTCGCTTTTTTGGGCAATTGGAGAAGTGGGCATGTTCACAAAGACAGATAATTAAAATCCCCTTTAAAATTCTTGGTGTTAACATAGACTATCTATAGCATCCCCCATCAATCTAGATATAGTCCTCAGTGCATTCCCATTTATTTCGGTCAATGATCTGCTGATATACCCTCCAGTAACTTTGTGGAGTGCTGAAGCTCATTGTGTGAGAAACAAATACTCATGAATTTCACCATTTCGGCCGCTATCACTGTTAGCTTGAATATTTCCCAAGGATATAATGGAACGTACGTGTGATTCTATCACCGGCTGCATCCTTTGCATCCCGTCCATTCATTCGAGTGTAGTGGAGAACGAGGTCGACCCGTGGTTGACGAGCCTTTTGATACATTTCGAGTCGCATAGGGATATCCTGCGGTGTGGTGCCACAAGGAAGCAAGGTGGCAATGCTGACCGCATCTTCGATTGCCATAGCCCCTCCCTGTCCCATGTCTATCGATTTGTCAATGTCTCGGATTCATCCATTTGGAATGTTTATTGGCTTACATGGCTGGAACGGATGTGCTGCGTCTCCCAGAAGTGCAGCATGGCCTTGAGTCCAGGTCGGCAGTGACTCCATATCGTACAAATCCCATACTTTGAGATCCTTGTCCGCGCTGGCGATGATTTGTTGAACACCGGGTGCAAACTTGGAAAAGGCCTTGACAATTGTAGTCTTGTCTCCAGTTGCCTGCCAACCTGATAATGCCAATTTGTCAGTGCCTTTATTGGTCAAAATCCAAGGAGACCCCTTACTGTCGCTTTGCTTATCTGCCTGAACTTCATCCAAAGGAATAAAAGCACAGAGATTGAGGATTTTGCCATCAGAGCAAGGGTAAGCCACGAGTCGCCGGTCATCGGATGCCCACTCGATAAACACGCCGGTATCTTGCACAAAACCCGCAGTGCTTGGATCCTGTCTTAGTTGTTCTATGGGGAGAAGCCAACGGAAGCATGACTTGCCGACGGAGTATGGGGAGGGAAAGTCTGGGGCGATACTCTCGCGAATCTGAGACTATGGAACAGTTAGAATAGGGACGAGAGTCGGAAAAGCACAGGTGCTCATAATCTGATATCCATACATGCAATCCATCTGCACCAAGGAGCAGGTCGGCTTTGAAAGTGCGACCATCATCGAGAGTGACTGACGGGCTAGCCCCTTCTAGGTTGATCTCGGTGATTACACACCGGGTATGCAGCGTTGCGGTTTCAAGAGCGCGTTGCTTGAGGTGATTGTGCAGCTCAACTCGATGCACGAGGTACCACTCCTGTGTAGAATTAGAACATCGTCCTAATTAGGTCCGCTTGATCCACCTACTGCCTGCCAATGATGACGAATGTCGGCAAACTCTCGCTTGTACGTCAACTCTCCGTCGTGTCCATATCGGTGGATCTGGAGAAAGGGAAAACAATCAGTTTCAATCACTATTCTTGTCGAGGAACAAATCTCACCTGGTGAAGCAATGTTCCCCCGAAATTGACCGGATTAATGCCCATCCAGTCAAGCAAGGAAGTGCAATTCGGCGGCATATGGATTGCAGCACCAGTCTCCCTCAAGAAAGCCGATTTCTCTAGGATCTAAGCAAAGTGAGAGATTGTTTTTTTGTAGAAATCTGAATAGTTGGTTCTGAGGGCATACCACAACGCGATGCCCCTGCTTTCCAAGGGCAATAGCTGCCGAGAGACCAGCAATGCCGGCTCCGATGACAAGGACATCAAGAGGCTGATCCGAGACTGTCATAGTGAAGAGACTCTAGGACTTTCAGATATATCGACTGGGCCTTTACCAGAAATCTCTCTCACAAGATTTATAGCAGTATGATCTCTCTCTCCCGAGTGCCTAATTTGGAAATAGCCGACAGTTATCTCCGAGTCTAGGGAAAGTGGATGTTTAAATAGTGCTAGATAGTCCTGCAATCTTGAATAGCGGCACTATTAGGCTGAAGACGCACAGAAACTAGCATGTATTAGACATTGTCAGGCCACCGACACTGCATTGTTGGGCACACTTTTCATGTCATTGGCATATCTCTCTTCCGATCTATCCACAGGCCAGGTTAGGGCAGGAGTAGATCAAGGTAGCGTGATCATGAAAACTCGCAACCCATGAACACGGTCCTTTGAATTGGAGTCTCGTAATACGGTACAATATCCACAAATCCATATTTTCGATACAGCCGTTGTGCAGCTGTCATTTCAGGCAGTGTATCTAGACGTACTCCGCGGTAGCCCAAATCTCTGGCTTGTACGAGGATTGCCTGGACAAGTTTTTCGCCCAGATGTTCTCCACGAGCTTCCTTGAGAACATACAGACGCTTCATCTCGCACCAGCCATCAGAGCTGCGCCGGAGTGCCACACATCCGAGGACGGATGATGACTGTGGAGAACTTATTGAGTCGACTAGTCCTAGTCCAGCAGCGTTCGTATTCTGTTCTTGAAAACCCGTATCTGCCCGTGTAACCAAGAGAGAACCCCCTTGATATGAGGTATATTTTCCAGTGAGAGAATTAAGCTCCGCCCGTGCGATCAAGAGAGATCCCCCTTGGGACGGTGCATATTTCCCAGGGAGGGAATTCAGCTCCTCTTCGAATGATTGAAAGGTAAGATCGATACCGAGGGATGTAGCATAGCCAGAAAACAATGATAGAATGGCATCCGCGTCTTCAGGAAATTGCGCCGGCTCTATTTGGATTTTCATGACAACGGCAAAGATGAAGAGAAGTTGGGACGTTCAAAAGTCAGCAGGGGTTAAACTTGCGCCCTCCAGGGCTGGAGATAAGCAAAACACGATGACTCATAATGGTATTAGCCCCGGGGCCGTGGACAGGGGATCGAAGAATAACATCTCCTGTTTTTAGCATATTTCTGTGTATAATGTACGCGGATGCAGCAATTTTCTTTTGATAAATTTTAGTAAATTTCAGTAAATTGAAGTTGAAGAAGCATATATCTCAGTTTATTGACACAAGTCCCCTTGTCTCGATCTCCAAGGTTAGATACATGATAAATATCACCCATTGTACAAAACACCAAACTCATCAACCCCTAAATCAAAAGCTCACCATGTAAATAGCACATCACTGGTAGGTAACGGAGAACTCAGTCTCACTTGGGACTCTAACATGGGCCTTCACGTTGCCATTTTGCTGAATATGCAGAACGGCAGCGTCATGGGTACCATACCTCACACCACCTGCCTCGGCCTGGGCCCCGGTAAAGTCAACTTTGCCAAAGTTGGCCAAGGGAACCATGTTATTACCGGTGTTGAAGTCCTCAACTATCCATTCCGCGTTTTGACCAGCAATGGTGGCGGATGTCGAGGGTGCAGACAAGGTCTTGGTAACCCTCTGGCCGGTCGACTTATTCTCGATGATGGCAGCACCCTTGCTAGTCGAAAATGTCTCGACCTTCGCGACAACAACGTCACCTGCAGATAATTGCAGGTCAAAGTTCTCCGCACTCAATGGATACCACTCGTACCAGGCGTCAAATGTCTGTTGGCCATTCTGGATATAGGCATCGATGCCGGTCTGCAGAATCGCATCGGTGTAAGTGTCACCATCAATCCCAACCCAGGCGGACACAGCCTGCATCTCGCCAGATTCATTGGTGGCTGTTGGCTCTGGGACGGTGAACGTTGCAGACACAGCGGTGTAGGTGGCCCTGGCTGGTGGATTCTCGCGCACAACCCCAGCCCAGTTCTTGCTATATTGAACTTTGCCTCCCTCGGCTCCTTGCTTGAGCAGAATTCCCTTCTTTTCGGCGGGTGAGGATTGGCGTGACAGAGCGCCGCGGCCCTGCAGACGCTCAACAAGGCCACTACCAGGGGCGGCGAGAGAGCTGCCTGCCAGTATAGTGGTGGTCAGAATCGCCTTGGTGAACTTCATATTGGCGGAGATGGCAATGGGCTTGGGCAGATCCCAGAGCGGTACAGATAGCAAGGAAATGAAGTTGTGGCGTCACGAGCCTAGTCTCTCTTGGGACTGGTCGTGATGGTACTTATATCCCGTATGTCAATCTAGGTTGCATGCGGCACGATATCATGCTCAATCCGCATGGGGAAAGGGAGCGCGTGGCGTAGTATTCATGACCCCAGGCACAAGATGAGACAATAGTTATGAGCCCGATAGAGCGGAGATATGGAAAGCAAAGAAAGTCAAGCTGTTGCCCGGCATCTGAGCAGCGTTGATTAATACCATTGTGACCTGCAATTGCAGTTGCAGTTGTGTTGATCTTCTCTCTTTTGCCGCTGGTTTCCCATGATCCAGGCCAAGGTTGCCATTCCGTTATAGCCATTACGTGAGACTTGGATCAGCAACTCAGCCGAGCTTGGGCGTTTTTGTGACAGGCACATTCCTGAAGACAGAAACATCTGCCACCGGAGCCACGACGGATTAGACGAAGATCGGCGCCAGCGATATCTTGAAAGCCACGAGATTCACCAAATTGAAGTAACGTGCATCTCAATTAAGATTAAGAATGCATTTTGTATGCAATGTCGATATTCCCACAATTTGGGGTTATTCCACATTTTTGGGTTTGATATGACCGCTTCGTACCGCTGTCCCTGACATTCTCACTGCATCTAACAATGCATTTGTGAAACCGACGGACCCAGATGCCATCGCCAATGGAACAAAGCACAACCAAACTGGAGTCATCAAATTTTTTTTTAACTCAGCAAGCCTCGAGTGTGCTTGCAATGTCACCTAGGCGGGCTAGTATACCAAGCAAGGGGTGACAACGTGTTCACATTCCTGGGCCCGCCGTGTTAAAGTGTCTGGGAACAGTATCCCCTGGTGGCAGAGATAGTTTGACTCGAAGCCGACTATTTTCGTACAGTGCCAGATCAAACTGCACAACAACTCTCACCGATCTGCGGTAGATGGGGGTCGACCAGAGCCAATTTTGTATCGGCTGATCAAGATACGCGAACCGCTAGCTGTCGCTTGAGCAGATCGGCGCCTTGGTTAGTGACAAGCATCTGATTCGTGTTGCGCGGGATATATATTCATAAAATAGAATTAGATCCCTTGGTTGGAAACAAAGCACAACTGCTTTTCCAAGGGTAAATAGGAAATAAGAAGGGTCAAAATATTTCAAATGGACAAAGGTATGTATCAAATAAAAAAAAACCCCTAATCTTCCGAAGTAAAAACGTGAAAACCTGCCTTCAACTTCAGCTTCAGCTCTTCAGCATCACATAGGAAGTTGACGCATCTCGGCAAGAGACCAGTACTTGCGCATATTGGCAGCTCCAAGAGATTCAACCTCTTGGTCTAGATGTGTCCACAGAACCTTGCCAAACCCTTCCATCAACCGCTTTACCTCTTCGCGGCGCATATCTTCCTCACCGGACCGACACTTCTCAAGATACTTCTCAAGTTTTTCAAGTCCCGCATGAATTTGTCTGTGCTGACTCAGTAGCTCAAGCTCCTTTCGAAACTCAGGCATCTTTTTCGCCAACACGGGGAAGATGTGTTGCTCCTCGATAGAGTGATGAAAATCTAATTGCGAGCAGAACTGAAGGCCCATCGTAATCATCTGGCGGGCTGAGAGCGCCCGTTTTCCAGAGCTTTCACATGCCTCCCAAAGCTGGTTCCATGTCAAACGGAAATGGCTATGCTGCATGAGAGTCAGTACCGAAGATATACAAATTTGCCACTGTGATATTATTCTCACAAATCCTTCCATATGCTCCGCCATGCGATTATAAGCCCGGAAATCACTCGCGGACAATGGAGAGTCACCCGAGCCCCCAGAAGAAGATGTCATCTTTTTGGAGCCCATTGGATTGATGAGGCTTCGAGGAATAAAACTTGGACGAGGGGTAGCTGCGAAGAGTGATGGGCGAGAAAAGAGAAAACGCATGGGACGGCAGTTGGAAGCAATTTATTGCCGCGAAATGAAAGATATAAAAGATGCTAGTAATAACAGTAACAGTACTCCGTACTAGTAGCGCAGAGGGAAATCTGGGGTTGATGTGAAAACAGAGACTTCTGATTCGGGGCCTGTTTTCCTGGTAATGTTTGAATCTATTTTTAGTTTATCTTGAAAAAGTTTTGAGGACGCAATAGCTAACCTCCCAAGGTTGATGGTTTCATTTTTCAATATAGACATATACAAATTTACATATACGAGAATATTCCAGATCTTCAATGGATGTTTGCCATCTCGGACAAACCGTTGGACAAAAATCTAGTACTCACTGGCTAGGGAGATAAATCTCCATTTCGATATAAGCACTTCTTCGGCGCAACCTCGGCCATGACAGGGCCGGATCGCAATTTGACATCCGTGCTAGAAAGGTGGGTTGGAAATGGGAAGGTTAGTAAGTGTGGCAATGGAAAGGAAAAAAAAAGTTATGTTATTATCAATACACATCGGGGGCACCGGGGCCGGGCGAGAAAGTAAGACAATATGCCGCCGGGAGGGGGAATCGAAAATATTAGACAGTAAAAGGTCGTAACGCCGTGGATGTGAAATAATTAAGACAATCAAAGCTCCGGGTGTTCAAGCTGCTTCTTGACCGGCGGCCGGAGGTTGCCGGACGTAAGTTCCTGGAAGGCAAGATCGAAGCGGGCGCCCATCATCCAGGCGGCGAAGATCATGATACTAGCGATAATGACAACGATAACGCCCATGAGAGCCATGACGAAGTAGACATCATTCTTGTTCTCAGCTTCTTCCTGCTTCCTCTTCTCCTCAGCCGCAGTGAGCTCACCAGAGACCTTACGCTTGGCGGCCTCGGCGTTTTGAGTCGGGAAGATAGTCTCAATGAACTTCTCGATTTGTCCACAGACAATGCTGATCTTCAGGAAGTTGGGATCCCTGGGGGTATTCTTCTTGTGGATTTTGCGGACGTACACGCGGAAGGTGTCGCACAGTACCGATAAGTTCTGCGTAGACTTGTGCATAAGGTCACATGCATCTCCCTTGGTGATCTTGATGTTGCGCTTGAAGATATCGGGGTTGCGGAAGCACAACTCCATTGTGGCGATAGCCATGGACTGCGGGATGGCACAGAAGTTGAACACACTCTGCTCCCGCATACCGGCCAGGTAGAACAGGCACTCCTCGGCGTGCTCCAAGGCGTTCAAGACCATCTCCGAGTTGCAGTTGAGGGCTGCCTCGAGGTGCTCTGGCTCAAACAGATCCTCGAAGTTGTCGACATGCTTGGACCAAATTTCTTGGGGCCAGAATCGTCGGTTATCATCAAAATCTTCCCGGATATCACGGATGATATTGGTCTTCTGGAGGAAGAGACCCATTGACTTATGCAAATTAGGGCGCTTCAACAGAGCCGGGTTACCGAACTGAGCCTCGACAAAGAGACGAGTGAGGCCTTCGCCAACCAATCCAGCGACATAGTAGCAGTACAAATCATACTCCTCCTTTGTCTTCACACTGGCATCGTCATTCTCTGCCTTCACGGCATAGTCAGCCATGCCGTTGCCCATCTTATCAGTGATGTCCTTGATGATAGCCTGGTATTCAGGCTTCATGTTCATGAACTCAGTGATCACGTGGTTGAACTGAACCAGCAGCTCACGATCCTTCTCCTCCGGCCGGTTCCCAGTGAAAGTCCAGCCATCCTTTGCCAGAATATCCTTGAAGTTCCGGAGGAGAGGTTCCTTGGTAGCTAAGGGAATAGAAGTGTCATCCTCAATGGTATCCAGCCCACGGAGAACCAAGTAGAAAATGCAGATGGGGATCAACAGTTCGGGATGTAACTCCTTGATCACAGCACTGAAACTGCGGCTGGTCTTGTCCAAAAACTTGAAGCAGGTCTTCTGATTCTCGGTCTCTTTTTGCTCGTTACGCTCGTGAGGCGGGTTGTGCCAGATTTTCCTATGCAAGGCGGATGATTAGCTTCGAATGCGCAAGGTGAATTTTGCGGATTCAAAGACATACCATTGGAGAATTGCCCTCAGCTGCATGGGGTGGAAGGAGTAGTAGAGAGCATTGCCGACAAAACCCATGATGGGCGGGGAAGAGGCGCGTAGTCCGGGAGATTCAAGAAATTGTTACAAGGCAAAGCAGCCCAATCTTCAACAAGTGAAGTAAAATGGAAATATGATCCGGAAGAAGATGAATTGAAGAGTATACAAAAAAACAACAAAACCTGGGGGAACTGCGGATGGGGTGGAGGGAAAAGGGGAAAAGGCCAGAGCAGATTAAATGCAGAGTTAGCTATCACGTGATTAAAACAAACCATGCATACAAATGCCCCCCACATGATATCAGCGCCAACTTCTGAAAAATATCTTGAGGTTCTGCCTAAAACACACAATCTAATCTTTTTTTCTTCAGACCTTTTAACTCTATTGAAATTATACCTTCCCTCAAACCCTCTTTGTTCTCAATTTAGGCTCGGTCGCTGCGATGGTTGCCGATACTGCCTACTACGAAGCCCTAGGTGTGCCACCTACGGCCACCGAACTGGAGATCAAGAAGGCCTACCGGAAGTTGGCTATTGTCACTCACCCAGGTATAGCCCCGCTTTCGACCTTAGACTTATTTACCAGTCATTCTAATCCGTCGCCCCAGATAAGAACCCTGGAGATGAGACCGCACACGAACGTTTCCAGGCGGTATGGTTGCGCAAACCGAGGGATGATGCACATTACACGACGCTGATATCCTGCTTCTATAGATCGGCGAGGCGTATCAAGTCCTGAGCAACGAAGATCTCCGAAAGCGATATGACAAATTTGGCAAGGAGGAATCAGTGCCTGGTGGTGGTTTCGGTAAGTCCATTACATGGTCGTTAATGTCCAGCACAACGTTTCTGATTTTGTCTTTTACAGAGGACCCGTCCGAATTCTTCAGCATGATCTTCGGTGGGGAGGCTTTTGTTGATCTTATCGGCGAAATTTCCCTCATGAAGGACCTCACCGCGACTATGGACATCACCATGCAAGAATTGGAGGAGGAAGAACTGGCCCAGTCCGCGGAAGAGAAACTTAACATCCACGATGAGGAGGTGAAGGCCGCAGGTGGTGATCCGGCTTCTGCTCCCGAAACCCACGTTCCTTCGGCAGGGGCTTCCCCTGCAGCCGCAGCTGCAGCTGCTAGTTCCTCCGAGAAACCAACCTCCGGCCAGACCTCTGGCGTCAGCACTCCTCGACGAAATTTCGGTCAACAGGCTCTCATGGATAAATCCGAAGAAGAAGCTCGCATGGAGGCAGCCGGTCTGTCTCAGGAGGAGAAGGAGCTGCGCAAGAAGGAGAAGAAGAAGGGTCTCTCCAAGGAGCAGCAGGAACGTCTTACCGCCTTCGAGGATGAACGCAGAAAAGCTCGCGAAGATCGTGTCAACACACTGGCAAACAAGCTGATTGACCGTTTGAGCGTTTGGACTGAGACGGACAAAGGCAAGGATGTGTCCCATGCTTTCGAGGAGAAGATCCGACTCGAGGTCGAGAACTTGAAGATGGAATCTTTCGGCCTGGAAATTCTTCACGCCGTTGGTCAAACATACGTTCAGAAAGGCACTTCCTTCCTCAAGTCACAGAAGTTCCTAGGTATCTCTGGCTTCTTCTCCCGCTTGAAGGACAAGGGCACCCTTGCGAAGGAGACATGGACCACCATCTCCACAGCCATTGATGCGCAGATGACTATGGAGGAGATGGCTAAGATGGAGGAACGTGGTGGTGAGGACTGGACTGATGAGAAGAAGGCTGAATATGAGAAGAGAGTTACTGGCAAGATTCTCGCCGCGGCGTGGCGTGGCAGCAAGTTCGAGATCCAGAGTGTCCTGCGTGATGTCTGTGACCAGATCCTGAGTGACAAGCGGACTCGACTTGAGAAACGCGTTGAGCGTGCGCATGCGCTGGTGATTGCCGGCAATATTTATGCGAAGGTACATATACGCCTTCTCCATCTAATAGGATTATGCTAACCACTAGCTTTTAGGCCGCACGCGACCCCGAAGAAGAAGGTGATTACATGGCCTTCGAGCAGCTTATGGCCGAGGCCATGAGCAAAAAGGGCAAGGATGAGAAGGACAAGAAGAAGAAGAAGTCCAAGCACGACCATGACGAGACCCATGGCGGAAAAGAGCCTGTTCAAGAGACCACTGTTTGATTGCCTCATTATTCATCTCGTTTTTTTCCCTTCTCTTTTGGTTGAGTCCCATCTCGTACTTTGTCTTTCTTAATAGCCGGTTCATTATATCCTGGACATACATGTTGGGTTTCTTTTTTACCTCCTCACCTCCTCTCGGGCTTAACTATTCCGTCCTTTACAGCAACCGGATGGATGCGGTTTGCAACACGCCCAGTTCGGGCGATAGATTGGACTATATACCTCCTTTGCTCTTTGATTAGTCGCAACAGCATGACAGCGGTTTGGTGCGGATTGTATGGACATAGATGCTTATAATAATCATATAGAAACAAATATTCCACGGTTGGCATGATATATTATTAGTACTATAGGTGGTATAAGAATAGAGAAAACACGCAGAAGATGTGACCCTTTCCCAATGGAGACTATTACTATTCCTTGCAAATACCAGGGCCAACAATACAACGAAAAACCAAAGCAAACTGAAGCGATTATGCTGGACTGATCTCATGCGGACATGCGTGGTGCTCATTTCCACACTGTGTGCAAGGGCGAGGAAGGACTAAGCGATTGATTGTTCGGCTGTTCATGAAGAACATTAATATCAAAACATCACAGGTTCCATGGAGCAACATGATACGTACCCATCGGCGCTTCATGGGCAGAGCCTACGCTAGTCTGGTTCGCAGCAACCCCGTTCTCCTTTCTGAGAGACTGGTACCCAGCCCAGTCCGATACCAAAACACCACACATGGCAAGAATGGTGAATACGACGAGGGCAACGAATAGTAGCCTAGATATGAGTCGAGGGTCAGGTCGGTTTCTTGTATTGCATGTGTATTGACTGGGGACTATACCAAAGGAGCACGCCGAAGGCAAGCACGGCATTGTAGTAGGGGTTTACACTAGTACCACCACCAAGGAGACTGGCAAGATCAGCAAAGCATGCCAGCCAGAATACCATGGTAACGAAGTAAACGGCCACGAAGGTAGCGGAGAGGACAGTGTTGAGCTTTGCGGTCACGGAACCCTTGCGAGTATAGTACCAGGGCAGTACTAGGGCGGCGACTGTCACAAAAATAGTCCAAACCGAAGAAAACACAAGGAATACGAGGATAGCCGGAGGATCCAAATTGACCTGGCCGTATGAATAGCCCGAATATGCATTCCAGGTGGTGATTTCATGTGCGCCAGAGTATGCGGCTACGATGAAAGCCGAGAGACCTAACTCAATAATGGCGAAAACCAAAGAGGTGCCCAATAGGGCATACAAGACAATACTGAGAGCCAGCATAGTGAGGTCAATATAGCTAGTATATAGGTACTTTGAAAATCTGTGCAGATCCAAGAGTATCAAAAAAAGAAACAAAGTTGTTCGATAGGGGCCTCAAGGGACAGGATCCCCTGTTCTTTATGATATCTTTCGCATGCGGCTCATGATAGATAGAGCTCATAATTGGAAACAATGCAGAATGAGCCTTATTTGTAGCTTGTGGACCAGTTGGGATAGAGATCGGCGCCACTAAACAGTGTCGACTTCCATGACTCGTGTCCAATACGAGCACCCACATCGATATGGCGTTTGCGCTACCCAGATTGATACAAGGTAAGCGAGTGGATCATTCTGAAGGTCTCGTATAGAGTTGAAGTTTTGTGATGTCTAAGCCTAAGTCTCTAAGCCCAAGTGTTGGCAGAGGGTTGTTGTCATGTGCCGAGATGTAATGTGTTCCCCCTTTGACCTTTTCTTTCATCACAAGGTTTATACGAATGTAAAGCCTATTTAATGATCGTAGCCTGTTGGCTTTTCTTTTTTGGTTTTCCCAGTCAGCCTTGGAAATCTCATATTTCTCCAACTTCTCCAACTTCGCCAACTTCTCTAACTTCGCTGTCTGTATACCAGATTAAAGGACGTTGTACTGTACTTCACAAGGCTAATCTCAGCAGCAGGGAATAAGAAGTGCAGTCAATAATATTGCAAGTAAACAGCTTCGAAGAGCTGGAGGAATGAATAAAAACAAAAGAGGGAAGAAGGAGGCATTCCCCCAACAAAAGGAACTAGCTTGATATATCAGGAGTTAGGTCACGCGATCAAAATACAACTAAGCATTCCCCACCGGCCTTGGCTGATATCTTCGGAGATCACCGTATATCTTATCGTGTTCCTTGAAATCCAACATTATCACTGCCCTATATCATTGAATTAAATTAAACAGCAATAGTTCAAGGTAACATCGTGCCGGATTTAAACGGCGGAAGTGATTCTACAGTGATTCCACACAAGGAAATGGATTTGGTCGATCTCCTTTCCCCCCTCTCCACAGCCCTCGCATTTGAGCAGGACTGATAACATGTCACATACATAACAGCCTGTAGACGTTGTCAATTTCTCCCTTTTCTCGGGACTTCATCGAGTAAACAGCAAAATATAAGCATCGATAAATATGGCGTCTCTACACTCATCTGCCATGGCTTTACTAGCTCTTGTTGGCAGCACTGCCGCAATGGCCTCAGGCTCCTCCTCGCCCCCAGCTGGTCCTACTGGTCTTTCATATCCGTCCGGGTTTGATATGAAAACAAGCTGGGCCAACCTGAGTCCTTATTCCGATGCATCTGATTTCACTATCCCCAAGGGTTTTCCATTGGAGTGTGAACTATCCCAAGTGCATGTGCTACACCGCCATGCCCAGCGGTATCCGACACAATGGCTTCTCGATGGAGAAGGCATGGAGAGCTTCGCCCAGAAACTGGTCAACTACACCAAGAAACATCCACACAAGAAGATCGGCTCTGGATCACTGGCTTTCTTGGACGATTGGGAGTACACGCTTGGCTCGAACACTCTGCTTCCCACGGGTGCTGCCACCGAAGCTAGTTCCGGCGCCCAATTCTGGAGCCAGTATGGTCGGTTGCTCTATCGCGCAGAGAACGGTGAGCCAGCCTGGAATGCTTCGTTGAATGTGTATCCTAATGGCACCGCGCGCCCAAAACCGACTTTCCGCACGACTTCGTATCCCCGAATCTTGGAGAGTTCTCGCTGGTGGCTGGGTGGCTTCTTTGGGAACACAGGAGCCAACAGCTCATACTCGGAATACGATCTGACTGTAATCCCCGAGGTCACAGATTTCAACAACACCCTATCTTCGACCAGTTCCTGTTCCAGTGGTTTAGAGCCAGGTGACAACGCTGCTCCTATATTCGCCGAGTCTCTTGTCAAAAATGCCCGGAAGCGCCTTGCTGCACACCTTCCAAAGGATCTGAAGCTGGACACCCTCGACATCATGGCGATGTTCAATATGTGCCCCTACGAGTATGCGACTCTAGGCCAGTCATCGTTCTGCGCGCTCTTCACTGAGCAGGAGTGGCGCGACTATGAATACTACGTCGATCTCCAATTTTACGGTAGCTTCGGATTCGGCTCCCCAAGTGGCCGCGCCCAAGGAATTGGATATGTTCAGGAACTTGCAGCGCGCCTGCAGTCCAAGCTCATCATGAGCAGTGACAGCAGCATCAACTATACCTACGATGATAACACCAAGTCATTCCCGCTCGACCAGCCACTGTACATGGACATGTCCCACGACGATGTCATTGTATCCGTACTGGCTGCTTTGGGTCTAAGTTACTTCAATTATGGTCCTCATGGTCTGCCTGTCTCCGTTGCACACGCCCCGCGCCGCAACTTCAACATCAACCAGATGACACCCTTTGGCGCTCGTCTTTACTCTGAGATTTGGACATGTCCCAAGGATGTCTCGTTTAAGAATCTCCAGGTGCAGAAGTACAAGAACCCGGATCTGTCATCCAAGCCTCACACTACCGATTATATCCGATTTGTGCTGAACAATGCGCCCGTGCCTCTGGATGGTCTTAAGGTCTGCGATGGCTCTGTGAATGGATTCTGCAAGGTCAAAGATTTCCTCAGTGCTATGCCTGATCTCAACAAGCAGGCGATGTACCAGGAAGCTTGCTTTGGTGACTACAATATCACTACTCAAGTGGGCAATGGACAGCCGAGAAAGCCTTGAATAGGGATGTGAAACTTGCTTGTAGCAGTGCAAAATATACCCGGCTTTGATCTCAGCGATATATACACGGATGTACATTTTCTGATAAAAACTAGTAGTTAAGATGAATTGAATAACCCTTTTGGACTATACACAAACACTTGTCACCTGATATATTCAGTGGAAGACCATTTCAAAGTGATGTCATTTCGAACAATATATTGTCGTACGATGTCGGTTCTATTCCATCCGAGCAAGATGCCGAGTATGTTGTCGATCAGGCTGATTGATAAAAATCCGATTGGATGAATCTCACCAAACTCAGGGCATAGAGGTCGAATGATCCGGAGTTGATTGCAAACCTCGGTATACTAGATCACATTACCCTCTTGCAAAGGTGTACAAACCTCATAAATGTTTCATTTAGCTTTCATTTATCACAGTATCCTATAGTATACACCACATGTATGCAAAATTTTATGCGTTTCCAATGTGGGATTTCCCCGCGCAAGATCGTCCATATTCCTCGGCTCGTTCATTTTAACATGAGACCTACAATATTGTACTTCACTTGATAATCATTTTCGTACAGGCTGTTGATAGAACAATGGGATATATATAAAATCGAGTTCAGCGGCTTGGTTCCAGTATATACTATTTCAAAACTATACCTACAAATTTATTTTCATCGCCTTGCTATAGAGATGGCATCGCTCACTATGTCCAGTATCAAGGATTCCCTGCTATTAGGCTCTTTGTTACAAGCCTCACCGTATCAAAAGATACTATGTGTGCTGCTAGGGCTAGTAACATATCTAGCGTTGACATCTTCACTGCGTTTCCAACGACGACAGACCCTCCACAAGAAGTATAGTTGCTACGGAACGAGGCAATCTATGCGCAGAATGACCGATCAAGATGCCTGGGCAATCCAAAAGACAACCATGCAGACTGAATTTCCCTTCATTGTGCTCAAGTCACTGCAGTTTGCCCTCTTCCGTGTATGCAATGCTCATCCATTTATATAGCTTGAAGCTAACATAGAGTAGACATATGGCATTCCAACAATATCTACCCTACTCCTCAAGACATCTCAGTTATCAGACTCTACAACGTCATTCAAGCGATATGCCGACACAGGTACACTGATCGGCGAATTCATGGCCTTCGACCCACGCTCCGAGCGAGCACAGACAGCAATAGCCCGAACCAACTTCCTGCACAAGGGCTACCGAGCCAGCGGCAAAATCCTCGAAGCCGACATGCTATACACACTAAGCTTGTTCGCCCTCGAGCCAATCCGGTTTGTGAAACAATTCGAGTGGCGCGAGATGACTGAAATGGAACGATGCGCTATCGGAACTTACTGGAAGAGTCTTGGTGATGCACTGGGGATAAGTTATGACCCTCTGCCCTCTGGAAACACTGGTTTCCAAGATGGGATTAACTGGCTGGAGGAGATTGGTGCATGGAGCGAGCAATACGAAGTCCAGCACATGAAGCCACACCCTCGCAACAAGGATATTGCAGAAAAGACCATCGACGTGTTGGTGTATAATTTGCCAAACTTCTTGAAGCCGTTGGGTACATACTTGGTGTCATACCTGATGGGAGATCGACTACGGACCGCAATGATGTATGCATCTTACTACACAATCACCACACACAGAGAGTCTAATAGGTTCGCTTTTCTAGGATGGATAAGCCCCCGGTATTCTTCGGCGGCATGCTCGCCTTGATATTCAAGCTCCGCCAACTATACTTGCGATACCTATCACTCCCACGTCCCAACTTCATGCGCTTGGACGTGTTCACCGATAAACCGAACAAATACGGCCGCAACTGGGTGCTGATGTATGATGGAGCTCCGTTCTATGTGCAGCCCACGATCTGGAATCGCTGGGGGCCGATGGCGTGGTTTAAGTGGTCGCTAGGACAGCCTTTGCCTGGTGATGACGGCGACAAGTATTACCCACAGGGTTATCACACCCACGATCTGGGACCGAAGTATTTTGAGGGCAAGGGATACAAGGAATTGGAGGATTTCAAGGAGGCTCTTCGCCAGCAGCGGATGGGACAGTGTCCATTCCTGTGATGTGACACCTGAAGTGAACCAACCTTGTTGATGATGTTGACCATGATACATATAATGATATTTGCGTTTTTCAAGCAGGATACGAGAGTAACCATAGTGAATTCTGATCTTTCGTTTCTAAAAGAACAAAGAAATGAAACAGTGAAGAACACAACATTGAGCCAACATAATCAAAATTCTATGATTGTCAAGCGTTCAAGTCAATTAATGCGCGCAGAGACATAATATAAACATACGCAGATAATAATTGCACATCGGGTATCTTTCATAATAGCCAGAAAAAAGTGTTCGAGATGGATAACATGATCGGGTATAGAGGTCTATCGTTGACTATTCTGTCTGATGGAAATTGTGAACGCAATGCAAGAAATGTATGAAGTCCAGAGTGCAAGTCGCTAAGCCCAAAAGAGTGAAAGAATAACCTGTATCAAACGGAGAGATGAAGCGACAATTCAGAATGAAAGGCATCAAAAAGGGGTATTGTGCAAATGTATGAACAGGCAAGAAAATAAATTCGATCGTCCCACCGGGAGACGAGGGCAAGAAATGGTATCATGTACTTAGATCACCAGAGATAGAGGGTGTAGGAGATATTGTTCCAATAGATGGCGATTCAACAAAGGACAGTTCGGAGGTCAACACAGGAGAAAAGACGGCGTTGGCAGGTTTGTATTCGGTCGCAGGGCTCAAAAGACCACGACCGCTCTCACCGATTTCGCCTAACTCTTCAGGTGCTAGGACTCGACCCCCTAGCTCAACGTCTTGAACACGGACGTTGTACTCAAGGGCACGCTGTCCTTCCTTGATGAGTTCTTCGGTCCATCCTAGACATCGCTTGAGGCTTTGATTCATCCTCTGGCTATCTACCAGGACGTCCCGATGTCGTGCCAAGTCAAGCATGACGCGTTTCTCGTCATTGACACGGTGCTTGGCGTCGTGCTCGGCCAGCAAACCTGGACTCATGATACTTTCATCTGCAGTTGAATCCTCGTCGCTGATATCAGAAACCTCGTCATGTGACCGGTTAGAAACCTCGCTTTCGCCTTCATCCAGCTCACTAGTTACAGAAAGTGCCGCTCCGGAGAATGAACGGGTGGAAGGTGCCATTGATATCCGTCCCGAGCGGCTCAGTCGTCGGAATCGCCGAAGTTCTGCCTTTTGTTGTCTCATTTCGCGCTCCAGGGTACGATTGATGGCCAATAGCGAAGAGTTGCTAATCTCCAAGTCCATGATCTTGCGCTCGGTACGCGCATTAAGAGCTGCCTCGCTCGGCCCCTCGGATTTCCCGGGGCTGAGCGGTGCGGGAGGGCATGTATCAGTCGAGACGGACGATACATTGCTGAAGATCCGAGGGCGAAGGGTGGGGATCTGTTCTGACATCACGGGCGCTGTCCCTTCACCAAAATGGCTCCCAGATATGATGACTGGGCTGGCTCGCAAGCTATCTTGTGGATGATTGATATAGCGGCCCGAGTCGACACTCGAGGACTTAGTATGTCGGATCGGTGCTGGTCGTGGTTTCTCGCCGATTGTACTAGACGATGGCGAGCCAAGACGCGGAACGAATACTAGTCCATTCTCAGCGCTGGCTATATGTGGTAATCTCATATCTTCCGGATGGTGCGAAGCAACGTCTGAGAGCGCGGGAGAGCTCAAGCGCGAGGAGGAAGGTCCTGGTTTGCTGGCGGGCAGGGGCCGGGGAAGACCACCCGATCGACGTTTGGCAGAAGTAGATGTAACACTCGATTGTTCCCCTAATGAATTTACTTCTTGGTCTCCATTCGCATATATGAAGCTCGAGGCTGGGGATGTCTTTCCTTGAGGCCTCGGGCGAGAAGCATCTGGCGGCTCAGAGGGATGTGATGATTGTGCATCGGACGCATGAAAGAACAGCGGAGTTCCCGATGTAATATCCGAGAAAGTATTTGGACGTGATATAGGCGGATTCTCTGCTGTCAGGGTCTTCGCCCTTAGACTCCGGGGTTGTTCCGGCTTGACCCCACGAGCAGGGCTACGGTCTCGACGGCCATAGCCGATTGTTGACTGAGAGTATGGTGTATGTGGAGAGGGAGAGAGGCCAGGTGATGTATTTGTGGGGGAATAGATAGCGCCATCTCGCCGATTTGTTCGAGGACCAGATCGTGGAGTGACGTTGGCGCTTAGGAAGGTCGGGACCGCGGGGGAGTTGTCCTTGGAGGGGGTGGAATAGGGGTGGTCGGGTTGTGGGAGGCGGCGAGTAAATCCTGGACCTGGACTTGGACTTGCAAGCTTTGGTGTCAGGGGAGCCTTGTTGCTCCTATGAAATGCAGCGCTGAGGGTGGGCGTAAATGGTTTGGCAAGACTGCCGTTGTTTTGTTTATCGTAGGTCATAGTTGCGGGGGGTGCAAGTTATGGCATTGCGAGGTGCCATAGGATATGAGCATGATGGCACCAGCCAATAGAAAGAATCACCTGTCTCTTTTTTTTCCTCTCTCGTTTTAACAGGGAATTTGTGGCCTGATTGAAAGGAAGAGAAAGTCAAGAGAAAGTCGAGTGACGAAAACAATGCCACCCGATTGGGTTTAGGGCGCCGCTTCACCGCAACGTGGAATTCCTTACTTCAACGAAGGGTCGAATTATTGATATTGTAACTTTTGGAGATTTCGTTAGATCTCTATTGTTTGCGGAAATTGGTTCTACAAGGCCCCTCAATTGACGTGTCATTGCCAATATGGCTAGAGACAAAGGGAAAAAAAACCAATACCCATCTCGCCCCTAGAAGTCCCGCTTCTGTCCCGAATCTGGCGGCTGTCAAGTGGAGACTTTGAAACACGGTGAGCCTGCAATAATATAACAATAATTGCTGCATTCCACACTAAGCCTGGGCCTATGGAAAGCAAGAGCTTGGTCTTGTTCTGCTGGGTTGACCGGCATTGCATATCATTAGGACATTTTGGTGAGTTCTGACCTCGTCAAAGTTCACGTTATATCAACAAAGGCATCTAGAGGGGGAAAAGTCATTGAAAAAAGAGTCGTTTCTGTTTTGGGTCCATTTCAGGAATACCAGCCTGGGATGGCATCTTCCTTTTCCTAGAATTTTGGGGTATCAAGATTGTTTCTTCCGAGGTGTCCTGCACCACTTCGCGGATTGTCTGTCGGGAGAGACAGAAGTCCACATGCTCGTTGAATTTGCGATCATCCGCAATCTGTGGTCGTGTACAAATGGGGCAATCCCACATAGGGACAGCTTCGACTGCCTCTGGGGCTGCAGAGGCCTCTGGTTCGGGAGTAACAGAAATATCAGGTGTTTCTTGACTCAGCCGCTCTAGATCATTCATCTCGTCCTGGATTTCCTGACGAGCCGCTGCCTCGAAAGCCTCCTCGGCAGAAATCTCGCGATCTGTATTTACACCAGAGGCCGATATATGGGTGGACTCAGAAGTGGGCTCAGCAGCAGGTTTGGGTTGTGCCGCTACGCCGAAAAAATTGAGTCCGACTTTCTGAGTGCTGACCAGATTCGAGCAGCGCAGGCCAAGAAGTCGTAGTTTGATGTTCGGAATATCCTTCTCAAGCTTGGCGAGCATAGGCAGAGCAAATGAATACAGGTCTTTTGCCAGGGAGACGGCCCGAGATGGAGCCGTCTGGCGCGTGAGCACTTCAAAAGTATGCAGTTTGACTTTCAGGGCTAGCGTGCGGCCTTTGAACTGAGTCCGCACCAGGTCCTTTTCAAGTTCCTGCGCAGCCCACCAAAGCTTCGCTCGAAGTTCCTCCTTGTCTCCAATGTCATGAAACGTAGTCTCTGTACTGACGCTTTTACGTTCGTGGGTCTCAACAGGTTCAATTTTGGTCCGCCCAAGGCCCAGGTAGCACTGGGCCAGAAATTGGAAAGCCTTCTCTCCAAATAGCTTGGTCAATAAGGCACGATGTGGGAAAATATCACCACACTTTTTGACACCTATTGATTCCAGTTCTCGCTCGAATACGCGGCCAATTCCATTAACTTTGCGGACCGAGAGGTCACGCATGAATTCCATAATTGCCTCGCGTTCATTGGAGACCTGGAATTGCCCATTTGGCTTGTTGAAATTGGAGGCAATCTTTGCGATCTTCGCGTTAGCAGCAATTCCGGCTGAAACGGACACTTTGGTTTTTTCTAATATCTCTGCACGCATCCGCTGAACAACCTCACCAGGCTCCATTTGATTTGCGTCGCAGTATGGTGTGATATTCAAATAAGCTTCGTCTATACTCGCACTCTCGAAAAGAGGGTCGTATTCGGCCATGATAGCGCGGATTTCCTTGGCCTTTGCGGTGTATTTGTCGTAGTTCTGCGGCAAAAGGACCAGCTGCGGGCATAGCTTTTTCGCAACAAACGAAGCCATGCCACTTCTGACGCCAAACTTCCTCGCCACATAATTGCAGGTTGTCAGGACTCCTTTACCTACTGCCATGGGCACCGTCTTCAATTCGGGCCGGTCAAGCTCCTCGACAGCGGCAAAGAATGCGTCACAGTCCACATGAATGACATGTTGAGAGAGATCACGGGTCAATTCTAGCTCGGCGAGGTGTTCGTCGGCACGTCGTAGCTCACTGCTCAAGTCTAGACGTTCTAACCGTGCCTTTTCTTTTAAGATTCGTTCGATTTTCAGCGTGAGATTCCGATCACGCTCTTGCTCGTGATTAAAGAACTTAGAGCCCTTGGAGGCATTATAGATAATCTCCGATACCTGAAAACTCGAGTTCAGCTGTAGCTCAATATAGATACAATCATCAGGCGCACCTTTTGTTGATCGACTGAGTCTTGACCCGCTTTGGTTAAAGAGGGACCGAGTAGCTGATATTTCAGGGTGTCAAAGTCCTCATCAGTAGCTGGCTCAGGCTGTGGATTACTGCTAAAATTCTCCCCTGAGGACTCCATATTTTCAAGCGTCCCATCAATGGCCGGTGGATAATACATGATGAGACGAGAGCGCGGGATTCAATTTGACGCGGAGTCACGTGGGTACGCGTTTCAATTTGCGCGAGCCTCAGCTACGTAGCTCGACGTTGAACAATCTCTCGGTATGCGGACTTGTCGTCATGTGGATTCTTGATTCGACCGGTGACTTTCTAGAAGGTGGGGTATTCAATCGAAAAGGATCGATCGGTTGCTAAAACGTCATAGGGAAGCGCGTGTGGCTGCGCCCTGGAAAGAAGTATTTATTCGGTCGATTCTATCGAGATGGAGGTGTGGCCCATTTCACTTAGCGGATCATACAATTTCACTAATATCTTATTGTTAGTCCGCCATGCCGTCAATCATACTTCGATATCTCGCAAGCATATGACCATTGAAATCTCACCGGTCAACCCGAGAGATGGGGTACGGTTGAACCCCCGCAGTGATATGCATTCTATGGCTAATACCAGCCCAGTTATCACCACGAGCGCGATCCAATATCACTATCACCGATCTGGACTCAAAGAAAGGGACAATCGTTGACGGAAAAAGAATTCAAGGAGAATACAAGTTGGAGAAGAGCGATGAGCATATCATCCAGCTTGCTAAATACCAACATACGCTCCGGTGCGCATGGCTGCTTATAACAGGCTTGAATCCCAGCTGATGATATTGATAGGATCAAATGGGAGCCCGTGGTTCTAACGTTGTCAGCCTCCTCCAAGGTGGTGCGTGGTGAAGATCCTCTAGCCCATGTTCGCTCACGTCTAGAAGACCTCGACATCAAGACCGTCATGGACTATATTGTTGATCACACAACACATGTGGTACAGCGCAAGCGGAATACAGCCAAGGGTCTTCAGGCACTGGTCAACGGGAAGTACATAGTAGATGATTCATATATCGATGCACTCGTCTACGCGGCCACCCCCAGTGATCTTGACAACGTGGAGTCACTCTGTCCTCTTGAAACAGACTTCGAATCGACGTGGCCCGATCCAAATAAACACCTCCCGCCTCCCGGGAAAGAGCCAACTCAGCGTCCCGCAGCTGCTTTCGCTCCAAATTCCGCACGTCTCAATGTCTTCGAGGGATATACGTTTATCTTCGGTGATTCAGCCCAATTTGAAAACCTGCAAGGTCCAATCAACAATGGCCAAGGAAAGGCACTTTTGTATGAAGTTGAAGATGGAGTTACAACGGCCACAGATATCGTTCGGTTTATGAAAAAAGCAGCCGGAGGGAAAGCCGTGGGCAGCGTGCGGCACGGTTCCGGGGGTGTCGTCCTTGTTCGCTTTCGATCAAAAGGAGACCTCGAACAATGGTCTATTGACGTCGGTAATGAAGTTGCCCTAATGACAGACCAGCGCGTGATAGAGCAACGAGAATTCCTCGACGCTATTCTGGGAAATGATGCATCACCCCTCTGCCGTGCCTTGCCCACGGAGGAGGGCTCCAGCCAGATCTCCGCACCTACGCCAGTTGTCGAGGCTGAACAGACAAGCCAAGCAATTTCTATTGTGGTATCACCCCCTGATCCTGAGCCTAGCCAGCCCTTGAGATCTCAGGCCAAGACACCCCGCGTGCGTGCATACGTCAGTAAAATGAAAACCTTTGATGACGGATTCGACATGGAGTCTGTCCCAGCGTATGCGCCCGAAGAAGAGGACAACACCAATATCACCTCCACTCAAACCATGGATATTGAAACTCAACAGCCTTCCCAAGCAACACAACCCCTGGATACAGTAAAGGAAGAACCCGAGGAGGATACGGTCGCTGATCTTCTCCCGGGCGCCCGCGCAATGAAGCGTCGTCGTGCAGAGATGACTCGCCATAATCCAGAGAGTGAGACCGTAGCTCCCAATTACGAGGCCCCGAAACCCAAGCGACCTAAACTCGACGTGCTCGAAGCCGCACGGAAACACCGGGAAGATGAAGAGAAACAACGCAATGAAGACTCACACCCAGTCAACCTGGACGATGTGGATGTGGAACAATTAAAGAACCTAGCTATTGTGGAGGAAATGGAAATCCCCGTCCGGAACGCGCCAGTGCGCGAGGTCGAAAGCTCAGACCGATGGGACGATCATTGGAATGGGCGCAAAAACTTCAAGAAATTCCGCCGAAAGGGCGAGCCGCGTAGTCGAGCTCGGGTCCAGACGGTAATCGTTCCTCTAGAAGAAGTAACCCGCAAAGACTATGGAATCGGCGATCACTATTGGGCCGGCAATTCCACTGAGACAAACTCTCGAATCGAGCCCGAGGATCCGGGCTCTGAAACTCATCACGATGAAGTTGCCCCATCACGATCCGAGCCGTTAGCGACTACACGCCCTTCGCCTGAACCGACTCCAGACCCAGTCCCGGCTCGGCGCCCGAAGAGAGCTCGCGAGGAGCGTGATTCGGACAGCGATGATGGACTTCGTTTCCGGTTTAGACGTAAGCGCTAGCTTATAGTTGCTTTTGGTCTTTTCTTTGTAATAGTTTTGTAGCGTCTATTCTGCATTGATACCCGCCCATTCATTTGCTGATCTAAGCTTGTCTGTGCCTGTAAACAACTAATGATTCAATCACAATACCTATGAGTTATCTGTCTTCTTTATCATTACCTGGAAGACGACATCTATTTGGTTAATAGGGCCAAACAAACTATCACGGCCCACGTACACGAACTATAACATGGTATAGTACTCAATAAAAACATGTAGTTACAAATACTAGCTCCGATGTATTCTTATAATTTTCATGTTATTTTCTTGATCATCATCCTCATTCTCGTTTAATAGCCCAATATCAAATATCCCAACAGTAAACGTCCGTGTCGCGCAACGTCTCTTTTTCTTTTTAACCTCCTGCTCTCATACATCGTCACTTTCTTCTACGTGTACTCTGCAATTTCTTTCATTTTAGTAGGTTTCTTGCTCTTCCCCGTCTCTCACTTGCTTCTCATCTTGTTCTCATCTCTTCCACTTTCCGCCGGCTTACCTCTCTCTCTTCCCCGCCAATCCCCTTGTTCCAAGCCACCTTTTCAAGCTGCCCAACAGCCTGATCGGCGAGCGCCGCCAGACTTGTAGTTTATCTTTTTATTTCCTTCGTGAACTTGATCCGCTGACATATTCCGCCTGTAGTGAGACCGATCGTCGGGCCGATGCGGCTTTGATATGAGCGGCTAAGCACAGCTGTAAGTACGATGTATATGCATAGCCCCGGCATGACCTGTTTGCACTGACGTATGTAAAATTGTTATCAGGCCGCAGTCTCTCATCTGAAGAAGAGCAAGTCGCATCAGCGACCTCCAACTTCCCTGATCATCTCCCCCACCCCTCATCCTTGCCCATCATGAGCTCCGCAATTCCCTCTACCCGGCAGGTGTCCGTGAATTCACCTGCCAGTGCACCCATTGCAGCTCCTGCAGGTGCAGAGAAATCCAACTGCCCCGGTGCAAAGATTAGTGAAAATAGCGGCACTTCCAGCCCTATTCCCGCCGGTGAGGACCAATCTCATCTCCCCGCAAATGTCCCCACATCAACTATCTCAGCTCCGATCCAGTCGGAAATCCACTTTGTCAATCTCCCGGTTGAGATCCATGAGATTATTCTTGATCAGCTCTTTGGCGAAAGAGCCTCAGCTGGTAATCACACAGCATATGGTGCTCAGCACTGGACCAAGGCTCTCCACCATCCGCGGCGGAAGGCCCTCTCTAACCTGGCATTGATTTGCCGAGTGTGGACTGGGCTTGTTCAAAGCCGAATTTACCGCCATAGTGAGTTTCATCTAACCGTAAATTGAAATTTGAATGAAATTGTACTAATAAATGTGTTTGTGTAGTCAGAATCAAGGGCAGTAGAGAAGGAGTGGCCGACTGTGTGCGGTGGTTCAAGAGAAAGGCGCATTTGATTCCTTATGTCTGCCACATTGAGGTCTGGATGCCTATCTGGGGAGATCGGGCTGTTTGGCCTAACATTTCTGGCTCAAATACGGCGCATTATGCCGCTCAGACAGCCGCAGGACATGTAATACCCATGCAATGGAATCAGCACAACAATCAGGTAGAAGGTATCTTTTATTATCGCCGTGCACTCAACAACGCTTCACTGGAGGATATTTTCAAGCTTGTTCGGCTCTACTTCCCCGCAGCCCGAGTTCTCACACTGGAAGGCGGTCATTGCAAGAATTCGCCCAGGATCCGCCATTTCTGTCATGATAACATTCTCCAACGGCGTCTACCTGTTCTTGGAAACATTCAGACATTGATCATGCGAGGTTCCTGGAACTTGATGCGCAAACTTGACGACTGGGATAACATCGCACGGGCATTGCCGGCATTGAGTGAATGGCATTGTTCTTGGGCCCAACCCCATCTAAATGCCTACTTCATCATGATACACATCCTTACCTACCCTCCAATAAAACTCCGACACATCAATATCAGTCTTGAGGGACTTTACAACCACAATGATGATGTGCTAGCTGGGCTCTTTGGACATCGAAAATCGCTTCCTCCAATCTGCAGTCTGCTTGGCGAGATGGCTCCACGTTTAGAGTCATTCACCTACACTGGTCGAGTGTGCTGGTATTTCTTTGAGACTTTGAAACAAAGTGCAACGGCAATGAGTTCTCGTTCTCGGCTCAGGTCAATGGATATTGTAGTCAAGGCATGTTGTCATAAGCAGCAGGTAGACGGCTCGCATCACTGGTCACAGTTGAGCCAGGGGATAGGTGGAATTACCAGCATGGAGTTCATTCTTGCGTTCGAGGCAATGGTGATCAAGGCAATCGAGTGTCTATCTGTACTCCCAACCTTGGAGTATTTGCGGATCCGTTTTATCGACCTTGATTCAAGCTGTCCCCCTCTGAACCCTTATTTCCAACTTTTCAAAAATGAGTGCACTGGCCTGTGGAGTGACGATATCCTGGAAGCTTTGCGCATGAACCGGCCATCGGCCGCATTTTTCTCCCTTACAGATGGAATATACGCGGAGTACGATGACCAGCAGATTGTGGGAGCCTTGATGCCCCGAGTTCGCCCCCTTGGCATCCAAGTGAGCATGTACAGCCTCATCGCCGACAGCTCCAACCCTTACTAGGCTCATCGCTTGCCTTCGTCTTTTCTGAGCGTTACAGTCTCATTTTCGTGTTTTCCTCTCATCGTTCAGCATAATACCCCGTCATCGTTTCCGTCATTCAGCGAATTTCTCGTTGAGCATTCATTAATTTTTTCTTTGTGATATCACGTCGGTGCATGCCATTTTAGGAGACTTCTGGTCTCCTGTGCGCCATTTGTGTATGATCAGACTCATAATTCTTAATACCTGTTAATGTGTCAGAGTACGCATTTGCCTAAGTGGCTGCGAACTTCTCCGATTCGGAGAAGTAAATCGGAACAATGAAACCGAGCCCGCCCCTAGTGCATGTTTTCTTGTTGACCAGCGTGTCTGTTCTCGGCTTTTCGTCTTTAAGAGGGCAAGCTTTTGTTTGAATGAATAAGAAAGGCACCATCGCCTTGCGATATGGTGCGTTGATCGGAGGAGTTAATCGGGGAATCCGAGAGGAATCGGAGATTCATGTCCTTGTGCTCTCGCCGGTTGACTTGATTCCCATGGCCATGCCGGCCCATGCCGGCCCATCGGGCATTGTCTGATGGCTTTTTTTGTATGTGTGTATGTATGTGTGTATGTATGTGTGTATGTATGTGTGTATGTATGTGTGTATGTATGTGTGTATGTATGTGTGTATGTATGTGTGTGTATGTATGTATGTAGTCAAATGTCTCTCGTCTTGAAATCATCCTTGCTTTTATCTAATATCCGTAACTATGTATACATCTCTACTAAATACATTAGTTCCCCTTCATTTTGGTGCAACTGTGATCTCGCCAGCACGCTCCCCTCCATCCTGAACGATGATCCCAAGAATCCAGACATTCACGGCAAAGAAGAAGAGCCCCGCGAGGAACAGTCCAGGTACGAATGATGACAGACCCAGGAATTCGAGGTTGTAACCTTGGTACAGCCAGAGCGCCTATATTGTTGTCAGGGTCGGATTCCCAAGTGATGATTGCGGCATCAGAGGATCGGAAGAAAACACATACCTGTCCAGCAACCCATAGTATGGCTGCTGATACACCCAGAGTTGGTTTGCGGATGAGCGAGGAAGAGGGTAGGTAAAATGGAAGCAGGATGAGGTACCAGAGGAAATACTAGACGGATTAGCTGCCAGTATGACCACTGTTGAATGAAATCACATACCTGACTGGTACAGACTTTGTTGAAGGTGACAAAGGTAAAGGTCTGTGCGAGCATCGCAGTAGTCAAGCTCTTCTTTGCCAAAACGAGAGGTAAGGCAACAACCACAAGGATTAACTGTGGGAGGAAGGCCAGTGCCTCAAAACGAGTTTCGGCCCCACCGGCAGCAGATAGATAGAGCAGTGTACTATAGGGAGAGAAATTATGGCGGTGGTCGATGCGAGTAAGATGGTGTAAGAACGTGTGATGGAGGAATGGTTGTCCGTACTGTATGTACATGACGAAGTTCAATGCCACAAAACTGGCCAGTGCTGCGACAGTAAACTTCACCCGGGACGGAGTAATGAATCCCAAAGCCTTTGATAGCAGATCTGAGCTAGCTGGTGCAGACCCATCGCGCTCAGCATCCCACCACCAGAGAATGGAGATACCGTAAATGAACGGATAGATTTTGAAGTGCACAGCAAGACCCAGAATAAGCCCAGCAAGAACAGGCTTCTTCGTCAAAGTTGCCCACAGAAGCGCTGCAACAAGCACGCCGAGTAGCCCTTCCGAACTACCACGGGTACTGATATTGGCAACCATAGGATTCCACAGCCAAACAGCGGCAACATATCGCAGCGCGCGCTCGACAGGAAATTGATAACATCGGACAAGCAACTGGACAACGAGCCATCCAGCAAGAACATCAGCCAATGCAAAAAGTGCCTTCCCAAAGGCGAAAGTCAGTGTTGACCAAGGCGCGGCACCCTCCCACGCAGTCGGGAGAAGCATCCATGCTAGGAGCGGCGTGTAGCGGTAAGTATCGCGGGCGTAGGGTGACTCGCCCTTTGCAACATAGCGAGCAGCATCAGTGAACACCATGTAGTCGATATCGGTGTATTTCACGGCGGAGTTCGCGTCCTGCCAGCCTCCATAAACAAGGAGAATGAGGCGGAGGGCTGTTGCAGCGAGGAAGACTCGCGCCGGAGAATTGAAGAGAGCCATTCTCTTATCTCAAACTTGTTTTCCCCTTCTTCGTTCTTTGGTCACAACCAAATGAAGAAATTAAAGGTTGCTAGATTGTCTGTTGCGGCTAGCTCGCATAATTGGGCTTGATGAACCCCTTGGCAGATGTTGTGTGGGGAGATTAAGGAGCTGCACATGCAACCAATTTTTTTGGTCTTGAGATCTGTAGTGACCGTGAGTGTAAATTAATTTAGTTTAATTTCTACCCCACGCAATTCGTGCCTGGTATATTGCCGGATGTTTACGTGGAAGATGTTGATGCCATTCCCGTCCCAGGGCCGGGCCTCGCTGACTTAGCATGGTCCGTGTCCACCCGGAGATTGCCTAATCGGGACAGAAAGTATATACCTCCGGGTTATGTACCCATGTACATGGTAGGTATTGAAGTACCTTTAAGACTACATATGTAAGTGATATAGACTGTTTGGTCAGTTCCAGTGGCTCCCTTGGGTTTGGAGGTTGGGTGTAGGATATCTCTTGTTGGTTTCATGGTGTCTCCCAAAGGTGTACCTACGCTGGCCCCTGTATTGCTATATCCATAGTGAGGCAGATATACGATATAGTCAAATAGATTGGCTCTGCCTGGGGGATTTCTAAATTAAAGATCATAACCCCACCGAAACAAAATCGCCCAATCAAGTGGAACATCCACGTTGTAATTCCAAAATGCGGGGAAAGGGACTAAGAGATTGCGGGGATATCAACGTCTCCGCACTACCTCGTATATCGTACTCTATGTTGCACACAATATACGCCAACACCAAATGATGTGATGTCACCGCAGGTACATTCTTGCCCAAAGCCTACTTGATGGCAATCTAGGCCAGTCATATTCAGTGTTTGGCTTGGCTAACCAATACGTCGATGTAAGTGGTACGCCACTAAGAGGGGTTATGTACTTGATGGGTTGAGTGGCACTCTGAGACCTTCCTCTAGATCCTAGCTCCTTCAAATTGGGCGACAAAAATGCCGACAAAAGGGTTCATGTGAAAGGTAGACAGCCCGAACAATATCCATACGTGTCTAGTACGGAATTGGACGTTTATACCCAGGTCCATGTCTCAACATTTCAACAATTAGGCGTAGGCCAAACAATGCTGTCCCCGCATATGTGATTGGTTGAATAAAGCCAGAGAGAATGATTGAAGTTTCTGATTGAATACCAAAGAAATCAGAACCAAGTCAAGTTACACAATGTAAGCTGACGGCCATGGACTACACCAAGGCACTCAGAATAGGGCCCTTAATGTCAGACATTTGCTGTGTAATCAAGAGATTCAAGGACCCATTCTGCCAAGAGAGGTACAATATTATAGCTCAGGCCTGTATCACTTAAATCGCTTGCGTAAAAGGCTATCGTCCCGAGGTCCGCTTTCAAAATACAGCCGGCTAAATTAGGACAACTGGATCTAATAGGTCACATACTGTCAGATGATGTGGTCTACTTTTATACTAAAAGTAATATCACAGACTAGTCGTGAATCTAATCTAAACCTGGCTAGTCCTAACAGAGATGATTTAGTTCCCTAGTTAGAGATGCGCCGCAGATTCATCAATGTTAACCATGTACTTCATATACCACCGTACATAGCAGATGAAGATGACGATCCCCCACAAAAGAAACAAAGTTATGTTATAAAATTGATTGTATCCTGTTCCTCGGTATCTTTTCATAGACATATGACAGTTTCATAAAGGTTTGGTGATTATATAGATAGATCTTCTTTTGTATTCTTCTCTTCGTTGGAGAGACTTCATCATGATGAAGGGCATGGGAAAGTACATTATCGGGGCCAATCGACAGCTTCTCATCCCAGAGTCCGATGAGTCTGGGAAGCTCGAGAAAGTCGGATCCTCAGTGAGCTCGACCTCGAAAAAGAATAAGTTCCGCCAGCATTGCAGGCGATTCTGGTGCATCTACCTCATTGCCAATGTGATATTCTTGGCTATTTTCCTGCCCGTGTTGTAAGTCAAAATACTCTTTTGTTTATTTCCATGCTTATTATCAAACTAACATTGCCAAAAAAAAGCTTTCTGGTGGCGATTCCTGCCATCGCCCAACTTGTTGTCAACAAATCAGACATACGAATCGTTAATGCCGAAGTGATGCACCCAACAGCAGACACAGTACGAATGACGCTAGAAACAAAGGTGAACTTGAAGCTTGCGCTGGGTGTTCGGCTCGATCCTGTTGTTTTCTATACCTTCGTACGCTCCTCCGGCCATGAGAACGCGTATGCAGGAATTGAGATCCCTGGGCAAACTATCAAGGGGAATTATTCACTTGGAGTCACCGACCAATTGACGCCAATCCTCAATATGACTTCCTGGGAAACCTTTGTAAGTCAAGTTGTCCACCAAAAGGGAACAGCACTATCTCTATATGGAAAGACCACTGGATATCTCGGTGTCCTGAAAAGCCACATTATATTGGATAAATATGTGGTGATTCCAAGTAAGTACTTCACCATAGAGGCCTTCCTTCATTCATTTTCTAATCTTTGAAATAGCCTTAAACAAGTTTAAAGGCTTCTCCCTCGCCGATAGCACATTTCTCTTGCCAGCAGAGGACGACGGATCCAACCTCGTCGCCAATATTACACTCCCAAACCCAAGCACCTTCAGCTTCGAAGTTGGCACGATCACACTTGATCTCAAGAGCGGCAATACAGACCTAGTCCTCGGCAGTGCGACGATCGAAGACGTCACACTCAGACCAGGCAACAACACATTCCCGTTAAGAGGCGTGATCGATATCGGTGGGATGATCGCCAACCTCGCCGAAGTGCTCAGCTCACAGGGTTCCGCCCTTAGGACAGGCGCACTTAGCCTGACAGCTGTGACTAAATCAATTGTATCAAACGGCACACTAATCCCGTACTATACAAAGGCTCTCGCGTCACTACCCCTGGTAGCAAACGTGAGCATCGGCGATGTTCTCAAAAACTCGCTCGCTCGCTTAGGCTCGAGTGAGGCATTTTCAGACCCCGATGACAAACGCAGGAGAGACCCTGTGCAGTTTGATGGTCCGGTTGGATACGGTGACGCATATAATCAGGTCGCAGGTCTGAAACACAACAGGCATGTTCAAAAGATCTTCAAGGATGAAGATTCTGAACAACGAGACGCAATGATAGATTCGCTGGCTCGATATTATGCGTCGCTATGAGTATATGTATGTATGGATGATTTCATTTGATATCAACTATATCTCCATGACAAATTTTGTCCATGAATTAAATATTGATATCTAGCCTGCCGAAAGCCTGTAGGTAGCGTTCGAGTTGTATCTATCAATATGACAGGCGGAGTGTCATGGAAATATGAGAAATCCCCAAGTATTTATTACTTTAAGAAGCATTGAAATAAAAAATTTAAGTCTGTCATGTATTCATTTCCATATATGCCCTATGCTATCATGCTGAATCGAGAAAATCCCAAAGGAATCAAAGAAAAAAAAGACAAGAGAAGAGAAGAATCAGTAATAAAGTCCGGGGTTTGTAAAATACGCAGGATCCGGCATGGAATCAAAATACGCAGGTTGTTCCCCGAATTTTGAGGGTTTCTCATGGTCGGGGGTCAGCAAAGTCATCGCATCATTCCTCCCATCAATTTCGGTGACAACTCCCGGCCACAAGTTGTTGTCACTCCAGCTCAAATACTCCCAGAGATATTGGCCCCCTGAATCATCCGTGAACGGGGTAGTAGCGAGGGGATCAAGGAACCCATTCTCGCCTATAGCCATGTTGCTGCGACCTTGTTCGGGCGGCGGGAACATAAGTCCCGTATCCCGACCAGCGGGATAAGAGCCACTAAGCATACTACTGGAAGAAGGAGGATCGGTGAGGTCCTGCCCCCGCTTGCTAGCCTCGTAGATACACGAGATAGCATCCAGCGACCGCTTCGCCGTATGGCCAAAGGACCCCATACGGGCCAAGGTCATCATGGCCATTTCTACCTGCGCTTGACAGGACTCGACGGAAGCTCGGGGGTCATCCACCGTTGGATCGTTGAGGAACAATCCCACCAAGGGAACCAGAGAAGCCTGGAAGGTCCACCAGACAGCATTCCATCCGCACAGCTGGTTAAGTTGTGCAGTAGCAGCGATATTCCGAATAGATTCCTCTGCGACAGCGCGACATTTTTCAATCGCGGTGCGCTCCTCCAATCGCAGTGCGATATAAGGTACGCGGCGCATGGCGTAGCTGAGAAGGGTTGGTCGGTACAGGAGGATTCGTTGGTTGTAATAGCGCCAGCGCATGACAGTGCGGACGGTGTTTATTGACTCTGAGCAGGGCTCGTGGTCTTTCAGGACGGAAGGGAGGTTGTCCCACCACTCGAGGAGCTGTGCATCTGCGTGGGCCATTTCTTGGTGCTTGACTAGCGGTGCTGCGGCGAGGGACTCTTGGACTTGGGTTGCGATCTTGGCAAAGCGGATGTTTTCCACCAAGGGAAGGATCTCGAGAACGTTTTCCTATTAGAATGACATTAGTCAAATGATCATTCCTTTTCTAGAAAGGTGCAAGACTTACTTTGTCTCGACAGAGAGGGGGTTTAACTGTAATGGTTGAGCCTATCCGACCCATACTAGGCCGACCCAGTGTCATGCCGGCCCAGGTATCCATACAGAACAAAGACCACCAGACGCGGCGCTTAAGATCCATGGAGGCTATCTTCGCAGGGCTCGGCAGTTGACGAGTCTCCGCAAATTCCTTGTGCAGTCCCAGGGCAGCCGCCATACGCAATGCAGCACCCATGAGGGAGTATGCCAGATTCGGTTGGCTGATATAGTGGCAGTACCAGCCGCCCATCAGGCCCATTGCCTGGATAGTCTCGATATGGGAGCTTCCCAGAGAAGTCAGACTCAGGTGACTCTTGCATCGCAAGAAGTATGTCTGGTGTGTTACATCATCGGGACCCGTGGCGGCAATGCAACCGAGAGCAAGAACGATGTTCAACAGAGCAAGCCAATGGTCATCTCTCCGACGACCGGAGCAGTAAGCCTCGCGAAAGGAACGCTCATCGATCATGGGAGCAAAGGCTTGGAAGTAGAGGAAATATGCATCGAGCATTTGCATCTCTGAGGGTGGAATAAGGGGTTGTGGGGGAGTGATAGGGGCATGATTTGGCCATTTGATCGAGTTCTCCTGTTCATTCGCAGGAGTTCGAGAAAAGTATGAGGCACAGCCTGGATCCAACCAGACAATGACCTTGATCACCGCCTGGATGGATGATACACCCAGGTAAGATGAAGGCTGGCGAGCCGACAGCGACAGCCCATTAACGTCATCCGAGACGCCCTCTACTAGATCCGAAGAACTGGTATTACGGCTATCCGGTAGTTCCTCGGGCATTGTTTGCAGAGCCTCGAGGTTGTCATCGTCATTTGACAATGGTGAGACATGGGCTTCCAGCGAAGCCGAGGTAGATGGCGAATCGGCATGATGTGATAGTGTTTGAATGTGAGAACCCGACGAAGCGGTTGTGAGCTCAAGGAGCTTCTCACGTGGTAAATTCACCAATGATTCTGGAGAGTAGTTTGGGAATAATTTTGCCAGTATACTTCTATACTCTTCCAGGGTTGTAGAAAGTTTTTCTACATGTCTGTATACATTAGATGGTTAGATGGGTTGGGATTAGAAAAATAGGCGAGTGACTCACCTCCGTGATGGCCGCGGGTCTGAATAGTGGCACTGGTCTGATTTCTTATACCATCGACATGCCTCACATGGTTTCTCACCATCACACTTGATCTTGCGATGACGACAAGATGTACAAGCACGTAAAGTTGTCACACGTCGACTAATGGATTCACGTCTTTCACTGACAGATCGGTTGCGGGCAGGAGTTGCTGCCGTTGGGTTCTCGAAACCCTCGAATGTATGAAACATTGTGATAGAAGTTATAAACTTATAAATTCACATATAGACCACACTATGTGGTCAATGAGTAGGCGACATATAGGTGTAGTAAGATTATATGTATTAAGAGGGTTGGAAGTTGAATGTTCACATTGCTGAAAGGTGGCAAGTCGTATGTCTCAAGGGTTAGAAGAAGAAAAAGGATTCCCAGGGAAGGAAAAGCAAAGCAAAAAGAACTTAAACCAAAAAAAGAAACAGAAAAAAAAAAATAGGCTGATCCGCTTAATCTCCCCGCATTTTCTCTGGTGGGTTTTTGGTGGATTTTGGTGGATTTCTCGACTGTGTAAGGTCTGTTTCTTCCTATCCGGCTCACTCGGGTTAAAGTGATTGGTCAAGAGTTGGGATTATTATAAGCTAGTGTGATCAGACTATTCCTTGCAGGGCGTGAGGGAAAAAAATAATAAGAAGAGACACTTCTCGGATCAGTTAGGAAGAGAGAAAATGGTCCATGAGCCCCAAGTCTGACGTGGAGATTCCGGCATCAGTGAGTCCCGGCATATAAAACCCCAGAGAACTTTATGGGCTTACTTAGGGTCAACTAGGATTATGAAGTCCCGAGCTGCAACTAATTCAGCCGGGAAATGTCACGCCAGCGTGAACAGGGGTGCAGATGAGATGTGCCATACAACGCATGTCCAATTTCGCTTGCGGTGTCATATACGCCACAGAACATGCATGGCTGGGTACTCCATATGGCATGGATTCTCCAAAGTGAGGGGCAATTTCCCCGGACTCCTTTCGTGAGAATCATACTCACCGAGCCCTGCAGATGGGACTGGACGATCGTATGGGGAAGATCACTAGTAGGTGCATGTCCGTTTACATGGGGAACATTAACCCTGATGAGGTTCCAACAGCAAACTTCCCTTCGGCCGGAAATTCCAAACCCGTTTTGCCCAGTAGTATCGAACCTTCTCCATTTCTATAACCTCGCAAGGTCCTGGGACTATACTCCGTGTGCTCCGTACGGAGTATACCATAATCGCTCCAAGCCTGGCGCCTGACGCCTAACGCCTACAATGAGGGATTTTTTCACAAAGGGGGTTAGTGCTCACTGCTTATTACCCCGTGTATCAGGAGGTGTCTATATTTCGCACCTCGCCACTAGAAGGGGGGAAAGGTCCTGGTTGCCGAGATAATTTCGCGCCATGTCTCGTTCCAGTCAAGGGCCCGAAATGGGGACACCCCCCATATTTTTTGTTTTTTTCTTCCTCTTATTCTTGGGAGGGGAAAAGGAGCCAAGAGAGTCGAACTCCGCAAACTCGAAAGTAAATTTAAAGCAAGCTCCCTGCAGAGCTCCACGTTCTGATCATTGACCTGGGATTTCCTGGGGGGATGCCAAGCCTGTAGGAAGGAAGCCGGAGGAATGCAGGACACCCGTTGTCTACCGAGGTCTAGCGGTCATTGGCTCGGCTGGGACTTGTGACTCATGCATACTAACCACAACGGGTGCAGTAAATTAAGTGTAGACCGTCAATGCGTATATGTCCGAAAGAAGTTACCGGCACCCAGGGGGGGGGTGAACAGTCGATGATATACCAGTGATCTTCAGGTTTTAGAATGGCAGAAGCTTAAGATCAAAGCGGACATCAACAATGCATGGCATTTTGAGCTTGACGGCACTCTTTCCGTGGCCAAGAAAGCTCTTGGGTGGATATAACAACCCCGGAGGATCGAGGACTGCCGAATGGTGGGGGAGAGAAAACGTGGAAATTTTGGAAATTTACAGATTTGCAAATTTCCATTGTTTCACTGTATTTGAAAAGTACAAGTTGCAAATATACAGGGTCATGTGTTACACTAGTCCCTTTTGAACACGGTAAATCTCGTCTTTCCCGAAAGGGTAACGGGAGTCTCCGGCCTTATCGATAAGGAAAGTCTGTCTCCAACTATGTATAAATCCGGGGGAAGGGGACAAAGCTACCTCCTTTCAAATTGTCAATTGCTTTTTCAAAATGGCTAAGCTCGTCCACTCTCTGTCTTCTGGCTGGTCCTTTAAGGACCGAGACACCGACGAATGGCTGCCAGTAGCTTCGGTCCCGTCCGTGGTACAACAGGATCTCATTGCTAACAACAAGTGAGCTATTTTTATCCGACGAAAATTTTCAAATCTAATATTATTCTCAAGGCTCGACGATCCTTACATCGGTTTCAAGGAATTAGACGCCCGCTGGGTCAACGAGAAGTCATGGGTCTACCGAAATGTCATCCAGAAGCCATCCGCCCCCGCCGGCTCTTCGATTGTGCT